ATTAATTTTGCTATACAAAGTTACTGGTTTTCCTAATTAATTTAAAAATAATGAAAAGTAAGTACACCATATAAATAATAAACTAAATCCAAAATTATGTAATTTAGAAATCTAAACAATATAAATTATTACTAAATTATTACTAAATCTAATAAAATTGTATACATATAATTATAAATTTTCATTACTAATACAAACAGATTCAATTGAAAAAATCAGGAGAAGTTATGCAAATTAACAAAATCAAAAAAAATAAAAATTCTAATTAGTATCCTTGAACTTCTTATTAAGTTATATTTAAAAATTATACTCAGCAGGAATAACAATTGAAACAGTAATTCCAAATTTTGAAACCATATAGATGAGTTTGGGTGAAAAATTTTAAATAAAATCAATATCAAAAATATTAAATCAGATTTGATTGGCATAGAACCAATTATATTAAAGGAAAATTTAGAATTTAATTCAGATAATGATAGTGAATCCACTTTTTATAGAAATAAACCAGACTATAATTTTTATTAAATAGATTAATTTAATTATTAATCATTGCAGTGTCTATATTTATCTTTGCAAGATGTTTCAACGAGAATGATTTAATAATGATTGATTGCTATAAAGAGAATAATAAAAGCTTATATTAATTACATTTATTATGTTTTATCAAAATTTGTTTATAAATACAATAACTAAAAAATAGATTATTATATAATGAAGATTTAATAAAACATGAATATATTATCATTAATTTGTAAAGTAATACTATAAAATTATCGAGATTGAATAGATATTGAAAAAGAAAATATTTATAGTAAATTATAATCTCATATTTATAAGATTTTTGTAAAAGAAGCAAAATAGATTCTTGAATTAAATTTAAGTATGTCTTTCATTTTAGGAATTTGGAAGAAATAAGATGTATGGAATCATAAATCTAGATCGTAAATACAATTTGAAATAAATGGATATTAAAATGTAACTAAATACAATAATTGACAATAAAATACTATTATCTATAATAAAATGAAATCTGTATTTGCTTTCACATATAATAATATAAAAATCATTGGTTTAAGTACTCTTTTAATTTAGAATCATAATGTCTTTAAGCATTGTTGTAAATTTATTGATATTATTATTTCTCCTCCTTAGTCCTCTGTTCATCATGAATGATTAATTTAATAATTTCACTTGCTCCTTAATTATCACCTGATTTTGCTTTTTCTTAACCTTGTCTTAATTGATTTATTATATCCTAAAATTAATGTAGACTATTTACTTATTAATCTGGAAAAATGTGTTCCATATTGATAAGAATCATAATTACAATTTATTAAGTGAGTTCAGCTTATATTTAAGTTTAGTTTTACTATTTCATCTACTGTTATACAATCCTGTAATAAAAATTTATAATACTGCTGCATATATTGATTCTGGAAATAAGGATTAATTTAATTAAGTTCCTATTCACCATGAGCAAATGTGCATGTAACTCCATTTTTGCATATTCCTGTTTATGGATTAAAATGCTTACATAATTATGCTATGAAATGATTAATCTTAATAATACTCTTATAATTTGCAATCATTGGATTAATTGGCTAGATCTTAACAGGAAGAGTTCCTTATTATTGTTATGGCATCATGAAATCAGAATTAGGTTGAAATACATTAGCATTTGCTCTAAGTTCTTATCTTCCATGAGCAAATTAACATCTTGCTCCTAATGCACAATTTCCATTTGTTACTAACATTTAAACCATGATTTACTGAAATGTCTGCAGAGCTATGTTTTGTACTTTTAGTTTGGAAATTGAACTTGATTAACTTACATTATTATATTATTATTTCAATATATAAAGCATAAAATAAAATATAACTAAAATTATTTAACAAATCATGAAATATCAATCTATTTCTAGATGGAATACAATAGTTTTAAGATAAAAAATAAAATTAAATACAAAATTTTGATATCATTCTTCATCAGGAGATGAGTCATCAGGCTTTTAGAATAGTCAGAAATCTAATTAGGGTCTACGGAGTATAATAATATAAAATAAAAAATTGAGCATTAAATTTGAAAAGGGATTTAAAAATTTTTTAAAGATTTTTTTATATAACAAATGTCCCACAGAAAGTTTGAGGCACCTAGACATGGAAATCTCGGATTTACTCCAAGAAAGAGAACAAAGCATCACAGAGGAAGAATCCGAGCATTCCCTAAAGATAATGTCAAGGCTTCAGTCCATTTGACAGCATTTGCAGGATTCAAGGCTGGTATGACCCACATCTTGAGAACTGTTGAAAGACCAGGATCAAAATTGAATGGTAAGGAAGCTGTTGAAGCTGTCACCATCGTTGAAACTCCACCTTTGGCTGTTGTTGGTATTGTTGGATATATCGAAACACCAAGAGGATTAAGAGCTTTAACAACAGTTTGGAGTACTAAGATTGCCAAGGACACTTTAAGAAGATTCTATAAGAATTGGATGAATTCAAAGAAGAAGGCTTTCACTAATTACAATAAGGCTAATGCTGAGACAAAAAATTTGGAAACCTAATTAAAGAGAATTGTTAAGTAAAAAAATATATTAAATTATTTAGATATTGCTAAGTTGTTAGAGTAATTGCACATACTTAAATGAGCAAATTAAACTTGAGATAAAAAAAGAATCACGTTTTTGAAATTCAAGTTAATGGAGGTACCACAGAATAAAAAGTCACTTATGCCAAAGGATTGTTAGAAAAGGAAGTTAAAGTAGATTAAGTTTTCAAATAAAACGAATAAATTGATGTTATTGGTGTCACAAAAGGTAAGGGAGTTGCTGGTGTCATCAAGAGATTTGGTGTTAAACATTTACAAAAGAAAACCCATAGAGGTTGGAGAAGAGTTGGTTGTATCGGAGGATGGCATCCAGCTAATGTCAGATACAGTGTTGCAAGAACAGGTCAATTGGGTTACCATCACAGAACTGAAATGAATAAGAAGATCTACAGAATTGGTGCTGCAGGAGATAAGAACACTGCATCAACTGAAGCAGATTTGACTTCAAAAGCAATCACTCCATTGGGTGGTTTCCCACATTATGGTGAAATCAGAAATGATTTCCTCATGCTCAAGGGAGGTATTGTTGGACCCAAGAAGAGAATAGTCTTATTAAGAAAATCTCTAGTTCCATAAACTAATAGAAAAGCTTTGGAAGAAATTACTCTCAAATTTGTTGATACTTCATCTAAAATTGGACATGGTAATATTTTTGTCTATTTTTTTAGGACGTTTCTAAACCCAAGAAGAAAAAGCCAAATTCTATTTTACTAGAACCTAAAGAAAATTAAAACAATAGTAATAATAATAGTAATAATAATAATGATGTATAATTAACCTCATTTAAGGACAATATTAACAAGAAAATTTAATATATAATTAATTCCTTAATGCAATTATACTTATGTAATAAATCAGAACCTCAATTTTGAAAATAAGAATCTTGATTATGCCTTCTTATCAGCCAAACTTCCAGCTGGTAATGTTCTGTATTTCTCAGCCAAATATTTTCTCAAATTCTTTCTTAAGTCTTTTCTCTTTTCAACATTCTTCAATTCAGACTCTTTCACTCTTTCAATTCTATCTCTAACTTCTTTCAAAGTTGATTCTTCTAATCTATATCTATAATAATTATAAAACCATTATTAACCTTGTTGGCATAATGTGATTCAGATTTAATTGCTTTATGAAAACCTTTAAAGTTGTTCTCTTTCTAATTTATTTTTAGCCCATTCTCTTTGTAACTTTTCTGGGGTATCTTTAAATTCCAACAACCAAACCATTTGGGAATTTGCAATCCTAAAAAATTTCTATTTTATATACTTTTGTTGTTTCCTCATTTGCTTTTATTAAAATAGCTTTTTTTCCTGCATATCTGCCTGCCAACATAACTATTAAACGTCCTGGTTTTAAGCTTAAAATAGGTTTAATTCTTACAATTTTCCCATTTCAAAACACTAAATAAATCTTTTAATTATTTAATATATATTTTCCACTAGTTAATCATTTCATTCTCTTTCCTTCCTACAATATACAAGGACAAATATTTTCTTTAGAAATGAAATTAAAACCATTTTTAAACTAAATCAATTATACCAATATATTAAAAGAAATGAAGACTGTATGACAAAATATCGATGATATTTTTAAATTTATAACTACTTGTATAATATTGCTTATTTACATGATGTTTTTTCATGAAAATTTTCAGAATTGGTGAAAAAAATTCCAAAAATACTATTTGAATAATTATGCCATTTTTATTATTGAAATAGTTTTTTGCAATATAATCAACCAAACTTATCTCTTACTTTTTTACTCCATCTAGATTTTAGCAATTTATTACTATTATATTTTTTGTAAAATCGAAAATACTATTATTTTTACTCCTTTTCCCCAAAATCCTTATGCATTTTTTTTTTTTTTTTTTTTCTTTCATCTTAAAGTATTCTCCTTTAGTTTTTCTTGTATAAAACTCCTTCAGCATCAATTTTAGTAGATGTTCTAATAACATATACTTGATCAACTCTTTTAAAAGGAGCACCATCAATTTTGAATGATTGCTGTAAAGAAAAAGCTCTTTTTCCTTGAATATATCTGAGAATTAAATTAAGACTTTCAAACATCAATTTTACCTAATTTTGAAGGTTTTTTAGTCGAGAACAATAATAATATTTTTTGTTTTTATTATATCATATCATAGATATCATTGAAATCATATTTTATTATCAATCTATTTTTAATTAATTTATATTTTCAAAGAATAATAAGAAAATTAGCGATAACTTCCTCTTCACTCCATAAAAAATAAAATCACCATTGATAATTATAATTTATCTAAATTTTTTTTTTAATATTCATTATAATAACATATAATATTTATATAGATTGAGTAATATTGAAAATTTAGCGTAGATCATAATAAAATAATTAATTATAACAAGTTCTTTTTACTCATTCTTTGGTTGAAGCTAAGTTAATATTGGTTTGTTTTGGCTTTTTCTGTGTTAAATGTTAAATTTTGAATATAGATGCACGAGGAATAGATATTTTTTGACTTGATTTATAATAAAACATATACTAGGATAATAAGAACTTTTACTTACGACAATTGAATTTATTCCTAACTTTTTCTTCTGTTATCGGTCAAAATAGGACAAGTATTTAAACCAGTAAGTAATTGAGTGTCACTACTTTTATTAGACATCACTTATAGATCTTCAAAATCTTCAAATTACTCTTCATCACCATTTGAAAGTGGGCTGATACTTTATTTTGAGTAATAAGAATGAACATCTTGAAGTTTTCTTGTTGGCGTAATTGGCAAAAGGATAGGTGTTAATTGGTATTTTTTTGTCTCTTAGATAGGTTTATCAGGAGATGATTCTTCACTAAACATGAGAAAATATGTATTACATAGTTTCATCTAGTTGTGTAAATTACATATTTGAATATTATTAATCATTTTCTTTTTCTTGTATTTTTTAAAATACTTAAACATATCAAAAAAAATAAAAATATCCAGGTATAACCTTAAAATAATCAATAATCATAATTAAAAATTAATATTGAGTAAATTTAAGGAGGAAATTCAGAAATGTTCTTTAGACTCATTTATTTTTGAACTTTATTCTTTGTTCCATTATTACAGGAAAAAAATAATCTTATTGTATAAAGATTCTATGTTTTTACTAAAACTAATTTAGAACATCTAAAAATAAATGTAGTTTATCATTATTCAATAGAAACCTACTTATTTTTTTTAATAAATAAAAAAACCTTTTTTATTGAATGTTTGTTTCTTATTATTTATTTTTCTAAATTTTGCTATTTTTATTATAAAATTATGATCTCGTGTGATAATTAAAAAAAAAATATTCTTAAAATACTTATTAATTATTATTTGATTTAAAGAATTTCATAAATTGATAGTATAATTTTAGATTTAGCATTTGATTAATAAATTAAGATATCAATATAAATTCTTTAATTTAATAATTTTTACTTCTAAACAATTAAATAATCTTCTGAGATACTAGGATAATTTTTAACATAATTTACGAGCATTAATATTTATTGATTTGTTTTATATAAATACAATAAATAAGTGTTTATTAATTTTGTTATTCTGAAGATAAAAATTTCCATTCATTTAATCAATTAATAATTTAGATTATTAAATTTATTAGGAAAGATTATAGTTTCTAAAAATATTGTTTTTTATTTAATTTATAAAAATTAATTCATTATAAATATATCAAGAGTTCATTAAAAGATATAATCCTAATTTTTAGATTTTAGGTGCTTTTTCTTTAACATATTAAATTTTATTCATATCCATTTAATAATTATTAATTTCAATTTTAGATGTTACATTTTTAGTTTATTTTCTTTTAAAATTGCGAGTAATAAGCCCTTTTGTGAATTACTTATCTTCTTACCTAATATCTTATATAGGATGATCGAGATTGCATTAATATACCTTTTTATCAAATTCAGATTAAAATGATTTTAGAAATTTAAGAAATTGAGTTTCATTCATAAATTCACATCTTCTTTTTAATTGATTCTCAATTTCAACTGGATCAAAACTACAAATCAACTTACTTTATTTTTTTTAAGGAGACCCTACTTCTTCTTCTTTATCTCCATTTTGATTTTGTTAAGGTTGATTATTGTAATGTTAATCTTAAAATTTCAAATGTACAATTTTTTAGATTTCTTAATCTTTTTATTTTAATTTTAATTTATGTTCACTTAAATAATCCATTTCATAATAACAACTATTAACAATATTATATCTGAAATCTATCTTTTCTTCATAATTTCTTTAAATATTTTAAATTTAATCTTATCTTTCATTATCTAAAGAATAACAATTATTTTACATAATGAAACTTAATATTTAACATCTTGGTCATGTTGATGACTCAATTCACCAATGAGTTATTCAATAATTTATTTTTTTTATGGAAGAGACATATCATCAGGTATTTTATACTATTCCATTAATTCTCTTTCTAATTTCATTCTCTCAATTTATTTCTAATACTCAATTTACTTTTATTTTTCTTTCTCTTATTGTTCTGCTTTTCTTGGCTAATTATAAATAAAATAAAGAATAATACATCCATTGGAGATACTTATGCAGAAGATTTTCTTCTTTATTATTAAATTTATATAGAAGGTGGTTATAATTTCTATTATACTTTCTTAGGTTTCAATCTGCTTGTTCTTTCTGGCTCTTAGGAAGATTCATTTGTATATTCTTTTTCATAATAGCTATCTTCTGATTTCTATTTTTATATGGAAATCTTTGTTTGAGAATATTCATTTGATAATTAAGGTCTTTTATTTTAATTAGATTATTTCTTCCTTTTTTACACTTAATTATTTTGGATACTACTATTATTGCTAGGTTAAGCATTATATACAGATCCAACAGGAGTATTTGGTGTAACAGATTTGGCAACACTCCTGGAAGAGGATTAAGGATGAAATGAATTATCACCAATCTTAAGATGAATCCTATCTTAAGTTTAAAATAATATAGTTTAATGTTATCTCATAGAACCATCTAATGATTCTTCTTCTATTATATTTTCTCTATTATCACATCTACTTACTTAAATATTTATTTAATTATTATTATTATCATTTTCATAATTATTTAATGAAGATGAACTTCCAGTCTATTCTAAATTATTTATTGTATATTAATATCTATCCTCTTCAATCTTTTCAAATCTGTTATCATTTTTAAATACTCTCTCTTATGAGTATCTTCGTTTATTCTCTTCATCTTATTAATCATATTCATTTTCATTTCCTTAAACATTGTGAGATTTCATTCTTTTAGACCCTCTCTTAAATGAAACTGTTAATTAATTTTTATGCTATTTTTAATCAGTTTCTGAATTATTACTAACTGAGTTTCTTTAATCTATCTTATCTTTCTGAGTTGAAGTTAATGTTTTTGAAGATAAAGGAGGAATTAATGAATTAATTTCTTATTAATCTATAGTTTGTCTCTTAGACTAAAAAGAATGCTCGCTTTTGTTCTAAACATTTGAATCTGGTCTATAATGAACTTCTTATCTAGTTTCTTTTGGTAGTGATGATTAAGGGGAATGCTTTATAACCATACCTTCTATGTAATCTGTTTTAACAAATTAAGGACTTTCTAATTATCTTTCATCCAACTCTTTTCTGTTCACTCTTTATGAATTATTGATATTACCACAAAAACTAGTTTCTGTAGTTATTTTCTATTCCACTTAATTTTTTACTAAATCTCCTATAGATTTTTAATAATCCACTAAAGAATTTTCAGGTTTATGCTATTAATTTTTCTTTTGTTTAAATTCCTTTTATGATTATTTCTATTTATGAGTTTGTTTTTAAGATTTAACTATAACTAATTATTTTTCATTTCTATTTCCATTATTTGTTTGTTAATTAATATTATTTGGTTTTTAATCAAATGATTATGGGATTTTAGATTTTGAGACTGGTGTTAAAGTTTATCTTTTTTGATTGTTATCTGGCTAAGTCATTAAATATGCCTATTAAGGATAATTACCTTTAATTTATTTTAATAGAACATCTGATTATTTTCTAGATGTTAAAGTTTATTGTTAATTGCATTCTTATTAATTATTAAAAGTTGCAGAATAATTTTATACTTATCCATTTGATATTTCAGAAGTGAAGTTTGTATTTAATCCATACCTAAGCTTTTCACTTGGAATCAAACAGGATTATTATGATTCCATTTTAATTTATGATAAAGAATGATCTGATTCTTCTTAAGTCAACAAATTATAATTTAATTTTTCATTTCTTGCTGTTGATAAATTATCTTATTTTAACAATTAATCTTATGTATTATCACGACTAGTTTGAATTGTTTTAAAATCTTTAATCTCTTTTTTATTAGAAGTAATCTAAGACAATCTGAAATTTCTTTTATTTTTTTCTGTTTTAGTAGCTTCTTCTAAAATTTATTAATCTAAAATTTCCTTATCACTAAATTCATATGTTTAATGTTCTTTTAAATTACTATCTTTATGTGCCAATAGAGCTCCACTTTTATTTGAAATATTAATGGATCCTCTATAACCTAAATGACGAGTTGATGATATTGTTTTTATTTCATAACTTACTTCTTACATCTTTTATTATGATTGTTAATGCTTAGCCAAGTTTATTTAAATTGCTTAATATGTTTTATTGAAAACAGGTAATACTTTTGCTTTTTTTTTATATTTTTATGTCATCAAATCAATGAATTAGGCTTAATCAACAAAAGATATCAATCCTATTTTTCCTAATTAAACTCTTTCAATTATATTTGCAAGAAACATATCCTCTCTCTAATTCTATCGATTATCTCCAAATTATAGATTAAGTGATTTCATAATAATTTTAATTATAATTGATATGAATATTTTATTCATTTAACATCACATTCAATTATTTTGTTACATTTTTTTTGAAGAAATAATAAAAAATCAGAATATATTTTTAAAAATATATATGCAAAAAAAGATGAAGCGAATTATTAATTGAATTTGTTTTAATTATTTTTATATGAAATATTTGAATAGAAGAAATATTAAAAGTATATAAATAATATTGTTATTTATTTACTTTAAATTATGTATTAAGAATGAATCTGTATAATAAAGATTCATTATTTAAAAGGAGATTATGTATCTGATTCCTAAATAACCTTTGTTAAATTTATTATTTAATATATTTTTCATTTTCAAATTATTTTAATTATAATATAATTAGTATTTATATGATTTTTTAATACATTAACAACACTCAAATATTATATTAGTTATACAAGCTGAAAATTCTTATTTAATTATTGGAAACCCTAAAGTTTATAAATATAGCAACATAGTTGTATTCTTTTTCAATTTCCAAACTTCTAAAACAAAACCAGTTGAAAATTATAATTAACATCTAATGAAGTTTGCTTCATATAAAATAAGTTCATTTAACAATCAGAATCCTTGAACATTAAACATAAATTATCTTAGAGACATAGCACTTCAGGTAAATTTGAATATGAAATGATTAAGTAATGTTAATAGTGTATCATAAAATATACATAAGGAATAATCAAAAAATATGGGAAAGTTACTTAAATTTCCTTCTTTTATATAGGTCATTTGAAGAAAGGTTAAGTTTAGGTACTGAATTTAAGTAATATCCTCTTCTTTGATTAATTGATGTAATGATGACTTGTTTCTTCAGAGTATTACTTTCAAGTAGCATATTTGATTGGCTTTATATAAGATTCTCATCTTTAATATTACATTGTTTATTCATCTTCAATTTTAAGTTTGAACAACCCATTTGATTAAATATTATTTATATTATCAATGATTTAATATAATATATATTATGTTATACAAATGACAAGGAATAATATATCATATAAAATTATGAAAAAAATAAATAAAATTTTAGTTACGTAATTTTATAAAATCTGGTGTGTGTACTTGCTAAAAATTAAACAAACTAATTGTAAGAAATAAAGAACCAGTAATTTATCAGTCTATTTTAATTCCATTTAAATGTGGTAAAATGAATTGCGATTATAATATAATTTAGATTATAATTCAATTAAATCATCATTATGAAAATAATATTAAAATAAATAAATATTAAAAAATTTATATATATTATTCATATTTTTCTCTTCAATATAATTTTCTGTTTATCTTTTTCTTCTTTTCGAGTCGAAGGGATTTCAGAAATAACTTCAGGAAACACTTTACTTAAATTCTCTGATGAATCTAAAGAATTTTATTATAAATTTATCAATCCTTTATAATTCGAATTTGGTCTTTTGAGTAATTTTACATCATCTTTACCATCTCTATCTGGACTATTCACATCTCTATGTTAATCTATAGAATTTCCTTATTTAATTTCTAGATCCTTTTCTGATAAATCTGAGAAACCTGAAGTAGATTTCTTTCTTTTTTATATTATTAGAGGAGCATTTTTATCTAATCTTTTTCTTTTTATACCTTCTCTAGTCTCATATCTAAGAATTGCCCAATAATTAATAACTTTTTCTTTCATTTCTTTTTTATTTATTAATAACTTTTTTAGGCATGGATATTAAAATTCTATATTTGGAAACATTTATTTAAATTTGGTTCTCAAAATATCTAATTTATCATCAAATTAATTTATATAGCCTTCAAATAAATGATAGAGAATTAAAACTATTAAAAGTGAATTAATAATAGCAATTATTAAAAACATAATGTATTATAGATAATCTAAGTTTTCATTTTGACTAGCATAAATTAGAACACCTAAACACAATGAACAAGAACAAACTGCTGTGGACATTTAGTCTATAAAGTTTAATTTTTTTTATTTATAAGGAATAAATGCAAATGAAAAAGCTCCATATAGAAATACGATAAGAAATATTATTAATCCCTTAATAACTATTTTGTTTTCATAATATGTTAAGGAAATGATAACAAGTTCTTTTTCGAAGATTTTAACGAATTCCCATAAATATGCTTAATTTGTATATTCATGATAGAAGAATCCCCATCTTTTTCGTATTTCCATACTATCTAATTAATTCTTATTTCTTCTGATAAGATGCATAAAGGTTAATGGTAATATAATACTCCAAAGTAATAGATTTGGACCAATAAATATATATATATAATATTGGTGCATATCAGTATAATATTAATAACTAACATTACTTTAAACCCATTCTATTCCACTAATAGATCTAGAACTCAATAATGATATGAACCCTCCAACTAAAGTAGGTTACAAATAGATGAACATATAAATAAATGTTGTGTAGATGATTCCTATTTTAAATGGTGCAATCTTCATTAATACTCCTGTAAAATATCCAATAAAGAATAAAATCATATAAAATAAAGGCATTAATAATGCCCATGCCATTCTAAAGTATAATAAATCTATTGTTGCAAAAGTAACTAAAAAACAATCTAAAGAATATGCCATAGATTGAGTTGGATTTCCCAAAACTTCCATAGATGAAACAAATGCAGTAGGTATAGAGATTCTAAATGTAGTTAAAGCTGCAATGATTTATAAATAATTAGTTAATTATTTCATAATAATAGATGCATTATCTATATAATATATTAATATTACTTTATTAAATATTTATTCTAGCTCCAATAGATTACAAAACTTACTGATGAATTAAATTTTCTATAAATGAATAATTACCTTTAACTGACAAAATCATAGTGACAAGAGTGAAGATTGAAATACCAATAATGATAAGTATATTTTATTCAAGAGTGTCAGAACAAGCACCACAAGTGTATTTTTTGCTTACTGAATATTGAGGACCTCTTATTCCATAAATGTCACATTATTCACACAAAGCTCCAATATGACCATCATAGCAGGAAGTATCACCTGGAACCCAACCTCCAAGACAATTAGATGGCAAATTATAACATTCTTCAATATTATCGTTTTTTGGAAAAGGTCTCCAATATTGTTCTTTTAATTTAATTCTAACAGGAGTTACCTTATCCATTTAAATAGAATTAATGCCTTTACATTGTACACTATTTTCTTGAACAGAATATGTATTTTCTTAGCTACATGAAGTACATTTTTAATCTAGGTATGCTTCTCCAATTTAACAAGGAATAGTTCTCACATTTAAATATAGAGCATAATTTTTATTATAAGAAAGTACATTATAAGGAGGCTATTGATTATAAATTGGAATCTTAATGGAAGTACATTAGACTAATATAGATTATAATGAATTTACATTTGAGTTATAAAAAGATTTATTCTTGTAAGTATGGATCAAAATATATTAATAAGTTATCAAAATTAAATGAGTTACTGGATATATCAAATTAGATAATTGATTAGGAAGTGAAATTCATCAAAAACTATTTAGTATAATCTAAATTTAATTCATCCATCAATCGACCTGAAATTGTGCATGTTTCTGTTTATGAAATAGATTTAATTATATTTAGATTCTTATCTAAATTATATATTCTAAATATCCAATTATAAGGTATTTATTCTTAAGTATCTTCATAATAATATTTGTATTATGATATCTATTAACCAGAAGGTAATAATAAGTAATTACTATCTAAATTGGGTAATTTGGTTGACTTAACACTTACAATATCTATAATTTAGACATTTGAATTATCAATTATATTATCATCATTCAAATCTCCATCATTATCTTAGAATGCAGATATTGTCATTAATTAACCATCTTACATCATCAGTCCTAACTTTTCTGGTATCTGTTCTATTTATGTATTAGTGTTATGATGAATGAAAATTTATGAATTTTCTAGATTATTTAAATTATTATTCATCATATAAATAGCACTACCTAATTGAGCATCATTATTAATGAAGTTATTGTTAAATTGATCTAAAACATTTTAATTTTCTGAATTATAAACAAATGCTATTCCTCCACCTATCAATGTTGCCTTATTATCCATAAATTAAGTATCAATTACTTTAATACTCAATCCAACAATAGATATTGCAGATCCTATTTAAGCAGAATTACTTTAAAATAAGCTTTACTAAAGTTTAATGTTATATTTTTAAATAGAAGTTGTACTCTATAAGAGTCTATTACTATAAGTAATATTAAATTCAGGTATTGATTAAGTAGTTAGAACTAAACAACCAAAGTAACCAATTATGTTATTTTAACAAGTAATTCCAAATATATTAGTTGTATTGTAAGCCTATTAATCATAATTATTAATTAGAATAAGGCCTTAATTACATCTATTACATAAATTATTTTTAATAGTAATTGAAATCATATTGATATAATTATTAGATTTAACATTACTTAATTTAATAAAATGAGGATTACTTTCAATTTAATAAGTAGATTATAAATTTGTAAAATAACATAAACTAAAATCTTTTTATTTTATTATATTATTTATCATTAGTATATTTGATGATGAATAATAAGATTTAATCTCTCTAAATGTATTCAATTTAATTTCATTCAAATAATATTTATCTGAATAAGATAATTAATCATAATAATTGTACAATGTTGTATTATCCAATTTAGTTTATGATATTTATCTATAATCATATATATCCTAATAAAATTATCTTAAATCTTCTTATTCTTAACAAGTTTAAGTATTAGCAAGTTCAAACATTGAAGTAATTGATTAACATTAACTATTAAATTTGTATTTAAATTATTCTAATGTCAATACTTGTTATTCAGTAATATTGGTCATAATTATATTTTATAATTCTACTGTCGACTATTTGGTATAATGAGTAATCTCTATTAAAGATTATGAAAAGATTGTAATATCTTTAATTGTTAAATCTTGTAGAATGACTTAAAACATATTAGTAAGGACCATCAAACCTTGAATCTATATATGCATAAACTAACTTGATTGAATTTCTAAAATACCATAATTCTATCTTATTAAGCTTATCCCAGTAATGATTTATTACTCTTCTTCAAAACTAATATCAACTAATTATTTTAGAAATCCTTCAAAATTATTATTGATAATATTTGTATTACTAATACTTAATATTGGCAACACTAATGAAGACACTGAAAATTAAATATCTATTAAAGAACTCTATAAGGATGAACATTCAATAAATTAACTATCATTAATGTAGATTGATTGTTCGTACATAGATGTTTAAATATATATACATCCTCCAGCTACTCTTGATATACTATGATTCATAGTGACCCTATTTAATTTAATATTATAATTAGATTTCTATAAGTTTAGATATAATGATCCTCCATATGCCTAATCAACATATTCTAATGATGTTGTTAGATTTGTAAATTATGTATTGTTTATAATAATAGATGCTATATCTTAACCTAAAAAATAGAAAGCTGTTCCCATAAGAGATTTTCCATTCATAAATTGAATTTAATCTAGTTCTAATTTTTTACATTAAATGTATATATTTGAACCCTCTGATTCTATAAAAAATTCTCCTAATAATTAAGAATAATTATTCACTTAATATTCATCTAATCTATCTAGCCAATTTGATTCCATCATATTTGTATAATTAAATAAAGATGATGATAATTTTAATGATTAACATTTTATTATATTTATGCCATATTATGATTAAGTTGCTCTATTATTTTAAGCAATTAAATTTTAAATGTTTACTATTCCATTTGGACTTAGAATAGTAAAACATGTAGATATTTCCATTGTAACAGATTCGACTAATTGATGCAAATGATTACCAATCAATTAAATATTATCTATAAGTATAGTTTAAATTTAATCAGATTCAATAATGACACTACCAATATTAGTGACTGGATTTGAAACTGCAATAGATGTATTAAATATATTGATATTTTCTAAGATTATGATTTCATTTGTGTAACCATAATAAAATTCAGAAACATTATTAGTTCCACTTTAACTAATTAAATTACTAGTTTATTTCATTAGAGACTCATATGATTAAATATAAATAAATCCATTATCAATTCCTAACAATCCTTTAAGTGAAGCATCAGATATTTTGACTCCATATAAGAAATCCTAAACATCTAAACAATATCCATTATAACTACCAAATGATTGTTTTTCATATGAACAACTAGTATTACTAGGTAATTTATTATTAAAAGGATATTGTATAATTGTTTTATTAGCTATTTTAGTACGAGGACTAGTGTCTTTCATACCAATAATATTATTTGAATAATCACATAAGAATTTAGACACTTCCAAAGATGCTATATCTTATAAGGATATCACAGTAATAGATAATTAAGTATCTATTACAATGTTAGTTAATTAGACTCTATTCATTTCAGTTATTCTAATAATTGCAGAAGAAACTGATAATCTTTGAATTAATGAGAGTTCTACATAATTATTATATATGTAAATATTCTTCATAATTAAATTTGAATATATTTCTTCAGAATTATATGGTGTTTATAGGAGCATCAAACAATTTATATTGTAACAAGTATTTTCCACAAATTTTAGATTCTATAATTCAAATGGTTAATTTTTAATTAATTAATAAAATTATTATGAATCTGGAACTTAATCAGCAGTTGTAAATATAAGTGAATTATTAGTAAAGACATTCATATAAATATAAACATTTTAGATAGAGTAAGTATTACATATAAATAATTCGCTATCGTTAAATCTATTTCCTATTATATCTAATTAATTAATAGATAATGCTGTAATGTAACTAGATTTAATTATACTAGATGATTCATAAAATTATGTCTATTTGATAATTAATTAATTAATAGAAAACATTGAAACAAATATTTAATATTATTTTTGATTTATAAATAATGATGTTCCATTAAATGTGCAATCTGAAATAACTAAATTGTTTATACTTACAATGCTAAAAGGTGTTAATGGAAAAATAGTATTATTAATAAATTTATTATTAGATAAATAGAGATTTGTAAATTCATACTTATAATTCTCAATCTTTTCTTAATTGATATTAATTTAATCTACATATAATAAGTTTTTTATGTAAACATCTTTTAACTCTAAAAAATTAATGTCTTCTAATTTTAAAGTAAATACTTAATAATCATACGATTTTTAAAATTCATATCCCAATTTACAATATTCTAACTACAAATAAGTTGATAAAATGTTATTAGTTATTATTAATCCAAAGTTATTCTATAGATTTGAATAGATATTAATATTTTTGATCATTATAAAAGGGAAATCTTATAAATAGAAATTATCAGTGATTTTAAATGTTATTGGTACATTATGAGCACTCTGAATATTAACTTAGAATTTTGTTAAAGCATATACATTTTTATGGAATTCTGTTATTAATTATGTTGACTTTTTAAATGTGCATTAGTAATCTTTAGAATTTGTAAATAATATGTTTAGAGTCAATTATTCTAATGGGGCTTAATTCATAATTTAATATAATTGAAAAGTCTCCAAATCTGTAAATTCAATTGAAGCAACATCTTCCATATCTATATAATAATAATCATTTAAGTTATAATGATATAATTTTTCATCATCAGTTAAGGTTTGATAAATAGAATAGTATTCTTCTTCATTACAATATACATGAACAGTAATTTGAGCAGTGTGTCTACATCTTTTAGTATTTGTTGGAACAGCTGATTAATAGATACATAAAATAGGTAGATTTAAATAAGAATTATATTAAATACTTTAAAGATTAGACATAGTCATAGTCTATACTTTATAACATAATCTACCATATTAAAGTAAATTGGAATTATCTGGATTAAAATAATAGTTTGTTATTTCATATTATAATCTTTCTCTACAAGCTAAACAATTCAATGGACATTCGATACATTCAGATTTATCATAAACTAAAGATCTATCATTGAATGTGTCATAACATTCCCCACAAAAAGCATATGTTGATTTAAAAACACAACTATTAATTGAGTCATCACTTACAATTTGATTCTCAACTTAACAATTACTACTGCAACCTAAACATTCATTTCCATATAATTAATAACCAAATTTACATGATGTACATTAAACATTAATAGGAATGTCATTTAAGAAAGTTTCTTTTAATGAATTATTAATTGGTTCCATTTTCAATAAATAATCAGTAAAGTTATAAGTCTAAGAATATTACCAACATGTTTAACAATTATTAGGACAAGCATCACAAAAACCAGTAAATATATTTGGATAATATCCATTACTACATTAAATACATTAATATAATGTTTAAGCAGCCCTTGTAAATATTTAACCTGAACCATCCGTATATTTTGTTTGATCCAAACTTTTATAAGAAAAGCAATTTGAACAATAACTAATATAAGATGTACAAGAACTAGAACAAATATTATTGAATTAATCTAGTATTACATTATTGACACATTGTCTACATTTCAAAGTGACATCTGTATATTTTCTATCACATTAATCTAGAGCTGGTTCTGCTAATATACAACTTTATTTATCACCACTAACTCTATAACCACTTATGCATTTGAAACATAATAAATTAGATACAAGATCATCAACTTTACTAGGTTCAAAATCATAATCCATTGTTGTTACATCCCCTCTAATATTGTAATAACATAAATCACATTTTGGTATTTAACATGTTACACAATCTATACCATTATGACTTACAAAACTTTAAGTTGAACATTATCTACACCTTTTAATATATAAATTTTATTTGCTAATATCTTCAATCTTAATCATTGTCCTTGTAGGATAATGATATTAAACATTTGAAGTATAAGATACATATTCACATCTCTTACATTCAGTACCACAATCTAAACACATTTTTTAATCTAAAGAAGCAACCATTCCTTCTATACATTTTGTGCATACTGTCTATAATTATATTACAAAACAATTTAAACAACCCTCTTCACATTTTTTACATAAACCATAATTTATCATATATCCATCATTACACTATGTACATTATCCATTTGAACACTTTAAACAATCTGGTGGACAACTAATACACAACTGATTTTTATATTCATAAGTTAATAAACATTCTATCCCAATTACACCACTATCCTCGGCATAAGGTGAACTAATACTATTACAATTTTCACTTATCCCCGGAATACAAAATCTCTTACAACCTGAACATATGTAAGTTTCATATTAATATTAAACCTATATATATACTTATATAACACATTTACATCTCTTGTAATTGAATCCAAATTAACTCCACTTGAAGTTGAAGGACCAATAAAATACAATTCAGTGTATTCCTTTGTTTTATGAATATATGTTCCCTTCATATAATCACCACTCTCTATCGAATATTCATAAGAACAAGTTCTATTACTCCACCAAGTATAAGGATGCTCTACACAATCCATACAATATAAAGTGAAGCTATCAATGACTTTTTAATAAGGGCTATATAGATCTCTGTTCTTACCATGGTACACATGACAATCCATTTTATAGGAAGTATCCATACTCACATTTTATCTAATAGTTCTAACAATCAAATTATCCTAATGGGCATAATTCTTAACAAGCTCCGTTTTAATATGTTTTACATCCCATTTCTATCTGTTATCTATTGAATAAATATTTAAACTTACAAGATGATTTGGTTTCTTGCTGTAGGTACAAACTAAATTATGGTAATAGTAAAAAGAAGTAACATTAATATTATTTAAAAATTTATTTGTTTATTCATTCTTTTTATGTTTAAAATACTAAATCATTTATGTAACTATTTAAATATGATCAACCAAATATCAATTCTACATTAAAATTAACATTATTTTTTTTCTAAAATTCTTGAAATAACAATACAAAATTTGTTCATAATATGACTCATTTATTATTATTTCTTAATTAATTTTTGTTGTTATCTAATTTCTCTTATTGATTATAAAAAATTATGAAATATAACTTATTTTTTTTTCATGTGTATAAAATTTTATTTTAGATTATTTATATAATAGATATAAACATAAATCACATAGAATTAACGGTTTATTTGAAAATTCCATTTGTTTAGAACTTTTAATATCATAACATAATAATATATTTTCATTTTTTAAATATGATAAAGACTATATAATTTAATCTGATAATTAATGAGTTAAAATAATAAAATAAGAGAATTAACATGTTATTTTTCATATTTGAGTTAATTCCTCGACAAAATCTTTTAATAAACCTTTCAAATCCTCATTAATTTATTTAACCAATTTTATTAAAGTTTCATTAGTTTTAGAAATAACAAATTATAATCTTCCTTCTTCTAAATCATTCTTTTGTATTTCTAATCTATAAATTAATATTAATAATCCATACTTATTTGAAATTTTTTCCTCTCTTAATCTTTTCTTTTCAGCAAACCATTTGTAAATTTGTTTCTATATTTATTCATAACTATATGTCAAACTATTTAATTAAAATTCAATTTGTGTAATTTAACTCAGAATTAGATTTTAATGTTTGAAATCTAAATATAAATATTAAAATAATTACAATTAGCTTAAAATAATCTCTATGTATCTTAGACCTAACGTATATTTTCATCAGATATAATTTATGTTGTTGATAATTAATTACTAGATGAGAATTTATCAATTGGATCATAAAATTAATTTAAACACTATTTGAATTTACTTAGTTCTTATTTTTTATTCTATAAATTTTTGTAATGATTTTAAACTTATCGATATTCTTCTTAAAATTTTGCTTCAATTTCTTTTTCACCTTTAAAATAATCAATAAGATCTAATAATGATTTTCCTATTATAATTTCCTTCAATTTCTATTTTCTAGTGAATTCATCAGGATCTGGTAAAAATGTATCTTCATCTAAATTGTCTGCTTTTGAGAACTTAATTTCTTTTAAGATTTAATCAAATTTCTTATCAATACTTAAAAATGACAATAATATGGAATCATCTTTATACTTTGTTAAAGATTACAAAAATAATTATAATTGTTCTTACCTCTAAGATATGAATTGACAATTTTCTACAACCATATTCTTTAAACTAGCAATGACACCTTCTTTTTCTGGTAAGCTAGGAATTATATCTCCCAATTTAGATTTAGTAAAATATTATTAGAGCATCTTAAAATCTGTATATCTTCTCTAAACTTAAAATTTAGAATATTATCTATTAAATGGGTCAGTACAAATTTCTGAACAGACTGTATATGTATAATAAGTTTATAAAAAGGGCCCCTCTTTATATGATTAATAACTTGGAATCCATACATAGATATCTTTTGATTAGTCTTGATTTAAATATTATGAATCATCATCTTCATTAATTTCAATAATATCAGGTAAATTTTCTTTAATATCATTAGGTTTAACATTTACTTCTTACTTCTACGTCTAATTAATGTCTTACAACAACTAATTAGATTAGATTGAATCTACATTAGAAATTTGCTATTATTTACTATTTTTATTATAATCTATATCTATAACACCAAATTCAGTAATTAGATGTTCTTCACTTTTCATCAATTAAGCATTGCTTTCTAAATTTACTTTAAGAATTTATTGTTCAAATATAAAATTTTGATTTATATTGGTTTCTATTTTAGGTTAAAATATTTGGCCAAATTATTAAATTTCATCTACAATTTTGTTTTATATTTCTATATTTCCTTCATCTCTTTATATTTATTTAGTTTCTTTATTCCTTGCTTCTTAATGAATTTAGCTTCTTTATCTTTCTTGAGATGCTGGATCCTTTATTAAATTCTATAAATTCTATAGAGCAATCATTGACTTGTCTAACGGGTCTTCATGAGAAATAACTTAGAATGACTTTTTCAAATTCACTTTACTATTGACTCTAAGAGGAAATTGCAATTTAATTGTATTAATATTACAGGTTTCTATGTTCACTTAATTTTGCAAGCATTAAACATATCTCAAAGCTGTAAAGAATCCTTCCTTATTTAATACATCAGAGCTTTAGCCAAAGAATACTTTTTTTAAAATTAAATTAGCCTAATCATCTGTAATTGAAAATTGCCCTATTAATAAATTCTTAGTTTATTTAAAATCTAACACCAATTTTGCTTTTACTACCTTATCATATTTCTCTTAATATGACCGCAAATCATTTTGATTTAATTCAAACATCCAAATTATATGATAATAAAATTTAATAATTTTTTTCTATAAGAATACTATACGCTTTAATAAAATATAGAAATAGTAGAATAAAGAATATATTGTTCTACAATCAAATAAATCAATATTCTTTTTAGTTTACTCTATCTACTTAACTTGATATTTCAATTAAAATAAAATATTTAATAGAATTTATATATCTATTTAATTTGTCATCAAATATTTTATTGAAATCAAAATTCATTTGGGAAAATATTATAATATTAAGAGATTTCTATATTATTGACTAAAAAAAAATAATATTGATTGAAAAAGTATAAAAGGAAAGCTAAAATTATAATTTAGATTGAGAATAGATTAATCAGCTGTCATTAATGATGTTTAAAAATAGAAGTAATTTTATTTATATAAATATTTAAATATTAATTTTATTGCAGTTAACAACTATGTCAAGTTCCCTAAAATAATCTGCACTATTAGCTGCTTTTAATCATAAGGGTATAAATCCATTACCAAAGTATGAGGACATCCGAATAGGTCCTCCAATAGTTCATTCCAAACCTTAATAAATCAAAGAGAAGTCTTATTTTTAATAATAAGAAAAAAAGATAAGTCAATCCCAAGTTTAGAAATAAAAAGGACCATAAGAATCTGCAATTGTTTAGCATATAAGAATAATTTTTATGTTTTATGTATAATTTGGCAATAAAACAAACATTTAATATTTAAAATCAAGTAAATTTATTAAAGCTATTGCAGATGCTAATATAATTACATAGGGTATTTATAATAATTATTAAAATTAGAATTAACTAGTAAAGATCTAGATATTTTATATTTCTAAACTACAAAAAATACAGAAACTTTAACCTTAGACTAATTTAAAGATTTACTTGTAAAAATAGCAACTAAATTATATAAATTTCCAGAATAATCAAAATCTTTTGTTTTACTTTATAAAAATCATTTATCTAAACTCTATGAAAAAATAAATGATTAAACAGATTTTGGTTATGATTTAAAGAGAATTGAGACTTGTCGTAGTTTAATTAATGAATAATTTTTAGAAATAATTTCTTAGGTTTAAGGATTATTGTCTAAAATACATGGTTATGTATTTTTAGATTAAAGTTAAAAGGTTTCTTAAATTTAAAGTTAATATATGCATTTTCTATAATAATTTGAAATAATTCCTTTAATAATTACATAAACAAAGGGTTAGATGATATTTTTTGATTTGTTTCATAGAGATTCAATCTTAAATTTAAAGAATGATGGAAAATATTTATTTAATTTCTCAAAGTTTGTTGAGAGTTTAATTATCATTTCATTTCATTAAATATAAGAAGATAATTAAAATGGATTAGATTTATTTTTTTAATTATTAGAAAGATTGGAAAATTCTTAAGGATTTTAATATTTTTCAAAATTAAATAATTAAACAAAGAATGAATAAACTTAATTAGTGATGCCATTGAGTAGAGTAAATTCTGCAAAATAGAGTAGAATTTCAACAGTTTATTAATCTTAGTAATAATAATAATAATAATAATAATAATAATAATAATAATAATAATAATAATAATAAAATTCAAATTTAAAATAATCATAATTATTAATTGAAGATTGTAAATAATCATAAATTAATTCTTAAATACCTTATGAAAAAGAATTAAGAAATATATTTGAATATTATTCATAAATAGGAGAACCATTAAATTTAGTAAATTTAAAAAGTATTAAATATAAAAAGCTTCTATAAAATTGTAATATTATTGGAAATTTGATCACTTAAGTAGATGCTGATATGTTTTATATATAATCAACACCTAAAAAGAAATTAGATTCAACCAAAAGTCCAAAATTTAAAGTTAATAAATTATATGATAATGATAATTAAAATGGTAAAATGGATTTCATAAATTTTTATAATTCTTTGTAATTGATAGCAGAAAAATTTAATGGTAATGATGTTACAGGATTAATTGAATAATATTTAATACCTCTTGAAACATAATTAAGAATAGAAAAATAAGAGTATATTTTATAGATTTTGATGTTGATTTTAGATGATCCCAGAATAGTATTATAATATAATAATTATTCTTTAGATTAAATTATTTGAAATTATGTAAGAACATTTTGAACCATATTATAACCATTATACAAAAGATTTAATGACACTTTCTGGCTTTATGAAATTTAGTTAAGATTTTGAATTAGCAAATTCAATGGTATCTAAAGGATAACTTATGCATGTTTTCAAAGCAATTGCATCTCTAAATAATACTGATACAATTGATAAACGTTAATTTGTTGAAGCCATTAGTGTAATAGCTATTTTAATTTACAATAATGTTAATGATAATGAATAAAAAGTAAATGATAATATAAATAATAGATAATATATTTATTAGAAAGAATAACTTAAAGTGATGGTGCAATAAAAGTATCTAAATAATTAGGAATAATGAGAAATCCATAAAATACAAATTTAATTTAATTGTTTCGTTATTAATCTCATAAAGATTTAACAAACAAAGATGAAATTAACTTTAATAAAATAGTAAACTAAATTTAAGATGATTTTTGATTTAATATTTATCAATATTTATGATAGTTATATCATTTTCAATAATAATAATTATCATTATCATCATTTAATGACTTTTCTTTAGCAGCAGAAGATTAAAAACTTTTAGAAAAACTAGAAGATCCTTAATTCATTCTAAAAGAATCTTCGAATTCATCTTCATAATTTTAATTGCTTATTTCATTAATTTCTCTAATATCATCTGCATTAATCTCACTTTATGAATCAAAAATTGCTCTCCACTCTGGCATTTCATGTTAAGGATTATTATTTTATTGAAAATTTTATTACTATTAAACTTATTAACTATTTTTCTAAGTTGTATTGTTGCTGAATTATTAAGCAGCAATTAATTGCATTTCTTTAAATAAATCAGATTCTTCTGCCTTTTTTGTATCTAACTAATTATATCTACATTTAGAAATATGATTTTCCATTCTTGATTTAAGAATAATATGCAAACAATTGTATGGACAAGTATCATATTTATGACCTAAAATAAATTATATAGATACCTTTTTCTCTCTTATCTTTGCATCCTTTAGTGATATGAAACCATAATTTACTAAAAGGCATTTAATGTTTCTTATTATATGGACAAATAACTTCAAAGTCATGACGAAAATCTCCTTTTTTAAAGCTCATTTATTATAAATTATAAAATTTAATATATAATTTTTATTTATTTTTTAAGATAATTAAAAAAACAATGAAGTCCAAAAAAAAATAAAATAATTTCACACTTTGTTCTATTATCATCACAACATATGCAACATATTAAAAGTTTATATAATATTATATTTTAAATAATGATTTAATAGTATATAAAATATGTAATACAAAAATTTTAATATTCTTTTTTAAACTTCATATTATTAAAGAATACATGAGATTTTAATATCTGTTGAGGAATCTATAAAAATACATCTTAACTTTCAATATATAGTATATTTAATATAAACAGTCATAACTTTGTTCAAATAGATTATCAAGTAATTTTTAAAGCTTTTTAGATTTATTAAAAAATGTTAACATCCAATGGTGATTAAACGATCTTGTCCTGGTCTAAAAGGAATTGTAACATACTTCCAGGAGGTTAACAATCCTTTTCTAAGTTTGTTTTTTATTATTCATGCTTCGTTAGCAAATACTAGTTTGTATTGTGAGGAGAACTGAGTTCATATTCTTCAATTATGATGATTTGAATTATTTTTTTTATTTTTTTTTTTATTTTTATGCTACTCTTTGATTTCATTTCAGTTGTTCAAAGTTCTTTTCTTTTTTTAATGAGTTTCTCTTGTGCTAAATTGTTTACAAGCTTTTTTTAATTTATGAATTTAAGTATGTTGGAACAATACATTTAAAGTAAAATTTGAAGGGGGTTCTTATAAATTCTTCAGTATTTAATAGTGTTATAATAATTTAATTTTGATATTATATATTTAAATAATAATATTGAATACACTTGATTTAAATAATCTCATTTATTCTAAATCCTGCTAAGAAGTCATTCCATAAAATAATTACTAATACATCTTCTAATATTTGTAATTTTTTAATTATCTACTTTATATGAAATTTATCTAAGGTTTCAAGAGAGAATTACATTGCAAAAGAAACAAAATTTAAATAACTTAAGTTCTTTCTCCATTTAACTTAATTAATGAAATTTTGTTTATATATATACTAATATTTTTTATGTTTTTAACATCATTTTGAATGTATTAATTTAAACTATTTTTAAATGAAAAATTGAATGAAGCTTTACAAAAACCAAATAAAGTCTGCTTTCCATATAATTTTAATATTTAAAAATATGAAATGCATAAATACACATGTTGTAACTCTTAGGATATGAAGATTTGATTCCTATGCTATAATTGACAATTTCTAATTTATTTTTGATTACAGAACCATATTGATTTATTCATAACAATTTAATGATTTTATTTAATATTTTTATAGTTTTATTCCATAACTTTTTTGTAAGTGTTAAAAAATCTGAGAATATGATAAAGGCATGGATTTCAAATTATTACAATGATTATACATTGATTTCAGCTGCAATAAATTGATCTTAATATGCATCAAAGAATTCATGATTTCTTAAAAATTGATATCAATCTGCTTAAAGTAATTCTTAAGATTCAATATATCATCATAACGATTGGAGAACTATCAAATTAAGGAAAGAAGTAAAAGCATATAAGAATCTGGTATTTTTTTGACAATGAATGGTTTTGTTGATTTTTTTTTGATTTTTCTGAGGTCTCTATAATAATTACAATTAGTTTGTTGTTTCCTTATGAATTTTGAGAGTTTCAAAGTTGTCAATAATTTAAGTGATACATTAAATATAGAAATGTGATAATTTGAGAATACTTAAAATAAATAATAATAATTTAGATGGCATAATACCACTATTTATTCAAATTTATTATTGTAGGAGATGGAAGTGTTGGAAAGTCTTGTATTTTGTTGAGATACACAGAGAAATAATTTCGAGATGAACATGACACTACAATAGGAGTTGAATTTGGATCTTAAGTTTTTGTAAAGAATGAGAAAACAATAAAAATATAAATTTGGGATACAGCAGGATAAGATTCTTTTAAATCAATAACGAGATCTTATTATAAAGGGTATATAGTAATAAATATAGTTTAGATCGATAGGTGTATTACTTGTTTTCGATATCACAAACGAGGAATCATTCCACAATGTATTAAAGTGGTATAATGAAGTAAATGATTAAGCTGCTTCGAATTGCTAAATAGTGTTGGTGGGCAATAAAGTTGATTTGGAATAACAGTACATATTATACACTATTTATATATAATAGTCGTAAAATATCGACTCTTTAAGCTAAAGCATTTGCTGATCAATACAAAATGCAATACATTGAAACATCTGCAAAAACTAATTATAATATTGATTAATTATTTGAGAATACAGCCATGGAAATAGTTGACAAAATAGAAAAGAAATAAATTGAGTTTACTACAGAAGTATGAATAAAATTATGAATATTAATAGGATAGTGGTATAAAATTAGGTAATTACTATTAATAATAAAATACAAAAAAATAAGAAGATGATTGCAAATGCTGATTATTAAAATTAACAAAGTATCATCATTTATTCAAAATAATAAAATGAATAATGCAAAGCATATCACAACTATTTGAGTAAATTCGAAATTATCACATCTCTCTTTGCATACTTTAATATTCTTCCACCAACTTGTAGTGTCTGGTTTTAAATTATAAAGCATCACTTCATTTACTTTGGTCACCTTATCTAAAATATATTCAAATACCTCTGAATGATAGAAACTGGCAGATCCCATATATGATTCATTCATAAAAACCAGTACTTCTTATGTATCCCAATTTAATAAGATGTCTGCTTAAGTCCAAATAATTTTAGCATCACTTGAAACTGAACTATTATAAAATGTGATCATCTAATTATCATTGACTCTAACGAATCCAGCATATCCACATCTAAATGAGACTGCAGTTTTATCTGTGGCTGTATCCTTTAATCTTAAATTTGTGTCCTCAATTTCTTTATTTCCAGATGCAAACCAAAATCTTATATGTTAAGGTTAGGATTCTTGAAATAAATGATAAAATCCATCTTTAAAACTTAATTCTGATTCTGCCTTTTTGTGTAATTTTAAATACTTTCATAAACTCATAAATTAATTTACTTTCTCATTCCCTTATGTAATAAATTATGTCTCTAAATATTCTTCTGTCTAATTCATGATCCAATTTTATTCTATAACAAAATTACCTTCACCTTTTAGATAATCTGTCCCATCATATGCAGCATATATTAATGTTATTAATGTTGTGATTAATATCATTATGTAATAATAATAAAAGAAACCAAGTTGGATTCAATAATTATTTTGTGGCTGTATTAGAGAAGAACCTCTTCAATCAAATTAAAAATTGCAGAAACTCTCAACCCAGATGGAAATTCCTAGATCAAAACCACTTACTCTTATATCTATGCAAAATTAATAGGAAGGTTGGCTCAATTAAACAACTTCTTAAGAAATAGATTATTTTGAATATGGATAATAAAATGACAATGATTCAGATGAAGGTCATAAAATATATAATAGATAACTATCTTATTTGGAAAAACAATCACTTTTATAGAAAACTAATTTTTCAGACGTAATCAAATTAGTTTATATCCAAGGAATTTAACTCCAATAATATAGAAATGAAATTGCTACATCGTTGTGGAGGCTTGTTAGCTAGACAATGTAATATTTAAATTGAGATGTAATCTAATTAATGGATTACAAAAATTTTCAAAGATGTGTATTTGATAGTATAAGACAGAGAATTTGAATCCAAATTTAAATCTTAAATACTTAACTCTTCCATTGTTGATTCAATAAACAAAAGAATCAAATCCAATTCTATTTTATTAGCTCATGATCCCACTGGTTCAATTTTACTAAAGTTGGCTAGTCATACTAGAACTATATATTATTTAGAATCTGATAAGACCTATATTGATTTAATAGATAGAGGAATTTATAAGATGAATGTAAATGTTTAAAAAGTCTTAAAGATGGATTTATAAAATAAAATTGATGTTGTTGTTGTTAATCTATATTTTATTGATTCCAAACATAATCTAAGAAATATAATGCATGAATATCTTTAATATGCTCATGATATTATTATCATTTTACAGCCAAATATTGATAATTCTCTCATTTATTCTTAAGCAGAATAAGCAATTTCACTTTCAGAATAATCTAAATAAACTTGCAGCATAGAATTATAGAATATTCTTGAAAATAATAATTGTATTGCTAAAATTCTTTATTTTGGTGGTGTCACTGAAGTATTTAATAAATTAGTTATTTTAGATTACTTTAAATGATGAACTAAACTTTGTTTATTCTTGTCTAGATTCATCAGTCAAGAAGTCGTACAATTATAAATTAATGTTTAAAGATCTCAGAAACCAAATGGGAATGACAAAATTAATTAAATTACTCAATGATTTTCAGATAATCTAAGGTATAGGGTAGTTTATTGAGTTTTCCACTAATATTAATGGATATTAGGATAAATATAGATTAATTAATAATCAAACTCAAGATTTCGAGTATGAAAATAAAAACCAAAAAGATGAATTAATTGAAAAATAGTCTTCGTCTTCTTCAACAGAATCAGAACCAGAGGAGGATCAAAATTAAGAAAGACTTGATTTTAGAAGTGAAACTTTAAATTAATCATCAAACTCCATTTAATAACCCCCTGTCTTACGTCATGCCAATTCTTAACCATTTGCTATATGATATGATAGCTAAATTATATTTTTATTGTTTATAAAATTTCCTTTAGATTTTATATTCAATTAAAATAATATATAATTATTAAACTAATAGTTTTTTTAACGATAAATAAATATCAATTATTAGTTCTTATTTTTCATTAAGAAAATAATAAATCATATTATAAAATTTCAATTATTTTCTAAATCAATTAAATTGTTGAATCATAATTAAATTAAAAATGAAATAAAGCTTTTTGAATATGAATAATGACACTACCACCAGCAAGGTTGCTTTAATGAGAATATTAAGTTCATCACCTCTAATAGCAATGTAAATGTCTTGAAGTTATTCCTCTGACTACCAATTATATATTATTTTCATTTCCCCTTTATTATAATTTAAATATTCTAATGTAACTCAAGCACTTCTGCTTTTGAATATTCCAAAATTGTTGATGTGAAAACTGCTTGTAGTTCCTACTCTTTTTTTAACAGATATACTTTGCTTTAAATATCGATGAATACGACCAACAAGGAACTAATTTTCATAAATATTTACTTAAAGTCCAGCCTACAAAAACCTAAATTAAAGATCTTTCTTATTTTTACCAGATCCAAACTTTACACCTTTTGCACTCTTGGCAATTACAGACTATAAAATAAAATAAATAGATTACCTTATGTTTGTTATTTGAATAAACTCGAATAAAATCTTTTTGTATTTAGTTTAATTTTTTTTTAATTTGAATTTGTTTTCAAACTAGAAACTCAAATAATTTATCTGGTTCATATACTATAGTTCTTCGAACTTTTAATCATTCTTCTAAATTACAGTTTTTTATTCTGCTTAATTTATGGAAAAAAAATAATAAAAATGTTATTATTTTTATTATTATAAATAGATAAGTTAAGTAAAAATATCATAATTATTTACAGGGTTCTATTAAATTAAGTTTTTCTTAAAATTACTTAGTTTTGAAGAACTTATATAAGATTATCACTTTTATTTTAATAAAAATTTTGACATATTTATTTTATTACCAATAATGTTAAAGCCTCATCTTCAATTTCGAAATTATGTTATTTTATATGAAAAGTAAAGTATAAATAAGGAGAAAATACATAAAGAAAATGAATCTCAACATCTTCATGATTTTATTGAGAATTCTTAAAGAAAATTCGATATAAAAATTAATGAATACTAAAAATCAGAGAATCCCAAAATTTGTGAGCAAATTGATTGAAATATTAGATGTAATCCAATTAAAAAATAAATAAAATAGAATTAATCTTATACAGAAATAATTAGTTTTGATGAAAAAGGCGATGGTATTATTATCCATCAATAGGAACTCTTTGAAAATAAGATTCTCTTAAACTATTTTAAGCATAATCATATTGATTCATTTACTCGATAAATGAATAACTACGGTTTTAAACGAGTGAAGAATCAATAAGGGAAGTATGAATTTAAAAATCCATTCTTCTAGAAAAATAATAAGTATTCATTTTTTTAATATTCCTCTTAGAAATATGATTCATTTAGTGATGAAAAAGAAACAAGAAAAAATACAAATAATATCACAATTCTTAGCACTAAAATCAGAGTTGAACTAATTCTCATAAGAATTAGACTAATTTAATTTTTTCGCCTCTTCTGTATTACTTTAAATTATTTAAGTATTAATAAAGCTAATCTATTTTAACAGAATCTTAAAATAAAGCTAAATTAGAGATGATATCAATCTCATAAAAGAATCTTGAGATGGAATAAATGTTAAGCTATTTAATTTATGAAAAAAAAAATGGTATTGAATTGAATTGAAACTCTCAATTTTATTTTTAATTTTTGTTCAACAACATTCATAACCAATCTTGTAAAGCTATAAATTTTTAAGTCTTATTTCTTAATAAATGTTATGGATTACAATTTCAAACCTAAATTTAAATAAATGGTATCATCATTTATAAATTACAAAATCAAGTTAATAGATTATTGGTTATGAATTTAAAGTACAAGTTTTAAGAATTTTAAGAAATTAATAATCTTATATATATTCTTTCTCATTTAATTTAAATGATAAAGTCATTTATGATTATCAATTATCTTCCTCTTATACCATATCTTACTTTCTTAAGTACTCTATTTAGGTTTCATTTAATTGAATCATTTAACCATTTTCATCTAATAAATAATTACCTTCCTCATCTAATAAGAAACCATTTTCATCTAATTAATAAGTAGCTTCATTATCTTCATCATCATCATCTTCTTCAATTTTCTAATCATTTTTCTTCTACTAATCCTAATTCTCCTCTTTTGTTAACACTATCTTTTCTTCTTAGATTTAGTTATTTTTAAATGGACTCAATGCTTTCAATTTATCTATAAATGCCTCTTTTTCAAATTCAGGTTCTATTTAATCCTGATTAAATTAAAAATGATATATTACATTATTGTTTTATTCCGATAATTCATTTATTTAATGATCACTCTTACTTTCTGAATCTTCTTCATAATTAAACACTTAAACCTAAGCTTATTAAATTTCAGGTTGTTTTTTATTATATTCATCAATCCAATGGGTCTATTCAGTCTATTTAAATGAAAACAGTATTTCTTAATGAGATTTTCTGATCTCTTCATTTGATTTATTTTATTAATCTATGAGATAATCAAACTAATTTTTATATTCTAAAGTGACTCTCTCAAATTATTTAGTTAGACTAGAAAGTTCTAATTTCAATTAAGTAATTCCATTATCATTTTCATCTTTATTCTAAAATATATAATTCAGTATACATAATCCACTTTCTATTCTAATTATTTAAGATAAAGTTCTTATTTTGAATTTTAAGATAGATGTTAATCTATTCTTAGAGATAATTCTTAGTATTACTAAGAAAGTAATTTTTATGAATTTTGTAAATCATAAACTCCTTGAGTAATTTTATTAAAATCTGCTTATTAAAGTGTTAATTCTGTTAATCTAAATAATAAGTTATCAATTACTTATCAGATTATGAAAATGTTTTTTGTTGGATCAAATTTTAAACTTATTACAACTTAAATTCAATATCATCTGAAAGTTTTTTGTTAGCTATAGCAATATTATTTTATTAATTATTTTAGAATGTCTTTAATTAAGCAATTGTCTATTCTTCTTAAACACTAATTTTTTAAGATTACTCCATTATATTTTTTTCTACTTTAGTCATTTATTATCTAATTTACATTAATAGAGAATTTTACTTAATTTTTTAATCATATAATGCAAATTCATTATGTTGAGAATCAAATAATAATTAAAGATCTTTAATTTTTTATTGAATGTCCTTTATTATTTTATCTTCACTAATATTAATTTGAGGAGGTATTCTTAATTGTGAGTCTTCTTTTAATTTAACTAAATTTTACTAGTTTTCTTTTTATATAAATTTTAATTTATTATCAGTCTAATCCTGTAATTCTTTAAACTTTATTTAATAATCACTTTAAAAATTAACCTGCTAATTCATTAATTCTTCTTAAGCCTTTTTTATTTATGTTTTTATCTTAAATATTAAAAATTGAATTTACAGATTCTTCAAACTATTTAAATTTTATGCTTAATTATTCTGCATTAATTGGATTTTATCCTCTAATATCAAAAATAATAGTTCTATTTGAATCTATCTGATTTTACAATTCTTTCATCTTTATTTCTTATGCCTATGTTTTATCTATTATTAATTAATTGACATGTTTCAAAATTTATTAAAATCCAGCATCATCAATTTTATTACTTAAGAATGAAGCATCATATGATTAAATTGCAGTGCTTAAAGTTGAAAATGGAGAATTATGTTAAGGAGCTGAATTATATAAAAATTATACCCATCAACAGATGTTCTGTATTTTTCATATTAGCAATCTTAGTATCAGCTTGTCTACCAGTTTAAATTTGAGTAGGTTAATTATATGTATAACTTTATTATCCTTACTTATCTGAGAAAAATATAGGTTTTCTACTCATTATATTGATAGAAATTTTAATGTAATTAATAATAAATACTCTTTTATAAATTAATATTCATAAACACTTCATAAATTAATATGACTACTTGACTTAGAAGTTTAAATTAAAATTACTCTAAGAAGTAATGTAATTAGATTAATTTAGTTACTCCTTAGACCATTTAAATAATAAACCAATATTCACATATCATTAAAATTTATACCCATCGAATAAACTTTATACACTTTTTCTTCTTAATAAACTTTGGCATTCTTCTTCTATTTCACTATCTGCCGATATCTGGTTTTAAAAATCACTATTACCATCAATAGACTTATTATTAAGAGATATAAGTTACTCCTGGTATATATAAAGATTTCATATCTTTATTTAATAATTTTGCCCATTAAACTCCCTTTAACCATTAATGATGAATTATTTCTTCAATTCCTTCAAATCCTAATCTTTATTATGGTTTACGAATAAGTAACTAACTTTTATTAAATAATACCCTATTTATAAAATCTATTGCTTTGCTACTAACATTAAGTGTTCCTTCTTTAATGGATGCTTACTTAGCTAAAATTTGTTCTCTAATTTCTTATCTATTTTTTCCATTATAGGGCCTTTTACCAATTAAAATTTCATATAGAATAACTCCTAATGCATAATAATCAACAGGATAGGAATGCTCCATTTTACACATAACTTCTGGTGCCATATATCCTGGTGTTCCAGAAGTATCATTTGCAACACTTTCCTTATTTAATCTAGCTACTCCCAAATCTGTTAAATGTAAAAAACCATCTTTATCGAAAACTAAATTTTCTGGTTTTAGATCTCTATGTATAATACCATTCGAATGTAAATATTATAATGCTAGAAGTATACAACAAGCAAAAAATTCTAAATTTAAAAAATTTTGATACTTGCTTGATCTTCAGTAAATCTTTTTAATTTACCAATATGGAATCTTAAATCTCCTCCTCTTAATAAATCTAATACAAGATATAAATTTTCTCTATCTTAAAATGCAAAATGCATATTGACAATAAATGGATGACGAAGATGTTCCAATAAGAATTTTTCATTCATTACTGAATTAACTGATCTTTTCGAAATAATTCTAAGATATAAGAGAATATACTTTGCTTTGATCATTTCTTTTAATGCGAATTCTTTTTTAGTTTATTTCATCTCAACTCTCCATACTTTTCCAAAACCTCCTTTTCCAATTACATATATAAATCTAAATACCAACCTACTTATTGTAGTAACTTATTATTATGTAGGTTTGGGTTAAATAGCTTCTTTTTGAGAATAATAGTCTAAAGATATTTTTCTTGAATTAGATTTTGACAATAACCATGTAGATGAATTTGTAGATGAATCTTTAGGTTCATAATTTTGTTTTCCACCATAATATGTTTACTACAACAATTAATTTGATGCTTATCTTGATAATTTTCGTGATATTAGGCCTTAAATTTAACCTATGCCTTATTTTTCTATCTTTCCTTGTTCCATTATTACTGAATGCTTTAATGGTTTTAGAGAAATCATTGATGATGATCTTTTTCGAGAACATATTAAACAACTCATTTAATTACATGAACAAGATTCTTCATAATTTTGTATTGCTTAAAGTTTTATTTTTATTTTTGACTGTTTATTTTGCATTAAAGGTATTAAATCTTTAAGAGAAGCATATGCTGATTTCATTTTATCTAATGAAATAAATTATATTTTATAATTTATATTTATATTTTATAATTTATATTTGATTTCAATTCTTATTAGATTTACAAATAAATTTCCTATCGTTTGGTTAGTTAGTCTTTATCAAAAATTTTTATTGCACATATTCATTTAAAAAAAATAAGCATATTTTTTATAAGAATTTGACATATTAATTTGCTGAAATTTATTATATAGATAATTTTATGTGAGATTCAACATATTTATAATTTAAAAAATTTAGATTGTAGTATCATTATTTAACCAATGAAATCATTTTCTATAAATCTAATTGCATTTCTTCTTATGTTATTTATTAACTAAACCCTCCATTCTTTTTCAAGAGTTCATCCAAATAACTTGATTTACTTGAATAAGTTGTACTAAAATATGATGTACCATTATTATTATTATTTAGAGGAGGTTCATATGTACTATTCTTTCTTTTATGAATTTTCTCCAAAAATTTAAAACCCTTTCTGTTAATTTATCTTGGTAGAGGTTTCATATTTCTTTATTTTTAATCTTCAATTCTACACCATGGACAAATGTATTTAAATTTCATATCTTCTACTAAACATTCAATACTATGGATTCCATTTTTGGCTTCACAAGATAAATGAGTCTTAAATTAATTATTATAATTTAATACCCATTTGTCACACTTTTCCTAATCACAAGCAATCCATTTTTGACCATCCAAAAAATTTTCATTTTGATCACTATAAACCTAGAATATAAGTATAAATACTTAAGCACAGAAATAACAGCACTTTTTCTCTTTGTATAATTCAAAACATTCTTTACAAAAAAATAGAATTTAATCACTAAATTTAGCAGGATAAACATTTTATGTTTCAATTGTACAATATTAATTCATACATTCATCTTCTTGAATTTTATCTTAATCATCCATTTATATTCAAAATAAAAATATTTATAATATCATTAGAAATTTTCATAAAGATAATTAATGATCATATCTGGGTCATCTCTATGAATTGCATATGCTTCAATTACTTATTCAAGTGTAAAGAATCCCATATCCATAACTTAAGCAATAATTGGATTATTCATGGGATCTTCATAAATAGTTTTTTCACTTTCTTTCAAAGCATTTTAAAATTATGTATCTTCAAATTATTACATAAATTATTATTCTTATTCTTATTTGCTTTGTTCCATTATTTTTCTCAATATTTCACTTTCCAAATTAGGTTGTTATTATTGTTATTATTGTTATTATTATTATTATTATTATTATTATTACTATTGTTATTATTATTATTATTGTTATTATTGTTATAATTGTTAAGTTTGCTTTTACTATTATTGAATAGGAAATTATTGATTAAATTAAGCATCTTAAACGCTTTCCTTAATTACCATATCCATAAGTTATTCCTCTTCTTCTTCATATTCTAATTATTGCAAAGATTCCTTTATAGCAGTTTATTCACTATATTAAATTAAATAAAAATACTTTTTTAGTTATTGATCCTAGAATAGTCTTTTAGATTCATTAAAAATTATATCTAATTCATTGCTAATGCAATTTTCAAATTAAGCTCTTGATAATTATTATCCATGTCTATTATTAGTATTTACACTTTATTTGTTTTTCTGTTCTTATAATTTCTCGAACATTTGCTTTTCATATTAACTAATTTCTAAGCTTCCTAATAAAGCTGAATGCTACTTATCTTTTAATTTTATTGAATTATAATGAGATCTTCCATGATATGACAATCTAATTGGTCTAATAAAAATTAATTAAAAAATAATTACTCTTTATTATATGGATTAGCTTCTAATCCAGTTTTTAATGGTTCTTTGCTGCACACATAAATTTCAATTGGAATATCATAAAGCTCTCTAAAGGCTTGTAATTCTATATTGTCTCCCCAAACTCCATCTTTTGATTTATATTCTACATATTCCTCAACATTTCCATTTATTATATAATCTTAGAAATAGTCCTTTTCTTATAGTATGTATTGCATTGCAAATTTACGTAATTCCTTATGATAGATTTCATTTCCATATAGTTGATCACTTATAGCTCTAAACATACAATTGCCATCCCCTGAAACTTCTCTAATTAACATTCCCTATTCACTCAAAATAGATTGTAAGGATGTCTCCATTTCCTTATATTTTTTACGCATTGTTATTAGATTTTACAATTGTAAATATAGATTGAATCGATGCTATAATCTTAGAATTGATTATGGTTATTATTTTAATAATTTCCCTATTCCAGGTTCATTAGAGTTCTAACCAAGAGGATATATGTCCTTGACTAAATAATTCTGATCGTAAATTCTCTTGTATCCCTAATGATGTATTAGAGCTTAATCCTTTTCGAGCTGTACTACTATACCTATTAACCATCCTTTATTAGAATTATAAACTTCAACTCTTGTATTCTATAATGGGACACCAGGAATCCACTATTTACGAATTATTTCATAAGAAAATTATATCCAGAAAGTATTAGAGGAATAAGGAGATTATAGTCTTATATTTGAGTTTTAAATATCCACAATTTTCATTGTTGCCCATTTATTTGTATTTGAATCTAAATAATCAATGTATTCTCCTATTTCTAATAAGTGACTCAAGACTTATTGTTCCTAAGGGCATTCCTAATTGACCTATGTCTATACTTTATTACCATTTATTTTACTTCATCATCTTGTAATTCCAAATCTATTTCTTCTGAAGATGAATTATCATTATTTCGATCTCCCGTGTTAATATCAGACTATTCCATTGTGCTTTAAAATTAAAGAATATTATTTTATAATTATTAATAATAGATTAAAACAAATATTCGTATAAATTCTTATTTAAGCAAACACTTCATAAGAGTTACAAAAGAAATATAAATTAGATGCTGAGATATATCATAATAATGATTTAATATATAACTAAATTTCATTTTTTTGTTTAAATATTTACTTACCTTTAAAATTATTGTTAATGTATTTACTCTTTCAAAATATCCATCCCACTTGTTAATTATAATATTTGATTTTTTAATTATAACACTTCTTATTCATATTATGATTACTTTTCTAAGAATTTTTATTCTTAACAAAATAATTTAGTCTTTAAATTTGATATTTAAAATTATTGTTGTTGAATGATATAATTTAAATTACAAATATTGCTAGTATTTGGAACATTTTCTGATTAATCTTATTCTGAAACTTTATTAATACATTTCCTAGAAGATTTGTCTTAATTTATAAAGCTTTCATGTTTTATTTCTTATTAAGATCTATGAGTCATAAATCTTTCATTTTTTTGAACTATGCATTGTATTTTCTCTAAATGTTCTAATATTTCTTATTTTAAACTAATTTGATTTTCTAAATTATTTACTTCAAATTATCATCAATTATTTCTTGTTTACAATTACAATTACTAAATCTAGAATTGCTTGTTTAACATTCTGTTTTTTAAGGTGTTGATCGAGTAACAGTATTATCTTCATATTCTTCATTCCCTTTATAAAATTCTTTACGTTTTAATATATCCTTTAATTTGAATGTTTCACTTATATTTTTTGTTTTAGTCTTCAATTGTGTCTATGCTTTATGATTTTCTTTATCCTTTGAAACACTTCTATTAAGCTTGGTTTATCCAACCGATTTTCTTGTACTTTGTTATTTCTTATATCCTATTTCTTAATCATCAATGCTTTTTCTACTCTTATTTTAATGTAGTTACATTAGCAGTTAATTTTTTATAATATTCTATATATATATAATATTTATATCATAAAATTATATATTTTATAGTTTATTTGCAAAAGTCCCTTTCTATCTATTATTAGAATTACATAAAAATAAAAAAGGAATAATTTTCATAAATTTTAAGAAATTATAATAAGATTTATACTAAAAAATCTACATATAAATATTAAATCAATCAAAATCTTAAATAAATTTTCCTTTATAAATCAAATATTAAAATAGAAGAATATAAATATATCTTAAAAATCATTTATTTATTGATTATTATAAAAATATAATATGAATAAATACTTAGCTTATTAATTTGTAGGAAAAAGTGATGGTCTTCATAAATTGCCTGATCATATTCAAAAAATAAAGAAATCTCTAGGTTTTGAAGAAAAGGAAAGAAAGGTAATAGAAGAATTAATACCTTAATTGAAATAAAGAATAAGAGCACAATCTATCCCTGAGAAATAGATTCCAAAATAAATACATATGAATAATCTTGCTAAAAAATTGGCTCATTTGAAGTAAGAGTATGATAAAATTAATGTTGAATTAAATAAGCATTAATCTTTTAGAACTTAGATTACAAATCCAAAAACAAGTTTTGAATAGCATTTCTTTTAAGTTGAATAATAGATTCATATTTGGGAAGAATAAAAATCCAAGCTGTCTGAATAAATTAAATAAATTAAAAAAGAACTCTTTTTCTTGGAGAATTAATCAGATACATATACTTCAAAAAAAATAGTTACCAATTAATCTGTTTTATTAAGTGAGTTAGTCACAATTGAAAAAAAAATACCTACTCCATCTAAACTTCCTAAAATATTTAATTAAGAAAGTCCTATGTACACACAACCTAAACCATTTCATTCAGATATTAAAATGTTAAATAATACAAATGATTCTAATTTAATAGATTTATTAGAAAGTGATGAGGATTAAGATTTAAGACCAAGAACAAGAGTCACAAAAATAAAATAAAAATAATAACCAACTTTAGAATAAATAATTAGTTAATTAGATTAGTTTGTTGTAAAGAATGACAAATTATAACCTCATAAAGAAGCATTAAAATAATTTAGATTGGCTTAGTATGAGAAATATTTAATGAAATTACCCAATATTTAAATAAATACAAATCATGATATAAAAAGATTATAACCTAATAAGAGAATTAAGAATATAAAATATGGATTTGCAGCTGTTTTCTTCTGCTTTTGTTTAATTAAGTAAACTAAAATATCTCAACAAAGATATTAGTTAATTTCTTATTCTTATCATTAAAATAATTATTAAAAAGCAAATTAAGAAGTTTTATTTTTTGTTAACAACGTAATAGCTAAATAGATTTTATTCAAATTTAGTCGTTTGTAATAACTTTAGAAAGCTGAAAAAAAACAGCATAAAATAATGATTCCATTAATAGCAGAGGAGATTGTTAGAGAAATTCTGTAGAAACTGACAAATTAAAAGTTTTCAAATTAATTTTACATTTTCTTAAATTCTATATCACAAGATGGATTTTATCCATTATAAAATTATCATAGTGATATAATCAAGTCAAGATTTTAGATATCAAAATATTTTTCATATTTGTTGAATGAATGTAAAAAGTTTGTTTTCTTTGAATTTGTTTTAATTAAAAATATTATCTTTTATGGATTGATATTTAAAGCTAAAGAATTATTTGGTTAATTAAAAATAGATGCAGATAATGAATTAATTAATTCTGTTACATTAATATTATTTGAACTATTTTTAAGAACTTTACAATCTGGTATTATAAATGTAAACTTAAAACACTTTAGTTATGCATAAGCAGATGGTCCTTATATATAAAAGTATTTAAAAGAACTAGATCTAATAAAAATGAAAATTTTAACTACTTTATAAATAGATGATATGATGAAACCATTTATTTAAATGATTGAAAAATAACTTATAAATTACTCATAATGATTATTTATAAAATACTCAATAACAATTTAGATTTTTTTGGATTTTAAAGAGATTTATTAAATGATTTTAGGATTTTTAATTAATTAATGAAATTTATTTCTAATTAAATTTCTAAATCATTCAAAATAATAAAAAGCCATTATTATTAGATAATTGTAAAATTATATTTTTTTGTTGATAATCTCATTTAAACTTCTCAAACAAGGGTTTACATTAATATCTGGCATAAGTGATAGAATTTTATAGATTTTTCTTTGTCCCTGCAGTGAGCTTGTCGAATGAATCTAAACAAAGTTTTTATCCTTTATGCAAGAATTCCTCTACTTATTTTTCCTTAATTTCTTTGTCAACTTCATTAAATATATCCTTTCTCTATTAAATACAGTAGGCAAAATGAGCCAAGAAATTTCCTAATTAATTTTTATCTTCAATATTCTCTACTTTATTATAAGCTTCTTCACTATGCTATTATAGAAATTTAGATTAATACAATTTTAGAAAATCTTAAATGATTTCTCATCAAATAATCAAAATGAATTATAATATTAGATACGTCAATTTTAAATCTTCTAGTCTATGACATTATAATATTAAAACAGAATAAAAATGATTGTTAATGTGTTCTAAATCATTTATTTAATATTTTACTTTTCAATTAATTTACTCAATAATGGAGTTTGTTAGTGTTCCCAACCAACAAAAAATTATATTGAATTTCTATATAATACTGTCCAAACCTTTTCATCATCTATGTAATATTGCTACGAAACTTGAGTAAATGATCTGAAATTGTAAATATCCAAATATCGTGCATTATCTAATATTACTCTATAAGCTCTATCAAATATTTCCCAATTCTTCTTGACTTCATTTGGATGATGAATATTCAATTATTTAATAGCTTTCCATAGTTTAAAATCTTAAGTGTGAACAAAAGTGTCATTATTAAGTATACTTAAAATGAAATCTAAATCTGTAGATTCATATTTCTTATAAATATTAAAATATGTACTAATTTATGAGGAGGATTGTTTTTTTAAATTTCAATAAATTTTGCATGATCATAATAAAGATGAGCATTTGGAATATCATCTGGTATTGAAGGTTTTCTTAGCATTCTAGTTTCTCCTTTTGGTTTTGATACCCCACGTCTAGTATACCTAGGATCTTTAAGTAAACTAGGAATAGTTGATCTATGGGAATATTTTGAAAAGCCTTAAATAATTTTCTTAAACATATATATTATTTATATTGATATACAAACTTCAAGAGATAATTTAATATATTTTACATAATTTTCATTATGATTTAGAAATACATGGCTTATATATTATGCATATATAAATCCCTTGATATAAACATTGATATTAAAAAATGAATCAATATTTTTGATTATCGTTTTAATGAATTGCATATAATAATTACAAATTAGTCTTAAAAATAGTTATAAATTTTAAGAAACAGTTTTGATTGAGTGTAATAGTTATTTTTTTCTGATTAATGGATTAAGAATGATTTTATTATTATTCTTTTATGAAATCTTTTGATACATCTATAATTTTTATTTTTTTTAGTTCTTATTTCATATTGGAAAAGAACTAAGTATATTAATTTATGTTTGAAAGAGGAAAATGTATTTTGTTTTTCTATTTTTTTAATCAATTAAAAAAATCAAGCAGTATATCAAGGTATCTAAAATAAGATTACTCTAATAATTTTTGTTTGGTCATCATTAATTTTACTTTTTACAAATTTAGTTTATTTATTCTAAAAATATCCTCAAGAAGTGGTTCTAATGGTTATTTTTTGATTTCATAGAAATATTTTAGATTAAAATATTATTAAGTGATTTGAAATATTATATAGAAAACTCTATTTCTTTAAAATTTTGAAATAATTAATTAAATGAACAATTAGAGCTAACCAAAAGGATATATGGGAGGTCCATATATAGGAAATATTTATGGATAATCATAATAACAGGGAAATTAATAATTCAAAGACTTATTTTAAACTTTAGCAAAGGAATTCTAATATAATATTGTAAAAGCACCTAATGATTATACACAATCTGCTATTGTGATGTTAAGGAATTTTTAGATAAGGATGTATTGTAATGCTCTATTTTAGTGATTAGAATTATAATATTGGTATACCTCCAACTTGTTCACTCAATAACGCTCCATATGATTACACAAAATTTTATTAGTGGAATAATAATTCAACTCATCTTGCATTAGTCCATGCTATCTAAGATTAATTAGAACTGCAATTAAAAGTTCTAAACAAGTACATGTTATTAATATATTTGCAGTCCAATTGTAAAAGAGTATTGTGAATTTGTTACTTCTCTTCATGTAGATGAATGTGTTAATAGAATTAAAAGTATGCCATTATCTTAGATGTTACCCAACATTTAAGTGTCAGAATATCAGCAATGGATGATTTCAGATGAAAAACAATAAGTTTTAAAGGGAAATCTATCACAGATCTAAGAATTAAAGAATTTAAAGGATAAAATGCTTTAGTATGTTTAATAAAATGAAATTATTGCTGGTAAGAATATAAATGTAATAAAATTAGGATTAATTGAGGCTAATGATTAAGAAATTAAGACAAAAATAGAAAGATTATTTTTTAGAAATAATTAACTTGAAGAAGAAAAAAAGAATTATTTATAATTATAAAATAGAAGTAGGACATTGAGTGAACGATTTTAAGATTATAAAGTGAATGTCTTATTTTAACAAATTTGTGAAAAATATGATGAATTATCTGACAAATTATTGGAATCTGAATAAAATGTAGATTATGAAGATTGTAATATAATTATAATATAAAATTAGAGGCTAACCAATATTTTTAAAATAGAAGAAAGTATCAAAAGACATTGGCACTTTCAGAGAAATTCAGACAAATGAAATAGATTTGATGGAAATATATAATTAGATATGTTAATTAAGCAAATTTCCAATTTTAAAGTCATTTCATTTATCATTTATTTTTGACAATCAGATGGAGTAATAAATAATTTATCTTATTATTAACATTTATAAAAATCTTTTATTTTAACTAAATATTTGTAAGATGTCTGGTAAATCATCAAAGTTTATAGGAAGAGGAATCATAATATTCAGAACATCCAGGAGGTTGGATAGAATGGTTTTGTGCACATGAAGATCATCAATTTTTATGTGAAGTTGATGATGATTATATTTGTGATCCTTTCAATTTAATTGGAATCAAAGGGAAATTCAATTTCTTTAAGTAATTATTGATAGCTAATTATTCTAGTGAAGCCATCAACATGATTTTATAACCTACTTCTCCTGAAGATTAAGATTTAGAAGATGAAAGGTTTACTTATATTACATTACAAAAGATTTTTAGAAGTTTATTAAGAAGCATCCGACATTTATGGTTTACTTCATGCTCGATTCATATTTACATCCAAAGGATCAGCAATTATGCGTGAACGATATTTATAAGGAAAATTTGGTCATTGTCCTAGAATATATTGTGAAAAACATAATGTGATACCTATTGGATTATGTGAAGATCTTAAAACTGCTAGAATCAAAGTTAATCAAAATAATCTAACTAGGTATTTTGTCCAAGATGTGAAGAAGTATATATGCCAAAAAAGAAATGTGCTGATATAGATGGAGCATATTTTGGAAAATCATTTCCTCAATTCTTATTAATGGTTATTAATTTAAATATTTAGATATAGACTTATCCAGATCTTCATCCAAAATTTTAGTTATTACCAGATACTTAAATCTAAGTAGATTTTGAACCAACATTATTTGGATTCAAAATAGCAGGTAAACAAGGTAGTAAAATGAAGAAAATTGAATAATAATTGTAATATAATCACATTATTACATAATCAAATATTTAATAAATAGAATAAAATATAATTAAATAAGAGCAAAAGTAATATTAAATATAAAAATAATAATAACAGGAACAATAAGATTAATAATTACATTAATAACAATAATCAGATTAGAACAAAGAAAAACCTCATAAGAAAAAGAACAAAAAAAAACATAAACAATGAATTTACATTATTTTGGGTTTATATATATAATTTATTTAATTAACAATTTGAATCTAACCCTTATTTTATCATAAATTATATTAATATATTAAATAGATTTTTATAATTGATCTTAAAATCAGCTGTAAAAATTGTTTTCAATTATTAACTATATTACAAATTAACTATTTCTTATAAATAAACATACTGTAATTTATTAAAATATTGGATAATAACATATTAAAGTTCCTTATATAATATAAATTATATCAAATAAGTTTAAACTCTATTAAATATTGAAAGAAATGTCAAAATAATAATGATCTAAACTAAGAGGACATTCATAAATAATATCTAAAGATTATGATAGAAGATACCTTTTAGATGAATAAGAATAATGAAATGGATAATTTATCATAAAATATGAAGATTTATTTTATTATAAACCAGAAAGCATAATTTTTTAACTCTTATTATACTTTTTTTTAGATTTAAAATGTTTATCAGGATATAAATGTCTTAAGACTATCAATTTGAATAATAAAGAAAAATGGGATTGATAAAATAATATTATTTTCTAAATATTTAGGAGGAAATAGATTTACTAGCATGGAGGAATCAAGAAAAATAAACATCTAAAAATTAAATGGATTTTGTATTGGGATTCAATTTGATATAAGTTATTTAAGATTTGTATTTTAAGAAGTAATATGTATTTTTGTTAATCTAATATTTATTAAAATAAATAGCAATATATATCAAATATTAATTAATAATAATTCAAAAGATTGATAACAATAACTATTTTTAGTGAAACAAAAATATCTTAATTTATTTAGGATTAATTATAGCTAATACATCTTATTTTATAATTATTATAGCGCAAGTTAATAAAATATCATCATCTATGAAATATGATGTACCTTGTTAGAAATAATAATTATTATAAAATTGATTATTTATAAAGATAATATTAATAATTGTTAATTTAATTCGTAACGAAATACGTAAATAATATTTATACATTTGATAATTGTCAAAATGTATTTCGTAAGCAATTAGCATGAAATATTGAATTCTAAACTCATTTGACATTACCAAAAATCATTAATAATACTTAAAATGTAAATAAAAGTCAGCCTCATCTTCCATATAGGCCAGCAATTGCTGATTAATTCTCAATAAAATTTAAACTGTGCAGTATTAGAATCAGATGGAAATTCTTGTGCAATAGCTGCTGCAAAGCTAATAATTAAGTAATTTGGATCAGTAGATATAACAAAAACTAGTTTAAATACTCATAGCTTTGAGAAAATAATAAATTGGGATGCTCACTAATAAGCTAAAGACAGTTACAATTATATTAGAGTATAATTCTTTCATTAATTTCTTAGGAACTCGAAATATATAGGAATCCCTTTTTTTACCTTTGGTCTCGTTACTTTACAACTGCACCAATATGGGAGATCGATGATCACACATATTACATAATTGAATTAACGGAATAAGATTTGAATTTCTTTTGTTTCAATAACCGAAGAGAATTGAATAAAAAACATACAATCGAATAAGTTATACTTGAGGGATTGCACCTAAAATATAATCGAACTATCATATTTCTATGTGTGAAAGACTTTGATTAAGGAAGATATCATGCACCTAAGATGTATATTGATACTGTTGGTTTATTTAATGGAATATATAGAAGGAAATAAGAAAGATGGTTATGGTATAATGTTACTTAAGGAAGTTATCCTGATGAGGATACTCTTAAATAAACTAATGTTATAATAATACCAGGCAGTACTAGCTCTGCTTATGATGAAAAAGCTTGGATTCGTAGTTTGTAAAACTTTATATTGAATGTATATGAAAATCATACATAAATAAAAATTATGGGAATTTGTTTTGGATTTTAATTGCTTGCTTAAGCATTTGGAGGAATTGTTGTACCCTGCAAAAATAGAATAAAACATAAAGGATTTTATTATTATGGAAATGAGAAAATTACAATTAAGAATGATTTTTTTTAAATTGAATGTTTCAAAGAATTAACTTAGATTGATAGCATAATAATTAATAAAGCTCATGGTGATATAGTTACTAAATTACCTGAGAAGTTTATTAATTATGGATCATCTAAAACAGCTCATAATGAAATATTCATATCTGAAGATTTAAGAATATTTGGAATGCAATCTCATCCAGAATATACATCATAATAAATTTTATTATTTATTAGTGGAATATAATCAAGTTAAGGAAATAAAAGTTTTGAAGATTATTATAATGATACTAATAATAAGAATTTTGTAAAGGAAAAAGGTGATTTCTTAGGATTGTTGATGTGCCACAACTTTTTACAATCTTGAATATATATATATTAATTGATTTTAATAGATATTTAATTAAGAATATTAAAAAATTCGATAAAAATAAATAAATTCTTCAAGACTTAAACACAAAAAAAGAACAATCTCTTAAATCAAAAAATATTGCAAGGACAGCATTCATCAAGATCTTCTTAGGGTTCTTTATGGAAGTACTTAATTTAGTATAGAGATTCTCCAACAAATTGATCTCGAAATGTAATTTTGTGAATTTTCTAACCTTTGACAATTTCATTTTTAAACATATCTAATCTTTGATTTTATCTTTTAGAAACTCTTTCTGTTTCAGGATTGATATCTGTTTAATCTCCATCTGCTTTAATTAAATTCTATAATTTAGGTTCAAATGAATGCACAATGATTTTTATTTTTGATAATTAGTATTCATGTAACACAGTCTTTTGAGTTGAAGACTATATAACACTAACATTACTAAAATCTGAATTTCTATTCTTAGGGCTGAAAACATCATTATTTTGCATTATTTTTATTTTTCATTTTAAGAATTGAAAAAATTGTAATAAAATTATAATCATATTAAAAAAGATTGATTTAGAATCAGGCTAATAATATTATTAATGGATTATAATTTGAGAAATTAAATATATACTGGCAGCAGAACTTTAAGTATATTAAGTTAATTATTGATAAATAGATTTATAATAATATGTTAGTATGTTATTATATAATTGTAAAAAAATAACAAAAATTATAATTAAACTAATGGAGAAGTAATATAGATATATAAGTAATATAATAAAATAATTATTAAAATTGAAGTGGTTTAAGAATGACTATATATCTTGACTTAATAATATACATCACAAATCTGTTTTTTGAGCATTCAATTTAGGTAAATTAGAGAATGATTATCCAGTTTCAGTTTTCTTGATGACTCCCCTAACAAATTCATTCAAATTATCAACATTCAATTGTCTTCTAAATCTATAGTGTTTTTTAGCATTCAAATCTAANTTAGTGGAATATAATCAAGTTAAGGAAATAAAAGTTTTGAAGATTATTATAATGATACTAATAATAAGAATTTTGTAAAGGAAAAAGGTGATTTCTTAGGATTGTTGATGTGCCACAACTTTTTACAATCTTGAATATATATATATTAATTGATTTTAATAGATATTTAATTAAGAATATTAAAAAATTCGATAAAAATAAATAAATTCTTCAAGACTTAAACACAAAAAAAGAACAATCTCTTAAATCAAAAAATATTGCAAGGACAGCATTCATCAAGATCTTCTTAGGGTTCTTTATGGAAGTACTTAATTTAGTATAGAGATTCTCCAACAAATTGATCTCGAAATGTAATTTTGTGAATTTTCTAACCTTTGACAATTTCATTTTTAAACATATCTAATCTTTGATTTTATCTTTTAGAAACTCTTTCTGTTTCAGGATTGATATCTGTTTAATCTCCATCTGCTTTAATTAAATTCTATAATTTAGGTTCAAATGAATGCACAATGATTTTTATTTTTGATAATTAGTATTCATGTAACACAGTCTTTTGAGTTGAAGACTATATAACACTAACATTACTAAAATCTGAATTTCTATTCTTAGGGCTGAAAACATCATTATTTTGCATTATTTTTATTTTTCATTTTAAGAATTGAAAAAATTGTAATAAAATTATAATCATATTAAAAAAGATTGATTTAGAATCAGGCTAATAATATTATTAATGGATTATAATTTGAGAAATTAAATATATACTGGCAGCAGAACTTTAAGTATATTAAGTTAATTATTGATAAATAGATTTATAATAATATGTTAGTATGTTATTATATAATTGTAAAAAAATAACAAAAATTATAATTAAACTAATGGAGAAGTAATATAGATATATAAGTAATATAATAAAATAATTATTAAAATTGAAGTGGTTTAAGAATGACTATATATCTTGACTTAATAATATACATCACAAATCTGTTTTTTGAGCATTCAATTTAGGTAAATTAGAGAATGATTATCCAGTTTCAGTTTTCTTGATGACTCCCCTAACAAATTCATTCAAATTATCAACATTCAATTGTCTTCTAAATCTATAGTGTTTTTTAGCATTCAAATCTAAGACAACAACTTAAGGATATCTAAAAATTTAATAAAATATTATACCCTTCACCAATTACATTGAGTTCAGCCTCAAAATCGTCAAATTGTTCTCCTACAAACCAACCAACATTAGCTCTTCCTGTAAGAGATAAGGCAGTCTAAAATAATTGAGAGATGATAATACCTTCTTTAATACTTAGACTGCACCTTCTTATTCGACTTTATCAGTTGGTAAGAATCCTAAAACACAGAGTTCTTTTATTATAGAGAATATTGATACATTTGCAAACTTCATTTAAACTTTCATCAGATTTAATGTTAACAACATCAGAACCAGACATTTAAGATTATCCATCTACTGGTTTCTATTCTATAATATATTTTAATAGAGCAGCTGCATTTCTTTCTCCTTCATACTTTTTATGAGTATTTTATTTGTTTCCAGCAGGGAAGAAATAAATGGTTGGATATGATTCTATATTAAATCTCTTTGCCAATTCAGTTTAAGCTGTTGCATCTACTTTAGCAATTGGAATATCAGCTTAATGAGATAATTTATTCCATTCAGGTTATAATTATTTACAATGACCACACCAAGGAGCATAGAACTCTACAAACCAAGCTTCCTAACTATTAATCACTTATTCATTGAAATTGGCATCTGTCAAAACAACAACTTTTGAATCATCATTTGAAGGTTCTGGTTTGATCTCTACACCCAATCTATTTAATGCAAATTCTCTTGCTTTATCTAATAGGTAATCAACTATAGCATTCTTTTTTCTTTCACCTTCATAAGCTATTGGATCTGCCTTATTTACTCCAAAATATTTTATAGTAGGATATCCATTAACACCATATGGTTATCCAGCTTCACCATCAGTTGTCATATCCAAAGCTCCAATATGAACTATTCCATCCAAAGCTTTTGCTGCCTTATTATACTCTGGAGCAAGGGCTTTACAATGTCCACACCATGGTGCATAGAATTCAACCATCCATGGTTCATTTGATTCAAGTACTAATGTTTTGAAATTGTCTTTTGTGAGTTTCACAACCTTTGAATCTGCTTCATACAGACCAAAGCATTAAGTGGCTACCAAAGAAAAAATAAGTAAATAGCAGATGCCTTTCATACAGATTTTAATTTTAATAATAAATGATGTGTTCGAAATATTCTAGAATTTATAATAAGAAGACTATTTTTATATGAAATTATACTTATTCTTTATATATATTTTTGTTATTTTTAATTTAAATTATTCTTCAAATATTCATTACTTCTATGGATCCTGCTGAAAAGAGAATGAAAGATATAAAAGAAGCTTTCGATTAGTTTGATACTGATAACAAAGGCACTATATCAACAAAGGAATTAGGTACTATTCATCATAAGTTACCTTTTTTAGCTAATATCTTAAAATATTTGGGTCAAGACCCTTCTGATGAAGAGTTGGACAATTACATGAAAGAATTAGATCCTGAATCTACTGGTACAATAGATTTCTTGCAAATGATGAAAATCTTAACTAAAGCAGTTAAAGATGATGATACGATTGATGAATTAATGGCAGTACATACATCCTTTTAAATGAACTTTTTTAGTCATTTCGTGTTTTTGATGTTGATAATACTGGTACAATTCCAACTGCTGAGATGAGATATATTTTAATAGAAATGGGAGAAAAGATGACAGCTTAAGATGTTAAGGATATTTTAAAGGAAATGGACCCAGATGATAGTGGAATGTGCAAATATGTTGATTATGTCAAAAAAAAGTATGAAGATTTACAAGTAGCCAAAGCTAAGGCTGCTAAGCTTAAAGCTAAAAAAAAGAAGAAGTGAAGCTTAATGTTTTAGTTAATTATTTATATTTTTATTTCTTTTATGATGTTATTACTTATCAATAGAGACTAGTTAAATTATGTATATATTAATTTGTTTATAGTGAAATTAATTAAAACTAATTATCTATTTATATGAATTCCCTCGAAAATTTATCAGATAAGGTATCATATTTTGAATATTTTTAGTATGAAGATCAATTCTCAAGACTGGAAACTGCTGTAATGATTGATACTAAATTTTATAGATGATTGAGCTATTCAAATATGAGAACTTACTAAATAATGAGTATTTAGTAAGAAAATTAGAAACAGATCTTGCAAAACCAGATCATTATTTGTTATAATATGTGGTAGTTTAGAGGGAAAATTCTATAAAGAATAAATATGTGTAAAACGAATAAAATGATCGTAAACAATATCATTTGATCTTAACAGCTGTATTATTAAGATATAATTCATAAATATAGATACTGAAAAAATATGATAATTAATTATGGAACTTTGATCACAACCAATTATTAATAAGACCATATTTCCCTAGTTAGAGGAAGAGAGTTCAAATAAAATCTGGAGCATCAAACATTAGTAATATAAAGGAATCACTTAAAAATGTTGTATAAAATAGAGAATAATTATAATTTGAACAAGAAATTTATTAAGCTGATAAAAGTTTAATTAAATTAACAATAACATGTTAGAGTGAATAATATGCAGATGAGATTTTCACTTATTTGATGTCTAATAAATCTAAATTGCAAATTGATTCTGTTATGATGCAAAGTATCAATTACTTAGATGAATTTCATAAGTAAATAAATTTAAAGAAATGCGCTATGATATCAAATAAAAAATCACCTTAATTTGATAATTATGAAGATAAGGAAGAGAAACAAGATAAAGACAATCAAAATTCTGGTTTTTCAAAAGGAAAAAGTAGATAAAATTATGGATAATAAGAGATTAAATATAATGAAGATTATAAGAATACAAGAGGTAAAGGAAGATTTGATAGAAAACAAGGGAATAATGGAAATAGATAAAATAATGTAATGATTGATTAATAATTAGTAATATTTTTAAAAAGGGGAATCACAATAATAATATCAAATGGTTACAAAAAATGTTAATTAGACAACAACAAAGTTATAAATTTAATAGAATCTAATAAACTAAAATGATTTCCCAACTTTAAGTGCATAATAGAATTGAGTAATATATATAAATAAACAGATTAATTAATTGTTCAATTTTATTTATTTTAATATACTTATACTAATATATTCTCATGCTCCAATAGCTAATTTAGATCTTGCAGCTTATTTTCTTGATTAACGAGCAACAACCTTATTATTAGTTTCCTTTTTAACATTTTCATCTCTTTCTGAAGCCCAAATTTCAATATGAGCATTTGATGATAAGAAAGCTTGAAAATATAAATAATTAAATTACGATTGATTCTTCCATGAGCTCTGTATGTTCTACGTCTACCCTTTTAAGCTCTATTGACTTAGACATGATTGATAATCAATTTTTCATTACTCAAATTTTTGACTTAAGCATTAGCTGCCAAATTTTATAAGAGAGATAATACCATTCTAACACTCTTTTCTGGCCATCTACCTAAAAATCAAATATTCAATGTAAATACCTTGAGATCTGCCGAATTCTTTAGCTTAACTTGTTCTTCCTACACCACCATTAAATCTTGTGAAAGGAACACATCTCTTATGTTAAAGAATGTCTTGCATATATTTAAGAGCTTAAGCAAGTGTTTATCCTTTGATTGCTCTAGCTACTTCATAAGTATTCTTAAAATGAGTTCTCAAATCACTTGCTTTGGCTTTAGCTGATTTTTTAGCAACAGCAGGTTCTCTTGCATATTATTTACCCATTAAATTATATCCTTTTTAATTTATTTGATTTTTTTTTCAAATTTTATTCGTAATAATACCATATAAAAAAGAATAATGTTTTATTTTATATTGATTTAGATGTAGGCATTTATATCAATTATTTACTACTGCATATCTGACTCTATATCCTCCTCCGAATTGTTCAATATTAGTAGACTCAAATAATTCTTTTGGTTGACTTTTGAACAAGAATCCCAAATTCCTTTTTTATTAAGGAATTACATATTCATTGGAAGTGTAGAAGTTTTTATCTAAAATAAATAAAATCCTTTACATACCTGTTAAAATTGCAAAACTATTATTAGAAGCAGAGAATTTAAGAATCTTCTCATCTTTTGGAAGATCAATAGGTCTTGGTACATAGGTCTCATCATAACCTGATAAATAGATTCTATTCTAATCAGTTAAGAAGAGAGAAAGATTATATCCTAAATCGAAATCCACAACCTTTTCATTTGGTTAGAAATATTTCAAATTGACTGGAGTTGGAGAGTAATTTTCCTAATGAATTATGATTTGTTTAATACTAAATCTGTAACAACATATTCTTATTATCTGACACCTAAAGAACCATAATAACTTCTTCCCCATCCTACTACAATTCCTTCATCTAAAAATAATTATTAATATTAAGTACTTACTTAATAATGCCAAAGTTCCAGCAAAACATGACTTAATCTTTTAGATTGTATAACCAGATTTAGTTAATTATTCAAAAATAGGATTCAATTCAGGATATCTGAAATTCAAACTGCATCCATTACCAAGTTCTCCTCTTTTTCCAGCTCCCCATACATAAACTTAGTTGTTTTCATTTACTATAATTGAGTAGTTAATTCCAGCACTCACAAATTTACCTTTTGGTGTTCCTACCAATTTCTATACAATTTATGGTTAAAGAAGATTATTTGTGTAATTATCACCTAATCCATTAGGTTTGCATAACAATTAATCTAAAACTGAATTATTTGCACTTCCCCATGTATAAACATTTCCATCAGCTGTCATATTATTTATATTTATTACAAGCCAATGCTACTCCATGGTTTGATCCTAATGCAACATCTACAACCTTTAATCCCTTATCTCTAAAATATTTCACAAGTTATGGTGTTTATTATTATTCAGTATTACCCAATCCCAATTATCCATAATTATTGTTACCAAATGTATACAAATCACCATTATCTTATCATTTATTTATATATCAATACCTGTTATCACAGCTGTAAAGTATTCACTTGGATATACTTTTTAAACATTTCCATTGAAAGCATCAATTCTCCTTGGTCTTAATTGATCCCCCTAAGAATCTTGATTGATTCCACATCCTAAACTGTGAACACCCCAAGTATACAAATTGCCTGCTCTAAAGAATGGACGAGTCCATAATGATTTAAAAACACCACTATGTGTTAAGCAATTCATTAAAATATTTATTACAATATCTAATTATTTACTATTATATATAAATCATCTTTCCATCATCAATTTCTAAATACTTATTAGCCTTATCAATATAAAAATACAGATTCTCAAGAGATCATAAAACCTACAACATTAAATTTTTAATCATCATCAGTTCATAATATATTTGAATTAAAAACTAAATGCATCCAATATAAACCTATTTTAACCAAATTTCTAATGATAAATTTGAAAAAATATATTTTCTATTAGAAAATCCCCCTAATTTAAAAAAAACTTAATTCACAACATTTATTTGTTTCAAATAAACAGAGATTAAAATTGTAATATTAAGATTATCTACTAAAATATTATGTTTATATAATTAAAATAATATGTTTTTGATTAAATTCTCTAACTATTTCTAATATTTATTATCTAAGTAGATTACTTTTACAAAAATAATTTAAAAATAAAAGTTAATCTAATATATGAAATATTGTTTATGATTTTGATTACTTATAAATATATATAATTTTATGATGATTACATATTTAACTTTTAATTAAATCTGTTTAAAATATAGAAACCATTCAATTAATATTTTTAAGTATAATATTTGGAAACTAATAAAGAGTAATTTCTTGATAGTATCACATAATTATTAAATTGAAATATTAATTTTTATATGAGTGATTAAATTGCAAAAGCAATGAAAAAATTTTCAGAGAAAATAAATAAATTATATCTACCATCTGTTTATCCTATTGTTATTGATAATGTGGAAATCAACAAGAAAGTTTAATTGAATAGGACTAATAGATGTAAGTCTTAACACATAATATAAAAATATAATCAAATACAGACTAATTAATCTTAGGATAACGTTAATATAAATAATCAAGTTGTTTAAATCAATCAATCTAAAGATAATTAATCTATTAGTGTGTAAAGTTAGATCAATAAAACTTCAGATTAAAGTGAATTAAATGCTTTAGAGATTATCAATATAAATTAATTAATCAATTAAAAGAAGAAAGAGATTGCCAGATAAAATAAGTATTATCTAAAATAGATCAGTAAAATTAGATGTAAATTTAATTTAATTTTAGAGAATTACGAAATGAAAGCAAAACTTAGAGACTAATCAAGTAAAGATCGAAAATCAACTGATAAATCTGAAGAGTTATATGAAAAATGTTGGGATGAAACAATCAAAGAAATTAATAAAGAAATAGAAGAAAATCAATTAATTGTCTATGATACAATTCATTAAGGAAGATAAAAAAAAATAAAAAGACCAAAACCATTAAAAAGTTAAGTATGAGTTTAATTAGATATAAATTTAGATTTTCACCAAAATTAGAGAGCATGAGAATTAATATTTTCGTTAGCGTTCTGAATCAATATTGAGGAAAATGAAATAAAAGTCTATTCATCTTGTAGGAGAAGTAACAGAATAAATTGAATAAGCATAAAGGATTTAAAAAGAATAATAATATTAAAGATCAAAAGAAAGAGAAGATGGAAAGCAAGAGATAATAAAATCATTGAGATTTAAAGAGTAAGAGAAATTAGTAAAATTACTTTAATCAAGACCAACAAATAGACATGTATAACTAACATATAAAAAAAATAATGAAGAATTAGATGATCAATTAAGTTCTTTAAAAAAAAACAAAAAGAAAAGATCATTAAGTTTGAATAATTGTTTACCATCTATTGATAAACATCAAGAAATTGAAATAAATTCTGTAAAATAATAAGAAAAGGTTTAGATACTTAAGAAAATATAGGAGAGTAGTAATTTATTAAATAGGAATTTACTCAAGAAATCACGAAATTTTTAGTAATAATCATATCAAGATTTAAGCGCTATTATTAAAGGTTAATGATATCTTTATATTCTCTTTGTAATTATTTAATAATTTAATTCAATTAAGAATTAAAAATGAGTTAATCCTAAAATTCACAAATATCTTTGTCTCCCCAGAAAAAGTAAAATCATTATTTTCCAGCTATTTCTTTAAAAACCACAGAATCCCCTTATAAAGGATCAATTGTACATTCTAATTATCTGTTTTCACAAAACTTATAGAATAAAGTCAATAACAGAAAGGTGAAAAGGAACAAAGAATTATAGCTAGATAAAGCATATACAATTAGAAAGTACCTTCAAGTTAGTTCTTTGGTGCAGGGAGATACTTAGATGTCCTAATCGAAAATATCAAAAAATGTTTCTATAACTGAATAGAAAGATATTAGCATAGATACAAAGTACTCTTTATCACCTTTGAAGCATCTAACAAAAATTGAAGAGACTTTAAATATAATAAGTATAAATATGATAATATAATTTAGGACTCTTAGATGTTAATCATACTTAACCAGATATTAGTATGAAATAGTAATCTCAGAGTTCTATCCATAATTAATGTATTCTTGAATTGGATCAAGAACAAGAAGAGGGAGATCAAAAGAATTCTGTGAGAGTTCAAGATTAATTAAAAATTTCTCCAATTTTAAAAAATAATTTTTAAGAAATTTCAGAATATACTTTATCTAAATCTCAATCTCCAAATAAACATAATGTAAATTATATAATTATATTTAAGATTGTCTTGAAAATAAATCAATAAAATAAAGAATATAAAAAGTATGCATCCTAAATGATACGTATGATCAGAAACACATAGTAGACCTTGATAAAAGAATTTGATTTAGAATAAATAAATTAGGAAAGGGATTACAAAATGAAAAAAATTTAAAGATAGAAAGAAAGAAAAGAAGCATTATAGATAGCTTAAGAAGGAATAAAAAATAGATAATTAAAATCAATGATGATGGCATTGAAAGGATCATAAGATAAAATTATGTCTGATTGTCCACTATTTTTAAATTTGGGAAAGAAACTAAATTCATAGAATAGTTAAACAGCTGTTCAAAGTAGAAAATCATCACATTAGAAAATTTATCAGTAATTACCTTTTGATAAATAATTTGATGATAGAAACTTTCGTAAACATTCAACAAAGTCAGAGATATGTAGTTTAGAAACATCTTTAGAATTACCACTATAAATATAAAAGCTTATATGATATTTATTTGTGTGTTTTATTTGTAATGCAAAACTCATTTGCATCACCAAATTTTATAGAAATATTAATAATAATAAATAAATGTCAGGAGAGTTACCTAAAATAGTGAATAAGAGTTTATTTACAACTTATGTTGAGAAAAAGAATGCTGAAGAAGAGGCTATGAAAATAAAAAATAGAATCGATCAAATTAGATAAGAACGTGAGAAAATACTTAAAAAGATATAATCAGAAGATTAGAAGGCTGAGCAAATCTATAGACATAGATTAGAATTACAATTAAAAGTAAACAATTGATCATTACAATAATTAGAAAGAAGAGAAAATAAGGTAGAAAGTAGAGGCTCCTCCACCCTTCTCCTTAAGCGTCTCAAGAGCTTAAAGAGAGACATTGAAATAAATCAAGTCAGAAATGCTATTAAGAAAAAAAACTGAAGTTAAAGAATTTAGAGATTGGCATAAACATGATCTCAAAGAAACAAAATTATAGAGAAGTATGGATCAGGAGACATTTAGAAGTAAAGTTATATAGGGGAAACAGGAGGAAAAGCAAGCAAATATAAATACATTAAATAAATTGAAAGACAGAAGAGATAAGATTAGATATGATGTAGAATTAGAAAAAGATAAAGTTATCAAAGAGAAAATTGATTATGACTAAAAAATAAGAGAATTAGAATAACTTGAATAGTTTGAATTATCAAATTTGCAGTATACAATACAGAGATAAAATTAAACAAAAGAAAAAGTCAATTTAGCTTAAAGCCTTCCACCAAAAGAATTTGAAGCTAAATTCGTAAATGGATCAGCAAAAGGTTAATAGCATTAAGAAAGTTCATGATAATGATCTTTTCAATTATAAATCAATTTAATCATTTTTCATGAATATCTAATTGATTATAAAAATTTGTAACTTATTTCAATAAGACAATAAGATTTTACATAAATTTGAAGGAAATTCTTATCTTTCATATAAATATTATAGATTATGGCTATGATATATATATATATCTATATATATTTTATTTACAATATATATATTATTCAATTAAAAATTCAATATTATAATTCACTCCATCTCTATCCATCAAAACATAATAAGGCTCTATTAATTTCATCAATTTAATTACAATCTACCTCTATGTTCTATAAAACATATAGTTTATGATCATTAATAATAACCTAAAAATATAGTATAATAATTTACTTAGTTATTCCAAAATCCTTCAGGATACAATAAGGGTTTAGTATCAACTTAATAAATTTTATGTTTATTATCTTCTATATTTAAAAGGAATGAGAATGAGACTCCTTTATCATCATTATCATAACCACCAAAGACATAGATATTATTTTTATTAATTTGAACACAGGCTGAACATTGGTAAATGGTATGAAATTTATGAGACTCTTATTAATCGATTTCAGGATCAATATACTCCCATTTATTTGTCTATGTATCATATCTCTCTATAATTAATAAGATTTATCCATTTTCATCATTTCCACCAAATTTATAAATATATCTGTCATTGAAAGCACAACAAGCTGGTGAATTTGCTGGTTTATTAAAAGGAGCACATAATTCCATCTTTTATGTATTTAAATTGTATTTCTCCAAACTTAAAGACATTTTTCTATGTTCTTAATATCCACATAATATGTATATAGCTTAATTACAATAGACCATTGAATGAGATGATCTAGGATAAGTCAATTATCCAATTTATTACATCTTACCATCTAATGTATATCTTCTTATAATAGATTCTTTCCTATTATCTTTTTAATCAATTAATCCACCAGAAATGTAAATATCACCATTTGGAGCTACAAAAGATTTATGAAACTCTGGAACTTGATAATCAATTTCAAAAGTCATCCATTATTTAGTTTCTAAATTGCAGATTTTTAGAATATTAGTTTTATTGATAATAAAATGCAAGAATTTATGTTAACCTTAAAAATAATTAGGTCTAGTAATCTAAAAGTCTTAATTTGTCATAGTTCCATATAAAGGTTCATCATTATCTCCAATATTACTCATTTATTGTTTGCTTGGCTTTTATTAAAAATGATGAGGTCCATTCTAATTATTAGTTGCATATTATACATATAGTCCTTATACACTATAATTAATGCTCTAATCTTTATTTTTAGATAAAACTGAAATATTATCTCCTATTTCATCATGATCAGTTGTTTAAATTACTACAATTTTACTTAATTGATTTTTTAGATTAAATAGTTTATGTTCATCAATATGAACATTTATTGGATCTAATAATTTAAATAAATAATGTACCTAATTCTTTAGATTTAATTGATTTCTTCAAATCAGATTTATAACGATCAAGCAATGATTTAACATCCAATCTACAAGCTTTATGAAAATGTTAGAAAGGATCTGAACTATTCAATAAACTATTTCTTAATATTTCTAATTAGTCAATTACTGTTTAAATTCTTTAGAAAATACCTCCAATATTTTTAACCTGAATATTAAATAGATAATTTTACTTTTAATTAATTTTCCTTAACTTTTGTTTCGAGAACGTTTTCTAACTATTTAAAAAAGATTGTTATAATTTCAATCATCTATGACTTTACCTCATTCATCCTAGATATTTCTTAATTTAAGATTTCATCAGGATTAAAAAAGTATTGAATGTCATATTACTCATATTCCTTAGATTATATCTATATTATATACTTTTTTCAATTATTCAATTGCTTTTGCAATTTTTTTTTCACAATTAGTTCTTGTATTAAGAATACTTTAAATGGCAGCAGGTGTCTTGGACTAAGTATGATATTAGTAATGTTCTTAGATGCACTCTGGACATAGAGGCCTTAAGCAGTCAATACAAGCACAATAATTAGTTATTTGTGCCCTATGTTCACTAAAGGAACACTAAACATTGTAAAGAGTTTAGGTTGCTGACATCTGTTAGTTATTTAAATTAAATTAATATTATAATTTAAAATTATTTATATAGAAAATCACAATTCAAATTAAATTTTCTAATTTAGGATTCTCCTAGGATATCTTTTTAATGCATTAAGTTTCCTCATTAATCATATTACGTTTTCTCCTAGTTGTTGCTTATCTTCCATGCTAAACAGTCCAATGCTTAAGTAGATCTTAAGTTCTTTTGACTCTGCTTTAACACTTTAAACATGTATAAGCTCCATTCTCAAAGATTCCATATTCTTAATATTTTTATCCTTTATTCTCAATATTAGTTGTAGTTATAATTTCTTTAGGTTGTTTTTCAATATTTTTATTGAGATTAGATATATTTTATTCCTATCTTAAATTTAAATTGATCTATTCTTCCATTTTTTACTCTTCTTATTTAAGATTTTGTAATAATTTAACTTCATTCTATTTGTAATGCAATTGATTTCTCTTCTTATTATTTAATCTTAAGTAAGTTAGATAATATTTTTGCTATATATTCCTCTTCTGAGTTTGATGAGTTTTTTATATTAAACATTATTAATTTGAATTTTATTAAGTTGTAAGATTTAACAATTAAAGTCCTTAATTTATTTTAACTTTTTGTTTATTAGATTTTAAATTAAATAAAAGCTAAAGTCCTTAATTTAAGACATATATAAACCTTTATTATTAATTATAATAATTATAAATGCAATACCAATAGCTTATATAGAATAATTTCCAGTCAATCATAGATTTATATTACCATTAAGCTTAATTGAGTGGTGAGAATAGATTTATAGAGATCAAGGCTTCCACTAAAATTTAAGCTTGGCATAAAATGCATAAATTAAGAGTTAAATATATAAAAATCAGATATGTATTAAATTGATTAAATAGTCAACTGTTATAATACAAAAGTTTGCTCGTGGATATATAGCTAGAATGCTAATGAAAAGAAATAACGATTCTAGATACAATGAAAGAAATATTAAATATTTCAGTTATCATGCAACATAGATCTAAAGACATTTCAGAGGATATCATTATAGAAAATATTATATCAATTGGTCAACCAGAAAAGCCTATTTGGAATTTTTAAAAACTAAAAATCAAGACTTCTTGGAAGAGTTGAAGAAAGTAGAAGTTGATGAAAATTAATAATTGAAAATAAGACAAGAGTAATTGGCAAGAACTGAATTTGAATCACTTGCCAAGAATTTACATCATCTCTCATCTACATAAACTATTTCAGGTGTGTACAATAGACCATTTGGAAATAAAGACATAGTATTTGATATGGATGTAGAAAGTCATCTTAAGGTTGTTTTCCACAGTAATTATGAATGGGAAAAGAAGAGACAAATGTCAAGATATGCCAAAAGCAATAAATTGAATTACTCTAATAAATTAAAACCATTGAAGTGATATCTTAAACAATATTCTCTCAGTCAAGTTTATCAATTAGTTATATTTCATTCAACTAATAATTCTTTTTCTATCTTATTAAAACTTACATTAAATGTCTTTAAATATCCATAAATTATTCTAATTTTTTATTCCTATTATAAGATTTTTGAAAAATAATGTATTATTTTGTAAATAGAATTTATTTAGAATAATTAGGTATCACTTTTATATTATATATTTCAATCATCTCTTTTTAAAAAGAAAATTCAAATTAAAAGGTCTTAATTTTTAAAACTAAATTTGGAATTTAAACTTAATTAATGATGCAAATAAAATTGATTTAAAAATCAAATATATAATTAAATCCTAATAAAAAATGAGTACATTAAGTATTTAGAGATTTGCTATACTATGTGAATTAATAAAATAAAGTCAAATAATTTTGTAGAAATCAAAAATGAAAAAAAAGATGGGATATTATAAATTATTATTATTTAAATTATAATTAATAAAAATATTAATAAGATTTTTAGAAATTTGAGTAGAACTAATTCAGAGATAATTTAATCATGATAAATCTAATGTAAATCTTTTCTTTAAAAGTAGAATAATAATTTTTTAAAATATCTAATTATGATGTCATCACTTATTATAATTTCATAATAGGATTTGATATTTCTAAAAATTAAGTCAAGTAGATAATAATATAAAGAGAGAAGTTAATTTATAGAATTATTTCTATAAGTTATTAAAATGAAATTAATGTTGCCTTATTACAACTACTCCTTAATAATTAGATTATAAAATTACTAAGCAATTAATAATTTGTTCCCTAATTTATTAAAATAATAAAATAGTAGCAACTTCATTTGGATATTTTTATTTAATCAGATCTTATGATATGCATATACAAGAATTAAAAGAACAACAACAATGATTGACTTGATAATATTTAATAATAATATATCATAAAAATTAGATTATTTTTATAAGACCTTGATGACGTTATGAAGGAATCGAAATATTTTAAATATTGAAACATCATTTGAATATAAAGATATTGATATAAAACTCAATATTCATACTAATATATTAAATGTTCTCTTCAAAATTCAGTTATGCATTAACATTCAGAATGTCTTTAAAGGAAAGTAGCAGCACATTAATATGCCTTTAATCCTTATGATGTCATGCATTCTGATTGGAATGATTGTACACAAATTTAGATATCACAATATGTGAATGCTACATCTTAGCAATTTGCATGTCCACATTCAGCTCTAAAAATAGATTATTATATACAATGCTATAAGTTTTGCATTTTTAGAAGCTAAATCACAATTTAACATACATTCAGCATCATCTCCTCCACATTAGTTCTTACATTTCATGGCAGCAGATGCACAACCAAAGACTTCTTTTTGACAAGCTGCATATTCATTTGGACATTTTTCTTTTAAACATTATTCTGGATCTGCTGCAAATGTGATGAATAATAGTGTTATGAATAAGATACTCTTCATTATATAATATAAAATTAATGATATTAAATTAAATCTTTGCATTTACTTATATAATCATCTTAATGACGTAGATACTTTTATTATATTTTTTAATTATAATTATTATTTATAATAAATAATGAATAATTTAGTTGGAGGAATCTAGAAATATAAAATATCCTAAATGAATTCTGATCTCCCATTCATTTAGAATAGAAAATAAATAAGAGCAATATCATTACAACAAATCTTTGATAAAGTCAAATCAAATTGTATTTAAGCTGAGTTTAATCCCTCAAACCTCAATAATCTTAACAATATTCATAAAATTTCATCAAATAAGTATTGATTCAATTTTATTAGTTTGAACTGTGATAATCATCCATAAACTGAAAGATTAGATACTAAATTAAGATCTTAATCAATGACCAATCGATTATAACGATCAAAAGGGAGTGAAACAATACTTACTTAATTAGATTCAAAGAAAACAGGTAATACTAAACATACTACACATGTCTCATATAACTCAGACACTAAACTTTCAAAATAAGGTATTCATCTAAAAAAAATTGAAAATAATAGATAATTCAATAATGATAAGATTGCTTCTTTAATTTAAATAAAACTAAATAGATAATCTGACAGTGATTAAAAATTTAATAATTTAATGCATTCAACAAATAATTTGTTAAGTCAAATAAGTGAAAGAACCAATCTTAAAAAAATACAACCAACTAAATAAAATAATATAGATATTATTAAATCTGATGGTCCATTGTTGAGCTTTAGATAATTTGCTAAATTATAAGGATTTAAATTACCATCTTTTTTGCAAATGTGATACCTCTTTACTTCATATAATATATAAATTAAAACTTAATTTTCATTCACATGGGATCCTCTTGCATGAGTACTTTAAACAATGAAACATAATCTCTAAATACAAATTAATGTCATTTTAACAATGGATTTCAATAAGATGTTTATTTAGTTCATCCAAAAAAGGTTTTAGACACAATCAGCTCAGTTTCCTCGTATTCTAGTATTAATTCTATGAAATCTAACTCAAGTCCACTTTACCCTAATTATTAAGGAGTTTCATTGGATCAAATTAAATAAAAGAACATTGAAAATACTACAGATTATAATAAAAAAAGAATTCAGTCTAAACAATTTCTATAACCTAATCAATCTAATCTCTAAAATTCAAAATCTAATTAATCTGAATTATCAATCGAATTATAAGAAAATCAAACCATATCTCTTGCAATTCCAAAAGGATAAATAAATTTTAGACTCAACTTTTGTAGTTAAAGAAGAGTGTATTCCAAAAAAGACTTACTTAAAAGAGTAAAAAAATAAAGAAAGTCAGAAGTTGTGAGTACTATAATAAATTGATTAAACTATTTTTACAATTGAATTTAATTAAATTATATAAATCTTATAAAAATGTGCTTAAATTATATAACAAGTTTTTATGAAAATAATATAATATATAAACTTCAATTTTATATAATTCTTTCTAATTTATTAATTCCATATAACATATCTATCTAAAAATATGAATTCTTATAATAAAGATTATTTTGTCATATTTTACAATATAATTTAATTCTTTTAGTAATAAATAGTAAAATGAATTATTAAATATAATATATTTGATTAAAAACAAAATTAGATGATTTAGATATTTTAAATATGTTTATAATTTTAATCTCTTAAGATTTATAATTCCTTTTTTGTACTAGTTTTTAGTGTTATTCATGAACATTAATTAAATTTTATATTATTTATTTAAACTAAAATGAATAATTAAGAATTATTACAATTAGTAGATATTGATTAAGAGGCTGGATGGCGTATTTTGTAAGCAAAAAATATCAAGTTGAGTGATATTATTTACTCAGATTTTAATAAACAATAATTGGGAATATGTTTAAAAGATTATACAATTTTTGAGCAATGTCTTAATCATGTATTAGAATATGAAAATAATGAACTATTTCAATTCATTTACTAATATTTCGATAAAGAATTCACTTACAATTGTCTTTAAATGGAACCTTGCTTTTCATGTTACAAACATACAGATGTGATTGAATTAATAAAGAAACCAATTTTAAATGGTGCAAAATCTAAAATCATAACATATTAATTTTCAAAGATATATGAAATATCTGAAATTCAATTAGATATGAGGGAAGAGATTTAGGGACGCATAAGAATTCATTTACCAGGAGATGAAATAATTCCATTTACATAAGAGCTCAAACCTCCAATAATTGCATAATCAATAACATTAGAATATCCATTATAAGAAATAGAGAGACACTCAAATATTTGTATTTGTAGTACTTTTAGAAGAGAAGTTGAAGAATGTCCAAGATGTTAAGGGAAATCATTTTAAATAACATTTTCTTGTAAACCTGTAATAGATATTGAACCAATAACAAATGAATCAGAGGTACAATAAATAAATAACATAATATCTGATTTAGAATAAGTGAAATAATAAAATTTTGAAAAGTTGATGGAATATTATAATGCTATATCTTAATATAAATTTAAGGTTTAAATGATTTAAATGATGAAAGATGCTTATAAAGAATTTAATTAAGCAGCAATTCTATCTAAAAGGTATAGTAGAAGAGTGAGACAATTTTATAATGGGATGGAAGATGAAAGGGAATTATGTTAATTTTCAAATTGTATTGAATGCAGTAGAAGAGTGTTATGTTCAGCTGAGAATGTGAATGAATAATTACTAAGAAAATTATATTTCTCAAATAAAGTAACACATAAGGAAAGAGAAACAGCTATTAAATTACTTAAACCAACAATAAAATATAATGTAAATGATTTAGATTAGATTGCAAATAATGAAGATGTTTATAAAGAGTTTTGTTTACAAGCTTAATTATATTTGAAGGGTGAGAATAAAATGGAATTTATAAATCAATTTTTGAATAGATGCAAAGAATTAAAATTAGATGAAATTATTATAGCAATATTAAAGACATTAAATTAAGTATAAATAACTTAAATTCAATAATTATTATGTGATATAAAAGTAGAAAGTATTTGTTTAAAAGATAATATTATAAGTTAATTATTTTTAATAAAGAATGTTGAAGTTTAAGATTATTTAAGAGAGTTAGTTATAAATGTTTGTAAAGTAGATGAGATTTTAGGATTGAATTTATTTTTAAATGGATTAGAATATACTAATGATACATCTTTTTATTAATTATTTGATGAGATTAAGATTAAAATAGCAGGTGATGCAGTAGTTGAATATTTAGTAGGATTTATTAAAGAAAATTATAGAAAATTAGAATCATAAAAAATATTAAAATGTTTTGAAATGATTTAAAAATGTTGGAATATTCTTAGTAATGATTAATTAAAATGGTATATTGAATTAGATAAATTATTTAATCATATTGGTTAAAATAATGCTAGAATAAATCAAGTAAATTTATTATATTATTTATAGATATATAATCATTTATATTAGAATATGTAAATTAATGATAATTTTGAAATTCTTAAATACTTTATTCTTTAATTATTAAATGAAAATTAATAAAATCAATAAATCTAAAGACTTTCATAAATGATACATAATCTTTTATTTAAAAAATTGGAATTTAGAATTAGAATATGGCCATACAAAACAAATTAATAATTTTATTAAAAAGAAGTTGAATATTCATCACTTAATTTTGAAACGTATTTAATTTTTTAATATTATTTAATAGATTAGAATAATTGAAAGAAATGGCATAAAAAGATTTAGGTTTAGAACCTCAATTTGATTTAATCATTTAAGAAAGGATTGTAAATGATACTAGTCTTGATTTAGAATTAGTTTATAAATAATTTTATATACCTGAAAAGGCTAAACAATTTAAAAATGGATAAAAGATATTATCAATGAATAATACATAATAGGATCCTTAAAATTAGAAAGAAAAATAAAAGATTAAAGAACTTATCTAATAGAAAATATAAATGGAAATAAATTATTCAATTTAAGGTGTTGGTAATCATGATGATTTACCTTATGTACCAAGTTTAGTGGATGATAAGAAATCATATTTAGAGAAATAAATATCAAGTGTTATTGAACCTTAACATTTAAAAATCTTATTTACACTTATTAATAATCTTATATAAGAAGGTAAGAGATTTATGAGTACAGTTTAAAAGATAGTAGGAATTATGAGATTCTTATGCAATTCATCAAATAAAATAAAACATTAAATTATTAATTGTTAAGGTATTGTTGTTTTGATAAAGATCTACTTATAAGAACCTAATGAAAATGAAAAATTATTAGATTTTATAGATGATCTCTTAACATAAACAACTTAAACTAAAAGAAGATTCAGTGAAAATATTGATCCATTTGAATTAAAATTCCATGACAAAGAAAGTGTTACACTTCTTTATTAAGTTATTAATCATTTAGAATCTAATCCAACATAGAGAATATCAAAAACATTAATATAAATAATTCCATTAATTATTAGAGATTTATAAGATCCAATATAAGCATTAATTGAACATTTTAAAAGAAACATTAAATTTGAATGGAACAATCAATAATTAGCATTTTTTGGATCAATATTACATGCCACTCCAACTCATTATCAAAAATTAAGAGAAGCAACATTAGAGAGTGGTATCTATTAAATGGCAATAGAATCTTATTTATAGAATTAATCACTTGAAGTTTGGAGTGAAACTAATGCTAGTTGTTTGAAAATTGTATTTTCTGTTGCTATTGGATCTAGAGAATGTTAATTGTTATTAAATGAAATTGGATTCATATAACAAATATTTTAACATTCAAATAATCATAATTAAGTTATGAAAGAATTATCAAAAGTATGTAATGACTGTATCAATTTCATAAAAAATGATGATGGATAATATATTATTGAAGAATTAAAAAATACAATAAATAAATTAACAATGGAAAAAGAATAGAAATTTGAATAAAGCTATAAAAATAAAAAATAATAAATATTGAAGAAATTTCAGAAATCAACTTATAATCAAAAAATATAATCTCTATAAATAGAGAAAGGATTATAATGTGTAGCATGTAAAGAAGGCTATTCATTAAGTTCAAATTAATTAGGAATTTATGTATTTTCTCTACCATATCAAATTCCAGAAGAAAAAGCATTCTTATCTATGTAGAAATAAGAAACCTATGGTTTATAAAGTGTTACTTATTTTACTGTTATTCATTCATCATGTTAAAAAGCAAGTGTTGATTGTGCAATAAAATCTTAAAAAGATGAATAACCAAAATCACATGATGAAATATTTTGGGAATGTGCTATTAAGAATAATGGTTGTAAATGTAATAATTTTTTACCATTAAAAAATGGAAATAATTATGAATAGACATTAGATATTTATTTCAAAAGATGTGAAAAAATATTAAAAAATAAAATCACTTCAAAATGTTGGTTACTTTTGAATGATCTAAAAGGATTAATATTCAGAATGGCTTAATAAGATGATTTATCAGTTGATGCTGGTGCAAGTACATATGAACACAATCTAAAATTAATTCCCATTATGATGACAGCAATCATATATTGTAATGTATCTTAATACTCACATCTTATGTCAACTTAATAAAATTCATTTGAGTATGTTTCTATTGCTATTATTGTTGCTTTGTTTCATCCTTATTAAGATTGGTTACATTATTAAGCTACCTATTCAAAAGATGCCAATCCACATTTGTTAAATGCTATTAAAATAGTAGATACAATTATGGTTAATATATTATCCAAAGTACCAAATGATGCTAATTATCAAAAAGCCTTAGATAAATTCCTTAATTAAGATTAAATGGATGTAATATTAATTAATCTATATATTAGATTGTTTTACAATTTGAAAAATTGCCTATTGAATATAATAAAAAGTGAGGTTTATGATAATAATAAATTTATTAATTTATTAATATATAACATACTAATTATATACATAGATAAGTCTATTTATAAAAAATTCTAATCTATTAAAAATTATATTTTATAATTTAATTTTAAGATACATTTATAGAATTGCTTGATTTACTTAATTGTGTTTATTAATTTAATACCTAATCTAGAAGTAACAAGTTTGGAAATTTTAAATATATCCTTAATAAATAGATTAAAACTTTATTCAAGAAATTTATTATAATCAAATGATATAATTTAAGATGAGATTTCTGGTTCTTTTATGATTATTAATTCATACTTCCTTATTTTTATAATATAGACTACATGCTTAATTAATAGATATAAGTTATTTCTTATTTAATATTATTTAATTTATTAATGAATCAAAATAAACAATATTATTAAGAAGAATATTAGGCTCCACCACCTAAAATAAAAAAGGCTAAAAGTTTTGATGAGGATGATAATTTAGAAGTAATAAATAAAATTTAGTAGATAATTAAATAAGGATATGGTATTCATGAAGCTTTGAGAATTGACATTCTAGAATTTTATAAATCTTGTAGAACTTAATAAGAATATAAGAATCCAGCAGATTTTGTAAAGCATAGATTAGATGGCAAATATGGACCTTATTGGTTTGTATTTATGTGGGAACATAAAAATGGATTGAATGCATAATACAGTTATTATAATAATGATGACAAAGTTTTTGAATTCAAAGTAATAACCGTTGAAATTATAAGTTAAATGGTTGGCATGTCTTGATTTATTCATTCAACCAAACACAGCAACCTGCCTAATTTAAACCATAACCAAGTGGTTAGACTATGCCTTCATACAATGCGTATAATAAATTATATACAATTTCAGATAGTTTCCACCTCCACTTTATGATCATAGATTTGATGATTTTTAAATTGATCCTAGATATCCTTATACTTAAATGCAATAAGGACCATCTCAATATAGATAAGGAAGATGGTATAGCTGATTAAATGATATTATTTTTAAGAAATATAAGTTTTGTAACAAAAGAATACAGATATAAAAGTAATTTATAAATAATTGAATTATAACTCTCTGTTTATATCAATCATATAAATAATATTATTAAACTAATTAGAAATATAAGATATTAGATTAATTTAATATACTAAAATGACTTTGATATTCCTATTATAGCAATATGATATTATTTTTATTTTCTACTTAATCATAATAAAGTCAAGATAGGAATACTTATCCAATACTTAAATAAATTATAAATTTTGTTAAATAATTAATTTTTTTTTTCAAAATGGAGGATAGCTTTTTTGATCATATCGAAATTGTGAATCCAATCATAAATACACAAAATTCAAATGCTTAATGTGTTCGTAGATGTTTAGATTAACAATTTCAATCTTGTATATAGAAAGTACAACAAAATATTTCATCTCTCAAAAGATAAGAGTCATTTCATACATCAAGTTTTTTCATTTAAAATATCATTCATTAGCCTAAACTAAATCCAAATTAATTAGATAAATCAAGTAATATATATCTAAGATTAGAGTCATTTATAAATGCATTGAAAATTCTGAAAAAAAATAATGATTCCTATTAGTCTAATTTAAGATAAAAAACACTCACTTCTTACTAAACATCAGATTTAGTGTAATTACTTAAATGTAGAAGTGGTAATAAAAATTCTGCAAATTGCCAAACTTAAATCTATAAGAAGTAACAGATTTAAGCAAAATAATTATAATAAATAAAACAATAATTAAATGAATTTAATATTCGAAAAAGTAATTCAGCATACATTCAAGCTATATTTAAATGAAATCATACTATTATATAAATCTATTAATCCATTATTGTTTTATATATCTACTCGATTTATATTATGAGAATTTTTATTAATTTATTTATATAATGCACTTTTACAAAGAGTACTTGTTAAAAGTAATAAATTATTACATCAATCATCTTGTTTTAAAAATAAAATACAAATTCTATTAATTTTAAGATATCAAGAAAATCATTGAATAAATGATTATCTATAATTTTGTCAGCATATTTATTTTCAATTCTAAAAATTAATTATTTTAATATTTTTGGAAATAAATAAAAGTAAAAAAAAATTAATTTCACTTGAATTATTGTTTTTACATTTCTTCGATATCTTTTAGCATTTTAGGTTTATCTGATCTTCTGATAAGCAAATATATCATTGTTAAAACTGACCAAACTAATAGAATAATTTCAAAGACATTATTTGAATATAAATAAGTAAAGAAACGTAGATATTATATTTAAGTACTAAACAACACTATTTTTAAATATAGAATTACTATTAAGAGTACTCAATCTAATGTATTGGGAAAAGGCTTTGGTACAAAACTAAGTAACTGCCACTGAACAAATAAGCATAAGTTATATATTAAATAGGAAAGTATTCATCCAGGTCTCATTTATTCTATTATATGAATAATATAATACTTCATTATATGTAAAGAGAATAGGAAGGGAATTCTAAGACCAAATTTAATGTTACCCTTTTATGTACACCATAATAAATATATACAAAGGAATCCAAATATACCAACACATAAAAATCCAGCATTTCCATCTTCTAAACCAATTAAAATTTTATTAAGGAAAGGACTTGCTGATATACCATCTGCATCTCTTATTACTATAAATAATAATCTTTTAATATGATTCAAAATAATACATATGCAACCACCATATAAAAGAAATAACACAGAATATCACTCCAAATACTAACTTAAAGTACCAAATTATTGGATTAGTATCAAAATACTTAATTTCTAATTTAAATATTTCATAATCTCTATCTAAACTCAAAACAGCATTCTTATATTTTGTAAATTGTGTTCTAACTTTTCTATTTTCTCTATATCTAGCCCACCAACCATCTTAAATAACAGCATCTTTTTTATCATCTCTAATTTTATTGCCTTCTTCAATTAATTCATATGATTTCCTTTTTAAACTACCTTTCTTCTAAGTTCCTTCAGCAGATGTCAATTTTTTAGGTCTATGTATAAATTCTTATATCAAATCAACAGGTAAGGCTGTCAAACCAACTCCACCAAAAAGTACAAATAAACAATAACCAAATAAAGACATAAATGCCATAACATAAACAGGGAAACTGACTTCATATTCCAAACTGTCTTCAGAATCCTCCTGTAAAGAGTTTGCCACATTTGTATATGGTGTTTCAGAATCTAAGAAATCAGTTGGCTATGTACAAGATTTAACTGATATATAGACTGGGATATCAGCAAATCTTAAAAATGCATAAGAGATAAATAGTAATAATGCTATGATTATCACAAAGCATAATTATTAGTAAAGAGCTGCACAACATCTTTAACCTACAGATTTCTCATCATCTGATTCATAATAATATTGAGCAAATGGAATGAAAAGGGTTCCAAAAATCAAAATCAGCATATAGATGAATTTCCAAAAAAAATCCATATCTAAGCCTTCTCCAAGTCCTCTAAGTTAATGGATAATTGATATTACCTTGAATTTGCTGCATCTAATGGTAACATCAATACTTAAGCCCATGTCAATGTCATTCCAATTATCACAAATACTTTGCATACTAATGATGAACCCCAACCACTATCTTCAGCTATTTACTATAGATTTCATTAAAATACGATGACAATAAAGAATGAGTAAGTAAAAGTTGACAAATAATAATAATAATGCCATTACTATTGTTACAATTATCAGAAACCATTCCATTTTAAATAATTTATATTAATGAGTAATTAAAAATAAAAATATTACTTTCATTTTATTCATCATTAGTACCAATCTTAACATAACATATCTCTAATATTTTATTTGAATAGAATTTAATTTAAAAATACATAACTATTTTAATTATAACTTTATTATTAATTTTATCATATTATATAACAAGAGAGTCTATAAAATTTAATTCCTTAATAGCAAATGTATAGATATTCTTATCCTTCTAATCATAATCCAAATTAATTAAACCGTATCTATCTAAAGATGGAAAGTATGAACTTTATAATAGTAAAGGTGAATAATATAAGTTAAATAAGTCAAAGGACTTCATTCACATAAAGGTTAATCAAGTTCTTTAGAAAGGCCATTGGGTCAAAATGTCTTGCTTTTCCTTAGATTCCAATAAACCAGATAGTATTATGATTAGATTAAGTAATACCGAAACAAAAGAATCTTATTAATTATCTGAAGGTAGTGATTAAAAATATGGTTATTTATAAAATATTAATATCCTCCTTCTTTGAAACCTCCTATTCCAGAGGATAATGAAAAATTTAAAGATAGTTTAAAATCAAGAATGATGTATTTGTGAATTAAAAAAAATGATTTAACATAAAAATATCTAATAATATTATAATTCCATATATATTTCAAATTAATTGTTAGAAATGATGAAATTTTTCTTGGTCTTTGGAATCTTATTATTGATTTCAAAATGTATTTAAAAGTCTAAATATATTTGTTATTTTAAATAAATGAATAATAATCCTTCAAAAATCCGGAAAACTATTTCTAATTATACTTATGACTAAAATGATTTAATTGGTTCTGGTTACTCATCAAAAGTTTATAAAGGAATGAATACAAAAAACAATACAGTTGTAGCAATTAAAGTTATAAGTTTTCAATAATTAATCACTCCAATTTCTAAAAGTTTACTAAAAAATGAAATTCATGTATTGAGCTTGATTGATCATTTTAATATAATGAAAATTTATGATACATTTGAAACCTAAAATAATAGATATTTGATTTGTGAATATTGTAATGAAGGTGATTTGGCTGAAATTTTAGAATCAACAAAATTCACAGAAACATAATCTTTAGAAGTATTCTCATAAATTGCATAGGGAATTAAAGCATTACATGATAAAAGTAACACCTTTATGGTAAATTTATTAGAAATAATACATAGAGATATTAAGCCAGCCAATATATTGAAATCTAATGGTTACTATAAATTAGCTGATTTTGGTTTTGCAGTCATTGAGAACTAATACGAGAGCATCATAAAGAAATTCAATGTAGGCACTCCAATGTATATGGCTCCTGAAACAGTGTAAAATAATGTATATTCAGAAAAATCAGATATATGGGCTTTAGGAATAGTATTATTTTAAATGATATATCATGAATTACCTTAGTTTTCTAAATAAGAACATGATTTAAACAAGAAACATTAATTTTTAATCAATAAAATAAAAAATGACACAGAAACGTCTCTTAAGACTAAAGAATTAATGCTTAATATGCTTAATTTTGATCCAGAAAAACGAATCTCCATAAATGAAGTTATTGCAAATATGTCAATACAATCTAAAAAAATATAAACTCATTAACATCAAAGCATTTCATGTAGATCAATTAAAACTAGTACTATATCTCAAGAATTATAATAATCAAGATAATAATTAAATGAATAAATATCAAATAATTAAATATTTTAAACTTAATCAGAAGATCCAATTGAAAATTAACTTAAGCAGCCATAAATGTATAAGTCATAAGAATTGAATGTCTTATAGAATGTGGATACAAAAAAAGTTATAAAAATAAATTAAATTGCTGATCTTTTAGATGTTAAAGAAAAACTTTATGATTTAACCAATTAAAACTCATTAAATTAGAATCCAATTCAAGAATAAGTAATAAAAGTTTCTTATACAGAAAAAATAGACAAAATTCAAAAACAGTTTCAATAATCACCTATCAAATTTTAATCAATTGAATCCAAACTTAAAACATAAAAATCTTTTGAATTATTAGAAATTTCAAATCAAGAAAAAGAAAAGATATCTCCAATTATCAATAAACCTATTATTATATAACATGAATTCAATAATTTACAAAATACTATTACTAAAAATGGTCATTCTGGAGAAGAAAGTGAATGTATTTAACATAGTAATTAGAATACCACCAATGACACCATAAAACATAATTAATTTTCAAATTGTTAATAAATTTTATCAGAAAAACAATAAACACTAAATATTTAATAAAATTTATCAAAACCATCATATTCTATTCAAAACAACAATTCTATCTAATAAAAGAAATCACCTGTTAGAATTGTTCAATCATAATAACATATTATCACTCCACCTTTTAAATCTTCTGGTGTTAGTTTATCAAGAAATTCTTAAGATAATAAAAAAAATTATTTTTTTCAAACAAATACATCTTAATAATTGAATTAATATGCATCTTAGACAAAATAAATCTCAAATGTAATAACTGAGAAATTCACAAGTGATTTTACTTGCAATTATTAAGATGATAAAGTGGAATCATTATCTGCAACAATAAGACCTACTTATAAATTTTTATATTTCTTAAACAATGTTATTAAATAATTTGATTGCATTAATACAGAAGATAAATAAAAATGCTATTTTTTAATTAGAAAACTAATAGGAATTAAAGCTACTTATATTTAGAATTATTGTCCATCTATTAAATAAGAAATAATTAAAAGTTGGATCGATAGTTTCTTAAATTTTTATTCTAAAGTTGAATCTGTATTTTATATATCTCCTGATAAATAATTTGAGTAATTTTTCAATAAAGATTTATCTGAATTTACACTCAGTTTCTCTTAATTATTATTACATTATTTGAGAAGAATCAATATAATTAAATTACAAAAAGAGTTCCAAATAATATCAGAAATATTAATAGAAAATCAAAAATAGTATAATGATCCTATTTTATTTGCCAGAAGATGGGAAAACGATTAACTTTGATCTTTATTTCTAATTTATATTAATATAATATATAAAAAACTCATTTACTAAGTATTTTTAAGTTAGATATTTGTTGATAACTGTATAATTAACTAATATATTTTATGATATTAAAAATGAAGTTAAAATAGATAATATATAATATAAAAAATTATATGTTTCATAACTTAAAATATCAAATTACTTAGTTCAACACAGTATGATTTTATTTTATTTGAAGTTAATAATATTGAATTATCTAACAGAATTCCTTTGGATAAACAATAGATATAGGATATTATAAATAAACACGAAAATTGAAACGAATTTGATGTTCACAGAGAATGATAATAATTGGGATAATTTTATAGGAAGAACTGGCTACATGAATTTAGTTTAGAATACAAATATAATTAGATTAATGAAAATTATATGTATTTATCGTTTTATTTTAATAATTTATATTTATTATACAATTAGATGGGAAATTGTTATGATTCAAGAAAGAATACAGTAATTTTAGCATTTGATTAAACTGAATATACTCAGTTGAATTAATAATTTCAATATTACTGTGAATTAAGTAGTGAGTAATAATATAAATATTATTAGAACTCGTGATATTAAATAACTTAATTAGAGATCCTTTGAAGATATATTTTCAGAAAATCCTACATTTGGAATTAAACTATTTAAGTTCCTGGAATTGTATTCTGGAAGTGATGGGTTTGTGAAGAAAGAACCATTGTTTGAATTCTGTAATGTTAAAATATTACTTACATTATAGTGGAGTTATTAGTGAAGGATGTTTAAACCTCAGTTCCAGCATTCAAGAATTTAGAAAGGTTTGAATTGATGTCTTTGATTACTTTGCAAAACTATAGATATGTTAAATCAAAAGAAGAGTTGGCTTAATTGTAATTAACCTATCTTGATACTCTAAGTGTGATTAAAGTATATCAAAATACTTCTATAATTTTAGGATATTATTAAAATGTATTAAAATAACCAAAAGAATACACCAACTAATGAGAAATACATAAAATCATTAGTAGATTAAGTATATAGTATTTATTTAATTCTAAATTTAGAAAATGAGTCAGGTTCATTCTCTTGGATATAATTGATGGACTTCATTTCTAAATAAATGCCAGGAACAAAATATCTAATAAAAAAATATTTTTAAGCCAAATTTATGGGAAAATAATTTAATGTAATTAAATTAATTACTTTTCTAATTAGAATACTATTCCAGTTGTTAATACTCCATCATATTTTGTAACTGATGAATTGTTTTTCTAATTATTATTAAGTACATAATCTGTACTTACTGATTGCAATTAATTAACTTTGTTATATTCAAGTGTTGCTCATTAAGGTGGTTTTAATTAAATGGTTTAATCACTTAAAGGTACTATTAATATTATTGTTAATATTTAGATTGTAAATTACCTACAATTATGTTTTTTTAACATGAAGAAAAATATGAATAGAAGATTAAATAATAGATATTTGGAGCTCTTACAAATCTTAGATGGTATGATACAAAATAGTATTTTGGAACCAAGAAGGATTGCATTTTTAGTCTCTATCCTTATTTTAAGATATATAGATCCAAAAGAAAAGGAGAATAAAATTATTGTTTTTTAGATTCTAATAAAGGAATTGGTTTTGGTGGTAAAAATGGTGAGGGATGTAGAATTTGGATTGATAAAAATTTATAGAATTCATATTGTACTCAAACAGATGATTCTTATGAAAATGGACCTCTAATATTACCTTATGTTAAGAAATTGTAAATTAATATTATTGAAATATGGGCTATTCAACATCCTACTGATGAAAATGATGAAAATTTTGATATAAAAATAGATCTAAAAGATCCATTATTGTAATAATAATCAGATGAAGTGTAATATCCAAATTCTAATGCTGATTTTTATTGGGTTTCACAATAGAAAACAGAATAGAGAAATTCAGGATTTTATTGGGAAAATAATAATGTAAGTTGATAAATTATATATATATTTATTATAAATTGCCGCATAAATTATTTGAATTTAAAAAGTTTTATGAACGAGCTTAGTGAATATCCCAGTATTTAAGTATGATTAACTTATATTATAGTTTGATAATAGTCTTTATAATTCACTCAAAACTAAGGATAGTAGATTGATACTTAGATAAATGAGATCAGCTATTGAAGAATTTAATCATAATAAACAATTTGATAGTGAAACTTTTACTATCCTTTACTATGGTGTGTAATAAGTATTTATCAGTTTTATGATTTATAGTTGTAAAAAGATGATATCTTGGAGTTTTTAGAGAAAGAGATTCTAAAGAGACTTGATGTTTTAGAATTTGAGATTTTATAAATGAAATTTTTATAGGCAACTTTAGATGATTAAAATAGAAATAGGAAAGAACATTTGTATTAATTATAAAAAGAAATATTATTATCATTTGGCTTATATGATAAACATCATTAAATGGGAATAGAAACAATATTATAATTTTATAAAACAAAAATAAAAGATAATGATGTTAAACAATATTTATAAAATTAATTTAAGAAAATGATTAGAAAAGAGAATCTTCATAATTATATTAAAAATAGATTAATATAAATAATATTTAATTCAGAAGATTGTGATTAATAAATTTCAGATTTACTAATATATTGTGAAAATATTGCTTTTATAATTTAATTCATTACAATTCTAGCATAAAATAGTTTAGAAATATTATAAAATGAAAGTAATTCATTAAAATAAGTATCAAAAGTACTTGAAAGAGTAAGTGCTCAAAAACCAAATTTATTTAATTAAAATTTACCTGTTTTTATATAATTTTACGATAGTGAAGTAACTTATGAATTTATCAATAGAGTTATTGTCTTAGAAATGCTATTAATACAATAATCACAAATATTTTAACTGAACATTTAAATCCATCTAAAGAAGAATAAGATGTAGAAATAAAAGAAACCTAATTAAATTAAAGACTATTTCTTATTTAAAAATTGACATCTAGAATTATAGATAAAAATGCATATGCTAGAGTTCACACTTTAAAGATGTTAAGAGTTGTTTGTTCATAAAATTTAATCCCTCCAAATGTTTAACTTATGATGTTTCCATTAGTTATTGCAAGAGTTTAAGATGTTTCTTCAATGGTGAGAAAAGCTGCTTTGGCATTTATTAAATAAATTACAAAGTATAATATCAAAATATATAGAATTTAACTAGATATATGAAAAACCTATTTGTTGATGGGTTATAAATGTAAAATTTTATGAAAATTGCTGAAATCAAAGAGTAAAATGAATATTTAGGAAATGAAATTCATAAAACTTTAATAGCTATTGATTAAATATTAGAAGATAAAGCAAATGCATAAACTGAAGCAGAATTCAAAGAATTGGAAGATGAAGAAAATCTAGTTGTCTCTAATTTAAGAGAGAAGAAAAAATTACAATCAGTTTTTATTTAATATTAAGAATTTATGGAGTTATTATAAAAATTATTGCCTAATATTGAATTACTATTAAATAGCAAATGCATTACTGATATTTATAAAGCTATTTCTCTAATTAGTTTTTTATTTAAATAAAAAATAGAAAATACAGATGTTGGAATCATGAAAATGTTAATACATTCTAATAATCCATAAATAGTGAATAAATTAGCTAAAAAATTTTATATCCTCTTTATAGAAAATGATAATTAGTAGATTCCAATTAATAATCTTATACATTTATTGAAAATTTCATCATCAAAAGAGTAAATCTATCTTGAAGAACTTATTCGATATATGATCAAATAGAAAATGATACCAGAATCTATTATAGAAATAATTTGGACAAATTTTATGAGAACTTATTCTACAAATTAACATGAATAATTGAATTAATATTCTAAACTTGTTAGAATTACTTTTGGTTAGCAATCCAATCTTTTAACTAAAATTAAATTAGATTAAATTAACAAAATAATTGAAGGATAGAAAAAAGAAATTAATTGGGTTACTGTTATTGAATTAGCAAAATTAATATATTACTTAGAAGATAAAATAATTGTTAAAAAATATTTTTAATAATTCTCATTAATTTTATATTTTTATTTTGGAACACCTAATAATTTATGGTTTGTTGCTTGTTAAGAGGTTTTAAATTTGATTTAATTTTTGCCTGTTCCAGAGAATATTTATGATTACATAATTAAAAAGTTTAGTTTCAAAATATTTGCTATGGGAATGACACCTCAAAAAAAGTAAATATTATTATTAAATTAATAGTACTTAAGACTTTCTAGAAGAGGAATCAACTTTAGTATTTAATAATTAATGTACATAACTTAGTTAATTATTATTTATTGTTGGCTAATCTGCTTTGGCAATCATTCTTCATATTGATGAAATTGAAAATCAATTAACAAATTTAAGAAATGTTGAGGAAGCAAAAGAAAATGAATTAGATAAAATTTAGGGTGGTTGTGAAGAAGAATACGAATATAATAGTGTATATTTGTAGAATTTATGCAAATATAGTATTATTTATAAATATCAAAAGATGTTATATAAAAAGGATTTTACTAAAATTATGTTCCAATAATACTAGAGATATTAGCTGAAATAGAAGAGGATAATTTATAATTGACAATACTACATAAATCTGCAGGTCTTTGTCTGTGCAAATTTATGTGTTTATCAGAATAATTTTGCGAAGAAAATATAGAAAAGGTTTTTAAATTAATTTAAAATTCTAATTCAGATGGAATCTTTAAGAATAATTTAATAGTAGCAATTGGAGATTTATTACACAGATGGCCAAATACAGTTACATCATATTGTAGATAACTCTTTGATGGATTAAGCAATTAAGACTTTATAGTTAAATAAACTTCATTAAATATGTTATCACATTTAATATTAAATGATATGATTAAAATCAAAAGAGAAATTACTGATATAGCTTTATTATTAACTGATCATGATGAAAATATTTAATAATCAGCAAAAAGATTCTTTTTTCAATTATAGAAAAAAGATTCAAGAAGAATCTTAAATAGTTTACCTGATATAATCTTTAGTATGTCAAATGAGGAGAGCCATGAAAAATACAAATCATTTCTCATTAATACTTTAAAATACTTAGATAAATAGAATGAATAATTAGTTGAAAAACTTTTGAGAAGATTAAAAGAGAATATAAATGATTTTGAAGTTTATAATATAGTGTATACTTTGTCTAAATTATAAATGAAGGAATCTTTAGCAAGAAAATTTTATGAATGTTATCCATATTATCAAGAAAGATTAGAAAATCCGTAAATCAAAGAGTATTTCTAAGTTATTATCTAAAAAGTATATATTAATTTTATAATTAGTTAATGAAATGTGGATTAAATTAAGAAAATAAATAAATTCTATTGGAATTTGAGGAGCTACTAAATAGAGGTGAAACCAAACGTAGAGTACTAGGATCTAAAAACAAATCCTAAAAATCAACTAGGTCTCATACAAATTCGCAAAGATCAATTGGATATTCAAATATCTTAGATTAATTGTATACTTAATCTACTGAATTCTGATTTTGAATTTGTTTTATTATTATTTTTTGTTTCATAAATACTTAATTAATTCTACTCTATTAAATAGCATTATATAATACTTCCTTTAAAATCATACATTATTTAGTTAAATTAATAAAGAAAATGAATAAATTCTTAATCAATATATTTACATTATTTTCATTTATAATTTCTTTTTTCTATTATCAATATATATTAAGGTAAGATTATTTGAAGTTTTCAAAAAATAGGATTTGAAATTCTCTAAATTTTGCTAGTTTGCTAAAATTAGCTTTAATTTGTTCAAATTTCAATTACTATCAGATTAACACAACACAATTTTAAAAGTAAAAACAGACCGCAGTATTTAAACAAAATGTTAACCATCATTTCAAGATGATTAATTATGCCTTTACATAACTAAAAGCTAGAACCAGAATAGTAGATAAGTTAAATATCTGCTTATTCTAAACTTGAAATTTTTTTGAAACTAAAGTAATTCTAAACTTTAATAATTACAATTGTTATTATTAGAATATTAACATAATGTTGTTTTTCCTATATAATACATATACATTTTTGGTTTGATAAAAATTTATATCTAAACTAATATGATTGTGGAGGAAAAAGAAATAATTAATATTTATAACCAAATCAAATAAATTATAAAAATGATAACTCCTCAAGAATAACTTGATATTAGTAAGTTTTTTTGCTATAATAAGTTATTAAATAGATTACAAAATCCTTATAAGGAAAATCTTAAACAACTATTAGAACTTTAGGTAAAACTTTCAGGGGATTTGAGTCTTTTGATAAAAATAATAAAATTGATAAAGATGAATTTCTAATTGGTTTAAAATAAAATGGAATAGTTTTAACAAAATTCTAAACAGACGTAAATAGTTTATTTTCCTTATAGTTTTTATTAAATTATCTAGATAGAAACAGAGATAGATCAATAAATATTGCTGAATTTTTTTATTTAATAAGAGTAAAAAAATAAATTGATAAATAGGGAACACCCAATGAGAACCGAATGTAAGTAATAGTCTAAGCATTCAAGAAATTTGATAAGGATAATTTAGGTTATATCATGGCTGATGATTTCAAAGGAATTTTCAATGCAAAAAATCATCCAAAAGTTATAAGAGGAGAACTGACTGAAGATTAAGCTTATATTGAATTATTGCAGTATTTTAAGGAAGGAAATAAATCTGGCCTTATAACTTTAGATGTATTAATGTAAATTAAACTTAGGAATGGAAAGAATACTATGCTGCAGTTAGTGCTGATATTGAATTAGATGAGAATTTTATAACATTAATTAAAGAAACATGGAGACTAAAATGATTTATTTATAAATAAGTATCACAAATACATTACAAATCTCAAAGTTTAGATTCATTATTTTTATGTTCCTCATCTTTTACATTTTATTATTATTCTTATTATTCTTATTCTTATTATTATTATTCTTATTATTATTCTTATTATTATTATTATTCTTATTATTATTATTCTTATTATTATTATTATTATTATTATTATTATACTTATTCTAATACTTATTATTATAATAATACTTATTCTTATTATTATTCTTATTATACTTATTATTATTCTAATACTTATTATTATAGTAATGTTTATTGATATTCTTATTCTTATTATTATTATACTTCTTATTCTTATTATACTTATTATTCTTTTTATTATTCTTCTTATTATTCTTATTCTAATTGTTCTTGCTATTATACATTATTTTCATTCTCATTTTCCTATTACATTTCAACATCAGCATCAAGATTCTTGATTTCCAATTATATGTGATTATCAGATTCTGAACTTGACTTATTATCCAATTTTTCAAGTCTACGTAATCTTTCATGAGATCTTGATCTTGATCGTGACGACCTAATTTAATATCTAATATACTTTTTTTAAGTTTTCTTTGATTTTACACTGACCTTATATATCAATGGTTTGATTGATGCTGGATTAATTTCACCTTATGCAATCTTGGTATCATTTTTAATCGGATAAACAATTAGATATATCCAACCGTTCTAATAATGTGATGTTACTTCATTTATTTATAGTTTTTCTATATTTGATATTCCTTCTTCCAACCAAATATTGTCTTCAGGTTATCTTAAAATTTATTAGTTTTAAGAATTTTAAATCAAAAGAACAGGCTTATCATCTGATGAAAACAATTGAACTTCTAATTCTATTTTATTATGATTCTTAATATTCATTCCTTTCATGTCTTTGAGAGCAATATCTAAATTAAAGTTCTTGTCTTTGAATAAGGGTTATTCTAAATCATTTGTCAACACTAATTAATATTGGAAATCACTTTAATTATATTATAAAGACTTCAATAAAATATTGTTTTATGTCATTTCTTAATTTGGTATTGACTCTAAAAATAAATATTTTTTTAATACATCTACTCATAAAATCATCTGCTTAACCATTATCAAATTTCTATTCAACTATTTTTTATAGATTAGTTATTTCATCTAATATCTATGTAATAGTATTTTCCAAATTTGCATTCTTATTCTTGAAATCCAATAGCATCTAATTTTACATCACAAACATATTTAAGATTTTAAGTTAAAATTCATTGACAACCTAAGAAAATCCTATTTATTTATATAAAAAATAAATTACCTTATTCCAAATTTGATTGAGCTGCATTATTATTATTTTAGGTTGATTATCCTTAGGATTGTTATAATTATTATTATTAAGGAGCTTATTATTATTATAACTGCTGCTATTATGGTTAGTGTTATTATTAAGCTTAGTGTTGTTATTATAATGATTGCTATTGTGGAGGCATTAATTAATTTTGATTCAACTGCTATTGCATAGGAGGCTGTTATTTGAATTAAAAATCAAATGGAGGAGGCATTTAACCTAGAGGTCCTTATGGCATTGGACCCATCCCAGGTAATTACATGCCACCTGGTCCCATAGCACTCATTCCTCCCATTCCTCCCATTCCACCCATTCCACCCATTCCTCCCATTCCACCCATTGGTGGAGGTCCCATAGGTCCAGATCCCATAGGTCCTTATGGCATTTATCCAGGCCCTAATGGAGGCATTCCAAAACCTGGAGGTAAACCCATAGGCATGGGAGGCATGTTTTGCAAACCTTATGCAATACCATTCATATTCATTCCACTTTAATTAGGTGGAAGTGAATTCATTTAAAGTGCCTAGTCATGGACGAACTATTCAGGAAATTGATATTTTTGATTTGAAGGTGGTGCCATCATTGGTTAAGGAAAAGGAGGTCCCCAACAAGGATAATAAGGTGCATTTGGCACTTAAAGCATTCTACCATATGGATCAGGTCCTGCCATTTATTAGAACATTTAGTATAATCTCTACTGTTCATCATTAGGATTCATTTATAAGTTAAATAAATTATTATGTCAAAGAAGTTAAATTTGCTGCCTCATCAAATAAAATATCTCCTTTATATTCATCCCATCATTAGCAATTATTAATGTAATGTAAGAATGTAAATGAAGAGTAGAGTAAAATTTTTAATTTTTTTTTAATAGAGATATTTAAAAAGTAAATGACAATTAAAGGATATTAATTTTTAGAAAAATTATTGGTTGAAAATATGATGTGTAGAAGGTAATTTTTTGTAAATTAAATTTATTAGCAAATTATATTTAATCAATAACACTTATTGAATGATTTAGATTTAGTATAGGTATATATTTTTATTATATGAAACCTTTTTATATAATTAAAGGATGAAATTGGTTTCTGTATATAAACGCTTAAGTTGAATTTTTATATTTATTATTTCTAATGCTTTCATAATTGGATTCAAATCATAAATCATTTTATTTATGAATCAATAATAAATGGATTATTCTTATTTTGAATATATATTTCTGATAACAAAAAAGAGGGTAGAAATTAATTAATTAAGAAAATTAAAAAGGAAATTCTGAAAAGAAGTGCAAATATTTTTATTTAGTATAGGCAAACAACATTTAGAAAACATAAAATAGAGTATTTTATAGTCTATCTTTATATTAGAAAAGAAATTAACATTATAATTGCATAATGATTAATGAATAATTAGATGAATTAAAAAGAATATTCGAAGATTAATAATAATAACAAGAATAAAGAGAACAAGAAATAATTGGAATTCTAGAAAAATATATTAAATCGCTTATAAGGTTTTTATAAAGAAATAGGACTGAATGATAAAGAAATTAAGAATTATTAGTTAAACTAGTAGAATAAGTAGTCGAAAAGATAGAGATTATCGATTATGATTTTGATTTATATTAAAAATATATAATAAATGGGTTAATGTTAAATGCGTAATGAAAGGTAGTTGATATGATTGATTTCAGGATATTAATACGTTGTTATACTTGGAATAATGAGTCTAGTGATCTCTTTGATTATGAGAGTATTACCAATGAAAAATAATAATTTACAATCCAAAATTAAGATTCATACATCATTAGTAATAAAGAGACACTTTAATTAATAAATGAAATACCTAAGGAGAATAGGTAATAAAGATCATTTATATGTAGTGAAGTTTTATTGTATATAACAGCTAAAAATACTGTTGTTGCTGGAACATAGTAACAATAAGGAAATTCAACAGCCTTGACAAATACTAAATTTCCATTCAAACTAAAAAAAAATTGGTTAACAGTAAGATCTGTTAATAAATATCCATTAAATGTAAATGATATTTTTAGGCTTGGAAAAATGACTTTTAGAATTTCTAGTCTTAGTTTTACTACTCAAAATGAACATGAATTTTCTAACCGTAGTAAAGCAGATTCTAATGAATAATGTCGAATATGTCTAGGAAATGCATAAACTTCTAATCCTTTATTGAATCCATGCAAATGTAGTGGATCTTTAAAGTATATTCATTTAGAATGCATGAAAAGATGGTATACTTGAATAAGACTTAGGCTCAAAGAACTTACATCATCATCTAGATCTTCTGAGAAAAGTGAAACATATCTATGGAAATTATTAAAATGTGAAATCTGTTAAGAACCATATAAGGTAATATTTTAAAGTGATGGAGTAACATATCATATGTTAGACCTTTTAAAACCTAGATTTCCATTTGTAATGTTAGAATTTTATTCAAAAAAGAAGGAAACTTAAGTTAAGTAAATTAATTTAGGAGATCGTTTCACTTCAAAATCAGATGGTGTAATTGTTATTAGTTTAGGAGAAAGGATGAGTTTAGGAAGAGCTAAAGAAAATTGGGTTAAACTGTGTGAAGCTAGTGTTAGTAGATTTCATGCAACTTTATAAATAGAGAAAGTTCAATAATAGGATTCTCTATTTTTGTTTGATAATAATTCTAAATTTGGGACATTAGTCTAAATCAAAGAAGATTTGTAAATTTATCAAGAACTTGAAATATAAGTTGCCAAATCTTTATTTAAATTGTAAGCAAGCAATATCACTTGTTGATTAAATTATATATCTATTATATATATATATATATTTAAAAAAATGAAAAGTGTTTTTGATTTTGGAAAATATATAACATAAATAAGAGAACTGCCTTTTGTTGATGTAAAAATTTATAAAATACTTAGGAAAAATCATTACTTCTTGATGTGGTATTTTTATCCTATTAAGCAGGAGCTTCAAATAATAATTCTAAAATTTTGAAAAAATCATTTTACTTTATTAATTATAATCATTAAGCATACTATTATCAGAAAATGAATATTGAAGAATTAGAATAATTATATGATAGTTTTATAAATGGAAATAAAAATATTGATCACTAAGTTCCTGATGTAGCTTTAGAATTAAATTCAGGGTTTTTGTAATTTTAGAGTTCATATATAGAGGGAAATGGTCAAATCTCAAATGAAAAAGCAACTCCAATAGTTCAAAATAAAAAAATAGATAAAGATGAATAAAATATCAAAATAAAATAAGAACCTAATAAAAAAGAGAATAAATAAAGAATCATCATAACAGAAATACCAAACATTTAATAAATTGATTAATGTGAGAAGCCAATAGATCCTTAAATATAAAATTAGAAGTAGAATAAAAATAAAATTGATTAGAATAACTAAAAAATATTGGAGATTCCTATTCCTTAAATAATAGAGATTAAATAATTTTCAGTGGAATAATCAAAATAAATTATGAAAAAATAATATGAGGAGTATAGAAGATAAGAATAATTTAAATCTAATTGTTTTTAATAGAGTAATTAGAGAAGCTAAATAATAGGGAAAACTAAATGTATCATTTGTTTAGAGAATATATCATCAAATCAATATCTTCTAACTGCTTGTTCGCATATATATCATAAAGACTGTTTAAATAATTTAATAGAAGCATAGACTGATCTACCAATTAGATGTCCAAATTTATAATGTAGACAAGAAATATTAAGAGAGGATTTAGAATAAATTACATCTAAGTAAGTTATGGATAAGTTGGATAAATTTGCTTTCAATTAATATTTAATGTCACATCCGAACATTTTTTAATGTCCAACTCAAAATTGTTCAGGTATTTATGAAATAGAAGGACCTATTTAAGTATGTATGATATGTTAATAAATATTTTGTACAAAATGCAAGAAATTATTTCATGAAGGAATTTGTGGTGAATAAAGTTTTGTTGATTTAGCTAGAAGATAATTATATAAGTAATGTTCTCTTTGCAATAGATGGATAGAGAAAACATATGGATGCAATCATATATCTTGTCCTTGTGGACATGAATTTTGTTATGAATGTGGTAAATAATGGGTAAAAGGAATGGAATGTAGATGCATAGAAATTCAATAAAATCAATAAATAGAACCATAATAAGAAATATAGTAATAGTAAGTATACTAGTAAAACCCGCTATAATAAAACTAAACTCATTCTTAAAATAACTAAACATATGTTTAACATGCTAGAAATATTTTTGAAACGGTATAAACATTTTTTAAAACTAATCAAGCATAATTTTTAAATACTGATGATTTGTTTAAAAATTTTGGTTTATCATATATAACAAGAATAAAAAGATGATGATTCATAATAAATTTATTAAAAAATTAAGAAAGAATTTTATATATTATTCAATTAGAATAAATTTATTAAAATATTAATGCATATATTCATATAACATCAAATTACTTCTAATTATTGATTTTCAGGTTTTTCTGGTAAAATTTCATTGACTTCTTAAACTTGTTGGTTTTATGTCAATTAATCTTAATTCTCTGATAATTATTTTACTGATTACTCTTAGACTTAAATATTTTAAATGATAGGAACTTCTGTCTAAGTTTCTTAAATTTCTTTTTATTCAACTGTTTATTACTATGATTAATTCTCTTATTAATTCTATTCACTATTATCTTAAGTCTTAGGTGCATTTTATTATTATTATTAAAATTATTCATCAGTTTATTATTCATTTTTATTTTAGGTTTCTTCAGGTAATTTTCCTTTCTTCATAATCTTTTTATCATCAGTTTTTTTGTCTGTTACTTTCTAATCAGGTTATTTTGTATTCTATATTTAAGTAGGTTTAGTATCTGTCTTTTTATCTTTTTTATCTTCTTTTTTCTCTGTTTATATAAGTTAAGGGTTTGGTTAAGTAGTTTTTGATTTTTGTGGCTATTTTTCAACTTTTTTATCATCTTTTGTTTAGGGTGTCTATTTAATAGTTTATTCTTTAGTTTCTTTGATTTATTATTATTATTTCTATTATGATTGAACTATAGGTTTTGGTTTAGGTTAAGGTGGCTATTATTATTTAGATTTATTTTGATTTCCTTCTTTTGGAGATTTTGGTTAGTCTAATAAAAAGTGAATTTATGTATAAAATACTTTTTTCAATTTCAACAGGTCTTGTTGTCTTTTCTATAATTGTGCTCTGACTTAAAGGTTTTGGAGCTGTAATAGGTTTAGGATCCTTTACTTTTACAGGAGCTGAGTTTTTTGTAACTACTGCAGTAGATGGACGCTCAATCTTTTTAACATCTAATCATATGGTGGGAATTTATTAATTTCAAAATACCATTATTTTAATGATTTTCCTTTTTAAGATCTTATTTGACAATTTCTATTAAATATTATTTTTTATTACTCTTCTCATCATCCAATTTTATAGGTTTTAGATTTCCTATTAATGTTTTTAATTCACTCATTTAGTCAAATAGATTTTTGATTAGTAACTCATTTGATTGATCTCTTTCTTTTAAAAATTCAATTCTCTCTAAAACTGGTTTAAGCAATTCATCAAAAGTAGTTTGTATTTCTGGAGCCACTTATTACATGAAAATTCAAAAATAAATTATTATTATATTTTCTTTTTTAAAATGCCTATAAATTATATAAATATCTCAAATATTTTTTGTCTAATTTGTCTGATATCCAAATTAATTATTAAATTATTCTTTTTAATTAGATAATTAATTTAATTAATTAAAAATTAATTACTATTAATTTGTTTAAGCATTATTCTTTTAAAATAGTGAAGGTTATTATTATTATTAAAAAAATTAAAATTCTTCATCATATTGAAGTTATTAAGGTTGTACACCTTCAAATTGATTTTGTCCTTGTATATATTTGGGAGTTTAAATGGTTTGTTATTATTAAAATGGTAAACTTCTTGGATCATTTGATAAAAATTTCAAAAGACCCTTTTGTTATTATTATATATTTTATTGGAAACCTTAATTAAATACTCCTTAATTACTATTTTTATTTATCGTAGGTTGTTGAGTTTATATTGTAGGTCTATAATTTGCTTGTTATTATTGTTATTTCTCTGGTTGAAAATCGTTATTCTATTAAAAATTCTATTCTTTATTTACTATATATTCATTATTTAAGTTATGTTAATTAAAGAATTTTTGTTGCTAATTGTTTTTTATGTTATCATTCAATGCTAATTAATTTAATCCAATCTAATTTTGAGGAAAATTAAGTTTACTATTAATGTATTGAATATTTTAAGATTATTATTAGTTTTTTACCAAACATTTTTGTTAATGTAATTCTTTTTAAATTTTTAGCACATACACTTAACAATATCCACATTGTTCTGCTGCATTAGATTCTTATTCTTAATTAGATTGTTGATTAAATTGCATTAATCAAATATTAATAAATATTTTTTTGTTTTTGATTACGTTTTAAATTATCTATATTTGAGAATTTAGAAATAAAATCTTAACAATAAGAATAATAATTTGTTGGAATCAAAATTACAATTTGTAAAGAATTTGTATTTTTGAGTTCTACATTACCAAATAAGATTTAATATTCCAAAATATAAAAGAATATCATAAGTTATAAATCAATACTCTTTTATGTTAAATTTAATTAGAGGTAAAACATTTAAATTTTTATTCAATGACACACTTGTTGACAATTCTCCAGTTTACATTGTTTCATATTCTAAACTTCATCAAATGAGTCGAGAGTTTAATATGCTCTACATATGGGACATTAGAGTAAACCATAGGAAGATTTCGAGATTTCTATCATCTTTTCTATATCATTTTAACAATAAGTATGACCACATTTTAAAGGATATAACTATTCCGATGAATCTAAACAAATTGGGCATTGTTCTTCTTCAAATATTTTATCAGCTGGTTTTTCCAAAATACAATAACCAATAATTTCTTCATTAGTATGAATGATTCCATTTCTTCTAACTAATTATGGCATCTCTAAATTTTCATAATCAAATTCTTCTTCTATTTCAAAAATACTTTCTTAATCTTATGCAATGTTTGATTCAGCCATTAATGTTAGGAGTTCTGAGAATTTTTTATTTTTTGATTAATCTAATCTATTTTATAAATAATATTTAATAATTCTTAATATAATAGTATTTAACAGATTCTATATAAATTGATTTCAAAATTAAAATTCTACATATTAATGATATCTCATTCTACTTTAATTTTAGAAATCAAAGATAATTATTATCAATTTTTTTATACTAAATGAGTATATATTTTTAAATTGATTGCTAACTGTCTGTTTAATTAAATTCATGTTTATATATTCCTTTATAAAATTACTTTACTAAATAGATTAATGGATCTCATTCAATATTGATTAAATAACCAATTGTTTCCAATTTATTTTCAAGTCATTAGGTAATTTATGTTTCAAAAATTAATTTATTTTTATAAAATTCAATAGTAAATGAAGGAGTGGATTATTGATTGTCTCATGATTAAATGATATTTATTTGAATAAATTAATTAATTTTATAATAAATAGTAATGAGCATCGAACTGAATTAATTACTTGATATTAAATATTAAATTTAAAAAATCTTAATTAAAATTCATAGAATTTGTTTAAATATTAATAATCACCAAGAGACAAAACATTTAAAATAAAAATTACTAAATGAAATTGAGTTAAATATATTAATAAATAATTTATTATTTTAATCAAATAAGATTATGATAAAATATATATTAAATTAATTAGTATATAATACTATAGATCATGTTATAATAAAATCAAGATTTTAGTTTAATAGTTTATTAATTTAATCATTAAATTCTAGAAGAACTAAAATTATTCATTTTAATCACTTAAATTATATAATTGAATGAAATTTAAATTAAAGCAATAAGCATTCTATAATATATTGATTTAGATGATTTGACAATGATATATTATCTAAAAAATAATTTTTAATTTCACTTTATTAAATATCTCAGCATTTAAATAAAAATAAAGATAGATAGAAAAGAAGAGAGAAAAAAATAAAAATTAAATAAGTGATTCAATGAAAATTACAAAAAAGAAATATTAAAAAATATTTAAATCTTTATTAGGAAATATTTTGGTATCTATATTTTAACCTATAGGAAACTAGGAACTAGAAGATAAGCCAAAAGGAAAATAAAGAGTTTTTAGATTATAAATTTGCTGTTGGAATTTAGAATATTGATTATATAAAATTAGATTATTTGAACTTTAAAACCTTTGGGATATTCTAGAAATGTTTTTAGATACAATTATTTATGATAATATCTATATAAAATAATGAAATTTAAAATTTAGTAAAATATTATTATACAACTTATTATTAATTAAATAATGTAAAACAAATAAGAATAGAATGATAGTGAAATCTTGTCTTAAAATGATGATGGTAACGGTGAAATAATAAATTTTGATTAATTTGATGACGATGAATAAGAAATCATTATACCTTTTGATAACAGCAAATAATAATAAATACAATAAAATTTTGGAGATTAATTTTAAGTCTAGAAATAATAAAGAGATGAAGAATAAGTGATTTAGGATATAGTTTAATTTAAACAGGATGATGAATAAGATAATATAGCAAATTTTGGTAGTATGCATCGTGATGAAGACTTTTAGAGTTGGAAGGATGAGAATAAATAAAATGATTAAAATGAATAAGTTTAATAAACAAATTAGATTGATGCAATGACTGAGAGATAAGAATAATAAGGTTAAATTATATATTAACCTGATATAATTTATGATATGAAAGAGTTCTTATAAAAACCAATTGATCAATGTAAATAGATAATTTGAATATTTTATTAGAACATTTGATATAATTGACATTAGTTAAAGATAAAAGTGGCACAAACAAATTTCATCCTAAATTTCTATTGTATTTGAGTGGTTAATAGAAAATATTTCTGTGTTCAGCAAAACGATAGGCTTTCAGTTAACAAATTCATTATGTTTTATCTATACTTTAAGATAAATTTGATAGAAAACATAAGTCTTGTTTAGGAAAAATAAAAGGATCTGGTGGTGTATTTAAATTATTTGACACTGGTGATAATCCTAAAGATGCAAAGTTTTTGGATAAAGTAAGAAAGGAATTATGTTTAATAAATTTTTAAAATTCAAAATAGACTGGACAAATTAGATAGAGTGTAATAATACCTAAGATTAAAGATGGATAAGTTTGTGAATTTAAACCATTAAATGATACAGATGGATTGTTGAAAGCCTATTATTCATTGTAATATAAGGATTAAATTATGCATTTTATGAATAAGAATCCAATTTATAATAAGGAGAAGATGAAATATCAATTATAATTTAATGATAGAGTAACTATGCCATCAGTAAAGAATTGTATAATTTATGATATCAGTTGCACAGATAAAAATAAATTTGTATTATAATTTGGAAAATGTGCAAAAAAGACTTATTCAGTTGATATTTGTCATCCTTTTTCTATTTTATAAGGATTTGCAATATGTATATCATAATTTGAGAAAAAAAATTGAAATCAATAATGAATAAATTAATTACTTAAATATATTACGTAATTTTTCAAATCATTTATAAAATATGAGAAATGTATTAGTGATCTTAGCACTTTTGTTTTGTGTAGCAAATACAATAGATATGGGAGAAGAACTAATGAAAAGAGAAATATTAACTAAGATAGTTGAATATGCTGGCATAGAAATGCCTCATGAGTATTAATATATAATTTAATACATAGATTACACTTACTTTGTTTGCCATGTAAATTAATGATGAAGTAAGTTCAAAAGTTTTCATCAACAATTCTCTTATCAATAATTAGAAAAGAATGGACATTCCTTTGTCCTAAATTTAAAGATCCAGCCTTTTGTGAAGGAATCAATTAGACATTTATAGATTAATTCTCTGTTCATTTTTTGAAGTATTTTTGTTAATTAATAAAATATAGTAATTATTTAGCACCTTCAAATGCATGTTAGAATTTAGGAGTATGCAAATTGTAGCATGAAAGATAAACAATTAAAGAATATATTAATGAAGTTATGTAAGATAAGCTTTCAAAAGAAGAACAAAGGTAATGGTAAGTGATAGCTGAAGAAAATATATAAAATCAAGAAGATTTTACAGTTGCATAATTTGCAGATTTACATATTGATGTAGAATATTCAGTTGGAGCTAATGCTTTTTGTGGAGCTCCATTTTGTTGTAGAGAAGAAAATGGAAAACCTAAAGATCCAAGTAAAGGAGCTTAATATTGGGGAACTTATGCAGATTGTGATTTACCATTTAGAACAATATAAGATCTGATCAAATTTACAGGTGAGAAAATTAAGCCAGATTTTATTATATGGACTGGAGATAGTACATCACATGATGTTTGGCATTAATAAAAGTGGAATCAAACATTACCTACTAAAATGATTACAGATGAAATTAAGAAATAAATACCTAATTCTTAATTATATGCAATATATGGAAATCATGAAGGTTATCCAGCTGATTAATATGATATGATAGGTGAATCTACATAATGGTTAAGAGATGAAGTGGCTGATATGTGGAAATAATATTTAACATAAGAATCATACTATTAATTAAGAAGAAATGGTTATTATTCTTAAGTAGAGAAATCTAGAAATCTCAAATTCATTGCATTAAATTCTTAAGCTTGTGATTTACTTAATTTTCATTTAATGGATGGCATTACAGATCCAAGAGGAATGCTTAAATGGTTAATATCTGAACTCAAAGATTCAGAAGATAAACATTAATTTGCTGTAATATATGCTCATATTCCACCTGGTGATACTTTTTGTAATTCATAATGGGCTGATAGATTTAGTGTTGTAATAGAGAGATTTGAACATGTAGTTACTGGAATCTTTTATGGTATTATTAATATTAACTATAAATTAAGGACATACTCATTAAGATCATGTCTAACATATTAGATCTAAAATTGATGGAAGATATGTTAAAACTTTATTTATTGCACCTTCTGGAACTACATTTTCATATTAAAATCCATCATTTAGAGTCTTTTAATTTAATGGCAAAAATAATTCAGTTAAAGATTATGTTTAATACAGATTAGATTTAGCTAAAGCAAATAAAGATGGATAAAATGCTATCTTGAATTGGGAAGTAGCATATAATTTCTTAGAATATTATGGATTAGAAAGTGCATCCTTAGTTCATGTTTCATCTCTCCCCTATAGATTAGCACATGATGATGAATTATTAAAGAAATATATATATAGTTATTCAACAGGAAGTGATGTCTTATATAAAAAACACCTTAAGTAAATTCATTTTATATTTAATATCTTAGAAACCTCAAAAATTTGTTCCTTAAAAAAGGTACTAAGAGCTTTTTCATTTGTGGAGCATAAACATCAACATTAGATGATTGGTACGATTGTGTTGGATTCTTTGAGAAATTTAAGGAATCCTCATTCCTTACTTTTAAATTATTAGAATAATTTATTGGTAAATGGCTTAAAGAATGATCAAATCAATTATATTTACAATAAATAAAAGTCAAATTTAAGTGCTTTTAATAACTTTATATTATTATCTTAATTATTTAATTTTATTCTCTTATTACTCTATTACTTCATTATCGAAATGCAAAGGAGTGTATCTAAATTTATATTCTGTTGATAGCCTTTCTGTTTAATATGCTTTGTTTAATAATTCTTATGGAATTTTATTTTAAATTCTTAAATTCGATAGTTCTAATTTAGGCACTTAAATTTGTTGGCAAGGTTCTGTTTTAATTATTTTACATTCTTTAAGTTTAGAGTCATTTTATAATTTCATTTTGACAAACATAGGTTATTTTTTGATATTAATATCTTAAGTTTAGTAATACCCAAGAGGAGGTATTGTATTCATACTTAGATTTCTACCTAATTTAGGAGAATCATATATTTGTGTCTAAGTTCTATGTTAAACAATGCCAGCATTCAATTATAATTTTTGATTGAGAGAAATTAATTACTTCTACTCAACATATTCTGTCTTAATTTTTAAGTTGAATTTCTTTTCAACTTTCGAAACGTTTGTTAAATTAGCCCAATATGTATTATGATTGATAGTATAAACATCTTTGAGGAAGTTTATTTTTGTTTTACTTTTTTGGCTTTTATTACTACTAATTGTATCTCTAATCCTAGTATCAATTAAGTTTTTAGATCTTAAACTTCGATAGGAATTAGGTAATTTACCCATGTTATCTCGTTCTTTGATAAAGGGAATGAAATCCTATTCAACAGGAGAAAATCTTTAATCTTTCTCTTGTAATTATCTCAATTTATGCATAATTTATAATTTACTTAATCTAAATGAAACAAATTAATATCCCATAAAATAACATACCTATACAGATATACAACTCATTTATTTATATATATATATATACATATAATGAAGTTTCTGATAGAAGTTTATATTTGATAAAATTTATTATAAAACAATAATAACTTCACAATAAAAGACATTTTGATGATCTTAATTCAATTAATGCAATTATAAGACGATAAATCCATCCTTATTAATTTAATATCTTCCCTAAAGTATTACTTAAGATTAATTGTTTCACAATTGTACTATAGAATGGATTTCTTAATATATAACAAATCTTAATTATTGATAAAGTTATACTATAGCTTCTTTTGCTCTAATTTTGAGTTCTTCTTTCTAACTTTTTCTATAGATTTTGATTTTGAATTCTATTAAAAATCTTAATATATCAATGCATAATGATATAAAATATGGAGTATAGCTATCTCCTCCATATTTAAGAATCAATGCACAATATAATAAAGGACGAATTAGATGGAAGATTTCTCCAAATTTAATCTAATTATAACAAATTACAAAATACTCTTATTTAATTGAGTTTGGATTCATAATCTTTCTATTTCACATCGTTTGGAATTGGTAACATTGTTAATAGAGAAGTTTATTTGTCTTAAATTACATCATAATATCCAAGATTAAATTTAGGAATAGGGTCTTTGATTGACTTTAGTTCATCTTTTATTGATTTTTCATTGACTGCTTATGGATTATATTCTAAAGGACCTAAATTTTCTTTGAATTGTATGGCAGCTTCATCTTCCTAATTATCTGTTTCAGAATAGTTGTTATTTTCTGAAATCATTAATCCACACTTATCTACTAATTGCCATTTTCTTAACTTTACAAATAATTTCAATAATTCTAAAAATAAGAAATATTGATAAATTCGCTCTTTATTAGTAATAAATGAATACTTTCTGATGATTTACCTAAATACTCAGCAAGGAATTCTACAGCTTAAATAAGACTGAGAGCTTTAGGAATATGTTATTTTTATATAAATTACATAATTTATATATATTAATATCATACTAAACCAAAACATTTTAAAGAATTTTAAAAGCAAATTTCTGACAATTTCTCCTAATCAATTTTTAATAATTCTGACATCACCTCAAGTACTTAGATTATCTTACAAGGTTCATTTCTACTTTTAATTAATTATCCTTCTTTCCACTTTTCATGTTTTTAAGCTTAGAATTATGTCTTAACTAATTTGCTAGAAGTATGAGTATTTCGAATTTCACAATATGGTGAATCTGTTTCTAACATTAATTTATCCAAAGGAATTTGTTTAGCAACATCAATATTATCTTAAGATTTTAAAGAACAACCATTAATTCCAACATAGAGATCCAAATTTAAGATCTTTTATAACTCATCTAAAGATCCAGTAAATGAATGCACAACTCCTCCAACAATTCTATGTCTATTCTTCTACATTATATTATAAAAATCATCTCCTGTATTTCTATTATGTAGATACATAGGTAATTTATATTTTTCAGCTAAATCAAAATGTGGATCAAAAGCAATCATCTATTCTTCCTTAGTTGACCATTCCAACCTATCATAATCTAATCCACACTCACCAATGGCTACTAATTTCTTTTCTTTAAGTGCCAATTCTAATTGATCTATCAAATCACCCATATATCCTTAATAATTTTTATTAAGTTCAGCTGCACGACAAGGATGTATACCTGCTGTAGTATAATAATATGGACTCAATTGACATAATTCTCTTGCCTTAATCAAATCACCCAAACATCCACTTGCAATCAATAAATGTTCACAACCAATATCAGATGCTCTTTTCATAACATCTTTATAATCAGGTTAATGATATTTCTTATGATGATAAATTCCATAAAATTAATCATCTGTAAGATTAGCAGCTATATCAAAGAATCTAAACTTAGACTTTATTTACATTAAAAAAATTTTAAATTTTAAATTTGCACAATTATATAAAGTAAGTGAGTTATACAGAAAAAATAATATATATTGAACTTCTCAGAAGGATAAAAATCATATAGAAATACTTCATGTAGAATTTTTACATTTAGAATCAGAGTTTAAAATATTAACAAAAAAATCCTGATAGGACATCATAAAACTCTATTTATAATAGTAGTTAAATATAATTTAAAATCTATTATAAGGAACTATTAACTTTAAAAATTTTTAAAGAGAATTATAATCCTAGAATTATCAAAATTTTGCAAGAAGGAGTGGATAACTAAGAAATTTTAATCATAAAAAATTTTAGAACTTGATTTCTGAAAAAGAAGTGTAATAGAAGTATATAGATTCCTTTAAAGTATGAAATTTATAAAATAAGAAAGATAATGCTATATCATATTAATTGGATAATAAAAATGTTTCATTAACCAATAAATATAATAATTCTATAAGATTCTTCATGATGTTTAATAATATTAAATAATATTAAGGACAAAATTCTATATTTAGAAAAATAAGGTAGTGAATTTAAGAACTAATTAAATAAACTTATAGTTTATAGATGAATTATAAAAATTAAAACAGCATTAATCTAGAATGAATTGTTGAATAAATAGAAATGATTACATTAATAACCGTCAAAATTTAAAATATTTTAGATTAGTATCAAATCAATTAAATAAGAAAATAGATTTAATGTCTTCAAGATGAGACTTTAATAAATATATTTTTAAATTAATCCAATAAAGTGATTAATATATTGCCTCTTTTAAATAAAGAAATTGATAGATTAAAATGCAATTTCACATAAAAGTTGATGAGATTGAATAAATGAGGGCTAATATTAATGATCTAAATTAGATTATTTTTAATTTTAAATATTTAATGTACCTAAATAAGAATATTAAGAAAGTAAATCAATAGATAAATGATTTATGAAATGAATAGAATATAGATTATAGTATCTAATTAAACAACTGTAATTTAAATACAAAATTATATTTTAGGATATTATTACATCATCATCTTAAATTAGTAAACAACAACAACAAGTTCAACACGTTTTTGATATAATTATATATATATATAATAAATGTACAACGATAAAACAATTTATATCGTTGAATAATTGATTCAAGATGCTAATTCAGACTTGGTAACTTTATTATAACTAGAAACCTTCATGAAATATGTTAGAGTATCAGATGCAATTGCGATTGAATACATAATAAAAAATATCAACTAATTATTGAGGATTCTATTTATAAATTATGATCAAATTCACAGATCTCAATATATCATATACTCAGATCTTATTTCAATAGTATGGGAAATTATAGATCTTAATATAGAATAAATTTTATAATAAATAGAGGTAATAAAGAGTTAATAATATTTTAGAATAATTCAACATAAGTATATGATTTACTAAACTATCAAAATGTCCCAGATGTATAATGGGCTTAGGCACATAAATTTTTATAATTTATTAAATAACGATCTTGGTGTTTAATCCCAAAAGCGTTGTTTGAAATAGATTATTTACTAATTAAATTTTTACCTCATTTGCATAATAAGAGTGTAGCATTAATTATATTACTATTTTTCGAAAATTAATATCATGATGAATAGCTAAGTTTTCTTAAATAAGGTTTTAATTAGTTTAATGAATTTGATCCTTGTACTGCAATAAATTTTACTTTTTTAATTCATGAAATTATCACAAGAATTGCTACAAAAGAATTAATAAATTATTTATTATCAAGTTAAGCAATATCTAAATCATTTGAAGTGTTAGAAAATTGTAATTTGAGTTTTATGTAATAATATATTGTTGATTAATATTGATAGAGTAAGAAAGAATGCTGCACATATATTATCATTAATATCTAATTACTATTCTTTAGATATGCAAAATCTATATTTAGATGAACCAAGCAATGAGACTATAATAGATAATTTTAGATAAACTGAATTTTATAAAACATTTAATATCTAAATAATTAAAGACATATTGAATAATGTTTTATTAAATAGTTGTAGATTAGGATTATTAGCTGTCAAATTAATTGAAGTATGTGATTACAATATATTTAGATTGTAGATAATTTAGTAAGAATTTCAGATATAGAATTATGGAATAAAATAGATAAGTCAAACATTATGGAAATCATTTTAAATCTAGTAAAAAAGTTTAAAAATTCAGATATTTTTATATCATATGTTAATAATATGATAATTTTTATTTTAGATAGAGCAATAAGTGATTTTCATCCTTTTTGGTGTGTATAAATTTTTACTAAGTATAAATTGTATGCACAGTAGATTATGTAATTTAATAGATAGATATTAATCTTTGAATAACAATTATAAGTTAAACTTATAAGAGATAGTGATTTCTTACCATATTATAATGAATTAATGTAGATTGAGAATATTCTTAAAAGATCCCAACTTTGGAGATAATCTAAAGAACAATTATAAAAATATGAGGAGAAACATATATATAGATTAGGTGAGGATTCTGATACTCCTTCAATTGATTATCCTCTTATTGTTTCTGCTATTGAGGATGAATGTATAGATGAAATAATTGAGCCTAAGGATAATATCTTTATTGATTGTTTAAATAGACAATCTCCAATTGATAGTTTAAACAATAATGATGATTCTGATGATGATGATAAATTAATTGGAGCATTTTCTGGTTTAGATACTTTAAATAAATTAAAAAATGTATTTCATAAAATGGATTTAAAAGATTAAGAAGAAAATTAATAATTATAAGAGAATTAACAATAATAATAATAAGGAAAGAGAATACGTAATTTATCTAATTCATTAAATAATTAAATTTAATAAGGATAAAGAGATATTATAAGTAGATCTTTGAATAGTGATCATGATTCTCTTTAAAAATTATCATTGAGTTCATCAACTAATCTTAAATTAATGACCAAAACTTTTGATTCATTTACTATTGAAATATTAGGAAATACTAAAGTAGTCAAAAATAATTAGATCTTAAAAGTTGATGAAATTGATAATACAAATAATATTTAGAATGAATGAAATATTTATAAAATTATATTTAAAATGTAATAACCTAATGAATAATTTGATATACAAAACCATTATGTAGTATTTGATTTCTTAAATATTATTCATAGGATGTCCATTAATAAGAACATATGAAAAAATTGAAAGAGAAATTAGTTGAATTGAAAGAGGAAATAATGTAGATGCCTAAAGGTATTAAATTTTTTTAGAAACAGATCCTGAGCTATTCAAAAATCACTAATTACCATTAGCTAGAGTTAAGAAAATAATGAAATCAGATGAAGATGTCAGAGTATTGTTTTCTATTTATATTGTTAGATGATTGCTTAAGAAACACCAGTTCTATTTGCAAAAGCATGCGAAATTTTCATTATTGAATTAACACATAGAGCATGGTAATTCACTGAAGATGGAAAAAGAAGAACACTTTAAAAGACTGACATTGCAACATGCATTTACAACACAGAAATCTTTGACTTTTTGATGGATATCATTCCTAAAGATGAAATTAAGTCTAATCAAGTTCCTATCAAAAAACCTTAAGGATAAGATGGATATTTCTCTAATGTTAGTCAACATGTAATTCATATATAATTTTATAGCTTATACAATAAGTATAAATGAGTTAATAGAGACAAGGATAATAATTTCCATTAACTAATTTCAGTCAATATTTGGGTAGCGGTTAAAGATGACATATTATTTGAGTGTTTACCATTATATTATATTAAATGTTTAAACCAAAGAAGGGATAACAATAACAATAATAATAGCCATTTTACTTGAGTTGGTTCACAAATCAAGGGTATTATGAAGGATGTACATTAGTTTAGGGAAAATTTAAAAAGAGGAGGAACAGCTCCACAATAGACTCGAAAAGAACGATTATAATTAAAAAGTCCTTACTAGTAACCATTGACAACTGTTATTCATATGGCTCCTAATCCTTATAATAGGATTATGTAATATATATGTAAGTATATTAGGCAAGCACCTAAAACTAATAGCAATATTCAGCAAATCTCTAAGATATATGCCCAAAAGTCTCAATTGTCTAAAAGGAAAAGTCAAGAGTATGAACGACAACGTTATGATTTGAAGCCATAGTCTTAATAATCTCGAGCCTTTACATAATAAGGTATAAGACCACTTAGATTAAATGATGGGCGACCTCAGACTCAATAAAATCTAATTGAAAACAAATTATGTTGTGATAATTTAGGTAGCGATGAGGAATAATAAGAACAATTGACTCCTAGAGATGATAAAGAAGATATTGATATAGATAATAATGGAGCAAATCAATACATTAATGATTGTTTCTCAAATGAATCAAATGAAGCAGCAGATAGTGAAGATCATTAAAATTTCTAATTGCAAATTTAGAATGATGAATAAATGTATCAGAATACAATATATGTAATAGATAAAATAAGTCTTTAATTAAGGAAGAACCAATAACAAGTTTAAGAAAGACAAATAACCAAATTAATAGACCTTAGACTTCTGAAGGTGGAAAAAGAAAGAGATTTATGAATTCCTTAAATTAGACTGATTAGAATTATGAGAAGAAAAAAGAGACTGAATGTGAATTATTGGAATATGAAGCAAATATAATATTAGAAGAAAAAGACAATTAAGAAATAATTGATATCAATTTTAAAGCATCTCCAAAGGTAAGTCATGAGTATGAAAATAGGAACTAATCTCCATTCGATCAGGATATAGAAGAAAATAAAATGATTTAAATGAATTATTAGAAACTAATAATGAATTACGTCCTCCATCAAGACATAAAACTCCTCCTAAAGCCACTGGATTAGAATTACCATTAGAAAATGTTGTTAATAATATTTAAAGAGAGAGTGTTGATATTCCAATTAAAAATATGTATGCATAAATAAATGATGAAAGTAATCTACTCTATTTATTATAATTAGAAATTTAAGAAGAAAATGATGGTGATATTGATTTAGATTTTTTTAAAATGAACAATAAGATGAATTTCAAAAAGTTTTAATAAAATGATATATAAGGATATCATACTGATGATGGAAATAAATTTAATTATTAAAGACATCCTAAATCAGCAAATGTTAAATAAAATTAATTACGTTCCCCTCTTAATTCTCAAATAACTTCAGCACATTTAAGAAATGAAGCTTAAATAGTTATAAAATATAATAATAGTTCTGCCATTTAAAGAAATGATGAACCAATTAAAGTTCCATTTTAAACTTCATTAGGATAGGATTTTTTAAGATTGTTTGCCAATAATAATATGGAATGAAAAGTGATAATTATAAAACATAATTAAATTTTGTTATTCAATTTTATAAAAGAAGTATTCTTCATTTATTAATTTTATAACTTCAACATTTAATAGATTATCCTTGAGATATGAAAGAAAATGCATTATTATAATAGTCTTTTTTTATATTGCTTTAAAAAAAGTAATTGTTTCTATATATTAAATCAATCTATCCTATTTTGATTCTACAAATATTTACAGTTTTTTGTATGGTCTTGGTTTCTCTTAACTTTATTAATTCCTTTGCTATTGAATAATAAAATTACTACGTTCATTAATTGATTAAAAGAGTTTATGATTATAAATAATTTAATAAGTTTTTATTCTCAACGTCCTTGTTCCTTCCCATAAATATATGAGTATGTCCTTTATGGTATACCTATTCCTATAATGCCTGGATTGATATTCTAAGAATTTAACAATTAAATTAAAGCTAACATCATAACCCAATATTACGAGCATTTTAAAAGTTATTAAGATTCTGTTCATTCAAATCACTAGACACAGGAGATAATTATCGACTATTTTTTTTAGGCTTATCTTTCTTCTTATCCTCTGGATTACATCCATGACATCCGCAATACTAACATCCATGTGGAGGAAGAGGTTTCTTTCTGACTGCTCTTGGTACCTGACATAAACAAGACTATAATAATATTTAATAATATCTAAACTTTAGCTTCCTTTCCTTTTTTAGAAAATGCTTTCATACATTTCTTACAACATCCATTCACAGTTTTAAAATCAGAAGATTCATCTGAACTTGAATCTGAAGAAGATTTTCTTTTCTTTTTTATTTTTTTTTATTTTTTCTTTTCATCTTCAATTGAACATCCTGTGCAATGACAAGATAGACATCCTTATTCACCAATTTAAATTCTTCTTTAAGATGCAGGTACTATACAAACACAAGTTTTAGGTTTAATAGAACCTTTATCAGATTTAGTACATTATTAACAACACTAAGTAAATACTAATTAAACATTACATATTTCCATCTACTTTTTTTCTTTTCTTATTATTGTGATAATGAAGACTCATCAGCTAAAATAATTTTAAATTTATTTACTTATTTAAGATGATGGATCTCTTATAATTATTTCTTCATCATCACTAACTGAAGAATATTAATCACTAATTTCATCATAAACAGGTGATTTATCCTATTGAAATTCTTATTGAATTAGTCTTAGTAATTCTAGATCATTCAATCCATTATTATTGCTACTCATTATATTATATATATATTTATTTAGAAATCCTCATAAAAAGCAAATTATTATTATTGAATAAGAAATATCCTAATGAAAATTATCAACATATAATTTAAATTGTATTTTTTATGGTTCATAATCTTTAGATAAATGAAAATTAAATATCTTCAAGACATTTCTAGTTAGTTGTGTATTCAACTCTATCTCCCTTAAATTTAGCATTCTTAAAACCAACAAATTTCAATCCTTCAGGTATCTACATTGATTTTATTTGAAAATTAAACTATCAATTAAATACTCAATTTATACTTTGTTTAATTCTTCAATATTATCACAAATCTATCCTTATTCACCTTCATAATTACATTCACTAAAAACAGTAATGCATTCTTTTATGGGAGAATATAGTAACATAACATCTCTAAATCCCCATGAAGCAATGTCTGCAGTTGCTTATAAAGTTGATGTAATAGTTAATTTAAAATCATCTTTATTATGCTCAATAACTTAATCTATAAACATAATTCTTTCTTTCCATGGACTTTTAGGATCACCACATATATTTGATTATCCAGGATCATTCCAACCTAAAAGTTAACTCCATATTTATTTATCATCCCCTAATATAATCAATTCTTCTCCATCCCATCTGTCTATTTTATACATAGTAATTCGTAATCTTAAGAAATTATGTGTAGGAATGTTAGTATAAACTTTTGAAACTTATGATTTCTAATTATTATAATATTCAATACTTTAGCCAATATTTTGTAGCCTCCAAAAATACTGACATCTTTACCACATTATGTGATAGGTGAACTCTCAACTTCAGATTGAATTGGGTCTATATTTTCAATCTACCATTCTTTAATCTTTTTAAAACTCTATGATTCATTAAACTCTTTTGATAAAATAAACCAATCATCTTTATTAATACATTTCCCTTCAATTAATTAATGCGTTTCTTCACATTTTAAACATTCATTATCTCCTGATCCAAAACAACTCTTACAAAATTTTGGGCATTCTGCTACAAAAGAGAAAAAATCTCTTATACCCCATGATTGATCTTCAGGATCTAAAATATTGTTAAATAAATATGTACCTTACTTTAAAGAAGAAGTGAATTTTACTGTCATTTCATTCTTCTTATGCTTTTAGATTATTTCTATGTTTACTAATTTCTATCCACATCCTGGTTTTGAACTTAATAACATAAATAATAAAAAATTACTCTCCACATATGCTTAATCCATCTAATTTTTAGAATGTTTACTTATATACTTATTCATCATCAATATATACATAAAATTGATCATTATCCCATAATCCAAACTTAAAATATATGATATTATGATACTTTCCATAAAGTGAATTTGATCATTACTTTTTAATGAGGAGGAAGGTTTTTTGTTTATTTAGTTAAAACGGCTTTAGTACCGATATTATTGGGGCCTCCAAACATAACAATTCCTGAACATTAAAACGATTTTTATTTTCCCTCTTATAAATTCCATCCTTCTAATGAAGTATCAGTACGAAACCAACTAAGATCAACTTACTTCCAAAATTTGCATTCATTAACTTTATCATTATGACATATTCCACATTGAGATGGACAATCTTTAAAAGAGATTTTTATATTTCTCATGCCCCATGCCTATTTATCTGCTTTCTGAACTTAAGTACTAGCTATAACGATAGTAGCTGTTGGAGAATTATGAGCTACTTCAAATTCAACGTCATAAACTTTATCACTGTTAGGTATTTTTGGACCACTACATAATTATTTTGCTCCTTCTGTAAAACCCCATTTCATTTCCCAAGGTACACCATCCACATACACTTAAATTTTATCATTTTCCCAATCGCCTATTCTATATAACTGTTGGGTAGTACTTCCATAATTGTATTATAAATTTAAGTCTATAATGTGGAGGAATCTTAATCAACTTTGTTAATGTAGTTTGGGAACCAAATGACTTCAAACCTCCTAAAATTTATATTGGTCCACATTTTGTTACAACATCAAATGTAGCTTCATATTGATTTTGTATCACCCATCCTATGTTTGCTGACATTAAATTGTACCATTTAGATCGTCGATATTTTCACCTGTGAATGCCTCATATGTAGGTAACCATTGAGTTACTCCAAGATTTAGATTGGACATAATCAATAACACTACTAAAGCTAAGTAGATATTCGACATTAAAAACGAATACATAATTATTATTATTCAAATGTATTCATTTTTATTTTTTTTCATTCATTACAAAGCATGGTTTTACATTCTTATTCTGAAAATCTAAGTTTCTAATTTAAAAATTCTAATGGTGAAGCAATTTATAAGTAACGTCTCTCTTATTCAAATATTTTGTTAATTTAAATTCAAGAAATTCATAATCAGATAAAAGAACATAAATAAACTATTTTAATTTTAAGTCAATTTTTCAATTTTGTAATTAAAAATTATTAACTTATGCTTCATCATTATGTTTTAAAAATTCTTTGTAAATAAATTAAGAAATATTATTTTGATAAAATTTATTTCTTTTTATTTAATTAAAAAATATGTCAACAACAAAATAAGAAGCATTTGCTACATTCTATTCACCTAAATTTGAATAATAATGTTATCTTTGTCAACATGGATTACATGGTACAGAACAATAAGCTCATTCCAGTGGAACCATAGTAGGAGATCCTGTAGGTATTAAATTCATAGTTTATTTAAATGTAGTTGTTTATTCAACCCCTGATGTTATTGTTTCTTAAACTGTAGGATAACCTATACCAGTAAAAAGAGGAATCACTTAAAACAATCAAAAAAATATTTAAAGCACTACTTAATAAATAGATATTATTCAACAAAATTAAATGCAATATAGTCCAGCACTCATTTAATCTTAACAAACTTAATAAAATCAACTTAAACCAATTGAATATGATACAAAAATTACATAATAAATACCTATAGAGTAATAAATAATTCATTAAGCGGGAATTAATAATTCATAATAAATTTCAACATTTTATTCTGGAAAATATGAAGAATAATGTTATCTATGTTAACATGGATTACATGGTAAAGAAGTTGCTACTACTACCACACAAAATAATTGTAATTCTAAATCTTAATTTTCTTAGTTGTCTATTAATAACCAGAAGTAGTACTGTCTTAAACTGTTGGTTAACCATTAACTGCAAGAAATACAACAACTGTTTAAAACTTTTCATAAATCATTAATACTCCTCCTAGAAATGATTTCCTATATTCTCAATAGCTTTAATAATCACCAATTTAGAATATCTAATTAAATGTACCATAAACTTAATAAATCGTTTCTACATCATCCACTTAATAATTATAATAGTCTCCTGTACAAAATTTACAATTAAATGTTTAATAACCTCAAATCATTCCTTAAGTATCATAATAAAATTATGTTGTTTAATAAATACCATAAGTTTAAATTTATTAGGACATTAAAGGTCCTTAATAAATTATATAAGAGAGTGTTACAACTGTTCAAGAATAATAACAATTAAGTCCTTAAGAATAAGTTGAAAATTATTGGAGATATAAAGTTTATGAACTTTAAGAAAGAGTCTATGAATTAATGAATTAGATTAGTCTTCAAAAATAAGGAAATCTATAACATCAAAGAACTGGGTCTTAAATTAAGAAAAGCTCAGAAGATTCATTCAAAGTAAAATCCAATATTAATTATTATAGGTTGAATAAGCTAAATAAGAAATTTTGTAATTAGAAAGTTAACTAAAAATAAAATAAAAATCAAGTATAGATTTAAAAAATAAACTTAATGTAATGATCTATAGATAAGATCCTACTGATGAAGCCACTAAATATAAAGAATAAGAACTTTAACAATTAAGATAAAAATATAATACTTTAAATTTTAAACATTAAAGTAATATAGAAGATATTGCAATGACTCAAGCAATTATAGAGGCTGTAAAAAGTGGAAAGGGATATAAATTAGTATCTGTAAGGGAATAATAGTAAACATCATCATCATATAACTAATCATATCAAGGACAATAATAATATAATTAAGTAAAATGAATATTTAATATATATATATTAAAACAATTTTTTAATTAATTATTATTTTAATTATTAAACTAACTTTTATTATTGTGACATATAAATAAAAAAAGAATCATAAATAAAAAAATACCAGTATAAAAACTATAAAAATTGTTGATATCATTTGAAAGTACACTTAGATTTATCAAATTAAAAAATTTACACATAATTACAATTTAGAATAGAACACTGATAATATTACTAATTTATAAATTTTGATTTAATTATATTAAATTCATAATTTTTATTATTCATCACAGTAATTTAGCAACTCATTAGCTGTTTCTTTAAGTTTTTCTATATTTTTAATAGACCATGGTAATCTTTTTACAGTATATGCCTAAAATTATTGTAATAAAACATGATACTTTTCTATTTGATGAGATAAATTCCCACGATTTTTCAGCTAAGGCTTTAATTTTTTTATTCCTATCATTTTCTATAATTGCATCAAGATTATCTGAAAATAGATATTAATAATACCCAGAAAGGTTTTGTACTAATCTATAAATTATTTAGATTAGAATAATTCATGCAAAAAATGATTATTCATAGTTTTTATTTTGCTATTTTTTCTAAAAGGTAAAGATATCTATTTTGATTTTTCTGCTTAATAAGATTATTAGAATAGTTTGGAAGCAGCTTTTAGATTCAGTTCTAAAAGTATAAAGATAGAATTACTTGATTTTGTATTTTTTTCTTAAATTTCATGAAAAATCTCTCTAAATGCTTTTCTTAAACAAAATTTGATTAATTCTTCTCTACTCTTTGATTATGATCTTATTTTTTTGGTTAAAGTGTCTAAAATTTTGATGACTTTAACACATTTTTTTTCTTTTAGTTTCTAGATTATCTTTTTGACTTTAGATGAATCTGCAAATAATAAATGTATCATTTGCTCAAGATTTTCAATTGTTATATCATCATAATTCATTTCTTCAATTTATTACTGTATAGTTTAAATTTGACTAAAATATTGTTAGGGTTGTTTTTATTGTGGTGCATCCTTTAAAATTTATGCTAGATATATAATTAAAAGCTTTACATTGATCACATTTGACATCAAAATTGATAATTGATTAAGGAAAATTAATGTTGGAAGTTAAAATTGGAGAACCTAGATTATGAATTGGACTCATCAAAGGATTTTAAAAGTTCATCATTAATAGAAATTATGAATTTGTTGGCCAATATGGTAAAGGATACATACCAAATAAAGGAGGAGATTGAGCACCGTCTGAATGATTCATATATTAATTTAAAATTCTTTTGATATCGTCACAATAAAAGATGAAATAGAAATAATATGAATGAATTAGAAGATTAATACAATCTATAAAAATTTATATTGTTATAAGATGCCATTATCTATAATTTATAATACTTTTAATATTATTTAACTTTCTTAAAGATGTATATTGAAACAACAAAAGTTATTATATATGTATTATTATACAGATTTTCAACGATATTGTATTATCATCCATTTGCTATTAAATTTTTAGCTAAAATCATCATCTTCTTTATTATAAGGTTTATAACTAATTTTATTTTTTAGTCATGATTAATTATATAAGATAATATTTTAAATAATGAATTTATTCATGTTTGTAATAATATTACAATAATACTACTCATATTAAATATAGACTTTGATATATAATTACATATAAAAATAATTATATGATTTGCCATGAATTATATTATTAAATAGTATTAAAAATTCATTTATTTCTTATTTTACATCTATTCACTATGCTAATGTAAGGATATTAGTGAGATTAATCTAAATCATTTTCTGAATTCTTTGATTATTAACGAAATATCGAAACTTTATTTCCTCTAATCTCTAAGTTCTTATACGAATATAGTGATTAGGCTTTTGATCTTGGTTAACTGGCTGGTCTTTATAACTCAATCCTTTTATTCCAAATAGGAGATCTCTCTTTTAATTCAATACCTTGATTATTATGGAACTCATTAATTCCTAAAAATGGTATTTTCTCAAAAACAGTTTAACCATTTTTCTGAAATGTTGAGAACTTCAATTCACCAATCTATGAATTAAATGAGTGACCAGATTTCTTTTATTCACTTAAACTAAATTATTATCATTTTTAATATACTCTTAAAATGAACTTATCAAACTTGGGTAAGAAAGTTCATTCAAATTTTCATTAAAGAAATCATGTCTTAATATTTGTGAAGCTGATGGTCTTAATTTTGGATTAAATCTTAACATTTAAGATATTAAATCTTTGCAACTTTATGGTACTTTAATTGAATCCTCAAATTTATAATCAACTTCCATATTTTTCTTTAAAATTCCAGATTTCTATGTATCCTTAAATGGATGTGTATTATAAATTCTTAAAATTAAAGGTTTATAATATATATACAGTTAATAATAAATGACTCCAAGACTGAATATATCACATTTTTCATTGTACATCTTTGATCCTTCTTTATACATCAATATTTCAGGAGCAACATATCCAGTTGTTCCACATCTGTAATATAATTATTTTTAATCCTTTATATGAGTTGCTAAACCAAAATCAGCAATTAAAACGTCAGATGTATTAGTTTTACATAAAATATTCTGAGGTTTCAAATCTCTATGCATAATTCCTTTTTAATGCATATAATCTACACATAAAGCTAATTATCGTGCTACCATTCTTGCATCCCTTATACTTTTATATTATCCTTATTTGAGTAATTCTCCTCCTTAAATTAATTCTAAAACAAGATTAATATGTTCTTATAAATTTATAAATTATTTACTATTGGTCTCAAAAACTTCATGAAATGATATTATATTAGGATGATTTAGTTCTTTCATTATCTAAATTTCATTTTTTAAAGCTTATTCTTACTCTAATTTCTTTTATTTAATTGAATAATTTTTTTAGACCCTCTTAATGGCATAGTACTATTTATTGTAATTATTTCTTGCAATATAAACCTTAAATTATTAACATAAAATAATTACTTAAGCATTTGAGCCAAAACCAATTTGTTTCAATATACTATATTAAGTATGAAAATCAGTTAAAATGCAATGCTATTAGAGTAATTCTTTGAAATTATCATAATCTTTCTTTTGATCAGTATAGAGGTCTAGAACAAATCCACAATATATCAGTTGTAATTGATATCTATATACATTGTCTAGTAAATTGTAATGCAAGTATACACAATCTAATTTCCTGAACCCTTTCATTTTCTGAATAATACTATATTTTACATTATCTCCATACAATAAATAATTTCCTTATATAGAATATTATCTTGGTATCCATTTTTTAAATAATTTACCTTTTTTATAGAAAGTAGTGCAGTTATCATTTGAAATTTAGAAATTTTCATGCTTATTTAGCAATAAATCAAAATTTCTATCCCAAAAGCCTTTTTGTTATTTTTAAGGAGAATTAAAAAAATAATTAGAGGCTTATTCCATTGTTTTTATTATTATTAATGGGTAAAATAAACTATTATAAAATATTTGTAAAAATCATTCATCTTCATCTTTTTTTGTAGATTTTTTTCTTCTTGAACTTATTTATTTCTTAATTACTAATGATTCTTAACTATTATCATCTGAATCTGATTCTAATTCCATGAAATCTTCTTCTTTTTTCTTCTTTGTTTTCTTTTTCTATTATTATTATTATTATTATTATTTATTTCCACCTTTATTTTCTTTTTATTCCTTTTCATTATTATTTTCATTTTATGTTTGTTTTATATTCTTTTTCTTTGTTATTTTTTCCCTTCTCCTATTTTCAAATGTTTCTTTATCATGATGTTCCACTTTCATCTCATATTCTTCAATTAAAGGTTTGGCATCTTAAGGCAAAGTTCTTTTCAACTTAAATTATAGATTTCAATAAAATACTACCTTTTTAATAAAAATTGTAAATTAATTATACACAAATTGGTCTCTTAATTTTTCTCTGTATTCTTCCCAACCATCTAATAATCTCTATAGAGAATTTTAGGTTAAATTTATGTGATTAAACAGTATAGATATATTTTTTATTTCGTATTAATCTTAAAGATACATAAAGTTTAATAAATACTTTAACTAGTTCCTAAAATTGTAATTAGCTTATCAACAATAGATTCAACTTAAGATTTGTCTATATATTAAGAGATTTATGATAGAACATTTTCATTTTATTCTTAAACATTTGAAATGATATCAGGAATAGCATTAGTTATAGCTCTTTATTCTTTTTTCTGTAATTCATTCAAAAAATATCTTGCCATAGCTGGTATTTAAGGATGAGGATCATTCAATAAAATAGGAATATGAGACAATGAAGTTTTGCTTTTGACCATGTCATTCAAAATCAAATGTGTCAATACAAGGAGAGTTACTCTACGAACTGCAGCACTTGTATCAGATAAATTTGAGTATATTTATTTATGAAACTTTTAAATTGTGTTAGGCCATCTATGTAATAAATCTCCAATACTAATTATTACATTATTTTTCATTACTTAATCAATAAGAGGAGATCTAATTAAAAATATATTTTATACTTCATTATATTAAATAACATTTAAATATTCTCTCTACAATAAGATTCTGATAAGCACATAAATTTACACATTGTGATTAAACTCACTTATACAATAGGTGGTTATTATCTTATAGCATTTTCTTCAGTCTCCATTTAATTTAGACACTCTTACAATATTTACTTTACCATTGGAGAAAAAACTGATAATAAATTCTATTAAATTAATTTTAGATCTTGAATTTAATCAACAATACCATGCAATTTTTCAAATTCTCCTTCTACACCTCCTTAAATTTTATCTATTTCTTATTCTTTTCCAATTTGTTTTTCTCTCTCATTTTTTAAATTCTTTAATGAATTATGTGTAGCATCAATGAAAATCAATAATTATAAAGATACAGAACCTGCTATATATATTGCATGAGCTAAGTGAATTTCTTCCATTTACTTTTACTCTTCTATTTCTAAATCCATTTTATTAGATTTAAATCCTAAATCCTATAAAAGTGTTTCAAAAATCAATTCAGGATTTTCTGCACTTGGAACTAATTAAATAATTGAATCACATGCAGAAAAATAATTCATATCTAATGAATTTTAGTATTTAATTAATAAAATTATTAATAGATCTATTGATTTATTAAAATTAATTTAATTTTTACCTTAAGTTCTATCTAATTTAGACAATATGATTGCAAGTTCCTTAATAATGATCCAATCAGGATCTTTCTTACTATATTTTTATAATAAATTATAAATTTAGGCGACCTTTTCTAAATTAAGTAAAGATGAACTTCTAGTTAACATAATTCTAACAAAAATAAGCATTGAACGCTAATCAACTTCTTATTTACCAAAATACTCCCAAAGATTATGAAAGATTTTAGATGGAAATTTATAATTAGGTGCCAATTCAGTTTCATAAGATAATATTATTTTTTCTAATGAAATTAGTTCTTTTAAATTTGATTTACTAATTAGATCAATTATCTAAAGAATAATTTATCTAGGTTTCTTAGTATCTCTTAAAAATAATTTCCAGAATTTCTTGATTACTTCTTATTATATAGTTTTATCTTATGACCATACAAGTAATATCATTCTTCGTAATCCTTAATTAGCAGTCTCATAATTATACTTTTATATATAAGAAAACAGTTTAATAGAATGAATAACATCTGCTTAATTTTTACTTTAACATAATTATAAAACTTGAGTAATTACAGTTTTCATTCCTTCCAAAAATTTTTGATATTCTTCTAAATATTCTTAAATTTTAATCTTTTCTTATGCTGTTTTTTTAATAAATTTAATTGATTCATTAACATTATCTTATGTGATTTCTCCATTTTAAAATTGTTTATCTATCTCCTCAAAATCTTTGTGGATATTTTATAATTCTTCTTTATTTTTACTTATTTGATCTTCTATCTCCTCTGAAGACCAGAAATTTTATCTTCCTTAACTCTGTACATACAAGAATCTATAATATCGTACAATAGATTTCAATAATTATAAAGAAGATTTTCTAACATAACCAGAGATATCTCTTAATCTGGAAGAGGAAATTGCGAAAATAGTTTATAAATGTTATTTTGGCACACAATTTGAATTTAACAATTAAGACAAACATTAAAGTACATTTGATCTACAAAAAGCAGTTTTATCCATATGACGATCCAAAAGCTATTTAATTAAGTTATTGGCATTTGCTAATTATAATTCATCACTATCTTAATCTTTTGACTCCTTAATTAGATATTCAATAACATTAGTTATCAATTCTGATAATCCATTTCTTATATGATAATTTTCATTATCATATAAACCAATAAAAGCAGAGAGTTATTGATAATATACTTTTGGCATGTCTTTTGATGTTTAAGACAATAACTCTCTAAGATTTTTAACTGCTAAACTTTCAGTTTGATTAGTTGATTTTTCAGTTATATAATTTACAAGTAGAATAATTTGATCTACAGTGTACTATTTCAATTTATCATTCTTGCTGCATCCAAATAGAAATTTAGAAATATTTAATACAACACTCTCTTATTCATACATCAAATGAACAATCCTGTTTTTAAGATTTAAATCATATGACTACCACATTGCAATTGCTTAAACCAAAATATCAATCCATATTTCTCTTATTTAAGCATCCTTAATATCTATAGCCATTTTAACTAAATCAAATATGTATCTACTGCCTTCTCTACCAAAATCATTGAAAGCATTCAAATTAAATAATTATTACATTATCTTTAATGCCCTTCTTACTTATTAACCTTAGATTTGCTTCTATTACAATAAATTCAGTAATAAGAATAGTGTCATTTTAAAAGCCTAAAGATAATCAGGGTATAATTTTTGAATTTGAAATGATAGTATTTCAACCAATTATAATTATACTTTTTGATTTGGATGTGTATCTAAATGTCTAGAGTTAGTTCAAATGATTACTCAACTAAATAGTAGAGGAAATCAAAATATTATGGGTCTTCAATTAATGTTATGAGTTAATTGAAACCATCTTCAAATTAATTGATGCGCATCAAAATTAATCTTTCATCCATTTGGGCAACTTAATTCTTAGATATTACTCTATAATTTTCTGAAAAATGGTTATCTCTCAATTCTGAATAGGTTCCAGGGAAATGAAAATTCATTTAATTTAAATATACAATATGGGGGGAAACTAATTAGAATAATAATAATAATTAAACATATATAAAAAAATGTCAAATGAATTAACAAAAAATAAGTCGATAGGGCAATATATTTTTAGTATTTTCTTATATATGATAATATTAAGGTAAGACTTTAGGATAAGGTACTTTTGGAAAAGTGAAATTGGCTACTCACATTTTAACAGGAGAGAAAGTTGCAATAAAAATCCTAGAAAAGTAGAAGATAAGTGATTAATCTGATGTTGAACGCGTAACTAGAGAGATTCAAATACTTAAGAGAGTTCGCCATCCAAATTTAGTCTAATTATATGAGGTAATATTTTTGAGTTCTTACCAGATAATAGAGACACCTAAATAGCTGTTTCTAGTTATGGAATATGTTAATGGAGGGGAGCTCTTTGATTATATAGTCCAAAACCAACGTATTAAAGATGTTGAAGCAATCAGATTTTACAGTTAATTAATTTCAGGAATTGAATATCTTCACAAACTACAAATAGTTCACAGGGATCTCAAGCCTGAAAATCTAATTCTTGAAGGGAGAGGTAAAATCAAAATAATAGATTTTGGCTTATCTAATTTTTATCATCAAGATGAATTATTAAAGACAGCATGTGGTTCACCTTGTTATGCTGCTCCAGAAATGATAGCAGGTAAAAAATATAATGGTCTTCATGTTGATATATGGAGCTCTGGTGTAATCTTATTTGCAATGTTGGCAGGATATCTTCCTTTTGAAGATCCAAATACTTCTTAGTTATACAAGAAAATAATATCAGGAGAGTTTAAATTCCCTAAATATATTTCAGCAGAGGCAAAGGATTTAATTAAGAATATATTGAATGTTGATCCATAGAAAAGGTATACAATTGCAGACATTCGAAAACACAGTTGGTTTAGTTTTTGTATAAATTCAATTTTATAAAGTTTTATTAAGACAATTAAAAAATACCAACTGGCCTCGTTGTAGGTTAACATAAAATACCAATTGACCCAGAAATAATTAAATAGATGATTCCATTAGGAATTTCTAGCGAATATGCTGAAAAATGTATTGAAACAAATAGGCACAATCATGTAACTACTACTTATTATCTCTTATTGAAAAAGCATATTTTGGCTGGGAATAAATCAATAGCAGGTAATTTTAGAATATATTCAATTATTAGACATAAACTCTGAATAATTTGAAGCACAAAAAATATCTACTAGATAATCTACTTATACTGATAGAAAGTAAATTAATTTAATAAATCCTTTGCCATTAATATAAAGAAAATGTATGTGTTTAATTTAATAGTTATTAAGCAAGACATACATAATAAAGAGAAGATTCTCCTGTTGATACAAAACCAAGATTAAACAATTCTGTCAATACTCAAAACACAATATAATAATAATAATCCCCTACAGTATTGAATCAATCTGTAGATGTGAGGAGAAAAATTACTTTGGATTTTTAGAAAACAACACTTTTGGAATCAAGTTTATTATAATAATCGAATGATGTTAAAGTTTTGAAATTGAAGACACCAGTTTGTAGGAATTATATATTAGCTGAGTATTATGGTAGATTTCCAAAACGATCTAGAAATTAAGAGAGACAAAAATCAATGGAATAAGAATAAACATACTTTCGAACATTTTATAAGGGAAGTCCTATTCCAAAAAGATGAGCTGTTATTATATTAATCTATTTTTTTTTCTTATTATTTATAAAATGGCATTATTAGGTAAAACTTTAAAAGGACGTACTACAAAGCCTGGAGGTACAGAGTAGAAGAGAAATATAAAAATAAGACAGATAACTAAATCTTAACAAGAATTTGAAGAGAGTTAAAAGTAGGCTTAAGTAATTTGATGTTATTGATATAGTTTAAAAAAGAGTAACTGCGAAGTAAAATTAGAGAGGAGCAAAAGATTGTTAATTTCAATACAAAGAAACTAATGGCTTATTGGAGAAGAACTATGAGAGCTGTAAAAACAGAATAATTGAAACAAGATATTGAATTATATTCTTAGAACAATAAAAGGGAATTAGATTCAAAAGAAGCTTTCATTCAAATGCTTGATAAGAATTTAGATGAAGCTGAAGATCAATATTAAATTGCATTAAGGAACCATCTTATTCATTTAGAGAATTTTCATTTATTATAAGAGAGTAGAAATAGGGCATTGTTGGAAGAATTTGAAAGAGATATCAAAATACTTTAAGAAGAATTTTAATTAGAATTTGATGATATGACAAAGACTCATAAATAATAAGTTAAAGAATTGGAAGACATGATTAAAACAGTAGAAGAAGAGGAGAAAAGAAAGGCAGAATTAGCTAAGAATTAACATTAAACAAATAGAGAGGAAACAAAGAATAAAGATGTAGAAGATACAAGTTAGATGAAATAATAATTAGAAGATAAATAAACTAAATTTTATAATGATTTAGAATAGATGCATTAAAAATATCAATCTGATACTGCAAAGAAAACTGAAGATCATACTAAATATTATGATGCTAATAAAGATATGTCAAAAAAAATAGAAAGATTGGTTAGATCTATAGCTAGTAAGAAAGCTAAGATTGATTTAACTAAATATAAAATTTTATAACATACTAAAGAATGCAATGCTAGAAATTAAGCTTTAAAAAAAGAAAAAGAAAATATTGCCAAAAATTACTAAGATTTAAAATTGAAAATGAATAAATTTAGAGAAGAATAATAAAGATTATTAAAAGAATTAGTAAATAATAGTAGAAATGCTGTTTTAAAATTAACTGAATATAAAGAATTAGGAGAAAAGATATTAAAAACAGCTGAACTTTGTAGGAGATTAGAAACTGAAAGAGAGAAAGTATTACCATTTTATGAAGATACAGTTGATATGGATTAAATTCCAGAGAATTTAAAGGATGATTTTGAAGTAATAGAAAAAGAATAATATGAAGAATTTGCTTATCTAAATAATTTCTATAAGAGATACAATAAGGTATATAAAATTATATTATATATTAGGTTTTATTGGATATATTGGCAATTTAAAAATAAAAAGAAGCTTTATAAAATGAGAGTAATTAATTATAATCATTACTAAAATAATATTTGGATGGATTATCATGTAATGATGATGTATTATCAAATCCAAATCCATTATTTGTTAAAAACTTTAATATTGATTTAGGAGAAAAGTAAGTGACTGGAGATTTGTAGTAAACAGTTATAGAAGGTGTATTTAATGTAAGAAGCACTTAAATGTAATTATAAGGATAAAGGGTGGGACCATTTTAATGAAAATATAATTATTAATAATATATATGAATTAAAAATTAGACATCTTAAAATAATTCAAAATTCCTCGTTCTATAAGTACAACGAATTAGAAAGCTACTTTGAAGAAATTGAACAATTAATCAATGTAAACAATTGTTGATAAATTGCCTCCAATTCATCCTTAACCTTTACAACGTATACAGACAGAATAGTAAGATGAATAGTAATGTGTCAAATACGTAACTGCCAAGTTTGATTAATTATCAAATATTATAGAACTTTAGCAGGGTAAACAAATAGAAAGAGATTGAAGATAAATTAAGATAGTCTAATAATAAAAAAGTACTTATGTAATTAAATTGATTGGCATTTGTTTGGAGTGTTTGATGGTCATGGATAAAATGGACATTTTGTTTCTAGATTAATATCATAATAGATACCTAAAATATTAGAAAATAAATTACTTGAAAATAGAACCAGCAATGCTAATGATATAAAATAAATTTTAATAAATACTTATTAACAAATCGAAAATGATTTAGTAAAAATATAATTTAATTTAGGTAGATAATTCAAATATTGCATGTAATTTTAGTGGATCAACAGCAATTATAACATATTTGATGGGTTAAAAAATATATTGTGCAAATGTAGGTGATTCTAGAGCAGTGTTCTTTTATAGATCAGGTGATTCATGGTTTAATAGAGCATTATCATTTGATCATAAACCTAATAAATCTATAGAATTAAAGAGAATTTTGAGTTAAGGAGGAAGAGTGGAATAAAGTTTTTTTGATGGTAAAAGATAAGGTGCATATAGAGTTTGGTTGCCACATGATGATGTACCAGGATTAGCAATGTCAAGATCAATTGGTGATTTAGTAGCAAAACAAGTAGGAGTAATAGCAGAACCTGAAATATTAAGATATAAAATACCAAATAATGGTTTTATTTTGATTGGAAGTGATGGTTTATGGGACAAAATGGATTATGAAAGTATTTAAAAGATACTTCATAATTATTATCCTCCATTAAATTAAATTGATGTTGAGTCTGCTATTTAAAGAATACTAGGAGAAACTTATACAAAATGGGATCAATTAGATGCAGCTAGAGATGATATTACAATTATACTCATATATGTAGAAATTTGATTATTTTTATAAAATATATTGATATTTTTATGAAAGCCAATCTGCCAAAAGAATTTAAGGTTTAAATAGTTTTTAATAATGATATTTTAAATGAATTAGAAGCTGAAAGACCTTCAGAAGAAATGATAGATAGATATTGTAATCTATTTGAAAGCAATAAGATTAAATTAAAAGCATCAATGGTTATGGAAAAAAGGGGTCGTGGTAGACCTCCTAAATTGAAATCACCTATTAAAGAGAAATCAATAGAGGATGAAATTTCTAATAATGAAGATGATGTTCCTGATGATGTATCTGAAGATGAATTTAAAGAAGAAATGGATCTTGAAAATGATATTAATTTATCTGTTTCTTCAAAAGAAAAGAAATTTACTAAAAGATAAATGCATATGTATAGTTTGGGTAATTTGGATGGAAGTGAATTCTTATAATTACCTTCAAAAAAATCAAAATCAAAAAAAGACTTAGCTATTACAGAAGAGGAAATGATATCAAAAAGTTAAAAAGAATTATAAAGAAAAGAAAAATTATAAAAATAATAAGAAGAACAAAAATAAATGACTGTTGATAAAATCTTAAATGAAATAGGAAGAAAATAAAAGTAAAGATAATAATAAGAAGATAAAAAAACAGAAGATACTCATAAATATAGATCTCTACCACCAGATGATATTACAATCAAATATAAATCAAATAGTGAAGGTACATTTATTATAATGCCAAAATATATGAATTCATCATTACCTAATTCATAAAAAATGATAGTTGAGGATGATAAATATTGCTCAAATTGTTCTAACCTAGCTAGATATCGTATTCCAAAAATATAATTGAAAGCATGTAGTCTTGAATGTTATAAATTTTTAAAACAATAATGATCACTCTTTTTTTGTTTATCAATCTCCCTTTACTTTTTTGTTTCTTTATTAATTCTCTTTCTTTTCATCCTCTCCTTCTAATTTCATATTCTCTTTCTCTTCTTTCTTTTAAATTGTTCTAAATTTTAACATTTCTCTAACTCCTTCAGATACCAAAATAACATAAAACACATATGAAACAAAAACTTAAAAGAATGTAAAATTTGGATTTCCTGTAAAAGAATGTGTCCATGTTAATTGTAATCCACCTCCTAAAAATAATATTAAGCATCCTGCATGAATAATAACTATTGTTGGTAATGAATTAAATAGCCAATCATATCTTTAGAATAAAAGTATAAATATTATCACCAGATCTGATATGGCAATATATTGAAAATATAAGAAACTACACTAATATATTAAATATCAATTATTACAAACAAAGAAACTCCAATCATAAATCCAAGATACTCTTTCTCTCTTTTCGCGTATTTCACAAATAAATTATATAATGGTAAAATATAACAAGAAGGCAATAACATAAAAAAAGCATGATATAAACACTTATATTTTGAAAATAACTAAAATATTTTATCATATATACTCCTGAAAATAATGCCCATAAAAATCCTATTGTTGGTCTATGATCTTTAGGAAAATAATAATCAATATAAGTTTTTTCTATGAATTACCAATCCCCAGTTATTATATATGAAATATATAATAATAAACAAATAGTTGCAATGCACACAAATAGAAATACTATTAATTTAATAGCAAATTTTAAAGTTGTTGAAGTTTCCCTTCTAAAGATTACAGATATTGCAGCTAACAAAATAAAATATTATGGGTTTAAATATAATAAAATTCCAAATAAAATAGGGGATAGAATTTTTATTTTAAGTGCTGAAAATATTGTCAATAACAAAAATATATGATCGAATACATTTGTATTCTTTAAAATTAGATTTGCAAACTAAAATATTAATCATTTTTTACTATTATTGGATTCAAATGATAAAATAGCAAAATTGATTTCCTATATCCTTATTTTCCACCAAATAATTGCACAATCAAAAAGCATACTAAAATATCAGCTATCAGAAATATAATGTCATTATCAATCAAAACTAATCCATAAACAATCAAGGGTTTCTAAAATATTCCATCTGTATTATATGGATTATAGTTATTAGCTAATAAATATTTTGCTTCTCTAATATTATTATATTATGTGTATGGATTTGAGAAATAAGGTAGCCAAGTCAAATCTACATCCCATTTTCCAAGAAGCCAAAGCAAACATTTTAATGTTAAAATAATTCTATACATTAATATTTAATCATTAATTTTTACTAACTTCTAATTTTCCTTTCTTATATTAAAATTATCATTTATTATAGTTTCTCATTACAGTTACCTTAATTTTCACTATTCAATTTCTGATAATATATATAAGTATATAAATTGTTGATCAAATTAAAAAAATATATAATTTTGTCTAGGTATATTGATGTATAAGTATTTTGCAACTTTCATCTTGATTATAAATGGATTTATTTTATTTTTTAAACATCTGTTTTACTTTATTAGTATTTTTATAAATTTTAATCTATTAACATATATTTCATTAGCTCAATTGAATTTTTTTTATATCATTGAATAAAGTTTAAATTACTTACATTTTCTGAATGTTTTTATCAAAAAAAAATAACAATACTTAAATTTCTATTTAATTCTATTTATGATATTATTCTTATTAATTATTCTCATCCTAATATTAAATATTTATAAAGCAATCATGTCTATATTTTTTGTTACTTATATTCTTAAAAAAAAAAGAAAAACTCATTTAAGAAATTAAAATTTTATGTAACTTTTTTATTATATATCAAGATAGATAGTCTTATGATCCATAGTTATTCTATACTTGATAGTTACTCTTTTTCACTTAATTTTCATTATTTAATTTAAATAGAGTTTAAATTAGAACAAGAGAATCATAAGATGAGCAAAGATTGGTTACTTTAGAAATCACCTTTTATGTTTATTACACAATTTTAATTGTTATTACAATTTATAGATATTTACTAATATATTATCTTTTCTTCTCTAAATAACTAAAAATAATTTGAGAAAATCTTATGTCTCTATCATTATACGTCTATATTATAGTATATTTTGACATAATTGTTCAACAAACAATATTAATAATATTAAATAAATAAAGAATCATTATAAAAATTTAACTCTTTTTCCAAGACTAGATGATTTTTTTTGTCGAGTCATTAATCTTCTCAATTCCACAAATTAGTCTTCAACATTATATTCCTATTTTTGATTTAATTTTACCATAATCTATTTATAGCGCTCTTAAATGCTTGGCTTCTTATGTTTTAAAATAAAAGATCGATTAGGATTTTAAGGAATGAATTATCGAATAGGAAGAGTTTATAAGCTCTTTTAATTGATTGGTTCAGTTTATTATTAAGCAATGATTTAAGGTCTGATTCTACATGAGATAGTATGGGCTATTTCTCTTTTAGGAGATTGTTGTTTTGGTAAAAGTTTGTAATAATTTAATTTAGGTTTCAAAGGTTTTAAGTAATATTCAAGAGAATTCTCCATCAATTCATATTATGAATAATCTATGTTTATTCTCCTCAATTTTTGACCAACACTCTCTGAAACTCTCATTTTATAAATTATTATATAAATTATGTTAACATAAAGCTAATAGAACTAGTTTGATTTTAAAACCAGATAAACTTCACAAATAGGTATTTATACTCTACTACTCAATTAATTCATAAATCTTTATAATTCAACCAAATTATTGATTATTGTTATTTTAGATTTTAGTTCGTTAAAACCACCAAGACATCCTTAAGGAGAAAATTAAATAGAATAGCATAGGTAAATAAATTAAAATAGTAAAGAACCTAGAAGCCTCTTCTATAAAAAAGATATAAAATTACATCAAATGAGACAGAATAGAGAAATCATAAAATATCATTACCATCATTAGCTAATTTTAGAAAGACAGAATTTAATTCAATAGAGAATAGTAATCATTTAATTAAATTAGTTGTATAACCTATATCTATTCTAAATTAAGAAATTGGATTAAGAATTCCAAATCGATTACCTAAATTAGAAAATAGAAATGAAATATCAAAATCCAAATATGAAATTTAATTGAATCAAACTCCAAAAGATGAAGAATAGTAAAAACCTAAAACAAAATAAAAGAAAATTTCATATACACCTGAATAAAGAATATCTGAAAGTCCTGAAAAGAATAGCTCTTAATAAAGTAAAAAGAAAAAAGGATAAAAATAATTGAAAGGAATTAAATTTGTTCATAATACAAAAGCTGGTTGTTAGGTTAATAAATAAATAAAGACAAATCAAGATGCAGCTATCATATTTCCATAAAATATTTAGAGGTACAAATGAGCAGTAATTTAAGTAAAGTTAAAATTATGGATTAATTGGAATTTGTGATGGACATGGAGTGAATGGACATTTAGTTTCAGATATAATTAGATAAAGATTACCAAGTATATGAAGTAACTCAAATTAGTCTATTTGGAGTTTTAATTATAATCTCAAAATCCAGATATGGAAGAATGCTTTAAAAATGCTTTTGAATTAACAAATTCAGAAATCCTTTAAAGTTAATTTGATACAGCATTATCTGGATCTACTACAGTGTTAGCTATGATACAATAAAATTAGTTATGGACAGCTAATGTTGGAGATTCAAGAGCTATATTGTGTAGAAATTGTAATGGTTGGAAATCAATGCCATTAACTAGAGATCATAAACCATCAGATGAATCTGAAAAGTAAAGAATTCTTTAAGCTGGTGGAAGGATTCATAGCTCAAGAGGTGATCTAATATAATCATAAATATTCTAGATTTCTATGGGAATGATGTTGGTCCAGTAAGAGTTTGGCTTTCTTATGTAGATGCTCCTGGTTTGGCAATGACTAGAAGTATGGGAGATAAAATAGGAGCATAAGCTGGAGTTAGTAGTATTCCTGAAGTATTTCAATTCACTTTATCATAAAATGATAAATTCTTAGTTATTGCTTCTGATGGAGTCTGGGAGTATTTATCAAATGAAGATGTAAGAATTTAATCATCTATTCATTTTAGGTTATGAATATCATAGTTCCTTATTTTGAGGAGGGAGAACTTGAATAGGCAGGAGAGAAATTAATGATGGAAGCTATTAACTCTTGGAAGAAGAATAGTCCTGGAAGAGATGATATAACTTTTATTATTGTATAATTAAATAATTGAATTTAGTAATTATGTGTGGTAAAATTAATTTATTAATTGTTTATTGACATGTCTTTACATTTCCAATATCTAGGTTAAGGATTGAGTAGCCAAAAAACTATGGAATTATTATAAAAGCATTGTTCATCTAAGTAAATTTGTTTGTTTTATATTAAGTGATTATAACAAAATTGCTGATTTCGGTGCAGTTTTTGATGAATTATTGGAATAACAAAAATACAAAGAATTAATTGTATCAACTCTTGATATTATTAATTTATCATAAGATAAAACTTGTATTTAGCAAATCATATTTTAGTATTACAACCTATTTATTCTGCAATTTAATATTGGATGACTAAGCTTGAGTCTAAGGAATAATAAATCATTATTGATTTGTTTCTACAACATATCGAATAGATAAATGTAGAAGCCATTTTTAAAACTAAAATGTAACTCTGCATCACTATTCAAAAGTGTAGCACAATTATTTAATGCATTGAGTTCATCATCATTGTCATAGAATCTATTTTTGAAATTAATTGAATGTGCAAAGAAATGGAATACATAGTAATTAATTATATCTCCCATAATTTCAAATATTAAGGAATTCTTGAATTTATGGACTCTCAGTGATCCTGAGATCTTAAAAATATTAAATGCTATCTCTGAATTGATTGATCCTCAAGAGTATTATATAATATAATTATTTGTAGTTAACAATATGTTATACAAATTTCTGAATACATTTTAAGAAACATTAATACTTCTTAAGAATAATACATTAAGACATTTATTAACTTTTAAAATATTAATGTACTTTATAAATTATTAATATATTAAGTAATCCTTTTTAAAGTTATGTGAAATTACTTAATGTTCAAATTATCAAGTTATTGAAAAAACATAAGTGGCTTAACTTATAAAATTAGTGCTTAATGGAGATTTATCTGCAGTATAAGCTTTTCTAGTGAAAGAAGAAGTTTATTTCAAATAAATAAGTATGAATATAAGGTGAGATTAGATCTAAATGTTGAGCAATATTTGAATTAGACAAGGATTGCCAAATTTATTTAATTATCAAGTTAAAAATAGAGTTATTCATATTAAGAAATAGCTGTGGCTTTGAATGTATGAATTGAAATCTATTAATTATAGATTAAATTAGAAGAGGTAGAGATTTGGGTTATTCATGCAATTCAATCTTAAAATGTATCAGCTTAAATTGATTAATCTTAATAAAGAATTTTCATTTTGTAATTAAATATAATATTTTAGAGATAACTTTAAAAAATTGTTAACCAAAGATGATTGGTAAAACTTGCATAAAAAATTATCAGCTTTATTAACTAAGCTTAAAAATGTTCAAACATAATGAGAATGGTATATTATAAATTTAATAATGTAATAATTTTCAAGATTTTCTTTTCTATACTTCTTTTACCATTTTTAATTGTTTACTATTTTAAAACATTCCTTAATCAACTTATTACATTTATTAACCACTAAAATCAAATTAAGCATTCAATCCCTCTTATTGATAATTGTTTACAAACATTTAACACATTTATTTCATTCCAAAATTTGAGTAATTTTATCTTTTACTTGCATTTTTAGCTTAATCAATATCAATAATTGCTTAAGCAGATACTCCTGACATTTTTTAATCAGATAATATAAGTTATTTCATTGTTTCTAACATTTCTTCTGCTTCTTCATTTTTGGATAATTCACATTTCATCCTAGCTTATTCAATAGCTTCTGTGGCTTAAACACGTAAGATTTCTCTAGTGACATCAGGATTAGGATCATTTTCACCAATTTATTCATCTTAATTATATAATTTTAGTTATAAAACTGAAACTTTTTAATATACTTTTTTTGAAAATGTATTTTTGAATGACAAACAAGCATGAACAACTTAAGGAACTCTTTATTCATCAAGAATTTATTTTGTAAAAGGTGGTAGTACAATTTCAAAAACAAAATCTTTTCTAGAATCTGAAGCAATTTATGGTAAATTAATTTCATAAGATCTATCTTATTAAATAAGTTTCCACATATCACCATATGTTTTTTATATTTTTATATCTTAATAGGGTGCTTAAGGAGCACATTTAATCTCAATTTAAATATTTTCTGCTAATGCAGAGGATAATCTACCTAAAGCATCTGCAAAGAATTCATCTAACAATTTCAAATTTTCAATATAATAAAAACTTCCTTATCCTACTTTGCAAATACTTGACATTAATGCAGCATCATGATCACTTCCATATCCAAATGAATGGATTGTAACTACATCTTCAATTTTATCCTTCTATTATTAAATAATCTGAGCTGCTCCAGGATCTTAACCATCTGACAATAAAAATATAGAAGTGACTTAATTTTTCATTTTTCTTTATTAGATTTACTAAAATGCAATTTCAGTTCCTGCTGCTATATTAGTTGATCCTCCAGCTGTGATAGCTACTATGGCATTTTAAAAATATTTTTTATTCACTTTTGTTAAAGTCTTTAATGGAGTATGTCTTTGAGCTCTTCCATCAAATACTATTAGACATAATCTGTCCTTCTCACTAAGGAAATTTAATAATTAATCTAGAGATTGTTGAACACTTCTAATTTTTTCTCCCTACATACTTCCACTTTTATCAATAACACATAATAAATCAATACCAGCTTCAATTGATGAGTTATTTTTAGCATATTATTCAATATCTTTTGTTATGATACTTACCATAGCTGGTAATATTTATTTTTCTGATTTTTTTAGTTTACAATAATCATATTGTGCTTAAACTTTTAATTCAATCATTTCTTCAATATTTATTTGCAATCCATCTTATTTTTGATATTACTTTAATATATCATCATCATCATTAAAATTATTGGTGGGTTCATATTTAAATTATTATTGAGGATCATTTCCAAGTAAATTATTAACATAATTCTAAACTTTTCCTAATTAACCTTAACTCTATTATTATTATTGAGGAACTTGTTATTAAATATTAAAAATGTTTTAATTAGCCCTATTATTATTGGATTGATATTACTAACTCAATGGAATTTATTAAATAAACTATTATTGTTGTTAATATTAAATTTATTGTTATTATTAAATTGGGATTTATTATCCAATTAGAGATTATTCTTAATTGTTATTCGAGTTTTATAATTAAGCTCTTTGTTAATCTTTTAATCCTAACCTTTAAGAATTTGATAGAGTAATTGGTACCATAGCTTTGGGTTCGTTTGGAATTAATACTTCATTAATCCCTTCTTATATTTATTATGATTAATTCTAATTATCAAACTAAAATCTAAAAATTTATTTTTATAATACTATTATTCAGCATTATTCAACAATATTTATGAGACTTATGCCTTAGTTTCAAATGCTTAATTGGAGCTACTCTAAAATAAATCGTTCTAATTATCCATTTGTGTTAAAAAAAATTAATTTATCTATTTGATATTAAATTATCTAATATCAATTTAAAGACAAGATCTAAGATTTATCTGAAAAATTCTGTCTTCATAAGATATAAATTTAAATAGTTAATGAATTTTATTTAGTATACAATTATCAATCATTTAAAGACATAAAACTGAGATTTCCCTCTAATTATTAAACGAATATCTTAGATGAATATGGTCTAATAAGATATTAAATTGATCGAATTTTGATTTATTTAATTGTTTGAGATGAAATATATGAATTTCTGTTTTTCTTAATAATTTATTGTAATATTTATTCATGTATATTTTATTTCTATCTATCTTCCTTTTTTAAGTATATCCATTTATAACACTTATATTCTTCATCAAAGAAGGTAGAATAATATGGTAATCGCATATTCTCATTAAATGAATATTAGCGAATTTTTAAGATAGCATATTCTTGCCATTTTTTGGAATTTAGTCTGAATTAATTATATTATCTTATATTAGATAAATTTTTTTTTTACAAAATCAACTTCTAGAACTCAATCATCAAATTGATTTTTTTGCTTTGCTTTGATATTTTAATTTTAATTATTTTTATGATATTAATTACACTTCTAGAAGCTATTGTTTTAATAAGTAATGGTTTTGCTATTCTAAATGAGAAGCGAGTTTTATCAAAATGTATTAAATCTGAGATCCTTTAGATGGTTTCGATAAAGTTGATTATACAAGAGCCCATGAAGGAGGGTCTTAACATATGAAAGGAATTATTGTCAATTGGTTGATGTTTGCAAGATCGATGAAAAGTATAAATGTCTTTAACATAAAATAGTTTTCCTTATTATAGGTAATCTCATTGTTATTTTAATTGAGATTCTGTCATTTTGAATATTTATACGAAATAATAGCTATATATATTTTATTATATCAAATATATTATTTCATATTAATGTACCCTTTTATATTTTGTTCATTATTAATCTTCAAACAATCTTAACAAATTGTTTATTTCATACTCTTAACATTTACTATACTTATTATAATATTCTTATTGAAGATAATCAGAATGCTTTCCATTCCATTTTACTTCATATAATTACATACAATCAATAATACTATCCTAATTTATTATAGATAATGATTTCTTCTAGCAATAATCTTATAAATAATGCTTTATGAAAATTTTCACTGTCTCAATTACTTAATCATCGAAAATTAATGTGTAATTTTACAATAAATTTTTAAAAATACTCTTAACTTAAGCTTAAGGGACTTTTAAATCAGGATCATAAACGAATTCTCTATTTCATTTATAAATTAATATGTACTTTTCAGAATAATCCTCAACTAAATATCTAGCTAATAATGTACTGTTTTTAATAGTAAAAGGATCTTCTTTAAGCTTTTTTTCAATTTCATTAATAGATATTTCACTCTCATTAGAAAATAAGATCTAAAAAATCTATATAATTATAATACAGTTTCAGCTTCTTGTAAAGTAATTCTTTTTTTTCTTAATGACAATTTAAGTTCAAGTACAATTTATTCAATTTATTATTTTCTCACTTATTTAACAATCAATTGATCATTAGAAGTTGCTGTTGGAGACAGTGGAAGTTATGTTGCGGATTGAAAAAGTGAATCCTCACCATAAACAAAAGGGGATGTTTATATTTTTTTTTTCTAAAATTATGATAAATATCTAATAGAATTTATATTAATATTTACTTATCCATTTATTTTTGTTTTTCCAATATAGAATTATAATCTAATTAAAGTTTTTCTAATCTTTCAATTAAAATCCTTTTTTCATTCTCTAATATTTATATTTTATGTTTTGATTCTTGATTTAATTAAGTTAAAGCATTTTATGTTACTTATATCATTGTTTGACTTTAATCCAATTTATATGTAAGAAGTTGAATTTCATCTTTTTTGACATTAAGTTCATTCATCAATAAATTTTCATTTTTTGTTGGATTTCTCAAAAGATTCATTTCTGACAATGGATCTCTATCTCTGAATCTTTAAATTTATTATTCTTTTAATTTTAAAACTTATTATAATTAATTAAATTTAGCTTTAATGAGAATGTATTCAGATCGAGTTTTCTCTAAATCTATTATATATTGTTTTTAAGATTCTAATTTATTTAATAAACTAACATTATCTTCAATTAATTAATATTAATCTCCTTCAAATTTAGAAGATAATTAATATTTGAATAGCTAAGTTTATAAGTCTTAAATTTATCTTTTCAGTTCTACTTATACTTTATATTGAATGCTTTCCTTAAGTGTTTAAATTTCTTAATCTTATTATTTTATTTTTAGAAAACTTTATGAAAGCATCTTTCTTTAATCAGTTTAATCCATAATATTAATATTACTTTCTAGTTATGAAAGTACTCCTATCAATTATTGATTTTCAACTGATAATTTTTTGGATCTAAGTTTTTCATGATATAGCTATTCATATAATGTTTCTTTGTCAATGCATATATTTTTTGGAATTATAACTTTCTTAATTTTGGTTGAATTTGTATCATTGATAGAATTAAGAGTTTTAATCCTTCTTTAAGAATCATTTTTTAAGAAGTGTTAGAAATAATTATTTGTTATATGTTAGCTCATACAATTAATTTAATATTAAAATGAATTTTAATTAACAATAACGATTTCATAAGAAACCTTATTCTTAATATGATCTCCATACTGATAGGCCTTCCAAGATGCCTTCTTTTATGAAATCATCTGAAATTGTTTCAAACTTTAAAGAGAATTAGGATCCTATTCAATATTCAAATATTTCTATAATTAAAGAAATTCAAGATATCGAAAAAATGTATTAAGACAAAATAGATTCTTTAAAAAAATTAAATGCGAAGTTAATGTCAACAATTGAATTTATGGAAAAAACACTTGAGCAATAAAAAAGTATGCTTTAAGAAAAATAACAAATTGTAATTATTTCATATTAATATAAATTAAGATTATGAAACAATAAAATGAACTTTCTTAATATCGTTAAATCCTATCATAAAATACTCAAGTCAATATTAAGAATTTAAAAACAGAAATTGAAGATGAAAAAATAAAAACAGAAAGATTACATTATGAATTAAAAGATTTTAAATATAAGTTTGAAAAAGAAAAACCATTGGTACATTTGTTTAAAAAGATTGAATAAACTTAAGAAGAATATAATTAATAAAATAAATTATTTATGAGAGAAGTCCTACAATTATTAGATAAACCTCGAAGTCAATCATTTTATCGATAACCCTCAAAATAACATATTAAGAAATCCTCGTTTTATAATTGATTCTATTTAACTATAATTAATTAAATTTTTTATTAATGAAATAGATTTAAAAGAGAAAAAATAAATCAAAGCAATAACAAAAGGTTAAGCTTGATTCATCTTAAATAATCAAGCTGATGACAGCCTAAAAATAAAAATAAGAAAAGGGCTCTAAAAATTTTTGCAACCTAATTGGTATGAGCTTTATTAAAATTCCAATATATAAATTTTCACCAGAAATAAATCAGTATCTCTAAAAATACAATAAAGAAAGTAATTATGTATATTATTTTTCAAAGCAACTGTAAGTTTTATATAATGTAATCTTACAACTCTAGAAGGACTCAATTTTGATGGCACTTAAGTTAAATATTTGAGAGTAGATTACAACAGTTTGAAAGGAGACTCATTATAATTTATTGCATAACATTTCCCTAATTTAATTACTTTAAATCTTAAACATAACTAAATAGCAAATTTAGAAGTATGTCTAATATATATTTTTAGGATTTAGTGCATTTAAAACATCTGAAAAATTTAGAAGATTTAAATCTATCATTTAATCCAGTTAAAAAGTATTAAGATTATAAAACAACTATTTTTTAACATTTACCTTAATTATCAAATTTGGATAATGAAATGGATACTGATGATTCAATGGCAGACACAAGTGAAGATTTGATTGTAAAATTTTAATATAAATAGTAGCTTTAAAGTTCAGAGGATGAGGAAAGTGAAGCTAGCTTTGATGATTACGAGGAAAGCAGTGAAGAAGATAAAAAACAAAAAAATAAAAGAAAAAAAGTTAAGAAATGATATTTATTAAATTTAAATTATTTAAGATAAGTTTAATGAAGCACCATATAATCTCAACTATTTTTTTATTGAAATAATGTTATTTATAAATAAAAGATGAACTTTAATTTCAAAAACAAAAAAGAATTTATATATGTGTTTTAAGTTAAATATAAGAATTCTAAATTTTATTCTTAAAAGTTCTATAAATTTTATTTTATTTTTTACATTTGATATTTCTTTACATTCAAATGAGATATGTTACTAAAAATTATTATATTTTATCGATGATTTACAATAGACATAGAAATCTAAAAGTATATGTTTCAATTCTTAGGTTTCTTAATATAATAAGAATTTCTATATTTTTAAGAATCTCTAAATATTTTGAATAATAACTATATATAAACAGACACTTTTAATTACAATTACTATTTCTTTACCGAATATAAAATGAGTATTGAAGACAAGGTATATATTGTTTAACAAGAATAATCCTTTTGGCAATAATAATAATATAATTATAAATTAAATTTACAGAGTATTGTTAATGGGAATATGTGGAGGATAAGGGAATAAGAAAATTAATAAACCAACTCTGGAATAAACAAAGGATTAGACAGGAACTACTTCAAATAATGAGAACCCAGGCTCTTCAAAGTAATCCAGGTTCGTCAAACAATTAACAGATTTCAAAGTCGATCCATCTATATTTGTTACTTTGAAGAAGGGAGATCTATTGAATTCTTACAAAATAGATTAAGTTTTAGGGGAAGGTATGAAAATCATATATATCTTATTAAGGAACTTATGGTAAAGTAAGTCTGGTGACTTAGAAAGGAACAGGACTTTAAAGAGCAATGAAATAGATTAGGAAGGATAAAATAGTTATTGAATAAAAGGACAATATGATATAGGAGGTGTCTATACTAAAAGAATTGGATCATCCTAATATAGTAAACATTTATGAATTGTATGAGGATGAAAGTTTTTTTTATATAATCACAGAGTAAGTAGTATCATTTCAATAGATTTTAAGATATTTGAGTGGAGGTGAATTATTCGAGAAAATCAATGAGATTGATCATTTCAATGAGACTATTGCTGCAGGATATATGAGAAAGATTTTAGAAGCTGTTAATTATTGTCATACTCGTAATATTGTACATAGGTATTATTTTAATATAATGATTATCAAAAGAGATCTTAAACCTGAAAATATTTTATTTGAATCCAAGAAAGCACATTCTAGTTTAAAGATTATTGATTTTGGAACAGCTAAATAAATTGATGATTCAAACAAATTATCTTAAAGAATAGGAACTGTATATATATTTTTAATTATCTTATTTACAGCCATATTATATAGCCCCTGAAGTAATAAATAAGAGATATGATTAAAAATGTGATGTATGGTCTTGTGGTGTTATATTATTTATTATGCTTTGTGGTTATCCTCCTTTTAATGGATAAAATTAATAAGAATTATATTAAAGAATATAAAGTGGCATATTTTCATTTGAAGGTATAATTATTTATTTAAAATTCAAATAGAACCTGAATGGGAAGATATATCTGCAGATGCAAAAAATCTAATTAAGAAAATGTTGGTAATTGATCCTGAAAAAAGAATATCTGCATCTGAAGCATTAAAACATGATTGGATGATTATCAACCAGAAAGATAAGAAAATTAATTCAAAATCTTTGGAAAAACTTGCTAAATTTCATGTAAATAATATAATTTACATAAGAGTTAAAGTAAGTTGAAAGCAGCAATAATGCAATTAATAACAACTTAAATTATGTCTAATTAAGAGAAAAAGAAAATTTAAACATAATTTAAAAAAATTGATGTTAATAAAGATGGTACTTTGAGTAGAGAAGAATTACTTAAATGTTATAGAGAAATATATGATGATGAAATGAAGTGTTAAGAAATAGTTGAAAATCTATTTTAATAAGCTGATGTTAATGGATCTAATTAAATTGATTATACTGAATTTATTGTTGCATTTGCAAAAAAAGAATAATTAATGGCTTAAAATAAATTAGAGAAAGCATTCAGACTTTTTGATAAAGATGGAAATGGATAAATTAGTAAATAAGAGTTATAAGAAATTATGGGAGGAGCATAATTAAGTGAAGTTGAATGGAATAATGTATTTAATGAATTAGATCTAAATGGAGATGGTATTGTAAATTTTTAAGAATTTACAGAAATGCTAATCAAAAATGCTAATGAATAAGAATGATATCATTTATTTTCTTATATTAATATACTCATTTGTATTAGTATTTAGACTTTCCACCAAATTAATTAAAGAGATTATCTAATTTTTACTATGAATTATTAGTAAGCATATAATCATTGGCTAAAGTTTAATCTCTAGTTGTAACAGGTTAATATTTGCTTAGAAATTCTTGTTTTTTTGGAGCTTATATCATTGAATCTAATTAGATTCCTTTATTTACAGTTGAATTCTTGCTCAAAGTATTGACTAATATAAATATTTCTATATATTACTTGTATCCATTTATTTTTATTTTTTTTACTGATTTTCAGTATTAATAGCTAATCTAGATTCAATTGTATTTAGCATTATTTTACTATCAGAATATTATTATAATCTTTTGATTTGTTGATCAATTCCATTATTTAATATATCAAAATGAGTTTTTCTTTATTATTATAATGAATATTATGTAGATTTCTGCAATAAATCCAATTATTTTTCATTATCAATATATTTCTTTCTTATTTTTTAATATTCATTCTATACTGATTCACTATCATTAGACTTATGTATTTAAGTAACTGATGTATCTGATATACTTGTTTTACTTTAAATTATAAATTATAATTTATACATTATTTTTCCATTCCAGTCAATTGGTATTTCTTCTTATCTCTTATTTAATTCTTTTTCATATTAGAGTAACTATTTGACAAATCCATCATTAGGGTAAACCTACCATCTTTTCCTTTGTAATTATTACAAGGCTTATTTAGAAGTTATATTATGTTTTTTCATCAAATAAGCAGCAATAATTGAAGCACTTCTGGAAATACCAGCCATGCAATGAACTAATACATTTCCTGATAACCTAGTCTTTTCAATAAATTAAAAAGATGGATTAAAATATCGATAAATATTCTCATTCTCACAATCGTCCAAAATGAAATGTTCATAATGTTTCATCTATGAACTAACAGCATATGATATTTTAGAAACACAAACTGATAAAATAGATGTTATTCTATGTTTTTTAAGTAGACTAATGTCATCTTATTTATTATGTCTTGTTACTTGCACTTTCTATATTTCCCAAAAAAAGAGAACCCATATTACCGCAATCAATAATGCATGTAATATCCTCCATTATTCTACCTTAATTCTACATTTATTTCCGTTTTTCAGGAGATGATTGATACATTAAATAGTAGTTAACAATAATTAATAAATTCAACTAAAAATTAATACTAAAGGTGTTGTATAATTTTGATCAATTATTTTATTATGAATAATTTAATTTAGAAATTATCACATTAAAGCCTTCCTTTCAAGATTTCAGATGAATTTGCAACAATTATAATAGCTATTAAATACTTTTAAGTTTTGGCTATAATTCAACCAACTTATGATCGAATTCATGAACCTTCTCTATTGTTTACTACAAATATCTTAAAATCAATATTAATCATACCATATGCATCTAATTTTACTTTAATACTTTTATGTCTCATCTTATTAGTAATCAAAGAGCTTACTCTTGCAACATTTTGTATAATTGAAAACTCAACATCAAAAATAGTTAATAAGTATGGATTGAAACTTATCTTTTATGAAATATTATTCTTTTAATAGACAACAGCAATACCAGAATTATATCTTTTAATTGGATTGTTAAATTAAAATAATAAGAAGGTTGCTTTCTAATCATTTAAATTTGCATATGTTGCACCAATTTGCATCTTTGTAATTATAATTGTTACAATAATTGCATTCTTTAGAGTATACTTTTTAAGAGCTTAAAATATTATTTCAGATACTAAAATATTTCCTAAATTTACATATTTCACAATTTTAAGATTCTTTCTTAAAATTTGCATAATAATAATTTCATTTGAATCTTCATATGCTGCAAATTTACTCAAATTATGTTTAGGTTTTGGAGTTTTTATTGTTTGTCTAATTGAACTGTACATTGAAACAACATTTGAACCTTCTATTAATAGATAATTAACAATTATTATAAGTTGTTTAAAATTAACTACATTTGTTTAATTAATTTGTTATTTATTTTCACCTAATAAAGAAGATTAAATGCAATCATTTTATATTTTATTTGGAATTCCTATTATTTTTATTATCACAAGAATTATCAATTAAAGAAAAAAATTGGATATATTGATTTATTAATCTTATAAATATCCAATAATCATTTAAATTGAGGAACTTTATGAGTTTATGTCTAGATTGAATTCTAATAAACCATCAATTGAATTGATTATTTAATAATTTCAAATATATAGCAGACATAGTGAACATTGCAAATCTTGTAATACAGAATATAATTATTCAATTCCAAAACTTATTTAATGCTTAATTTAAAACAAATTCAGAAAAAACAAAAAGTCTAAAGATTCTGAAAATTTGATGATATTATATGTTAATTTTTTATCAAACACAATGCATCAACCTTTAGTGGCATATGTTGAAGTTAAGAAATTTGAATTTAGAAAAAAACGCTTCTCAATTTATTACAAATTTATAAGAAATTAATTTGCATTGAAATTAAAGGAAAAAATAGAAGACAAACAATCTCATTCAACTGTGAAGTCTAATTTAACCTTTTCTCAATAAATAGAAATTAAAGAAATTATTTAAAGTTTCCATTTAGAAGATGAATATCTAAAAAAATATATATTACTTTTAAATTAAAAAATAAAGATTTGGTAATTGTAAATAAAAGGTGTTGAGAATATAGGTGAACTAATTTAAGTTGTGAGCCATTATGGATAAATGTTATAAAAAGTAATGGATCAATTTTTTTAAGATTTTCATCAAAGTTTGAATTTAAAGAAATGTGAATAGAAAAATGCTATCCACTTAAAACTTATGTCAATATTATATTCTTTGATATTGAACAACACAGAATAAGCATAAGTATATGAATAATAAATTGTTACTATTTGTGCAAATGAAAGTAATCTTCCTCTTGATACAATATGTAATGCTAGTCTCTTAGATGATAAAGTATGTTTATTAACTATAAGTATGGTGAAAAATAAAGGAAAGATTTTGAATGCAAATAAAAAACAATTAGCTAAACATTTTGGTTTTTCATGTGATGATTACCATTTAATATCACATATAAATGATTTAATGCCTCCATTTTTAATTGATGTCCATAATCATTTATTAGAACTTTATTTAGAGAGTGCATAATCATAACTTTTTAGACAATTTATTTAAATTACTACAGTTTAATAGGATGGTTTACTCCAAGCTAAATAGTTGAAATTAGACAACAATTTTAGTTATGAAGATGATTATGTAATTACAGGATGTATTTCAAAAGTAAAGGAGGGGTCTGAATTCATTATATTTGATTCTAGTGGTAAAATTTTGAGTGCTACTGAATCTATATATCATATAATGATTTAAGGTATAGATTAAGAGGCCACTCATGCAATTCAAACATTAAATTAATGTTACATTTTTTTCTTTTTTCCTGAAATTTTAAAGATTTTTGCACATCATAAAATAACAAATAAAAGTTATCATAATCTTGAAATTGAAGATTAAACTACATTGATAACAAGATTTAATATATCGGATTTCATCATTAAATATTAAAAACTGTATAGTTCAACTTCTCCTTATAAATATTTATAATTCGAACATAGAGGTAGTTAACATTTTTAGAAATCAAAGACAAGTGGTATTTAATCAGAATGTTAAAGTTCATTTAATAAAACTATACCAAAAGCAACATCAAAGCCAGAATTATAAATTTTAACTATAACCTATTAAAAATAAATAGAAGACATTATGAAAAAAATAAATGAAGGTGGTGAAGCTACATATTCAATAAAATTTATACTCACTTACAAAGTAGTAGGTCCAGAATCTTTACATAAATCATTTTTTCTTATGGAAATAATTGATTTTAGAAGTAAGGAATAATTGTTATCAAAAAGAAGAAAAGTTAGTGTAATGAAATTACATTAAAATTATATCCCAAATACATCATCTAGATTTAAATTAGATTCATTTCGTGATGACTCTAAAAGATTAGATTAATCATCTGAATAATTTATACAATCTTTTGCATAAATTCATCATCAAGATGATCTATTAGATCATGATCATTATTCTTATAAATAAAAAGATTTTAGTGTAGATGAAAACTAATAATCAGAAGGATCTAAAACATCTCTTGATTCATCAAAATCAAATACTAATAAAGAATGTCATATCTTTATTAATTCTAAAAAAATAATAAAACCATTAAAAGTTGTAATTGCTTTAAGTTCATTAATTATGATAGTTAAATTAATTTATTTGATTGCAAGTTTAATAATCATCTAAGATAGTACCAATTAAATTGTATAAAGTAATAAAAATATTAATGCTCCTCTTATTTTTAATAGATAATTTTTTCAATTCTTTTCACTTTAATGGATACTTCTCTTATAAAAATTATAAATTATTGATTGTAGCACTTATCTTCTAAATTAAACTGATTATAAGTTAACAAATATCTCAGAATCTACTTTCTAAGAATTAAATAAATTATATTCCTCTTTTATTGAAGTTGAAGACTCTGGTCTATTAGAAAATATTAATTATAGATCTGTTGGAGAAGATAGGCAAATTGTAGGATATACTTACTTTATATTAAATTTAGAAAGGACAATAAAAGAGTTATTTTATTTTAATAAAGACTTTTAAATTGAATATCATCATATTACTACTTTAATGACCTTAAGGATTAATTTATATAATGTATATTATATGAGCAAAACATTAATATCATCTTATGAAGAATTATATGGTAACACTTTAGATAATTAAAGTTTAAAAATTGTTGTAATAACATTTACCATCATTATTGTACTTCTCTTTAAAATAATAATATAGTTTTTCTTTTGGAAATAATGTTCAATATATTAAAGATAACTTATTTTTATGATAGGAAGATTAAAAGAAAAAGAAGCTAGACAATAAATATTGAAATCATAGCAAATAAAAGAAATTTTAGAAAATAAAGAAAATATCTTTAATTGGAGATAAATAAATTATTCATCCTATGATTTTAATAATAATTAAAATAATGATATACGATCTTAAAGAGGATCTTAGTAAACAACTAAAATATAAAATAGATAACCAATTGTTTTAAATACAAGAATTTAAGACACATCTATGAATAGAAAAATAATAATATTAATTCTATTTTTAACATATATCACATTTATAGTTTACATTATTTGTGGATATATTTTATTTAGAAAAGAAATCTAATAAATGATCCCTTTTTAAAAAATGACTTTATAATTTATCACTTTTTCAACTAACTTAGATGCAATGATTGGATCTGGTATGATAATTAAATCATTGCCTTCTATTTATGATAAATTAACTCAATAAAGCATAATTACTTAAGAAATGATTGAGAAACTATAAGATGCAAATAATTAATTATTTTAATTATTTGAAGAAAGTGAAGTGAATTTTGATGCAAACTTAATTAGTATTTTTGAATAAATTACTCTTTCAAAATAAATTAGTGATGCTGATAAAAATACTTTAGAGAGCATATATAAATATGATATCTGTTTAAAATTATTAGATGATGTACCATTTTGTAAATACCCTGAGGTAAATTAAACTTTTATTAATTTATACTCAAATCCAAATTAAGTAGATGATATTTCTAACTTCTATGAAAATGGTATAAAGGGAATTGCTAGTTAAATAAGTTCAATAATTAAATAATATTTTGATTATGAAATAAGTTAATAAAGGTATTTGTTTGATGTAGTTGGTAATGAATAGTTTATGAATTCTAAAGAATTTAACACAGCCTTTTTGTAACACTTTCTATTCACAACAAAGACAATTGATATTTTTATAAATATTATCCAATATAGCAACTAACACTTTGCTGAAGATAATTTAATTACAATATAATTGTATTATTGCATAACTGGATCAATAATAATTTTATTGTATATGATAGTTTACACAAAATGGATTTAGATAAATTATTTTTAATTTAGATTCTTAAAGTTTGGATTATCCCTTTTACCGTCAACCATTTAGAATGACCCTTACATTATGAATTCTATTAAATAACTTAGTTGATTTTATTAAAATTGAATTCTTTTTGAAATAATGATTCTTTAATCTGAAAATATTATTAATAATAATTAGATTATTTTGATAGTACATATCTAAATACCTAGATATTAATAAGTATTTATCAAAACAAAGTTTAAAGATCTCACTTCTCTTTCTTAAACTCCTAAATCATGTTTACTATAACAAAAGAAAAACATAATATATCAATTTATTAAATAATTATGAAAATATTTTGATAAGTTTATGCACCAATAATCATTATAATGAATATATACTATAAACTCATCATTTTTTACCAGCAGCTTCTTTTGCAGCTGCTTCTTTTGCTTCTTTTGCAGCAGCTACCTCTTTTTATAATTCTTGATTTGCTTGTTTAACTTTCTTTTTAAGAGACTTTTCCTTTCTCTTTTTTTATTTCTTCTCTACTGTTACTGTTTTCTTTTAATATAACATTTCTCCTTCTAATGTTTCCTCACCTTCATCATCTGGTTTTCTATAGATCAATAAATCATCATCTTTCTTTGATCTTTAGAATTCAGCTTCTTCAAAGAATTTCTAATTAAGATAATAATGATATTCTTACATCATCTTCATCTCTAGCCAAAGTTACAACATTCCAATGGATTAGTTTTTTGTATCTTTCATGCAATAATATACCTTATGGGAAAGTATTTTATAAATCTCCTAATTTATATGGTCTATATGTTTTAATATTCTTAGCATCAACAAAGAATTTTGTAGGATAAGTAGCATTATATGAATTTATCCAAACTCCTTCAATATGTACATCATAATCAGTTCCCCTAACTAATGCTGGATTTGAGTTATTGGGCAATATAGCAATTGGTATGTACAATAAATTTGGTCTGCCTACTATGTATCTTCTCAAAGTTACTTTGAAAGGCCAACCACTTTCTATCAATTAAACTTATCATTGTTACTAGGATCTTTAATGATTTCACCCAAAGTACAACGAATATCACCATCATGTCCAGGTACTCTGATATAAATTGGAGCAACATTTGCACAAATCCTTCTCTTAACTGCTGCCACTTAATAGTAATCTAAAACTATATCAATATCCTCAAATTCATCTCTTCCTTCAATCACAACTGCCACTTCATGTTTTTTCCATAGACCTATCACATGATCATCTAATGATCTAACTCTCTTAGCAGGTAAGACCACCTAAAAATATTTTAATGATGATAACTTTTTTAAAGTCTAATAAAAATTTGTCTGTATATGCTTTCTTAAAACCTTTGACCATCTGATCTAAAAGTACATCATCAATATGTTTATTAGCTTATGGACCTCTACTTGATGTAAAAATAGGAATATTATATTAGGCTTTGGAACAAAATGCTCTAAATATTCTAAACCCCAAAAACATTTAATTTAATTATGAGTTTAGAAAATTGAATATTTATGTGCATATTTAAAAGTATTTATAAATATCAAACTAGTTAAAGTTCCAGGTTATAGAGAGAAAGTAGGTAGTCAAATATATTATAGAATTTTGTTGTAATTTACATAGTTGAACAATTTAAGCAATCTGATCTTGAATTCACTTATAGTAATTTTATAGCCTAATTCAAAACTATGAGACTTGAATGCCCTAATTTTCCATAATCACCTGGTTAACAAATACCAGATTTTTGATAGCAAAGAGGGAATATGTCTATGTATATGAAATTGCAAAACAAGGAAAGAAAGGAACTCAATTCAAATAAATTTCTTTAAGACACTCAAAAATAAAATTATTCAATTTTCAATAAGTACAAAAGAAATATATGCAAATTATTGAAAGTGTGTGGTTAATTAAGAATTAAAAAACATGAAATATCATTACTTATAAAATGCTCATGATAAGGAATTAACACAATTTACTTATTGAATTCTTTAGGCTTACTTGTGACAAGTAGTAAGAATAATTCAGTAGAATTCTGGTAATATAAATTATTTCCACATATTTTATTGAATGCAGATATGATTCCTTACAGAAAAGAATCCATCTCTAATTAAAAGGTTTAAATAAGATAATAAGGAAGGGTACAAATTAAATAAATCTAATAAATACAATTTTAAATGAAATCTGAATCATAATAGTTTCTTTATTTTGCATACATATATTTATTCAATTGTATATCTATTAGACTTGATTTTAAATGAGTATAATAAGTTTTGAATTTTTAAAAATTAATTTATCCATCAACAACATTCTTATTTACTATAATTTTTTTGAACATAAATATGAATATTTAATAAGCAAAAAATTAAATTTAATAAAAAATAGCTGAGTACTTGAATGAGACTTCACTAAAAACTATTAAGGATTACTAGGAGGCTAAGAAAAATAAAAAATAATCTGATCCAATCATCTAAATAAAGAAATAAACTCCAGAAAGTTTTTCATTACCATAATAAGATGAAGTAGTAATTAATTTAGACGAATTCAAATTTGAACCTCAAATAAAATAAAAGAGCTGGCAAACTCAATTGTTGGAAGCCTAATAACAATAATAGCCAATTTATCATTAAATTTATGGTTACTGCTAAGAATAGTTTAAATTTGATTCAATTATGGAAAGATTATAACTTTTAAGAAAATCTCTATTTAAAAAGAAAATGCCTAATGGTGATATCCAAAAAATAGAAGAATTCATTCCATTTTATACTCTTAGAAGAATGGCTATGCAATTACCAGCAGATGCCTCTGAAATGAATACTATGTTATAAGATCACTTTGTAACAGAGGCTTTCTTAAAAGAAATAAGATACTTTTTAAAATAAGTATTAATTATTAATTAAACTTAGTAAAACATAGACAAGAGTTTAATATTTTATCATCCAAAAATGTATGAATAAAGTGATGATTAATTAGAATAATTGTTAGCTGAATTTGTTGAATTAGATAAATAAAGATCGAGTGGTTTAGAAGAAGAAATCAAAGTCCTTATTCCTTCATAATAATTTAAAATATGATTTTAAATATAATTAATAATAGTTTCATTCTTATTTAAATTAATTATTAATTTATTTATAAATTGTCAGCGTCTACTGCAATTAATTGTTTCTAGTCTTAATATCTTCTATTTATTTCAAAAGATTCTAACATAATAGTGTATTATCATCTAACATTACAGTTTATTGTTTTATTTATGAACTAAAATCGACTTAAGATAATTAATTTTCTTTAAGTTTTCCTATACGTCCCTCATGTTTAAATAGTTTTAGAATTACTTTTGCTGAAGAGAATTTAATATTATTCTTCTTTGCAGCTTCTTTTATTGATAATCCTTCAACTAAAATATCCACTAGGAGTGATATTCTCTAGTCAGTATTAATACATTAATATTTCCTATTCATAAGACCAACGTTATTTTAATTCATTATTTTAAATATTATGATTATTTTAAGTGTGATTCACCCTATTATATCATTTTATTTATTGGGGGATTCATTAATTCTTTACTTTATTTTTAATGATATATGTAAGGTAATACTAAGATTTGTAAATATAAATATTGATTTAAAAAATGATAATATATCCAAATTGTTGAAGGATTCTTTTTCCTATAGTTATTAATCTTTTCAAACCAAAATATCATTAAAAAATTCAACATTAAATGTTTAACATGGATAATTGCTAAATTGGACTACTTGATGATTTTACTAATATATAATAAAATTAATAGTTACAGAAATCTAAATTAAGGAATGAGGTTGATCATTCTGTATTCAATTTTTCATTAAACTTATTTTAACCATCTTTACTACATTAATAATAATTAACTCAGTATAATATACTTTTTTACAAAAAATCCAATCCTTTATATCTTAAAATGTTTTAAATCTCTCCCTTTATTAAGAAAGAGAGCATTCAAAAATAGATAAATAAAGTATATTGTTCTAGAAAAATGAGATTTCGAACAAATCCTAATTTGTAATTAAAATTAATTAAAATATAAAAATTAATATATCAAATAATAATAATTATTAAACTTACATATATTTATCTATTTTAATCACCTTTATTCTAAGTCTTGCTAGTTAAATTTTAAGAAGATTTTCAAAAATAACCTGATAATTAGCAAAAAATAATATTAGAAATGAGAATTTTTAAATGAATTAATATTATTTGAATTGTTCAATATTTTTCATTAAAAATTAAAGGTCATATGCAATTATGTTTAGTAATTTTATGAATATAATATAAGATATATTTTTCATTATGGCTCTTGCTACATGGCATCAGGAGATGGATTTATCATTCTGAATAATTAGTTTACAGGAATTTGATTATTTATATCAAAGTATGAATCAGGCTCGAATTCTATTGTTGGTTCTTATGCTACTTGAATTGATCTTCTTGTGTTTTTTGGAGCCTAGTTTAAGATTTTAAATTTTCAAACTTAATGTATTATCTATGCTTGTTATTATTGTGACCATGTGAACATTTCTTTCTTTTATTGTATTTAATTTTTCTTTTATTCTTCTTATCTTTTCTTAAAATCCTCATATTCTTAATAATCATCCTCTGGTTTCAAAGTGATAGTTGTTGGTTTGCGTATAATCATTAAATTTAAATAATGAAATTTCGATTTTCATCAATGAGTATTGCTTAATTTTAAGACAGATAACGAATAGGATGGAGTAGAACTAGAAAATGGATGTTTTATGCTGGCTTAATTCTTATTGGAGTGGAAATATAAGGAAACTATTGGAACACTGATATTCTATATACATTCAACTAAACTCCTTAAAATTTGGAAATCATATAAAAATGTCCAACTTTAAGATAAGTAGGAATTACAATAATATATTTAGGGTGTTTATAAGCCAACAATATATTTATAAACAGCTTTCTTATAGAGTTTATATGGAAGTAAATTTGATCCAGTGCCATATGTACCAATGACTCGAGTAGAAGTACCTGTAGAAAATGGATTAATTACAATAGATTCTCTGCCTGTTAATTAAAAGTTTCTAAGATCTGATAAAAGTGAGAACCCAAAATAAAAAACTTTAATAATATTGCATGGATTGACTGGAGCTAGTGAATGTAATTACATTAGACATACAGTATTACATGCAAATCGTAAAGGATTTAGAGTTTATTGTATAAATATGAGAGGGTATGCAAATTCAAGAATGATATCTGCATAGACTACTGATTATTCTAAATTAGATGATTTATTAGCTGGAGTAAATTATATTAAATCCTAAAACCCAGAATCTCCTCTTTATATGCTAGGGTTTTCTATAGGTTCTTTGTAATTAGTGAAATTTCTAGCAAAATATAAGGATATTGTAAAAGGTGCTGTAGCAATCAGTTGCCCTTGGGATATTTATACTTTAGCCTAAGAAGTAAAGAAACCCACTAAATTTATTTATAATATGGCTATTACAAGAAATTTTATTCGTAATATGAAATGGAATCTAGATGTATATAAAATGTCAGGCATTGATGTAGGTATATTGATTTGATAATTTTTATAATTTAGATTAGGCTTAGAAATGTTATAGAACTGAAGACTTTGATGAATTAGTGACTAAAAGAGTGTTGGGTTATGAAAACATCTAAGATTTATATAAGAAAATAAATTGTGTCAAAGAAATTTAATAGATTGAAGTTCCTACTTTATTTGTATCATCTATGGATGATCCAGTTATATAATATACATTAATTCCAAAAGATGAAATTCTAAATAACAAAAATGTCATTTTAGCTTTAACAAAAAAGGGAGGTCATATTGAATGGTTTACTGGATTTAAAGCTGTTAGAGTAATGATATTGTAATTTATTTTAGTGGATTAATAAACCAGTTATAGAATTTTTAAATTGTCTAGATAGTGTAAATAATAAAAATATTAGTCATTATTGATAATCATTCAAAATTTAAATGCTTTTTACTTCCTAAATTATTTCTTCTTATTGATTGCTTTCTAAATATGCCATATCATTAATATTATCCTCATCTTATGGTTTAGAACTAAACATATCCTCCTCATTCACCTCTTAAATTTCATTCTATTATTGATATTTTGAACTTAATTTATCTTGAGGATTACTACTAATTATTTCAAACTATTTATCTTCTTCATCAGCAGGGAAAAATTGATTAATTAAGACTTCTTCATTTAGATTAAAATTGTCAATGACCTATTAATTACTCTATTACTCATTTAGATCTCTAATAAAGCTATCCTATTATTAGATTTCATTTGAATTTTTATGATGTGATTATCTTTAAAAAGGATTTGTTATGATATCTATTGATACTCTCATACTTTATGAATTCTATTCACTATTATTATCTGTTACATTATTATTTGAGATTGTATTTTAAAATATCTTAAATTAAACAAATTAAAATACTTCTAATAGAAAATAAGATATTATCTATTAATCCCAATTAAAATTCATGGCCTTTATAAATTTTATTATATCATCTCTTCCAACTTTTTTGTATTTGTATTGAATCCAATACTATCTTACACGATCTTTTTTAGATTAAAGAGACTATACGCTACTTATTGGAATACCTTATTGATTAATTATTGTGCCTATTATTCATCCAAACCTTCTAAGGTATGATAACTTAATTAAGTAATAAATTATTAATATAATGTTTATGTTCCTGTTAGTTTATCTATAACTTATTATGATTCAGTTTCAGTTAATTAAAATGGTTCTCTATTTTATTAAAATCAATATACTTACTATTACAACAGCATAATAAACTCTAGTTTATTTTTTGTCTTTTTTAATCCATCAATTGCATCATTATATTAATTCATTGTGATTCTCTTCTAATGTAATTTCAATAAAATAAGATCTTTTGGGAATTTGATAGATGTATCTTTTATTTATGTATTACTATTATTTCCTTTTATGGATTAATAAAGTAATAATAAATTATCATATTTTTATTAAAATGATTATTATTTTTAAAGTAGTTATTATTATTTAATAGATTGATTTTTTAATTGAATTTTCATTTCTTTTATTGTTTATTCTCTTTTTTTAATAATCTCAAGTTAATTATTATTTTATTATTATAATTAAAAAAGTTATTCATGACAAACATCTAATTGTGATTCTAATTGTTATTCTTATTCTAATTTGGATTTTTGGTATTAAATTTAATCTTAGGCCATTTATAACATATGCTTCATCATAAGATTTTATTCAAAATAAACTTTTTTTTCAATCTATAATAAATTAAACCATCATTACCTCCAATTCTTATAATTTAGATACTTTACTATTTCTCTTTAAAAGTTCCAACTCTTTTATTTTATCTTCTAATTCTTAGCTTTTATCTTTCACTTACTTGCGTAATGAGATAATTTGTAAATCTTAATTGTTTGATTTCTTTTGAGTAGTTAAATCCTCTATTAAATTCTCATATTTTAAGAATTCTCTCTTAATAATAGACAATACAACTTACTTCATTATGTTATACTTTGGTTCTTAGTTTAGTGTTCTCATCTTTAAGATTGTTGACTTATTACTTGGATTGTTATAGATCTTAAAACAATTATTCATAAGAATTTATACGCTTAGATTCATCATGAGTTAAAAATGATAACATGTTCTTCTAACTGATAAGAATAATAAAAGAGGAAATTACCTTAATGGCATAGATGTAGAGACTTAAGAAATATCAAAATTTTATAGGTTTCTTTTACTACTATTATTTAACTTACCTAATCCAGATGTTTACAATTTGAGAATTCTAAATGATTGATTTTTATTAAGTTCTTCAATAGTATTTATAGTTTATTTTGATTTACGATTATCAGAAGTATATGATTAATATTCATTCATTATTTGGATGTTTATTTATGAATTTTTGATTTATCAATAAAAAAATAATCTAAAACTTATAATAGTAAATGTAAATATTAAATTAATTCTTTTTTTTAATTTCTTAACGTACTTGTACATTCTATTTAGTGTTCAAATATTTATATTATTCTCTAATATATTATTTATTATAATTAAAAATACAATTCTTTATTAATAAAATAGGTTAGATATTATATTTAATTGCTTTTGTCATGAATAAGTTTTATCTTTAAATGTAAAAATATTATGATAATAATACTTAATAGATATAATGAACTATACAATAGAAGTATTTTTATATTATATAATTGATCAATATAAAAAATAATGTAATATTAGATTTAAATCATTGACATATAGTCTTATGAAAATAAATAGTATTACAATGTCAGAATTACAAATAACTATTATACTTGTTATCGAGATGTGAGAGTACGTTTTTAGGATCTTTAATAATTGTCTCGAAACCTTTAGGCTGATAATTATCAACTTCATGTAAGAGATTTAAAAATATAAAATAATAGTTGCCTTTATTTCCAGAGAAATCAATTTTCAGTTCATGGTTTCAGAGTAGTGAGAGTAAAGAAGAATTATAAGAGTATCTTAAATCTATTTAAACATACTTAAGTCATATTAATAAGTAAGAAAAAGATATTTATACTTAAGAATTATAATCTATAAGCCAGATGCTATAAATTATTTTGTATGCAACACATTTGATCCTGAAAGACTTAAATGTTTAACATTTGGTAAATTGACTAAGGAGATTCTTTATAGCAATTATATAAAATCAGCTTAAATTAAGAAGAGTTAATTCAATAAAGTTTTTAGAGTGAGTGTTCGTTAAGTAGCTTTAACAGTGCATTAATATTTAATTCCTTAATGTGACTTTGCTAAAGTTGAATATGATCATTTTAAAAGATCATAATTACTTATATCTGATTTCACTTATATTGTTAAATGTTTAGAAATAGGTCATATCCTTAAAAATAAGTCTTTCTTTAATAAGAAGATCAAGAAAACTATATATAATAAATTTATTAAAATTGATGACTTATAGTATGATACAGTATATGCAGTTGAAGAATGGGTAGAATAACCAATGAGTGAATTAATATTTTTAAGAGCTTAAACTCATAATTTATTTCAATTAGAAGTTATTTTTGAAGCCATAATTACTTTAGTAACAGTGGCTTAATATCTATAATTCTTATAGATATTTTAGAAATAATTCTCTGTAAATTATTTGTTTTATGATGAAAAAAAAGGATTTAAAATTGGTGGATTATCTCCTATTCTTGCCTATAAAAAAAAATATCATATTTAATATGATAAAGAAATTAATGATTATTAAGCTTTATAAGCACCTGAAAATAATCCATAAGCAAGTTAATTTGGTTATAGAAATAATTTCAATCTTTCAGTTAAGACAGATGTTTGGTAAATTGGAATAGTAATATTATCAATGGCTTCACTTACATAACCTGCTGAATTAATATAATAAGAAGCTATTGAAAATAAATTGAAATTTGTTTCATTCTAATATGGGTATGTAATTTTTAAAATTAGGGAAATGTTAGGAAATTTAATCAGGAATATGCTGATACGCAATCCCATTGAAAGATGTTCTTTAATAGATGTTAGTTGTGCTGCTCAAAATCTATTACCCATGAGATTAGAATATTTAAAATATGAAGAGAAAATTGAGAGAATTTAAGTTTAAATGTTAATAATTTAAATAGATTACTTCACTTTCATAATAATCACTTGAAGAATTAGACAAATCATTTAAAGAGAAAAATAAAAGAAAATATATAATTCAAATGACTGTCAGTCAACCAATTGTATAATAAATGTTCTTATTTTATTTGGAAAGAATAAAAAGAGAAAATGTGACACAATTATATATCAATCTAATTCATTAATAGATTCCTGATGATTTGATAGATAAAATGATGTTAATCATCATTGAATATAAGTATCTATAGTAATTTATATTCAATACGAAAGAATGTACTATTAATCAAGTTGCTTGTTTAAATATAATTAATCAAGCTAATCTAATTACTCATTTAAAACAATTAACATTAGGAATAAGCAAATTTTCAATTGATTAGATTCCTATAACAAAATTTAGAGTGGTTGTGTATAACCAATGAAAATATAAAAATAAATATTAATTTATTAAATGAGGGCCATCTTTTTTAGATTCAGTACTTATTCAAAATTTACAGAAAAACTATAAAATACAAAATTTGCTACCATTTACAATTATGAAACTCAAATTAAACCTGCTCTAAGTATCTATGAATCCATGGGATTTAATGAATAAATGATATTTAGAATTTTCAAAAACAGAGGTCTTTCTCTTGTCTAAGGGAATAATGTAAATGACATTGGATAATTGAATGAGTTATTCAAAACTAGATTGAATGCAGAAACTAAGTAAATAATTCATAAAATTAATTTAGATAAATAAGAACTATCCTATTTAAAGATCCATAAATATTGAGCCATTCTATTGATAAAATGAATAATTATATTGATCTCTTTGAAAAATAATTACAAATAAGCAAAGAAGATATTTTATCTATGTTAACAGCATATCCTTTATTAATGAGAAATTTTGAAGTAAATTATGAAAAATTCAGAAATGTATTTAATACATATGCACATATAAATGATAAATAATTTGGATAGGTATTAGTCAATACTCCATTCTTATTTTCATTTAATCTTGAAAGAATACCACCTAATTTTAGAGTTATGTATAATAGAGAATATAAAACAAAGGAAATATAAGAATTAGTAATTATTAATTATGATTTATTAGATTTAAAAAACTTCAGAGTTTCTAGCTCTTAAAAATCATGATTTAGATCGATTACTTAATCATTATGATGTTTTAATTCCAAATAAAGAAGTCTAACATTAATTATTAATAAATAATCATAAATTATTACTATTAACACCAGCATATATGTTAAGTCCAAAGATTAATTTATTCAAAGAAATTGGATTATCTATAAATTAAATAGGACAGATATTATAGATATGTCCAAATTTATTTTTAAAAAGTGTTTAAACTTTGAAATTGAAATTGAAGTTTTTTGAAAAACATTTGAATGTTAAAATAAAGGATTCTCCTTATTTTCCATATATATTAGAGTTTGATTATTGGACAATATTACGTCCCAGGTAAATATTCAATTCCTAATAGGGTTGGTGATTTTAAATAATCTTGAAAATGCAATGGATAATTTAAAAATGAATCAAGAGGATTTCATAAAAAAATATGATTGTGAATAGAAATATTAAGAATTATTAAATGAAGCACCAACTAAAAAGAAGGTTGATGCAGACTTTATGATTAGAAAATACCATAGATATTGTCATGATAGAATATAATTATTACATTGAGGTATGATATATATATATATATATTCATTTTTATATATATTTAATAAATCTATAAAGATTCAATGAATAATTATATTGTTGTCAACCTACTTTAATTATTATTAATATTTTATTTATGGATAAATAAATACTTCTTTCACCTTCTGAGAAACTTGCATATGATGCTGTTGGACATAAATGTTAAACTCATTTGGATGCATATAATATTTGTATATAAAAAAATAAACATAATAATACTTTAAGACATTGTATTGAATTAATGGATCAATTTAAATATTGTACTCTTCTGAATTCAAAAATGGAATAAGAAGAATAGAAATAAAAAAAAGTATGATTTATTTGATTGTTTAATTTTGTTAATTATTTGATATTTAATGTTTTCAATATAAATAGGCTTAATAACAGCACTATTCTTTAAGATTTCTATCTAAACTAATAGAATCCGCAGTCATCCAAATTAAACTTATATGGTAAATGAAGAATCTCTAGAATTCTAATTTTCTACTTAAGAGGCTCATGTGAAATTACTAAGGTTAATTAGAAATTGAATTTCATAGCAATCCTGCAATATATGACATTATTGTTTATAGAAATGATTCAAATTCATTAGGTACTTACATTGAAACACCCTTCCTTAGTTTAGACAATCAATACTTAGATGATTAATAATTAGACAATGGTAAAATATATATATATATTTTTAGATTGTATAGGTTTACCTAAACATCCTAAATTGACTGAAATATTTAGTGTTAATTTATTAGATAATACTGAAGATATTTACTATACAGATATTTTAATATTGGGATAACAATAAAAGTAAGAGTTTTGTTTCATTAAGAATATTTTTATTGACAGATGAATTAGAATTAAAACAGGCCGTACTATAATTTAATTAAACCTAATCTCCCCAATGGAATATATTAATTAAAAACATTTCTTACCATCTTTAAACTTTGATTTCTTAGCAAATCAATTATACAAATGCTTTTTTTGCATGCTTCCAAACTGATCAAGATCGTTGTTTGATTCTATCTAATTATGGAGGTTTTTGGTTAAATACTAATTCAGAAATAGAAAATCCTAATTTAAATTTAGAACCAGTTATAATTCAAAGTGAAGACTTAAATAAAGTTAGTATTTGTGAAGAATATCTTGCTATAGCAAATGGTAATGCTGGGGTTGATCTCTATTAATATATCAATAAACAACTAATCTATTTACTAACAATAACAGCATAATAATTAAATTAAACAATTGTAAATATTATTTCTGTAAAATTATCTTCATAAAGGATAAGTATATTAGATGAACATACAGGATTATACATTTTTTAATTATAAAATGGATAACTATCTTTAGATCTCACTATACCATAATCAAGATGTGTAGCATTTGATCATTATGAAAATACTTATTTGGTTGTTGCTGAAACACCAAATAATATAGAATATATGATGGAGATATTCTTATTACCTGATACAAAAGAATACTATGTAAATAGAATATATGTTGATGACTTCTCTTTTCGAGATATTGAAATTGATGAAGATTATGCAATCATTATTGGTGAAGATGTTCATTTGGTTCTTAGACATTCAATTTTTAATGGTTTCATGAGGAATAATACAGATTTAGTAAAAACCTTTTTTGAAGATGAATTAATTAGATTCCAATATTTTGAAATGAATGAATCAGTTAAGACTTAATTTATGGAAACTTCATATTATATAGGTTTATCTAAAGGATCTTTGCATATTTGGAAATTTAATGATTATAATCCAGTTATTATTTGTAAATTCTAATATGGAAGAGAATAAAATTATACACTTAAAGCCAATACTTCCAAATGTGAAGGACATCAGAGTACAGATTTATTTGAATAATGTCAAATTACACAATAATTATCAATCTAAGCATCAGGACCCCTCTTAGAATCTGATTCAAATTATCTAATTATTGGAGTTTGTGTTTCAGTTGCAGTATTTACTATTATTAATATTTTAGATTATTCTAACAATTATAGTCTTCATTTTATGTAGAAAAGGTAGAGCCTTAGCTAAGAGAATATAAGAATTAAAGTAACAAGCTGAAGAAATGAAAAAATATGGGGCATTTTAAGAATAAGAATAATAATCTGCTGAACATTGAACATTTAATTATAAGCAATAATAAAGTTTATGTTTTAAGAGTTTTTAATAAATTTATCATAAGTTCTAATAGTTATCATAAAATCTAATATTATCATTTGAATTAATTCAAAATATCTTATATATTATTATTGATATTGCTATTCTATTTAAATTATAATATTTAAATTATTAAATCAATATCTATAAAAAGTTTCTTTAATTTAAAGAATTTGTTTATAAAAGAATACTGTTAATCTTAATGTATCTATTGATTCATAATAGTATTCAAATAGCATCAAACAAATCTTTCTGATATTCAATATGTAATTGACATATCAAGATAATCTTAAGATTTAAAAAATTTTGATTATTTATTTCAAATCTTCAATTCATTTTCACTTTCTCTTATTCTAATTTCACATAATATCATTTATTTTTAATTTTTTTTAATTTTAATACCTCATAAATTATTATTTGTCGATGTAAATTGAAGTACCAGTTGTGTATTAATTCGAATGCTTTCGTAAAGGAAAGAATGAAAATAAAAAATATATGGGATTATTAAGGCAAGATAAATTGGATTTATGTAAAGTATAATTTGTTGATGATTTTGATATTTTAGGATAATAATCCAAATTTCAAGTATTCTTTACCTATTTAATTATAAACTCATATTAAGTGGGAAGTTGAGGAATACAATTAAGAAGAGAAAAAGCATTACAAAATAGTCTCATTCAAATTTTAATAAGTGCTTAAATTTATTCTAACATTCTTTAGGTTAAATAGATAAATGAAAATCCTGTTGCAAAAATAATAACATTTTATGGGGATGATAAAACTCTGGCTACTTTAAAAGAGCATTTGAGAAATAAAATCATCTTTTAAAGGATTCAAGACTTTTATACTCCTCTCCAAACATTAGGGAAAGGAGCTTCATCTAGAGTATTATTAGTAAGACACAAGAATACAGAGAATTATTATGCAGCAAAATGCATTGATAAATCATATGTTAATGAAACAGAAAATGGAATGGTATTAATTTAAACATAGTTTAGGAATCAATGTTTTAAGAAATAGCCATAAATAATGATCTAGACCATCCTTCCTTTATAAAATTACATGCAGTTTATGAAGGGGATAACACATTTTATATGGTTATGGATTTATTAGAAGGGAAAAGTTTACATGAAGAATTAAATAATCATAAAAATGGATTCTCTGAAGATACAGTAAGAAACATTATGTGGGTAATAAATTTAATATTTTTATGTAGTAAATTCTAACTGGAATTGAATATATGCATGAAAAATAAATAATGCATCGAGATTTAAAACCAGAAAACATTATGTTATTGAGAAAAGATGATTTGAATTCTCTTAAAATTGTTGATTTTGGCTTAGCTACATACTGTAATGCAAATAAGTATAAATATTTATATAAAATTAAAAGGTATTTATTTCCTAAATGTGGAACTCCTGGATATGTTGCTCCAGAGATTGCTAATCTTGTTGACAAAACATATAAATATGATAAGGTTTGTGATATTTTCAGTGCTGGTGTTATATTTTTTAAATTGTAAATCTATCTTAAATTTTAGAATTACAGGAAAAGACTTTTTTCCAGGAGTTGGATTTAATTTAGTTTTGAAGTTAAATAAATAATGTAAAATTGATTTAACTCCATTACAAATGAAAAAAATTGATCCAACAATCACAGTATTTTATTTTATATATAAAATTTAAGAATTTAATACAAAAAATGCTTGAGAAGGATCCAACTCAAAGAATAACTGCTACTCAATGTTTATAGGATCCATTCTTTATTCCTTGTTATCAAGAAAGCAGCATCCAAGGACCAGCTAAATTAACAGCTTTTCAGAAAAAGCAAATGTTTTCTACATGTGGAAAAGCCTTTACTACTGAATTTTAAAATGAAAATTAAAAGGGAAGCCCTTAAGATAGAATAGAAAATAAAGGATCTTTTATTACACAAGAAAATTCTTATAGACCAATTTATTAAAATCAATAGAAAATTATTTAAAAATTTAATACTACTGAATTTGATCATATTGACCCTACTTAAAGTCCATCTATGGATCAAGTAAAGAAACGATTTTAAAAAGGGGATCCTATTCAAGAGGAAGATGAAAAATGAATAGATAAACAATTTTTCATCATTATTTTATATAATTCAATCTCGTTAATTTTTAATATGAATCTTACACATTATTTTTTGATTCATTTATAACTTATGATAAAGAGATGCTTTTTCACATATCTAATATAATATATTTGACAATAATATAAAATTTAATTTATTCTTTATTTCACTTATATAAAATATATTCAATCCATCAATTTCTTTAATAAATGCAAACTAGTTTTGTCATTCAAAAGATCATCTGATAAAGTTACTAATCCTAGAATAAAACTTTTATATCTTCTTTATGAGTATTTAATTTGAATACTAGATATTATCAAATAAATAAATAAGATAGATATACCAAAACAAATGTAATATATGATTAAATTATTCATTGTCTTTGTTATTAGATCTGATGATATTTAGTTTACTTATTCATAAAATAAATTGAAACCTTCAGAAATATTAAGTGGATATTAAACTACAAGATTATTATAGTCTTTAAAATAGTATAAAGGACTTTATTAATTATAATCATAAATAGATTTTGAAATCTCCAAATCAAAATCATTTTTTAATAATGAATCTAATTTGCTAATAAAACCTATGATTCCTGTTCTCAAAACATCAGAATTATTTTCATATGCATAATATTTTCCATACTCCTTTTCAAATTATGATTAAGTTAGATTTCTATTACAAAATTGAATTGATCCTTACTAATAATTACAAAAATCTCCTTAATATAGATCATAAAGAATTTCTTTATCTTTTTCATCAATTTGATTTGTCAAAATAATTGTAGAAAATAAGGTTATTACTTTTTTTGAATATGTTTGAGATAAATTATGAAAATTCTATGGAACTTAATCATCTAAAAATAATTAATTAATATCTCCTATTTCAGGATCATCTATATTCTCAATAATATTTAATAGTTCTTATTATCCTTTCATTATAGATGCAAAAGAAACTAAATAACTTAATTGTGCTTGAAATTTAACATAAGTTTTAATTAATTATTCTATAGGTTAGTATGAGTAATTACTTAACTTAGTTTGGAAATATCCAAAACTAACTAAAAATACTAATAATAAATAACAAAAAACAGTCACACTTAATTTTAATACAATAGTTATTTACTTATTGGAGATTTTTTCATAAAGTGTTTATGTTTATCTATATCTGGTAGTATTTTAGGATAGAGGTACAGAGATTTTTGAATTTGAAGTTTTGATAGATTATTTGCTATGTTTAGGAATTTTGATGAAGGTTCCTTTTTCTTATATGGCTGACTATATAAAACTTTGCTTTTAATCAATCAATTTATTAGCTTAGTCTTCATTTATTTTAGATAATATTTATATAATACATTTATGTCTTTTTTCAAAATTATACCAATTTTTTATATTTATTAAGAAAGGGATTATAAATAAGATTAGCTAAACAATAAGTATACTATTCCAAAATTCCATAATATTAGATTAATAATTTGCCAATTAAATACTAAATGTATCTATTGTATCAATTGTGATATTGTATGCTTATACTATATTAATTCTAAAGAAAAGAAGAGACTTAATAAATTAGATTTGATTAACTGAATATGTAACTAAAGTTATCATATTTTCTCTAATTTTTTCTGAAAAAGTAGCAGTACTAGTAAGTTGTATTTTGCTTTATAATATACTTAAAGTGTATAAGATTTCATCCTTTGTTCCATCAATCTTAATTAATTTATTATGTAAAAAATCATATTCATCTCTAATCTTCTATAACTTATAGTTTAATTAAGTAATAAAAGCATTTTGTAAATATTATGAAGTTTGCAAATTTTAAAAAATTAATTTATGAAATCCCAATTAAAATGCATCATTGTAAAATTTAACCATTAATTAAGGAGCATAAATGTATTGTGTCAATTTAATTTTAGTCTAGCCATTATTTTGACTTTAATAAATTTACAAAATTAAAAATAAGATGAGAAGCAAAACTACAAGAAATTTGTAAAATAATATTTTTTTAAATGGAACATTACTCTTTTATTTTAATAAAACATGATGGAGAAGGAAAGTTGCTTTTAATTCTGTTCCAACTTCACTTCCTTCAATAAATGATTTATTTTTTTAAGTTTACATGTTTCTCTTGGAATCTCTTTTGGTTTCAACTTTTTCATTTTTTGTTGATATCTCATTAAAATGAAGCTCTAATTGATATTAGATTATTTTATCTTTTAATTGAACTTTCTTTATCAATCCTTTTACTGGAAAGATTTTATCATTTTCTGTCTAAAAAATAAATAATAAAATAAATACTGCATAAAAATTCATTATTGCATTTAATTAGTTTTGATAAAGAACATCTAATATATTAAAGCTCAATAAATCTTATTCAATATTCTAATATTTTGAATTCAGTAATTATAATTAATCAGATCTTTCAGAATAAATATTATCAATAAAGCATTAGGATTTTTAGAAATTTGTCTCTTGTTTGATATAATTTTTGAATTATGTATCTATTTTTTATATTTTAGATCTATATATAAAATTTAGATCAAATATTTTAGAAGAATCTAAATTTGATAATAATTCAAACAATTAGGGACAATAATATTATATCAAATTATAGAACTACATTTATTCAAAAATTTATGGCCAATAATCATTTAATTGTTAACTTACTCCTGTAATTTATCCAGAATTATCAAATGCAATAAATATTTTATCTTTATTCACTTTTCTTATTAAAGATAATAAAATAAAATCTGAGAAATCATTACTTATTATAAAGTTAATTTAAAGACATTAAAGATATTCGTTTTCTTATTTTTATAGCACTTCTAATTAAGATTATTAATGATTTGATATTTTGTCTCTATTAATAAAACTTTCTAAGAATTAATTATGAATAGACTTTATCGCTTTTGGCATTAATTACTCTATAGTTTCTAATTTAGTATCTTTATTAGAGAAGCCAAAAAATTAATTTATTTAACTATTAGAATTTAAAATAAAACCTCTTTTCTTAATTATACTTACAGGCACTATAATTGAATCATCTTTAAATCTTTCTGATTAACTTATAGTTTTGGTGTCAGTAGTCATTAATTAGTTCAAAACTTTATTTAATTTAATCCCTTTTATCAGATTTTACATAATTTAAATATTAAAATTGATGGAAATCTTTAAAAATAGAAAGTTATTTCTATTTTTGTAAATCTTATTTTTCTTTAACCATTATTTTGTATTTTAAATATTTTCAGATAAGTTTATAATAAATTTCTCAATTTCATTAAAACATTAAGCCCCTTGAATTAGATAATTGAGAAATTCTATTTATTTTTATAATATTTCTAAAATCTTTTTTTCATATTCTTATTCAATTAGAGCATCCCTATTTAGATTTTCAATTGTTATTGTATATTAATTGTATTGTACAAAATCCTTTTAAACTTATGATTTCAATAAAGTACTGATCTTTGTATAAAAATAGGATAATTTTGTTTGATTACTTTCAAACTTATAAAGAAGATTTAATGCTAAGTAATATCTTTATGAATGTTTGACTAAAAAGTCAAATAATATTAATATATTATCCTCTTTCTAAAAAATAGATTAATATTATTTAGAGGTAACATTGGATGTATAATTATAAATCTCATCCAGTAAACAGGACTAAATAAGGTTTTATACATAATTATTATCAAGATTACAATTTAAATTATTAACAAATAATTTTTTTTCACTCATTTTTTGCTAAATTAAGTATTATAAACTACTTGATTAAATTATCTAAGATAAGTTAATTTAAGTAAATAAATAGTAAATGAGAGTAGATGAATAAAGCAATATATTAAATATAGATCTTTCATCTAATTAAGTACTTATTCCAATAAGTAGAAATATAGAAATAAATATATTGCATAAGATTAGACTTTAATTAGATTTATCTTAATCATTTTATTCATATATATTTTGATATTGTTTCAATATCATTCTCATCATAGTTAATAGTTAAAACAAAATTTATCCAGTGTTTGAATTTAATATTGTAAATACTAAAACTCTAAATATATCTATTATATGTATGATAAATAAAACAGGAGAATAAAATTGATAAATTGGAACATTCAATTTGCTTAGATTGCATTAAATATCTCTCTAAAAATATGTAATCAAGCCTAATAACACCAAAAATAATGCAATAGTAAAACATCCTATCATAACAAAACCCACATTATCTGAATCGTTATACAAAAATTTAATATAAATAACAATAAGTGGAAACTTAAGTATTTTATTCAATATAGTTAAAGCATAGTTTATAAATTATCTTATTACATCCTTCTAATGAAACATTAATGAAAAAAGCAAAATAATGAATGATAAAAATGAAAGAAATATGATGAAGACATCAAATGAATATTAATTGCCATCTTAATCTAAAAATAGGGTATAATTAGTAAATTATGAAATTGCTTTAAGCATTTTGTCCTCATATTATAATTATCCCCAACCATGTTTTGGGAAAAATAAAGCAATGTTTTAAGTAAATTCAATTACCATTAATAGCTTCACAAATTTTATATTGCTTCTCATCTAAAGTGAAAGAAGTTAAACTAAATTTAAAAATGTAAATCTCATAAATTTACAATTTTGATAATATTTCTGTAAAACTCTACATCAAATTTAGATATAAAGATTTTCTAATGTAAACACAAAATTATGATAAAATTTATATTAGAATTACTTAATTTACATAAAATTTGCTATTTACATGTTTATATTATTATTTGTGTTTAATTTACTTTATATAAAATCAATATATTTTTTTTTTAATTTTTCACCATTCAAAACTAATATCATTGTACTCATTTATTTATATACCGAAATTTAATTACAATATTGAATAGATAGATGAATTGAAATAGTTATATAATCTAGATAAGTTCATTTTTTAATTTAGTATATCATAAATTTTAATAAATAATTTCATATTACACATTTTAAGAAATTTTTCTATCTTTTGATTCGATATAATGAAACTTAGGAAATTCTATTTTTTTATTCATTTACTCAAATTTAGCAAAGATTATTGTATATTAGTTTAATTAAACATAATTTATTATCTTTAAAATTATTCATATTTCTTTTTATTCTAATAATCTAAAAAAATCAAATAAATAAAATTTTACAAAAAATTATATATTGATAGTATGATTTTCATATTGGGTAAGTTAAAAGTCATTTGTCTTATATTTCAAATAACAGTTTGAAGACTTTATTGTTATAAAATGATTTTGATCCTTAATTACAATAATATTTTTGAATAATAAATATTCTAACTATTAAATATTCTCTATACTCTATGTTATCTATTTTAGTTTAGAATTTTAAATTTTAAACATTCATTAATTTAAAGACACTAAATGAATATGACATTCTAAATAACTATACTTTTACTAGAATTTAAACAAATCTAAAACAGATTCAAATTTAATTAAAATTGAATAAGAAGAACTCACTCTTTAACATGCATTATTTAATGTATTTTTACTTTCAACAATAAACTTAACTTTAATATTTTTATATATGTTAAAAATGATTTATTATATCTTATAATAATAAGTATGATATAGGAATTCTGTAAATTGGGCTCAACTAAAACTGATTTTTTGGATAATATTATTTATAATATAAATTTATGTGAGTTAAAATCAATATTGAAAAAGTTAATATGAAATTTTTAAAGAAAAAAAGCTGCTAATAAAAAAACTCTGATCAATAGATATTCAATATTTATTTATGGAAAAAGTTTATGGAATATTTTAATGTAGATTAAGAGAAATTTCTAACCCTTTTGGCTTTTCATAACTATCATGATTTGAAGTGCTTTTAAATATTAACTTCATTCTTAATTCATTAAGTTTTAACATTTTTTATAAATTCTATAAATATTTTTATTTAATACTTCTTATTATTTTGCTTATTACCATTTAATATTAGTTATGACGTGTATTTTCTCTTGTATATTTATACATATTATAATTTGTTTTAATTATTAATAAAATTATGTTAAAAGTATTAATACTAACTATCGCTTTTACATCTGTCATTTGCACAGGAAGTTATGAAGTAATTGATATCGATGAATATTTCTCTCAATAAAGCAATGATGAAATTTATGCTGCTGCTAGATTAAAGTTGGATTAAACTGTCCCTTAAGATTTTCAATTTTTAAAAGTAGAATCAATAGAGAGATAAATCGTTGCAGGATTTAATTATAAATTCTTTATTACCTTCAAAAATGAATAGAGCATACATCTATACATGGTTCGTATCTATTAAGAGTATTTCTTTATTATAAAATAGCTTATAAAATAACCTTTAGGTTTATGAACCAGAACTTATTAACCAAAAAGAGTATCTTTGAAATAAAATATAAAATAAGTATATATTATATCAATATTGAAATTATTTTTTCGGTATCGCTTACCTTGAACTAGCTCTGAATATTTCTTCAGCAGCTTCATCTAACATAGCTTCGAATACAATATCTGCTAATTCTACTGCAACTTCTGCTTATTCCTCATCATAATTAAGCCATTTCTCTTCGGATTCTTAAATCTTTAGAATAAATAAATAATCATACTTCATACTCTAACATCTATTACAATCGATCTTCTTTAATTTGATTCAAATAATCATCTTCTATTACTATTATTTCTCCTTAAGGGGTTTCAATTTTTTCTGGTATGAAACCACAGAGAAATGATCCCCATTTAAGCATTTTGGCAATAGCAAATCCCATTGCTCTATCAATTGTTTCAGGAGTTGTCAAATTTTGATATACTTTTAATGGATTTGATTTCCAAGGATAAGGTTATCCTCTAATTCCAAAAGGTCTTAAATAATTAATGGCCTCATTAAATGCTTCATAAACCATTCTTAAATGGAACATTTCTAATTCCTTAAATTAATCGCTAATATTTATGTCATTAAAATATTTCAATTTAAGTGAGTATGATTAGTTAAATTTAGACCAAATATCTTCATCAATGAGAGGTTCCATTTAATGAATGTATTTAATTAATGGGTATAATGGACCAGATGTTGAATCATCTAGAGTGTTTTATTGCATGTCACTCAAAGAAATTGTCTTTAATAAATCTTAAGGACTTATTCCTAAAGGAGTATTAATTTGCTAAATAAAGACATTTAAATGATGTTCTAATAATAAAATTATTAGTTACTTTAAATGAATTCGCCAAAAGATATGAGATAATCTTTTATGAAATTTAGAGTAGTTGGAAAGCCAGGAGGAAACTGAAAGTCAATTTAAGACTCTTCATCCCATTCCATTAAAACACCTAATGATTATAGAGGGAAATTATTTAATTCTTCAGCAAACTCAACTATTATATTTTATACGATATTTTCAGTGACACTGTCAATTTTACGATCATCAAAAGGTATTATTGATCTTCTATAATTAGGTTAAGGGTCTATATTTTCTTGGATTTCAATAGTTTCAATTTATACTATCTCTTATGATGGAATAGATTATTAATTATTGGAAGTTATTTATTAAGATTTATGAATTGAATGAGACATGGATTCTGTATGAATATTGAATAATGTGCTTGTTTATATTTCTTCATTTTTCATTGAAATTTCATCTAAACTCATTTATTAATCAAAACTACGAACTTATTTTCTATTTTTTTGATATTTTTTAAAATGATCATTTTCTACAGTTATAATATACAAATACTTATTTTTTATAATAGACCATAATGAGGTATAGGTTTCTTTTCAATGTCACAATCAGATTACTCTGTTTCAGATCTTAATGAAAAAATTTACCTGATTGAAAGATTTTCTTCATCACACTACATCTTTATCTTTTCCATAAATTATTAGTCTTTCTAAGTAGATTTTATAGTTTCCTTAAACATTTGTTGAAGTCTTTCAACTTCATTTTTTGATTATTATAATTTTGCTCTTTCTCTTTTATATTTCCTTTCTAATTTTTCTTTATTTTCAAAGAACATCTCATTAGTCACTTTCTTTTTTTCTAACATTTTATCCAATAAAGCAACTTATTTATCAAATTTCTATTATAAAGCTTCTTCACGAGATTTCAAGACTTAGACATAATAATCAGGGTCTTGATTAAATCCATGTTAATTTAACTTACTTTTTTAAGGAGTGGAATCTTAGATTTGATCAATTTCTGACTCTTAATTTTCAGATTAAGATTAACAAACTGATTCTTATTAAGGTAGTAATTAAGTATTTTTATTAGATTTTTATGCAGTTGGCAGCTATTATTGAGAGAATTAATCCAAGTTGAGAAGAGGTATATTATTATTTCCTTTTGGACTTGATTATTGAGGAGATGACTAATGGATAGATTCAGAAGGAGGAGGAGCATATCCTTGATGATGGGATATTGCAGAGTCATTTTATAAATATTCAAAATGATTTTGCTTCCTATTTGATTCTGTAACTTAATTAATAGATTGCTGATCATCTTCTTATAATAATTCACCAAATAATGCTTATTCTTGATCTTTCTCTCCATTATCTTATAATTACACTTCCTCTTGCTATTATATTAAATAGTTTAAATAATCAAAAACTAATTATCTAGTTTTATATCCTCTCCATACTTTTTAGATCATGGTTGCAGCTATATTATGAATTTATTCCAATTGTTCTTCACTTATTTCGTTAAATGATTAATCTTATGGAGTAGAAACTGGTTTCTCTTATGTTTGCTGTTTACTTTTAGAGCTGGAAATGCTATGATTAGTTTAATTTTATTATTATTATTATTATTATTATTATTATTATTATTATTATTATTATTATTATTATTATGATTATTATTATGATTATTAATTAGAGACCAATTAAAATCTACCTTGAAGTTCTTAAAATCTCTCCTTTATTGTTAATTTTGATTATTATTCAAATTTCTCCTTCAAAAATTATTCTAAAAATTAATATAATTCTTGTTCACTTAACTTATATTGAAAACCTTAACTATTCATCTACCCATTTATATTTTACATCTATATTAATTATTCTTGCAAATATTATTCAGGCAAATTCTATAACCACTCAATAAAAGTTAATTAGCTATTTTTCCTTGTATGAGATTATGTGCTGCTATAACTTGATTATCTAAGTGATCTCATTAATTCCTTATACTCTTTTTCTAATTTATTGAAATTTGGTGGTTCTGATGTTCGATAATGTTATGATTGAAGTTGAACATGTTAAGAATTAGCTTAAACGGTTAAATTGGATTTAATTGATGCATTTCTTGATTTAGCAAATTATTTAGCTTCTTTATTTAAGATCTATAGATTTTAAATAACTTTTTCTTTTTTTAATTTTTATAGTTGTCTTCTAAAAAATAAATATAATTTATACTCTTCAATCTTTTATTATCGCCATAATTCTCTTTTGTACATCATATACAATTTAACATCTTATTCTACTTCTTTATGTTCACAATCATTTTTATTTTTTTAAGGAGAGGATATCGATTCCAATACTTATTTTGATTTTTATTCTTTAAATATCTATGAAATTTTACTTTATATCATTTTTTAAATATCTTTTTCAGGTTTAGAATTCAAAAAATCTAATCCTAATTTATGTCTTCTTATTTTCTCCTTTATTGCTTATTCTGTTGAGGTCTTATTTTAAATGATTGGCTTTTCTAATTTATCATGGATCTCCAACATTTTTGTCCAATAAGATTTTAACTTATTTTAATCAATGCCCCAAGGTAATACAGATGAAGGAGGAGACTTTTACTAATCTTAAAATATTTATATACCCTAGAAAATCGTTGTTGATTGATTTATCGAATTTGTTGATCCATTATTTTTCTCATTTCATTCAAACTTGCTACTCTTTATTTTTATATTTCCTCTTGTACTTATTATTCATGCTTATCCTCTTATGTTATATTGAATAAAATTACTCTAATGCTTACGTAGATTTTATTTTAATAATTGTTAAACTCTCTACTCTGATTCTTACTTATCTTATAGTTAAACTTTCTTTTTCTTTTGAGTTTTCTTCTTCTTTTTCTTCTTTTTTATTTAATTCTTTTATTTTTGTTCTACTAAGTTTTCCTTAATAGGTCCACTTTATTAAATGATTATTTGTTGTTGTAAATTTATTATTGGACCAGATGTTGTTCGTTTGAGACATTTTCCATTATTGGGACTTTTTTTTTCAGGGCTTTTCATAATATTGACGATCTCTTCTTCCAATTTATTGGTCTCAATAGGTCGTTACATAAGTCTTGCAGAATTCATTATTACATTCGGCTCTACTTTACGACACTGCATTATAAAAATTATTAACGATAATTGAAATTTCAATACTAACAAAATGTATTAGAAAATCAAATATTTTTTAATCAGATTCAGTATAATGAGAACATTATCATTGATATCTTTTCAAAATGTTAATAACAGGATCACTTGTCAATTAAAAATGTGGAATCGCTATTAATGCAAGTTTAATGTTTCTCATTTCTTTGACATTCCTATTTATCCAAAATGAGTAATAAATGTGAAATAAGATCAAATAAACTACTATTATTATGTCATAATATAATAGCAATATATCGAGATCCTTCTCCTTAATCAGAGCTATATTACCATCAACTAACTCTAAAAATCTAATAAAACAAAAGTAAGTATCTCTAAAATGAGACAAAACTATAACATTAAACTCAGAACTATTTATCAATAAATAAATCTCTTATGTATTGTTTACATATTATCCATTTGATATTTCATTTGCAAAATTCTATTAATAAAACTATTAAATGGTTGTTACTAGAGTAAGTATGCCATGAGCTAAATATTCAGCATTATCATCTTGATCTACATAAGTACCATACTTTTAAATAAAATCTTAAGGGTTCTTATTTATTTTTAATTAGCAAAATGGAAGATAATCACTCAAGTAAATACAAATATCTGAACTCAACAATCCTTGAACTTCCTCTTGTGAATATTCCAAAGATAGATCTTTTATTATATTTTCATATAATTTAACAAATGATAAATTAACATCTTTATAAAATTCATCAAATAGTTTTATAATTTTTCCTTCATCTAATAATTCATTTTCTTAATAAATATTTAAAGACTTTAGTTTTTAAAATAGAATTGGTTTAGTTTTAATAATTAAAGCAGCACTAGCTAGATTATCCAATTTAGAACTAAACAATGCAAAATCATTTAAAAGATTACTCAATGGTAATAATCTATTTTATTAACCATTAAATATTGCATATCCTCCCCATAAATAAATTTAGTAGATTAAAACAAATGTTAATATTTTAAAAAGATGAGAAAACAGATTTATTTTTGTTTAAAAATTCCTTGTATTTTTTTAGCTTGTTTATACTAATTATAATTATTAACTAATGCTAACTTTTTGCTTTGGCTAATAGAAAGAAACATTTTATTGAAATCCAAAATTATAATAATTAAAACGCTTCCAAGAATCCTCTCCACCATATATACTAAGAGCAATATAAACTGCATGTGCTCTTACTTGAAAATATTATATATATATTTACAAATTTCAGTTTCTATTTCACTATCTTTGATTCTTCCTACAAGCAATGCTAAATTTCTATTTTATTATTCAATATTATTCCATTAAATTAATTGCACCAACATAATAAGAAAGATAATTGCAGTGTGTATCAGATGTTCGATAACAAAGATAGTACTTTCAAATTACTAGAGGGTATTAAAATTTTCTTTTAATTAGATAAGTAGATCAGAATCAATATCTATTATTTCTGGTAAATTTTATTCTATCAAAAACATTTTATCAATATATTATCTATTAATGTACTCCTTATAATTACTGTAATCATATGTATTTATCTATACTAAATAATGAATAACTTCTTCCATAAAATAAAGCAATCTAGTGAATTCTACTTATTCAATATTATCAACAGAATATTATATGGTTATATTTTCTAATGTTCCATCAGACTCCATTTGAATAAATATTGGATATAATTAAGTTAAATTCGCAAAAACAAATTAATTTAAAAGTGAAGTTTAGTATAAGCTTTATTATATTGAGTATTAACTATTATTTAAGATACCATAATTATTTAATATAAATATCCAACTTAATGATAATGTCTTACAAAAATATCGATTAAATCTTAAAGGTCCCATAAATTGTTAAGCTTATAATTAAGATTCATGATAATTTGAAATTAGATGATAATTTGTAAATCCAAATCCTCCAATACTTATTAAATTGACACTATAAACAATAAACCATAGAATTAGTATGCTTTTTGGAAGTTTAGATTTTTGCTTAAATACAATTTAAAAGAAATAAGACTAATTATTAGATACTTTAGAAAGACCACTTGAATTTTGAGATTTATTTGGATTTTAATCAGGATCAGAGAAATTATTAGTTTTACTAAATGATTTTATCTTTTTCTCATGTCTTTAATTTTATTTTTTTGAATCTTCTTCAGACATAAATTCATCTAGAAAATGAGATTCTTCAGAACTTGAATTTCTAACTTCCTAAACAGATTCCATTTCAGAATTCAATGCAATCTCAGGTTTAATAAAACAAGCCTTAGGAGTAAAATTTGTGGATGATAGCTATTGAGTCATTAATATCTCGGATTAATTCATAGATACTAATTATTTTGAATACATTTTTCTTTTAGTGAAAACACTTTATAAAGCACGTTAATCACCATATCTTCTTTTGGAAATAATGAAATCTAAATGAAATTCAATATTACCTTTAAGATGTCTCAATGTTGATTTTTTCATTGTTGAATCTACATCTTATAAAGCAAACAATTCTGTGGCTATTTCACCTAAATCATGTTTTCTATAATCTGATATTTACATTATAAAAAATCCATCAGCATTGCTTTTTTAGAAATATAAAGTAAATCTTAAAAAACATGTTTTTTGTTATGTGATCTAAAAATATAAATTAATTTAATACATTTTGATTTACAAATTCAGATGCAAATTTAGCATATTCATCATTTAATAAGTTAATTTCTACAAATTAATTTTTATCTTTTGAATTTGATGATGTACTTTATTTAACTTTTATAATTAAAGAAATAATTACTAGACAAAGACTATTTTTTTTTGATATTCCAAATACAATATAAATCTCTAAGATGATATTTCAATTATTATTGAAAATTCTCATGAAATTCTTTTATATCTGTTTAGGATATAAATATTGCATCTTCTTATAGATTAACATTTTCTAATTAATCTTTTTGTCTTTAATAACATCTTTTAGTAATTTCAAATAAATCTGGGATAAAGTAATACAAAAAACAGAAACTATATAAAGATTTTAAATCTATTTAAGATTCTTCACGATCTGTAAATAAATCATAGTAAATTTACTTAGTTATCCCTAAAATTCTTCCATTTTAATCAAATAAAATATAATCATATCTTTTTCCACCTGAAAAAAATATTCCTTTAATTACATAATCATCTTCATAGCTGAAATCATTTGCAAGTTTCAATTATAAAGGGAAAATAAAATTTTCTTTTGATTTTCCAAAAATCATTCTAAATTCTTAAAAGAATGGAGAATCACCTTTAATTAAAAATTTTGAAAGCATTTAATTATGTTTAGAGGCTATAAAATCAGGCATAAGTTAATTTAAATGAAATATATTTTGAAATTCCTCTACTTTTTTATAATTAAATATATGACCTAATTATTATTTATTAGAATTCAAAATAGTTCCTAAACTTTTAACTAAACTAACTGTAACTATAGCTACTTTATCATGTACAAGAGCAATTGAATTTAATTAATCTTATTAAAGGGTTTATTCATAACAATATATTAGATAATATTATTTTTCACATAAAAATGAATGTAGTTAATCATTCATAATAATTGAATAATATAATGATAACATTCTCAAATGATATAAATTATTAACTTAAGAAATATTCACTTCATAAACATCTTTATTTATAATAAGTTTGAATTTTCTTCTTAATTTTTCTAATTCTTCAGCTAACTTAATTAATTCTAATTGAAGTTATCTAATTGTTTTAAAACCTTTTAGTTATTTTCTCCAAATATCTAATTTTGCTGATAAAGTTTTTCTTAAATTTAGAATTAATTTATCTGATTAAATATCCAAATGTACTAAATTTTCAGATGATAAATTGGCACTTTATGTATCTTATGTGTATACTTTTTAAGATTATTATTATTTCATTATTTCCTATCTTAATTTATTTGAAATATCAATTTATATTAAATTAAAATACCATGACAATTCTGGTTTATACTTAATTTAATAATGTTTAAGTCTTGCTAAACTTTATGAATATTATTTATTTTGAAATCCTAAATATCTTACTTTAAATAAAAATAGATGTTCATCTTCTTTAGTTTATACTTGATAATTTACAATACATCGTATAACATCTGAACTATCCAATGACTATATAATAATAAATATAAATACTTGACATTTTCTACTACAATGGATAATATGTTAATTAACCATTCCAATCTAAAGAAGTTTTTCAGTTTATGTTAATTAGGATTCAGCTTATACTTAGAATTGCCTTAATACTTTAATTTATAAATGTTAATCCTTTTCACTTGATTTAGTAAATGTATCCAATCCCTTTGCATAAAATAATCTTTAATAACAAGTTTCTCCCAAATAGAAACATATGGATGAAAAAATGAAGTAATAAATATACTATGAATATGTTGTCTCTATTATTAATGATAAATTATTCAAAATCAAATTAATTAAATTGCATCCAAATTTAATTTAATTTAATGTAAAAATCAATTTACTATCATACAAACTATAAGGCATATATAAATATATATCAATTTATTCTAATCCTATCCACATTAAAGCTGATAGTTGTTTTAATATTAATATTTCTTCCTAATCATGATAAAAATATAGGATTTGAGTTGCAAATTAAAATATTTAAGACACTATCTTCATTATACTTTAATCTCTTGTATAAGTTGATTAATTAAAGTTAATATTTCTAAACAATATACATGACATTAAAGATAATAAAAATATTAAGCTAACATCAAATATAGCCCATATATAAATTACAATATGTGTTTTTGAGTTCAATAAGAAGGAACGAAAAGTAGATGAAACAAATAAAAAACACATAATTTAAGGTAAAAGTGCTAAATACCCATTTAAAATCTTCATCAAATTTTGTAAAGTTCTTTTCAAATAAACTATTTACAGCATAAATAGTAGAAATACTATGAAGTTAAAGAAAGTAGTAATATATCCAATATAATCAGGTAACAAGTCGATATCTAAAATTGATAACTTAAGAATTTGAAAAAAAATTGAAAAGTGACCATCCTTCAATTGATTATTATTATTGATTTCTTGTAAGGTGATTGCAAGATATTATAGAAATTAAAGCATCCTAACAAACAATATAAATGAGTATGATTAATCAAAGCAAACGCTTTCATCGTTTAATAGTTTGCTAAGATTATTTTTTATTTTTTACATATTATATTATTTTCATTTAACTTTATATAAAGAGAAAATGTTTAATTAATCAACATATACCTTAGAATCAATGTTAATATGAATATGAAAATCTAGAAAATTTGGAATCAATTTATTACCATGATATATTTGATACACATAAAACCAAAAATTATGAAACTATTTAAATTATAATTTATAGACATAATGAAAACTAAAGAAATAAGGAAAAGAGAGGATATTTTAGTAAAGCTTAAAATCAAGTATACAAATATTGAAGAATTAAATAATCAAGTATTTGAAGAATTTTTTTTTAATAAATTAAAAGAATTTTGTTTTTCAACTCGTAATTATGAATTATGTCCAACTATTCAGCAAATTATCAAAAGAAATCCATTTTAATAATAACTAAATTATTTTAAATAGGTGCATGATTAAAAAATTATTAAAAGAGAAACTAAAATTCAATATTTTTAAGATAAACTCATATAACTTTTGAAATCAAATAGAGTTGTTCCCAAAATTTTGACTTCAATTAAAGTAAAAGATAATTCAATTAAATTAAAAAATCGCAATCCTCCTTTACTTGATGATATTCATAAAGCCTAAGAAAATGATGATTATATTGTGGATGAAGTTAATTAAGATATGTAAGAAAAGAATTTAGAAGATTTACCAATAGATTAATTGATTTTGTTATCCTTAAAAAAATTAGAATAAAACATTGAAAAATATTGTAGTCCAAATTTTCTTTGTTATTAAGAAGTTGCATAAATTAAAGATACATATCAAAAAATGGGTAGTATTGATTTGAAATCAAATAAAAATTATGAAGAAATCTATATTATTTATGGTAAGTTTGTTAATAAATTAAATTAAATTGTAACTGGATTTGATAATGAAGACTTCTTTAGAGTAGTTGGACCATTGAAAAATATAATTTTAAGAAAAATTGGTAAAATAGTCTTATCTGAATTAGTTAAAAATTAAATAGCTTTGCCAAAAATATTAACTCAAATTTCATTACTACATGCTAATGAATAAAGTAATTTTGGTTAAAAAAGAGCATTTGAATTAAGATTTACTCATGATTTTTTAGATCAAATATTAACAATGCCTGAAGTTAAAGATTTTATAGAGATTTTTAATTTCCCTTATTTGCAGAGATGTACAACTTGGAGAGCAATTAAAAATTATTACTTTTAAATAATAGCTACAAATTTTAAAGAATAAGAAAATTAAACTGAAAATGAAATATTATCATTTTAACTTTAAGAAATTTATGAAAATATAAACATTCACTCTGAAGAACTCAAAAAACTATCTAGATTTGGTACAGTAGCTAAAATGTTTACATAAGTTGAATAAAGATTAAATTATTTATTAGATAAAAAAGTAATTATAGATGATTGTGATGATGAAACTAAAGAATTCTTACTTATTGCATATCAATTATTAAAAATTAAAACAGCAATAAATGCAAAATTAAATAAATAAAATGGAGATATAATATTAGATGAACCAATAAAAAAGAAAAAACCATATCAAAAAAGAGAAATCAAAGATAAAAAAGATTTAGATAAAATAAATTAAAAATATAGAACTATGACATTAATGCTTGCTAATCAAAGAAGAAAGATCTCATATTTATTAAAATATTTTATACAATCTTTGAATGCTGGAAATTAACCATTTCCTTTTATTTTAGGAATAATGGAATGGAAAAGGTTCAATATTAGAGCAACAATTAATTAATAATCATTAGACTTTTTAGTAACAGATGCTGTATTTATGAAATTTATGCATGATGAATACAAAATTGATATAAGTTCTGGAACAAGTTAAGAAAGAATTGATAAAATAATAAATGAACCTTATTCTGAATATGTTAAGAAATCTGATTCTTAGACTTTGAATAGTTGGACTTAGTTATTAGCAAAGTAAGCACGTTTAGTGAATGAATAAAAAGAATTAATTAGTTTGTAAATAAGAAAAATTCTTAATACTAATAATTTTAATAAGGAAGTAGATAATCTTGTTTAATCAGGATAAACTAGTACAATTTATACATAATTAATTTCAGATTTAATTAAAATAAGAGAATTTGTAAATCAGTTATATTGAAAATGTTATATATATATATACATTAATTTATTTAAGTAAAATACTTCAACATATTTGTTATTTTTTATATAAATTCAAAATAAAATAAAAATTAATATAAAAATCGTTAATGATCGGAAAAAAAGAAATATAAATTTCTAATGCCACTCGAGATAGAGTTGAAGCTTGTAGATTATACATAGAACGTATTAATTAATTATAATATTTTTATAGGAAAATATGCAAAATAAATATAGGAAGAAAAATAATAATTTGAAGGTTGGCAGTAATTATCAAAATTAATGGATGCTTTACATATGAATCCAAAAGAATAAGAAATTATTAAAAAAGAAATTTTAAAAAAAGAAGCAGAATAAATGAGAAAAAAGTATTCAAAATTTCAAATTATATAGGCGGACTAAATTAAGTATTGAAGATTTTCAACCTTTAGCCATTATAGGAAGAGGAGCCTTTGGTGAAGTTAGATTATGTAGACATGTGCCTTCTTAATAAATTGTTGCAGTTAAGAAAATGAAAAAGCATGAAATGATTTTTAAGAACTAAATTGGTCATGTCACTAATGAAAGAAAAGTCTTAGAAGAAGCAAAAGGAAATAATTGGATTGTTGAAATGAAATGTTCATTTTAAGATGAAAAAAATTTATATTTAGTTATGGAATATTTACCTGGAGGTGATTTAATGACATTATTAATGAAAAAAGATATACTTTCAGAAGCAGAAGCTCGTTTTTATATGGCAGAATTAGTTTAAGCAGTTGCTTCTGTTCATAAATTAGGATTTATACATAGAGATTTAAAGCCGGATAATATTTTATTAGATAATAATGGACATATAAAATTATCTGATTTTGGTTTATGTAAAGATGCTGAACTTCATTTTGATAAACCAATATTTTCTTAAAAATTTAAGTCTAAATAGACTAGAAGAGAAGTAATTAAATTATATATAATATAGAAAGCATTTTCTACAGTTGGAACTCCTGATTATATAGCTCCTGAAGTGTTTTTGTAAAAAGGATATGATAGTTCAGTTGATTGGTGGAGTGTTGGAGTTATTTTATATGAAATGCTTGTAGGATATCCTCCATTTTATACAGATGATCCTTCAACAACTTGTCAAAATATTATTCGATTTTAATAATGTTTTGCATTTCCAGAAGAACCAAAGGTGTCATAATTGGCTAAAGATTTAATTAGTAAATTAGTTTGTGATGCAAATACACGTTTAACATATGATTAAATTATAAGACATCCTTGGTTTGGTGGTTTGTCTATTTTAAAAATAAGAGATATGAAAGCACCTTACATACCTACTATTAGAAGTGAATTAGATACTAGCAATTTTGATAAATATGAAGAGGAGGAACCTTGGATTAATAAGGGTTAGAAGAGTATTAAAAAAGAAATGACTTTTGTTGGATATACTTATAAATAAGAAGACTTTGAAGAAAAGAGACCAATTTAAAAAGCTTTGGAAGAATTAGAATTATCAAGACCATCTAATTCTAGAGGAAATACAAAAACAACAAATTCCCCTTTTTAAAGTCCCAATTTATAATTTAAAAGTCAACTAAATAAATAAACTCCATTAACCTAATAAATTAAAACAGTTAGTGCTACTTAATCACCTTTTACAAAGTAATAAACTGTTTCTCCTATGCCTCTTAGTAAAAATCAAAATTTTCAAAAATCTTTCTTAAATAATAGACTTTAAACTGAATAAAATGAAAGTTTTCACACAAATAATTAATAATAATAAAATTTAATAACATAAGGAAATATAGGAAATTTCAACAATGAAAACAGTAATCCCAATTCAAATGTTCAAAACATTAAGAACTTTATTTTTTCTAAGATATAATAACATACAAGCAATTAAAACTCAAATACAAATAATAATAGCAATATTTAAAAAACTGTATAATTTAATGAGCTTTAAAAACTTGTTTAAAATCAAAAACTTAGACCAGATAAACCTGATTAAGAATAAACTAAGATTTTTAGTAACACAAACAATAATATTAGTTCATTAAAATAAAATATCATAAATTAATTCAGAGCAGTCAGCCCTTTAACAAAACGATGAACTTATTTTATATTTATTATATTTCAAATTGTTAAATAAATACTATAATTAGATATATAAAATAAAGATGATGTAATATCTTTAGATAACTAATGTGATTGTTTCTCATGAAATAAGTATTTAAATTAAAAAAGCTAATTTTACTATATATATATATATATATTTCAAATTTTAATAATGTAGGAGTTAACAGAACTTAAGAACTTAGTTATACAATCTCTTGAGGCTAATGGATCTCTTGCTAAGATTAGAGCTTAGATAAGAGCTTCAGTCTTTAATGTAGTTGATTAGCAGGAAGGCAATAATAAAAAACCATCTCCTTTTTTTTGGGAAAATAATAAGGCTTAAACAATTTATGAATTAGGATGCGGAAGAGACATGTTAGAATTAATTAAAGAGTTTTTATTATTTTTTGAAATGCACTACACCAACTCAATTTTTTCAAGGTATTATATAATCTAGACAATTATAGTGAAAGCAATTTAAGAGAAGATATTAATCGTGATTAGATTGCTAAAAAATTAAATATTGATGCTACTGATTCTACTAAGCCATTGCTATACTTTTTATTAAAAAATAGATAACCTGAAAAAAAATCGTATTTTTTAAATTTATTTTATTTTAGAGAGGAAAAGGGATAATAACAAAAAATTGCATAACCTTCACCCAAAGATATTCAATTATAATAACAATAACAATAATAACAATAATAATAATAATAATAGTAATAATAATATTAATAATAAAAATTGCAAGATCAAAAACTTTAAGAATAAAAACGATAAGACGAATTGAAAAAATAAGAAGAATTAAAAAAGTAAGAAGAACAAAGAAAATAAGAAGAATAAAGAAAATAAGATGAATTAAGAAGATAATAATAGGAAGAGTAGAAAAAACTTGAAGAATAGAAAAAAGAATAATAAAGAAAATAATAGGAGGAGCAAAGAAAAATGGAAGAACTTAAAAAATAATAAGAATAATAATAAAAATAAGAATAATAAAAGTAAGAATAATAAAGAAAAGAATAAGAAAAGATGAAAGAATAATAAAAATAACAAGAATTACTTAAACAATAATAAGAAAGAGAGAAGCTTGAAGCAGAATAAAGAAAAGGTTAAGCTAAAAAATTTGAACATAGAAATTACGAGGATGAAAAGTTTGATAATGATGATTTAGAAGAATAGTTAGAAGGAGAAGTATAAATATTATATCATCAAAGGATTTAAGGGATTCTCAATTGTAATAGGATTAATTTTAAGAGTCAGATGAATATATGCAATAATCATAATCTTAAGGTATTGACATGACTGTTGATTCTGCTGCATTGGAAGAGTTTGATTATTATGAAGATATCGAAGATATGGATTGAATTAAGATTGATTATCAAAAAAATTAAAAATTCTTTGTAATCCCTTAATATTAATATTCTCCTCCCTTTTTCTCTGATCATCACATGATATTAATTCAGATTTAAACATTTTATTTGTTTATTTTGTTTAAAAATTGTATCATTTTATAATAAAAAATGGTAATACAATCAAATTTTTTGATCATATTATATTATTCCATATATGAGTTTATAAGTATTAGTTTAGATTAAATATTATTAAATACATAAAAAATGAGAACAATTGGAGTCGAATCCATTTCCATTAGATCTTCAATCTAACGCTCTTCCTATTTAAGCTATATTCCCAAATTTAATATAATTATACTCTAAATGCAAAAATTATTTAAATTATTAAACTTAAAAATAAAATACAATATTAAATTTTTAATCAAATGAATAACTTGTTTTGATCTAAACTACAAAGTGACTTAATATATATATATAACTCACCTATTTTAAATCATAAAATTATTAAAAATGCATCTCATAGATTATTTGAAGAGAGAGTGTATTAATTCCAATATATTAAAATCTGAATTCTTCATGCTTCATCTAGATTCCTTAAATACTTTATAAAGCTTTCAAGAATATGATATAATTTAGAGGAAATAGTGATTTGTAATAATAGTAAATTTTGAGGAATTAGAATAATTATATTATAATATTTTAATAATTATGGGATAATCATCAATTACAGTCATTGATCCAAATTAAAATTAAAATTACTCAAGATAAAACACTACTTAGGAGGTGGAAGAGTAAATAAAGCGAGCTTTCAAACAAGCTTCTCCTTAAGGAAGATTAACAAGAGATAAATTTAATGAAGCACTCGGGATATTTGAAAGTATCTAATTGAAAAGGTTGAGAGATACTCCTTTAGCCGATAGACTATATTAATTATTAGATAAAGTATAATTTAAATTTATATTGTAGAGTGAAGAAGGATACATAACTGAAAGAGAATATTTGGAAGGCATTACAACATTGATTAATAATAAAGATAAAAGGATTATATGTAATCTATATTAGTGTAAAGGTAGATTCTTTTTAAATGATTGACAAAAACAAAGATAACAAAATAGAATTCTAAGAGTTTTATGATTTTGTGAAGGATAGCTGGTTGAGTGCTTTTAGATTATTAGGGGAAAAAGTTTGTTCAGGTCAGAATCCATATTAATTAACATAATCAAAAATAAATGCTTGGGCATAAGGATAATTGAACAAACTTTACACTTAAGTTTAAGAGCTCTTTATAAAGTTTGCTTAATAGAATGTATTTTATAAATAAAAAATAAGAACTCAATGGACCCAACAGTGTTTAGATAATGGGTTATAAGCAATGAATTTGGATTTATCAAAGCAGAGTTGGGAAATGAATCTGTTTAGATTCCACTTCATTTATACAGATTAGAAGAAAAATGAAATTATAAATAATTAATCTATAAACATTATGTATTGTGCAGATAATTAAATAAGTTGCACAATAATTTATGCTTTGAACATATTTGGCTTGTTACTAGTTTTAGGAATATTATTCAAAAGCAGAGAATATTATTTAAGAGAATGGAAAAGAATAAGACAAGTAATTAAAGATTACACTATGTAAGAATATATAATAAGTTTATAATAGAGATTATCGAAGTGGTAGTAATTTAAGAATATTTGCAAAGTTTTTAGTTGTTTTAGTAGGATTTTGTATCTTAATAATAGGAAGTATAATTTCTGTATATAATATATTCATTTATCAAAGATTATTTTGTGGGACAATAGTTTCGGATTCATGGAAATATCTAATACATTTTTATGGATATTATGTGCTTTCCTATTTTACGTTGATTATCGCTCTATTTTTAAGTTTTCAAAGTATGAAATCCTATATTATTAAGATAATTGCGTCTAGCATTAGCCATTATTCTGATAATTTAATTTACATCAGGTTTAGTATTTGGAATAGAGAGAAATATAGAAAAAGAAAATAAAGGATTAGATGAATTAACTGTTGAAGCATCAGTATATATATGCAATTTCATAATGATGCTTGTTATAAATATAATAAGCTTATTCTTTCCAAAGTTTGATTATTAAAAAATTAGTAAGAATAGAGATGATAATAATTTTATAAGCATTAATACACTTTAACATCATTTGATTAGTGATGATTCATTATCTTTATAAATTTAAAAATAGAATGCTATATCTAACTCTAATTCACAAAGTTAAAGATAATCAATATCTAAAAATCCAAAAAGAAGTTAATCATTTTTGGATTAGTAAGATGATTTTAATAAGGAAGATGGTTAATAAAATTCTTTGGGATCTTCTAGTATATAAAAGTTAAAATTGGAATAGTCAGGTTTGATTGATCCAACCTATGGTTTAAAGAAAGAAGAAGAGGCTATTTAAAAGGAGAAAGAGTAAAAAGAATTAATGAGTTAAATTATGGATATGCATAAGTAGTTAGATGAGAAATTAAACAGATTAAAATAAGATAGTGAAATAAATTAATAACAATAAAAATAGCCTCTTAATTTGGATAATAAAACAACTAATTAAGAGTTAACAGAGCTGTCAGACTAATTAAATTAGTAGAAATAATAAGAAATCAATGTTAAATAAAAATATGAAATACAAAGTATTAAGATTGAAGGATTTGAAGAAATTAAAAAATAAGGAAAAAGATTCATATATTTTAAGATATTCTATTTTTCAAATTCTAAATAAAGACAAGTCAGAACTGAACATAATTTGAAAGAATTTTAATAATTAAGATTAGCTTTATAATAAGTATATGTGGATCACACTTTTCCAGAAATACCTGAGAAAAAACCAAATGAAAGATTGACTGGAAAAGATGTTGCAAGTAGAGGTGAAGCTCTTGAAAAATTCTTATAATTCATAGTTAAAAATCAAATGTATTGTTAAACTTTAGATAAATTTTTAGAGGAAACTGCAGGACCTATTAATATTGAAGATGAAAGTAAATTATATAATTATATTTTAGAGGAAGCTAACATAGATTAAGTATTAAAAGATAAGTCATTTGATGAATTCTTAGAAATAAGAAAGGCAAGTGTAACATCCAGATAAAGTTATTTAGAGAAAGATTTTAATGATGATAGTTTTGAACCTAAATATAGTATATCTTAGTAAGATTAATCATAATATTCCCAACGAGGTAATGATCGATATTCATCAAATATATAACCAGGGATGGGAAATGGACATAAATTCATTATTAAGGAAGTTAAAAACCTTTAATAAATTACAGTATGAAACAATAATATAATAGTATTATAAAATTGAGGGATCAATAAATGGTTAAACTGTCGCTACTGTTTAAAGAAGGTATAATGATTTTAAAGATTTGTATAAAAAGGTTAGATTAAAATTAAATTTTAGCTATTAGAAAGCCAATATCAAATCCCTGTTTTACCTAATGAACCTTTTTAAAAATAGTAGGATGTTATAGCTTATCGATAAGAAGCTTTAGCTTAATTTTTAAATGCTTTGTATTAAAATAAATCAGTTAAAACTAATATGGTTTTTAAAGAATTTGTGGGTATTTGATCATGTTTTTCATAATAAATAAATAAATATATTCATAAACCAATTCCTTTTTATTTTTATCTTTACATGGCCCTTTTGTATTGCAATTCTAATTCTTTATTTCTTTTTTCAATTTCTTCCTTTTATTTCTCTTACTCATCATCATCTGATTCATTTTTTGCCCCCATCAATTTTTTAAGTTTATCTTAATTTTCTTTACTCAATCCACCCATATTCCAAATTTTTTATTTTTTCTATGATTCTTGATTAGCCTTATTTTATTTAGTTTTTTTATTTGAATCTGATCTACTTCTTGATCTTGAAAGTTCTATATCACTATCAATAGTTTCAAATTAAATTTCAAGTTCAGATTCATATTCACCTAATTTTATTTTCATGTCTTATCTTAATAAAACCAACTAATTTTATTTAATAGCTCTATTATTAATTTCTGTTCCATTAACAGATCCTAAGTCTTGAATTGTAATACTAGATTTGCCTACAATCAATTTAGCATGTTGTCTGCTGATTGAGTCATTTTTAATTACTATTGATGCTTAAGCCTTACTCCTTCCAAGTATGTATTCTTTTCTTTTTAACTTTATTTTTTTATCAGAAAAAATTAAGTAAAACTATTTAGCCATTTATTAATTTTATAATTATTGTCCTTTGACAATTAGTAATATCTCATTTAATAACATTTTTTATAATTTCAATTCATTTAAAGATGGTTATAAATGTGTATCATATAAAATAAGTGTATAATAAGTAGTTTAAAAAAGTGAGTGATTTATTCGTTATATAATTAAAAATCAATTTAGAATCAAATTTAAAATATTATGAGTAAAGAAGTATTGGAGTTATAAGAAGCATTAGAATATTAAGTGGATGTTGTATTAAGATTGGAAGATGAAAGACTATTATTATAAAAGGAGAATAATTTATAAAAGTAATGTAGATATTTAAATATTAGGGAGAAATTGAAAGAATTGAATACAATGTTGTAAAAATATTTGGGATAGCAATTTCTTTAAATAGAAAAACATACACAAACTGAATTACAAGAAAGATAAAATTTTGAGGTATAGACATAAGAGGATGAAATCATTTCTGATTATTCATTAAGTAATTCAACTGTTTCAGTTGTTAATTAAACATCCCTTACTTAATAACAAGGTTAATCTAATTCTTCAAAAATATTGGATCAAGCAAAATCTTTAGTCAAATAATCTGCTTCAAGACTTCCTGTAAAAAAATTAAAATTTTGTGGAGATAACTATAAAGAGAATAAGGATAAGGACAATTAAGAAAAAAAAGAAATAAAACCAACAAATACAAAATAATTAGATTCTCAAAGTGAAGCATTAACTAGAGAAATTGTTAATTTAACTAAATAATTACAATAATTAAAAGTAATTATTAATTCTATATAAGTTATAATAAAGAAGTTAATAAGAAACAATTAAGAAATATGAGAAGGATACTGGTGAAATAGTAAAATTATTAGAAGTGAAAAATGAAATGTTAAATAAATTAAGAAATGAAAATGCAGAAATGGCAATTATTATTAATTAAGATAAATTTAAGAGTGTTCGTTAATTAGATTAAGAATTAAAAAAAGAAAGAGATGATAAACTAAAATATTAAAGTTTAGTTTCTTAAAAAACAGAAGAAAATTAACATTTAATTGAAGAACTTAAATAATTTAGAGAAGTTCTATCAAAATTAACAGATGAATTTGAAAGATATAGAAGCACGTATATTATTTAATTTAATGTAGACATAATTAAAATAATGTAAGTTAATCAAAAATAGAAGCAGTTGAATCTTCATTTTATTAAGAAGAATTAAAAATCAAAGTCTCAACTATCAATGAATTAAAGAAATAAAACGAGTAATTGCAAGAAGAAGTAGACTATTTTAGAAACTTAAGTTTATAATAAAAAAAAATAACTGAAAAACAAGAAGAAGATCTAGATTTTTATAGAGAGATATTAATTAAGCATAAAATCATTAAATAATGAAAAATATTTAATTAAAATTATCATTATTCTTATAATTTATATCCCTTATAGAACATCTAATTTAGAGTTTTCTAAATTAATTAAACTATAAAATTTATAATTATGTTCAATAAATATTTTACTTTTTATAAGGTATGCAGAGAAAAAACAAAGCTATATAAGTTCATAAAGAATGTCTATATTGAAAAAATTAAATAGATTGAAGAAAGTTTATTATATGCAAATGACCTTTAATATACTATATTAGCTTTAGAAAATACAAAATTAATCAATTCTGACAATACTAAATAAATAGTAGAGATTTCCAAATAAATCTTTCACAACTTAAATATATCTAAATTGGATACTCCTTAAAAAGCAGTAGATTTAGTTAAAGTATTAAATGAAAATCTCTCAGCCAACGATGTAAGGTTGTATAGAGAAATATATAAATTTTATAAAAAGCATGCCTAGTATTTTAATCATCAACAAGTAGAAACTCTCTAAAAATGTTATTATCATTTTGCTAGGTAACTTAATTTTAATGATTTAATTTAAATTGATGAGAAAACATCATCTGCTAAACATACTGAAAATTTTAACTATATTCATTCAGATATATATCAACTTAAATAATAAGAAGATTGGAATATCATGATTAAAGATGATCCTAAATCATTGACTAGTGCAGCAATATTAACTCATAAGAATGGCATTATTTTAAGAATACAAGGAGTATATTAAAATAATTATGAAAGTATTATAGATACTAAAAAATTAATATCAGAAAAGAAACCTGATATTATTATATTAAATATGGCTCCTATTGCTATAAATGAAAATTAGAATGATAGTGAATTGAATATCTAAAAAACTGTAGATTCTATAAATTAAACAGAAAAAGAAGAAGAAAAAATAATAGAATAAGTTTTTGTAACTAATTTTGATCCTCTTATTTAATAATTAACAAAAAAGTTATAAATAAATGATTAAAAGAAGATTCTAACAGGATATTAATAAGGATATTAAGTCCCATTTACAATGGAATCTTTGTTATATTAGTTTTCATTATAAAAAAGAGATTCAAAATAACCTATTATATTATTGGGAGGGTTAAATTTAGAAGATTAAATTAGATTGTATTTAAAAAATATACCTTCAACAAAAATTACTTAAGAATTATCTAGTCTTAGATATCAATGGTTGAATCAATTATTGAATAACTTTGCTGATATTTAATAAAATGGTTGCATTTTATGTAATTCATAACCAAATGGTTTAATGCCTCCTTCTAAAGTTCTTAATGAATAACAAAGAATGAAATAGATTTAAGCTGATTTTCTTGCAGAAATAACAAATAAATATATTGGTAGTAGTGGTAAAAAACAATTTTTAGTAATTGTTCAATAATAATTATTTTTGGAAACTCTCAGAAGTATAGCTTAAAGAAATATTGATAAAAATGATGTAGATATTGATAAATATAGAGAAGAATATTTCGAAAAAAAATTAGGAAAGAAATTTTTAAATTAAAAACATTATAAAGTGTTTTAATAATTTTATGAAGAGTAAATATTATATATTATAATTAGTGCTTTAAATTGTGATACACCATTCAAATATTGTTAACAAGAGATGTTAGATTTAAATAAATTTTCAAGTGAGAAATATAAAAAAGGATTAGATTTACGTTGTGGAATAAGAGATATTTTATTTTGATAATTTTGTGTAAATTAATATCATTTATAATAACAATCAAATCAAAAATAGTTTGATGATAATAAATTCTTTATATTTATATTATGTATATAGATATATATTTAGATTTCTAATGGAATTCATTTTATTTAGATTCATAATTAACAGAAATAACTTATTTAATTATATTATTTATATATAATTTAATGTATATGTTTCTTATATTGGGCAAATGAAATCATTCTTTTTTTTCTTCTGCTCTTATTTTACCTTTGCCATTTGTCAATCTTACATTAAGTTCAGCAGCTCTTCTAACAAGTGTTGCTCTTTTTCTAGCTGAGAGATTATGAGCCAATTCACCTGCAAATGTTCTGTTATTAGTAAGCAATAATTCAAGATCTTTTTCATTAGTAATTAATAATTTTCTGAAACCTGATTAATCTAAATATCTATATTGATTTATTGTTTATATACCTTGTTTTTTTATCGCTTCTATATCCTGATTTTGGCATAGGTCTATTACCTCTGAATCTTCTTCTGACTCTGTTATCAATACCTCTTGGTCTTCTCCAACTTGGTCTCAATTTATGTGGATAATCCTCTGATTCAAATCTAACAAATCTCTTTGTTCTCTTATGTACAATTCTTTTGTGAGCAAGTGATTTGACAACCATTTTTTTAATTAAATAAAAGATTTTAATTCAAATATTCATCTTCATTCTCAGTAATAATAAAAAATGATCATTATATGCTTTTGCATGAAGAAAGAGGCTCCATACTAAAAAATAGTAACCGACGTGATACAATACATTTGCACTAGCCTATTATTATTATTATTATATATTAATACTGTTAATTCAAACAATTCTTTTCTTTACACCTTTAATACAATATTCAAGGCATCACTTAAAAAAAGAAACACTGCCCCTACCAAAAGTAAAGTAAATGATTTTTTGCTAGTCTTTCCATAACGATGAAATGTATAAGAACTAAATAAAGCTGAACACAACAATAATCCAAAGGCAACAAATTAATTGTAAAAATCATCCATTTTTTGAATTGCATATCTTGACATTACAATCGATAACACTACCAATCCTCCTTATAATACTCTTATTTGAAGCATTAAATCTCTGTTGTATTCTGCTTGGTATCTACTTTCAAAATGACGATTTGATAAAAATACAAACAAAGAAAGTAATGAATAACATACTAAATCAAGGGGATTCTAAATAAAATAATGAATATAAATTACTTTATAAGTTAAGACTCCTGAATATGCAAAGTATAATGCTAAAATCTAAAAGATAAAAGTAAAAATAAAAAGTTAGAAATATGCTTAAGTATTTCTTTAAATGGAGTTAAACTTTTTGATTTCTACTTAAACTCTTGGTTCAGAATCAATTATTTTACTCACAATTTCTTACATCTCAGATTTATAATATTTTAACATATCTCTTTTTGATTTCTCTAGATAATAAATCCAAATCCCAGTTGTCAATAAATTTGTAATTACTACTATGTTATATTCAAATATCATGGATAAAACAGTTAAGCTAGCTCCAACAATTGGTATATGATGCATGTAATCATCCCAAGGTAATTTTTCAATAAATTCTTAGTGCTATCTTTTTTAATTCATAAATAAATTTCTATATTTAACTCATCCCCTCTTTTTCTAATAATATATAATATAATAATTTATATATACATATATTAACTAATCAAGTTCTTTATGATATTAGCTTATTTTATTAGTATCAAAAATATTACTCTACTATTGATATTCAATAATTTCTTTGGAAATATATCTATAATAAGCTTTAAAGAAATAATTAATGATTTATCTATAAAATCAATTCTATGAATTATTAATTTTATATATAATATTAAATAATATGGATAATGCAGAGAATATAATTACAGAAATCTTTAAAAATGAAATATAAGTCAAAAGACTTAAAAAAGGTAATTAAGTTAAACATAATAGAAATTTAATCTTTGACATAATTGAATCAAAAAGAATTTAAAATAACACTAAAAACATTAAGCCCTAATTTATAAATAATTGTATAATGTCTTACTAAAGTAGGTTGAAATGCCTCCAATAGATTCATTAAATTCAGATAAGCCAATCATTTTTGCATTATATTTAGATAATAGATTTCCATTTGTTTTTCCTAAAGTCCATATATTAAGCTAAGTAGCTTTAAAAATAAATCTAAGTTTACAAAACCAACCTTGTCTGATGGTCGAGATTATCTAGAAAATATAATTTCAGGACCATGGAGCCCTTCAATTTTGCTTTATGAAATAATTAAAATGTTTCCACAATTTCTAGTAATATGATAAATTTTAATATTAGGAAACAATTAAGAATAACCAAAATAATAAAGATTATCTACTTCAATTAGGAAATTATTAAGAGAATTAAGAATTTGATTTAAATATTGGCTTATAAAATGTTGATTATTTGCAATGTTAATAAATAATTAATGGAAAATAATTTCCAAGAACTATTTTAATTAGTGAGAGTCATCTATTAAACCTTGAATATTAAAACAAAGAATCAATTTTATTAAATTACTATTGCATGATGAATCTTCAAAAAATTGAGAAAGTTTAAAAAAATATCCTATTAAATTGGTAAATGAATGATGGTAGCTTAATTATTCAAACATTAACTTCAAATAACTTAGATTAGATTTATAATATAATTAATTCATATAAATTAGGATAAACTTAAAAAAAATTTAATTAAGATGATGTAACATTACAAAAATTTGAATCCATTTAAATTAATGAACTTTTGTAATAGATGAATTTTAATGAAATAGAACTTTCTAAAAATCTTAATAAAATTTCTTTACATAATCTAATGACTTCATATTAAAAAGTAATTTAATTTAAAAATTATAGGCTATTGAGTATTATTCAGCATTTTCAGATGAAGATTATAAATAGTATGTAATTCGTCTTTAAACTTTACTTGGTAGAGAAGATGTACAAACCATTTTAGCTTGTCCTGTTAAATGATTTTATTTTATATAGGTTTGATTATTTAGATATAAATTTTTAAATAAAATCAAATTATAATACATTAATCTATTAAGATGAAAATATTATTTTAATAAAATTATTAAATATATTAATTTATAATCATGCATCTACATTGCAAAAACTATTATTGATAGCAATTTAACTTTATTCTCTTTTGTTTAAAACACAAAATAATTATTTTTTTTATCTTTTTCTACTAATTTAAAACATCATTTTTTTTCTTTTTTTTTTAAATAAATCTTTGATAATATTGCTTAAATTAAACTATATATCATAAAATTCAAATTCTTTTTAAGAATCTATTTAATGTTCATGTTATTCAAAAATACTTTTTACAATTTCTAATTCAATTAATTTAATTTATGTGGGTTCAAGATTTATTTCTTTAGTAGACTTTGATTATAAATCTTATAATTATTTACTATTTTATCTCCATATAATTTATTTGCTATCTTAATTAATTTCTTTTTAATCTTCACTATCATGAACAATTTTTTAATTTGATGCATTAAGAGTTTATTTTTTAGTACCTTTTGTAATTTTAATACGTAGAGAGGAAATTCCAGGTTCTTAATAAACTCTATTCAAATTTTTTGATATTGATTAAGCCATATAATTAGCTTATTATGATTAAGATGAATATTAGTGTTTAAATTAAGTACCTGTATTATCAGGTGAATTCATTGATTCTTCAGATATTGATTAACCATCACCATCACAATTAAGTTCATCATTTTTATTAATCTAAAAGAAATCACAATCAGGAAGAAGATCAGAATATAAAAATGTAGAATTTCCATATTCTAATATACTCTTTTATAGTATTCTTAAATTAATAATGGATTTATGAGTAAATAATTTTTAAGATATTTTTCTTTATTAAAATTATCTATTTTATTAATCTTAATTATGTTTTTTTCTAAATAATCTCATATTGTTGGGTGTATAAAATACAAAAGGACATTTTGTAAAAATATGATTTTGATAACAAAGTTCACATCCACTAAATTTAATTCTACCTCCAAATTATATTTAATGTTTAATCCTATAATATTTTTCAAGATCTTCTTTATTTAATTATAGTAAACTTAAAACATCTTCAAAAGTAACATAAGCTAATTTAGAAAATTTAACTGCTCTTGAAGTAAATTAAGCACAATTTTAAGAAATAAATCCTTTCTCATCTATAGCTTGTCTTCTTTTATAAATCTTAACTAATTTATTATGTCTCACATTTGCTTCAACCTCCCCTTTTAGAATAAAATACATTCGATCTACTTATTAACCTTCTTAAAAAATAACTTCTTCAGGTACAAAACTTTATTCTTTAACCAAAAGACAAAGATTAGAAATAAATTCATCAGAAAAATTTTATCTAAATAGTTTTGATTGAAAGAATAAAGATTTGTAAAAATCAATTTTAACTTCTCTTATTAAAGTTCCTGATAAATGTTCCATAAGTTTTTCACATTCAAAGTCTGTATTCTTTTATGTTTTTAAATAGTATTCAAAAAATTTTTTAACTCTTACTTAAAGCTCTTTATTTAATCCTCTTCTTTTGATAAAAGAGTCAATCATTGTCATTTTATCTCTAAGATAATTTTTATTTTCAGAGATTTATGTAAATATTGCTCCAATACTTGAGATTGTATAACCAAAAATAATAGAACTCAATAAAGTTACAAAAATGACAAATAATTTTTCAATTTGAGTTACCTAATAAATATTAATTGAATATTACTGGGGTTATGTCACCATAACCAATTGTTAAGGTTGTTATACAAGCCCAATAAAATGATGTTATATATCTACTAATCCAATCAGATTCTAATTAAGCTTTGTCTGCCCAAGTGTATATTGTATTCTGATAAAGATGTTCTTGAATAGCAATGAAATGCCAAACACAAGCTATTAAATGAGATGCAAACAAAAATGTTGCTAATAAAGATATTAAATCAATCACAGCTGCAAAATTGACTCTCAAATTTAAGGTTTCAACCAAATTTTCAAAAATGAACATAATCTAAAAATTTAATAAGTTGTGAAGTTACTCTTGAAACTCTCAACAATAATACGAATTCTATGTAAGGTACATTGGATCTACCAATCAAAAAAGGAATCAAAACTATAAAATCAGTTATAAATTTCCCTTTTAAATAATGTTTTATTATCTAAACTTAATTTAAAACTAAAACTCCTCTACTATAATAGGCAACATTAAAATTCAATAAAATCTCACAAATAAATACATATTATGGCAATGTTTCAAGGAAAAAGTCAATGCCATCATTAGATCCTTAAATTTCAAATGAAATTTTCAATGGAATATATATAATATTGATGATTAGTATAGTAAATACAAATAGATCCCAAAGTAATTTTAAAGTGTGATCAGGAGTTATAGGTGAGATATTAATTCCAAGTCGACGAAAAATATGGACAATCTTCTTAAAGACAACCTTAAGATGAAACTTATTAAATACTAAGCCATACTTACACATAAATGTTATTTTGATTTAGCTCTAATTAATCTTCTTGTCAAATAATAATTATAATCAGATGCTTAATCTCCTATAACTTTGAATTGTCTTAATTCTAAGTATCTAAGTTTAAATTTATCTGAATTAGTCAATAAATAAGTAACAAATCTGGCTACTAATACAATAACATTCAAAGCTCTTTCTTTCCAAATTTGATTCTTGAATCCTTATACAAATTTTTATGGTATTTCTTAAGACTCATTTGATTATACACTTTCACTTGGTTCATGTGATAATTGAACTTTTTCTAATTTTGTAAATAATATTGATGGTTTCCTAGAGGTATCTTCAAGTAACTATTCATCTAATTTTCATATAAATAAATACTAGGCTAACTACTACGACTAGATAATACTCTTGGTGTAACAGATAGTAAATCAGATTATTTCTAATTCATTTATATTTTTATATATAATTATCATTCTTAAGAATCTCTTAGATTATTATTAATTATAATAAATGATTACAAAAATTGTAATTCTTGTTTCTGCTTTACTTATAGCATATAATAAATTGAAATCAACAGATTATTAACTTTAAGAATAACCAGTAATTGGAATATTTACACAACCTTCAACATTTTCAGAATATAATCGTGAAAATTATACTTACATTGCTGCGTCATATGTTAAATTTTTGGAATCAGGAGGAGCAAGAGTGATCCCTATTCCCTATGAAGCAAATCATACAACTTTAGATGAGATTTTTTCAAATATTAATGGTATACTGATACCAGGAGGATCTACAGGATTAAAAGGACCTTCATTATATACTTAGAAGGTGGCATATCTTGTAAATAAGGCATTGAAAATAAATAAGGAAGGAGGATGGTTTCCAATAATTGGAATATGTCTAGGACATGAAGTGATGCATTACATTCTATCAAATTATTCTGATGTATATTTATAGATTTTAATTATAGAATTTTTTGATTGATGTGAAGGGTAATGATAAAGTATCAAAACCATTAAATATTGAATATAGATAGGCATATTTTTATGGTTAGATGAATGATGAATTATTTTAAGCTACATTAAAAGAGAATTTAGCTTATTATCATCATATTCATGCAGTACCTCCAAATTTATATGAAATTACACCTATTTTAAAAGAATATTTAAGAATCACTTCAACTTAAATTGATGATGAAGGATAACTATTCATAACTTCTACAGATGGTATTAATATGCCATTCTACTCATTTTAATATCATCCAGAGAAAAATCCATTTGAATGGACTATTCCTGCAAATCATTCAGTTCATGCCATTTAATTTAGTAGAATTCACAGTTATTAATTTATTTAATCTTGTAGAATGAATTCAAATAAATTTGGATTAGATTCTAATAAACTAATCTATAATTATAATCCTATTCAACCAATAAATTAAAATTACAATTAAGTATATATATTTTAAAGACTCTTAATAATGGATGATATAGAAATATAAGAATAATAATGATTTATTTATAAATTAATTTATGAAAATAATCTTCAATTTATTACTTATTGGATTATTGTCCAATTTAATTTAATCTAAGTCAGTTGCAAAAATGAAAGAAGTATTCATAATTTTAAATATAATTTAGTGTTTAACATATGTTTTAGGATATAATTAATAATGTTATTAATAATATTAGGATTGTTTATTAAAAGACATTTGTTAAGGATTATATATATAAGGTAAAACACTTTGTTTAGAAGATTTCAAATATGATACAGATTAATATTTAGGAGAATGTGTAAGTACTTAATATGATAAATTATAAAATGATGATGCAAAACTTTTAATTAATTGTTTATAAGAATAATGTGATATTTTGAATAATCAAGCTACACTTTAACATATTTCAAGAATATTGATATTGATTTATTTATTTACTTAATGATTATTCAATAAGAATTATAAATTATGTAAAACATATTATTCAAATTTATTCTTGTTATACTTATGTTTTAGATTTATTTCTTTTTAATATGTACAACATAAGAGACGATAATGCACTAAATCCACTACCTCCAAGAAGTACTAAACCTATAGTTAAACCTTTGGTTCCTAATTCTGATGCACTCTAAAGTACTAATGTCTTTTCTCCTCCAAATACTTATATTGGATATTAATTGTTTATATAGAATTTATAACTTCCTTAATTTAAATTACCATTTATTATGCCATAAAGTATAAATCGACTTGAATGTACTTAAGGTATAAACCAACTTTAAACTTATTCTAATTAATAACTTTAATTTTAATACCATTTTCTACATCTAACCATTATTTGAAATAATATTAATGTCTTTTAAATTGTTTTTTATACATTGGTAACAAAAGGTTGGTTACATTTATTGTCAATTTTTCTGTATTCATTATATAGAAGGTATCTTATTGAATTTAATAATTATAATTACCATTAAAAATATATTTAGCTGCCAAACCACATGGATTTGCATAATCTAGAAATAGATGATGTCCACTTGCACTCATATTTTATCTATTCATCTAAGATTGTAAATAAGCATTAGGACAATACTTTTATTAATCTATATCATAACCCATTAATTAATCCTTATTTATAGATTAGACGAAACTTAAAAGTAACAATAAATAGAAACTTTAAATCATTAGAATAGAAATTGGAAAGCTCATAATATACATAAACAGGTGTTGCCATTAATTCATCTACAAAGAATGTAATATTGCAAAAGCTTTATTCATCACACTCTTTACCATAAGGAATTCTAATCTCAACTATATTTGTAGAAACTCCAAACAAAATTAATCCGAACAAACCCATATAAAATGATATCAAAAACAATGTAAACACTGCACATTTAGTTGTTGGGATTAATGAAATTGAATCTAATCTTCCTGCTAATAATCGATCCCAATATGAAGATGCTTCTTCTACAACTGGATATTAATAAGATAATTTTTTAGATGCTCTTGGTTCTCTTAAAAAATTTACAACCTTAAAAATAATAAACAATCAATACATCTTCTTATCTGGATTAATCAAATTAAGAGGACTCATTAAATATATTTGCTAATGATCACTAATATAATTACATGATGTATTATTAATTTTATTATAATCCATTTCTTTATAAATTAATAAATAATAATTTCCATCTTAATTAAAACTACAAAATCTATAAAACTATACTAAGATATAACCTATGTTATATTATTTCAATATCAAATATATCTAAGATTAATAATATTAATATATTTATGAATTTAAAGACAATTTTAAATATATAATATCATAGTAATATAATTGATATATATATTTAAATATTAAGTGTCTCAAGTTCTTCTTATTTAATATTTTGTATATAAAAAAACTAAATTAATCATTTACTATGGATAATTTAAAGAATAAAAATAACCTAATTGGAATTTATAAAGAAGGTTTCTAAATGCTTTTTTTGAAAGAATATAGATTTTTATTTGCTTATCAAGAAATTAATATTTAAAAATACATAAATTTATGGATTATTATAATATATAATTAATAATATATGATCTATTTGAAGTATATAAAAATTTCACCAATACTATTTTAGTAATGGAGAAAGATTTAAAAATTTAATTTAATTTAATTTTAGTAATTAAATTCTATAAAATTATGAAATATGATAAGAGATTAATAAAAATAAAAAGATAAAATGAATAACAACTAATGAAATATAAAAAAGAATAGCATTATTGAAATAATGTAGTTATATATGAATTATATTAAGATTTATTAAAATTATCATTATTAAATTAATTAATGAGCAAACATCTCTAAAAATTCTCTTCATTCTAAAATTTTTAGAAGGAACAATAATCCTCAAATAGGTAATATAGATTAGTATAAAAGATGTAATAAGATTGCTCTATGTGTATCGCAACTCAGTTTATGATTTGACAGAATTTGCTGATAGACATCCTGGAGGTAGAGCTGCCCTGAATATTTACAAAGGGAGAGATCTTGAGAATGTATAAATTCAATTATAATTATTAGATATTCTTCAATCCTTCTATACATAAGCATAGTACAAATGCTCTATAAGTTCTAGAGTAATATAAGAGTGGTATAATAGAAATTAAATAACAGTCATCCATTTTCAATTCTAAATCAACTAATTTCACCATATCTTAAATGTCTAAAAAACCATAAATATCTAATGACACAAAAACACAACCAATAAAAAAAACACCTATAAAGTCTTAATCTGTAAAACCTAAACTATCTCAAAATGAGGATAGACTTAATTAATCAATGAATAATTTGAATTAATCAATGACCAGCAGTGTTAAATCTCATTTTTTACATATTCCAAGTTAAATGGAAATTATGTAATTATAGAAATAAAAACAAAAACAATTGATTTAAACTTGGAAATAAACAGAAATAGATGAACTAAAAAGATAATAAGCTGAAGTATTACGATTATAATAAGAAAAAAATTAACCAAAAGATGATAGAAAAGTTTAAAGTGAAATTATATCTACTTAAAGAAAACCAAATAATTCTTATTATTAAGCTTGGTTAGATAAAAAAAAAAATTAATCAAATGAAACCAGTACCAATAATATCTTACCATCATATTTAACTTAAAATAATAGAGCAGATGATTAAAATAGCATCAAAAATGATACTTAAAATTATTAATAAAAATTATCATAATCTGTAATAGTTTAAAAATAATAAAAAAAAGTGAATCCTTATTATGAAGAATGGAAACGAAAGTAAGCATAGAAAGAACATCAAAATAATTAAGAATAATTACAATAATCGATAATTTTGGAGGAAAATGAATCATAACTTTCAGGTTAACCATCCTCAGTCAATAATAGTTTTTAAAGATCATTTTCACTTATTAGTCAAAAAACAATAGTATAAGAAAATCCCAATTTATATGTACCTGTTTTTTCTCCAAAATTTATCTCACCTTTGAAAGCAAAGTTTTACCACCCTATATCAAAACTAAATGTATGAATAAAATATATATAAATTTTTTGGTTATTAAAATAAATTTTATTAAAATTCTAATGAATAATCCTGTATTTAATGCTGCCAAAATAGCTTTATCAAAATAAATGAAAATTGCTGATAGTATTGAATTGTATAAGTACTTTTTAAATTTTCCATCTTTATGTTCAATTGATTAATTAAAGTAAGACACTCATTAAGAAATATTATAAAAATTAATATTTTTAGGAGGATTTCATGAAAGAAGAAATTGTGGAATCATAATTAAAGATATGGTTACTAATTGTTTAAGATAATTTAGAAATTTTGAACCTGATTTAGATATTCCAAATTTAGTTTAATTATTCTTAACATTAAGCAATGTTCTATTATATGATGAAAAGTTAATAAATTTTATTCTTAATCAATTAAAGAATAAATAAGATCAAATTTAAATTAAATAATTATAATCAATCTCTCATTGTTTATATAAATTAGGAATAAAAGATGAATTTTGGCCAGATCTTATGCACTAAAAAGTAGTTAGCTACACATAAGTTTTTGGAATTTAAGATTTAGTATAACATATTCATATTGTTAGTAATTAAGTATTATTAAATGATTTTTAAGAAGAGAAACTTATTTAATTATTAGAATTATTACAATAAAAATTTGTAAATTAAAAAAAGCATATATTTTTATCAAAATTCTAATTTTAATATACATAACTAATGTTTAATTTATATCCAGAACTTATTAAATAAAATTATGATCATCCAAAATGTGATTAAAACAATAAATATAAAATATTTTTTGATTATTTTTACAAAGATTATTAAATATGTAGAATGCTTTTAGATAGAAAAGATAGTAATATAACAATAGATTATTTTGAAAATGATAATTTTCCTAATTTAATTAGAACCAAAGATGATCTAATTGAAAAAAAGAAAACATCTTTTGAATAAAATATTGAACAATTATTAAAGAGATTTAATTTACAATATCAATATTAACATAAATTATCTATTTATGAAATTGACTTTTTTGTAGAAAACAAGTTTTTAATTAATTGTAATGGACCTACTCATTTTGTATAGAATTTAGATAAGAAAGTCATTAGAAAATCTCCAAATTGTTTAATGTAGCAAAGGTAAAAGATAATACTTAACAAAAAGACATCTGAAACAATTAGATAATTATCAAATAATAGACATAGATTTTCATATTTGGGACAAATACGATACAACAGATAAATATACCAGAGAGTTCAAAAAATTGTTAAATTTAATTTGAATAATAATAATATTATTCAATTTAAAATTTTAGATTATATTTCTACAAGTTTATCTTTTGCTTCCTTTAATTAGAATTTCAATTCTTAGACTGTAAATCTATTTGTAGAAGTAGATACAATCTCTTTTTCTAGTCTTTAAATTTCCTAATATAAATACTAATATTATAGTTTGTAATCTATCTTAATTGACAATCACAATACCCTCATTTTTACCAACACTTTTACTTCTATTATCTTATTATCTAAATGTGAGACTTCTTTTTTGAAGATGTGTTTAATGAATTTCCTCTTTTTATTGTACAGAATCAAATTATAATTAAATTTATCTTTAATTATAAATACAAGCTTTATAATTGCAACACTTAACATCAAATATCTAAGCTTCAACCATCTTAATAAAATGAGGATTCAAAAAGAATCTAAATTTATTGATTTTATTAAAAAATACCTCTCAGTTAGAGTCTTGATATCTAGTTTTGAAAATTAAACATCATTTGATTCTTAAGTTAATAAAAATTAACCTTAATGATCTCTATTACAATTTTATTTATTTTATTTTTAAAAGTTCCCCTTAATCTTATTTTCTCTATATAATTAAGCAACACATTGTTCAAATAGTTCCTTTAAATTTTTGGGTGTTTAATTTTCAATCAAAGGAGTTCTAATATTTTTGATTTCTATTGTTAAATGAGGAGCATATTGTGATTATTTTTGAGTAATAGGTAAAATTGGTTATCTAGATATAGTAGTAAATTCTAAAATAATATAATTAAAAACATTCTTTATTTAAACGAGAGGATATTCTTTATGTTTCTAATTTTTAAGTATGAGTATTAGTATTAGTTTCAGTTTTTAAGTTATTTTAAAGTTATTACTTTTTTTATGATTTTAGAATCTCAATTAGACGTATATTTGTTTCTTTTTCTTCAAATAATTAAGTTTGTAATTACTTGCTATTTAATATTAAATAAATACTTTGACTTATAATTATAGATTTGTTCTTAATTAATTCATGTATTAGCATTCACTTTTATAAAATTTTAATTCTTTGCTTATTACTTCTTCCTTTTTATAAATCACAAAATTATACATAAGTATCAATAGGAGTTTATGTAAATTCTAATTAATCAAGTGTATCATTAACTAATTCTTATATCTTTAGAGATTCTATCTTTTCTTCTTTTATTATTGTTGCTAATTTTAAACAAAAGTCAGTGTATGTTAACATAATTAAATTTATATTTTCTTAAAATACTAATCTCATTTATGACCAAATTGAGTGCTTGCAATACGAGGACCTTAATTTAATCTAGCTTAAACAGTCACAGGTAACTTAAAAGGTTTATCACTATCTTTAATTATTCTTTCAAATATTCTATTGACTCCATGTCTAGAACGTGTTTTATGCATTATCCAAGATTTCAAATAATAACTCAAATAATATAAATATTATACCCTTTATTTCCTTATCCTTAAAATTTCTCTGTTACTATATCATATTTTTTAGATTTCTTTTCTTCAAATAATTTCTTTATTCTTTCTTATTCTTTATCTGATAATTTTGCAATATCAACATTTCTATCAGGTGTTTTGAAACTAAAATAATTATATATTTAATTAAATACTTTGTTTATAGATATCCTGATTCTACTTTTCTCATTTATTATAAATCAACACCATAATCAACAGCTCCAAATTATTTTTCAAAATATAATTCAATTGCAATCAAATCTCTTACATATTCAAAAGGAAGATGAGGGAATACTTCATCAAAAAAGTATCGTTTTTAATATATGATAGCCTTTACTCTATATGGCATTATTCCATATTTTATAGATAAATCTCTAACTGACCAACCTTCATTAAATAATCCAAACAATTCAAATTTTGCTCTGAATGATAATTTTGGAGCAGGAAGTCTTCTACGTCTTTTTTTAGAAAAATTATCAGAATTTACCAACCATTTTTAATTATCTTATATTCTCTTTGATATGAGTTCTTTTGCTCTATTTACTCTTTTTATTCTTCTATTTCTAAATGAAAATCTTAATTTTCTCTTTTCTGGCATCTTTCTAGCAGCAATATTTTTATTTTCAGGGTTTTAATATATAAAACTATAAACATTTTCTTTTTCTTGTCTTTCATGAACATTTTCATCTAAATCACCATAAAAGTTCAATTTATTTTTATATTTAGAATCTTTAGCATCATAATCTTTATGACTATATTTAATTGCTAATAAATTCTTATCAAAAAGTGAATAATCTTAATAATCTCTATTTTCTTTAAGTAAGGTATCCCAATCTTTTTTTAATGCATCAGACCTTATAATATCTTTACTTCTTTTCAATTATTCTTCTGGACTCAAACTTTAATAATATTAAGCAAAACTAATCATATTTTCAATCGAATATACCTATAGTTAAGAATATTCATATATTAAGCAATTACAGCTTTTTCATTTGGAGACTCTTTTGACTATTACTTTTCATCCTCTTAATCTTTTTTAAATAAATTAAGCACAGATTCTTCACCTTAATTTATTATTATTGTAATAGCATACTTTATAAATTATCAGCTAAAGACTAATAAGTAGTTTTAAGCTCATTAACAAACTGTTCTTATTATTTTGTTAAAACTCTTTGTTTTGCTTTTGCTGTTGAACTTGAGAAATTTATACGATGAATAAAGGGATTTCTCAAATGAAATAAAGCAAATTTAATCATTAAATAATTTAAATTCACTTTTCTCAACTAAATTATACATAAACATTAATTTTATTACATTAAATGTATTTTATTCTCAAACTTATTTGAATAAGATACTTATATACAATATTAAATAATGTTTTTGAAGATTTATTTATTTTTCTAAATATGTAAATTCATAATCTTCAAAGAATAAAATATAATTAAATATCTACTACTATAAAATGCTAAAATTAAAATTAAATAAATTCAAATTTTTAGATAATTATAGAATTCAATCATTTTTATTAATTTATTATTTTTAATTACAAATTCTACAAAAGTGATTAAAGAATTACATTCAAAATGATTTCTAAAGATATATACATATATTTATTATATTCATTATTATAACTATATAATTGAATTCATAAATTTTTAAAATTTATTGTATATATTCAAAATTTCAATAATTATATTATTATCAACTGTTGTGAATTATTCAATGTTGAGTACAAAAAATCAAATTCATAGAAAAACTGTATCAAATGCCAAAAGCAATGAAAATCATAAAAAAAGTTGTAACTAATATTAATTAAGACAATCCAATATTCAAATAGCATAATAATTATCATGTTTGCAAATGCTAAAAATATTAGTATCAGGATCTTCTAAATCTCTTAATAAGAATACTTTAAAGACAAGAATACGAACAGAAGGAAATGAAAAGCAATTTAAAGTTCATACTTCTGCATCTCCAACAAAAGATAAAGAATAATCAGCATCACCTCCCTAAAGAAACACAAATTCTTAAGTTGATGTAATCACAAACCTATTAAATTCAAATATGAATCATACTGAATATAAACGAATATCTAGAGATTAAAGAAATCAAAGCGCGGATTTTCAATAATTATTAGTATAATAATAACAAAAATAGGAAAATCGTCTATTGAAAAATAATGGTAAAAAGAAGTTTAATTCTTATGGCAATTTAAATGATTAAGTGTATTTTTCTTAAAGAGGAGGATTAACTGAATGTTAATCAGCAGATCATCTTGTATAAAATAATCCTTAGTAAAAATTAATGAATTCCAAAGGTTCATATTCAATGAAACATTTTCCATCTCCTATGAATATCTATTCACAATAAATTACTTTATAAGAATTTAAAAACAAATTAAGCAATTTAAGTAAAGATATAAAATAAAACAAAAATCAAGTTGAAGAGGAATTATAGAAAACTTTAAAAAAGAAATAAAATCTTTATGATTAATATGATTAAGAAGATAGTTAAAAGTAATTCAGATAAGAAATTTCTTAAAGAAGTAAATCAGTTGATTCTTCTTCTTCTAGATCTCGATTAGAAAATTCAAAATATTCAAAGGATTTTATAAATTAACATAAAGTAAATCATCAACAAAAAAACATTTAGGGAGATTTTATATACAAAACTTAAAGTTATTTAAATTAAAAAAAGTTAGAAAGCAAAATTGATTAATTAGTATTTCAAGTATAAATATTAAAGAAAAAATCTGAAGAATTAGAATAATAAAATAGATTTCTATTTGATAATTTAACAAAATTTTAGAAGGAATCAGATTGTAATACTGATGTAATAAAATATTTTTAAATTTAATAGGAACGAAATTTACTTATGAATAAATTAGATTAGATGATAGGAATGTAAAAAAGATAAGAAGAGAATCTTAATTTTTTTAAATAGATATTTGCTAAAGGTTATGATTAATCTCGAAGAATAAAAACAGAATAATAATAATAATAAAAAGAAGAGGATAATTAAAAAATAAATTAAAAAACAGAAATATTATCTAAATAAAGACCATTTGTCAAGTCAGCTTATCAAGGACTTGATTTTAATGTTTGATTATTAATTTAATCAAAGTGAAGAAGTTTTTTGATTTATATATATTTAATTAAACAAAATAGAATTCTTATTAAGTATATTTAAGTTATTGAAAGTTGTATTAGATTTCTTAAAATATTCAAATAGTTAGAATACTTAGTATAATAATAATCATCTAATTGATCAATAGTTTGGATGAATAAATAAAAAATTAATTATTTTAACAACCTAGAAAATGAAATCTAAGTGTAATCCTCAAGATAAAAAAGTGACGGTAATGATTAATAAGAATAACTAGAATATTTCTTTTGATTTGAATTCAAATAACAAACCAAAATATTATATATCAAACACAACATGTCATAAAGATAATTAGAAGTTTTTTAATTGCAGCAATATGTCACCTATAGTAGTTGAAACATCAACTCCAAGAAAAAGACTTATTTCTGGCAAAAGAGTTAGTATTCTTATTTCTATATTAGACTCAACATAAGGCTAATAGTTCTAATAATAACTCAAACAATAAAATTTAAAATAGATAGAAAAAATCATCATCCAATTAAAGAACTAATTTAACAGTTAAGACTGGATCATCTATTGAAGCACTTAAAGAATTAATGGGAAAAAGTAAGTATATAAAATAATTAGATTATTTCAAATAACTATTACAAATAAATACAGATAAATTTAAGAATGCAAAAGATATTTCATTCATAGAGACAAAAAAGAGTAACTCAAGTGAATTTGGATTTGATAATAGATTCAATAAAAATTACTAGTAATTAAATCAATAAGGTATTAAAACAACAACTAATAAATCAGGATCAAAAGATAGATATTCATTATAAGTATTTTAAATATTATTAATCAATAGAAAGTATTCTCAAAAGTAATAGATTAAGAAAAATCTTCATCACCTACTAAAAAAATAGATTGGAGTAAAATCAAATTGCCTTTGACTCCAAAAGAATGTATATAATAATTTGGATAATATTTGACTGATTTTGAAAAATAAGAGATTCATGGATTTAGTAGAGTATATATAATAAATTTATAAGTTAAGATTTATTGTATAGGATTGACATCTAAAAAAATTGATTAAAAATAAACAAATTATAATGATGGTTTTGATGATTCAAAAGGTGAGTATTTATTTTCAATTAATGATCATATTGGATACAGATATGAGATTTTAGAAATAGTAGGTAAAGGTAGTTTTGGATCAGCATTCAAAGTATTTGATCATAAAAGATAATAAGTTTAATGCTTAAAAATTATAAGAAATAAAAAGAAATTTACAAATTAAGCATTAGTAGAATTAAATATATTAACATATGTCAAAGAAAAAGATGAAGAAAATGTAACAAATATTGTTAAAATAAAAGATTTTGTAATCTTTAGAAATCATGTGGTATATTTTATTAATCTCTATTTTTTAGTGTATCTCTTTTGAATTCTTATCAATAAATTTGTATTAATTAATAAAGAATAATAATTTTTAGAGTTTATCTTTAGAACTCATAAGAAGATTTGCAATTTAAATTCTAAATGCATTAAACTTTTTAAGTAAACATAAAATAATTCATTGTGATTTAAAACCTGAAAATATATTATTAAAATAGGCAAATAAAAGTGGAATTAAAATCATAGATTTTGGAAGTAGTTGTTTTGAAAACTAAAAGATATATTCATATATACAATCAAGATATTATAGAGCACCTGAAGTAATGTTTGGAATCCCCTATGATACAAGTATTGATATGTGGAGCTTTGGATGTATTATGGCAGAACTATATTTGGGATACCCAATATTTCCAGGTGATGATGAATAAGAATAAATTGCATATATATTAGAAATACTTGGTATGCCAGATAATGAAGTTTTAGAAGTAAATATTTTTTAATTATTTAAGATTGCCTAAAGGAGAAAAGTTTTCTTTACTGACTCTTTACCTTTTTAACCTTTATGTTTGTAAAATAAAGGTGGTAAATTAAGAATACCTGGTAGTAAGACTTTATCAGAAGTCTTAAAATGCAACGACAATAATTTTATTGATTTCTTATAATAATGTTTAGTGTGGAATCCTAAAAAGAGAATCAGTCCTATTGATGCTCTTATGCATTCTTGGATTCTTGAAGGACTACCTAGTCAAATAAGAGTTTAGCATGTTTAATATTTAGAAAGTTAATAACAATACTTTGATATTAATGACAAAAAATAAGAAACAAATTTAAAATAGGGTTAATAAGGATAATAAAAATTATAAAATCATCATATCTCAGAACCAGAAATGAATTAAGAAAATAAAGTATATAATATTTTTAAGATATTTTAGAAACCTAATCAGATAAGAACATTTTCAAGAGAGAAAGAATTATTGATTAATGTTTCATAGAATCCTACTCCAAATAATAAGAAAACATCTTAATCATTTCATTCAAGTAAAAACAGCAATAAATAACAATTAAATTTTATTCAATAATTACCAGGAACTACAAAATATGCAAACAAGAAAACTCATTATTTTTATTGATGCTTAATTAATTTTGATATCACTTTTATATATTATGTATATATATATATATATCATAATATTAATATTAATATTAAAAATTTGAAAATAAATATGTCATAATACGATAATCCCAATAATTGTTTAGATGGTTTTATTGAATAACTCAATAAATGCAAACCTTTAACAGAAATGGATGTTAAATGGCTTTGTGAAAAAGCTAAGGAAATCTTGTAAGAAGAGAGTAATGTTTAACCAGTTAGAGCTCCAGTTACTATTTGTGGTGATGTTCATGGATAATATCATGATTTAATGGAATTATTTAAAATTGGAGGTAAAACTAATGATAATATTATAAAGGTAATGTACCTGATACAAATTATCTTTTCTTGGGAGATTACGTTGATCGTGGTTATTATAGTGTAGAAACTGTATCACTTCTTTTGGCTTTGAAAGTTAGATATAAAGTATGAATAACTTAAATTCTAAATAGGATAGAATAACTATTTTAAGAGGCAATCATGAATCTAGATAAATTACATAAGTTTATGGATTCTATGAAGAATGTGTTAGAAAGTATGGCAATGCAAATCCATGGAAATATTTTACTGATTTATTTGATTATCTTCCAATAACAGCAGTAGTTGAAAATTCAGTAATAAATATATGCCTATTAAACAAGATATTTGGTTTACATGGAGGATTATCTCCTGATGTAACTACTCTCGATGAAATAAGAAGATTGGATAGAATATAAGAAGTACCTCATGAAGGTCCTTTATGTGATTTATTATGGAGTGATCCTGATGGTATATTTTTATAATTATATCAAAGATCGAAATGGATTTAATACTTCACCTAGAGGAGCTGGATTTACTTTTGGAGTAGATATTTCTGAAAAATATAATCATACTAATGGATTAACTATGATTGCAAGAGCACATCAATTAGTTATGGAAGGATTTTAAGAAACTCATGATAAAAATTGTGTTACATTATTCTCTGCTCCAAATTATTGTTATAGATGTGGAAATTAAGCTGCCATTCTAGAAGTAGATGAACATATGAATCAAAATTATTTACAATTTGATCCTGCTCCTAGAAGAGGAGAACCCCATTTGACCAAAAAAACACCAGATTATTTCTTATGAAATTATTTATTTTTTGGTTATTTCAATTTAACATTAATTAATTAACTATTTATGAGTAAAACTATCAGATCAAAAAATATTGCTCCTAACATTGAATTCTGTAATGAAATTGCAAATAATTAAAAATTACTTAAAGCAAAATAAAAAACACTTTCTAAATTGAAAGCAGAGTTAGGAAATATGAATATGATAATGCCAATGACTAATCAAAGAATTGTACAAAAAAAGATTGAAAGTATTATATATATAGATAGTTCTCTTTAGATTTAAAGACCCAATTAGAAAAATAATAGGAAAATAAATTAGGTGTAACCCAATATGGTAATCTAACGAATTAGAATTTCTAAAAATAATCACCCTTAGTAAGATTGGAAAATATATAATAAATAAGAATTAAAAGTGGAATTCGAACAACAAGTGAAGGAGATGCTATAAACGTTAAACAACTATTAAAAAATTAAAATTGTTAAATCTCTAAATATTGATATATAAAACTTAGAAATAGTATATTTACATACAACATGCTCTTATTATTTAAAAATCAACTAGAATTTATCATATAAGATAATTTAATAATAATTATAAAAAATTGATTGTTTACATTTTTTTTAGAGATCAAAAAATAATAAAGTAATTTATTATTTTATATATAAATTTATTTACTTTAAAGATTATCTAAATAAGAAACAATAAAATATTTAAAAACAAAAAATATGTCTACTTCTAAATTAATGTATTCATCACCAGCACCAAAAACATAGTCTGCAATATCATATGGAAGTGATAGAGATAGAGCTCTTTCACTTAGAAGGGCAAAAATATCTCAATTATCAGAAAAACTCTCCAATCTCTAACATTCAATTGATGAAGATTAGACAGTATATCATCTATTCATACTGAATAGTTTAAAAAAGAAACTTTTGAATAAAAGTTTAAAGTTTTCGAGGACAAAGCCATAAAGCAGTAATAAGGTGATGAATCAAAATTTAAGTTATTGAAGGAATAATTATAAAAAGTAGAAGAACGAGGTTAAAATGAAAAAATTATTATAGAAGTAAAAAAGAAAATTGAATTATAAAATAGAATGGAGATGAAAAATTAAGAACTAAAATTTTAATATCTTAGAATTAAATTTAAGAAAAGAAATACAATCAGAAAAAATCAATAGAAAAGATTATGAATAAAAATTATTAAAACTACAGATGAAAGAGTCTATAGTTTAAGACTAGATATAGCTAGATAAAAAAAATATAGAGAAGAAATAGAAGAAAAGAATGCTTAAGAAATTGGAGATAGAATTTTATAATTATAGGAGGATGTTGAAGAAAAAAGAAGATTAAGGTATAAAATAAAAATAAATTTTAGGGAAGAAGGAAATCAGGAAATCAATAAGTTATAAAAAGATTAGGAGATTCAATGTTGAAATTATAAGAAATTTTAACAATAGAAAAAAAATAGAGAGAAAACAGCATAAAGTTAGATGTTCAGAATGCTTGATAAGATGAATTCTTATTTGAATGGAGAACTTAATGCTGAAAAAAGTGAAAAAGAAGCTACAGAAGAGAGTATTATTAATCTTATTGATTAAACATGCAATAGAGTTGAAAATTCCTTAAGAAAATGATCTATTAAGCATAGTATGTATAAAAATCAAAATTTTATTTTTTTAATAATAATTAAAAAAATGTCTCAGATGGAAGAGGAATTCTGTAATTTAGAGGATGAAGCTGCAGTACTTACTTGTAGCAGATCTCCTAAATCTAAGAAAATAAAAAAAAGTGATTCTCTTTCACCAAGAAAGAATAATGGTCATTGGACAAAAGAAGAGCATGAAAAATACTTGTAATTCTTGGAAGATCATTCCCATCTAAAGAGAAATAACAAAATTTTCAAACCAATGTCAGAAATCATTGGAACTCGCTCTCCTAGTTAATGCAGGTAATTTTTAAAGGAATTATTAGATCTCATCATCAAAAATTTAACCCTTTATCACCTTAAGTTTAAAGGAGATCTGTTAAATTGATTAAAATAGACTAAGATATAAAAGTATAAACGTAATAGTAGGAGGAAACTAATGAAACAATAAATGATGAAAATTAAATAAAAAATAGGGTTAGATTAGTTATGTATGATGATGAATTTGCTTAAGATGATAATGAATTTAATTTAGATGACTTAATCTGATATAATGATAATTTTTATTATTTAAATCCTATTCTTATTGTATATTCAATTATCTATGCAAAAAGATAATTTTTTAGATCAGTGAAAGAAAAAAACATGATTATAAAATATAATTATGACCCCAATACCTTCTGATTAAAATATAATAAATATATTTCTAAATATGAATACAAAAGAAATAGTAGAAAATGAATTATTATTAATTAAGGATAACAGTAGGAAATATCCTTAATTGTGTAAAGTAAACAATACAAATCTATATATATAAAGGTGTTAGAATCAAATTTGTTAGAATTAGATACTCACAATTTATTAATACAATTATTACCTTAGATTGTAAGCTCAAAAAATATTAAATTAATTTCATAAGGAATAGGACTAATCCAAAAATTATAGCATTTGCTCTTATTAACAATAGTACTATTAATTTATCATTAGAATGATCTTGATATCATAATTGAATATTTTAATAATTCAAAATCGCAATAAGATGAAACAATAGATATCAGACTGGTTTCAACATTAATTCATATTATTGGTCCTGATGTCATTGATTTTTCTAATTTAAATCATATTCTGAAGGTCTTAAATTTATTAATATACTTTTCATCTTCAGACAATCCAATAATAGCATAATCATCTATTTAAGGCATTCTAACACTTAGTAATGTTTTGGAAGACCTATTATAGAGTTAATAAAAGAATACAATATTGCAATCCTATTTTGAATTATTGGAATTATTTTTTAATATATTTCAAGATAAGGAGCAAACATTTATATATGTGTCAAACAATTTAATATTATGTATTTATCATATCTCATTTTAATTTCATTAGGCAAAGATATTTTTATCATAATTCTGAAATGTGGAAAATATTTACAATAAATCGAACAATTTCATACTTTCTATTATGAAACCCTATATACATACTTAACCAGTATTGATCTAGTATAGGAGTCAAACATAATGAATAGTAAATCTATTAATATATTAGAAATCAATATAATAAGATTAATATTCAATTATATCTTGACAATAGAAGATAAATTTGAATTAATATCATAGTTGATGAATGTATATAGCAAACTACAACCACTTGATTAATGTAAGATAGCTATACATGATGGCATTTTATGTCTATATTCAAATCTCTCATTATTCAAAAATTTACTTATAAGATAGCCATCTGGTAATATTTATAATGGTAATAATTAATTAAAATCTTTATAGATTATAATGATTTAATATTGAAGTCAATATATTAATATTGTCTATATGGAATAAGAGAATTCTAAACACAATAATCTCCAAAATAAAATATTTTAATAAATAAATTAACAGCTTCTTATATTGATTGCAATTTGTAAATGTTACCAAATATTTTCATATAATAGATAAGTAATATAAAATACATTAAAAGTTAGAAACTTTAATTTAATTAATTACTGATAATATTATGAAATTTCTATAATAAGATGAATTTTAGAAAGAAGGGAATGGATTATTATAGGAAATAAAAAATTAAAGTCGTCTTTTATAATCTTAATTATTTAATGGTGAAATTGATGATCAAATTACAGAAATATAAGAAACTGAAAGTGATGATATAAAATTTAAAACTTTATTTGATAAACTATGGAGACCTCTTTTAAGAATTATGAAATAGATTCTAAAAATAGCTAATAATTAATAATATACAAATTTATTAGAATATTTATAATCTTGGATCTAATTTAGTTTATAATAAGATTAAATTAGTAGTTTTTAATTGTTAATAAGATTTTTGGCTGCTTAATCTGCACCATTATCTTTAAAATATATTGAAACAGATAAATGGTTAATTGCATGTAAATTATTTGAAGAGATTCTTTATAGTAATGTAAATTTATTAACTGCAAAAACATGGAATCTTATTTTTTAAACATTATAAAGAATTGAATAAGTTGTCTCAAAATCTACAGAAATAAAAATGACTACTGAAATATTTAATCGAAGTTCTTAATATCATGATTCAACTGTTTATTAAATGGTTGATGGATTAAATTAATTAGCTCTTTAGGTTTCAGAAAGGCTTCAAATTAGTTAAAAGAAGAATTTTGATTCTATTTATAAATCATTTGCAATTGATAAATTATTGCTCATAATTAATAATAATTGGTCAAGAATAGATATGTTATGGACTATTGTAGATGCTTTATATTTATGTCTTTGTAGTTCAAAAGTAATGGAAATGAGATTAAATGCTATAAATACATATAAAGAAACTATATTTTCAGGTATTGAATATAGTAAAAATAATAAATTTAAATGGGGTGATAAATGGATTTAATAATTATTAAATCCATTATCTGAATTAATAATTCTACCATATGAAGATGTTACAGAAAATATTTTATCATTATTAACTATTTTAATAAAAGAACATGCTAAATATTTGCCTTAGGAAGCTTTTTCAGTTTTTGTTTAATTAATTGAAGTTGTTTTACATGATTTTTTAAGTAAAGACTAAATTCAATAAGAAATAAGTTAATAAGAACATAAATCTTTAATTTTCAGAACTTAATTATCAATTGAATGCATGTCTGATATTATATTCAATCATATAGATAATTTAGATAATACATCAATTTGTAAATTAGTTAAATTATTAGTTTCTTTAAATAAACAAGATGAATGTAAAGATATATATTAATTATATTAGTTAATTATGAAATAACAAATAAAATAATTTGTATGACTTGGTAAGTTTAAGAGAAACTTGTAAAATTAGATATAAAGGATTATGAATTGTGGTAAATTACTTTAAAACTATTTAAAAATTGTTTAGATAATCAAGATGATCTAAAATATGCATCAATACATATTTCAAGTTAAATATGCTCTATTTCTAAGGATTCTTAATTTACAGACTTATTTTCATTATTAGAAGAGTTAATTTAACATTCAATGGAATATTATCTTAAAGTTGAATAACATTAATTGTCTCTCATATAATAAACTCCTAGATTTACATAATTACCTATGGAAACTCCTAAATTTTAAGGATCAATTAAATAAATGATTTTTGATAAATCTACTTCATTATAATTGTTTAAACAATAATTTGAATTAGTAAAGTTATGCATTTCAAAAATAACAGATGTAATTATTCAAAAATAATAATATCCTAAATTTTATTATTATTTACAATTATTTAATTAAGCATAATGTGTTTATGTAAAACATGAAATAGTATTGGCATGTTAAAGAATAATATAATCAAATTAAGATAAATAATTATTAATAGGTTCTATTGATTTTTTAGTTACATTAATTAATTATGAATAAACATTGGATATGGAAGATATTTAATATTATTTGGAGAATAGAACTTTTTAAATCTTTTGTGATGTAATTAAATTGACTATACCAATAAATTATAAGAAAGGATTACATGCATTATAATTACTTTTTAATTTTTTATGTCAAGATCAAGTAATTCAACTTATAAATGATGATAATAATATATTCAAATATTATTACAAATAATGTGTTTCATTTGATATGCTTGAAGAGGAAATAATAGCTGAATGGCTTCATTTTATAAATTAATAAATATCTTAATTAGGTATAGTTGCAAAACATCACTACTTTATAGAATTTTTAATAAATAGTTTTGAAACAATAATTAGTAAAAGATAATTAAATTAAAATGATTTGAATGAATCAAATAAATTTGTTGGAGTTTTAAATGGTTTTTTAAATGTAAATATTAATTTATTAAATAGAAATGCTAAAGATTTATGAATGATAATTCTGAAAAATTATAATTAATTTTAATTACTAAATTAAAAAATATAATTACAATAATAATACCATTTTTAGATTATAATTCAATTCAATAATTATTTGAACCTCTTATATCAACATAATTAACAGGTATAAATTATAACAATATTTTATAGTATCTAATAAAAGAACATAAGATTGGATTTCTTTTTTTATAAATGATGCATAATATTTAAATATTGAATAATAAGATGTTGTTGTTTAATTGTTTACTAATTATTACATAAATAAATTAAATATATCAGAATTAGAAACAAAAGAAATAATAATTATTAGTTTAGTAGGATTTTTAGAGATGGATAATCCAATTGTAGAAAAATTTTCATTATCTATTCGAATTCCTCTTTTAAATAGTATTCATGAAAATTTAAAGGTTTTTTTAAATGAAGAAAATACTTCATATGAAAAACAATTTAATATTTAATTAATGTTGGATTATTTAAGTAGATTAGAAAAAAATGATTTGAAAGAATTTTATTTAACATTTGTGGAGATGATAAAATGTGAATAATTAGAAATTAGAACTAAATTAATAAAACTTCTTAGTAAATATTTTTGATTTTATGTTTATCTATCTATTATATTATTTATATAAATGTTAAACTATTATAAATAATCAATATTAAATCTATTTACATATATTCACGTATTTTTAAACAGCCTAAGAAAACTCTGCAAAACTTATCTTTTCATCTCCATTCTGATCAAATTGATTAAAGATCTCTTTACAATCACTTCTATCATAGTCTTCTCTACCTATAAATTTAAATAATTCATCTAGAGTTATACATCCATCCTTATTCTTATCCAATACATCAAATGCTACTCTTATTTTTTCTTTATTATTTAATAAATTAATATACCTTCGACATCTGATAATTTACATGTTGCAGCTACAAATTCACTAAAATCTAAAGAACCACTTTAATTAACATCTAAGAAATCGAATATTTTATCAACTTTATCATCTAATTAATTTTTTGAATATATTTATTGTAATGCACTTTTCAGTTCATCTTTTGAAATTGTTCCTAATTATCTCATATAATCATTAATACCATTATTATCCTTATCAATCTTACGGAATATACGATTCAATACTTTTTTATCATCCTTATGTACTAATTCTGTGGCAATAAATAATACTATTGCCTATAAAAATCTACTTTATTTTAAATTATTGTCCTAATCTTCAGTATAACCATTGAATTATATCATACTCTCCTTGAAATCTTATGAAGGTATTTATTCAGATGAATGACTAATACAATTAGATTATCTAACAATTATACCTTTCAAACCATGGATCTTCAAGAACCTATTATGCATTTGGTCTAAGTTCTGGATTTTTCTCCAACATTCTTTTCAATAAATCCTTAACAAGAGTACTGTATTATTTCCAAGATTAATATCTTTATTTAAATCAATTAAATACCTAAATTCTATACCCTGATTTTTTATATTAAATAAAATTTCATTTGAATCTGTCCCTTAAAATGGAGGATCATTACATAATAGTATATAAAGAACAACCCCACATGACCATATATCACATTTTTAATCATAAGATTCTTCCATTACTTCGGGGGCTACAAAATGAATTGTACCACATTTAAGACTTAATTTTTCATATTATTAAATCATTCCTGAGAAACCCCAATCAATTAATTTAATGGATGTAGTAACTTCATCATCAATTAAGATATTTTCAGGCTTTATATCTCTATGAACAATATTTTTCTTATGAGCAAAATTAATGGAACTGATTAATTACTTCATAATTTTAAGGACTTCAGCTTCCTTAAGAGGATAATGGTCTTCAATATATTGAGATAATGTTCCTCCTTCACATAGTTCCGAAATTATGTAAAATCTCTGATCATCTTCAAAACTATGGTAAAGCTTCAATATATTTGGATGATCTAATCTAAATTAAGAAAATGAGATACAGCTTAAGGTTTTGAAATTCTTTTCGAAAATTTTCATTTTTATCTTCGTTAATTTTCTTAATCACTTTCATAGCCCGAATCTCATTATTTAATTTGCATTTCACTTTAATTACACAACCCTATCCTCCTGCTCCAATACATTATTTATCTATTGGTTCATAAAGCTAATGGTAAGGTCCTTCCATTTATTAGATGAAATTGGAATAATCAATCCCAATTTTCTCATCTTGTTCATTAAATGAATAGGGGATATTCGATTCTTATACACAAACCCTTTTATAAGGTTACATATAATATTAATTAATATATTTTCATTATTCTCCAGAAACTGATTTCACTCAAAATACATTGTGTCTTTTTGGTTCCATTTAATTACATACTTTGAATATGATATGCTGAGTAAATTTTTAATTTAAGTCTTATCAATTATTAGAATTTATAAAGAATTCTTTATTGAACTAAATAAGAAATAATATCAAACCATTTTCTTCTATTTGATAGTAAAAAATCTTTCTATAATTAGGAAATAATTCATTTGAAAATAAATTATGCTATTTTTTATTTTGATGATAAATTTTTGGTTTAGTTTTAGACATAATAAGTTTGAATCTCGAGAGACAACCTTAAAATCAGAATATCTAATAATAATTATATCTTATTCTTTATTTAATTTAGACTCTAATTCTTTATAAACTATCTTCAATTTTTTAAATTTAAATTTTGGATTATGCTGGCTTTCATTATACTAATGATGAGGCATAAGTAATTTCCCAATATGAAAGATTTCTTTTGAAAAACCACTCTTATGTTACTTTCAGTAATTCAATATATCAAAAGTATCAAATATTATTATAAACCCTTATTAGTTAACTTAAGTATATTTTTCATTTCTGTAAATTATATCATGTGATCCTATTTGATTGAATATATTGAATAAACTATCCTTAATTTTTTCATCATAAAAGATAATATTGTAATACAGATATTCCATTTTTTTTTATAAATGGCTTATAAATAAGATTAAGTTTCTTCTAAGATCTCAATTGATTAAAACCACAAATTTTTAATTTAATTGCTGATTAGTAATGTATATGAAATAATTGTAATCTTTAATAAGTTTCTTAAAACTAAAGAGTCTTAAAATTACCAATTATAATCTTATTATTGATTTCCTGAAAGGGATAAATTGAGCAGCAGCCTCTTTTTTCTTTCGATCTTATACAATAAAATGTGAATATTATTAATAGATTTCAATAAATAATTATATTAGACTTAAAGAAAAAAACTTTTATTAATTAAAATTCTATTGATAAATTAATTTTTTATAATAATTAAGTTTTTAAAATCATAGAAAATGTAAATACATAATCTTGAAGAATATTTATATTTAATTACTAAAGAATAAATAGAAATGAATTGTTTAAAGTTGCATATTTAGATGGATATTTACCTATAGAAATTTTATTTATCATTTTATATTTATTATTTTGGTAATTGAGCATAATTTTATTTTATATCATTAATAAATATTTCTTAAATTTCATCATAATTTGTTTAAGAAAAGTAATCCCTTGATTGGTTGAGATTTAGAATTTAATAATTTCTAAAGTAATTAGAACTATTTGAAAGTGTTCTATAATGAAATTTAAATTTTTGAATTAAAATAAAATAATCAATATTAAATTATCCCATTATTTATTTTGATTCAAAAACAATTGTAGATTCAAACTAGTTGATTAGATTATTCTCAATTATTTCAACATAGAATAGACAAAAAATACTTCGATTAACTTATAATGAAGTATAATTTGAATACTAGTTATTAATTGAGTTTTTATTTAAATTTTTTTAAAAAATACATTTTTTTATGAAGGGTGGAAAACAATCAAAGAATAAGACAATTTGGGATTAAGTCAAAAATGAAGAAAAAGACTTCTATTTCAACTACCTTACTAAAAAATATAGAAATCTCTAAAAAAAACTTAAAGACATTGCTGATTTAGAAGAATTGTAAAAAACAAAAGAATTGAAACCTGAATAAATTTAGAAGATTCAAAACAAAGATGAGAATAATGAAAGAATTAAAGAATTAGAAGCCTAAGTCTCAAATTGGTTGTAAGCTAAGAAGGAAGCAGAATAAAGTGGTTCAATCATCACCTAAGAAGCTTTCATCCTTCTATTGGAGCATTTATCTGAGAATTAAGACACCCTAGAATTACTCTCTTAAGATCATTAATCTTTATATGAATTGGCTAAATAGCTTCAAATTAGAGTCAATAATCAATAAAAGAAAAAGGATCAATAATGGAAGGGTTTAAAAGTATTAATTAATAAATAATAAATATTAGTTAAAACACTCATAACCAGAAGTTCATCATCATGAAGAAACAACCTAATAAATCTAATAGTAACAATAAGAGATTACTTAATAACCTGATACAATAGAAACTCATAAAGAATAACCAGTCTAATAAGAATAATATGTTTTGATAAAATCTAGCCCAAAGAAAACATTTTAAGATGAAAATCGTTAATAAATTCATTAACCCATAGAATAGCTTACAAATTAACATAGTGAATAATAAGAATAATAATAAGAATAAAATCATCCATAATAAGAAGTCCCACAATAATAATAATAAGTAATAGAAGTAAAAGAGGAATAATAACATGATTAAAGGGGTAATCATTAACATCATAGAGATGGACATAAACATTATCATAATGATGATCAAAGAAAAGGATATAAAAAAAATTATCATAATGACAGACGAAATAACAATAATGGAGATAACAACAAATAATACAGAGGAAATAGATATCATAATAAAGAAAGACCATAAAGATAGGAATGGTAAGAAAAGAAGGATATCTAAGAAAATAATTAAAATAATGATAATTAAGATTAAAATAGCTCAGATGAGGAATACATCACCATCGAACGTAGGTTAATATATTATGTATATTTCTAGAACAAAAAAACCTTAGTAGAAACCAAGTCGAGGATCTAATCGACATCATTATGATAATAAAAATAGATAATAAAGAAATCCCAATGAAAATCAAGGAACTGTTGATGTCTAATAATGAGATTATATTTAAAAAATGTATAAAATAAAAAATATTCAACATAATTGTTTTCCAAACTCTATTCTTTAATTAATAATTTTATTTATCACTTATGTATATTCTGTACAAAGAATTTAGATTATATGTTATATTGTTTCTTTATTATTATTAAAATACTCTATTGTACTTTCTTAAGATCCTTTTAAATTTGTAATTTGTTTCAAAATTTCCTCTTCATTCAACTTTAACTAATTTAATTATTCTTATATAATTTCTACTACATTCAATTAAAATATTGTAGAATTAATAAATTATTATAATACTTTTGTAGTAATATAAATTAATTGCTATTATTATTTCATTTAAATATAACCTATTTTAATTAATTCTTGATTTGTACTTATCTAATCAGATAATTTTAATTATTCTAATTCTTAATTTAATTATTAATAATTTATTTCATATTATTATATAGTATTATTAAGTGTTATTATTTAAAACTCTAACATTTTCTTTTCTGTTCCAAATTTATTTTTATTTAATTGATTATCATTTTCAAGTCGCTAAATCATGATTTAATTATTTTATTAAGTCATTTATAATTGTTTAGTTAAACCTTAAACTTATTGTGATTAAGTCATAATATGTTCCATAATTTTTGTTTTTGCATCTTCAATATTATTAATTTCAGTTTTATCGTTTTAAAAAAACCCTGTTAATTAAAATATAAATTATTCAGAATTAGAATTTGATTATTAAGCTTCTATTTATTATTTTTAGTCTTAAATTATTTATTCTAATTTTTAAATCTTTTATGTAAATTAACAAACCATTTCCTAATAAGTATTAATTTACTCTTGTAATTCTGAATAACTTTTACTAAATTTGCTATGTTCACTTAAAACATCTTCTTTGAAAATAGTAATTTCTCTTTATAATCTGGTTCCAACAACTGATTTCATTTCTGTCAAACTTTTTTTAAATTCTTCAATTTAAACATGTTATTGTTTTCTAAATGAAAGTATTCTATTTTTTTTCATATCATCAAATTTAAGAGATTAGGAATTTAAAGGTAATTCTTCTTAATATGATCCTGAACATTTGGATTTACATTAATCAAACTCTTTACCAAATTCATCATCATTTTTACCTACATAACTCTAATTAGGTTACTTTTATCAAAATTTTCTGTTTTATTTATTTGTTATATTATTTCACTACAAGTTTCATTAAAATATTTACCATGTTCAATTGTTTTTGGAGATTAACAAACTTAATTTTTAATTTCTTCCTATAATTATATAATATTATTATTCATTTTTTAAAACTACATATCTTATTTGAAACTAGAATTAATACTATTCTCATCATTATTTTATTATTTTGGAGTAAAATTTATTTATTTTTAACTTGAAGTTTAGTCACTTGTCTGTAGTACTTCATTCATTTAATGTATCATTAGAATCACATCAGGATCTAAATCAAAATCAAACATACCATCATTATATTTTTTAATCATTTCCATCCACATTTAAATAAATTCTTAAATTTGATGCATTTAACATGATGAATTTTAATTCAATTTTGTTTAATTCAAATCTTATGATTCTTTTGATTTGATTGGTGTATGTAAATCAACATTATCCTAATATCTTTAATTTATTGTTACAGGTTTGAAAAAATCATCCTTTGAAATTTCAATATCCATCATTTTATAATATTTAATAAATATAGATAAATTATTAATATATTTATAATATGTAATATTTCATTAAGATCTTCTCTTTGTTATATCAGCTAATAAATTTTTATATTCATTAAAAGAATCATCAAATAATGCTTTAAGTTCTCCTTCTTAATTTATATAGAATTATTAAACTTATTATAAATCTGTTAATTTGAAATATTCTTTTTTTTAGTAGTTTTCATGGAATTTGATCAATTTTTCTGTTTAATTTTTAATTTTTTAGTTATTCGAATTATGAGAATTGTAATATTATTAAAATATTTTAAGACCCAATTATATATATAAAAGAGATCGATCTTATAATTTAAAAGATCCTTCAAGTTATGTTTAAATTGCTTTCTTTTTCTCTTCTTCATACTTAATTCTTAATTTTTCATATTCACCTTGTATATAAGAATTAATTGTTCTTAATTCTTCTCTTATTTCTTCTATTTTATTAGTTTTCTAATATATTTAATTTGCTTAATTAAATTATTAATTATATTTTGATTAAATTTCTTCAATCTTCTTTTATAAAATATCTGAATTATTATTATTTTTTACTTAATTTTCATATTCTTATTTTTATTATTTTAATTATTCTATGATTATTTCTTTTTAATTTAATTATTCTTTTAATTTCTTTATATCATCTTAAGTTTCTCCAGTAAAAGTTTAATTAATTTATTTAATTTATGATTTCATTTCCTCTAAATTATTATAATCTAATTTTTAAGTTGTTTAATTAATAGTCAAAGATGTTTTTTCTAATAGCATATTAATTTATGTAATCTTTGAACAAATATTACTATCATTATATGCAGTAAGGTTTAATAATTCTTATGCTTCATTATATTTATTATTTAAATCTTCTATTTCTTTATCTTTTTAATTTATTAATATTTAATGATTTTATTTTAACTATTCTATTTGTTTTTCTTTTTCAGTGTTATTTATTTTAGATTATGTAGCTAATAATTTTTAAAGAGCTTAAGAAAATTTATGAAATTAATTTTCTATAAATTCTTTTATTTTTTCTTTAACTCCTATTTCTATTTAATTTATTTTTAAAAAATAATCTTTGATCTTAGTTAAATATTATTTTAAAAGCTAATCAAATTTACTACCATCTCTAGCTATTGATTCAATTTATTAATATTATTCTAATTCTGAATTTAGCCTTTATTGAATTTCATGTTAAGTGTTTTAGTATTCCATTAAAGACTCAAAATATTAGGCGGTTTATTAGATTTAATTATGAAAAACTTATTAAACATAATGTTTCGCCCCCTCTTTTAATTCATTGAGTTCTGAGTTGAATTTATAAATTTTTTTTGCAATTGCTCTAAGCTTTATTAGTTAAGATTCTGTTAATTCTTCATTTATTCTAAAAAAATTTAAATACAGATATACCTATGCGATATAGGAGATTATTCCTCTTAACTCATGTGTTATTGTATTTATTTTTATTATTATTAATGATTATGCATTTAATAATATTCTGAAAATTATTCAGAGTGTCTAAATTATTCGGATACTCTTTACAAATCATATTAATCGTCTTCCTCTAAATATCTATTAAGAATATAATACAAGGAGACTGCAGGAATTCCTAATTAAAGAATGCTATTTATTTAGTCAAATCACTAACTTAATTAATATTTGTTAAAAAATTGTCTTAATTAGAGATTGAGGTCCCTTGATTACAATAGGATTCTTAAGAAACTGAATTACTGCTAATATCATTTTCTAAATTAATTTTAGAAGTTTTCGTTCTTTCCAATGAATTTTCAATTATATGCATTAAATTCTTTAAGTGTGTTTCTTCATTTTTACTCTAAGATTATAATCTAAAACTACATTTTCTCTCATTAACTCAGTACAAAGTGTTTTTGCTTAATTCAACTAAACAATTAGCCATTATATCAAATCTTCATTCTCTTTAGCTTATAGCATTTACTCCAGAAGCTCATTTTTCTAGTTGCCCTCTTAATTATTATTCAACTCTAAATTTTATGGACTATTAAGAATCTAATATTAACCTAAAATTTCATTCATATTTAGTTACCCTATTATTAATCCATTTTTTAATTTTTTTTAGGTTATGCCTAAATAACTTAGCCAAAATCAATAATCCAAAATCTCTAAAATCATTAATACCAACTGATATTTGCTATATTTCTCCTATCTGGCTCTTGAAAACATTCCAATACAAAACAAAAAATATCATCTTTTCTTTATAGAATATTGAATTATTTATTCTATTTATTTGTTCTATAATTAATTTTTTCAGAGCTACTATTACTCAACTTAGATAAAACATCTTTTAAAATAATTATTATTAAAAAAGGAGTATTATTTTAATCCAATAAATCAATTTGCTATTATTATTTTTGGATATTATAGATGCAATATGATAATTTATTTTAATAGCTCAATAAAAGTATTATATTTAATGAAACATATACAATTATAATCTTCATTTAATCATAATTTTAATTATTATATTCATTATTAAGATGAAGTTGATAAGAAATAATTAATGAAATGAAATAAATTTATTAGTATAAATAATTTTGTTGATCCTTAAATAATGAAAATTCTGTTATTTTGAGAACTGATTAAGCAGATTTATTAATAAAAAATATTTAAAGTTACTGAAATTTCTCTTTTTTAAGTATTTTAAAATATTTTTAATTTATTATACATGCTCCTTTTGATTATTATATGCTTAATAGAAACATGTTTAACTTAAAAAAAAGATAAATAATACATTGAAGTGACTGGATTATAAAATTTTGAGATTAAAGACTTTATCCCTAAGAATCTTTCTGAAAAATAAAAGGTTACGTTTACACTTACCTACGAAGATGGAGAGATTCCAATTTTTGTTATTTGTGATAATCAGCCACATTTTAATACATTGACAAATTACGAATCGATTTAAAAGTAATAGTATGAATATTTTAGTTAAAATTGTTTAAGTGACATAAATGCTTATGATTAGAAATCAGAAATACAATCAATTTCTTTAACAAAGAATGTTAAATCATAAGCTTTTTAAAAACATTTTAATATTTATTAAATAGATAATTAGAATATGTTTGTTGGAGCATACTCAAAAAAATAATCAACATTTTTAATGACTGCTATAATTCAATCATTATATAATTGTGGAAAGTATTTATTATAATTAAATTAGAGAATGTAAAAATGGAGGAAGTTGTTTTTATGGAATATGTGAATGTTAAGAAGGAACTTTTGGTGATGATTGCAGTATAATAGGTATAGATATTAAAGATCAACTAAAATTATCTCCAAATAAATTATATTATTTAAGCTTATATTCAACAGGAGCAACATTCTAAAGAATTTTATCAAATCAAATACCTTTAAAGTAATAATGTTATGCAGAGAAACCTTTTATAGATTAAGGTTCAATACTGATTACAAATCTACTTTAATTAAATTATGATTAAATTTAAAATTGTAGAAATCTTACAAAAACTCTCTAAGATGAAATTAAAATCAAATAGAATGCTTATATCACTTTTAAAATCTATAGCTAATATGATGTAAACATTCTTATTAACAGTGATTAAGATGATGGATTATCAAAAATGATGATGATAATTTTTATTCCACTTTGTATAGTATTCTTTTTCTTATTGGTTTGTTGTTGTGTAAAAATTTATTAAAAAAAACTACCATAAACATAAATTCATAAAAAAGTAGATTAAGATTTTGAGGCAAGCTTTGTAAATTTATATATGCCAACTCTTAAATTTTAATAAGTTAAAGAAATAATTTAAGATGATATAAATCAATAAGAAACTTATTGTTCAATTTGTTTAGAGAAATTCACTTTATAGAATAATGTTAAAGTGACTTATTGTAAACATATTTATCATTCTCAATGCTTATCAATATGGATAAAGAAAATCAAAGTATAATTTAATCTATATTTAGATATGTCCTTTATGTAGAGCACCTTTAGATGAAAAAACTCTGGCTTAATTGATGCCTTTAAGATCTTAGACATTGATAGATTAAATTTCTAGTAAATCTTAATCAAATAATAATAAATTGAAGATATTATCTTTGAATTCATTATCTAGTCTAAATGGAGCCAATACTTAAAATGCTTTTTAGCATCTGAATTATTAAAGAAGTTTAGTTTTAGTAGAATGATAAAATAAAATTTTGTAAGACACTTATAATATAAATCTTTTTTTTTCTAAATATAAATTTATAGGCTTTACTAATCCTATAATATTAAAACAAGTTATATAAAAAAATTCAAATTAAATGAAATCCAACTTCTGCAATGTATTATTATGAGTAGCGATCAACATTATTTCTCAAATCTTTGACTATTTAATTAAGTATCATAGAGTTTTCAATCTAAAATTAATAAATTTAAGCAAAAGACTCTTTTGCAATAGGAAATGGATTAGATTGAAAATGCTATTATTTAATTTACTATTTTCTATTTCTAAATTCAATTTCTTATTGTTATTCATGTTATAATTATTTAGATTGATTGTTCATAAAAACTAAGAAATCTAAAGGAGGTGTTTATTTATTCAATAAATATTAAGCAATTTAAGATAATTATGTAGAGAAATGCTTAGTATCTTGAATTTTTTGTTTGATTTCTATCATTTTTGTATGAACTAAATCGAATTATTCTTATAATTCAAATAGCCATTTATTTTATTCTTATAATTTAGATTTGAGTTCATTATTTTCAATAATAATTTATTATAGACTTGCTTCTAAATCTAGACTTTTTGTTTAATACTACTTATATGCATTTAATTCATTTTATAATTGGATTATTTACTGTTATAATGTTTATTCAGATTTCTGATATTGTCTTTTATTATTTTCTATTTCTCTTGACATTTATGATATTAATAATTGATTTTATTGTTAAATGATTTCTTTTTCTCTTTTTAATTAATTAAGAATTGATGAATTCATAGGTGAGATATCCATATTATCACTAATATTCATTTAAGAATGTTAAATTTATTGCACATAATCTTAAATATGAGTATTTTGAATATCCTCTGGTTAATATACTTAAAAAGCCTATGAATCTAAATATTATGAAGTAGCAACAGATTTTGGAACGAAAAAGCTTTGTTTGGTTGATTTTCTAGTTGGAACACAACTAAAATAACTCCTATCTATACTGCTGCTTTTATTGTTTGATTTTGTAAACATTTAGGACTAAAATGAAATATTTATTTACTAATTATTATGAATCTCTAACTTGAGGAGTCTGAGGAAATTTAATCATCATTCTACTTTAATGTTATTCAATTTTGAGGTTATTCTTTTAGATTAGTGCTCTTAATTGATCATCAGACATTGAATTAAATATATAATATTGTAATCAAATATAATTAATGTAGTATTAATTTAATTGTTCATAGAAAGTGATTATGATCAGATTTAATAATAAAAATATTTACACTCTTTTTAAAATTAATTTAATTATGTACTTTAGGGAAAGGAGAGCTTTATCTAATCAAAAATAATATTAAGGTTATGAGGATACCAAAATTTAATTAGACTTAATTGACAAATTCATAAATCCATCATATGAAAATCCAATTAGTCAACAACCTAGTCAGAAAAGTGGAATAAGACAATTAAATTAAATGGATAAATCTTATTAGATTCCTAAAGTAGTAGTATTTCCTGAAGAAAAATTAAATGAAGAAGTGGCTCAAATGTAATAAGCATTAGATAAATAAAGTCAAACTCTTAAACTACTTTTAAAAGAACAAAAAGAAGTAACATTATAAATGGATAATCAAGATTAATAGAACTCAAGTTTTAAAGTCAAAACTTGATTATCTAAAAACTCAAGTGTAAACCCTTCATCTTAAGTTGCCTTAGCTACCCCAATATGAATAATTTTATGAAATTAAACATGAAATCAACTCTTTGCGATATTCATTTTTTAACAAAGTTCATTAACCACAACAACCCTTTATATAACCACCTTAGATCATATATTAATAGTTGCCTTAACCTTTTTCGTAACAATACTTTTAATAAGCATATCTTCCTTTTAATTAATAATAATCACACTTTGGATCTTAAAGAGACTATCATCCTTTTCAACATTTAATAAATCCTTATTAGAATCCATATAACCCTAAATCATAAAGAGTTAAATCTAACACTAAAGACAAATACTCAAACTCAAAAGGTAAAGCATAAAAAAAAACTTAAACCAAAAATTAAAATTCTGTTTCAAAGGCTTTTCATTCAGAAAGAAGTAGTCGTCAATCCATTCCTTTAATTTCTAAAGGATTGAATTAAAAAACTAAATAAAGCTTTTTCATGGATGTATTATTAAAATTATATTTGATAGAATGCGGGCTTTCAAGTATAATAAAAAATACAAAAGTATAAATTAAAAAATATATTCAATTTTGTGAGATATGCAATGAGGTGGAAAATCTATTGTAGACCCAATAAAATGTTATGGAGAAAATTATATAGACATTCAGTTGAATGTAAAGCTATTCTCTTAAAAACATCATATCCAGTAGCATTAAAACGAATAAGGGATTGGTGTAAAATGGTATTGGCTAAAGTAGAAAATTATTTAAGCAAAATTAAAGAAATCGATTTTATAGTAATTAATATATCATTATCTTAGAATCCAGAAAAAATACTGACAGATAAAGAAATTGATTAATCATTTATGTAACTTACTATTTCAACAAAGTATTTAATAACAAGTCTACTTACATATTGCACAAGTGATTTTATTATTCCAGAACTTAAATTTTTATCCTATTTATAGTTTTTTGATGAACCAAATATTGATAGAGGCCTATTTATATCCAAACGGGTATTATTTTGGAAGGAAAATCAATTGGATATGACTAAAACTCAATAATAAATGATTATTGGCGATCTAGTTATAATTGTACATATTTTACCAGCCTTAATGGATATTTCAGGATCATATTTTCTTATTAAATGCATGGTATCATTAATTTAAATTCATTTTATGAAATAATTTGACCTTTAAATTATAAATCCCAATCCAAGTTATAGATTAATTTAATTAAATGTAAAAGAATATGTCAATGGAAAATTATCATTGAAATTATAAAAAGTTGAGAATTTTGATGATGATAGATATATAATTGGAGTATATGAAGAATAATAATTTCAATAATTTTTCTAAAAAAGGCCCTACTTTTAAGACGATATGTAAAACACTCTTACTGAAATACATACTAACTTATTATAAGCATTAATTTCAAAATGAATTATAATTATTTTTATTTTATACTGTTAAAGTTTATGTTAAGATTAAATAAAATCTTTATCCATATATATTTATTTAAATCTCATCTGAGCTTCTTAAAAAGAAATACTGTTTTTATAAGATAAATAATCAATAATAAAAAGTGTATTTATTTAATGCTAAAATCTAAGTTAATTATTCTAGTAATTTTCCCTTATTTTAATTCCTAACAATATTTATATATCAAGATATGACTAACGTGATGAAATTTAACATTTTGATTTTATTCTATTATTATATTAATTCAAGAGAAATTATAATAATAAATGAAGAAGATAGATGAATTTAGGAAATTATATAAATCTTGTTTATCTAATAAAAGTAAATTTATATTTATAGTGGAAATTATAAATATCTTTAAAATTATTAAATAAATTTTAAGACAATAAAATAAAAAAATAGATGTAAATTAATGGAATTACAAATTCATCTGACTTAACAACCTTTAATGATACCAAATATAAAATAATTTGAGTAATTAATAATGATCGATTATTTATGAATTAAAATTAATAAATTTATATATTCAAATTAGAGAAATTAATTAAATATTTTCAAATATCAAACATATTCAAATGATAATCTTCTTTTACAATCACTCTCATAAAATTATTCATTATATGAGATTCTTTAAAAGTAATAAATTATAGGGATCAAATTATTACTTTAAGATTTGAAGAATGATAATTCATTTATATATATATTTTAATGATTAATATATTTTTAAATTCATTTTGGTGGGCTTACTGGTTGACGATAAATACGATTATATTGTTCTTTAGGTAGAGTATGATAATCTAAAATTTATTTCTTAATTAATGAGGTATTTAAGTTTTGTGATACATAAGATGCATCAATTGAAGACATTTATATTGAATTATTTGCCTTTAGTTTTCTCTTTTAAAATTCATTATCATTTCGCTTTTTTATTTTTTCTTCCTTCTCAACTTATGAAATCCTAATACAATAAATGTGGTTTTTTACTCTTTTTTTTCTTTGACAATAATAAGAGCCCTTTATGTTTCTTATTCTAATTTTAATTTTTCCTGCTTTTTTTATTCTGCTAATTCTTTTTTGACTTATTCCATCTCCAATTCTCTTTACTTTTTCTTTAAGTAATTCTCTTTTTAAATCAGTAATAGTCTTTCATCTTCGATTGGCTTCAACCCATTTTAAGCTTTTTAGTTCTTAATGAGGAGTTATCTTTTTGCCTTCTTTACAATCATCTGTGGATCATCAATAATTTTATCTTTCTTTAATTCTTCAGGTAAAAACCTAGTATCAGGAGGAGGGTTGGCAGGTTATAGTTTTTACATTCTATCAACTAATTTTTGCATTCTTGTAAAATCGTACATTTATATATTTAATATAATTTATTTATTAATCTAATATTGCAAATAAAATTATAAATATAAACCAAAAATATTCTAACAAACTAAAATTTTCATAATTAAGTTTACACTTGCAAAGAGAGTTTCTAAAATATACAACTAAATTTTTTATAATATTATTGATTAATATATTAATCGAATATGGCATCAGCTGCTAAAGAAAAGAGAATTAAAAAAAAAGAAAAAGAGGAACAAATATAAAGTAAATCATAAGGAAATTTTCACAATTTAGAATTATTATGTAAAGCAGATGACAAATAAAAAAAAACACTGTAAAAAATAATCAAATAAAAACCTGATCTTGCAAAAAGCTTAAATATTTATGCAGATGGAGTCAAATATTATATAGCACGTTAGTAATAGAGAGATAAATTACTAGCTGGAAAAGAATCTCCTTTAGCTGATGTTACAGAGGAGTAAGTATTAATACCTGTTTTACCCTCTATTTCAAATCGTTAAATACTTAGATAATTTAAACAAGACCCATTAAATCAAAAAAAACTATCAGAAAGCTTAGAAAAAGCAAATAAAAGATAGTATCATTAGAATAATTACACCCCTTTTGCAAATCGATAAAAAGTTAACATAATTTAATCTTAAAATCCTCCCTTAAAAATAAACAGAGAAAAAGAGTTGCCAAAACTAAAAGTAAAGAAATAAAATCTTACATAGTTTAATTATTATATAGGACCTGGAAATAATGGGGAATTAGTAAAACGTATTTTATAGAAAAGAGAATAATTTTGGAGTGCTGTACCATAATAATTTCAATATAAGCATTTTATATGGTAATAATCCTACTTTGGTATGGATTTTAGTAGACTATCAGCTTCTGATAGCTTATTCACAAGAATGATGTATAACTTTTTTGAGTTCCACAAAAATATCACATCTAAATCTGGTATAAAAATATATTCATAAACATAGGTTTATCAATATCTTTACTGTAATACTATAATAATATAGAAAAAACATTTGATATCATTCCATTAGTGTTTATATTAAATTTTAAGAATTCAGATTGGATGAAAGATGTACAATAATTTACTGAATTTTATTGTAATAATAATCCATTACCTTAAACATCAATGAAAATTAATTTAGATTTTGATTTTTATGTATCCAATCTTCCTGCAAATAAAGTAAATTATAATGGAATCAAAACCTATAAAATGCAAGAAACTTTAACAAATAAGACTCAATATTTATGGTTACTTAAGCCTGCAGATTGGAATAGAGGAGAAGGAGTCCATGTTTTTAATACATTAGAGGAAGTTGAAACATTAATCAAATCATATTATTATGGAAAGGGTAATTATGAATGCAAAGAATTTGTGATATAGAAATATATTGAAAGACCTTTGTTATTGGGAGGAAGGAAATTTGATATAAGATGTTGGGTATTGATAACTCATGAAATGCATTACTTTATATTTAAAGAAGCATATATAAGAACAAGTGGAACAACATTTTCTTTAGAGAATGTATAATTAAATTATAACATATTAGAAAGATAGATATATTCATTTGACAAACAATGCTGTTTAAAAAAATGCTTAAAATTATGGATAATTTGAAGATGGAAATTAATTATCCTTAAAACGATTTTAGAAACAATTAGAGTAAGATATAGATGACAATAAATAGTTAATAAGAAACTAAATATGATTTTAGAAAGGATGGATGGCCTAAGATAAAGGAGATTGTGAAACTTACTTTGAATTCAACTAAATTAAATAAGAGAAATAGAAAATATGGGATGCAAATATTGGGTTATGATTTTATGATTGATGAAAACTTAAAGTTATGGCTCATTGAGGTTAATGCTAATCCTTGTATTGAGGAAAGTTCAAATTTATTGAAAATGTTGATTCCAAGAATGTTAGATGATGCTTTTAGACTTACTATAGATAAGGTTTTTACTTCAGATGTAGATTTTGGGATACAATAACCAAAATTTAAAGTAGATGAATATGATGATTAAGAGAATATGTGGGAATAATTAGGAGTTTGTGGATGAATAAATTAGCTAAAATAAGTTCATTTATATGATTATAATATATATAAAGATTTAAATAAATATTTAAATTTAATATGGATTAATAATAAACAGAGTAAGACAAACTTGAATCAATAGCTACTCCAGGAGTGTTAGATAAATATTAAAATGCTGGTAAAATTGTAAATGGTAAATTTTTTAATTGATTATTAAATAGTTGTACTGGAAAAAGTGATCACTAAATTATAGCCAGAAGCTGATATTGCTACTATTTGTGCATTTGGTGACTCAGAAATTAATGGAGAATTACAAAAAGTTTATAACAAGAAAGGAATTGAAAAAGGTTTAGCATTCCCAACAACAATTTCTGTAAATTAAATTTGCGGTCATTATTCTCCATTAAAGAGTGAATCAAGTAAACTCGTTAAGGGTGATGTAGCCAAAATGTAAATGTTAATAATAATGTCCTAGTGAATTAGGAGTTCATATTGATGGATATATTGCCATTGCAGCACACACAGTAGTAGTAGGTGAAGATTAAGTAGAAGGATAAAAGGCAGATGTCATATTGGCAGCCTATTAATCAGTCTAAGCTTTATTCAGATCAATAAAACCAGGAGTCACAAATACATCTTTAACTAAAATTATTTAATAAATATCAGATGATCACAAATGTACACCATTAGAGGGTGTTTTGAGTCATGAAGTTAAGAGACATTTTATTGATGGAAATAAAGTCATTATCAATAGAGAAACACAAGAATAAAGAGTAGATGAGGAAGAAATCTAAGTTAATGATGTTATTGTTTTAGATGTCTATATTACAACAGGAGATGGAAAAACAAAAGAAGTATTAAATAATTTAATTAAATTAGTCTGAATTAAGAACTACTGTTTACAAAAGAGCTTTGGATAGATAATATCAATTAAAAACTAAACATGGAAGAGCCTTCATGTAAGAAGTCTATGATAAATACCCATCTTTATGTTTCTCATTAAGATCATTTGAAGATGAAATTACTGCTAAATTGGCTGTTTAAGAATGTGCTAAACATGAATTATTAAACCCATATCCAATTTTAATCAGTCCAAATAGTATTGTAGCATAATTCACAATGACTGTTGCTGTCTTAGCTAATAGCACTCTTTAAGTTTCTGGACTTAAATTAGATGAAACCAAATTTAAACCTGCTCATGATATTAATGATGCAGCACTCAAAGATTTATTGAAAGTATATTATACAATTCTAATGTTTCTAGTTACCTATGGACAAGGAATCACAAAAAAAAAGACATTTAGAGTCAAAATAAAAAGCTTGATAATATATATCAATTGGAGNGCCAGAAGCTGATATTGCTACTATTTGTGCATTTGGTGACTCAGAAATTAATGGAGAATTACAAAAAGTTTATAACAAGAAAGGAATTGAAAAAGGTTTAGCATTCCCAACAACAATTTCTGTAAATTAAATTTGCGGTCATTATTCTCCATTAAAGAGTGAATCAAGTAAACTCGTTAAGGGTGATGTAGCCAAAATGTAAATGTTAATAATAATGTCCTAGTGAATTAGGAGTTCATATTGATGGATATATTGCCATTGCAGCACACACAGTAGTAGTAGGTGAAGATTAAGTAGAAGGATAAAAGGCAGATGTTATATTGGCAGCCTATTAATCAGTCTAAGCTTTATTCAGATCAATAAAACCAGGAGTCACAAATACATCTTTAACTAAAATTATTTAATAAATATCAGATGATCACAAATGTACACCATTAGAGGGTGTTTTGAGTCATGAAGTTAAGAGACATTTTATTGATGGAAATAAAGTCATTATCAATAGAGAAACACAAGAATAAAGAGTAGATGAGGAAGAAATCTAAGTTAATGATGTTATTGTTTTAGATGTCTATATTACAACAGGAGATGGAAAAACAAAAGAAGTATTAAATAATTTAATTAAATTAGTCTGAATTAAGAACTACTGTTTACAAAAGAGCTTTGGATAGATAATATCAATTAAAAACTAAACATGGAAGAGCCTTCATGTAAGAAGTCTATGATAAATACCCATCTTTATGTTTCTCATTAAGATCATTTGAAGATGAAATTACTGCTAAATTGGCTGTTTAAGAATGTGCTAAACATGAATTATTAAACCCATATCCAGTTTTAATCAGTCCAAATAGTATTGTAGCATAATTCACAATGACTGTTGCTGTCTTAGCTAATAGCACTCTTTAAGTTTCTGGACTTAAATTAGATGAAACCAAATTTAAACCTGCTCATGATATTAATGATGCAGCACTCAAAGATTTATTGAAAGTATATTATACAATTCTAATGTTTCTAGTTACCTATGGACAAGGAATCACAAAAAAAAAGACATTTAGAGTCAAAATAAAAAGCTTGATAATATATATCAATTGGAGTAATATAGGTATATTAGTAATATANGCCAGAAGCTGATATTGCTACTATTTGTGCATTTGGTGACTCAGAAATTAATGGAGAATTACAAAAAGTTTATAACAAGAAAGGAATTGAAAAAGGTTTAGCATTCCCAACAACAATTTCTGTAAATTAAATTTGCGGTCATTATTCTCCATTAAAGAGTGAATCAAGTAAACTCGTTAAGGGTGATGTAGCCAAAATGTAAATGTTAATAATAATGTCCTAGTGAATTAGGAGTTCATATTGATGGATATATTGCCATTGCAGCACACACAGTAGTAGTAGGTGAAGATTAAGTAGAAGGATAAAAGGCAGATGTCATATTGGCAGCCTATTAATCAGTCTAAGCTTTATTCAGATCAATAAAACCAGGAGTCACAAATACATCTTTAACTAAAATTATTTAATAAATATCAGATGATCACAAATGTACACCATTAGAGGGTGTTTTGAGTCATGAAGTTAAGAGACATTTTATTGATGGAAATAAAGTCATTATCAATAGAGAAACACAAGAATAAAGAGTAGATGAGGAAGAAATCTAAGTTAATGATGTTATTGTTTTAGATGTCTATATTACAACAGGAGATGGAAAAACAAAAGAAGTATTAAATAATTTAATTACATTAGTCTGAATTAAGAACTACTGTTTACAAAAGAGCTTTGGATAGATAATATCAATTAAAGACTAAACATGGAAGAGCATTCATGTAAGAAGTCTATGATAAATACCCATCTTTATGTTTCTCATTAAGATCATTTGAAGATGAAATTACTGCTAAATTGGCTGTTTAAGAATGTGCTAAACATGAATTATTAAACCCATATCCAATTTTAATCAGTCCAAATAGTATTGTAGCATAATTCACAATGACTGTTGCTGTCTTAGCTAATAGCACTCTTTAAGTTTCTGGACTTAAATTAGATGAAACCAAATTTAAACCTGCTCATGATATTAATGATGCAGCACTCAAAGATTTATTGAAAGTATATTATACAATTCTAATGTTTCTAGTTACCTATGGACAAGGAATCACAAAAAAAAAGACATTTAGAGTCAAAATAAAAAGCTTGATAATATATATCAATTGGAGTAATATAGGTATATTAGTAATATATTATCTCATATTTAATTCATATATATTATTCAAAATCCTATTTCTTCGTTTACTTTTTTTAAGATCTCATGTTCATAGTTACAATAAAAGTCATATTAATATATTAAATGAGGAATTGATGGTTTATATTACTATGGTACAACTTTTATCAACTCAAAGAGCATTTTAGCATTCTCTTTTATTGAACAACATAAAATCTTAGCATCTTCCTTCTTTATATAATTTATTGTCTGAGCATATTTACTCCACACTTCTTCGGTTATAAATGGAGGATCAATTAAAATTATATCAAAAGTATTTTTGAATTATTCTAAACCTTCTATAGGCTTGTTGAAATCATAAAAAACAAATCCTTTCTCTTTATTTAGTTTTAAATCAAATTCAAAAAGTGATGAATTCCCTTTAACTTCTTGATTCTTTAAACTACAATAAATTGATGGAGTTGATAAGAAGGCTATCTTTTATCCATTCTAATAAATTGACTCAAGATGATCAACTAAGAATTCAATTGTTTATTCTGAAAACCAATACTAGTTTAAAGTACTATCTTCTGCTTTTTTGGCTAAAAATAAATTTTTCTTTTTCATTTTTTTAATTCAAATGTTAATATAATACAAAAACAATATTTATCATCAAAAATCATTATTATTCATTCTCATTATTTTCTTCATCAATTTATTCACTTAATTGATCCTAATTATCTTAAATATTCTCATTATTATTATTATTATTCTCTTCATCTTTTTATTCTTCTTCTGAATTTTCAAAATATAATATTTCCCGCAATTCATCATCTTCCTCTCCTTAATCCAATAGATTCTCTTATTAAATAGCATTTTCTTAAGAAGATTACTATAATTGAACATCTAATTATAATAAGTTATTCTCATACTTTCGAGAGATTAAGCAATTTCCTAAAAGTCAATTGCTTATAAAGTCATTATAATATCATCTTTTGTTACTTATATTCTTTTTTTTTTCATTTTTTTTCTTTCTAGTGTCTTCTTTCATCACTGTTATCCTGTAATTATTAATTTTTTTGATACATATGACTCAAATAAAATACGAAAAGACTTAAACATCTATTAAATTTATCTCGAAATGCTTTTTATGTTGTTATATTATCATCAAGTACCTTTTTGATAAACTCACCGATTTATTTTTATTAAAATAAAGGAAAATTAGAAATTTCATTATCATCTTCTATTACTTATAAATTATCTAAAATTTCTTCATCCATTAGAATAAAAAAAATAAATAAAATAGATTATTCAATAATTAATATTATTAATTTGTTATTTGATTGTCTCACTTGTCTAAGTAAAGTTATTAAGATCATATCCATTAAATTATGCTTCAGATTAATAAATTAATACTTTATATTGAATTTCTTCTGAGCATTAGAGCATTTTGTTAGATTAACTCTCCATTCTCTTCATTTTCAATGGATATTTATCTAGCATCAAAATTATCTTCAGATTGCTACAAAATCAATTTATAGTTTCTTTACATGAGGAATAAAAGGAGCCTTTAACTCTTTATTATACAGTTTTTGCCATGGAAAATTTTTGAACCATGAATGCTGTCTTAATTCTTAAGCTCCATTAAATCCTAAACGATTAGAAGGTTTCCTTTAAATAAGCTATATTATATTAGGATTCTTACACGATTAATGAAGTCAGCTGATTCTAAAGACCAATTTTCAGGGATTTCTGATCTTTTTATTTAAACTTACTTAGCTAAAATCTAATCTCTGATTTCTTTTCTAGATCTTCCTGTATATGGTCTCTAAATATTTAAAAATATTAATTATTTACTTTTCCTAACATAAATTCATATCCAATAACACCAAGAGCAAAGTAATCAACAGAAAATGAATGATTCTATCGACACATCACCTCAGGTGCCATATAACCAGGCGTACCACTTGTATCTTAAGCATTATCAGGTCTAAGTACTCTAGCAATGCCCAAATCTGTAATTCTAATATAACCTATTTATATTATAAAGATTTACCCTTTTTATCAAGTACTAAATTTTCAGGTTTAATATCCCTATGAAGAATATTTTAGGAATGCATGTATTCTAATCCTAAAAATATGCAAGCCATAAAAAATCCTCTTTATTATAACAAATTATATACTTGTTTAATCTTCACTAAATCTACGCATTCTTCCAATGTGATATCTTAAATCCCCTCCCTACATATAATCTAAAGCTAAAAATAAATTTTCTCTATCTTAAAATGCATAATAGATATTAACCAAATAGCTTTAATTAATGAATAATACAATACGGATGTTTGAGGTTACTCAAAATGTTCTTTTCATTCATAACTGAATTAACACTTTTTTTTGCAATAATTCTCATAATAATAAATTAAAATATTACAATGCTTTTGACATTTCTTTAAGAGCATAGGTTTAACCAGTCTTTTTTTATTCTACTTTCCAAACTTTGCCAAATCCACCAACACCAATTACATAAAGAAAATTAAACATATTTCTTTAAATTTAAAGATCATTAGTAAAATAGTTATTTTATTATTGTAATTTTTATTGATGTTAAGTAATTTGTTTATCTTATTCTTCATCTTCTTTTTTAAACATCAAATAATTCAAAAATGAAGTCTATTATGTTTATTTTGTCTTAGATATAGAAGATTTTTTTGAATGATTTGCAGATGTGGATTAACTTGATTAAACTGAAAATTTCTGCATTCCATGAAATAATGGTGAAGGGGAATGATCATTTTAGTTAATCCTACTCCAATTAAACTGTTAGAAAAATACCGATTATTATGAATTATCTATGTTTCCTGATTCCCTTAATTAATTGCTAATTTTTCTTCTCTTTTTCCTTAACCTGAATCCTATCTAGAATGAGGTATTCTATAATTCAAACCATACATAACAATTATTTAAATATTTTATATAGTAAATTTATAATAATTATAAAAAGAATTCATTATTCAAATAATTGACTTATTATTATTATCACTATAATTTTATTAATGAATCGAGAACTTGAGGAAACTTCTTAAAACCAAGAAAATAAAAATTCAAAAGAAGAAGATGAAAAGAAGTTCAAATTACTTAAACAGCATTTTAGAGCTTAATTCAAAGAATCATATAAATATATAGGTAAAGTAATAAATAAGTATATTAGGTTTTAATTTACTATTCAGTTTTGGAAAGTATTTAGTTTGCTTTTATAGTTTGTAATAACGTGATTAACAATGTGATGTTAATCCATTATTTGTTTGGTTGACTATAGTTGGTATGTATGAATTTTTCAATTCAATCAGGTATTTTATTCCATAAATGTTCTAGGTATTTGGCTGTGCTCTATTCATTATAAATGAATTCCAAAGATATCTTTTTATTGGTCATGGCAGAAATGTTGACAAAAGATTCAAATGAATAAATGAATCTTTAAGGAATGGAAGAAAAGAATAAGTAAAAAAATAATTCTAAATTAAAACTTTAGACGAAACCAAATTAAAACTCTGATCAAAATGAAATTATCAACAAGAGACATAAGAGAAGAAGAATTAATAGCTGAACCCCCATTTACTCAATATGAAATTATACATTAAGCTGAAGCATTAAATAAATACACTCGTCTTATGAAAGTCTACAATTAATTCATTTTCTACCTTATTTTTACAGGAGGTAACATAGCTTACTTCTAATCAGATTCAAATGATTGTGATGATAGTAACTATTTTAATTAATTTTATACTAGGTTTAAATAATGTTACTTTTGTACTATTATTGATAGGGTATTTGTTTTCTGCATTTCTGATTATTGGATTTGGATTAGCCATTATATCTATGGCATTATATATGCCTATTATACTCTTCCTATTTATATTTAAAACTATAGGTAAAATTTATAAGAGAATTCAAACTAAAGTAATTATTCTTATTATATTTTTAGAGTAAATTCAAAAAGATGAATAAGTTTGAATTCAAAAATGCTCCTGAATTCTCCTCCATTTAATAATAATGCAATATTTGTATGTGTGATTATGAAGATAATGATTTAATTGTATAATTGCCTTGCAGTATTAAGTAAATTCTTAATATTAAATTATAGACATCATTTCCATGATCATTGTCTTCAATAATGGGTTATAATAAAATAATAATGCCCTGTTTGTCGTAAATTAATTTGAAAATATATTTACACATCTATAATTTAAACTATAAAATAAAGAAGTTTCATATTATTCATTTCCAAACCACTATAGTGATTTATCCCTTTATTGCCTACAAATAATATCCTTCTTCATGTGTAACAAAAATTCCAAAATTTTTCCCAACAACACAATGCCAAGGACCTGTATATCTTTTATCCAATCTATTATTTGTAATAAATATTTACTCTCTCTTAATGTAATATGCAATATCTCTTTCATTACTATGTTTTTTAAGGTTTTCAAGAATTATATATTGAGCATCTTTTAATAAATCACTTGACATGTCACATAATTTAACATTTATTTATTAGGCTGTGTCTGCCATCTAAATCTAATAATTTATATTAAAAATATATTATATTAATTATTAACTGCCACATGAAACCCAATGACCTACTCCAAGAATTTACTGATTTTAGACGAAAACTAAAAGCTGATATTTAAAAAACTGAATTTTCTAAAAGTCCATCAAAAAATTATACTAAAACATAGAGTTCACCTTAAAAGCCAAATTCAGGTTTCAAATAAAAAATTAATTTCTCAAAACATAGAAGTCAATTACAGGAGAGATGTAATACAATTTCATCAACATAAAATTAAAACTATTATTCATAGATTTACAATCCTTAATTCTAATGTATAACACATGAAAAATTTAATTCTCAGCAACAAAATATGTAATCACTAAAATCATCCAAATTTACTAATAAGAAAAAATAGAATATAACTGATAGAATATTGAGTTACACATAATTAAATAATTTTTGCTTTACACTTTAATAGATTTAAGATGAAGATATTAAAGAATTACCAAATGAATATAAACAGCTTTTAATATAATTAGCATAATTAATATAGGAAAAAATTGGAGTAAATGATTTCTGAATGAAATATTGGTTACTAACACTATTTGACCATATATTATATAAATACTTGAATATAAAGATTAAACAAGTTTATATGTAAAAATCATTGTTCATGCAATTAATCTTAGCATTTTTGATTAAATTACTTGAATGTATCGATTTTGTTTACATCATAAAAAGGTGACTCTAAAAGGATTTCATTTATATTCTCTTTATTTTCTTCTTCCATTTTTATCGATTTACTTATTTATAAATTGTGTTTTTAAGCAAGATTAATTTATGAATGAGCTTCTACTGTGTCTTATTGTTTAAAATCAAAACTCTTTTCATCAATTAGAGGAAATCTAAATTTTATTTTTTAATCTTTAAAAGCAAATATTGCACTTTTATTATAAGGTGTGTTCTTGTATCCATACTTTTAAACATGATTAATTTATTTTTATTTTTCTTTAGAACATTCAATAGATGATTATTATTAAACTCTATGAAACTCTAATTCCATTTAATTCGAAGTCATATTTTTATAATAAAATTATTTATTTAAATGTTGAAAAATATTAATCTTAAATGAATATTATTTTTATTCTAAATAATTTAATATCTATTATGTTTGCTCAATTTTTAAATTATATGAAGAAAAAAAACAAAAATATTTCTAAATTATTATCATTAGAAATATAAAATTATAAAACAATTGATCTAAATCAAAATTCAAATGTAGAATAGATATTCATTAACATAAAGATCAAATCAATAGTAAAATACAATTTATTTTATTTGTTTTCTATATTAATCAATATTAATATAAAATGTAATCATAAGAAAATTGGTTAGATAACTCTATAGAACCATTTCAAAAGTTTTAATAAGTAAAATTTAGATTAATCTTAAGGCACATTCTAATTCGATTGAATGTTTGTAATTTAATCCTTCAAATCAATCAGAATTGGCTACAGGTTCTCATGATAAATTAATTAAAATTTGGGATGTTACAAAGTAAAAAGAAACAGCTAAATTTTCAGGACATAAGTATTAATAATTTATTTCTTTATAGAGAAGGAATTTGGTCACTTAGTTATTCACTTGATGGAAAATAAATTTTTAGCGGATCTCCTGATAAATCAATTTTAGTATGGGATGCTAAAAGTGGAAAGAATGTTTAAGCTTTAAAAGAACATAAAAATAGAGTATGATATCAATTAAATAATTAGATATACTGGATACAAGTGAGTGATAATGGATTATATCTAGCAAGTGGAGGATAAGATGGGCATTTAATACTTTGGGATTTACGTAAGTTGAAACTTATTAAAGACCTTTAAAGTAATCTAATCTATATTAAATTATAGTATCCATGGATATTGTTTACAATATAAATTTCAGTCAATAAAGTAAATATTTTTTCACTGGAGACTCAATGGGAGTTATCAAAGCTTATGATAGTTAAAAAATTGAAGAAATTTCTAATACAAAACCTGCATAAAAGAATAAATGTTATGCAATTTAGTCATTAAAAATGTCAGAAGATAACTATAAATTATTTGTAGCATCAAAGGTATATTATTATAATATTTTACAAGAATTAAAGTATTAGTGAGTATAATTTTGATGGTAAAAAAAAGGAATTAACTAAAATTAACTAATCTGCAGTTCATTGTGATAGTGTATGAAAATTTTATTATAAAAATAGGTTCATTGTATAAATTTTGATAAAGATAAAAGTAGATTTGGTACTGGAGCAAGAGATGGAGCTGCAAGGATTTGGTAAACTGAAAGGAAAGGAGTAATTTATACTCCCTTGTATAATTTGATTGGTCATAAATAGAGAGTTACAGCAATTGAATTTCATGGAACTGGGAAAATTATTGCTACTTGCAGTTGGGATTAAAATATCCATTTATATAAAATATGAACATATTTAAAGAGCATTTTGTTCTATTTAATTAATTATAAATTTAATAATAATACTATGTCGAACATAATTTGTCATCTAAATTTGTAGGAAAAATGAACTTCTTAAAAATATACTTGAGATCAATTAAATTCTTAAAATGTTGATGAAATGACTAGAAATTGAAATTAAATTTAAGAATATCTAAAAATACAGATGTTTAAGAGTGTTATTAATTTATATAAACAACAATGTTATGAAGGTTAATGATTAATATATATTGAAAATTAATTTAATTGCTATATATATATTTACTTTTATTTATACTCTCATCTGATTGTATACAAATGATCTGTTTAAATGTTATGGAAGATAATTGAAAAAATATATAATTCTGATTATAATATATATTTATAATTTTGATATCTTCATCAATTTTAAATAACATTTAAATATATGATGGGGTATTCAAAAGAATTGAATATAAGATAATTATTTGGATGATAGTTATTAAACGTATAATAGTAACAATAAGTTTCTAATTTTCAGTCATATATAAGCTAATTAAAGCTAGGAATTATAAAAAATAATTAATTTTATTCAAAAAAAATAGCTGAGAATGAGTTACCAACTTTAACCAAAGCCTCTCTAATTATGTAATTATATGCAATTAATTTTTATAGTTTATTATTTACCTTACATTCATCAACTAGCTATACCAATGGTACCTTAATATCCAATCTGCAATTTTCCATAATAAGTGAGTCCAATTTACTACCCAGTAATTCCAGGAACGTCATAAGATAATTGTATTGTTATAGAAGATGATAATGTAAGCTAATCATCTATAATTTCATAGTAGATTCAGCACCCACTGAACTAAATTCACTCTATGATGATACAAACATAAACCAATAGAGAATCAAATTTTCTATAAGAGGATGTTATGCAATAGGAACAACTAGTATAAAAAATAACTCATTAAAATAACAATTTGAATGAAAATCAACCTCACATTCGTATTACTGTCTATAAATAACATTCAAGTTAAACTGACTAAGAATTTATCCTTCAAAATGATAGGTAATAAATTATATCATAATTTAGAATATTGGGGTCTAATTATAAAAAAGAAATAATTATTGGCAGAAAAAAACAGTAAGAAGACAATCAAGAAAATTGTGATATTTGTATTTACTCTTATAATTTATTTAAGATTTACCACATGGTGATAAGAATGTTGAAAAAGTTCACTGTAAAATTTTAACTGATAAAGGATTCGCCTTCTCTAATACTCTTACTAAACCTCTATTACTTTTCTTCTCTATTATTAAAAATAATCCACATGCATCAAAACTACCTTTTTCAGTTATTAAGCATATATATTCTTTTATCAAGTAATTCTAAATATAATTATTAGAAATAAACCTTAATTTTATATTAGTGATAATGGAACCAGAAATGGTACTTTTATGAAAATAAAAAAGGACAAAATAAGAATTATTGAATAAGAAAATACTTATTTAATAGGAGCTGATACATTTTTCCATGTTTTGGAGATGAAATCATAGCCAAAACAAAATAAATCAAAGAAAGTTAAAGATCTAAACTTTTTCTATAATGCTCTTGCTAAAGAACATATAAGAAAAGGAGCTAAGATTCATGGATTAACAATTGAAGAAACTGAAATGTTCAATATTACTCTTAATGAAATAAAAACAACAAAATAAAAATAAAGAACTTCATAAAAATTAAGTCAATATGATAGACCCTATTTAAAAATAACATTCGATAATTAAGCAATACATTAAATATAAACTCATATTTTTATTGCTAACTACAATTAAGAATCTGTATATAAAATTGGTAGATCCCAAGAATGTGACGTATTAGTTAATATTAATACTGTTTCAAGAAGACAAGCTTAAATTATTTATAAAAATAATGAGTATATTTTATAAACTATTTTAAGATGGTTCATTCATGATGGAGAAGGATTAAGAGAGTCAGCCAATGGAACTTGGTAATCACTTCAAAGCCTTTCTTAAAGAAATCATGATAAGAAATAATAGTAAAGCAGACCTTAACTAATTGAAGATTAAATGGAAATTAAAATAAGTGAAAACATCATCAAATTTGATTTTTTGAATTTTGGTGTAACAAAGAAGTAATTAATAATATTAATTATAGGCGCAAACTTAATAAAGCTTTAATTCAAGATCTACTAAATATAAAGTGAACAATATAAAGAATATATTTTTATTTCAATTTTTCAAAAAGCTTGATCACATTATTTAAGATGTCAAACATCTGTAAATAATTGTCTCTTCATTTTATATATTTATCAGACTCTATCTTCAATTTTTTTTTGGTATTCTTAATACACTTTTATATCATTATTGGTAATACTTAATTAAGTTGCTTAACATTATAAAATTAATAAATCTCTAATGTATTTCTATATATAAATATCATATACAATAATTCATCTTCCTAAGTTTCTTTAGTTATTTATATAACAAATTGACATTCATTAATACACTTAAAATCTTATCAAATTTAAAATTAAAAACTAATAATAAAATTAAAGGAATAAAGATGATTATAAGAAAATTGATTCATAAATATTTCAATTTGATCAATTCTATATATTAATGCAAATTCAATTCATAATCCTGTATAACTCAATCCCATAAACTTTCTTTTTGCTATTCCAGTCCAAAACTTAGCTTCAAATGTTCTTTTACCATCTTTATAGAACCTTAAAATCTTTATCCAAAAATTACTTTGCTATTATTTCTTTTGCAAGAATATCTTTAAGTCCCTTCAAATATCCTTATATTTTATCAGTTTCTCCTGGTGTTTCTTTAAGAAGACCACCAAGAAAGTTTTTTTTATCTCCACTTCTTGTAGGAATAGCTTCTCTTGCAATTTCATCAAGCTTTTTAGCAGCAGCTTATTAATCTTAATCATTCTCTATAGTTTTTATCATATGTGCAGAGACAACCCATAAGTAGATTAATAAAATATCAGAAGGTCCTATAAATTATTTTAATTTATAACCTTCATAATTGTAATTTTTGAAGAATGTCATCAACCTGAAATATTCTAAAGATTCCAAGACAATTCCTTTTTAAGATATTTAATCATCAAAATAGGCTAAGCCACACAATGTTTTATCACTCTTTAATTTTGCATGACAGACCTCAATATTAAATTATGCATTACAGATGGATCTATTGTGACTATTGTTTATTGCATCTATAAATAATAGATTAATATAATAATATATAAAAAAAATCAAAGTTTTTTATTCTTTAGCATTTTAACAAATTCTTCATAAGATATTTATCCATCTCCATTATTATCACAATCAGTTAGTATCTAATTCCAAACATCATCACCCAAATCTCCCATAATTGCTTCTAATTCCTATTTGGAAATAAAACCATCTCCATTCTATATTATGAATATAATTAACTTAATCAAAGATCTTAAATGCTTATTCAACTCTTTAAACTGATAATAATTTCTCTTGATTCATAGCAGCCATGCAAAATTCTGAAAAATCAATCTAACCTGATCTATTTATGTCAATCATCTATAAGATTCTTTCAACCTCATCTTCTGCCAATTTTGAATCTGTTTATATTTGAATATATCCTTTCAATAATTCATCTTTGGATAAAAAACCATCATTATTTTCATCTAATCTTTGAAATTCCTCTTATAAATCTTATAATTCTTTTTAAGTAGACATTTATGTAATCATATATGACATTAAAGCTTACTTTAAGATGGTTTCTGCCTATCAATAAATCATCCTTAAAGATACTTAAAATTATCTTAAATTATTTAGAACTTTTTTGTTGATTTATGTTGATGGGGCATACTTAATAAGCCAAGGATCTTCTAAAGCTTATTTAGCAGATAACCTTTTATTTGGATCCATTCTAAGTAATTTTGTAATAAACTCTTTTGCTTCTTTAGAAACTGTATCCCAATCCTCAGCTACATTAATTACTATATTTAATTTACGATCAAAAGTAAATTTGCCTAATTTAACTCTTTCTAATATTTGATTCTCAGTTTTCCCCACAAATGGTGGATATCCACATAATAAAATATACAAGATTACTCCACAAGACCAAATGTCACATTTTTCAGTATAAGAATGTCCAAGAACTTCAGGTGCTATATAATATGGCTATAAATATGATGATTTTTTGAAATACTGTTCCTAGCCTTTTGCTCATCACTTTTTAATTGTCAAATTTTCGAGATGTTCCAAAATCAATTACTTTGAGTTAAGATTATGGATCTTCACTTATAAATATAATATTTTCTGGTTTCAAATCTCTATGTACAATATTTTATTCATGACAATATAATGTGGCCAATAAAATTTATCGAATATAATCTGCTGCAATACTCTCACTAAATGAAGACATCTTTTTTATCCTATCAAATAGCTCTCCTCCTGATAAATATCTATATATTATAATAAAATTACTCAGTTACTAAATAATAATTATTCTCATCTTAATATAATTCAAATAATTTAACAATATGAGGATGATCTAAGTTTTTTAAAATATTCATTTCCGAAAATAATCTTTATTCTTCTTCTTTAATTATTGAACTCTTTTTTATTTATTTTATTGCTCTAATCAACCCAGTAGTTTTATGAGTCACCTTCCATACCTTACCAAAAGCACCTTAACCTAAAACTTTACCAAAATTGTAATGTAATCCTATTGAGCCTTCCTTTTATTTCACAAATATATCAAACCCCAATTTTATTATTTTTTTAGATTTTGAATCTGCCTCCAAACTCCCTTTCATTACCTCACCTTTATCTAAATAATAGTAACTCATTTCTACTTTGTTCATTTGTCTTTTTTTGTGATTAAATAATCTCTGAATTTCTAGGTAATTCTTCTTTGAAAGGTATAGGTTATTTTTATTCAGGTTCATTATGAGGTTCACTTTCTAAAACATATTCACATTATTTATTCTCAACTTAAACTGGAATTTCTTCAACTTATGATTTTTTGCTTCCTTATTAGGAAAGTGAGACTTTTTATTCTGGAGGCTTTGTGGCATCAGGATTAGGCGAGGTATCTAACTCATCTACAATGCTATTGAAAAGATAACCTTTTTATAATCTTGAGTCATCTCGACAACAGACACTACCCATTATAAATGAATATTTTCAATCGAATGATAAAATAAAAATATATATTTTTAACTCAAAAAAATAATAATCTTCTTAGATTAGGATACTTAAAATTTAATGGTTAAATAATAAATCAATGAATTGAATTTTGTTGATACCTTTTACTTTAAAATAATATATTAAAAACAATCAAATTACATAAAATTTGGCTATGATATAATATAAAAATCTTATTAGACTATTTTTAGATATTTTTTGAGGAAACATATTTTAAAGATTTATTTCAAAATAACATAATAATCTACTTTATCTAGCTTGCTATTAATAATATTATTTATAAATACATCCAGTAAAAATATATATAACATAAATCAAGACATTTTTTAATTTATTTTTCTTAAATAATTTAAAAGTTCTCTCTTTTTTTATTTCTTTAAAATTATGAAATTAATCATTTCAGATTACTTATTTATAAGTTTTTTTTATTTTTGATCCATTATAAAATTAGTTTAAAGTATATTATTATTATGTTAATCTTTTTGTAATCAAATTTGACAATAAAATTTAGTTATTAAGTTTCAATAATCCATAAATTAATCTTATATTATTGGGTTTTATATATACTTATCAAATTGAAAACTAAAAATAAATAAAAAATCTAATTTAAAATGATAAAATCAGAATTGAAACTTTTGTTAAGTAACAATAAACAAATAAAAAAATCATTGTAATTTATCAAAATATTTAACACATGCAGGCTTTTGTATCAGTAGTATCATATTTATTTGATATAATAGACTTTTAAGATTTGGTTTTATTTCTTTTTTCATTCTATTCAGCCATACTTTATTTAATTTTATTTTCTATTAACTATTTGAAAGCATCTTAATTTATTTAGAATGATTAATTGCTCATAGACCTTAGATTTTCATCACTAGTCTAAAAGGATCCTTAACTGTTCATTTTCTCAATTGCTTAAGTAAAATCTTCTATCTAATAATTAGCTAATTCCTATGCAGAGTTTATTAAACATTATAGAATTTATTTGTAATGATTTTTGGCTTAGATTATATTAAGAATCCATCTTAACACTTCTTTATCCTAAATAATTTACAATTAATTTTCTTCTTCTCCACTAATTTCATACTGTTTCAAACAATTAATCTCAAAATTAATCACATAATAGATCTTATCAAGTGAATAAGGTTTTGGAGGAGTTTAGAGATTTAATTAATCAATAAGTTCTTCTTTATTATTATTGAGAAGTTCCATCAATGATGATCCTTTCTTCTATAATTTTCTAGTCCATTGTTTATATTAAGATCTAAAATTATCTTAAACTTTATTACATTGCACTACAAATGCTAGATTAAGTCTCTGCACTTTTTTGTGAATCCATACTTAAGCCTTTTATTTCTGATGATTTTTCATCAATTTTTTTGAATTAAACAACTTTATTTATTTTTCGAACTTCTAATAATTCAGTGTAAATATAATTGACAAGAAGTTCCTCATTATTGAATTAAGTTTTAAACCAAAAGTCAAATTCTTTCAAGCTATCCTATCAAAATGTAAAAATAAATAATAATACTTGCAGAGATTAAATTTTTCCTAACAATTATGATTCGTTCTAGCATTAATTTATTTTTGAGGATATGAAGCAATTACTAATTTCTTTACAGTAATTTTAAATCTCAAAAATCATAATTAATAATAATATTTTAATAAAATAAGGAATGTTTATTTATTCTCATAATAATATTGTCATATATGAATCAAACTTCACAATTTCATCATTAAATTTACGTAATTTTAATTATATTAAACATTTTTAACATCAAATCTTTTTATCATTAACTTTACTTTTTTAAAATGAGTAAGCATTTTAGATATTAAGCATATAAGTAAAATAAACTATATAGTATATGAAAAAACTAAACAAGATATTAATAACCTATCTTAAGCAATTTTATCATATAGTTCAAAGAATGAAAAGTAAGTTAAAACTCCAAAAATAGCCAAAATTATAACTAAAAATGAGAGTTCCAAAAATAAAGAGAATTTGTTTTTTCTCCATTAACTAAATTCGAAATTAATAACACCATTTACATGTCTATATTGATTACAATTTTTGCATTAGATTTATTCTTAATATGATCCTTATTACAAAAATTCATTAGCACATTTTTAATGAGCTAAAGAACATTAGCAAATAGGAAATATATTTTATGCTTCACCACAAAAACAGCAATCTTTTGGTGAAACAGATATCATAGCATCTTCAGTATGGTTTCTTATTTATAATGAATTTGATTAATCATTATTATTTATTAATATTTTAGTTTCATTGGGAGACACCTTTTATTATAATGAATTATCAAATTATGAAAAGTCTCCTTAATAGGTTTTTTATTTGATCACTGTTGTTTATTCATCTTAATCTTCAATAATTGAATTTCTTGATTTTTCAACTTTAACTGATTATGAGATTTTATTATTATTATTCTATGTTTGACCTTTTAAATAATTAATTATCTAAGGGGATTAAGGTTCTTTAATCAATGACATTTTAATTTTAATTATAGTATAATAACTTAAGGTTTGTAGTTATAAACTAATTTTATCAGAGTGAAATTTTAGTTAATAATTTCCTTAATATAATTTTTATAATTATAATATGAAAAAAATATATGAAAAATATAGAATGAAAAATAATATTAATTTATAAAATTAGATGAAGGTGTTAATTGATATATTTGTGAGGATGATAAATGATATTAATAAGAGTAATAAAATTTAATATTATGACATTCTTAATAAATTATGGATTTCAATTATATTTTAGAATATAAATATTATTAACAAAAATGACAGAATCATATCTGAAATAATAAAAGTTGGTAACTCATACTTGGTCACCAGATGGCTAATTTGTTGCCCTTTCTATTAAGAATACCAGCAATGCAGATATTTATAAAATTGGTTAATTAGAGAAGATTGGAACATGGTAAAAAGTATCTACTTTGAAAGATGCATCATAATAAATTAATGTGTTATCTTGGTCAGTTGATAACAAAATTTTAATTGGAAGTGATGATAGAAGCGTAAATTTTAAGATGATGATAGGTTGTTGTATATAGAAATATAAATAATTAATGGAGCAAAGATTTAGTCATTATCACAAATGAGAAAGCTATTTTATCAGGAGAATGGGCTCCTAATGGATAAAAATGTGTAGTTGGGACTGCTTGCCATAAAGCATTTGTTTTATTTTTTGAAGAAAAAAACAATTGGTGGCATAATTAATAAATCAACTGTTTTTATTCAAGTGTAACTGCATGCAGATTTCATCCAAGTGGAAGAGTAGTAGGATTAGGTTCAACAGATCAAACATTTAAATTAGTTTCATGTGTTATTTAAGAAAATATGAATTTTGAAGATTAAACATATAATGGTCTTTTTAAGGATATTAGAACATTTGGTGAAATCCTTGTAACTATAAATTTAAATGGATGGATTAATTCTATTGATTTTACTTAATCAGGTAATAAATTTGCTGTTGCAGCACATACAGGATTAATTAAATAATATTCATTTAATGAAGATGGTAGTTTAATTGTTGATAATGAAGATAAAAATGTAAATTATATATATATATATAAATATTAGGCAACTTATATAAAGGAGACAAAACCATTTAATAAAATAATATATTTAAATGATTCCACTTTAGTAGGAGTAGGATATGATAGGAAACCAGTTTTATTGAGTAGTGAACCTACTTTAAAATTTACATCAATTATTGAGAAATGTTTAGCTGCAGAAGGAGAAGTATAGAAATCTGGAAGTATTGCTGCTGCAAAGTAAATGTTTTCTGGGAAAGGTATAAAATGATAATTATTATTAATATAGGATAAAAAACAGAAGATGATAAATTTGGACATTAAACAGCCATCACTTGTATTAATAAAGTTAGCGATAGCTTAATATCTACAAGTGATGTTAATGGTATTATTAACTTTTGGAGAATATGATATAATAAAACATTCATGTAACACACATAAAATATTAAATTTTTATTCTATTTTTTTGTTTAATAATGACATTACTTATTTATTCAAGTAATAATAAATATGGTATAAATTCATTAAATTATTTAAATGAATTAGTATCATTATTTTAATAATTATGCTTATTCTTTCAAATATTAATCCATATTCATTTCTGCATTCGAAATAGCAAATCCACATTTAGCCTCTTAATATAAATAACGATCATTCTCAACCATTTCTAAAGCCTTCAAAAAACTATTCTTTCCTTCATTATATGATCCCATTTAAGCAGATACTGCTCCTAGTTTCATATGTCCTTTGATTATACTTTCTGTGTCTTTCATTTCATTTGCCAATTATAAAAACTTTTCTATAAATAACTACAAAAATGAGTTAGTTAACTTATACTTTCATTTTTTCAGCATTATCATATAAACCTTTTTATCCTATTCTTCCAATATTGGCAATAGCAATTGTTTATCCTAATTTGTTTGACATATTTATTGCATGTTTGAGAGCTTACTAAAAGTAAAACATAGATAACTAAGAATTGGCATCATAACATAAGCCCAGATTTATTGATGCCAAGAATTTACCATTACTATCAGAAACTTCTTCATGTTTTTTATGAAATTCAATTGCTTTTTCTATAAATTTTGGATTTGTTTCAGCCATAAATTAATAATCTACTCCTATACAATTATAAGCTAATCCACATCCATGCAAATCATCTATTTTAATACATATTTTTAGAAATCTCTCATATTATTATATAGCTTAACTCCATTTTCCCATATTATCCAATAATACTCCCATACTATAATAAGCCCTTCCTTCATCTTTAATTTTTCCAGCTCTTTTACATGCAAAAGCCAACATTTCATAATCTTTCAATCTTCTTTAAGATTATAAATAAATAGATAATTCTGGAGTCTAAAGACTTTTTGGATCGTTTTATTTTTCTGACAATTGAATTTTATTTTTCTCTTTAGCTAATATTAAATAATACATTCATGTTCTTAAATCTAGCTGGAGTGTTAAAAAAACAGGGTAGTTCTATTCTTTGAGGTTAGTTTGTTGTTATTGAACAACCTTATGTTTAAGAAAACATTCTAAAGTTCCTAACTTAATTTTCTTCTGCCAAAGAGGAAGTAGGCCTTATAGAATAATTTCGATGTGATTTATTGTATGTGTTTCTGCTATTTTAAAGTGATGATTTCATTATTTTAAATATCAATATTATTATGTTAAATTTAATTTTACATTATTTTTATAATAATCCTAAAATTTATAGTTTAATTGATTAAACAAACTCTCTGAAAATAATAATAATGAAAACAGAATATGAAACAAATATAATTATTTTTTGGTTAAAAATTTAAAAATTTATCAAGATACTTTGGCATATAAAATTTCTAAAATTGATATAAGTTCTTATTTTTATTCGATTAGTAGAGCTTAACCTGATATGGTATTAAATTTATTATTATACTTCCCTCTTATTGTAAAAAATAAATCTTTATTGAAAAATCTAGAACTTTGGTATAATCTATATTCACCTGAGGTTGAGTTTGGTTTAAAATTCATATCAATTACTTACCTTATTCTAAACTTTTCTTTAATATCTCCAGAATTCTCTTAAAAGAATAACTCATTTGAAGGTAATACCTTTAAATATCCTGTTTTCGTATCAGAGGTTGAAGTAAAAACTAAAAGAGGAAATCCTCTTGCTAATTTATCAGCTGGATTATCTAGAATTATTTATTTCATCTAAACCTAAATCTATTCAGTCTAAATTTATTAATTTGAAATTATTGTTTTGATTTTCTAAGAAAAATGATTAATTTATTGATTATCTTAGAAAAATTCAAGGGCATTATACACAACACTTTTATTTATTGTAGAATGATTATCTTTATCACAGGCTAAATTTTATATCAAAATTAAGATTAGACTTATTACTTTCTCATTTTATTTATACTATTCTATTAGTTAAGTGAATATTTATAAGTTATCTAAAGTACAAATCTTCTTTGAATATTATTTAACTGATAAATTTAATACTGTGATGCTCCTTTCAATGATTAAAGAGTCCTCCTTATTATTTGATATTATTTGTTTAATCACTGTTATTTATTCAGAAGGTAATAGTTATTATGCAGAATATATTGAATACAATTACAAGAGATCTCTTAATAATGCCTTGTTTTATTACATTTTTTTTAATATATCAAATATTGACTCGGATATTGATATTAATGAATTTGATCTTAAAAGACACAAAGATTATAAACACCTTAGAATCCATTTTAAAGTGTTAGGATTATTTTATGTCTATAATTATCTTATCAATAAAGTAATTAAAACTCTAGATTCTACCTTCTGCTATTCCATCTTATATAAGACATTTGTTAATAATTATGCTGTAATTTCAATTAATTTAGGTTCAGTTTTTTATTCTAAATCAATTAAAATTATAAATAATAAATCCGAATCTAATAATTACTATTAAACTTCTTTATTTTAATAACATAAACATGATAGAGCATAATAAGCATTCTATTTAATTTCAATATTTTAATCATTGATTGATTTATTTATAATCAAATATATGGATTGATCAATTAAGTCTTTTTATGCAAAATTGTATAAACACAATGAACCAATAAGCAAATAGCATTCTTTTTGTAATCTCTAAACCCATTTCTTGATATGATTTATAACTTCATATTAATAGAGTAATTATGCACATTTTGAATTGTAACAATAACCTTCTAAACATGTTAAAATTGCTGATACTAATTCTTCATCCCAACAATCTTCTAAATAATTCACAAGAATAATGATATCTTTTTAATTAATCATTCTATTTTTCATAAATTTAGTTTCTTTTGCTTTTATTAAAATTCTTACTTAATTTATACTAACTCTTGCTATTTATAAATCTGACCATCTAATTAATGTTTCATAATCATTCAAAATTGATTGATATTATAAAATTGCCAATAAGCATTCTTCTATATCTATTTAATATGTTTAATAACTTGATTATGAATAAATAAATAATAGTTAATTTGTAATATCTAATTAATGACATTCCTTTGCATCTTTTTCACTTTAAATCAATTATCTAAATTATTTGAGTACTCCTGGAAGTCTACTTTAATTTTATTCATTTTAAACAATTAATTATAAAGCCTATAGAAGATCAGCTAATACACTTATTTACCATTTTCCAACATTTGGTTATTAATTTTATAATATAGGTTGCTCATTTTTATATGACTGATCATTTTAAACAGCCTGGCTTTAAATATTGTAATTATTTTCATCAATTTATTGAACTCTATGCTCCAATTATTCTTAAATTTATTGGGTTTCTTAAGATGTTTAAATATAAGAAATTTGTTAACTTTGTTGTTCTATCATTTAATTATTAACTTCCTAAAACTCTCCTTGTTTTTCCTTTACTACATATTCTATTTCTATTTATTAATTTGTTTCTTAATATTCTACATTAAATGATGCTGTACGTTAACTATCTTAAACTTACTCTATTTACAAAGTAATTTTGTGTTATTAATCTTCAAACTACTATAAATTATTAGTTCTTTAACTTTCAAATTAATAAAAGGTACTTACTTCTTATTGAGTTTAAAATTCAGTGTTTACATTATCTGGTTAATTATACACTGTATTAGCATTTGCATATTCAAATACATAATTTTCTTATCTATTGATACTTTGAGATATTTCTACTTTTTAATTTTAGATTGAATTTATTAATTATTCTTTATCTTATTCTTAAATAATAGGTTATTATTATTGTTAATTATAATTTTTTTTCTATTTTTCTTGAATTAATGCTTCAGTGAATACAGCCTTGGCATTTTTTTCCTTTTTCTTTTGTAAATTTTATTTTTCTTCATCACTTGAAGATGATGATTTTTGTTTTTATATTTTATTTTATTTTTTACTTTCTTGTTTTAGATTAGCTTCAACTAAAAATTCATTATTTCTTAGAACGTTCTATTCTGATTAAATTGACACTTCAAATTATTTATTTTAATCTTATTTATTATTTTTTTCTTCTTTCTTCTTGTCTTCTATTTTATTAGCAATAATTGCAGATCCTATTAATAATTCAGCTCTTTGTAAATCTTAATTCTAAGGTTTTTGTTCATATTACACTTAAAATTCATGTTCCTATAATGATTATTATTATATAGGTTGTTATTTAATTTATATTTAAATAAATTCTTATTATTAGTTTTAATTTTCTACTTCTCTCACTCCTTAAACTTTAGGTTCTTCTTTTTATTAATTTACTTGAATCTATATATTTCCTCTTTATATATCATTTAAATTAATGGAATCATTTTTTTCATTAATTGTTTTCTGCACTTGAGATGCAACAAAAACAGTTTCAATTTGTTTAAATTAATTAGCTTTTCTATCAGAAGATGATGAAGATGAAGATGAAGATGAACTAGATCTTATTTTTTAATTTTTCTATTACTAATTTTATTATTGATTTTATAATAAATTGCTACTCTATTAAGTAGTAATTATGAATTCTTTTTCTAATTATTAATTGGTTGAATATTCTTAATGTTCTCTTTGTATTTATTAATTCACCTTAAATTCAATTGTAGATTGATTCTTTTATTAATCATTTAATGAATTTTAAGTTATTTCAAATTTTAATACATTCTAGTTAGCTTAATCATCTTAATTACTCTTAATTACTTCAATTTGCACATTGTGTTTTTCTTATTTCTTCATATCATGAGACTTTTTAGATGAGGAAGATGAAGATGAAGAAGAGGATCTTTGCTTTTATTTTGGCTTCTAAATTTATTATTAATGTTAAGCCTCAGCAACAATTAAAGAACTTTCTACTTAAACAAGCCTTTCTTATTTCAATTATTCTTATTTAGTTTTTTCTTCTTCAATTTTCTTTTATTCTTTAAGCATTTTAAGCTTTGTTTTAGAATCCATTTCTTCTTCTTTTTTTTCTTAATGAATATTTTTTGCAGCATCCAATATTATTAAATCTTTAATTACTTCTTTTTAAACTTCTTTTTTAATTTATTTATCTTATTCTTTCTTTAATTTTTCTGCTTCTTTCTTTTATTTTTCTGCCTCCTTTTTTAATCTTTCATCTTCCTTTTTTTTTAATTCAGCTTCTTTTTTCAATCTTTCAGCTTCTAATTTCTTTTATTTTTCTGCTTCTTTTTTTTATCTTTCATTTTCCTATTTTTGTAATTTTTCAGCCTCTTTTCTTTATTTTTCTTCTTCTAATTTTTATGCTTTCAAAATTTCTTTCTGTTTTTTTTCATCCTCTATTTTCTGTTTTTATTCTATTTTTCTTTATTTTTCTTCTTACTCCTTTTACTTCTATTATTCTGCTTTAATACCCTATTCAATTAGCTTTGCTTCAATAAGTGTCTTCCCTACTTCCATACCAATATGCTTGTTTTCTTTATGTTTTTTATCTTTTTTATCATCTTAAGATGATGAAGAACTACTTGAACTACTTGAATTTCGTTTTTTCTCTTTTTTTATTTATACCTCTTCAATTTATTAGTTTTTTTCATGAGTTGCGATTGATGCTGTAATTAATAACTATTTTTCTAATTCTTAATTATTAATTTGCTGTTATTCTATATTGGTTTAAACAGTATACTAGAAGTTTTCCTAAATTTGATTATTAAATTAATCTTAATTTATTATCAAAGTATTTAATTATTAATTAGTTTATGGAATTTCATTTTATTAAAGATTAATATTTTCTTATTTTGAGAATTCTTAATGTTGAATTTCTAAATTAATAGTTTAAGTTATAAGTTAATTTTATTATTCTTAATAAATAGGTTCTTTAATATTAATTTGATAATTTGTTACAGGTATTTCTTAATTTGCATTACTACTTTGTTCTTGTAATGAAACAAAGTTTAATGTTGTAGTTTAAGGTTACTGATATTCATTTTTTCGTTCTGATTTTAATGCTGCTTATTTTATCATTTAAGAAGATAGTTATAATTCATCATCCTTTATTTCTAGTATTTTTTATTCATTTTGAGGAAATAATATCATGCTTGGATCATAATTAATTTATAATTCTTGTTTCTCAAAATTTATTTCTTAATCTAATCTTAATCCTTAATAAGATATTTGAAATTCTTAATTTTACTCAGAACCAGAATTTTATTATGCCATAAATTATGCTTTTAAATTTAGATCTTCTTAACGTAATTAAGCAGGTTCTTAATCATTTGATGGTTATAATCCATAATAATAAGATAATGTATTTTTGGATTATTCTGAATTATTTGGTGTTTTTTATTAAGTTGAAAATTGATTTTAATTGATTTCAAAAGCAATTCTACCAGATTATTGATCTGTTTTATTATCAACTTTAATATCATATTTCAATTATACTCTTGCTTATTCATTCTCTCTTAATTTTTCTAATTCTATTTATTATTTATTATATAATTCTTATTCATCCTTTTTCTATCTTTCAATTTCTTCTTATTATATTCTAATTTATTCCTACTTTTAAATTCTAATAAGTTCTTCTTATCTATCTCTTTCTTCTTATTCTTTTCTATCTCTTTCTCTTTATCTTTCTTCTTCTTCTCTTTTTAGTTTTTCAAGAAGAGCAATTCTTAACAATTCCTCCTTTTCCTACCTGATTTTCTCTTATTATTCTAATGCTATTTTTTCAAGTTCTTATTTTCTTATTTATTCCTCCTGCTCTTATCTCAATTTCTCAAGTTGCTCTAATCTTTATATCTCTAATTACTCTAATCTATATTTTTCAAGTTACTCTAATCTTTGTTTTTCTAGTTCATCTTATTTATTTTTCTCTTCTAATTCTAATCTAATCCTTTCTTCTTCTTATTTTTTTATTTTTTCTTATTCTAATTATTATTTCCTTTCTTTAAGTTACTTTAATTTTAATTTTGTATCAATTTATTTATCCTAAATTTTTGCAACTTCTTCTTATTGTGCAATCATCTATTTTTTAAAACTAGGCTATATAGATTCTTCACTTTCTTCTTATTATTAAACTTTTTCATGTTAATCAATTTCTTATAATTTTGGTATTTCTAAAGTAGCTTAAATATGAGCTTCCTAATTTGTTATTTCAACTTTAAATTGATTTTCATCTGACTATATTTTAAATTCTAATTATTTTTCTTCCTTTGAACTTGACTTCGATGATGATGATGATGAACTACTTTTCTTATGCTAAACTATTTTATCTTTTTTATTATCTTTTATTTTATTATGAACTGCAGCAGCAATAACGATTTTTTGTTTTCTATTAAAATCTTCAGAACTTGATGAACTATCGGAGTTTTATTATTCTACTTTAATCTCCTAATGTATTTATGGCTGAAACTAATCTTCTTCAAATTTCTTATCAATTACAAAAGCCATCTTATTCTAATCACTTTGAGAATTACTTGATTAACTGTTTGAATGTCTTTTTTATTCTAATTAAACTGCTATTTCAGTTTTTTCTTCATTGAAAACTATCGCTGCCTCAATTTAATTAACTTACTTTTCATCATCTGAAGATTTAGAACTTGAACTACTTGATGATGATGATGATGATTATTATTATTATTATTATTATTATTATTATTATTATTATTATTATTATTATTATTATTATTAAGTTTCTAATTCTAAATTTTATTTAATAAGAGTTTGAGAAAGGATGTCATCGATGAATTAATTTGCCAAATCTTAAAATAAGTTTTATTCTCCTTTTATCTAATTATCTATCTAGTTTTGTTTTAATTATTCAAATTTTTGAGAATATTGTTAATCATATTATTCTTATCCTACTAATAAAACTAAAATTTATTTAATAACTTCTTTATATTAAAGATACTTTAATCCAATATCTAGAAAAATGTTATCTTTTAAAAAGGAAATTTTATAATAGGTTTTTGCTTTGTTCCATTAAAATAGTTCCTTAAATAAATTAAGAATTGTCTCAAGCAATAAAGTAGAAATATTCTCTTCTTTTAAGTAATCCAGTAGTTTTTACAGAATTTAAATTAAAGATTTGAACTCTAGATTCTGTAATAGATCATTTTATTAAGCTATTATTGATAATATTACTAGATATTTGATTGTTAATTATTCATCTTTTAATTATTTCTAATTTAATACTCTTTGGAGTTATAAAGTCAAACTCTGCTAAAATTATTAAATGAATTATTTCTCTTGCAATTAAGGTTTTAAAATTTCTTATTTAATAATTATTTCAGTATTTTCAAAAGCCTATAATAATAAGAATTACAATAATTTTGATTATAAAGTGACATCTTAATTATTTTCCTATTAATTTTCTGATAGAACCTTTACTAGTAAGGATATCAATTATGTTTCATTTATAACCTCTAGAAGCTATTGATCATCGAAAATATTTATTCCTAATTGAAAATTCAATTAATCACATATAATTAAGCATTATACATAAGTGATTTCTTAGAGATCAATAATAAAAGGTTTATTAAACTATTTAATCAATTCAAAATCTTTTGTTATTGCTACTAATTCACCCAAACTTTTATATCTAAGCAAATTGCCTGATGAAATGTTCTCAATAGAAATATCATAATGAACATTCTATTCATATTGTTTTATTAATTGAATTAATAATTCTGTTTCCATAATTTTCTATTATTTTGCTAAAACTGAATAAAGTAGGATATCAAGTTGAATATCATCATATTTATTTAATTATTTTAAAAAATAATTTGTTAATTGTCTTTAATTAAGCTTAAGATTAAAACAAATAACCAATAAAGATTTAATTTGACTTTAATCAATTCTTATTAAAATCCAATTTGTGATTTATTTCATAATTACTTTATGATATTATTCAAATATTTATTAAAATAATGAAAAGGCTGCCAAAAATTTTAATTATTACTATGTATCATATTATTCCATATCTTCAAAAAAATTAAAAATTAAGGATTTATAATCTAATTAGGATAATATCATTTTTGTGAAATTAATTATAATTTCAATAGTTGGATATTATAAATAAAGCTCTATTATATCATTTTGATATTTATAAAGTATTTCTGGGTTTTCTTTAGTGATCTAATAAATATCAGATAAACAAGATATTATTTTTTCTAATTTTCCTTACTTTAAATTCACATATATAATTTAATCTAAAACAGTTTCAATATCCTTTCCTTCAGATGATTAGGAATCTTGGCTTTTTATTGATTACCTTATAGATGATGTCATAAATCCTGATTATTAAATTAAGTTTGTATCTTTAAATTTTTTATACACTTTATTGTTAAATCTAGATATTTCATCTAGTTATCTAGATGATAAATATATAAATATACCTCATTATTTTAACATCATCTGAATGATATTATTTCAAAATTTAAATTTATTCAATTTGAATCAATGATCTAAACTATTAATTAATTTCAATTAATAAATGTATGTATACTAAATAAACCTTTTAAGTTATATATAATTAGGATTCCAGTTTTTAAGTTAATAAATTAATAATTACATTTATTAATAATTTAGCTTAAGTTTGATTTAACTCATGAATCATTTTTTCAAAAATATAATTCAATGAAATAAGGGTTTATTCACTTAAAGTTATGTTTTACATTGTAAATAGTAATTAATCAAATAATTAACTACTATATTAAAGTTAATCACATATTGCTTATAGAGATATTTATTCAATAGTTTAAGTGATATCTTCAGAATTTGTATCTTCATTAACTTATAATTCTATTTATTCTTATTCAGTTTAGTAATTAAAAGCATTTAAAATTTAAGAAATTAATATTAATATAGATTTTTAATCCTTTTTTTTAGAAGCAAGATCTTTCATTTATTCTATAATTTCTTAATGATTAATTTATTAAAGAAATAACTAATTATATTCTAACATATCTCTTAATAAAACAAGACATCTGACTATTGATTATCCTTATTCTAAAAATGTCAATATTGTTGGTAAAATATTCAATTTAAACAATAATTTTATTAATTCTAATTATTGTCTAATTAAATAAGTAATAATATCTAAAATTCTATCCCTATTTTCCTAATTTGATTATGCCAATATTGTGATCAATTGTTATAACCAATCAGTTAATTAAATCTCTTATGCTTCATCTTCCAAACTAAATACTTATTGTAATTAATCATTATAGAGAATGTAAATTCTGAATATTCTCAAATATTATTATAAGTATTCATTTTTAAGATCAATTATTTTTGTTATTATGGACATGTCAAATTTTAAGGATATTTCTTGATCATTTAATGAAATCTTATCTAAAATCTATTTAATTATTTAATCTAATTGAGGAATCCTAACCTTGGCTAATTCCAACTTAGTTTTTAAATTTTAGTTATTGAATAATTCTTAAGCAAGTGGTTTGATGTCTAGACAATAATTCAACAAGGTTAGGGAACTCTAGAGATTTTTGAAATTATCATCTGATTACTCTCCAATATACTCACCAATATCAAATAAAATCTAAATATCTAAAGTTTAATTACTTTATTACTGATAATATTAACATCAGTTTTCTCAAAAAGGGGTTCAAAGAAGTTATTGTACATTATTATCTCAAATGCGGAATACAAATAAATATAAATTATTAAAATATAATAATAAGTTAATATCAAAGACCTTATTTTTCTATTTATTCTAATAAGTCTTAGTAATAAGAAATACTCTAATAATAAATATTATTTATACTTTTTATGCATTTTATTTAAAAAATTAACTCATTTATCTGACAACATAATGATAATTTTCAAAAAAAATCTACTTCAAAAATTAAATATCTGAAGCTAATTTATTGGTAATTAAATTGAAGATCTAAACTTTTGTTGTTAATTCTTTTTCTAGCTATTTAAGTATTAATATAAATCACTTATTTTAATTTAGTTAATGATTTTTCTATTTCTTCTTCTTTTGTAGTTAAAAATTACATAATTATATTTAATCCATTATTTTAAGTATCAGATACATAATTAACTTATTTTTGTAATTATTCATTCAAAGATTAAATTTCTTATTGTAATTTTCTTCTTTCTTGAATTAACTCAATTAAAACCTATTAAATTTAATTATTATTTTTACATTAAATTCATTTAATTCAATTTTAATCTAAATATACATGATATAGAATTACTTCTCATTTTCACTTAATTCACAATTATTTTCATAATCTTCAAAAATCTTCCTTGGTTAAGAAGATCCTTAATTTATAACATTAATCTCCAATATTGATTCATATTCATATATAAAAAAGTTTTTAAAAATATTTATTTACTCAAAGTAATTTTTGCTATATATATTTTTAATCTTACCTAACATTTATTTTATTCTTCATAATGAATTTATAATTTTGTAAAATTGGAGTGGCATTTTGAATAAAAAGAAAAAATTAATCTATTTTTGTTTCATTTTCTTAATCTATAACATTTTCTGCAAAATCTGGAAATGTTGATATTAATAAATCAGCATAGTTCTCTTATTATTCATTAGAATTATTATCCTAAATATATTGTTATCGCAAAAATATTTAAACTTCTTTAGAATACCACAAAAATTAAAAATGAGATAATTATTTCATAAAATGATTGAGCATCACTAATCTTTGATAAATTAATTACTAACTTAAATTTCCCTAAATTTATTAAATATTTATCTTTACTTAAACTACTTTTTAAGGTAATGCTGGTATATAACAGTATTACCATTTTTATGCAAGCAATGATCTTAATTAATAAAATTCACTAAAACGATGTTAAATCTAAAAATTTCCTGTATTGTCTTATCCTTCTATATTGTACATAACAAATTCATCTTGATTTTAATTAATTGTTGGATCCCTTACACTCACATGTATTTTATTTTATTCAATAATATTATACTACATTTATAAATATTAATATACACTTCCCCGTTTTAATTAATTTAATAATGGAATATATTTCTAGATCAAATATTGCTAAAATGGTAGGAAGTACTTTAGTAAATGCTTCAGCAACTGAAAAATGCAAGAAAATCATCTCTTGGAGTTGGGAGATGTTGGGTTCGATCTTAATAATGATGGGATCACCTATCTCAGTGAAGGGCTTAGATTCAGATGATGATTGCAAAGATAAAATAACTGCAAAATAGACTGAAAAAGAATTTACTCTTGTATTAGACTTAGATGAAACCTTAATACACTCTGATATGGAAAGAACTTCATTTCTTGATGAAGAAATCTTAGTGAAAATAGGGAACACGATAGAAAAATATTACGTCAAAATTAGACCATTTGCTAGAGATTTTCTAAAAGCTTTATCAAAATATTTTGAATTAGTTGTTTTTACAGCTGCTATAAAGGAATATGCAGACAAAGTAATTGATTATTTAGATCCAAGTGGATTTATCACTAGAAGATTCTACAGAGATGTAACCAAAATTATTATAAATTGTTTAGAGTTGTACTAAGAAAGATGGAGTGTTTTATAAAGATTTAACTAAAGTTAATACAAATCTAGATAAAACCTTTATTATTGACAATTCTTTATCAGGAATGTCATTAAATCCATGTAATTTATTAAATTTATCATAAGAAAATGGAATACTTATAAAATCATGGTATAATGATTTAAAGGATTAAGAATTGAAAATCTATGAAGCTATGTTAAAAAAGAACGTAAAGCCAAAAGACAATATAGTAAAGTGTATTAACTAAATGAAAAGAAAGTATCCTAAAAATGTATTAAATTGATTTAATTAAATATCACTGTTATTAAAAAGAATCAGTCTCATCTACATCATTATCGTCATCGTCTGGTTGCCATTCCTCACTCGAATCATTTTAATGTTATTCAAATTCCATCTAAACTGGATTTTATTAACGAGTAAACCTAATTTATAAAACCTTTTACATCAATTAAAGAAAACTTGTAAGAAATCCTTGATTTTATTTCTCTTTGACATAGATTTCAACTACTTTTCTATCAATAGCCTTATTTAAATTTGATAAATTTTCTTAGCAAACATTTCCTACAGATGTACTTGTTTAAAGACTCCTTAAAATCTTAAGACTAGTGCTTGTTTCTAAATTGTAGCATTATTTGTGCTATTAATTTTATTAGGCTGTAAAAATAGTCACTTTATCTGTGGATTTATCTTTCATTAATTTATGAAATTGATTATTTAATTATTAATGTCAAATTCTTATACAAATAAGTATTTTGTATAAGAATTTTACAATTCTTTATCCCTACTAAATTGTGCTCTAAAATATTATTTAGATTTTCATTTAACATTCATATTATATTATAATATATTTAATAAATAAAATGAAGTTTGAAGAAATCATTAGAAAATATGTTAGTCCAATTAAGAGATTTGATCATGTTCTTCCAAATAATTATACAGCTTAAGATATCTATCATTATTATGAAGATTTGGTAAATTGAAATAATGAAGTAGGCTAAATTTAATGAAATCGAATCATTCACAAAAATCAGATTTTCAAGAAAGTTTGCAGAAGTAGCATAAACATAAGATTAAATGGATTGGTTGAATGACAGAGCTAAAGAAATATCTAATGTTGCCATGAGTTTATTCAAACTTAGATTTCCATAATTGTGAAATATAGAAGATATTAAAAATAAAATCAATAATGCTCATTATTCACTCACTCTTCTTTAGAGAATTATCCTTTTGAAATTTCTAAGAGTTGAGGATACTAAATCTCAGACTTTAATATTTCTTAAGCCCATAGTAACAATTTCATTAATGTTCTTAATTTAGCCTAATCATTTCCCATAGAGTCCTGATATAAAAGTTAATTGACTTCGCTAGCCACTTTAATTCTTTAAGAATTTTGTATAAGATGGTTCATTGGACTCTTTTTAATATCGGAAAATGCTATTAAAGAAATAGCTTATTCTATTTCCTCAATTAAGTGAGGCTATATATAATATAAAAAAATTACTTAGTTTGGTAAGAGTTATATAATTTCACTTTACGCATATTTAACTGCTTGATCGATTTAATCTTTCTTAATGAGCTCAATTAATTTTTATGTTTTTAATTTAAAAAGTATTAAATTATTATTTTTCTTGTTAACTTTTTCTAAAGCAGAGTCAATATCACCATCTAAAATATTTTTTTTAATTTCTATTCTTTCTATCATTTAATCAAGTTCTTCAGTAGACACTATTTAAAAGTTAAGTTCATTGAATTACATGGAATAGCAGCTTCTTTAGAAAATTCTATTGCAGCATCTCTATATCCTTCTACAATAAAGAAATTCAGAACTATTTAATTCATAAATGATTTAGATATGTTTATAGTCTTTTGTCTATAATGCCATTCTTCAGCTGATATCCTTTCTAAAGTTGAATTCATTTTATTATAATAAAAATAATGTAATTTATCAAAATTATTCATATTCTAAATCGTCGTATTATTAATTTGGTAATGGAGGTTTTGATTCAAGAACACCTAAGTTGCATAAACATAATGTGGCTATTGATTTTTCATTTAAATGGTTTGCACACTTAAATAATATTAATAAAAATTACTAAAATGGCATTTTTTAAAATTTATGTTTACACTTCAGTTGAGGTTTAAAGATATCCTGATATTTTAATTAGATTCAATAAGCACTCTAATTATAATTTATGATTTTTCAATCTTCTGGCCAATTCATAACAATTCTATTAAATTTTATAATGTAAATTACTTAAAAATTTTCAAATGCTTAATCATATTATTTGACTTCTAAAAATACAATACCCAATTAACCATAAGAGATACATGATGATTCTGCTTCATCTCTTTTTTATGCCCATTCTAAAGCATTAGAAAAATAATCTATGGATTCCTCATAATTCTTAAGTCTTCTTTAAGCTAAACCCAAATTATAATATCCTGTAAACATATTCTCTTAATCTGAATATTATAAATTTTGTTTATGAAATTCAATTGATTTTGTAAAATTACCAGCATTATAATAATTAAATGCTACTCTATTAGTTCCCAATGCCATTCCTATTTTATCTTCCATTAATTTAGCACATGCAACAAATTTCTTATAAAATCTAACAGCTTCATTATGATTTTTGCTACTTTCATAAACCATTCCTAAATAAAATGATAAATGAGCTTCCTTTTAAATATCACCAGCTTACATACCAGCTTTGGCTCTTACAAGTAAATCCTTTATACTAGTTCTGTTGTTTTCCTTAACATTATGTGTATAAGGTATAGATGGAGCATAACCATTTCCAGGTGTTAATGGAGATGCAATACTAGCATTAGGTAAATCTGGTGGTTAGACAGAAATCTATTAATCAAAGAACTAAAAGTTGGTTTCTGGTTGAACAGGTAAATCCATTTAAGCCACTTTATCAATTTCTTTTTTCAAATCAATATTGTCAATTGGGGCTGTAGATTTCATTAGTTATTCATTTAATAATGATCCTAATAAATTTTTAACTGGTTTATCTTCATCATCTTTAATATTTAGAATTTTGTCATATTGTTTTGCTTATCCTTTATGAAAGAGTGCTTCAAAATCTTTTTCTTTTTCTTTTAGCTCTTACAATGCATCAGCTTTAGGTTAGACAAAGATGTCTTTATACATTTGCATATCATTTTCTTATCTTCTTAGCGGTTTCTTTTTATATTCTTTAGGCTAATTAATATTCTAAAATATTGATACTTATAACACTCTCTATTAACTAGGCTACATACTTTTCAATTGATTTGGTTAAGAAAAGAAAGCATCTTCAATTTTTGTTTAAAATTCACTAAGAATTTCTTATGCTTTATATCTATATCAATAATGAAACTAATTCATTTACGTTATTGGTTATAATCTCTCTGCTACAACAAATCTTGAAGGTTGATAGTTTTTAGTAGAGAATTTCTCATTGGAGAATTGCTTCTTCATTTTATTTTTGATTAATTTCTTAGTTGGAGGTGATTTTGATTTATCACTCATTTAATATTATATAATATATAATATAAATAATTAAAATTCATATATTTATAAATAAAAGTAATTGGAAACTTAGTGAATGGTTGTATTTTTGTCTTAAATTATTTTATATTGTTTAATATTTATCCTATATGATAAAATACTTCTAAGTTGAAAATTATAATCATTATTAAATTAGATTAATTGATGATGATTTGGCAAGTCTTTAAACAAAAGTTTCACAACCTAAAAATGAGAGATTAGATTTTTTTGGTTAAAATTTTGGCTTTCTCAATTAGTTTCTTATTGGTTGGATCATTTTACATTGTTTAAAAAAATGTAATAATAGGAATATATGAAAACTCCTCTACCACAGTTCTGCAACATCAAGATAGAGTAGCACTTAAGCTCTTTCTTCCTTAACTGAATTAATATCTAATATCCAAATAGCATCAAAGTAATATTTTACATATACTTTAGGAATTTAACTTTTAACAAGTTTAGGAACACTTTATTAACAATTAGATAATTATCATATATCAGAATAATTTGAAGATGCATTAAAATGTTAAACATTATAAGAGAAGAATTTTCTATTTTAGATACCAGAACTTTGTTTAACTTGTTATCTTTGTAAAGATGGCAATAATTTACCTTTAATTCAAAAATATCAAGATTTATCAAAATTTTCTAGATTACTATCTGAGTATATTCTCTTATTTGATACATTATAAAATAATAGAATCTTTTTTGTTGCAACTGGAGATATTTAAGTTGGATTTATTTTTCCTTAAGTCATATATGATTGGTCCTTTTCTCCTTAATCCAAGAATTGGTTTGTAAATCATATGGATAATTATTAATAAGATAAAGATTAGAAATATTTTTTCTCATAACTCTACTTTTCTGGTACTCAATTTATTTACAAATAAACCATATCTTATTCTTTAGAGAATTAATACACTAAAAGTTTAGATGCAATTGCAGGTACAGATATAGATGCTGAAGATCCTGATATGAGATTAATTTAAGCAAATACTTATTTAATAAATGAATAAGGTTAGATAATTTATAGAAATGTCAATTTAAATCTCTCAGTCACTGAACTCAATTTTATTTATGAAGAAAATAAAACTGGATTTAATAAAACAGATTGGAATGAAATATTTAATTTTGCTAATAATAATCCAAGCATTTCAAATTGTTAATTAGATGAAAAATAAATATTATGTCGATATAATTCAATTTATAAGAAACCCATTAAGATTGTAGCTAATTAAATTCCTGGTAATTTCACCTTAATGATGTAAATTTAAGTTAAATTATTAGGTTTACAAATGCAAGCTTTGAATAATTATTACAATAAAATTTTTTATAATTAGAACTAAAGGTTTAATAAGTAAATGAACAAGCTTTCTATACATAAATAATTATATCTTGCTCTTTAATTGCAATTTCTATGGTTATTGTTATTTTAATGTTTCGTCCTATTCTAAGAGTTATGACTGCAGCAAAAATGTATATTAAAAAAATGGGTAATAATTTGGACAAAGAAATATTTAAATTAATGAATCCAAAAAAAAATGGCAATGGTATTTTCAATAATTTAGAGGTTTAAATTGTTAATTTCAGTGATATCTTATCTAGAAATTAATAATAAAAAGGAAATATTTGCAAATAAATTGAAGAATATCAATATTAAAAAAAAATGATTTAACCAACTCAAATTGAATTATTATCAGAGTATGCACAAAACTAATTAGCAACTCAATTATCTATATCAACTAACTATTTACATTAAATAGTTTCTCAATTATTAAAATAATTTAATTAATATAATCACACTGTCTAAAAAAATTGACTAAATGAAATTTCAGTATTCATATTAAATGATTTAATTTATAATCTTTTATGTAAAGAATTTTTATTTTAAAACTTTGATTGGGATATTGTTAAATTAATTAAAAAGCTATATTAAGAAATTACATCTTATCATTTTATAAAATAAAATATAGATATTAATTGTATTTATTTTTTATATTGTTCTTTAAATTTTATTGTAATATTCATTAAAATTAATCTTAAAAATAACTTCTTATATTATAATAATATAAGAAAAAAAGAATAGATTTTTTTTATTTTTATAGAATCAATCATTATCTTAATTAATTTTAAGAATATTAATTAATAGAGAAAACTCTGATCTAAAACTGATTTTAATTTTTTTATTAATTATTTCTATATTAACATATTATTTGATTCAATTTTATATTAAATATATTATAATGAAAAAAGACAGATAAAATTATTATTTTGTAGTTGTGAATAAGACAGGAGGCTTATAATTCTTTTCACAACTGAAAGAGTAGTATAGAGAAGATTAAGATAAGATAACTACAAATTAAGTTTTATAGGCATCATCAATATTTTACGCAATTGATCACCTTACACAAACAATAATACCTGATGCTATTTATAAAGTAGAGTAAGATAAGGATAAAGACTTTGAAAGAGATAACACCATAGATTTGTTAATTACTGAAAATTATATGGTCTCAACATTGAAAACTTTGACAGGATTACGCTTTTTAGTTATTTCAAGTAAATAATAATTTTAAGCATTAGATAAAAATTTGGAAGTACCAAAAAAGCATGAAGACAATATACAAAAGATGAGATAGATTTATAGACTTTATACAGATTATTTTTCAAAGGACCCATTTTAATCAGATGATTAACCATTGGGGGAAAAGAAAAGAGCTCAATTTGATAGGGATGTTAGAGAATTATTGGATTTTTGAATAAATTAAATGATATGTAAATTTAATTCATTTGAGCATTTCATAATTTAGTTTAAACAAAATGTTTCTTTGTAGGGATTAAGAGTATTAATAATTAGTTGGTTATTTAATAAAATTGTATATATAATTCATTCAATCAATCTTAGAGTTTATAAAAATATTAAGATATATCATGTATTGCAAAATCTTCATCAAGATCCTTGTTTTTTTGAGATCGCTATTTATTTTTTTTTGAAAATTAATAAGGTGGTTTTTCTTTGAATACTTTAATCATTTAGAGTTGTTCCTCTTATGTAAATGATTAATTAAATAATTTTTACTCTTAGTTTAGGTTGAATTTACGAAGGGTTCCACAAAGTAAATGATCAAATTTTTAATTCCAATCCTTAAAGTATGGATCCTTTTTTTTACAATCAGAAGGAGTGAATAAGTTAGAAACATAATATTTACTTTTTGGACTTGAAGATATAACAGGTAAAGCAATAATACGATCTTGGAAAGATTAAATATTTCTGGTTGGTGTTAAATATCGAGGTTTAACTCTTTTCTTAGAAGGTTAAATTTATATTGGATTGTTATTAATATCATGCTATTAAGCAAGAGAGGCATTTCTAGGTTTGTATCGTTTAGCAAAAGAGACGTAAGCACTATTAATGGTGTCATTATGTATTCTTTATAGATGATCATTCATATTATATTTATAATTTCAAAAACCCCTTATAAAACTTTTAGATGCAATTGGTGTAACAATTCTTCTCTTATTTTATTAGATTGGGCTATTCAAAATTCAAGCATTTGTTTGCACAGATGTTGCAAAATACCTTTAATCTTGTAATTTATTAAGTGTCATATTTAATTTTAGGGTCAGAAAGCATTTGTTCATTAAATTTTTCTAGTATTTCCATTAAATAAATATAATTATATTTGATGTAAATTATAATTAAAAAATATCCGTTAATATATAATGTAGAGACGTCGATCAATTTCAAAGAACAAAAGTTTTGACAGGTATTTATTCTTCTAGATTTCAGATTAGTTCCAGAAAAAGTGAACTTGGATGATTTTTAATTTCATATGGTAGAAGATTAGTAGAGCGAATTAAAGAAAGATTTAGATCTAAATGAAAGACTACGAATGGAAGGTAATCAGGCAAAATATAATTATTTTTTGAAATAGAATTTATTTGAGAGTAAATAACAATCAAGTTTATTTGTTTATTAAAGATAAGCTTCTAAATATAAACCCTATATAATTAATAATGATTGTCTTTCACCTATAAGAAAAATAAACAAAACTCCATATAAGGTTTTAGATGCTCCAAAGTTAAAAGATGATTTTTATTGTTAATTAGTAGATTGGAGTATAAGTAATTAAATAGGAGTTGCTTTAGATAATTCAGTATACTCATGGAATGTTCAAACTGGAGAGACTACATAATTATTAGAAATAGAAGCTCCTTCATATATTAGTGCATTGAAATGGTGTAATAGAAATGAATTGATGGCAGTGGGTGATGATAATGGTGCTGTTAGAATTTATGATGTTAACAAAGGAACCATTTTAAAAACATATGAAAATCATCATAAAAGAGTTGGTTGTTTAGATTGGAATGGTTTATGTATTACAAGTGGTAGTGGTGATAAAACAATTTTAATTTAAGATATAAGAACTGAAAATGATTGTGAAATAGCATTACATTCTCATAGATAAGAAGTTTGTGGATTATAATGGAATTAAAATGAATCATATCTAGCTTCAGGTGGCAATGATAATAATGTTATTATACATAATATCAGGATGCCTAATTAACCTCTTTATATATTCAAAGATCATACTGCTGCTATCAAAGCTTTGGCATGGTCACCTAAATAAAATAATATTTTATGTAGTGGTGGAGGTACAACTGATAAATCACTCAAATTTTGGAATGTTTCAAATGGATTACTTTAAAATAGTGTAGATACTGGTAGTCAAATATGTAATGTAAAGTGGTCTTTCAATACTGATGAAATAGTAACTTCTCATGGGTAAAATAATATGCATAAAAACATTTAGTTATTCTCTTAATCAAATTGTAGTTTGGAGAATGCCAAAAGTAGAGAGAATTGCTGTTCTTCATGGTCATTCTTTAAGAGTGGTTTATTTATCATTGAGTCCAGATGGAGAAAATATTGTTACAGGAAGTGGAGATGAAACCCTTAGATTATGGAAATTATTTCCTTAAAAGCATTAAAATTCAATTTCTTCTCGAAATTCCCTTTTAAACCAAATAAACTTAGATATTAGATGATGATAATTAATAAACAATTCATTTTTAATTTAGACACTACATACTACAAAATTCTTATATATAATATACATTTTTCCATAAAATTACAAATTAAATATCGAAAAACAAATTAATTAGTTTATAATTAATTAAGAATTTATGAATTGGATAATTTTATCATATTTAGGCTATATAATCTTGGCCCTAATAGCTTATCTTGTGATAGCACCTATTCCAAAGCTCTTGTATTATAAGATTAAGTATGGATCTGCAGTAGATATCTATTATTTCCCAATAATTGGACTAATAGGATAAATTGTTATTGATTTAATATTTAGATAAGATGCTTTCTATTCCTAGAAAAGATATGTATTAAAGAATAACAAACTTAAATTACATATATCTAATGATTTAAAAGGTGGTGTTCATTTCTCCTTGGTTGATCCAAAACTAAAGAAATAAGTTTTTTTTGATTAAGAATCATATAAGAAAATGGAAGGCATGCCTTTTGCTGATACATTTATGGATTAAGGATTACTTTTTTAAAATGGAAAGAGTTGGCATTAATCAAGAACAATGTTAACCAAACATTTCACTTATCAGGATCTATTAGTAATGGTAGAAACATTAAAATAGGAATGCAAAAAACTTTAATTAAAAGATGGTCCTATTGATATATTGACCTTATTGAAATAGTTGACTAGCACAACTATTACAAAAACATTTTTTGGTAGTGAAAATACTGATGTATCAGATTTGGGTGTTGAGGTCAACAAGAATATGGAAAAGATGATGCTATTTTTTTTAAATCCTTTAATAGTATTGAGATGTTTTGCTTTAAAATTAAATAAGACAACAACTCCATCATTTTTATTATCATCTGGAGAAAAAGCATTTCTTAGAGAACTGTAAGCTTAAAAATAAAGAATTACATGTGAAATTGATTAAAGAATTAAAAAAATCAAAGAGAATTAGGCTGTATAAGATAATATATTATCTACAATGTGTAAAGAGATTATGAATAATAATATTACAAAGGAGGAAGCTATTCATTAATATTTCACTCTCTTAATTGCTGGTATAGATTCTACTAGTCATGTTGTTAAAAACTTTTGTTATGCTTTAGCTCTCTATCCAGATGTATAAAATAGACTTAGAAATGAAATTCAAAGTATTATTAAATAATTTGATGATCTAAAACCATAATAATTAAGTCAACTTAAATTATTAGATAACTTTATTAATGAAACTTATAGACATTATACTGCAGTTCCTTCATTGTTCAATAGAATAGCTCTTAAAGATATTTAATTAGGAGAATTTGTAGTCTAAAAAGGATAGAGTATGGATTTAAATATGATGATGAGTCACTTTGATCCATCTATTTTTGAAAACCCACTTAAATTTGATATTGATAGATGGAATACACCATTATTAGATTCATATTCTTTTACACCATTTTCAGCTGGCCCTAGAAATTGTATTGGATAACATCTAGCAACTTTAGAAATGAAGACCTTGCTTGTTTACCTTATTCTTAATTTTAATCTAGAATTAAATAGTGGTAAGATTATATTGGGATTGGCAAATATGTATGGTCCAACACGCAGAGATTTCTTAGTATTGAAAAATATTAATTAATAATTATGAGTTCAAATCCTTATTTTTTGATTCTACACCATTAATATGAATAAGCTCTCCAACTATTGGTTAGTGATGATTACGAGACTCTTGTAACCAAATCAATAGCTTAATATCATCTTGGCAAATATGATGATGCATTATCAACATTAGACAAAGCAATCTAACTAAGTTCTGACAGATTTGAAGCATATTATAGAAAGGGTACATTGTGAAAATAAATTCAGGATTAATCAACTTTGTAAGTGGGAAAATCTAATAATCATAATTAGATTTATAAAAAAGCCTTGAACTCAATCCAAAGCATTAGGAAACTCAATAATAACTTTTGAAATGTGAACTAGAACTCAAGAATACAAAACTTGTTTAAACAGCTTAAGAAAAGTAATGCAAAATATAATTTCTAGAATAATCTAGTAATAGAAAGAAGTTCCATAAAATTCTGATGCTTAGAGAACTAATATTTATTCAGCATCAGGCAAGTTAATGTATAAGTGGTATCAAACAGATCTTAAAGTTGGTATAGAAATACATCATGCATTACCAAATAGTGCAGACTTAAAATATTAATTTGAAAAATAAAAGTAAAAAATAAAGAAAATTCTAGATTACAATTATCATTTCCTATTGAATAAGCTAATAATTTTGAACTTGATTTAGATTTATTTGCTGAAATTATTCCAGAAACAAGCAAGGCTAAGGTAGGATTGAATTCAATTGAAATTATTATGGATAAAAAAGATAAAACATTAAATTGGAGTACATTATAGAAAAAGGTTGAAGAATAATCATAAATACCAATAATGGAATAAGCATCATATCCAACTTCATCAAAAAAAAAGAAAGATTGGAGTAAAATAGACAAAGAGATTGAAGAAGACATTAATAAACATAAAGAAGAATATGGTGAAGATCCTTTGAATAGTTTGTTTAAGTAAATTTATTAAAATGGAGATGAGAATACTAGAAGAGCTATGATAAAATCAATGTAAACATCAGGTGGAACAGTATTGTAATAAATAAAATATTATTATTTTTTAGATCTACTAATTGGGATGAAGTTAAAACTAAAGATTATGAAAAGAAGGATAGACCTTCACCTCCAAAAGGATAAGAATATAAAAAGTTAGGATGAATTATTATTAATAAACAAATAAATTTAATATAATGAAAAAAAAATAAGTTGAACATCGTATGATATTGACAACTATTCCTCCAGCACTTGATATTGGATTTACTGCTGTAACATCTGTATCTAATTTGGTATTCATGTTTGAAAATCCAAATGACTATCCTGTGTAGTTTCATTTTGAATTTGAGAGATTTAAGATTACTCCAGATAGGTAATATACAGTGATTATAATTTAGAGGATAATTAGCTCCTGGATCAAAAATCAATTTTACTTTGACATATGCTCCTTAATAAGCAGAAGTAATTGTAGCATCAATTATCATGCATATTCAATATGAATAACCCAGAGTTATTAAAGTATCAGGAATTGGTAAATATCCTTTCTTATAATTGAACACAAAAAAGCTTAATTTTGAAACACTATTGATAGGTAAAACAGTAACAAAAGAAATCACTATTAAGAATTAATCAGAAGTTACAGCCCAATTCTAAATTACTAAAATGATTGATGATGAGTTCAAAGATAATGCATTTTCATTAGATTACTATTAAGGTGTTATACCATAAAAAAGCACATTTTTAATTAAAGTTACATATTAGCCTTAAATCCTTAATGTTTCAGTTATTAGATATAAAGTGATATGTTAAGGTGGAAATGAATTAACTTTTGAATGTGTTGGATCTGCAGTTGAACATGCAGTGTATCTGAGTGAAAAGTCAATTAATTTTGGTGAAATAAAAATTGGTAACTAAGCAACAAAATTATTGACAATTCATAATGATTCTAATCTTGCTACATCATATTAATTTTATACAGACATGAATAATATTTTCAGCTTCAATAAAATTAGAGGTTTAATTTAAGGAAAAAGTTTTGATCGTATCATTGTTACTTTTACACCTAGACATACAATTAATTATTATGAAAGAGTTTATTGTGTTGCAAGTAATTAAATTAAGTTTGTTGATTTGATTGGTACATGTTATGATCTTTTAATTAAACCTATACCATTACTTCAATAACATATTGATAATTTTAGAAGAAGAGTTATTCAAGGAAAATTAAGTGAAGTTGATTTCAAATATATGGAAAATTCTTATTTAATGAAAATCAATTAATAAAATTAAAGCAATCTATAAGGTGAATGGCAAGAGAATCCTAATTAAACTGTATAATATAAAGAATTAATGCTTCCTCCATCATCAGATTATAGATTAATTAAATTTTCAGAAGATTTTATAGATTTTGGCTATGTAGAATGTTATTCATAAAGTGGAGCAAGGGAGTTAGAATTACATAATAGACTTAATTGTAAATTGACTATTTTTTGGACAATATAAACTCATCCTACTGTTAATGGAGAAAAAGTGCCAGTTTTCACAGTTTCTCCAGAAACATAATCAGCTCATGCAAATTCTAAATGCAAATTTTCAATTAGTTTTAGACCAACAAAATCATCATACTATTATTTTTAATATATTCAATTCTTTGCAATTAAATATAATCCAAAACTTACTAAAAAAATATTAGATTCAGTTAAAAATAATAAAGGTTCTATTTTAAATGAATCATTTGGTAATAATGCAAATTTAAAATTATCTTAAACTGGAATTACAAATCAAAAAAATACTATAGATTTTACATCTAAAGAAATGATTCCTACTTTTAGTGGATAAATTGGATGTGTTGGACATTCTTTTGGGATTAATTCTTAACCTTACATTCCTATTGTAGAACTAAGACCATCTAATAAGTTATATTTTCCTCCTTGTACAATAGAAGAATCTGTTTATTAAACAGTAGAATTTATTAATAAATCAGACACTCCAATCTATTTTAATTTTAGTCCAGATCCAACAAGAACTTTTAGAGTATTTCCAAATTAAGGTTTAATTTTTGGTAAGTCTTCATAGATGATTATTGTTGAATTTGTGCCAGTTGAAAATAAGGCATACAATCAAACTTTAGTTTGTCATATGAATCATTAATCTTCCAATTAAATAACTCTGTAAGCTATAGGATATTGTTCAACTCCTTCATTGAAATTTCAAAATGATGGTAAAGTTTTCTTTCCTCCCTCATTTATTGGAGTTTATTCTAGACAAAAATTAACAGTTCATAATGAATCAAGAGTACCTATGAGTTATTCAATTGATGTACCTGAAAAATATTAATCAGAATTATATATTGAACCATCTTCTGGATAAATTAAACCTAATGAAGTACTTCATCTAGACTGTTAATTTATTCCATATAAAAAGAATAAAGAATATAGAATCAAAGTACCTATGTCTGCTACTGAAATTCTTGCAGATAATTAAAATCTTATTGGGTATCATATTCCAGGATCAGGAAATCAGGATTTTCCACTTGAATAAAGAAAACCAATTGAATTATCTTATTAATTTGAGATATTTGGCAAAGGTACAGATGGAGAATTAGAACTTAATGTTAAATAAATCGATTTCAATATTATAAAAGTTAATTTCAATACAAAAAAATATGCTACCTTAATTAATAATTCAGATTGCACATTTTATATTGAATTAGTTCTTAGACCAAAAAATAAGGATAAAGATAAAATTGATCATTAAATAATTAGTCTTATTAATAGATCTTTTACTTTAGATTTATAAAATGGGATTATTGCTGCCAATTCAAAATTAGATATTGGAATTATGTTTAATCCAATTGAAGTTTGTGAATTTGATTTAGTTTTAGATGTTATTGCTACAGAAAAGAATCCTAAAGCTCCTAAAGGTCCTAATTATTAAAATAAAAAGATTGTATCATAAAAATGCAAATTAGAGATTAAGGCTAAAGGAAATTATCCTTTGTTAAAGATTGCTGATGTAAGAAATGATTCTATAAGTGTTGCCACTTTATGGGAAAATTTTTAAATCAATCAAATTAATTCAGAATTAGCCAAAGATTTAAATGAAGATGAATAGAAATTTTTGAAAATTGAATAATTAACATTTGATTAAGCTTAATAATTATAAAAGAGATTGAGAAGTTATGACTGGAATTTTGGATATTTACCATCTAAACCATAAGTAAAATCAAGAAAAATAGTCATTACAATTTAAAACATTGGAGGAACTGATTTAGAGTGGTAATTTAAATTACCATCTGATCATTAAATAGAATTAGAACCTTGGGCTGATCCAGGAGAACCTACTGAAGAAGATACATTTGAAAAAGCTATTTTAGAAAAGAACATATTTTAAATTAGACCTAAAGGAGGTGTCATAGCACCAAAATGTTTTAAAGATATAGAATTAATCTATACTCCTTGCAATTTAGATGAATAACTCAAATAAAAAGGAATTTCAAATGAAAGTCATTTTCTAAGGGTTGTATTATAAATTTTGAATGGAAAACCATTAGTTTTAAATTTAAAAGGAACAACCTTAGCTCCATTAGAAGGTAGATTGGCTGTAAAGAAAAACTCATTTGAGTTGCCAGAAACTCCAGTTGGATTATTATAGCCTGTTAAATATCCAATAGAAATTTAAAATGTTGGAAGTTCAAAAGTGTCTTATAAAACAATTATATAGGAATTGGATATTGAAGGAGAGGTTATTGACTCTTAATTTAATGTATTTGATATTCAAAATCCTCAAGGATCACTATTACCAAATGAGAAATAATATTTGTACTGTCTTTTTAAACCTTTAGAATAGAAAATATACTATTTTGAATTATTAGTAGAGGTTTCAGATATGGTTAAAGTGATTTAACCAGTTAAGTTAGCTATTCAAGGAAGAGGATATGCCAATCAACCTAAAAATTAGATTTAAAAATAAACAATAGAAATTCCAAGATAAAGATCACATAAATCTCCTATAGGTTCTAAAGTGTTCTTTTCTTTGGAAGAAATAGATTTTGGAGAATTACTACCATTAAAATCTGCACATAGAATGATAATTCTATACAATCAATCAGCAGATCGTAAATTTACATTTGATTTTGGTGGTTCATAATTCATACTTTCAAATAATAGACCAGGACTATGTTGTGGGGATGAATTTTTAATTGAACCAATCTAGGGAGAATTAGAAGCATAGTCATTTATAGAATTGAAATTAACATTGACAGCAGCCTCAACTCCTTCAGTCTACGAAGGAGAATGTGAATGTTCAATAAGTTGGGAAAATAAAAATTAATAAATAAATACTTCTTAAATAAGTTAAAATTCTCAAGCTATAACAGTAGATAAAGAAACTTTGTTTTTAAGAATAAAGAAGAAATCAAGTTTAAATGTAGAATTAGTGAACTCATTTAAATAACCTCCTCCTCCTATTCATAATGCTATGGCTCATCCTTTCTAATAATTATTAGGTTAGATTATTACAGAGGTTTTGACTGACTCTCACACTGATTAGATTCTTAGAGCATTAGATCAATAACCAATAACACTATATTAACCAGAATAATAACATTAAGAAGGAGAGGATATATAAGCGGAGGATTTGTAAATATTAATATATATTAATTTAGGACAATCCCAAGAGATTATAAAGATTATAAGACAATGTTTTTAGAGGAAGAATTCATCGAATTAACTGATTTAATAATGGAAAATACATTCTTTAATATAATATAAGAAACCACAAGAAAAGAGTGTGATTTATTACGTATTTCAAAGACTTTTGTCACACCAGCAAACAAATGATTATTATATAATAAAATATTATTTTAAAGATAACTAACAGCTTTAAGATTAATTTATAGAAAGAAAATAAGTAGTTCAGTTTTGAGTTGTTTCCTACTCTTATTACGTTTATAACTTATCATTCCACCTAATTCTAATTCCATATTGCCAGATTCCTTCTCTTTGTTGTCCATCTTCTCTAATATAAACACCCTTTCCATGTTATTAACCATTTAACCATTCTCCCATATATTTTCTCCCATTCCATTTGTAAGTTCCAATTCCATGTCTTTTATCTTCTTTAAACTCTCCTATGTATTCTCGATCATCTTCCCATTTCATTATTCCTTTACCCCACAATTAACCTTATTTAAAATCTCCTTCATAAGTTTTCCCATCTGCCCATTTATATGTACCTTATCTCAGTTGGATATACATACATACCTTTTCCGCTGATTACTCCATTTTCAAAAGTTCCAATATATTGACATCTATCTTTTGTAACTAGTTTTCCCTTTCCATGTCTAGCACCCTTATAAAATTCTCCTTCATAGAAAGTACCATCTACATAATTATGTCTTATAATTTTACTTGAACATTATTCTTTTCCTAATCCATGTTATTTATCATTCAACCATTCGCCTTCATAGTATGATCCATCAGTACTTATAAATTTCCCTATTCCATTTGCCTTATCATCCATCCATTAACCTTCATAAATATTCCCACTTATATTCACCAATTTTCCATAACCTTAGGCTTTATCATTTACAAAATCTCCTATATAATAAGATCCTTTTATTATTAAATTAATTACCATCTGGCCAAGTTTACTTTCCTCTCCCATGTCTGGCTCCATTTAATAGGTCTCCTTCATATATTGCACCAGTTTCTAATCTCAATATTTGTTTATCCTCCACTTGTTATGACATTTACGCTGATAGATGATAATATTCATCACTAAGGGCTGCTTCAATAACTTCAATCTCTGAAACATTAAGTATTATTGGTTTATCAACAGTAATTTTTGAACATAGTCCAGAACAGCTTCCCATTTAATTGAAATAAATAATATATAACTTACAACTATCATTTTATAAGTTTGTAATTGTACATAAATAATTTGAACTGAAAGATATGAATAAACTAAAGGCATTGAGAAGTGCTTTATTTAGGTAATATCTATTTAAAGCATGATATTTGGATATAATTATTAATAAAATAAAGATTTAAATATGCTGAGGTTAGTGAGTAAGAAGTCATTCTCCTCTACATTTAATGTGTTGGATACATTCAAGACTCTAAAAAGTGTGGTAATATACTAAAACATATAGAAAGATTACTGCCCCTATCAGACACATAAGGTCATATGTACGATAAGATGGAGTGCATAGTTCAATGACACCAAATTTGACTTATTAGGCTTTCGATGAAGTGCTTCATGAATATTATGCTGCCTATTCTGGAAATCCTTTCCATTTACAAGTTTACAATAACTTAGATAATATCTAAACAGTCAACTTTGGTACAGTAGACAATCCCTGTGTTATTTTTACTGCTGATACTCCCTTCAGATATGTTGGATGCACTGGTTTGCAGAATGAAGATGATTATGAATAACATGAAATCCACCTCTTTATGTTAAGAGAAGGTCCATTATAGAGATGCCCAATGTGTGGTCAAGTTTTCAAATTAGTCAGACTAAGATAATAAGAGGATGAAGAAATGTCCTACTATAGAGATTCATTCCATCCTATTGATATTTTTGAATTGGATGTAAATTAATCAGTCAATTATTTTAGAATGAAAATGTTTAATCAATTAATATGCTAAAAATGTGGACTCACAGAGAGGCTTCATTATTTGAAAGTGCATTATATGAATAAAATATTATGGTAACAATGGATAACGATGTACATGATAGATTACTTGTTGATCCAGCTTATAGAATGTGGAGATTTTAACATGGTGAAGATAAATTAAAATACATTGATTAATAATTGAAATAAGCAGGTTATAATGAAGAAAGAGTCTATAGAAATCCTAAATACAAATTACCAATGTAAAAGGCAACATATGCAGCTGTTATTGAAGCAGAGAAGGTCTTGGCTATCTAAGAAAGATTAGAAAGAAAAGTGAATAGATTCCATGTTAGAGAATATCTTGATTTTGCTAATCATGCTAGAAGAGAAAGAAGAATGAGATTGAGATAAAAGGAAAGATGGGAAAACAATTACACTTATTTCTATGGAGGTCTTACAGAAGAAGAATAATTATATAATGATTACTTTGAAACTGATTAAGAATTATACAAAGATGATGAATAAGTTGAATAAAGAATTGATGAGGCTGTTGCTTAAGTTGATCCTAAGTATAGTCCTCTCAGATTTGATTTCTAAGAAGCATATACTCATAATCCTGAAGAAGATCAAACTTCACTTCTTGAAAAGAAATTATGGAGATTTAAATATAGATTGGCATTTGATTGCACTAAAGATTATTAAGTTAGAGAAAGAAGATTGATTGAAAGACATTTGGCAAGAATGACTAAAGACCCAGAATATATTGCTGTTTTCAAGAATCTATAAACTGCTGTTAATTCTGAAAATGAATTTGCAATCTTATAAGCTGAAAAGAATTATTATAATCTTGCAGCTAAAGAAGGATGTAAATTTATTAAATTATTTATTTAGTCCTTTAATACAAGGATTACTTTGAAGGAGATTCATCAGCTGAAGTTGAATTAGTGGAGGAATTATATAAAGCTTCACCTTTAGCATTCAGCAAAGTCTTTGTTAATCATTCTGCAAGATTATTCTAATAAGAAGGATTCTAGAAATTCCCTAAAAGAGCTTGGAATGACAGTCTAGGATTAATTTAAAATTATGTTTTAGATTTCTAAGACTTCTCATCTAATATAGTACCAAAAGCTTAAAAATTAGCTAATTATGCTGGTTTATAAAATGTATATAAAATAATTTTATATTATAGGTACTTCCTGCAGATGAGTAAGAATTAGTAAAACTTGGTTTAGACAAAACTGAATAAATTGCAAGACAAAAAATTGCCTAAGCTTAAGAAAAACCATAATTAAATGAACCACCTAAATAAGCATAATAATAAGTTCCTCCAAAGGTTGAATAAGAACAATAATAATAATAGAAACCTTAATAATAATAATAATAATAATAACAATAATAATAAAAGAAAGGACCTTTTAACAAAAAGAAATGATAATTTAAATATAAAAATAAAACAAAATAATTATATTATAATTATCTATTAGATTTTTTATTGATTCAATCTTATTAGTCTTGATTTTATTCTAATTGCATTTCTTCTCTTTTATCATTATATTATGAGAATAATTCTTAATAGTCAATTTTTTATCTACTCTCCTTTCCTATTGCATAATGATCTATTTATGCACAACCTGGTTATATTTGTTTTAAGTTATCTATAATCTAAATTCTATTAAATTATAATTAATAATACATATTTTTTTCTAAGTATTCTTTTGAATTTTATTCTTCCATATTAGAGATAGGTAAATGTAATTTATATTCAGGACCAAAGTAAACCTTATAATCAGATTCATCAGGAATATTATCAGGAATTGGTACATTTAAAGCAAGGGAAGTTTCATAAGTCCAACAACGAGGAACATTTCTTAAAGTATAACCCCCACCACCTACCATTATGATAGGGACATTAAATTTTTTAAGATATTCAGTGCAAGAACCATGACCTAGATTTATATATTTAATTAAAACCTTTTATGCTCAAATTAAAACAACCCAATCTATCTCCACTGAGACTATCAGTTCCTCCTTATAACATTACTACATCTGGTCTAAAATTTTCCATAATGCTATCAATCACAGGTTTAAATATTAATTATATAGAATCATCATTTAAACCTTCATTCAATGGAAAATTAACTGCATAATATTTTCCTTTATCATGTCCAATATCATCAATATGTCCAGTTCCAGGAAAGTATTCTTTAAATTTATGAAAAGAACAAGTCATAACTCTATCAGTTAGATAGAATGCTTCTTCTACTCCATCTCCATGATGAATATCAATATCAACATAAAGTACTCTTTAATAAGTTTTTAATAGTTCTAATATTCCTAATACACAATCATTGACATAACAAAATCCACTTGCTTCACTTTATTTTGCATGATGTAATCCACCACTCCAATTTATAGCAATATTGCTTTTCTAATCTGCTATTACACAAGCTGCTCCTACAGATCCAGAAGTTTGACATAAACAAAAATCAAATAATCTATCCAAAACAGGGCAATCTTCCATAAAATTGACTTAATATCTAATATTAATTCTATACATCGATATAATTGATCCTCATGTTGACATTTATTTTCTGGTGTAATTATTTTAATTAAATTAATATACTCTTCAGAATGAAATTAAGTCAATACCTCTTCATCTACCATTTTGATATATGTTTAAACAAAAGATTAATCCTAAACCTAAAAATGAATACATCTTACAATACAATTCATATATTATTTTAGTCCATAATGGCCCACTAAATCATCTGTTATGGCAACCCTCAAAGGTTTCATTGGATGAGTTGTTGAATAATTAAATGTGCCAAATTCTTCATCGTAATAGTAAGTCACTTTCTATTTGAAGAGATTCATTATTTCCCCAAAATTGTATTTTTTAAATTTTATTATTGTTTATATAAATATTATTTTGCAAATTATTATGAAATTTAGTATTATCAATATGATATAAAATTCAATTTCCTTTAAATTTAATTATTTCAAAGACTTTTTAAATTAGAAAATAAAATAAATAAGAATTCTATCAAATATTAAATCATTAATCAAGCTTATCTAGAATCATATTAGCTAATTCATAATTTTCATCTGAAACTTTCATTTTTTATACAAATAAAATCCTTGATTCACAATCTTCTTCATTAAATATTTTCATATTAGCCTAATCTAAACTGATAAGTCTGTATAAGATTGAAAGAATATTATATAAAAATTAGTTACCTCTTTCTTCACAAAAATCATTCAATTCTTATGTTATTTACTTAATCAATTTATAATCTTTGTTCAATTTTATTAAATCTTCACACTTAGAAAATTTGATTACATTATGGAGAAACAAAAAAAAGTCATCCACCTCTAAAAATATAGAAGGGATATTTTGAATATATGGAAGGATTTCTTCCCAAAATTCATTTATAATTTATGGATCATCTGTAATAAAATTACTTAATGTAACAAATCCTTTTTTTATTAATAATTTTAATTCTCCTCTTAAAATATTTTATTAATCAATATATTTATTAATTGTCTTTATTATAGTATGTGCCATTTAAGATTGAAAATTTAATGTAATTTCATTATCTATTATAATAATACAAATATTACCTAATAAAGATACATACTAAAAATATTTAAATATTTCTCCACATAATTAAATTTCATCATAATCACCTTTCAATAGATAATTCAAAAAACTCAAATCTAATTTTGATTTGTCATAAGAATATATTCTGTTTAATATCTTGAGAATCCATAATTTTTCTTTAGCATTATAGAGTTAAATGTAGAGATCCTACAATATATCATGCAACTCTATTAATTTAAATTTATTAATTTCTGGTTTCATTCTATCCAAATTTATAATCAAAGAATAAAAGTCATCAAATAGGCATTTCTGTTTACATTAGAGTGTATAATTCCTTCTATTGATTATATAATGTACCATAAACATTTTGGCACTTAGAGTACTAAAATCAAATCTCTACATTGATAACAATCACAAGCTATATTTGCAAAGATATCCAAAATATATTATTATAATTCTGTATAGTAAGTTGAATTATAATAACCTGCAAGCATTTATATATGTTCATGAATCGGTTGAACTTATTAATGATTTCCTGCAGATATGGCTAACAATATATGTAAACAAGATTTCTAAAAATAATATTGATATCTACATCAATTTATGGATATCCTATATTAAAGACTTTAAATATTCTTTCTACATCTTTTGTAGTATCATACTCAGGTTCACAATCATATTCATTATAATAATTGGTTAATTACTAAACTTTGAAAATACAATCTGCTAATGTTTCATCTATTTCAATATTATCATTCATGAAGTTGATTTTCTATAATTAATAACTTAATTACCTGTTAATTGCCTCTTTCAAATGCCTCATAATATGGTTATTATAAAATAATATTGTTGGAAACAAATGGAATTATGTCTTTAGATTATGGAAATCTATTTTTTCTGAATGTTTCTTCTCTTGCTTTCTTTTTAAGTCCTATAATAAATTGCTCTCTTTTTTGTGATATATTTTATAGCATTTTTAATAATTTTAAATAAATAGAGAAATAAGGCAATTCTAAAAATAATATTGCAAATCAATTCATTATTCACCAAGGAGATATATCATCTAAACTCTACTTAAATGCCATTTATGAGTATAAACTTTACTATAAATTTCGATTAACAATATGATTAAGACTAAATATTTTTGCTTAACTTTGATTATTTACTATTTTTTTCAAGCCTGGGGAAGTTCTAAATCTTTTATCAGCTGAGTATTTATTTTAATTAATCTCTTTATAAGTTTAAGATTATGTAGAATTGTTGATGAGACATCTAATTCGCAAATTATTTATTGATACAAATCTAATATCATTTTGATCTTTTCTTTAATTAGTTTCATCATTTTCAAGATTTCTAGGAATTGACCATGGCTTAAAAGAAGAGGTTAACTATTGCTATTATAAAAGAATTTTATCCAAAAGGTCAGCTTTAGACTTTTTAATTCGAAATTATTTTTTTTCCTCTAATCTCATAAAATACTTTTTCTAAAATTATGGAGTTGAAGGTTCTCTTTATTTAAATTAAATTGGGTTGTTGTAATTACAATAATCATGGAGAGTTTAAAGAGTATGATTTTGCATAATTATATTTTATATATTTATAAATAATATGAATCAACAAAATAATAACTAAAATTTATTTAGATTTAGAAATGCTATAATATAGTAAATATTATTTTTAAAAATTATGATTAAATCATAAAATACAAAGATTAGATATTCTATATATAGATTATATTATAATATCTAAATGAAATATTGATATTATTAATGATGTAGATATATATTTAGACAATCATGTTTCAAATATTAAGATCTAATTTCAATAAATCAATGTTTTTTGGAGATTATTGAAATTAACTATTAAATTTTATTATATCCCAATGTGATAAATTTATATTTAAAAAATAATGCTCAAACATCTTTATGACACAGATTGTGTCACTTGGTCACCATAAGGCAAATTATTTTAAGTCGAATATGCTATGGAAGCTGTCAAATAAGGAAGTATATGTTTGGGTCTCAAATCAAATGAAAATGTTGTATTATGCAGTCTCAAAAGACAACCATCAGAATTAGCTGGATATTAAGAGAAATAATTTAAAATAGATGATCATATGGCTATTGCTATTGCTGGATTAACAGCAGATGCACGTATTAAATCAGATATATAAATACAGGTGTACTATGCAAATATATGAGAACAGAATGCTTAGAATATAAATATACTTATGAATCTCATCATCCAGTTGGAAGATTAGTTTTCAAAGTAGCTGAAAGTATGATTTTTATAAGAAATTAAAGAGTCTTAACATAAAACCTAAAGTGGGGCCAAAAGACCTTATGGTGTTGGATTACTTGTTGCTGGTATTGATCCTAATGGTGTTCATTTATTTGAAACTTGTCCATCTGGAAACTATTATGAATATAAATGCTAAGCTATTGGCTCAAGGTCTTAAGCAGCAAGAACTTATTTTGAAAGTTGGTTCCATTTATTTGAAAAAAGCACTTTAGAATAATTAATCTTACATGGATTAAGCGCTATTAAGAAAGCAATCATGGAAGATGAAGAGTAATTGACATTTCTATACTTTTAAATAGATTAAATGAAAAAAATGTAGAAGTTGGAATTTTAGGTAAAAATCTGAAATTTACACATTTAAATGCACAAGAATTAAAAGATTATATAGCTAAGTTAGAAACCTTTAGTCCAAATTCTTAAATTCAGCAGGAGTGATAATTTAATTATAAATATATTATTAGATAATATATAAGTTTAATTTATTTATTTTCGCTGAATTTTTAATTTTATATTTCTAAAAATTAATTAATAAATATTGAATCAATTCCATAATGAATTTTTTATTTGAAATTATTCCAAGAATGCAAAATCATATCAAATAAAAACTAATTAATATAATAACTATTTAACTATAAATCTATTACTGAATGGAAGGTTTCTCATACATCTATATTTATATTATATATATTTATAAATATAATTTTGATTAATGTAATAAAAAATCAATATCATGATAATCATCTTCTAATTTCCCTTCTTATTGAATAAATGAATTTATAATTAGTAATCTTACTATCTCAATTTTAAACCTTTATCTTCTCATTTTAAATTATATTCATAAATTTTCCATTACACAAATTTTGCATTATTAAAACAATAGAATATACATAATAAATAAAATCAACAAATAAGAGCGTATAGGATATCAAAATTATTTTTTTTGTGGCCAATTTTTGAATTTTGTTTGTTTATTTCATCTAAAAAGGATTTTATTTCATGTACATTAATATATTCAAGTAATATTGAAACATATCTTAAGTAGTAATATGGATATAATTTGGATAAAATATAATTTTTCCTTTTTTTAATAATAATAACTGCATTAGCATCTTATAATTCCGAACCATTTTTAATAGTTTTCATTTTATTATGTTTGTACATATTCTGAGTTTCTAAAAATTTATGTAATCTTAATTAGTACATTAATGTAAATATATATAAATAATCTTATTAGCAACATCATTTAATTAAAACATTAGTTTATAGAAAAATTTATTTGTTGCTAACTTCAAGTTATATTTTTTTATTTTACTTAATTGATTTATATTCATTTTTATAGTTTTTGATAATATTAGATAAATGTTCATACTTTTTTGATGCTAACATTCATAAAGTTTGATACAAAAAATCATTTAAATAAGTGTTTTTTTATAATTTTTAATCATGTCTGTTCAAATATACTTTAAAATTAGAATAATTTGCTCTATTAATAGTAAAATATGTTTTATTTTGTTTCCTATCAAATCTTCATTTAGTTAGTTATAGCTTATATATATATAATACAATTAATATATTTATATTATTATGCTGAGTCTCAATAAATTAATTTACTTGAATCCATAACCTTCATATCATTCCAAGACTTTTGATGGGCATTAAAAACTTAAACTATTATTCATAAGAACAAAACAAAATAAACATTAAATTCCTTGTTTATTCATTAAAGCCAACTCAGATGAATATCTTCTATATTTTCATAGTAATGCAGAGGATATGTAAATTTTATTTAAATTAAAAAGAGGAACTTGCTATGAGTTTACATCTGCTCTGAGTAATGGATTGAACTTAAATGTCATTTGTATGGAATATCCAGGATATGGGATTTATACTTAAGTGGAACCTTCTTAGTAATAAATTGAGAAGGATGCAGAAGATGTGTTTATTTATATTAATTTGGAATTAAGAGTTCCTGATTCAAAACTTACTATTTTTGGAAGGTCAATTGGAACTGGTCCAGCTTGTTTTTTAGCATCAATTTATTAACCAAAAGCATTAATTTTATTAAGTCCATTCACATCAATAAAAGCTGTTGCCAAAAAGCATTTTTACTTTGCTGCCAACTTATTAAAAGTATGAAAAAATTTATCATACATTATTAGGATTAATTTGATAATGTAAAAAGAGCAAATAAAATTATATGCCCTTGTATTATTATTCATGGAAAATTGGATAAATTTATTCCAATTTAAATGGCAGAAGACATCTACAAAAGTTTGGCTTCTAAAAGAAAAACATTTTTTTATCCTGAAGATAAAGATCACAATAATTTCAATTTTTCATACGATATAAATGATATTGTTTACAACTTCATAAAGGAAATTGAATAGTTAAATCATATGTTTTCTCCTAATTGAAATATGTAGGTTATCCTAAATTAGATCAAATATGCTTTTTTAAGAAATTATATTTTGTGCTTTGTTTTGATTTTTCACTATTCAACTATAACAAAACTATTAATTTTTGTTATAAATTTTAATTAAATTTCTTTATTTAATACAGAAATTCAAACTAAAGAAGATCAATTTAATTTCAATAAAATAGTTTTATCTTATTTATCTGGATATTTTCTAATTATTCTTATGACTTATGATATATTCTAAAACCTAATTTATTTATTCTAACTTTAATAATATAAGTTTTTAGTTAATTCAATTTTTTTATTCTATGAATTTAATAAATAATTAGATTCCATATTTTAAGGAAAGTATTAAAAGTATTAATTATATATAAAGAGTGAGGAGGTAAATTTGATTTTTATCTTTAATAGAAATACTATTTACAAAAGATTTAATTCTTTTAATAAAAATATTAATTAGATATAATAGGCATTAAAGGTTTCTTATTGATTTATATAAATATTTAAATCAAAATAAAAAAATGAAGTAAAATAAGTTCATATAATTCTAAAAAATATAATCATTGATATAATTAAGACAGTATATTAAATATGAATATCTGATATTCTCAGAATTATAATCCAATATCTTCAATTGGTAAGTGAGATACTGCTTATAAAGCCTTTTTTAATTCTCCTTTTGTTCTCATGGTTTCAACGTATTACTTAATTGTATTTTAAAATTTAAGACTATTTAATTTAAGATCAGGAATTATTGATATGAACATATATATCTAAATATTATAGTTTAAAATACTTCAACAACATTTTCAAGTTTATTTTATTATAAATTTGTATTGATAGTGAGGGAACAGAGTTCAACAAAATCAAATGTATTATTTCTTTACTATAAATCATTTATACATTAGCTTAATATTTAGGCATTAGCATTTGTTATAACATATAAACCTCTTAATACTCTAATAATTAGATTATTGACTGAAATATTCTCAGGACTAACATGCCAAATAAAGAACAATTTCATGATAAATCTAGGTTATGCATATTAAATTGATATAATTTGATTAGTTAATGTATTAATCATCAATTTTAATGTATATTCTATTAATTGTTTATTTATCATGAAATTGTTCTAAAATTTACAAAATAATCTAATAAAAAAATTTATCATTTTATATAATATTTAAAATTTATGAATATGTACTTAAATTAGTTAACATACCTATTCCAACTGTAAGTAATCTGTTATCATTGCTATTTTGATAAATTTAACGAATTATTTATGGTATTATTTAAGGTTAAATATATTAATTACCAACAATTCCAATAATTCTTTGAACATAAATTATCTGATAGAAGGATGCTATTGATCATATTTTGTTGATGATATTTATATGTTTTAAAGAAAGTTACTAAAAATATTGACTATATTTTCTATATGTTATAATTTTTATTGTTCATTATTTTCACATATCTTTCTAATTATACCTATCATCAATGCACATTCTTAATTGATAGTATTAATTTATTTATATAAATGATTAAAGAATTCTGCATATTTTAAGAGTTCATCAATAACTTCAGGACAATCATATAATAATTTCCATATTAATGTTAAAGATGAAGCATCTAATGTTAGTTTTAACATTTATAAAATTCCTTAATACCAAAAAAGTAATCTTTAATCATTATTAAAACACATATTAGCTATAATTAATTAGATTAGTTCTCTATTGATATTATTTCTATATAGTTAAAGTAATTAATCTTAACTCTTTTTAATAGTCATATATTCAGAATTATTGCTATTTTTAGTTACAATAACTAAGCAAGACAATAAATCATCTGTGCAATTCACTCTAAGCATGCGAATGAATGATCTTAAACATTTTTAATGTCTAATTTCATCTGATATATCTTTATCCCAACAAATAATACAAAAAATCTAACAAATCTATTTAGAGATTTCATTAAATAATTATGTTTTAAATATTTGACTACATTCACTTAATTATACATAATATTGACAAAGTGTTTTAGCAAATGATAAGTTAAATGTATTCTAAAGTAGATCAGTAAAGTTGATTCACCAAATTTAAATTATAGGTTTCAATTGTAAGAAATCTAAATCCTATTTTATTATAGAATCACTATACTTCTAAAATCATTCCAAAAACAGTTTTTATTTGATCTAAATTTTGTTGATTAAACACTCTAATATATTGTTCTACTTTTCCAAAAAATGAATTAAATTACTATATAGAAGTGTAATAATGTTTATTTCTTATTGTTAATCGTAGCTATTGAAGAAGTTAAATTGAAATTATGTTATTGTTATTCATTTAATTATAATTATGAACTTATTATTAATTCATTTTGAATCATTTTGTTTATAATGTTAGATTACTAATTTAATAATCATAATCTAACAAAACGCTTTTTCTCATTATGAAAATGATTTAAAAATATTTATATCTCTATAAAATAAATAAAACAGAACAGTTTATTAGAAATAAATTATCAAAAACTCATAAAATTAATTTGTATAATTTAAAACAAAGAAACTATTAATTTAATTTTTCATTAAAATTAATTAAATAATCATTAATCTTTATTTTATTGCTATTTCTATTCATCTGATTCATTATGTCTTCTTTAAAATAATTTTGATTTTTTATATAAATGATAAATTTGTTGTATATCGATATCTAGAGTATTACAATTATTATGTTCAATCATAAATTGATATAAATCCAAAGAATCTTCTTCGTCCATTTCTACACCAAACTATTATTCAAATTATCCTCTAAAATTATGCTACATATCCTTTTTTTCAATTTCAATAAGAAATTTCCCTACCTAACTAGGCTTTAACTCTTTTCTTAATTAATCTAATGTTTATCCATACGAACTCAATTCAATCAATATTTAGTTTTTCATTTCTTAGAAAGAAAATAAAGTGCTAAAAATAAATTTTAACACAACTTAGTAAGATCATTCTGAAATCTGAGTAGCTTTTTATGTTTCTTTATAAAAATCTGTTATTTTTTATCTGTCATCTTCAAATTCCTTAATATTCCATTGTCTACATTGCTAATTTAAATTTAAAAAATATCCTATTCCGTCTTTGCTGCTCCAATAATATAATTGAGATAAGGTGAAAGGCAGTTTTCATAAATTTGATTAAAATAATGATCTAACTATTGTTACCTATCAAAAGTTCCTGCACCAAATTTTTTCTTTTTTAAATTATTTTTTATACATTTAGAGTTTCTATTATTGTATCAATGTTCAATTCACTACCATTATTTTATACTGTATTTTATAAATTTTAAAAATTAATCATTTTATTCTGATCTTGCTCTTATTTCTAAATTATAATATAATTTACTTAGCTTATTTTATTTTTTAATTTCAAAGACAAATCAGCCGTAGACTTATTAATTTTTTAAAAGTTTTCCAATTTTTCTGACAATATTGTAACTTTATCTTCTAATAATTCTAAGTAAATTTTCTTTCTCTTTCTACTATTCCTTGCAGACTCTCTATTTTTTATTAGTTTTTCTTCCAAATCAATACTAGATCCACCTCCAAAGATTTAATTTAAAGATTTTGTTTAAACTAATTTTTCTCTAGCTCTATTGTCATTTTATTTAAATTACTTTTCTTCCACTTATTCCAAATTTGCTATTTTTATTAAAGATGAGATTTTATTAATATAGGCATTCTTAGTATTTCCTTTCTCCTTTTTGATCTATCCTTCAAATTAATTATCATTCTCCTCTTCTTTATCAAACTAAATTTCGCTGGAGTTGGAATCTGATTTCAAAGAATTAAAGTAATCGTTGTGATTCATTATAATTATTATTTCTAAACTAATTTAATATTAATTAAAACTTATAAAAAAATTTAAACATTTATATGAATTTTCTTTCAAAATTTATATTTTCTTATGGAAGTATATGTATATTTATGATTTATTAATATCAATAAATCGAAAATTATCTTTTGTATTAATCAATATAATACATATTTATTAAAAATTAAAGTAATGAATTATATTTCTATTTAAATAGAGTATTAGGATTGTTTAAGGTTGAGTAATTTTTAAGTAATGATACTTTATTTTTACATTAAAAGAAGAAGATCATTGATTTATTACATTAAAAATCATCTAAAAATTTAATTGAAGAAATGATTATTATTTTGAGTCTTATAAAATGAATCTAAGAAATTATATATTATTTTATTTTTTTTAATAAACAGAATAACCAAGTTTTATGTAATAAATAAAAAATTAAGACATGTAAAAATATGCTATAAAACCTATTTTTATTATATATTTTATATTTTTATCAGTGCATTAATTTTTCAAAAATTAATACTAGAGTAAAAATACAACACTATTTCCCAAAAATATTTATATTAATTAAAATGCTATTCTTTGACTTGATTGATAGATTTGGACTTATAACTTATAAATATTTATTAATTTTAATTGCATAAATAAATTTATATAATGCAGCAGAATATTTTATCATAGAAAAAGATTAAATACGTCGAAAATATAAAAAATCATCATTATTATGCCTGCATACCTTAAAAAGGAAATCCTAATTGTTCAGATAAAGAAAAAATTAATTTATAAAATGAGTCTTCTTTATCTTAAAAAACTATTTCAAATAATAGCTACAGTCATTAATCAAATGGAACATATTATAAGAAACATTCAATTATTTTTAGAGAACTTAGAAGTATTTCAAACTAGAGTCACAATGATTAAATCGATGACATTCCAAAAGCCTTTATATTTAGAATTAAATCAAAAAATCATATATAGAATGAACCACTTATAATTGAAAATTAAGAATAGAAAGACAAGGATCGAAAAACAAAAGATCTAGCTAAAGTATTACGTGATATGAAAAAAAAGCGACAAGAATATACATAAAAAGGGTAATTTGTACCAAAGTCTCCTATACCATTATTAAAGCATTAGAATAATAAAATCTAAGAAGATCTCTCAACAGAAAAGAGTCAAAATTAAGTTAAGAAGTTACCAAAAATATATACAAAGCAAGCTCCAGTTATAATAGAAGTATTAGAATAGTATGAACCACTAAGTAAATCTAGTAGATTATAAGGAAATGGAATTGGAGAAGATCCTTTTTAAGTTAAACTTACTCGTTATTATTAATTTTTATTCAAATTCTAATGTAATCATTTATTCTATGTGAAATAATCTTAAGTAAGATCTCAAAGCTATTATATTGAAGTAATTGATGAAAATGAAATTATTATTAAAGAATTAATGAGAAAAAGATGGTGGTGGTGTGAATAAATTGAAAAAACAGATGATGTATAGTTTTATTGGTCAAAAAGATCTAATTCTTAATTCTTATAAAAATAAAAGATAAGAGTTTTATTTGATGAAAGTTAGAATAAGGTTGTTGACCCATTTAATTTAGATAATTATGAAGAATAAATAAAATTTGCAATAGAACATAAACTAGCATTAATATCACCTAGTGGAAGATTGCATAATCATATAGAGATTAATTAATTAATAGGATTTAAAAAGAACTTTATAAAATTTTTAGAATAATATGCATCATTATTAAATTTAGATTTATTTTAATATTTTCCTTATTCTATTAATATATCTAGTTAACAAGATCCAAAATTAAATATATTTTTAACATAACAGAAAAATTAAAATTCTTTATGGATAGTAAAACCTGGAGAATGGGCAAATAATGGATTATTTATGAAGATTTGTCAAAATGTTAAACAGGTTTATGATTTTATAATTTCTGAATTTAAAAATTAGGATCATAATTTTGAAACTTTAGTAATTTAAAAATATATAAAACCATTATTGTATTATAAAAGGAAATTTGATTTATATACATATTTGTTGATTAGTTAAATAAATGGAGTTGTAAGAGTTTACTTTTATGATGAAGTATATGGTAGAACAAGCAGTAAAGAATATAATGAATAAGACTTGGATCCTCTAATACATTTTACAAATAGTCCAATTTAAAAAGAATCAAAAGGATTTTCACTTTAAGAGCCTGGAAATAAATTATCTATTGATAAATTATAAGAGTTTTTCGTATAATTTAAATTAAATTTCAAAGAAACTATGATTCCTTAATTAAAAGCAATTGCAATTCATGCAATAAAAGCAGTATTTACTCATTTAGTAGTAAAAGATCATAATTTTGAAGTATATATAAAATTTATAAAGATTATAGGTTTGAATTATATTGTTGATTAAGATTTTAAACCTTGGTTAGTAGAATTAAATTTAAATCCTAGTTTTATTCCTGATTGTTAATATCATCAAAAAGTAATTACCTAAATGTTAGATAATGCATTATATCTTACTATAGATTTAATATATCCACCACCATCATTATGGCCATCAAACAAAAAATAACTAATAGATAGATTTAATTTATAAAATAAATTTTAACCTTTAATAGATTCAAGATTTGATTCAGAAATGTTAATAGAGTTATTTGAAAAAAAGTGAAATGATAAATAAATTTTGTAATTAATATTATTCATTCTAAATATTTTGTATCAATTAATATCATATAAATTCCTGGATGTTTATTAGCAAAACTAATTAAATCTTTTTTGGCAATCTTAAATATTGTAGCTTTTCTAGTTGCTCTAATAGATGTAGATATTGCAGTATTTTCAATCATAGCTTTTAATTCTCCAACATATGCTCCTGAATCTAATTCTTCTAAATCTTATTCTGGAGAATCATAAAATGCAAATGTTCCTCTCTTTATTATAAAAGCAAATTCTGGTTTCTCTCCAACTTTCCATAGAACTGTACCTTTTTCAATCTCATGTTCTCTCATTATCATTTCCAATTATGTTTTTTGAGAAGGTGTTAATTCAGATAAAATAGAATTCTTAAATAGACAATGTACAGCTTTAGATCTTCTAGCAGCAGTCAATTATTTCATTTTTTAAATTATAGGACCTTATCCACCTAAGCCATCTCCAAAAATAAACCAAAAATCATGTTTTTCTAATATAAGCACTTTAAGATTTGTAACAGCTTCAACACTAATAAATTTAATAATAATAATTACGATGCTCCTCTCTTTCCCTCACTAGATAAAACAGCAGATTCACCAAAATAATCACCAACCTAATAGTATCTTTCAAATTCTTATCCTTTCTACTTTGAGTATACTCTTGCTAATCCTGATTCAATAATATAAAATCTATCTCCTGAAGTACCCTCTTTGATAATATCTTATCCTGGAAAGTATTCTTCAGCTGTGACTGAATCCAATAACCATCGAACATTTTTTAATGTCAAATGTTCAAAAATATCTATGGTAGAAAGTAAATCAAGTCTTCTTATAGTTGTCAAATGTTTATTTGTATTACTTGGTATTAAAATCATAGTATTTTCTATACCAGTTTTTGCAATCTTTAATCCTAATTCTTTTTTTAAATCTTTTTAAGCTGTATGCACAAGATACAATCTATTTTTTATATTATTTGGTAATTTGCCAAGAACAGATTATGCAGTATGAATAGGAGGTACTCCTGCTTCATGTAGAATTAGATCTTCTTTAAATTCTATAAAAGCTAAGTGTTCATATCTCTTTTATGAGAGTATTCCTTAATTTTTATAGACTAATAATTAATCTGGATCAAAGAATGTATCAGATGAAAAATAAATAGATTTATTTTCTAATTTCACACTGAATCCAAGACTTGGAATAGTGTGCATAGCATAGAAGAAATTAAAATAAGCTCCGTATATATTCAAAGGAATTCCAATTATAACAGGTCTATAATAGATAATTATAAAAATATACCTAAAAATAAATAATCTTCTTAAAGAATCAATATCAATATTCGACATTGCAGAATATTTTCTTAAAAAAGAATTCATAATTGTTCTAGTTGTTATAATTTCTACTCTAGTATCATCCAATATTTTATGGAATGTACCAGCATCATGATCTGCATGACAGTGACTAATAATCACTGCACATATTAATATTGATGGTATTCCCATTTATTTCATATGATAGGAAGCAAAAGGAGGGGGATCAACCATAATTCCTCTTCCATTAATCCAGAATATATAACCTGAAGTTGAGCCTTTAGGATCGAATCCATGTGACTAAAGAAAATATTATATATTATAATTACACATCCTAAAATAGTAACACCAAAATCTGGAGGTGTAAATGATTTATTTTCATCAATATCTAATTAAAAAATAGCTGATCCACTTTCAACATGTCCTCCCATCTAATCCCATAATACTACTGATAATTTCTTCTCACCACCTCTTTAATATTTATTACCAATAACCCAATTTTCTACCTTTTCTTCAACTGTCATTTCTGGTAATTATTTTACTAATAATGGTGTTGGACATTATTCTTTTGCAGCATCTCTTTTAGATTTAATATTTTTCATGCTTTCAGCTCTATAATCATCTGGTTTTGTAACAATATATTCATAATATTATGAAGGGAATGTAAATACATCTTAAATACTTTTTTAATATATCCCATTTTCTAAGATTTTAAATGAATTGCTATCCTTAATTATTTTAATTGTAATATCTCCTTCAATTATTGTAGCTGTGTTATTTTCATCAAATAAACAGAATTTTAATAAATGGTCAATTGTCAATTTTTCATCTAAATTTGATGGATTTCTTGAAAATACACTTCTTTCTTTATGAAAATCTGGATAAGCACTTTTTGGAAATTTATGATAGAAATCAAGTGCTAAATCAGGATGATCAATTGGACCTAATAAAGTTTCTTAAAAAACAGTTCTAATTGCCTTTTCTGTATCAGGTGTACAAATTAATGTTATTTACTTTTTTTTACAGAAGAAATTAAAATAAGCAGGAAATTCAAATTCAGCAGTGCTTATACCTAGTCTTTTATCAAATCTAATAATTTCTATTTTTAATACCTTTTAGATGGTATTATATAAAATGTTGGAACTTCCATTCCTAAATTTAAACAGTCCTTTATTGTTTCTGGAGGCATACCATATTAAATTGGACCTATTTTTGTTTATAGGATGCAACCTTATATAATTAAGTTATTATACCTCCTCTCTCCAAATCAACTAAATCAGCACAAGATACATTAGATTTAGCATCTGATTATTACTTTTATAATTAAATAGAACATGATTAGTATTTTAATAACGAAGGACATTAATCTGATTATTCTAACATGAAATCTAAATCTTATAGGAAAGATTTGTCATCTGAAAATACATATGAACAAGCCATTTGTTTATAAAAATTAATTATTTTAGAAAATAAAATTATTGATTCATTTAGAATGAAAAGATGAATTCCATCAAAAGTAATCATTTCCATTGATTCAATGCAATTCTTACATCTGGCTTTGATAAATTAAACTTAACACTTTTCTTACTACCTATACTACTACTCCTTGAGTTATTATCAGAAAAGGAAGAATCAAGTGTCTACTTCTTCAAAATTCCCTTTACACAATTTTATTTTGAACCCAATTTTGAACTGTAAGATGATGAATTCGATTCTAATAAATTATTTCTACTAAGAGATTACTCTGAAACTTTAATGTTCTTTCTTTTAGCTTATCTGATTTATGAATCTATTTGTAAATCACTAGGTAGTCTTTCGTAAGTTGCACCTCTTTTTTCAGTTTAATTATTTTTCTAATCAATTGATTGAAGTTAAGTTGGTCTATGAATATCAGATTTATGATGATTTTATCTTCTTTTGATTTACTTAAATTTCTGTTCCACAGAATCCTTTGTTTTTATAGATAATTAATTGATTAGTTTAAATGAATCAAATTATCGAGAGGGTGATATTTCATCACCATTCAAATCTTCCTCAAGCTGTCCTAATGAGATACTAAATTCCTGTTTATATTACATTTTATAAATTTTATATCATAAAGTAGTTTATCTATTCTCTAAATTATCATAATGAAGATGTTATACTCCATCTCTTATGTCATCATCATAAATTTATTATTTATTATTGCAACAACCTTTCAGTAGTACTCAAATCATAATTTATTATCATTAAAATCTCTCCTTTTTAATCAGGAATGATATTCTAAAATAAATTAATTTATTGCCTTTAATGAATAATTAGGCTAAACTTCTTCATTCAATTTCATTCCCATCAATTTCTATACACTTTATCCTTTAGTTTTTAACAAACACATATCTTAAGATACTTTGTTTTCTTAAATAGAGAATTAAAGCTTTATATTCTATATATATATTTCATAATTAATAATCAATTAAATAATTTTTTATTACATTTTCTTTTGATTAAAATATTCCTCAATTCTATGCTATCAAAATTTTTATATCAATTATCTTCAGCAAATCACTTTATAAATTTTCAGAGAATATATACTTATAATGCTGAAATTTCATTAAAAGTTTGAAAATCATGCATTCAATTTATAAAGATAATTTTTAAAACTTATATGTACCTACTCTTATTGAGCCTATTAAATGGGAGGAGTATTTGTAATAAAATACTTTAATTACTTTTCAATAATTCTAAATATTAAATCAATATTTATATAGAGTACATCATCTCTTTCAATTAATTTTATATATTATTAATAAATAGTTAAGAATGAAAAAGTTTTTTCAAAATTAATTATATTATAAAAAAGATTAAAAACATCAATAGCAACCTTATAACAGATAAGAATATACTAAATAAGAAATCAAATTTTATATTAGTTATTAGCAATATTGCAAGATTATCAAAAATAAAATATTTTTTAATTTGAAGTTTATCATATTTTGACAAATTATTTTCTTTTATTTAAATTAAGAAATTTATTAATATCAAAAAAAAAATATAAATTCAATATTTTTGTCATGTCTTTAAGCTTATTAGAAAGATTTGAGAATTGTTCACTATAATTATTATTGAAGATAAAGCTAATTTTAAATAATAATCATTTTTAGTGTTAAAGAATTCAGATAAACCTTTTATAGAATTAATGAATAGGGGAAATCAAAGAATTTGATTAGTAATAAATAAGGAAATATAAAAATATAATAATTTTATATATTCGTTTTTTAAAATGGCTAACACTTGCCTTTATTCACTAATAAAAGCATCCGATGATAGTTGTCAATATGCAAAAGATAATTGCAATGACCAAACAATATTCCCATTTACACATTATTATTTCTGTTAAATTGATGAAAATTGGGTGATATTGATCTTAATTGCTGTATAAGAATTATATTAATTATTTCATAGCCATTCTTGTTTTTCATATTGTTTAACTTTTTAGCAAAGACAGTTGATGACTATTTATCACCTGCAGTGACTTTTATAGCTGAATACTTCAAAATGTCATAAACATTTGCTGGGTAAATTTACAAATATATATGAAGTGTTACTTTGATTGCCTTTGCAAATGGTGTACCAGACTTTTTATGTGCAGTTTTGGCTTCTTAGGATGATGATGGTATATTGATAGCCGTTGGAAGCATATTTGGAAGTGGGCTATTTATGACAACAATAATTGTGGGTGCAGTAATATTATTATCAGGAATAGTGAAAGTATTATATATGATAAACATATTAAGGCAGAAAAAGTACCTTTTATGAGAGATATTTTATTTAATGGAGTTGCTATAATATTATTGATGATATTTGCATTTATTGGATAAATTAATCATTACATGGCTATAGGGTTTTGTTCTTTATATGTAGTATATATAATTGTAGTCTTGGTCAATGAAAACACAATAAAAAATAGTAAATTGAATCATAAAACATATTAGAATAGAAATAAGATGAAATAAATTCATAAGAGGAAAGAAGGGAATAAGAAGAGAAATAATTGTTGGCATAAAAGGAAGAAGTAGAAGAAGGAAATTAATTCATTCAAAATGCAGATTAAGAACTTAAAAAAGAATTAGAAGAATCAATTCCTGAATCTTTTAAGAAACCTTTTGGAGATATGTCTACAATCTCAAAATTTTAATATATTTATATAACTTCATTGGAATTTGTTAGAAAAATAACTATTCCTGCAAGCAATCAAGAAAAATATGATAAAAAATATGCAGCCATACATCAACTTGTCTGTCCAATAGCTATGATAGCTTTATTAGGATGTATTTTATATTTATGTATATTTTTAATAGTATTTTCTATGGAAATTTATGAGGTTAAAGTATGGATTATTTTGGAAATTATTGGATTACTTTTGTTTATCTATTAAATAATATTTGAAATTCCTATTATTATATTATCTATGGAATGTGTTGTATGTTCAATTATTTGGTGTAAATAAGTTATTTAAGTTTTGATTGATTTCATTTTAGTACTAATTATTTTAATCTATTTTTAGTTAATATAAACAATTACAGGAGTGAGTTATTCTTATTTAGGTATGACATTTTTAGCATTTGGAAATTCAACTTGTGATTTCTTGGTTAATACTAAATTAGCATCAATTGGTTATGGATTGATGGCTATGACAGGATGTTTTTCAGGAACTGTCTTTAATATGTTATGTGGATTTGGAGGGGCATTGGTTAGATTGACTGCGATTGAGAAATATCCAGGAATTGTTTCTTTTGATCTCTTTAGAGATGTAAAGAGTGGCTCATAAACTGACATTGTAAAATTTATCAGTAAAGTTAGATTATAACTAGAATGAATAATTCTATTGCTTATTGTGTTATTATATTTTCATTGATGAATATCATAATGACATGCATTGTAGTAATTACTAAAAAGTATTATTTATTATCTATAACTAGATTCAAATTGACAAAAAATTTAGCATATTATTATTTCTTTATTTATTCTGTGTTTTTTATCTTCATTACAACTTTAACAGTTGCATTAAGTTCAATAGTCAGCTATTTATCAGAACAATGATGTTAATCATTATAAATTTTATATACAAAATATTAAATACTTACATAAGATTTATTAATTTAAATATAAAGTCTTATATTACCATCAACAAACAGAAATTAAAAAAGGTTTATTAAAAAATTTGTTAATTTTATATTGATCCTATTTAATTGGCATTAATATAGAATAAATTTTCAAGTTTCAATATTTTTTTTTTTTATTACGTAATAAAATAATGATGCTATGAAATGATTTAATTTATCAAAAATAAATGATTTTACATCATCGTTATTATCATTATTTCAATCTTCATGAGCATATAATAATATTATTTCGATAAATTTAAAAAAAATGAAAGCATCCTATGAAAATATTCCTACAGATACCTTAATATAATTAATTAATTCCTCTTATGAACTAGATCAAATGACAAATAAATGGATGTTTGGGGAAGAAGATCATCATTTAGTTTCTTCTCCTCATAATGATTAAATAAGAAAATCTAGACTCTAAGGCAAACATAATGAATAAATCATAATGAATAATTAAGACTTATTTAATGTGAATTATTCAAAAAGTGTTTATGTGAATAAAATAAACTCACTCATTGAAATAGCTCCCACTCCTTAGGAATCATCTTTTGCCATTAAAAAAGAGTAATATAAAATAATATATAAAATAGTTAAAAGGCATATATTAAAGCAAAGAAATTATTTGAAAAAGATAATGGATACTATCAAAAAGAATAAGATTTGGATGACAGTAATAAAATAAAATTGGCAAAGAATAGACAATCTGCAAGGGATTCGAGAAAGCGTAAGAAAATATACGTAGAACTTCTTGAGATGAAAGTAGCTGAACTTAGTAAACAAATAGAAGTTCTTCAAAAAAACCTTGATTAACAGAGTTTATTTATAAATCATTGTGTCAAAATACCCTCTCTAGTAAATAAATTATCTATATGATTAGATATCAGATTTTAATTTGAGTTATTAAAATTAATTCTAAAATTTAAGTAAGAACATCACAAAAAGGCAATTGTAAATTTTGGATGAAGAATTTGGAGTGAATTCAGAGAAGAGAGATTATTTATGTAATGTCATTTTCAATACTCTGGTTGATCATATTTTACCATTTGATTTAAAAAAAACAATAGATGCAGCTATAAATAGTATTTATTTTATAATCAATTAGATCTTGGTATATTCAAGGTAGGAGAATAATAAGAAATTAAATAACTAATTGAATTCTAGCAATAGTTTACCTAACATTATAAGAAATTTGAATTGTAATTATTTTTACATTATTTAAATAATAGAGCTGCATATGATATGGCTAAGTCATATGAATATATTAAGAGAGAAGCAGAAGGACTTGAAAAGCTAAAACTTTAATTGATATAACTTTTGGGTCCTTAAAAATACGTCAAAAATATACTTGATATTTAATAACTTTAACAATAAATTATAGTTAAAGAAGAAGATATCAATTAGAAAGGTCATACCAAATTTGAATTATGAGCTCGATTAAAAATTTATATATTTTTTATTTAATGGGTAATTGCAATAATGCTCAAGATCTAAATGTTAGCGAAATAAAATGTAAATATGCTTTATACCTTAGTGCCTAATAAATGTGATTATAATTTTTTGTATGTAATTGGAAGAGGCGGATTTGGGAGGGTCTGGAGAGCTGAACATAAAAAAACTAAAATTCAATATGCTATCAAAGAGATGTAGAAATGCAAGTATTAGCTTATTCATTACATTTAATAGAATTATTAATAAAAAAAGCATTGGTTCCGTCATGAATGAGAGATACTTATTAAGCAATCTTAGACATCCGTAATGAAATTTGTATAACTAGATTTTTAGTAAATATGCACACAGCATTTTAAGATCGAGAAAGTCTTTATTTAGTAATGGATCTTATGACTGGAGGAGATCTTAGATTTCATATTTGTAAAAATAGGAAGTTTAATGAAGAATAGACAAGTAAAGAAACTATTTAATAACTCTAGAATTTTTTGTCATCTGCATACTATTAGCATTAGAATATCTTCATCATAATACCATTATACATAGAGATATTAAACCAGAAAATTTAGTCTTTGATAAAAATGGTAAATTAATATAAATTTACAATATAGGATATTTAAGATTGACAGATCTTGGTATTGCAAGAATATGGAAACCAGGAAATGATGGAGATACAAGTGGAACACCCGGTTATATGGCTCCTGAGGTTATGTGTAGATAAGCTCATGGAGTGGCAGCAGATTATTTTGCAGTTGGAGTTATAGCTTATGAATGTATGATGGGAAAAGTAAAGTATAAACTTAAAATAGAGACCATATTTGGGTAAAACTAGAAAAGAAATTAGAGACTAAATTTTGTCTAAGCAAGTTACAATTAAACCTAATTATATCCCATAAAACTGGTCAGATGAGGCTGCTGATTTCATTAATCAAATGATCTAAAGAAAACCAATAAATAGATTAGGATTTGATGGACCTGATGAAGTATTTGCCCATCCTTGGTTTAAAAATGTAGATTGGGATGGTTATTTAACACAATAAAAATAAGCTCCTTATAGAATTAATGTAAATAAATTATCAAGTATAATTTAGTCAAATTCTGATAATTTTGATTAGAAATTCGCCAATATTAAAGATCCTGAAGATGATGCTACAGCTAAATTAAATGCTGAACTTTTGAGAAGAGATTCCATATAAGAAGCTTTTAATGGATACACTTATAAATCTTAAAATTCGTAATAAACAATATAAGACTAAACAAATTCAAAGCCAACAACTTCAATGAGTTAACAAATTACTCCAACCAAAAAGAAATTACTTGATTCTAATCGATAAATAGAACTGAAATCTTAAAAGAAATATCATTTAGTATAAAGCCCTGTATTTAATAAAAAATTAAACTTTACTACTGATTAGCCACTCACATAAAGAGGGCAAACTAAAAAAAATTTTGATTTTTGATTAAATTTATATTAATATTAATATAGTTATTATGAGATAGGTAAATACTAAATTTATAATATACATATTATTCATTCTAATGCTTTATCGTTTAATTTATGTAAAAAATCATATGCTACTTAAACTTTATTATTGCAAATTTCTTTTGTAAATTAATTGAGCATTTACTTAAGCATTTTTCTTAATCTTCTGTTAATCTTTTCTCTGCTACTTTGATACATTTCTTGAAACAAATTTGATCCTATTTAAATACTTTTGTTAGTAGTTAAATCTATGCTTCTTTTTAAATAATCTATTCTCGTGATTCCATAAATAAAAATTAATTTAATTATTATAATCAAATATAATGAGTAATATAATAATCATTTTAGAAAACATGTCTTTAGGTATATATTTAAATTGTATATTTTGGAACCTTAAAGTTTTAGATAAGACATTTTCTTTAATTTAATCAATAATATTGTATTCTGTTATAATTTATCTTCTATTTTTAAATTCTTTTTTTATTATCTTAATAAATGAATTGATTTTGACCAAATATTATTGAAGGTTTTTATATTATATTATCTTAATGATTTTTTGATTAGAGAAACATATAAAACAATATCTTATTGTTTTTGTATAATTTTATTAAGTGTTTAATTTAATGAATAATACTTTCTATAATTTGATTGGAAATTAAATTATTTTTTTATTATCTAAGTGTAGAATCTGAAATGCTTCTTAAATTTTAAGTTTTTGATTTAATAAGTATTGGATAATAAATATAATAATATAATTTATGATAATAAGTATTAAGTTAATCAAATGAAGGACTTTTAGTTCATTATAGATCTTTTAGCTTCATGAAATTTAGAATAAAAGTCTCTGTTATCATTAGTTTTAATAGATTTTTTCTAACTAGATCTTTCAATAAAACTTATAGAATTGTTATTCTCTTTTTCTTCTCTTAAAACTTAATTATTTCCAATCATCGAATCTCTAGTTTTATCTTCAATTGCCTTTTAATAGATATATTGTTCTCTTTAAGTAGGATTAATAGATTCTATTCCCCTTAAAGAAACTAATTAAAGTTTTACTCCTCTCATATCATTGATCATTTATTATATTGATCCAGAATCTAAACAAAATTTACCTTATATAGTTGGACTTATTTTCTCCTATCTAATTTATTCAATTAAATTTTAAATCTTCTTTTTTTCTTTAACAACATAATTACAAGCCTCAACACATAATGAAACATTAGGATTGGTAGATCCAAAAAATTATACAAGTTATTCATTATATTAATTAACACGATCTGTTTATAGTTTAATTTTAGCCATTAAACCTTCAATTTCTATTAGTTTATCAGCAACTAATTCATCAGCAGCTTATAACATCTCCTATTCTTTTAATTTTAATGTTTTATAAATGTCTTCAAAATTAGATGTAATCTACATTTTTGCTTATCCTACTAGATCTACTAAGTCTTATTTTTTATTCACAATTTTGCATTATTCATGTAACAAATATTCACAACAACTTTATAAAGATACTTAGAGTTAATTACCATTTTCTCTTATTAAATCAAAAGATTTTGATATATTTCTAACTTCATGATTTTTATGTAATCCCTATAAATAGCATTCCATACAAAAACATTATGCTTCACAAGTAAAACAATACAAAACACAACTTTCAGTAAGATGTTATTAACAAGTGATATTAGTAAATTATTATTATTATGATTAATTATGATAATCAGATTACTAAATTTATTGAGATTATTTTGTTTCTAATATTTCACTTCTTTATTCAAAATCATCAGAACAACAAGAAGATTATGGATTCATTTCTAATAAAACTTATACAGCAGATGGATCCAACTAAGTTTTTGATGAACATATTTAACATATTAATGGAGGATACATAGTATATTAGCCCCATTTTGATACAGCCTTTGCTGCACAATTCAAACACAAATTGTGATCACATTAAAGGGATAGAATTTAATCAACTTATGCTCCACATTTACAACATTCCAATAATTCACTTTCAGTATCAGACATTTAGCAGTTAATATAAAATTGCAGTTAATTTTATTAATTAATGAATTAATGTCTAAATAAGCTTTTAGAATCATTTAATCAAGTTTGTGAAATTACCTTCCAAAAAATGGTTGAATTACTTTATAGAAGTGGGATTATTAGACCTATTATTAGAAGACCTGTAATTCCAACTTTAGAATTATAACCCATTGATCATTCATTAAAATAGCCCTTAACATTACATTCAAGCTCATCAACTCCTGTTTTTACTAAAAGTGAATCTAAATATAGAAGAGCAGAATCTGAAAAGGAATTTAGAAAGTGCATTATACCAAAGTATGTTTTTATATTAGTAAAGTTTAGGTGACACTATTTACAAAGTGGAATGCTACTCCAAAGATATATCCTTACTTAATTTGTTTGATGAAAAATAAGAATTAAATCAAAATACAAATTAATTAGACAATAATAATATCAGAAATTAATTAGAACCAATTATATAAGAACATAAAGTAAATAATAATCTAGAAAATTTAGAATCTCAAAAAGAATAAAATAATAATAGAAACCTTGTAAATCATTAAAATTAATAAAAAATTGAAAATTCTCAAGATTAAATATCATAAGATTAATTTTATTCAATCATAGATAATCCAAATAAAATTACTTAATCTGAATAATTCTTTAGTATTATAGACAGAAGTTCTTTTAGAAATAGTTTTAATAAGAATATGGCAAGAAAATGAAGTTATTATATCATAAAGTTATTATATAATCTATTAATTTGATCATAAATCTTATTCATAAATAAATATTCTTAGAGATAAATTCAGATTTTAATCAATAGGACATCTATTTTTTTAGATTTCATTTTAGCTTTATATCTCATATTTAATTGAAGGTTTAACTTAAAATATTTCTATAAACTTCAGTTTTTTAATTAGGATGATTATAAATTAATATATTATATGTTGTATGATATTCAATTCATAATATTAAGATAATTATTTTCAAATAAAAGAATAATTCCCTTATAGTTTTGATAATTTTTTTAAATACATCTTAAATTACATTATCTATATATAATTAATATTTTTAATTATTTTAGTTATCTAATATTGAATATAAGAATTTATAAAGAATAGGATAATGTATGAAAAATTTAATTAAGTTAATTCCTTAAATTATTATCTATAAATTATGTTTTAATAAGAGTTGCGAATAAGATTGTCTTATGATTTTAATAGTATATTTAATCAATGATTTAAATTAAATGTTACATCTTCAAAAAGAATTACTAAATTATAGAATAAATTTATTATGGTAAAGAAATAAATTATTATATTAAAAGTACATATAAATGGATAAGACGGAGTAATAATATTCTCAGTTAACTGATTAAGGAGAAGAATCTAACATACTAATATGTACTCAAGACCCAATAACTTTGTATAATAAAGTAATATATATAATGAATAACATAGTTTATTAAAGTATATAATTTAGATGATAATAAAGTAAATGGTATAACATTATAATACATGAAATAAAGTAAAGCTGTTCAATTCATTCATAATTATTTAAGGAATAATTTGGGAAGAGTAGTCTTTTTTTTAATTCTGATTTTACTTCCTTTCATTAATCTATTATTTTATCTCTTTCTTTTAGTAGCTTGGCTTAAATTAAATTAAAATCATTAAATATTCAAATCAAATTTAAGTATGTATTTCAAAGATATTGATTAGGTTAGGTATTGGATCCCTTTGAAAATATGGTTGAAAATTCAGAACTCTGTGAAATGATGAAAAAAAATTATGTTGTCTTTGATATGGAGATTAAAGAAAATGAAGGTTTACATTTTTCGAAGAAAGTCAAAGAAATGATTAAAAATAGATCTAATGGAAACAATAAAATTAAATATACAATCTATAATTAAATATTAAAGGAATAATTTTATGGATATCCAAATTCAAGAATAACATGTTTAAAATGGATTATAGTCTCCACTCTGTTGATAGCAGTTCAATTAACATTAATAATAATATATTCTTCTAAGATTTGAAAATTTATATGCTTAAAGATGAGTTTCATTAGTAAATAAATAAATTATGTTTATCATTATTCTTTGTTCAAATCATATTATAAATATATCTTGTGTATATAGATAAAATAATTGTTATTTTAACAATTTATAATTTATAAAATGATATAACTATTAATATAAATAAATATCCTAATAGAGAATAGTAAAACAAATATTCTGATTTTTAAGCCATATATAGGTGAATTTTTAATAAATATTCTACTTAAAATATGTCTAATTTCAAATCTAATTTTGAGTTCTATTTATTATTTTTGAAAATAGATGTTAAATTTAAAGTTACTCAATTTTTAACAGATCTTTACAATAATGACTATTTATAATTGATAATTATTCTTATGTATTGTAAATAATCAAAATCATTTTTTGATGACTTGAAATCCGAATAAAAATTTTGGAAAAAACAAGTTTAATCTATTGATGAGAAAAAGATTGAATTCTAATGTTTACTTTAAAAAAAAAACTATAAAACAGGATTTTGGATGAGCAAAAATTATGTGATATATGAATCTCAACTAATAAAAATCAAAGTATTCAAGAAGTATTATAATAGCCAAAATCAAAGCAATGTCACATTGTTAATCTCAATTTGTCTAGAATATAAAAGGTGAAATATGAGAACAAGCTGGAAAAAGAAATATTTAATAAAGTATATGATTTTAGTAATTCTTAGGAAAAATATGGGTTTAGAGTAATAAGAAATAATCAATATAGAGAATTCTATAGTAGATCGAAAGAACTAAATTTGTAATTATGGAATTAATTACGAAAAGAAGCATTTCTATCTTCATTTACAGAGTATTATGTACTGGAGAAAATTATAGGAAAAGGAAATTTTGCAAAAGTTTATTAAAGTTTGAACAAAGAAAATTAAAAATTATATGCAGTCAAAGTTTTTGAAAAAAATAAAATGAGGAGTTCAGAAACAGACAAATAAGCACTTTTAAAAGAAATAAGTATTATGCGTAAACTAAATTATAATGGAGTGATAAAATTACATGAAGTTTTTGAAGATGAAATAAATATTTATTTTGTATTAGATTATTTGGAAGGTGGAGAACTTTATCATCATATTAAGAATAATGAAAAGTTTCCTGAAAAATTAGTTGCAAAAATAATAGCAACAATTTTGAAAACATTAGATTATTTATAAAAGTAGAATATTTTACATAGAGATCTAAAGCCAGAAAATATGATTTTGAGAAATAAAGGAATCTTAGATGATATTGTGATTACAGATTTTGGTTTAGCTGATTATTATTCAATTAAAGGAAATTATCTATTTTCCAGATGTGGAACTCCTGGATATGTAGCACCTGAAGTATTACATGATGAAACCTATGATTTTAAAATTGATATTTTTAGTGTTGGATGTTTAATGTATGTTCTATTGGCAGGTAGGTCACCTTTTAAAGGGTAGAAGTATGATGATATTGTATTGAAAAATTATCATTGTTAAGTTGATTATAAATCAATTGAAAATTAGATTTCTAGTGAAGGATAATCTTTATTGAAATAACTCTTAAATCCAAATCCATAATATCGACCTACTTCTCGTTTAGCATTGAGACATTTATGGTTTGAGTAAAATTTGAATTAAAATCGATTTAAAGAATTAAATTATTCTGTAAAAGATCCAAAAGATTTAACAATAAAATCTAGTTTAACTAATATACCTTTTTAAAATGTAAATGAAATAATTAAACCAATATTCGAATCAAGAAAAAATTAGCAAAATAAACAAGTAATTATTATTTTTATAAAATCAAAGGAAATAAAAAATTAGCCAACTGCATAATATGATGATACCAATTCTTTAAAGGAATTAAATGATAGTGAAAATGATATTGTTGATGATGAAGATGTATGTCCATAATCACATTTTTTGCCACAATATTAAATAATTAGTAAGTTTAAATTAATATTGGATTCTCAAAAGTCTTTTCATCTTAATTCGCCATATATATAAGTAAATTTAGTTTCATTATTAGAATACAACTGGAAATATTTCAATATAGCTTGCAGAAGATAATTAAAAGAAAAATATTAAATTAGAAAATTTGCAAATAAAGTAATCTCTAATTTGAACAATCAGTCTTGAATCTCAATATATTTAGTAATTAAAATATGAATAATATAAAAAGAAAAATAGTTTTTTTATTAAAATTCAACTTTAATTAATCGTAATAAAAATCTTTCTTTCCTTCCCTTTTTCTCCATAATATTTCTTAAAGAAATGTTATAATATAATATATCTAAGATGTAGAAATTGTAACTAAGAGATTATTAAGGAAGTCTTTAAAACAAACTTTTATATTAGAAACATTTAAATTAAATAGTACTAATAAGTATTAATTTATTAAATATTTGACAGGGGAGAAGATGATGATCAAATTAATATTTGAGAAAATAGATGATTCCAAATTTAATGAACTCCTCTATAATCTCAGATAAAGTAAAATAGAAGTTGTGATTGTTAATGAATTCTAAATTCCATTAATTCTATTTATTCAAAGAAATGATCAAGTTCTGAAACAAGGACTTGAATCTTTTTTAATTTAAGTTTGGTTAATTATGAATGTTAAGGAACAAAATAACTAAGTCCATCCTTAATTTAAGATTAAGTGTTAAGAAAAAGGAGAGAAGAAATAACTAATATATCTCAATAACCCCATATTGGAGAATCAGTTCCATAAATCAATTAAACAGAATGAGATAAAAAAACTTTGAAAATTATATATTGAAATTTTAAGAGAGAATATGTTGAAAAAGTCAAGTCCCAAAGATCTTGTTAATTAAATTAGTAAAATGAATTAGTTTACAATAGTAATAGTAGATAACATAATACTATATATGTGCATAGGTATAAATATGTTAATTTAAATTAGTTTGAAGGAGTTTCAAATTGATATTTTATTTAATTAAACAATATTTAACAAAATTGAGAATGCTTTATGATTTAAATATAAAATACAATTAATTAGTAGAATTGATGCCTTTTATAAGCTGAAACAGGTTTTAGAATCAGCTACTCCTGGGATCCTTAGCCAAAGAGAATTTCTTAATACTCTAGTTCATCTAATATCCTTTTTTACCCTATATATCAGATTTCATCAACCAAATATACACTATTGAACCTGATATAATTCAAAAACTTGTATTTAAATTGGAATATCTAAAAAGGGTCATGTATAGAATTCTGTTTAAAAAAATTACAGATAAAGAAATTACAGATTTATTTTAAGATTGAATTTTATCCTGTGGCCCTAGTAAATATATATATATAAAAACTTGGAAAATTGTATTGTTTTATCTAATAAGTATATTCAAATAGTATCCTTAAAGCAATTTACAAAAGATTTGACCTATTGATTCTTATCCTATAAAGTGTGTATAATCAAAATTTATGTATACAGAAAGTCTTTAAGAAATCTTTCAAGAATTAATTATTTTTGGTTAAAAGCATAAAGATTATACTACTAAATTTTATTGCTAAATGAATTGGAAACTATAAAAATACTTAAAAAATATCTAAGTTATCCAAATTTATCTTTTTATATAAATCAGAAATGCATAAATTTTTTTAATTAGTATGTTTAAAAATTTAAACTGAAATTTAAGAGTAGATACAAAATATCATAAAAACTTGGTTTAATTCTAAATCCGAAAAATAAATATAGTTCTTGTTTTTTTACAGAGAAACACAGTGGATCTAAAATTTAATATTTAAAATTGAAGTTGAAACACTTAACTCGCTCTTCAATAAGAATTCAATTAGTTAAAATAAAAAAGAAGACTAAATAAGATATCTACTTGAGTATACTTTAAAGACCATAATTAATTTCAAAATTTAATATAAACAGACATTTTTAATTATTTAATATTTTATTAGTATTTAACTGAATTCATCAAATTGTAAAACGGATAATTATTAATGTTTTGTAAATTTCTGTTCCCTAGATAAAATTTTTCATCCTTGTACCCGAAAAGAAACTTTCACATAGATTACCTCTAGGATATTTAAATCATTTCAAATGATTATTGCTCTAGCCTAAAACATATTTATGAGTCATTTTCAACTCATAAAATAAAAATTTCAGACATTCAGACTATGAAATTGAACCGTACTAATAAGTAATGTTAATATTCCTAATAGAGTGACCAAAAGTTAATTCTTAAATTAACATTCGAAAAGACCGACACACCAAGATTTAATAGATTGTATTCAGAATTATAAAATGAACATGGCTAAGTATTAACTAATTAAAACTCTAAAATTCCAGTTGTTCCATGGTATCCAAGAAATGAAAATGATTTAAAATCACGTAATGAAATAAATATATTTAAGTTGGACTTCTAATGATAGTTGATGAAGAAAATAACTAAGACCATCCTCAATTTACAGATCAATAGTACAGAATAAGAAGAGAAGATATTGCAAAAATCTCTTAATAACACATATTTGGATAAACTATTCCAAATATTGATTATACTGAATAAGAAGAAGCAACTTGGAAAAAGATATACTAAGTTTTAAGAGAAAAAGGAAAATCTCTATTGTCATAAAGATATTTAAAAAACCTATAGAAAATTGAGAATGCTTTAGGATTTAAATATAAAATACCTTAACTTAGTGAAATTGATGCCTATTTATAAGCTGAAACAGGATTTAGAATCAAAGCTACTCATGGGATCCTTAGCCAACGAGAATTTCTAAATGCTCTAGCTCATAGAGTCTTCTGTTGTACTCAATATATCAGACATCATTAATATCCAGAATATTCTCCTGAACCAGATTTAATTCATGAAATTTTGGTATCATATTTATTCTAATAAAAAGGGTCATGTACCATTATTTGCAGATAAAGAAATTGCAGATTTATCTTAAGAAATTGGTATCCTATCCAGTGGAGCAGAATAAAAAGATATAAAAAGACTTGGAACTTTATATTGGTCTACACTAGAGTTTGGGGCTTGTAAAGAAAATGGTTAAATTAAAGGTTATGGAGCAGGAATTGCAAGTTCAACTGGAGAGTTAGATGTAATTTTTTTAAATTATTTTTAGAATTTTCCTATTGCAAATTATGAAAAATTTGATCCATTTATTCATGCAGACAGACAATACCCTACTTAAATAGTATAGCCTACATATTTATATTCCGAAGACTTTGATGAGGTGATCCAAGAATTAATTATGTTTGGCAAAAGTCTTTAGAAGCCATTTGGATTATATTACGATTTTATTGAAAAAGAATTGAAGGCTACAAAAATAATTAAAACTCATTTATAAAATCCATGAATAAAAACTTATCAGATATATTAATTTCAAACATTTCTTATATCTTTTAGATTTCTACAAAACAATTCCAAATATCAACTTTTATTTAATTATATTCCACAAATTGAAATGATAATATATTTATGATATTAAATTTAATTAATTACAAATCTAAAATAATATATAAAGTTCTAATCTTGAAAATGTATTAATTTTGATGGTTCTATTACTTTTTTATATTAATCATAAAAGGAATAATAATAATAATAATTGATTATTATTTGGTAAAAGATCCCATTCCAATACTTTTTCAAAGAGTGGATGAATTACTTAAAGTAAATTAATCTAAGACATATTATATGTAAATATATTGTAATTTCTTTTTCAAAATTTCTTTCTTCTTAATAGTTACAAATATTAATTACTTTTTATAAAGTTGAAAAATGATTCAATTCAAAAATTAAATGAATATAAGAAAATTTTCCAATTTTTGTTCACATCAAATTGAAATGAAAATATTAAAACTTTTTTTATTTTTAGCAAATTTTTGTTAATAATTTAATAATAAATTATATTATATAAAGATAATGATGAACGATTCTCTAAATAAATTGGAAATGGAGTAAACAGCCTAGTTTTTTAATCCAAGCAAAAAAATACTGAAATAGAGAACTATTAAAAAATTGCAACCAATTGTGGATGAATAAATAGTGAATGAATTTTCCATTCCTACATTTAGTAGGAAGTTAAGTTAGCAAGAGATATTCGACTTCGATTAAATAGTTTAGCAACAGCTTCTAAAATATAACAGTCAACCAAATATTTTGTAAATAAATCAAAATTTTAACAATCTCTATCTCTTAAAGTCTTCATAAAAATCAAATAACATTCAAACACCTTTAAAATCTCTTATAGGAGTTTAATAAAGATTAATATTTCCAAAAAATTAATCAAACCAAATCATAATTAACGAATAAAGTAAATAATCAACTCCTGAAAAATGTAGAAGAAATATAAGAGTTTTACTTAATCCTTTTAATTTGGAGAGGAAATTGTCAGATATATAATAGAATAAAAGCTCGTCTCAAAGTTTAAGACCCTCATAATCATAAGGAAGAACTTTCCTATAAAGAAAAGCATAAATTGGTGTCTTAAATAGAATATTCTCTTCTAGATCATAGGATAAGATTTGAGTAATTATGTGTATTTATAATTTTATCATACTTTATAAATATATTTGAAAAATTCATATTATTAATATCAAAGAATAACAATCTTCAAATAACAAACAAAACTTTATCTTCGCTGGATGTAGTTTAAGAATATTAAAATTTATCATTATTTTTTTCCATTGATCAATAGAAAAATAAAAAGTGTTATTGAAGTATTAAATATTAATTATTAAGTAATAAAAGAGTTTATAAAACTTAATTGATTGGATTAATCAAAATGAAATAATTATGATTCTTGATTATAGAGAGATTGCAAGATTCTGATTACTAAAAGGAAAAGAATGCGCAATCTTGAAATAAGTAAATATTTCTATCATATTTATCCTAAAATATCAAATAATTAATATAAATTGAATTAAGAGGATATTGATCATATAATAATTAAATATTTATTATATTCATAAGGATTATAAAAAAAATTAGAAAAATGTTTGTTTATTAATATACTTGAATATATTGCAAGTTTATCAAAGAACTGAACCAGCAGCTGATGCAATCTTTGGCCATAAATCGGCAGCTTCTTTTCCAACTGGACCTGTAATGGCAGATCCTTTCATTTCACCCTTTGGATTGATAATAACTCCAGCGTTGTCTATAAAATATAACTAATTAAAACCTTCGAAATAAATATAATATCCTTCTCGGCGTCTGTATGGCTTTCTTTATCTGACGACAACTGCTTACATGACTATGATAGTGTATTTAAATTACCCTTCTTTCTGAGTGCTGGCTTACCCTATTTGACTGAGCATAAGACCATATCACCAATGGAGGCAGAGGGTAATCTGCTCAAATGTCCCTTAATTCCAAAAGTAGAAATGACATAGATATTCTTGGCTCCTGAGTTATCAGCACAGTTGAGTACTGCACCAACGTTGCAAGCAAGTGTGATTCTTAATTTAATACCGACTTGTCCTCCTCTTCCTCTCTTTGACATTCGTAAATTTAATTAATTTAAAAAATAGATTTGTGAATATTTTAAGTGTTAATAAAGTAATCACCATGGTCTTTTAATTTTATTGAATATCTAGCTTGATTCTGTTAAGAAATTAAGTTAAGAGAAATTTAGAGCATCAAAGTCATCAAATGTGGTGAATTTCATAGATTGTACTACATTAGAATCTAATAGTTTTTACATTTAAGCAATTCTCTAAAAGAATCAATATCATTATCAGAATCTTTATAGCTAGATCTATCTGGATTACTTTATTTCCTCTTTTATTAATATTACTCAATTATGGCATCTTTTGGAACAGATATGGATTATTTTAAGATCATACTTTATTTTATAGTTCCTCTTCCTGATCTTTAGGATTAAAGTGTTTTAATTGAATTTTTTTAATAAAGAGACTTAATATCATTAGTATGTATGGAGAAATCTAATTGGAATTCCTTACTTTATTTAGATCCATTGGATTCAGAGTTTTTGATACTTTTAATAGATTATTTATTGTGAAAATCTAACCCAGAAACTATCTAGTATGATTTATAATTAGTTTCAGATGTTATTTTAGTATAATGAGAAATAAATGAAGATTCTAATGCTTCTTAAGTTGTGAATCTATCTTCATGTTTTGGTTCTAACATTTTTTTAACAAGACTCTTTAATTCAACACTAACATCTGGCCAAGGAGATTTTTCATAATTTACTTAGCATTTAGAATTTAATAATTAGATTTAACTTGGTTTTCCTCTGAAAGGAGCATATCCAGCTGTCAACTATAATAATAATTGAGATAATTACTATATATAAAACACAACCAGCACTAAATACATCTCCTTTCTAAGTATAAGGATGTCCTCTAAATATTTCTGGTGCTAAAAAACCAGGTGTACCAGCTTTACTTAATAATTCTTTTTCATTAATTTCTTCTGCAAAACCAAAATCAACTAATTTAATTTGTAAATTTTCATTAGATTCCATCATAATATTTTCTAATTTTAAATCTCTATGTACAAATCCATTTGAATGCATTTCAAATAGAGCATCCAAGATTCCTTTAATTAATTAAGCTATTTATTTTTCTGTTAATTTTCCTTTAGATTTATAAAATTGATAAAGAGTGCCTCCTTAACAATATTCAATAATAATGACTAGTTTATCTTTTTCTTAATAAACTTCATATATCTATTCAATTCCTGGATGACATAATGTTTTTAAAGCGATAACTTCATTATATACCATTTACTGCACTATTATGTTTAATTATTTTATACTATAAATTTATCTTTATGTTTATTTTCCTCAAACATATTTCTATAAATGACTTTAGCAGCAAATACTTATTCATCTCTCTTTCTTTAAACTTTGTATACAGTAGCAAAAGCTCCACTTCCAAGAGTATCTGTTTAAGTGTATACACAATCATATCCTCTCATTAAACAAAATTCTTAAATTGATTCACATAATTTTAATGTTGATTCAATTTAATGATCAAATATTGTTATACCTATTCCTTCAACTCTTTCTAAATATAAAACAGGAACATTTAATCCCTTCTTTGTCTTTTAATATGAAATTATCACTCTACTTTCCATACTCAATTATACATATCCTTTAGGTTCTTTATCTGATTCCTATTATAATAAAATCTTAGAAATACTTTTTTGAAATACATTAACAAGCCAGATTAAGTCAATTTAAAATAATATCCCTTTACACTTTTTTTCTTTCTACCAATCCTAAGCATTATCCCTTCAAACAAATATTCTTCACTATTCCAGTTTCTCATATGATCTTATTAAGAGCGCCTATTCCAAAATTATTTAATGGCTTCATCTTTCTTTACTCTAAAAAATGGCCATTTAGCTTCTCCAACAAACCTTGAAATTTTCTATACAACTTTAGGTGGTTTCTTGATATGTATTGATGAATTCATTATTAAGTCATTCTTCATAATTTGAGTCTTAGATTAATTTTAGTTATCGTCTTAAGGTTGTTGTTGGAATGGTTTAGAAAAAGTTTGAGTTCTTTAAATGTTTTCAAGAATGTTTGTTGTAAATTCTTAACCTAATCCTTTCATTAGAATTGGTTGATTATTATCGAAGTTGCCTTTAAACAATGTTTAGGATAATTTCTCTTTTAAAGGTTCTTCATTTTTTAATGTTTTTTTCATTCCAAGAATTAATTTATACAAATTAAAATGATTATAATTAATCAACAATAATATTTTTAATTAAGAAATTCTCTTTATGATACAATAAATATATTATTATATCTAACAATTCCTTTCACAATTAATATATAAACTACTTTGTTAATCAATACTATGATTATATGTATACATAAATATTAATAACTAATCAAATTATGCTTGATTTTGATTATTTATTTGAATATTTCAGTAATATTAATATAAATCACATTCTTCAATTCATATTCCTTTCATCAAATATAAAATCAATTTATGAGAAAATCTTAATTTAATTAAGAAGTTTATATCTTTGAGATAAGAGATCTTTTAAATATTCCTTGTTTAAAGCGTAAATAAATCGATAAGGATATTGATGTCTATCTTTTTCAATTATTTGTTCATCAAAAATATATGCTTAAAAAAATCTTTAATAATTTATGAACAAAAAGGGGATCTAAATAAAAATTAATTTTTAAACTCACAATTTAATTTATTAGTTATCAAATATTACTTTAGAATTCATAAATTTGATAATTTGAATGATGTGATTAAAACTAAAGTGAAGAATATTATATAGAACAAATGATCTAAATTATTTATCAGATAACAAAAGATCAGTTATAAAGGCTTTGAAAAATTATTTTCTGTCCTTAAGTTGTTTCAAATTGAATACCAATTACATTAAACTAATAAATGATATAGTTATAATATTTAAGATTAAGGAAGTGTTTTTATATAATTATTTAAATATATTTAAAATGCTGAAATTTCTCTGAAATACAAATGCCATAATCTAGAATTATAAAACATACTTTTTATGGCTAACTTAAAATTAAAGAATTTATATATTCATTTTTATTATAGAAGGATATATTTTTAATAATTTCTAAATGATTTAAGACCTTGAATTTATTTATTTAAATCATCAGAACTTATCTAATAAAAGTATAACTTCATTCAAATTGATAGGCTAATGAATTCTATCCATCCAAGTTACAAAACTATCTATAGACCAATCTCGTAATAACTTCCATTAATTTGTATTTATCAAACTCTCTATTTCATCATCTAACCTTTATTCTCTTGTGTAAAACAATACTAAATTTGTTTTAAAATTTTTAAATTATTTTAAAAATTCCTTTTATCTATTGAGTTAGAACCTCAATACACTTGAACCATATTTTGAAAAATCAATCAAAATAAGATCTGCTTCTTTATAAATTTAATTGCTGTTCATAATTGTTTAAATATGAAGTTAATCTAAAACGCATATTAAATCTTTTGGAGGATGATTCTTATGATAAATAAATAATATTTTTTTATCTCTATTCTTTTAATTTTATTCATATTATATAGTTTTATAATCTTTCTAACCCTGCATGTTAATATTAATGTTTAGTATTTATTAATTATTATTTTATTCTATTTTTTACCAATCTTACTTATTATCTATTTATTCTAGATTGTTTTTGCTCCCGAAATTAAATATACCACAGAGTTCTTTTATGTTTGTAAATAATTAATTATAGAAATCTTTTTATTTAATATACGATTGTAAAATATATTCTGAAATATTTTTTCTACTATAATCTCTTTAATTCATAAAAATATATGTATTTTTTTTATCTTTCAATGCGTCACAATAATCATAAAAATCCTTAAGATTATCCCCTTCTAATTATTTTTCTCTATTAAAAATTAAGAGGTAATTCACATTTTAATATTTCTTTTTTATTTCTTCAATAATCATTTGACAGGATTTTTTTCTAGATGCTCCTTACACCTACCCTATGGCAATAGTTTCTAAAATATGAATTCTCATTTAATCAACATCAATGTAATAATCCTGTGTGATGCATGGACTTCCCATATTATAAATTTATGCTTAGATGTTGCGATTCTCTGCAAATTTTTAAGGCAATTATATTTCTTCATCTGGAACAGTTTTCGTTTCTAAATAAAATACTAAACTATTGCCTACAAAACTTTTCCCTACTCCAGCTTATCCAAGTAAGGCTATTGTTAAAAATGAAAGCTGAAAAAAAAAAATTTATTGTTAAGGGGTAAACTGGAGCAGGAAAGTCATTTTTTTTAAATTTGCTTGAAGGGAAATAAGGAGATAATGGATCATTCCAGGTAGCCTAAAAGCCTGAATCTTGCACAAAAAATATTTAAACTCAAAGTATAAAGTTATTTGGAAATGGAATGGAAGTGATCTTGGTTGACACACCTGGTTTTTATGATTCCGAAGAAAAGAAAAGATAGAATAACAATGAAAAGCCAGAAACTTTCCAAATGATTGAAAATTTGTCTAAGGAAATAAAATATAAACTTGATGGTAAAATTAATAAAATTTTCCAATGTATAAGTGTACAAGATAAGTTGGATGCTTAGAAGGAAAATATTATTAATATTGTCAAAATGTTTGTAGCTGCTACAATTAGAATAGTAATAATAATAACAAAATTCAATACTACACTCAAAAGTCAATAATAAAATTTTAAAACAAGTTGGAAAGAATCCATGAATAAAAACAATTTCGAAGATATTATCTTTGTTGGTGATGAATTACAAGATGAAGAGAAAAATAAATTAGTGATCTTGTTGAAAAATCAATTGCTGATAAAATCTATAAATATGAGGAGTTAACAAAATAATAATAAGACGAAATTAAAAAAATCTTAGAATATGAAGGCTGTTTCCCATTGAATACTAAAATCACAGATGAGAACGGAAATTATATTCAAATTTTAGACAATGTCAATAATTTATAGAATTATAAAGTTAAAATAAGATCATTTAAACAGAACTCTAATTACATGTTAGGTTTCATAGAATTTAATTTAACTGATCCTCTAAATTTCATCTCTTTTGAACTTTTAGATCAAAATACAAATGTAATATAAAAGTTAGAAATATCTCCCAAACATATGGTTTATATAATAGATTAATAGAACTTCATTCCAGCATGTGATGTTAAAAAAGGAAACTTTATGTAAGGGTTGAACAATACAATATTAAAGGTTATTAAAATTGATTATACTAAACATTATGGTTTTTGTAGCCCTTTAACTACTGAGGGCTGCTTTTATGCCAATTCTGTCCTTGTTAGTTCTTACACAAAATAGATATCATTTTGCACTCAAGAAAGAGCTCATTTAACATTACAGCCTTTGATATTCTATCGTTCCATTTCTATGAAATACTTGAGCGAAGAAAAAACAGAGAGTAGAGATTAATTAAAGTTAAATCCAATAATTTTACCAAATTATGTAAAATTTTTGAAATTATTTGCAGAGCCAAATTATAATGAATGAATTATTCATATTTTATCAATCATTTCATTCATTATCACATATAACATAATATTATTTTTAGATATCCTTTATGTTCATATNTATAAGTGTACAAGATAAGTTGGATGCTTAGAAGGAAAATATTATTAATATTGTCAAAATGTTTGTAGCTGCTACAATTAGAATAGTAATAATAATAACAAAATTCAATACTACACTCAAAAGTCAATAATAAAATTTTAAAACAAGTTGGAAAGAATCCATGAATAAAAACAATTTCGAAGATATTATCTTTGTTGGTGATGAATTACAAGATGAAGAGAAAAATAAATTAGTGATCTTGTTGAAAAATCAATTGCTGATAAAATCTATAAATATGAGGAGTTAACAAAATAATAATAAGACGAAATTAAAAAAATCTTAGAATATGAAGGCTGTTTCCCATTGAATACTAAAATCACAGATGAGAACGGAAATTATATTCAAATTTTAGACAATGTCAATAATTTATAGAATTATAAAGTTAAAATAAGATCATTTAAACAGAACTCTAATTACATGTTAGGTTTCATAGAATTTAATTTAACTGATCCTCTAAATTTCATCTCTTTTGAACTTTTAGATCAAAATACAAATGTAATATAAAAGTTAGAAATATCTCCCAAACATATGGTTTATATAATAGATTAATAGAACTTCATTCCAGCATGTGATGTTAAAAAAGGAAACTTTATGTAAGGGTTGAACAATACAATATTAAAGGTTATTAAAATTGATTATACTAAACATTATGGTTTTTGTAGCCCTTTAACTACTGAGGGCTGCTTTTATGCCAATTCTGTCCTTGTTAGTTCTTACACAAAATAGATATCATTTTGCACTCAAGAAAGAGCTCATTTAACATTACAGCCTTTGATATTCTATCGTTCCATTTCTATGAAATACTTGAGCGAAGAAAAAACAGAGAGTAGAGATTAATTAAAGTTAAATCCAATAATTTTACCAAATTATGTAAAATTTTTGAAATTATTTGCAGAGCCAAATTATAATGAATGAATTATTCATATTTTATCAATCATTTCATTCATTATCACATATAACATAATATTATTTTTAGATATCCTTTATGTTCATATAACTACATTTCAATTTATTTATACAGATTAATTAATATCTTTAATAGTTTGTTTTATATAAGAAAATAATAATTTATATACTCTTGCAATATCAAGAGAATTCAATATTTTTATGATTCTATTTCTCATAGGTTAAATTTATATGGAAAATCTGATAAATTCTTAGATTTTAAAATTATTAGCAATAATTTATAATAATGAATTGTATGAGTGACGAGTGTTAAGAGAAATTTTAATAAATACTCTAGTTAAAAGAAATATTTAGTACTCGAGAAGTATTACCATCAAAAATACAAAAATAAAAGATGTTTGATATGAATTTCCAAATTAAGTAAATCCGTCATCAACAATAGAAGAGATTAGATCAAATAATAAATAGTTCTATTAAATCTTAACCAAGTTAATATCAATAGGGAATAGAAAAAGAAGTATCAAAGTAGTATAACAACTTATTAATTGTTGATTAATAAAATATTTGTTTGAGTTGTGATAAATACATTTTTGAAAAAAAAGTGATATTGTATTGCTATGATAAATATGAACACAATTATCATTCAAGTTGTTTGGCAAAAATGATGAAACAATAATTATAATCGAAATGCATTAAATTTTAGTGTTTATGTAAAAGTTAAATTAAAAATGGATAAATAATGAAACAAAGAGCCTTTGAATTTGAAGTATATATTAATAAATTAATGGAACACTAGCTTCATTATATGAAAAATCATCTATCTGATATAAAAATATGTGCTAATAAATGTTGCAATTTTTTTTGGATTATGAACAATGCAAGTAAAAAAAGAAGTAAGTCTTAGTTTTAATCTTATTCTAATTCATATTCCCCTTCGAAAACATGTAGGATTACATATGTCAACTATTGTCCTCATTGTAGATTTTCATGATAGAAGTAGTATTTAAAAAGTGAATAAAATAATTAATTTTCATTTAATTTGTAGTAATTATTAATTCTAATTCCATGGATTTTAGTCATTTCTATTTTTTATATACGGATTTGCTCCATTTAACAATAATAGATCAGCAATATCATAATATCCATATGCAACTGCATAATGAAGTGCTGTATTCCCTTCTAACTATCTTTAAACTGAAAATTTACATCTTTAACATTTAATAGAACATTTTAATTGATCATATATTAAACTAATTCTTTATTTCCAGATTATGCAGCAATCATTATTAATGGTTTTCCTATAGCATTTCTAGAATTAAGAGAAAAATTTGGATTTTATCTTAAATAATCTATTAATTCATCTAATAAATTATGTTCAATCATTAATTATACTACAACAATTCCTGAATGTTCTTGTTTTATTGCATAATCAAATATTTATAAATTTTATAATCTTAATTATTATTTATATTTCACAGGCTAAATATAAAAAATATAAATAATACTTTATCTTTATAATATTTTGAAATAATATCTCCTTAATCACTTTCATTAGTTTTAATAATCTCATCTTCCTAATCTATTTCAATCTCTGAAAGATTTTATAATGATTTGCTTTTTCTTCTTTTTAATTATAATTCAGATGCTTCTGGAACAAGTAAATTAGATTAATATTTAGGATTTATTGAAATCTTTTGACTTCTTAAATTCTCATTTTAAAATCCTAATACTGATTTTCTAGCTTAAATTTTAGCATCTCTTGTTTATTTTCTAAGATTCATCATCATTGCCTTTTTATCTAGATTTAATGGAATTTATTATTGTTATTATTGTAGATAATTATTATGTTCAAGATCAATAATATCATTATTATTTTAATAATTACCTATTAATATATCTGAATATTTTTTATAAATCAATTATGCATTAAACTTTCTTAATAGTATATTTTTATTTTAAATATTCGGAACAAATTCATCTATATTATTTTAATATATTATTTTATCCATATCTAAAGACTCAACAGACAATAATTCATTTTTTGTATGATTATCTAATTTACTAATAATTGGACATATTTAATATAAATTATTATTTCTTGTTATTTCAAGTTAAAAATATTCTATTGGTTTAATAGCAATATCTCCTTATGAATCTGGTAAAAAATACTATGATTAAAATTCATCATCTTTTACTTCAGTCAATATATCTATCCTATTCTATATTAATAATATTTATTTACATTCCAAATGAAATAATCTCTTTTTTGTATCTAAATTTTAAATCTTCTATTATTTCTGTATGGCTTACTTTAATATTATGATTTTAAATATAAAGTTTTCTTAAATCATGAACAGATTCAAATAAATTTAGATTTATTTATTGTATCTTTTCAATAAGATCAAGAAATTCAGTTATTTATTAATATAAACGAAACTTATTAAGACATTTTTCAATAAACTAATTAAAATACAATTTAAATTGTTAAGAAGACTTTGAATATTTTTATTACTCTTAAAACTACGTTTAAGAAAAGTTTTCTTTCCAAATTTTAGAATATTTTCTAACTAATGACTTTGATTCTGATTTTTCACTTTATGAATCTTTAATATTCTTTAATACTTTTTATAAAAAGATTTGCTATTTTTAAGTCCCTTATAGATGTTTCTTAAATATTTATTTTGATTTTCTTTCATATTCCTAATAAGTTATATTAATAAATATTGATTATTTTTTTTTAGATTCTTATTTCATAATAATAGGATTTTCATCTATTAAATCATTATGATATCTATTTATCTTTATTAAATCATCCTTATTTAATTAAGTATCTTTTGCTGAACGAAATGAAGATTAATAATAATGTTTCTCTTAATCAAAAATAGGATTGATTATATTAGTTTTAGGTACTTCTTTGGGAGATATTTAATATAGAGACACTACCCTATTAGATTTGGGTTATGTATTAATTTTAAATTCTGATGATAGTAAACTAATTGATTACTGTCTTTCTGTATTAAATGGTTATGCTTATTCATCCAAATTTTATGATTATTATCCTTTTAAATTTGTTGGAGTTGTTGAATAACTTCTATAATGAGAAGTAGTATATGCTCTTGAAGAAGTTGGAGTTGGCTTTTTGTCATTATTTATTTTATCTATACCTTTAGTGTTTAATATATTTATTGCTCTATCACTAGTACTTTAGATTATTCTTCTAGCTATATAGAATGTGGATTTAGTTTAAGATTTAGTTTAAACTACATCTTATTTAGGGAATTTTAATTTGAAATGATGCTTAATCATATAAATAATTTTTAATAATTACAAAATTCAACAACTCATAATAGTTCTTAAGTATAATTAAGATATTGTTAAGAAATGTACTTCTATTTTAAAGGTACTTTAATTTGATTTAGTGATTTTACTTTAAATTTACCACCATCTATATTTAAGGTTGTAGATTTAGTTAAATTATTAACTATTCCTAAAGTCTTCATTGATAAGAAATTTTAGTAAAATTTTAATTCTTCTTTTAGATCTTATTATTGATCTTCTCCTTTCAATGGTTTCATATAAATTGATTTTGTTTTTGCAATAAAATTGGCAAAATGTTTCAATAATTTTACTGTTTTCCAGTGTCCATATAGTCTAATAAATCTATTTGAAATCTAGTAAGAATATTTAATATTGATACTTCTTTATATTTTTCAGAATTCTTTTTATGATGTAAAAATTATAACCATGATTCAAATAGAGCCTATGCTTTAAAAAAAAGAATGCTAACTAAACTAGATTATGGAATAAAATTCTAATTATAAGGTATTTATTAAAGTTCTAATATTCTATTTATAAAGATTATTTATACTTTTCCTCTTCAGTCATTTCTTTCTTTTTATTATCCTTCTTTTTATCTTAAAAGTATGCTGGCTTTTATTTATCAAAAAATCTTCTACTTGTTATCTTATTTGAATTACTATCAATCACATAATTAACTGATTCTTAAAATTATTTTAATTATCTTCCAAATTATGTAACTTTTTCTTAACATATAAATGATGGAGATATATCTAACCATACTTATTAAAAATCTTTCATCTAATTTATCATATATTTTATTCATACTTTTTAAAAGGATTTTAAAAGATCAGCCAGTAAAGCAGATTGAATTTTTTAAATCATTACAGAAAATGTGAAATCATTAAAGTTCTTTTGATCCTTTTAATATATAATATTATAATACTTAAGTTAGAATTCTTTCTAAATGCTTATGAAAATCATGCATTTCTGTTTTAGATAATACTAATTCAGTATTTTCAAAAAGCAGTCTATCCTCTAGAGGTTGCTCTGGTTCAAATAATTTAGCTGTAAATATTGGTATTTTATATGTCTCATCAAAATATTTTATTTCGATATAATTTACCTCATCTTCCTTATTTTAATGAGTGTTATTTATATCTAAAATTATTATTTCTCATTACCAAAGCTATCAAAGAAATCAGAAAGGTCATCACCTTCATCAACTGAATCCTCTTATTATTAATCATCATAAACTGGAAATTAATGATCACCAGAAGGAGCCAATAGTCTTTCTTCTGTTTATTTCTTAATAACTTAATCTGATTCAGCAAATGTTGAAAATTAAACTGATGGAGTAACATTTCTAAAACTTGGAAATGGCCTATAATTAGATTCCTCTTCAGAATCCTCATCATCACTGAAACATTCTAAAAAGTCTTCAAAATCTTGATCTAATTATGCTCCATCATCCTATGCTAATCCATTGAAGATATCATCAATGTCATCTAAATTTTTTAAAAGGTTGATTTGACTTGAATCTATAGAATGAGGTTATTAGTTCATTATATTTTTAATATTATTGATATTTCAATTATTTTATCTCCACATTAATAATTCTTCTTACATAACTTTTATATTAACTTAATATCTTCTACTAATATTTAAATAAAGTTCTTCATTTTTTATATCTTCTTTATAATTCTACTATTCCCTATAATTTTAAATTATTCACCTTATTATTTTTTATTAATTTTGACATTAATTTTCAATCATTTTAAACAAAAAATGATAAAATCGTTTAAGTAAAATAAACTTAGTCAATTTCATAATGCTTTTGCTTTAAACAAATCATTAACTTAAATTTTTGGTGAATAATTTATAGATTTAGAAAAGTAATGAAAAATGTTTTGTTTTAATATCTAATAGCTTTGAAAACAAGATTAATTAATATACCTTTTTGTAAATTAATCATAATTATATATAGATTCTATTAAGAGTCTTTTTATACATTATTATCAAAATAAAATTATTTGTCAAAATTATAAATATGTCTTTAAAAACCTTTTAGAGAAATTATATATTGAATATTTTGAATTTCTAAACTTTTTAATTAAAAAATTTATATTCTCTTAGTTATTTGTTAAATTAAAATATAACAACAACGTTTAGAATAGATTTTTAATAAATTCATTTTATAAATCTTTTGGCGATAGCAATGTAGAAATCTTAAAAAAATCTTATTTTCCATACAATTAAATAAAGATCTAAATGGGATAATCTAAATATTATTTTGAATTTATTTCAAAACATAGCATTTTATCAATTAAAAAAAAATAATTCGATTTTTTTTGTATTAAAAAAATTTAATATTTAATATTAGAGCCTTAAGAAATTTTAATCAAATAAAATAATTTGTCAATTAAAAATTTAATCAGTATTTTTAGATCACGAATGTATTTAAAAATAAGTTTGACTCTTTTATGAATCAATAGATTTTTAAAGTTTAATAAATCATACATAAATAAATAATAAAAGAAGTTAGATTATAAATATAATAATCTTTTCATTTAATTTAATAAGAATTATTAAACAGTATATATTAATGGAATAGCAAATTTGTTAAATAATAATTATTATTGGATCAGATATTAAATATTCATAAATTTTTCATATTGGAGTTTTGTACTTCTAATTTTATGATCTAGCATAATGAACAAGAGTTCCACTTTGGTTTTAATTGATTTTAGACATTACTTCATCTTAAGAATTGTTAATTTTCATGAGTTGCCTAAGATGATAATTTTATTTTACTATTATCTTTATCTATGTTATATTTTTTAGATTGCCTTTTGAATACCTTATTTCAATTATAATTCAATTGATTTCAAATTTGAAATTTAAGCATTAGGATTATCATTTTATTCAGTTATCTGATGATCTTAATCATAATATTTATTCATATAGTGTCCTAACCAATAACATTCTGATTATATTTCTGTTTTCATTGTTTATAGAATCAAATATAATTCGATTAAAAATTTAAAACTTTTCTGTTAAAGTAACTGATCTTGCTCATCCATGGATTATTCCAATTTTATGAATTATTCTAACTCTTAGTTCATAAAATTTATAGATGATTCAATAAGTTCTTTTCCAAGATTATGCTCTTTATTAATTTTTCTATAATTTTCAACTAATAATTGATTATAAGATAAGAATTCCATTTTTTATATATTCATTTCCGTAACTAACTTATTTATTAGATTATCATAATTTGGTCTATTTCAAATCTTATAATACCTCTTCTTCTCAAGATATTCTAAAGGTTTTTAGCTTAGAATGTATTCAAGCTTTAGGTTTGGAGTGTTGTTTTCATTTGATATCGTAGGCTCTTCGAATATGTTATTAGGAGGCTACTAATGTGCTTGAGGGTTTTTATTTTAAGGCTTGCCACCACCGCATCCCATTAATAAGTAAAAATAAATTAATAATAAATTATTGTAAGTTAAATTATATTTAGTATGCTTTTATTTAATTAAATATCTATAATCATATCTTAAAATCTCATTTATTTTAGGATTATTAGGAACTAGTATTATAAGAAGAATCTGAAGATGATAATGAGGACATATCATTAGATACAAACTTGATTTAGTCTTACTTTTTTTCTAAAATAATACAATTTAATAATTAATTATGTAGATTTATTTTTTGATTCATTTCTTTAGATAAATCTTACTTTCCCAATTCCAGTGTAAATTTAAATTATCAAATTAAGGATTTTATCTTCTATAATATTTTTTTAATTTAATTTTAAGGTTCATTTTTTATTTTACCCTTTTTCTTATTTCTTTATTTATATTTTCTATTTCCCTATTTTTATTTTCTATTTCTTTTCTTAATCTATTATTTTTCAAATTCTTTTTATAAACTCTTGTTATTACCACTACTTTTGTAAATACTTTTTTTATCTTTTTTCAATACTTTTCTCATCAAAATTCAACCAATTATAATTCTTGTTAATCAATAACAAAACCATTATTTATTTTAGTGTCAAAATAATCTTTTTTAAGTTCTGGTTATAAAATAATAACATCATTTTTATTTTTACTATATAATTCTAATAATAGATTCAATTCATTTTTTTAGCTTTTTTTAATAAAGACAATTATAAATTGACAATATGATAGATATCATTATGAAATAGGTATATCTCCTAAATTTTCTATGTAGTGGCTACCTTATTTTATTTAGTTTAAAAAATAAATATTCTTCTTTTTTTTAATTAAGATTTTCTATATTAGAAAATGGAGATCTTGATGATTTTAGGTGAATCTTCAAAAGCTTCATCGATACTATAAGTATCCTTTATTCTAATATTAAAAAATGGTTTGCCTACATCATCTATATGAATTCTATTTATTTATTATAGAATTTCAAAACCCTCTTAAACTTATCCAAATAACCTATGTTTGCCATCTCTTTAGGTAGCATTCCATATCGATATAATATAAAAATCTGATTTATTTTTAGGTAGTATGGAGTTTGATATGGATACAACTCCATATTAATTTTGTTATAAAATACTTATTTTTATATATTCTTAATAATCGATAGATCTAATTCTAGAGATATTGGTTAATTATATATTTTTGTTGGTGGTTTTATAGTTTTTATAAAACCTAAGTAATCTTTTTAAAACATAGTAAAAAAAGAACTCCATTATAAAATTAAGATTAGCAGAGTTTTATGAAGTTTTTGGCTTATAAAGCAACTTGGTTTAGTAATTGAATTATGATATCTCATAATGAAGTTTCTAATACAATTGACATAAATAAAAATTATTATGCGTCAGATCAATTCAGATGACTCATTAAATAAATAATGAATCAAAATTTTGAAGGATCTTAAGCCGAAGTTCTACATCCTAAAACACACATGTAAATATAGGCTGTCTAACATGAAAAAATAATTTAAGGGTTTGATCATGATCCTGAGAAATTTTTGGGAGAATTTCAATTCAACTCACATTTGCTTACAAGACAGTATCTTGTTGGAGAAGGTATTAATTAAATCAATGTAATAGGAACACAATTAAGATTATACTTTACTAAAGTTACTCCTTAAAATGTTTAAATTAAAGCATCATTAGCAATCATTCATGGATTTGGTGAACATTCAGGGAGATTTTTACATGTATATTATCCATTTAGAATAATAGTTAGCTGATTTTTATGCCAAAGCTGGATTTGAAATATATATGATTGATTTAAGAGGATTTGGTTATTCTGGTGGTGCTAGAGGATGTGCTACATAATAATAATTACTTTTAGATGTTAAGGTTTTAATTTAATAAGTGAATCCATCATTACCATTATTTTTATATGGTCATTCTATGGGAGGATTAATAGTCTTATCATTTACATTATTAAATCCAGCTATTTAAATTGCTGGTGTTATAGCAACAAGTCCATTATTAGGATTTCCATCTGATCGTAAATTGGATTGGTTGAAACTCAATTTTGTTACTACAGCTGGTAAAAAATTAGAAGACATGGTTGTTAATAGTATGGTTAATCCAACTGCTTTAACAAAAAATAATAATCAATTAAAGCATTCATTTGGAGATAGATTAATGATACCATTTTGTGGTTTAAATATGGCAGCATCTATATTATCATAAGTGAAAATGATGAAGAGTCATTCTCATTTATTTAATAAACCATTATTAATTTTACATGGAAAATAAGATGCTGTAACTAATTATCATGATTCTGTATATTTCTTTGAAAACTGTAAAAGTTAAGAAAAAGCTTTAAAACTATTTGAAAATGGTTATCATGAATTATAGCATGATGAAGAATGCGATGAATTAATGACCATTACATTAGATTGGTTATAAAGACGTTTAGATAATGCAAAAATTCTTGGAAATGTTCCTACAGTAATTAATGTACATCCTTTAAAGAGAAAATAAAATAAAAAAATGAAATTTATTTTATTTTTCTTGATATTAGCCTATTTTATCATTTCCTTGAAGTAAATATTATAAATGATTTTTAGATATAAAAACTTAGCTTAAGGATCAAAACTCAAGAAACTAATTATCCCATTATTGTTATTTAAAAAATGAATAAATTAGTTTAATCGTATTATTATTTAATATCAATTTATTTATGTTAATTCATATATATATATTAATAAAATCTATTATATTAAAGTCTTATATATATCTATTTTATCAAAATAAATTACAGCATTGTGATTTTTTTCTTTGAATTCTATAAAGATTTATTCCTCAATAATTTCTATAATTTTAATTAATTAATTTAAAACCATTCAAAATTTAATTGAACATTTAATTTATTAAACTTTAATTAATTATATCATCTTAAAAAAAAATATGAGCATGATTAGATAAAAATTAATATATCAATATCATATCTTTTAATAATTTATTAAATTTTTTATAATTTTTATATACATCTAAATACTTAATTTATATTTATTATAATTGCCAATTATTGCACAAAAAATTTAATTAAATAATACTCATTATTATATCATTAATTAGGTAAATCTAAAGAATTCAATTGTTAATGCAATTAAATTTTAATATTTTATTAAATATCACTCATTATTTTGATCTTTCAAATCGTTTGTAATTGTTTGATACTATTGAAAATATTATTCATTCTTTTATTAAGGATCAAATCTTTCTAATATTATGCCAAGTGATCTAACCAATATAATCACAATAAAAATTATGGATTCATAAACTAATTTTTCTGCAAATAATTCTACTACTCGTAGGTGATACAAGTTTCTCATACTATGAAGAGCAGAAAAAGTTATTTAAGAAAATTAAATTACTATTAATGAATCAATTATTTTATTATTAAAATAATAAACAGCAAATTTGCAATCTATATTTTGATCATTTTTCAATACATGCAAAGTAATTTTCTTAATTATATCTAATGTTGCAAACACACCAAACTAAATTTATTTTAATTATATTACAATGCTTATTATTAATAAGGTAGTATTAAATAATACATTAAAGTTCTCAGAACCAATAAGAGCATCTTAAAATTTAACATTACTAAATGACATTCTATGACCTAAACAAAACCAACTATAATTCAAAATTAATTGTATTGTTGCTCCAGCTATAAGAGGTAGCCAAGCCCTTTCAATTTTCAAATAGAATTTAGTCAAATAATAAATTGAATAAAATAAACAGCAATACACCATCATTCCCTATTTTCCAGAGACAGTTAATATGATTAAAAAAACTATTATTAATTAAAATAATTACAATAACTAAAATCTCTAAAAATAGCAATCATTACTAAAGAACATATGTATAAAAACATAGGAAGATAGATTGTTAATATTTTTAAATGACTTTCAAATAATTCTGTTAATAGGTTATTAAATGCTTAACAATTATTAAAAAAATATATGAACTAGGCTAAACCTAAAAAGATATAAAAGTATATTCTATATATATATAAAATAATAATACTTAAAATTTAGTTTATAAAGTATTTTTTACACAAAAATTATAGGTAGAATAAATTTTATCCAAAATGATTAAAAAATATAATTGATCGAGTTAAAAATTAAAGCTGATTAAGGTTATGTAGTTAATTATGGAATATTATATTATTCTGCTAAAATTAAGAAGGATAAAGCTATAATAACATACTAAATTTATTTTATCAATCTAAAATGAGTTATCAAAATAATGATGAAGATATTTAATAAAGTTCCAAATATATTTGATGAATAAACAAATTAACGTCTGAGTGATAATTCTTGGATACCCTTTTAAACTATTATATTCGTAAAAATCATAAAGTATTATCTATAATGTGGCAATGGATTCATAACTTTATAAACAATAAGTTTTAAATTTTCAATATAAGTTAGGGGTAATACTATTTATTTCATAATTGCAAATATTAAATAAAATGAAATAAATTTAATTGATAAATAAAGAGAAAATAGTAAACAAATAATAATAGCAAGAGGCATAATTATGATTAAGAACTCTAACCTATAAATTAAATAAGGATTTTAATTTGAAAGTTTTTTATCAAAAAGGTATTCCATTAATTTGATAAGATGAAAAGCAAATAAAATGATCATCATGGACACACCAAGATATAAAAAATAATAATCATGAGTTTTAGCTTTTTCTTTGATTTCAACCTATAATTCCAATATCAATTCCTAAATATTTTAGCAATTTAATTTAGGACTTGATAACTTTTCTTCATATTTTTATAAGTTTATATCTAAAGCACTCTACGATTTAGTTAATTTATTTAAGTAATTCATAATTTAAATTAAGTTCTCCTTGCAACTATTTTCTTACTATTCTTTTGTATTAATCATTTCAGTTAAAATTGCTCCCATATTACTAAAAGGCATAGATATTCCCATTAAATATGAGATAGTTGGAGCTAAATTAATGCTATATACTTATCGAGCAAACAAATTTCGATCGAGAATTTATTAATTTACATATCGTTTATTTTTAATAACTTAATTAAATAAGTTTTTATTAAATTTATACTTTTTATTAATTCCATAAATAGTAGAGCTAACTTCATGAGAACTATCTCCACCATGATTACCATCTGGTGACATTCCATGATCACCAACTACAAATAACATTGTATTATTATCCATTTTTTTATATATCCTATATAATAGATTTGAATATTATTTCTATTTCTTCCAAAGAGATTTATTACTATCGTTATAACTATGACCAGAGTGATCAATTCCAAGAAGATGTCCAACAATAAAATCATATTAATTTTCTTTCATTAATTCTTCAATATTGTTGATAATAATATTATCGTCAGAATCTACATCTCTAACATCAAATGATTCAGAAACATATTTGTAATCAAATGATTTTGGAAACATATGAAACCAAGTGTCATCTCCTAATAATGCTATCTTTTTATTATTTCTTTTCATAGAATAGATTATATTATCTTCTTTTAATTCTTGAGCTGCCATATTTGACCCGAAATCTACAAATGCTGGAAAATTTCCTGTCGTTATAGATTTCAAATTTAATTAAGTTGCTGTTGGAGTAGATGAGATTCCATAATATAAAATTTAATACTCTTCTTTATTTTCTTTCATATCTCCATAGAAACTAAAGTTTTTATTTGCAAATAAATCAATTCTTAATGCATCCACCAAAAGTAAAATCACTTTCATTGGTTCATCATTTGATGATTCACTTTCATTTATATCCTGAAATGTTGGTTAGACTTCAAAATATCCCATTAAATACAAAGAAAGGGCAAAAACTTCTATTATTAGAAGTCCTATTGAAGTATTATTCCACATATAAATAAATTATTTATAAAAAAATAAAAACTTATCCCTAATAAAAGCCTTATAATTTGCTGTTTAACCTCTATTGTATTTATAGACGTGGTCCTTACAGATTATGGAACATATGTTACAATACTAATAAAAACTTTATTTCTTATGGAAGAATGCTTGAATTTTGTTCTAAGTGTCTTTATAAAAGCAGCTATTTCTGGCAAAGTTATTAGAGTTTTTGCAGTAATAGGAATGCTAGGAAAGGCTAATATTTTAGAAGTCTTTAATTAATAAGAAAAAAATGGGGAAATGGATTGTAAATAGATTTGGGTATGCTGAAGAAGCTGCTTATTTGAGTTAATTTATTTTACATTAAAAATAATAAAAAACTTTGGTTTAATGGAATTTGTAATTATGAATTTGATGCAGGAACTCATTTTTATAATATATATTAATTTTAGGATGGAAAATTTATTATTATGGGATGTTTAATAGAAAATTTTATTAAGAACTTGTAAAAAACTTAATTGAATACGTTCTAAGTTAATAAAGGTAGATAATTTACATTATAATTAAGAGGTTAATGTTATTGAATGGAAAAATTAGAAATATCAAAAATATTTCAAAGTACAATAATAAACTATAATAGAAATGGTAAATTTAATTTAATGGATAATCTCTTTTTCCAAGATTATAAATTTTTAATTAATGATATTACAAAAATTGCTTAGCATAATGTTATACATTATTATTGAGTCTCAGTAATTGATAAATAAAAGAATAAAATATATATGAAGGGAATTAAATATCAAAAAAAATTAATTTGTGAAAAGTTAGATTCCAAAAGAATTTAAATGGACTTTAGTGTTTTCTGTAGGTCAGTAATTTGAATTATAAATATTTTTTCTAAAATATTTAGTAAATTGAATTATAAAACCATTTATTTGAATAAAAGGATAAAGTATAATATAAATAATAGTTAAATAGAATTCAAAAGGGTTTTAATTAAATATAATAAAATATATATTTTTAGTTAAAATAACTGAAAAAAAATGAGCAAAATTAAAAATAACTTTTTAATTAATCTAGTTATTCTTTAGAAAAAGTATTTAATAATAATTTTATGATTTGTTCTTATTATTTATGCAATAAATTGATAAGTTTAGATTCCTTAATGAATGGGCTGACAATATAATGTTTATGGTGTCCAAATGCTTTTTATTGCTGCGAAATTTGTAGAAAGTAGGATAGGTAACTATTTGAAGGTAATTAAATATTAGCAAGCATTAATAATTATGTGGAGGGTCATAGCAAGAAGTTCTTGTAGACAAATCAAATATTATAAAAGAAATGCAATTATTAGAAAAAATAGGATAAGGGAGTTTTGGAACAGTGCATAAAATATCAATATAAGGCCAATTATATGCTTTAAAGAAGATGAATAAAAATTAATGTTCAAAAGAAGTTAGAATACATAAGCATTTGAATCATAAAAACATAATTTAGTTTCATTATTTCATAGAAGATGAAGATTATATATATATAATTATGGAATATGCATGTAAAACTTTGTTAATTTTTAGCTGAGGGCACATTAACATAGAATAGAGAGAATTGTAATATTCAAAGCATCTTCATACAATTATGTTAAGCTATCATGTATCTTCATTAAAAGGGTATTATTCATAGAGATTTAAAACCTGATAATATTTTAATAGACAAAAATGGGAATCCTAAAATTTGTGATTTTGGCTTAGCAACATATGAAAGCGTAATAAGTAGTTTTTCTGGAACATTTGAATTTATGGCACCAGAAGTAATTAAGAATTTACCTTAAACCTAAAAAATTGATGTATGGTCTTTAGCTGCTATATTATATTGGTTGCTGGAAAACAAACCATTAGTATAAGGTTTAATAATAAACAAATTTAGGCAATTAGCTTGAAAAGATGCAATAAATTCTGGATTTTACGTCACCTAAATTTACAAAAATAACAAATCCATTAATAAAAGATCTATTAAATCAGATGCTATTACCAGATTCTGATAATAGAATTTCATTGTAAGGTGTGCTAAATCATAAATGGATATAAAGCATAAATACAATAGAGAAAGAAATTAATGATATTTCTACATAGCCAAGTGTTTAAAGATAACAATAAATAGAAATTTAATAATAAATGTAAAAACAAAAGATAAGCATTTTGTAAAAAGTTGTATCACTTTTTGGTTGCGGAGGGAGAGAGAAACTGTTTTGATAATGATTTTGATTTTAGATTATTGAGTTTTTAGTTTTCCCACTTAATAAATTAATAAATCTAACTGATATTCAATACATTATTTGAAAAATGAATTCTGAAGTCTAAGACATTATAGATTTATATTAGTAGATAGTTTCTAATTTAGATTAGGATCCATAACGAGATGTTACTATGTATTTTATAATTTGAAAGTATAATAGTGAGTAACTAAAAAATGAAAGAAATTATTGCACAATATTTAGAATCATGTTTCCATTTTTAGAGAAGGAAATTGATAATATTCAAAAAGAAAGAAATCCAACAGGTGAGAAATTGTAAGGACTAATCGAATTTTTAGTAAATCATCTTGAAAATATAAATAGTCTTATCCAGTTTTAACAATGGATTTATCGCATATAAGTGGTCATTCTATTGCATAAGGAGATTTGAGGCATCTTTATAACTTTTTATAAATTTTACTTGAACTATCAAAGCTTTATAAGGATTAAGTTTAAAATACAAGATCAAATTCAACAAGCTAATAAAACAATATAACTCCTCCAGAATAATAACTTGGTAAATAATTTTCACTAATTTAGATTATTTTAAAGATAATGATGATAATGAGCAATCATCTTAAGGGGATGGTGAAAATTAGTAAACTGATAAAATTGAAAGGAAAGGATCCTAATAACATTTGAAAAATGAGGCAAATGTAAATAAGAATGCTGTTACTCAAAATTAACTATCTAAAAATCAAAGAAAATCTTCAGCTAGAAAATAGGATTAGAAAAAAGTACTTAATTCAAAGGGAAATCAGTTAAAAGCAATTAGAAATAATTTGTTACCTGTAACCTAACTCTAATAGAGAATTATAACATAAGATCCAAATATAGCTTTAAAATTCAAAAATTAATAATAGTAGCAATAAAAGAAAACATTAAAAAAATAATAACATTCTTAATCTCCTTAAGAGGAAGAATAATTAGATTAAATGGATTTCGAAGATATTAGTGATATAGATTATGATTTCTTGGAAAAATATGATGAAGAAGAAATTAATCAATTAGAAGATGATGATCCAACAAAAATAAAATATAATAGAGAACTATAAAAGGATGATATTAGAAAATTATTATAAGAAAAAATGAAAGAAGGAGAAGAATTAGGGGAATAACCAGAAATTGATGATTTTATAGATTTTTAAATTAAAGTCATTAAAAAATCATTAGGTAATATGAAAAATTTACCTCCAAGCGATGAAAAAGAAACTATTGAAAACATCATAAAAAATAGAAATTAATATAAAGAATTTTTAAAAGATTATCTTAAAACTTATTAATAAAAATAATAGAAACAAGAATCATAATAAAATAAATCAATACAAAATTAAAAGTAACTTACTAAAATGAATCAAAAAAAGAAAGATGATTTAAAAAAAGAATTTGAAAATGAGCATTTGTCAATGTATTATAAATTAAGAGATGAAAAATTAAATTATTTAAGAAAAATGTAATATTTTATTAAATTCTCATAGTCATCGAATCATCTTTGAATTAGAAAAAAGAAAGATTATAGATGAGAAAAAGGATCATCTATAAATGAGAAGATAATAAAATATAATTACTAGAAATGCACTATCATCTGTTGAAAATGCTTATAATGATAAAATTACTATGCTAAAAGAAAAATTATAAAATGAGCGAAAAGAAAGACATGTTGCAGGAGTTGCTTAGAAATAAGTAAGTTAATTTTTTATTTGAAAGATTCTCTCTAAATTAGAAAAAGAGTTAAAAGATGAAAAAATTAAATAAATTTAAGAACTGAAAGATATATGGAGATAAGAAAAAGAAAGATTCGATTATTTAATGAAAGATGATGGGGAATTAGAAAAAAGAATTCTATAAATTTATAAAAAATATTGAGAAAATTATATATATGCTATTATTAATTATATATCTATGTTAATTTTAGATTTTTTAGGATTTAATATGAAATTGGTAAAAATATCATTATATTTATTGGTGTTCATCATATTTTTAATGTGATTAAAATATAATTATCTATCTATAAATATATACAATATTTTTTAAATTCTATTTAAGAATAATCCAAAAAATAGAGAAATAAATCATATATAAAACTAATTAACTAGATATAAGGAAAATCTTATGTATTAATATTAATATAAAGAAAAAATATCATTTATTTTATTATTAGTATTCCTTGTACAATCTTTCATAATATGCCTCATTTATCCAAGGTTGATCATCTTTTTCATATTTTAATGGAGGAAATTTGAATGAAAGTTATTATATAATTTGTTATTTCAATTAAGCTGAATTTTTTTTTGGGGGATATAAAACACCTAATTCTGTATTAGCTATATATAATTAAGTGGCATTTTTTTCCATTTTTCCCCAAGCACCTTAACTAAAATTATGGCTTCCAATATAAATAGCTGTATAATCATTAATATCTTCATCTAATCCAGTAATAATCATAACTTTTAAATGAGGAATATTACCAGTATGCCAATAATAATGATCTGACCCTTAGTATTTATAAAATAGATGTTTAGGAAATTTAGGATTTTCATATAATTATTTCTTTAAATATAATGGATTGGCAAAATCAACTCCTCCATGAGTTTAGTTTTCAATATAATCTGCTGTAGGATATATTAATTTCAATTTTGATTATTCTTCCTCTTATTGATTTAAAATCATTTAATTTAATTTTTTATTATTTTATTCACTTGCCAATGGTTATTTATAAACTCTACCTGTGCAACATTATAAAACAAAATCAATATAATTATTATCTAATTATCCTATACTAGTAGTTTAATATGTAACACAAACTTATTTAGGTATTTCCATTTTATTATTACATAATTCTTAATATAAGACAGACTGAAGTCTCATCATACCATATTTAAATAATTGATTGCCTACAAATCTTCCTGGGATTGATGTAATTAGCCTTATATTTATATCTCTAAAATCATAATCATCATAATTAATTTTAAGGAGATCTTCAAATTTATGAGATGTAGGTAATATTTCATATAAGAATTCTTTTAGCATAGTTTTAAACTCTTAAGAAATTTAGTCTAATTCACTTTTTCCTTATTTAAAGTCTTATATCCACATTGCTTATGACCATATTGTCCAATCTCCTACATGTAAATTTTAACTTCCGATGACAATCCGAATAAATTTAGGAAATTTTAGAATCCATATTTTAGGATGAAATGCACCTCCAAACATACTTGAACCTAATTTTGATGGTTTAATTACCATCCAATTTGGATAATTGTTATATTTTTCAATAATTTCAAGTTTTTTGTTTAAATTGTCATTATCATTCACAATGAAGAGTTGTACACCTGATTATACTAAAGGTTTTAATAATTCATCTTCAAATCCAAAACAAGTCATAAGAGCACTTTCTAATGTCTTTTTTGGCTTTTAAGTTTTTACATCAATGAATGCATTTTCGTAAAGGATGTTAATAAATGGTAAATGATGTGGTTGTCTTTCATCTGTAGGATATTATGTTAAACAATTCAAACAAAATGTTCCAATAGGAAATGATAATTAAACTTCCTTTTCTTAGATTTATTATTTGATTTCATCATCTTCTATAACTACAATCTATTCCTTCTCTTTTTATTTTTATTTTAGTCTTTTCTGATTTTCTAAATATAGTTCCTTTTAAACTGTATTAATCTCGATATAAGAAGAATTAATCTGGTCTTGTTCTTTAGACAATTCCTGAAGGGTTCTTTTTTTCATAATGATAATTTTATGAGAAGAATTGAATAAATTATATTCAATTAATTGTTTATATTTCTTTTGTAATAAAATGAGTTTTTTTTCCCATTCTTTATCAAGATTTTGAGTTTGAATTTGGTCTTTTGGATGAACCTGAATCAGAAGGTGATCTCTTTGGTGTAACACTTCTTTTTCTGATTCTTTAATCTCTTCTAGGGCTTCTGCTATGTCTCTTTCTTTTGTTTTGATATCTTCTTCTTCTAGATCTGGATGATGAATAAGAAGAATATGATCTTGATTCAGATCTTCTATGACGGCGCCTAAAATTTTAAATATCTTTATACTTTGATCTTGAATCTGATCGTCTTCTGCTTCGTCTAGATGATTTAATAATTGGACAATTACGAGCCCTATAAATTTAATTAAAAATTTTACCAATGACCACCTTTATCGCATTTGAAACATTTATCTTCTTCATTTGGGCCTGATTTTCTTCCTTTACGATTGTCAACTACATCTACTTTCAATTTTTATCCATTATAAGCTTATCCATTCATACCCTTTAAAGCTTCTTGTGCTTCCTACTCACTACTGAAGGTCTTAATTTCTAAATTAGTTCATACAACAAATGAATATGATCCTTTGTATGCAACTTCTTTGATCGTTCCATACTTTTTGAAGATATCTCTAACATCTTTCTCATCCTATACTTTGCTACGGCTGTACCCAGCAACAAATAGTTAATTAGGGATAATATCACCCATTAATTTAATTAATAAAATTAAATCCTAATAAAAAATTATATTAGATATATTTTATTCCTTTATTAATTAACCAAAAATATATCTCATTATTGTTCTTACCTTCCAATCAGATTGTAGATTTATTTAGTTTGTATTTAATTTCTTAAAATTGGCATTTAGAAATGCTTTTTTATTCCTAACTTAATCTATATAATTAAGATTTTGATTATATATTAATCTAACTAATCATTTGCAAATTAAACAATTATAAAAATATAATATAATTATTTAGATAAAATAAAGATCAATCATTATTTTATTTCCATATTTTTATGAATTTTGAATAATCCCAAGTAATAAGATACTAATTATTCTTTGAAAATTAATAAAAAAAGCTGTGTTCAAATTATATAGTCTAGATTTATTGATATAAATTTTTTGTATCCTTTGTAAATATCAATAGATCTTCGTTTCTTTTCAAACCCACTACATCCTAACTTTGTGAGATTGAAGAATTATATTCAAATACTTAATTTAACATACTCTAAAGACATTAGGTCATATTAACCTAACCTTCCTCATATAATTCATTTTCTGTATTAAAATTAAATAATAAATATTCCATTTTTTAAGTCTATATTACCAATTAATCATTGTCAATATTATAGTATTTCTTGCCTTTTATACCCTTAAGATTAATTAATTATCTCTTTTTCCATTGATTCTATTAATTCTTAGCAAGAAATTATACTTAACCGCTTTAATTTATTATGATTATTTTCATACAATTCTTGTCATAACTCACCTAAAGAATCTGAGAATGTTCATTTTGGCTAATTGATATGACTTACTTATTTATCCATTTGTTTTCAGATGTTCTTTACCAAACTACTATAAAATTATAATCCATGACTCCAATGAGTTCATTTTCATCATTGTTTAGTATTAACTAAACGACTTCAAAATCTCTAGTTTACTATTCCTTGTAGATTAGGAATTATTTATTCCATTTTCTATCTGAATCTCTGGTCCAAACTATTACATTATCATTCCAACTTCCAATCGAAAAGAACATATCTTCTTTGTTACTATAAAGAATATTATTGACACAAGATTTATGTCCTTATAGACTTTATTCCACTCTCATAGTCTAATTGTCCATTTAACAAACTAGGATTTCAACACCATAAGCCAAAACCCAAATACTATTGGAATTATTAAAACCAAAAGCTTTACACTATTGAGAGTGTTCAAAACTAGTGATTAAGTTATAACCAATAGAGGATTCTCTAAGGTTTGAGTCTGAAGTGATTTTAGAAAATTCTAAAGGTTTCTTAATCTCCTAGCATAGATAATAAACTGACATTAAGAATATGATATAAAAATAATTAATAGATTAAATAAATTAATTAATCAGTTTTAACTTAAGTAATGATACATATTATTTAACCTTATCAAACAAATTTGTTATTTAATATCACTGATCTATATTTAGAATTTTTTTAATTTGCCCTATAAATATCAATAATAATAAAAATTCAAATTTTTTCTTTTGAATTTTAATATGTGAAACATTCATATAATAACAAAATTATTAGTATTAATCTGTTTATAACAATATCCTTGAAATTTTAGTAATAAACATAATAAATTATAATTAATAATGATAGAAAAGTAAAATATTTTAAATTAGTTTCTAAATATATATAATAAATATAATACATTTGTTTTTATGTAATTTCAATCCTTCTCAAATTCAATCTATGATTAAGATGTGAATGTTATATTATATATAAAATCAAAAATTTTTAATTAATTTAAAATCTGAATTTAATATATATCAGAACAATTTTGGGCTTGAAATTTTGAGATATAATCCTTTATGTATTTATAAAAATAAGATAGCCAGCTTTGTAAAATATCTTAAAGATAATCAATTATTGATGATATATTAATATAATTTGAATATAAATAAAATAATAAAAAATGATTTTATTTAGGGCCTTATGCAATATATATAATTGTAAAATATCATATCACGATAATCATCAAAGTACTGATGAAAGCAAAGATTCCTAAAAATGTCCAACCAAATATTTTGGCTTTATCTTCATAAGATCCTTAATTCATAGGTGGTACAATAGCTAATGATAGGAAGAATCCTGTAATAAATCCTCCAATTTAACCATATTTATCATTATGATTTGTGTTAATAGCTGATAATGTGATGACTAAGACAAATGTCAATAGAATCCACATAAAACAACATAAAAATGCTCTCATTTCATTTAAGACTTCAAGTGAACACCAATTTAATATTATACACTAAATAAAAATAGAATTTTACTCCAAAGAATGCTCCTATTAATCCATATATAGCAGTATTTGCATGTAAATAAATTAGATCTGTACAACAATTAATAGAACTTCCAAATAATGCTCCCATAGCTCCACTAAAAATATATAAAGAAATTGCTATAATTGGACCTGATGCATATTCAAAACTGGATAATAATATGAGTAAAAAGAAAATAATGCAAAAATAGTGATAAAAATCTCTACTCAAAAAGATGCTAGTAAATAATTATTAGAACATGAACTCATTCTTGATTTGATTTGTAACTAAACCTCCATGACTTAAAAGTGTTGCATCATTAATTTCTAGAAATTATCCTTATTTTTCAATTCCTCCAAATATACATAGAGTAAATAGTAAAGTATATACAAAAATAGCTAAAGTTGTAACAGATTGTATCTTGTATCCAGGAAAATAATTATTCTATAACATTTCATAGTAATGCATTTATCGGGGATTCGTTTTTACAACTTAAGCTCCTAATTTATTCAAAAATAGAAATAACCAATAAATGGAAATCGTTTTATACTGTCTCCAAAATAATCGTGCAATGTTCTTTGTTGTCTTCTTTATTAATAATCTGGTTGATATTCTCCATAACCATGTAAATTTGCCATTTATTTATTTATTAATTTAATTTAATGTCTGAAGTAGAAGAAATTAATTTGGAATCAAATATCAAAAAGCCAAGACATTAAAGATAACAAAATAAATCTAGGAATATTAGAAAGAATAAAAATAACTTTAATAGACAAAGAAATAATTCATAAAATAGAAATAGAGATAGATAAAGGAGAAATGATTGGAAATAATAAAATGGAGCCAATACAAGAGATTTATTTGAAATTGATATCTATAACTTTTTAGCCAAGAATTAAATATCTGACTTAATAGTATTTGTATTGCATAAACTTAGAGTGATATTAAATCTAGATGTGGCAATTTGGTTAAACTTCATATTATTGCCAATAATATATAAGAGAATGAAGCAGAAACTAAAGTAAATATATACATCATTAAAGGTAGTTTTGAAAGCTTTTTTCAAAGATAAAAAATCAGCTGATGAATGTTAATTTCAATATAATGATGCCAAACTTGATGATTAATCATTAAGAACAGAATGCAAATATTGATATAAAAAATATATATTAAATGAGATAAATATATGAATTTATTGTAATTCATATTGTTTTCTATGTTGTCTCTGTGCATAATGACTTAAAATAATAACAATTTGTAAATGAAAATATTTATATTAGAACCCAAAAGACATTTATTAGGTATGGATGCTATTAAATATGTTCTTTACTTCCATTTTTATTATAACTAAAAAGCTTACCTTAATACTTGTCTTTTTGCTCTAAAGTTATATGTACTTTTACTTAAGCAAATATAATCCTTATTATGTCTAAGTGGCAACTGTATTGATTCCAATTGCTTTAATTGACAAATCTAATATATTTATAATATTGAATTAGATTGGAGCATTTTTGATATCTGGACCCTATAATTATAATTAGTAGATATTATTTGTGATTTTAATGATAGCTTTGGCTATTTATATTTATGCAAAATAACATGTTGAAGAAATTTTAACTAAAGTAACTTATAATAAAATAAATAGAAAAAACAAAAAGTTGACTAAGATGAAAAATTTTTATAAGAATTACCATTTCCATTATTTATAGTCAATATAAAATCCTAAATACATTGGTCAAATAAAATGGCTAGAGAATTAACTGTTAATTGTGGAGTTAAATAGGGAGGATCATTAAAAGAGATCTTTTAAGATTAAGATTTATTTTTGTAATATTTAACTTAAGATTCTAAATAATTGATTGTTTAAATGAATACAGTTTTAATTTAATAATCTTTAGAATAAAGCTTACTCAAACAATCAAATAAAAATCCTTAGTAATAGTAATAATAATAATAATAATAATAATAATAATAATAATAATAATAATAACAAACAACACAAATAAATACTGAACTAAAATTAGCTAAGTTTTAGAGTTAGAAAGAAGACAATTTATAAAAATCAATTCATAAATATTTAAATATAGCATGTTTAACATTGAATTCTTAAAAAATTACAGAATAAATTTAAAAAGAAGTAATAATTTTATTTAGTTTAGATATTAACAGTTTTAATTAAGCCATTTAAAATCAATTAAATGAGATTGTATATGATATGTATAAATGCAAACAAGACATTTTTATAAAATAAAGTTCTTTAAAATCATTTGATTTAATAAATTAAATAAAAGTAATTCTTATTATTATATATTAAGTGGATAATAAATGCTTATAAGTTTACAATAAGATTATTAAAAATGGGATAATATGAGAAGTTTAGAAATAATTAGAGAATCAGATTTAAAAGTGATTTCCTAATCAATTGTAGATTTATATAAAATAATTTTTGAATTTGAAACTTATGAAGTATCAACAAGTTTCTTTCCATAATCTAGCTTAATAAATTTTTAATGTAGAAATCATCATATATTTTAGTTAAAGGATTAGTAACCTACTTAATTGAAGTATTTGCTGGTAGATATCTTTAGAAATTTACAAGCATAAATCTATACTTTGATAATAGTATCTAAGATAAGATGAAAGGTAATTCTACTAATTTTTCTTTGATATTTATGAGTATTTTAGAATTAATAGCAAAATATTCTGGAGATAAAAAACCATCTCTAAAAATTAATTGTAATTTAGATTAAGTAACAGATTAAAATAAAGCATATTAAATTTAATTGTAATTTTTATGGAGACAAGATGATGAATTAGATTAAATTTTTAAAGAGTTCTTTCATTAATAAGTAATGCCTATGGATGTTGATCCATTGGTATAACGTTACTTGATGACAATTAAAATATTATAGAGTTATTCTGCAATGAAAATATTTTATATTGAATAATCTGTTGAATCTATTGAATTATTAAGTGAACTCCATATTTTTGTTGATTTTTATATTAGTGATTCTGAAGAATCAAATTAATAAGTGTTTTAACCACCTTAATTACAAATTACTTTTAGTAGAGAATTTGTTGGATAGAATCCTAATGAAATAATGTGGCAACCTAAGAAATAACCTTAAGTTATTATAGATAAGAATCATTAAGCCATGATTCGACCTATTAAACCGATGCCTCCAACTTTCTTTAATAAATAAAATTTACCCATTAATGTTGAAGCTAAATAACCTAAAAATTAAGATGAGGACATTTAAGATGAAGATGTTATTTAAAAAAGAAAATAACTTATTAAAGAATTGATATAAGCTTAATTTATTTAGGTTGCTCCACGTCTCTCTGAAAAAATAGCTTATTTGATTAAAAAGAAATTAGAAAGCTAAGCAAATAAATTTGAAGCCATTTAATTTTTTGAAGATCATGAAAATGAATTAGACAAAGAAGATTAATGTGAAGAGAATGAAGAGTAATCGGATGATGGAACAAGTGAAGGCATTAAGGGGAACAGCTATGATGAAGAAGAATAATCACAAACTACTCCAAATTTAGATTCTGTTCCTGTTAATAGAAGATATATGAATCTACCATTATAGAGTGAATTTTCTAATTGTGATTCTCGAACTACAAATTAAATGCTTTAAGCATCAGATTTATCAATTATTACATACAAAAAATTAAAAATTGATTCAATTATTGAAGAAATTAAATCTAATCAAATTGATGTTGCTGATTTCAGTTAAATTACCATGAATGAACAATTTATTTTAAAAATTACAGATGCTTTAGAGAAAAACAACTCACTCAAAACTTTAAAATTCGTTAAATGTGATCTTAGTGATCAAATACTTATTAAAATCTTAGATTCAATTTCAAAAACATAGTAAATTTTATATTAAATTAGAATTGAGAACTTACATTTATAACATAATTTATTATAAGAAAAAGCTTTGAATCATCTAATTAGTTTAAAGTAGAGTTTAAAAGAATATCCTATAAAAGAATTAAATTTTCACAGTAATCTAGTTAAAGAAATTTAAATCAGCAAGGAGAAGGCATAATTATTAAATCTAGGAATAAAAGTATTATTGGGTTGAGTTATTTATATAAATATAATTAATAAAAATAAAACTGATGGACTCAGATGATGAAAAGCAAGTAGCTCTTCCACCAATTCGAATAAGAAGTTCAGAAATGAAACAAAGTCTAATGAAAGATATTTTATTAAGTAAAAAAACTATTTATGATTATACTTTTAGAATTAGATGAGTTATTCAAAAAATAGACATTAGACAAAGATGTCTGTGTTGAATTAGTCAAACATTTGAAATCTAAACCTGAGTACAAGATAAGTATAATCTTTTCTTAAATAAATTAGTGGGTGAAGGTGAGTGGCAATGCATAATAGGATCTAATTTCGGATGTTCCTTAAGTTATGATTTAGAGCTTTTAACTTTTTTTGATTTTTTATCTAATGGGAAATCAGTACTCCTCTTCAAGTCAGGATGATAAATTTATAATGTAAAGATTGATATATGATATAATATAGAATTATCATAAGCATTCTTTTTATGCTAATCATTAAATTTCCTATCTATCATTAATTATTTCATTTATTTTATGCAAATTTTGTCATCTAAAGAATTACAATTTAAAACATGATATAAATATTCAATAAACATCATTTAATTGTTATAAATTTCATAAAAATAATAGAACAGAAGAGGTTCTTAGAATATATTCTTCATTTTATATGATAAAAGATAAAAGAGAAAAATACTTCTTACATCTTATTTAATTCTTTAAATAATTTTTAAAATCCAAAAATAGAAACTTGTAGATCAGAGTATAAAGTTCCTTATGATTTTTATCATAGAATTTTTATAGTTTTTTTAATGCACAAAGGATTTATTAATTATACAATTATGTGTTAAATGCTTTTCCAAAAAATTACATAGATCTTATTAATACTAAATAGAAGTAAAATTTGAGGTAAATTGGAAGAAAATGAATACAAATCATTTAGAGTAGATGTTTTATTGATATGATCTCTATTTTATACCATAATTTTCTAAGTTGTAAAATTTGTTGAATAAATAAATTATATGAATCTAATAATTTTTTTAATCTAATAACTTGCAATTTTATAACCTAAAAATAGGCTTACTTTTAATGCCAAATAATTAAAAGATTTTCCAAAAAATAATGGAAATTTTTCAATTTTAAGAGAAAAATACCATGATAATTATTATTAAACTTTAAGTTTTGAATAAAATGCGCCAAATTAGTTAAATTGACTTTGCAAGGATTTCTAATATTATATCAGCTGATTATTTGTTTTGATTATCTATAATTATGATTAACTAAAGTTTTTAAGAAGAATGTCGTAAAATTACTATTGTATGGTCTAATGGAAAAGAGAGTTAATAGAAATTAACTTCCTATAAATAAATCTGCAATAAATTAATTTAGGAAGTGTATAAAGGTTTCATGTAAAATTTATGTCAAACATAAATTTTATTTTTGTTTGTAAATGTCATAGCTAAAACTTCAAGTAATAGGGATTTCATATTTTAGCATTGCTCTAGTTCATGTGCTCAGAGTTCTTCATGTAAGATTCAACCAATGATGCATGGAAGATAGCCAGATCCGATAAGTGCCTAGCAATAGGAAAATTTAATTAATTTAGGAAATACAGATTAGAAGAGAAGGAACAGTTGTGCTGGAGATCGATTCATTCCAATGATCAAGAAGAAATTCAATATACTTTCAGAAACTAAGGCTCCAGCCCAAGACATAGCATCATCTTAGGCAGCCTTGGAGATGCTATATAAACAATAAATTCTTGATTAAGAACCTGTAATGGAGCCAGAAAATGGTTCATTAAAATTTGTGAATCAAAATAATTTCTAATACAAGAATGAACATCTCCATTATATAGATTCTATAGATCCAAAAAATTACAATAGGTAAACAATAAAATAATTATATAAGTCCTTTGGTAGATCACAAATACTTTGCTTTACCAGAAACTATGTCAAGCTATTATGGGAAATATATAAGGAAAATTCCAAAAGTACCTTTTAAAGTTTTAGATGCCCCATAATTATAAGATGATTTCTATTTAAATTTAATAGATTGGAGTAATTAAAATACTCTTTCTGTAGCATTAAGTAATTGTGTATATTTATGGTACGATTTTAATTTAAAAGTAGGAATGCTTAATCATCAAAAGTAACAAAGTTACTAGATCTAAGTAATGATATAGTCACTAGTGTTGGATGGTCTTTGAGAGGTCCTTTCTTAGGAGTAGGAACTAACAATGGAGAAGTATAAATATGGGATGCTTGTAAATTATAAAAAGTAAGAACTTATAAAAGTCATGTTGCAAGAGTAGGAACTCTATGTTTTGCTGAGAATATGTTAAGTAGTGGTTCAAGAGATAAATCTATACTTTAAAGAGATTTAAGACAAAAGGAAGACTTTTTCTTTAAATAGACTGCTCATAAATAAGAAGTTTGTGGATTAAAATGGTCACCAGATAGTCAATTATTAGCTTCTGGAGGAAATGATAATAAATTATACATTTGGAGTGCATCATAACATGATAAACCTATATTCAAATTCACAGAACATTAAGCAGCTGTAAAAGCAATAGCATGGAGTCCACATTAACATGGATTATTAGCAAGTGGTGGAGGAACTGCAGATAAAACTATTAGATTTTGGAATGCTTTAGAAGGCAAATTATTATCAAAAGAAGATACTGGAAGTTAAGTTTGCAATTTAATGTTCAGTAAGATGGAAAATGAATTGATATCTACTCATGGTTACAGTCAACATTAGATAATTCTATGGAAATGTAATGGAATGAAAAGAATAGCTACTTTGGTTGGACACACTAGTCGGTAAGAATTCTATTTATTAATTTAATAGTGTTCTCTATTTAGCAATGTCTCCTGATGGATATACTATAGTAACTGGAGCAGGAGATGAAACATTAAGATTTTGGAATATATATCCTTAAAGTCTTGGTGAATCATATAGCAATAAATGCTAATTGGTACCATAGAATATCAGTATACGTTGATTTGATTAACTTTATATACTCATTTTTTTTATTGATTATGATGATGTTAATCTTTTTTCTCTGGTTCAACATACAAATGATCATAAATAACAGCATGATTTGTAAGTTCATCTAATAGTTACATTAATCCTTTCTTTCTAAAATTACAATATTTTCCTAAAGGTTATGGTTTTTCAATATCTATTGCTAAAGCTATATCTTTTCTCATTTAGAGAATAGTTGTTGTTTCAACTACAAATTAGTCAACAATAAATTCTATTGGTTCTATATTCTAATAATTATAATTTTATTATTATTACTGGTTGAATAAGACCGCAACTAACTGTTTATTTCCAATCAAATTCAACTTCTGAATACACTATAACTATGAGTAAACTATTTGAGTTTATGTCTTTTTGAAATGAAAATACTAACCTATTATTTATAACATTAGGAGTGACTCTATAATATTATATTTAATTACTATTATTTTGTATGTCTTTTAATATCATCATATGCCATAGATTTAATAGAATCAATTATTTTTCGAGATTAAAGAATGCTATATGAATAACTTCCGAAAATGGTCAAATAACTTGGTTGATCTGCACTTTTCTTAAAAACATCAATATTTTCATAGATTTCTGTTGATGTACTTACTTACTTGATAGCATCTTTAATTTAACCAACCATAGCAACAGGATTGCTTTAAAGTTATTTTATTAACTCTTTATTTGCCATTCCAAAATAACAATTTGATATTATTCTGTTGTATAATCCTACTTTCTCTGTCTTAAATTTTGTAATTTTCTCTTATAATTCAAAATTAATTGCATCTAAAGCAACCATATTCTTTTCCATATTATATAAATATTTGTATACTGATATTAATCTATCTTAAATCAATAATCTCAATTCTCTTAATACTTTTTTGCTTTCTTTAGTTCTTGCTAATTTAGAATCTTCAACTACTTCATCTGATTACTCTATATTGAATTAGACTTTTTCATCAAATGCCTTCTCAAATTCTTTCAATTTTATAATATTTCCAAATAATCCTTATTCTTTTTACACAGCTGCCTTCTTCTTTAAAATTGTTGTTACATCACCTTAACCAGCTAAAAATTCATCAAAATCTTTTTTATTTTTAAAACATGATACAATTCTTATTAATAATGCAGATAAACTAACAGGATTCCATTAATCAAATCTATGAAATGGTGGTTAATCTTCAGTTCTTAAAAATGATTCTATGGCATAACATCCACATTCACTACAATGTCTTAATGATAAAGACATTGTAGTATAATATAATTATCTAGTTTTCAATTTAACTTGAATTCTCTCTGAACCAGTATTTTCATCTGGTTCTGTTTCTGTTAAATAACTAATAGGTTAAGTCTTGATACTTTTGGCAAATTATTCCATAAGATCTTAATTTTCTGCTTAGACATATTTTATTTTTTATATATTTTCTACTATACTTTTAGTAGCCCAATAAATTGATTTAACTCTTGGAATTATAATATCATCACTATATTCTATTGCATGAAAATATATATCCTTTATTTTAGTTACTTCATTCTTTGATATATATTTGCTTGCCATTTGAATTTTCTCTTACAATTTAATATTTTGTATTCCATTTGTTGTACTTGCTCCATAAGCTATTGCATTAAATGCTGTGATTCTTCTGGGAGCATGATTTCCAAATATTTCAATGATATTCTACCATAAAGGTACATTTTCAGGTTCCTCTTCTTTATCATTAATAAAATAATCAAACATTTCCAAAAAACATTTAATATTCAAAAAATTTGATTCAGCTTTTTAATCTATTGTTTTCTCTGATTCTTATTTTTAAGCTTATGCTATAAACATATTTTAATAATTTTGATAATATAACCCAAGCATACGACATTAAATTTATTCTATTTGTTAATTATTCTTTTAAAAAAAAGGTTTAACTACTTCATAAGTTTTTAAAAATAATTCTCTTACTGCAACTGGAACATCATATGGTCCTCTTTTATCTTAAGGCAAAAAGTTTGTTAATTTTGGAGCAAATTCATCCCAGAATTCTTTAATGAATATAACTCTTTCTTAAAAAAATTTACTTTCTTATGGCCCATCAAATTTAGGCAATAATACATCACATCCAGGATTTTAAATATGATTCTAACTAAAAACTAATGCCACAGGCTTAAGGTTTTTAGCTATACCACTTGTTAATTTATTTTCTATACTTTTAATAGAAGTTTCTATCAATTTTAAATTTGTTGTTATACATTTACCAAATTATCCTTAAAATTATATAAATAAATTAGTAAAGGCATATAAAGAGGGTTCATTTGTCTCTTTTTATGTGAAAATTAACTTTTTACTTGTTAAACTGTGTAATTCTAAACGAAGTATTTGAATCAATAAATTAATTAATATACGATATTTTCTTTTATCATTAGAGATATCTCCAAAAGTATCCATTACTAAATCAACAAAGTTTTTCTTGCTTAATCCTCCATGCTTAAAAATATTTATAAAATAGCAAGGGTGTAATTGAAGCATAGTAAACATTATTTTATAACATAATGAACAATTATAATATGCTTCATGCTTTTTTTACTTTTTCTCTTTCTTTTTATCCTTGTCCTTCTCTTCTGTTTTAAATTATATATCAAAAGGTTTACGTTAAACTTTGTTGATAATAGTCAGCATGGCTTCATCTTTAAATTTCTTAAATTCTTATAAATGTATATCTTTAATTTCTTTATAGAGTCTTTGATTTTCTTAATCCAATTCTAATATTGCATCATAGACATCATCAACAGGTTTTTCTTCAAAAAAATTGACTCGTCTTGAAGTGGTAATTTTTTCTGGATCATCTCCTCTATCAACATATGAACATCTATAAATATCTGGCTTGGATTCATTAATAAATTGATCCCAAGAAGATTTACAAATCAATTTACCTTCTTCAATCATCCCTAAAGATGCACCAATAAAAACTCTTTTACTTAATGGTCTCTTTGATAATTTTTTATTTGGTAATTAAAATCCATCAGTATTCGTACCTGCTTTTTTTTAATCTTTTCTTTTAAATTCTTCTTCAAATTCATCCTCATCTTCATCAACCTTATCTGCTTACAATTACATTAATTAATATTATTTGAAAGTGTAATCAAGATATTAATTAATAAACTAAAGAGGTTCAGGCTTAACGAACAAAGTTTTCAAAGTTTTGAAATTTTCTTTTTTTACTTATTATTAATTTTTATTTTGTAATTACATTTCATTTTCCTTATCTGGATTTATAAATTCATAACCTAAACCTAATCTACCAGTCATTCCATCATAACCCCAAGAGAACAATTCCTTTTTATCTTAATTTTCTGTTAAAGCAACAGCATGATTGAAACTGCAACTAACTGTTGTGAATTAAATATCACATAAGGGAGTATTAACAATATTGGTCATAAGGACTTCAACATATTTTTCTCTTTGTGCAGCATTTGCACATTGATTTTTTAATTTCTCTTAGAAATCAAAATCAAACAAACCCCAGACAAACACTTTGTTTTATTTACTAATTGCCATATTATAACGATCTCCCAAACAAAGACTTTTGTATTTTCTAGTTGCCAAATCGTTATGCTTTATAGGAGATACAATATAATAGGGTTCAGCCTCTTAATCTTTATCTGATTTCAAATGCTATTTATCATCAGTGTCATCTTCAGGCTTAGCTATTCCCAAATAAGAACCAACTCCCCATACTACTATTTGATCATCAATCGTCAATGCTCCAGAATGATTAGTTCCTGCAGATACATCTTTAAATGAATATTTTGTTTGTAATAGTTTAGGATAATATTGATTATCTAAATTACCATGACCTAATTTTCCTCCATATCCATTACCCCAAGTGTATATTACATATTTTTAAGAATTGTCTTCTTAATTCTTTTCATTTGCTTTTGTTTTAATAACTCTCTCATTATACTTTTTATCAACCACTAATGCCATTGAATGATGAGGACCAACAGCTACTTTAGCAACATCAAAAATAAAAGGAACTTTCTATGTTTACAATACAACTGAGTTCTTGGGTCCCAATCCTAATTTTCCATCTACTGGAGAACCCACTGCATAAAGTGATCCACCTTCATCTAATATTAATGTATGATCTTCCCCACATGAAACCTATTTGACCATAAATCCTTCTAGATCTGTCAACATAGATGGAGTTTCAACAAAATCACTAACAAATCCTAAACCTAATTAACCCTTGTCATTTTTGCCCCAAGAATAAATATTACGTCTATTTTCTACAACTACAACATATTCTAATCCTGTTGCTAAATAAGTCACTCTTTTATTTTCTCTAATTGAAAATGTTAATACTTAACTAGGATATGAAGTATCTGCAATTGTTTCTTAAATAAAAGGACCAACAAACTTAGTTCTTAATTTTACTTATTCAATAATTTATTCATCTTTTAAACCATGTTACATACATTTATTACTACCCCAAACCCAAACTTCACCTGCATCAGTCAAGGCTACTGTATGAAATGCTCCACATTTTACATCAACAATATATGAAGAAGCCTTGATTTCTTTCTGTAATTTATTAATGAATTCAGTGCAATGCATACCAAAGAAACAAAATTCTTCATTGATATTTTTAGGTTCTATTAATGACTAAAGTAAATCTGGCTTAATAGTATTCAAGACTTCATTTAATTTATTTTAAGCCATTTCTTCTCCCTCGTCATCATCTCCTTATTTATAATCATCATTCATAGAATTGTTGGTAAGATAATTTTTAGGTAATAATTCAGCTTAGAGATCTCTACCTAAAATTCCTTTAAAAGGTAGACCAAATGAAATAATAGATCCACTTTGTAATAAAGCTAATCCATAATGGTAGGATAATGCTAATTAATAAATAAATTATTATTTAGATTTAAAGTAGTTAGTATCAATTCTTTAAGGTTCTGGATAATTACTTCCAAATTCATCTTTTATACCTAATCTACCTTTTGAATTAGATCCAAATGCAAAAGTTAATCTCTCTAATGTAGTGATAAATGTTGTATTTCCACCACATTTAGCATAAACTGCATAAAAATTTTAAATGGAATGAACTTTTACAGGTTCCCATCTATCATTAAAGTCTCCAGTACCCAATTAACCATTCTTATTAAATCCAAAAGTATGTGCATATCCATCAGTAGTTGTACATGCTGTATGCATTGCTCCACATGATACATATTCAACAACCTTTCCTACAACAGATCCAGCATCAACACTCATTGGAACATTAGAACTCTTATTAGTACCATGTCCCAATTATCCATATGTACCAACTCCCCATGTAAATAATGATCCTGCTCCTTCAGATATACTGGCAGCATGAGATGGACCAGCACTAATAAATTTCATTCTTATTTTATCAAAATCTATTCTTGTTGGTCTTTATTAATCAACTTACATTGGTAAACCCAAACAACCTGTTGCACCTTCTCCCCATGAATATACTGATCCATATATATCTAATGCTAATGTATAATTTGCTCCACATGAAATTTAACATACTTTAGAGATACTTTCTACAACTCCTTTCATTCTAAAACATTCTTCTTATTCATTATAATCATCTTCATCATCTTCTTCTTATTCACCTTCTTCAATTTCTTCTTAAGATTATTCTTTATCTGTCATTCTTCCTTATTGTCCAAATTCATCACTACCACTTGAAAATATAACACAATCATCATAGCGTAGAGTTTTAAAACCTTAATCATAATTAAAGCCTTCATCCATAGACTAAGAATTTTTAAAGATGATTGTAAATTATTCTTGACTGCATGCCAGAATCATACTGTGTTAATTACCACAAGCAACTTATAAAGGAACATATGGTTTTTATTTGTGTTCTAAATATATTTTTACTGGAGAGGGTTGAATTTCTGAATCAATACTTTCTGGTTTTCCTAATGCTTAAAATTCATTGCTTCCCCAACCCCATAATTAAAATGTTTATGGAGCTGTAGTCTTATCTCCTTCACTTTGTATTGCTAAACAATGATTTACTCCTGCTGCCAATCGAGGAAACAATAAATCAGGATTAATTCGATTATTTACTTATTATTTCATCATTTATAATAAATTATTATAATTATACTAAAATTACATTCAAATTATAATACTTTGTATTTATCATCATAATATAATTGAACTGTTAAATAAAATAAAATTTTTTATTGAAATCAATCATGTCATAAAAGGATGAAAAATTAGAATAGATTGAAATTTAAAAAAAACAAAGTTCTTTATAAAAAGAAGAACTAAAATAATTTGAAGAGATTAAAGAGTAGTTTAACTAAACAAATATTTAAAGTGAGCCATCAAGAATTTAAAGTCCATTATTGGCTTTTGAATTAAATTCTAATAATTAAGATTAGTTCAATAATAATAATAATTCTACTCAATCTAATATTGTGTAAATTGACAAAAGATTCTTACTTCCTCAAGATGCCAATTATATAACCTATTTATCTGAAAACACAAAACTATTAAAGGAAAAATATGTTTAACATTGTATGGATAGTTTATAATCCATTTAAGAATTTGTGATAAATCAAGGATTGAGTAGACAAAAAAAATAAAGTAATTTTAGAAAGAATGATTAAAGTTCCAATCAAAAAAAAAAATATATACACATTAATGATTTAAGTTTATAAAATTCTGAACAATTTCAATAACCAAATTTCTAAGAAACCAGCTAAAAAAAATAATCAATTAGTAGTAGTAAAGATAATATTCAAAAAATTAAAGAAGACCCTTAATTCAAAGAGAAATTTTCCATAACTTAAAAAATCCTTGAATATTTAAAACTATTTGAAATATAATCATCCACTAAAAAAATATCAATCTTAGAGGATGCTTTGATACTGAGTTTAGTATTTTTATAATTATCAGATCAAAGAAAAACCTTACAAGAATATTATATCGATATATAGAGAAACTATAATTATTAGAGATCCTTCTCAGCTTTTTCAACAAGGTAATTTTTTATCATTAGATTTATATTAGAATTAAAGTACAACGTAATTTATATAAAGACTGGACTTTAGAAAATCTTTATTAACTATTAAAAGTTCTTTAAGATTACCCACAAAAAGCACTTTAAGATCTTACATTAATATAAAATAACAATATCAAAATTCCTAGCTTAGATTGATAATTATATTTTTTTCATATAATTTAATACCTTTCTTAAGTTATCAAATAAAAAATTTTAAATTATAAATCAACAAAAAGTAAATTCTATTCAAAAATTCATTTGTTATTTTAATTGATCAAGTGAAAATAATCTATAATAAATATATATTATTATATAATCAAGAATCAATTGTCAAAAAAACTCAAAAAAACATATAATATTAAGAACTTCTTAGTATTATATGTGTTTAGAAATTCAAAAAAAGACATTATGAGAAATATTGAATATTTTAGAAGAATAATTTTAAATTTTAATTTAAATGTATAATTTTATAGATTAAATGTAACAAACTTCTCTTAAAGTTAAAGTAAAGAAAAATATTTATATATAAAATAATGTAAGAAAAGGATAGTTTAAAAATATAAAACTTATATATATTGTATAAAATATAAATAATTATATAAAATGTCATAACAATTTTATAATAAATACAGACATTTATTCGAAGATGAAATGTTTGATAAAATGAAGAATGGATATGATATGTAAATAGCACATCCATAATAACAAATTCCATAGTTTAAATTTTAATAGCAACAACCTAAAATTCAACAACAATAATCTCCTATAATATAGAAATCACCATATAAAATTGGGCAATCTTAACCATAATAAATACAACCTTAAGTTTAATCTTTTTAAACTTCATTGCAAGAGAGATCAACATAAAGTAGAAAGAATTTTAATGATGAAAGAATAAGAAAATAAGTTATGCAAGACAATATTTTTAAATAACCAACATTAGAATAACGATAAGGAGATCGAATTTATTAATAAAATTAATCACATTAAGTTTAACATTAAGAATAACCACTTTAAGAGAGAAAATAATAATAATAAACTTACAATGTTTTCTAAGATTAAGACATTTTAGATGATTATGCTCCTAAGAAATAAAGATAATTAGTTTAGACTACTAATGAAAACTCATAAATAAATAATATTCATAAGGTATATCTCTAGAGATTGTAAATTTAAAATATATTCTTAGAAATGATCTTGATTATATAAGAAAAAAATACCTTGATCCAAAACAATTAGCTAGAGATATTGATCAAAACAATCCTTATAAGGCTGCTTTGATGTAGCGTATTTTAGCATAGATGAATGGAAATTAAAGAAAAAGTAGATTGAAAGAAGCTTTAAAAAATTGATTTATATTTTATTGTACTCAAAAATATTATAGATTATAAGCATATATTAAAGATGTTAAATAAATACTGATCTATAAGTTTATAGCTCATTCTTTAGCATCATCATTCTTTTATTTTGTAACTTTAGCAGAATTAATAGCTATTATTATAATATATATAAATACATAAGACTTTTTCTCCTTATTTATCAATATCAGAATGTTACTTTGGATCATATGGCCATTTATCAATTAATTCCAAAGGATTTTCAAGATAACTACCTTCACCAAAATTAGCCTTCAATCCATAGATTTTACCCTATAAATATAACAATTATAATTTACCCAAAAAGATGGATGGCCTAGATCATTAACAACTCTTAAGTAAAATGCATTAGGAATAATATGTTAAGCAATGAAAATCTTTTCAGTTGGTCCTTTAGGCGTAAGCACATAAGCTCTAGCATGATGATTCTCATATCCAAAATACACAAAAGTCCATTAATGTTCTTTAATATCAAAAGTATGAGACAATGGTTCAAATGATGGATCTTTAATTGTGTAAGTACTGGCCATCAATTTATCTGTTTTTGTAAATAGAGCTAAGGTTCTATCTCCAATAAACTTATCATCAGCTGCAAGATCTGGTCCATTAGTAGTTAAGCGAACTAAAGCAGTGAAATCATTTTCCATTTCAGGAAGTAATATAGCATTTTAGAACCAGAATCCAATACTATAAGATTACATTTCTGCTTTGTCTGTAAATTCAAAATTCAATTTATCCTTTTTAGAATCAAGATCATCTTGATTAGTTGTATCCAATAAAGATACTGGCCATTTGAAATCCTCAGCTTATTAAGGTGTAATTGGTAATTTTCTGTGTAATTTATGAATCATCTCTACAACTTTTTAAGATTCACTGATGTAGCTTCCAGCACCTAAAAATATTCTTGGATCATAGAACCATCCATGGAATGCTTTATATCCAAATTCATTAGCTCCTAAAACAAAATGAGCATAACCAGTTAAAACTTGATGAGTCACTTCAATATTTAAATGGGCAGCCTTTTATTGATCCTTAAATAAGACCATACCATAGAAATTCTTATTCTTATAAGCAGCATACACATAAGTCCATTCACCTTCAATATTTTCATAAGGTAATTATGCATCTACTGCATTAGTAGGTTTAGATGCATCATAAGTACTAAATTCATAATTTCCTTTTGTTAAGAAGGCAGATAAGACTCTATTACCTAATTCACTCTTATCTTAATATTGACGAGTACTTGAGAATCTGAATATAGTGTGAACATCTGCTCTATCAGTTAAAGTTGTAGGGAATGCTATTAACCATCTTGTCCAAACACCAACTGCATATTCATCGACTGATTCTGTTTCTGAAGTAAATGTTTATTCTACCTTTTCAGGTGCTTAAATAATTCTATCTTCTTTTTCAAACCATAGATATTTTTAATTAATCTGAATATGTCTAAAGTTAGGTAAAGTATCTTCATAACCTTTCTTCATTACATCAACAAATGCTCCTTAACCATATTGAGCTACCCATTTTTATAATTCTCCTTAAAATCTTCTACTATGAGGATCCTTACCTACATAGATTCCTATAAAATGAGGAACAAAATGTTAAACTCCTTTGAAAATAACTGGTTTATCTTCTTCAAACAGATGTAATAAAGTTTGAACTTCACCAGCATTTTCATTATAAGCCATATATAAATATGCCCATGCTTTCTTTGAATTTCCAAGTTCAACTTTCTCCTCTAAGAATTTAGCTTCATTCCAATCTTTAAGTCCTTTGATTGTATATGTACTCAATTTAACTGTATCACTTGTACATATTTAAGCATGTAGTGCTCTATCACCTTATGATTTACGATCACTTAAATGTTCTTTATCATTATTAGTAATTCTAAATAGTATCTGACATGGTGAATTAATTTCTCCTTCTTTCTTCACTTAAGTTTCAGCAATCTTAAACCAACCAGAAATAGCATATTCTCCTACACCACTCCAAGTATCTCCAGTACTCTCACTTCCTTCATTATTATCACTTTCACCAATTAACTATTGTTAACCATGCTTTTGTTTATGGATATAATCTACAGTTAATTCTTAAGGTAAGGCAAAACTAGTATCAATAGATTTCATTAATTCTTCACCTGATAAAATGAATGATCCAACTCCAAAGTGAGCTGCTACTTCAGTAAATAGACCTTAGAATGGAGCTACATCCTTTTCTCCTCCCAAAATTAAATGAACATAATCTCCAAATGGTTTATGTAATAATTTTTCATTTGTGGCATGTTTAATTTCTTCACCATCAAATACAAAGTAGTTTGCTTATTACAATTATCTCTTATAACCAAGATATATGTAATGCCATCTTCCTTCCAAATGATTATAAGGAATAGTGCTTATTTCATTAGGAGCATCATCATTCAAATCATAAGTACCAAATTAATAATTATCTAAGACAACCAATGCATTTAGAACTCTATCTCCAATAGCAATTTTTCCATTATCTACTTCATCATTATAAGTTAATCTTAAGATCTACATTTCAGATGGAGTATGCCATTATCTCTCTGGCCATGCTTACAAGAATCTAGTCCATAAACCAACAGAATATTCCTAAACACTCTCTATTTTTCTATCAGGTTCAGAGAATGTAATTTTCATTCCTTATTTTTCTGGATCACCTGAAACCAATGTTATAGTATCATCTGCTTCCCAATCAAATTTACTATCAGAACTAAACAATTTAGGTGCTGCCAAATAAACTTAAAGAGTGTTGAAGTTATCTTCTCTATAACTGCCATCTCCAATATTCAATATAACTTAAGCTAATCTACTATCAAATGGTTTTGTCATTGCATCCTTTACTAAAAACAACCAATAGTTAGTGGAAACAGCATGTAAAGCTTATTCTAAACCTTTATGTTCATCATCATCAGCTAATAAATAGTAACTAATTTTCTAATGATTTTTGGAATAGCCAAAATATACAAATGTCCAAACTTCTAATTATTGTTATGGGATCTTAGCTTCATATGTGTTCTATAAAGATAGGGGATTTAAATTATAAGTACTGAATTCTATACCATCTGTATGGAATAGAGCCAAAGTTCTATCTCCTATTTTCTATGCATCTCCTAAAGAATCAGGATTTGAAGAAGTGAATCTATAGATAAGCTATTAAGTCTTGACTGGTAATTTGAACCATCTAAACCATAATTAAATTGAATATTCTCTAGCCTCTTCATTTATGTGTGTAATGTGTTAATCCTCTTCGATCTTTGTAACATCATGTTTTCCAATCAAAACCTCATACTTTTTGGATGGAGCCAAGATATCAGGCATAACATCTTTATTTTTAATTCTTTATAACAAACCTTATTTGTTATCAATATAGGCACCTGGACCAAGATTGAATCTGATTGTAGTTATTTATCCATTAAAATTTGAATAAAATTTGCCTGCATTACCAACAGTCAATTACAAATAGTTATTTAATAATGAATGCATCACATCCATTTGAATACCTGATGTAGTATCTTTATAATGAGTGAATGCCATGGCATGTCCTTAGGTTTAAGAAATTCTTTTAAAACTGAAATAAATATATGTCCATTCACTTTCAGAGTCAATTTAATAAGGAATATCTCCAGCCACATTATTTGATTTAGTGATGACATCATATGTTCCAAAATGATAGGATTGTTTTCCTAATAAAACCAAAAGAACTCTGTCTCCTGGATTATCAAAATCTTTATAATCTTTATTACTAGTAAGTCTACTTAAACCCATTAATTATGGTCTACTATATATAGTATTCTTATTTGCAAAATATTAGAATTTAACCCAATATCCATAACCATATTCACTAACACCATGCAAATGTAACTTATCACTTTATTAGAATTCTATATGTAAAGGCACTTCATCACCTTATGATGAACATTCTAAAATAGTCTCCTCATGATGTGCTTCTTATCCAGCTTATTGTAACTTAATATGATCTGTTCCACTTATGAATCCAAAATGAACTTTAATATTTTCATTTTCATCAAATTCTCCCTCTCTGAATGCTCCATCTCCAATATTAATAACCCATGTTTTAATTTGACCTATAAATTATGTATATTGTTATTTCTCTTAGATTAATACTGAGAACACAGCCAAATAAAAATGATTAACTTTTTCTTATCTAAATTCACTCTCTGTAAATGTATATTTCAAATAACCATAAGTTTATTATTTCTATTAAGAAAATCCATAATAAATATATGTCCATTAATCAGCATATTCTCCATAAGCTTCATCTTAAGTAACTAATTTGTATTCACCTAAATTTTGATTATAAGTAACAAAAGTAAATGCCTAATCTCCTCTGATTATTTGTAAAGTTTCTTCATTTTTACCATCTAAATCCTCTAATCTCTTTTAAGCCATTGTAATTAGATGGGATACTTTGCCAGTAACTAATGGACCATTCCATTTAACCCATCCAGAAATAGCATATTCTTCTGCTCCTTAATACTTGTCAAATTCAAACTAGATTGGTTCCTCTTTAATTTATTAAGGTGCTCCTACTAATTGTAATGTTTATCTTGCTACTGGATGAATTTAAGCCTTTTCTGGAAGAGTATTCTAAGTAAAGATTTTTAAAGTTTCAATTGTGTGTATGAATGATCCAGGTCCAAATGAAAATGAAATTCTTGCCATTTCACCATTAAACAATGGAGCTGATGTTTTGCCAACAATGAATTCTACATACTCAAGTAAATAATCATGAAAAGTGTCAAAGATAACTTCATCAACTTCACCATCAACACCAAATTATACATAACCCTTAGCTAATCCCTAATCACCATGTCGAATATATCCAAAGTAGACATAATTCCAATGTCCTTCTAATTATGAAAATTCAATATCATCTTTCAACTCCAATGTTTAAAATTCATAAGAATCTGGAGTTAAAGATATTGATAAAGTATTATCTTTAGGAGTATTTGGTCTGTTAGCATTAGATCTTACTAATTTACCATCAATAGATTCAATAACATAACCTTAAGTACCCATTCTAGCAATAGTATGTATTGGAGCTCTCTTATTCAAATATTTAGGTAATGTACTCAACCATCTAGTCCATAATCCAAAACCATATTCACTCTATCCATTAATTCTCATTCCTTCCTCATTATGAATAATAATCTTATCCACAACATTTTCTGCAGCATCATATGCTACATATTTTGCTTAATTAGCATCTCCTGCAATGTAAGTGACTGGTTTACCAACTTAATAGACTCCCATAACTCCTTCACCATAATTAAATGTCATTTCAAATCCTAAACCTTCTCTGTATGCTCCTGTTCCAAGATAAATACCAACATATCCAATCATACCATTAAATGGAGATATGACATTATCACCACCTAAAGTAACACTCAAACTGTTAACCAGTCTATGTTAGATACCTTCATATTTGATTTCTCCTACTAGTCCTGGCTTAATCACTGCACCATAGGCACGTCCTCCATCATTATCATAACCAAAATAAACATAAGTCCAAATGAATTCGACACTTTCAACAGTCTTTGATAAATAAGGTTATCCCTTTGCTCTATTACCCTTAATTGTATAGGTATTAAAATATATTGTACTCTTAGCACCACCACCATAAGTATGATGTATTTCTAATGCTCTATCACCTAAAACTCCTTTTCCTGCAGTTTTAACTTTGTTTGATCTCAAATTAATTATCTAAAATGTATTTGGTTCATCCACTTTTAAATCATCTATCCATCTAAACCATAAACCAACAGCATATTCTTCTATAATTAATTAAGATTCTTGTGGATCAAAATGATATTGTTCCCCTTTATCATTTCCATTCAAATTTTTAGGTTTCTATATAACAGTTTCATCAATCATTGCAGGTACACTTTAAGGAGGATTACTCAAAGTTTTCAAGACTTCATCCAATGCTTCATCTCCATCTACAAATGCTGGAGCATCAATATCAAAGAAAATATTGGCGAATTGTCCATTTAATCCATTATAACCCAAGTGCTTACCACCAAATATGATTTTTATATATGAAGGTGGAATGTGTGTAGCATCTATTTCTACTCTATAGATTCCATTACCTTCCCCATAACTCACAATATAACCCACAGCTTTTCTTAATGGATTACTGTAAGAGAACATAACAAAATACCACATACTATCCATATTTTCATTTAAAACTACTGCTTTATCTTTAGTCTTCAATTTCTCACTAGTATCATATGTGCTGAATACAAAAGAATTATCAAACATGAATACTGCCAAAGCTCTGTCTCCATAAAATGAAAAATCTTCATATTCCTCGTTTATGGTCATTCTAGATAAGAAATAGTATTCTCCATCTTCTCTAATATGCTCCTTAACTCCATGTTCTGCATATCTCACCCAATATCCATATCCATATTCAGACGAATCTTGAAGTAATGATCTATCAGTAAATTCAAATTATTCAGTAGGTTCACCATCAAAATCAGAATGTTAGTATTTTGTATTCACTGCTACAACTTTTCTTTCTTAAACACGACCTGAGTTAGCTCTATGTTTTGGTGGTTAAAACTAAGTTGGTTCATTTGGATTGGGATCTTCTCTTAATGATTATATTTTTAATGATCGATCATCACTAGACTTTTATTTTTTTTAATTCTTTTCATCTTCTTAATTTTTAGGTGCTTCTTTTTTGTGATCTTCATCTTAATTTTATTCATCTTTTTATTTAACTTCACCTTCTTCTTTCTATTCATCTTCTTATTTCACTTCACCTTCCTATTTAACTTCTCCTTCTTATTTCACTTCTCCTTCTTCTTTTACTTCACCTTCTTCTTTCTATTCTCCTTCTTCTTTTACTTCACCTTCTTATTTCACTTCTCCTTCTTCTTTCTATTCACCTTCTTCTTTTACTTCACCTTCTTCTTTTACTTCACCTTCTTCTTTTACTTCACCCTCTTCTTTTTATTCGCCTTCTTATTTTACTTCACCTTCTTATTTTTAATCATCATTTTTATGTTCATCAGCTTTTCCAACCTTTGACGATTCAATTTAAACATCTTTTTTATCATCCTAACTTTTAGATTCATTATCAACAACTATATCTTCATCCTTATCTGTTGTTTAATTATTGCCATCTTAAGTAGATTTTTAATCTAATTTGTCATCCGAAGCATCTTCTACCTTTGTTTCTGATTATGTATTTTATTTTTCCTATGTACTTGAAACTGATTTTTGAGTGGTTACTGTTTCTGAAGATTCTTATGATGATTCCTCAGTCGATTCTTTTTTATTTGTATCTTTTTTTTCGATTGTTTCATCAACAGTTTCTTCAGTCTTATTATTAGTGTTAACTTTAACTTCAGTAGTATCTTCATCAGCATTTCCATTTTTAGATTCATCAACAGTCACATTTTCTTTAGTTTCTGATTCAACTTCTTTTAATGGTTTATCATGAGTTTCAACTATTACTTATTATTATTCAGTTTCATTATTTTCTTGAGTTTCCTCTCTATTTGTCTATTCTTTAGATTCTCCTTCACCTTTAACTTTATCAGTGTCTGTTTTTTTACTATCATCTTCATCATTATTTAGACCTTCAATCTTACTAACTTTAGCTGCCTACACTACAAATTCTGCCTCTTCTTATTAATTTTATTATTCATCAATACTCTCCTTACCTTCTCCTTCAATTTCATGTCCTAAGGCTACATATTTCTTATTTCCTTTAATTTCTTCAACTATTTCTTTTGGTACTATCTTCTTAACTTATTTTTTTTATGGTTTTTTGGTTTCATCCTAATAAGTTGGATATGTATAATGCTAAGGTTCATGATAAATGTAATCAGGAGGAGTTTCAACATCTTCTTCTTCAAAATAATAATAAACTATTTCTTCTGGTTCTTCATCAAAATTTATTACTTCATCATCAGGATCATTTTCTATAATTATAGTTGGTTTTTTTATTTCTTGATCACATACTCTTTTTAATGTTTGAATCTAACTTATCTTTTATCTCAAACCTTGAGTACGTTTTGCATATTAGCATTAATTTAAATATTAGTGTATTTATTCTTAAGTCTATCTTAAATGGTCTATGATTTTATTTGCTAAAGCTATCTTCTCCTCATTTGCTAAATTAGATTCATAATTAATACTTTAAGTGCTATTTAATTAAGCAACATATTCAAGAGCATCTTCTACCTTACAAGCTGCCCATTTGTTTTATGTAAATATACTTTATAGTGATTTGCTCACTTTATTTTATATTTGCACTAGCATTGTTTAGTGAATCACTGATATTGTACCTTTGGCTTTTTCTACTATGCTTATAACTTAATTAATTATTGCAAGATCCTTGATTAATTGTTCTCTATTATCTATAATATCAACCCATCTTGCCAACTCTGCTATTATATATTCAAAATCAGTGTGGCAATTTAAATGAGAAACATCTAGATTTTATGCTTCAGTATAGGTCATCCCTGATATTTTATATAAATATACCTTGAGTTCTAAGCTCTGATGCTTCTATTTTCGTAGAGATAACCATAACCATCAACAACAAGAATGTTATTAAGGTTTTCTTCATTTATGTTAAAAATATATATACTTTAAACCGTTTTTTATTTGTTATTAAATTTTATTCTTCTCCAAATGAACATATAAAAGGTAACTATATTTTGATCAAAATCAAAATTCAAGCACATTACATCAGAATTCTCTTTCTCTCCTCTTTTATAAAAATTAGTCCAACAAATAAATTATTATTTGCCAATAATATTATATTATGTTAAATTTTATAATATTTTGTAGTTAAATATTTAAACTATTCTGTTATTTTCAAACTTAAGTTATTAAAAATCAATTTTGACAAATAATAAAAAAGTACAATTTTGTTAAATTATTAATTTATCAAAACCTTTCAAACTAGAGAATAAGGTCTTAATTTAATATTGTAAATACAATTATGATAACTAAATATTAATTTTTTAATTTACAAAACAATTTCAATTTAAATCATCTAAAATTATTGATTTTTTTTATCAAATATTCTATTTAAAAATACTTCATTTATATTAAATTCATCCTAAACATTATTTATTAAATAGCATTCAAAATTTATAATTTTTGATGCTTTAGTATAAAATATTTAGCCCAGAATAAAGTTACAAAAATTAATGATTCATTAAAGACAAACTTGACAATTTAAATAATAATCAATCAAAGTATAGTTTATATTACAACAAAATTATAGAAAATTTGGAATTTAAGTTCTTTAAATTTGATTCAAAATATTTCAATGCTGAAATAAAGATACTAGTATTTTTAATAATATCCTTTGCTAAAAGTCGTTTTTATGAACACATCAAATATAAATTAATTTCTAAGTTATTTATTATTTCAAGTAAAGAGTCTAATATAGAAAATAACTCAAATATAATCACATAGGTATTATGTTTATTACATTGACTTCTCATTTTATCAAAGTTAAAACCTAAAATGACGATCAAATTAAAAAATGAAAGAATTAAATATTTATATATGGCTTAATATATATATTATCTAATGATTATAGAGGAATGATATATCAGAATATCTAGAGATTATTATAATTATACTTTTACTTCATCAATAAAATTTTATTTTTCATCAATTTTAATTTTAGAATATTTAAAGATAACTTATTTATAAATAGATAATAGAGTAATAAGCATATTTTATGAATCTGAAAAATGGTAATTAATATTGAATTTTGAAAGCAGATTAATAATCATCATAATAACTCGACAAAACTATATAAATATAAATGTCGTTAATTCTAAGAATGTTTTTAGAGTAGTATTTAAGAAGTGATATAATTTTAGTTAAGTTCCTAAAGTTATGTTAGTTTAGTTTTAATTATAAAATAATTAATATATAAAATGAGACCAAAAGAATCAGATGTATATAAAAGAATTCGTTTATTGGGATAAGGATCATTTGGAAAAGCTTATCTTTGTGATTGTTTAAAAGATCACTCTTTATGTGTGATTAAACAAATGGACATGAGATATTTAAATGATTAGGAAAAAAAAGTAAATTATTTAGATATTTAAATCAGGAAACATATAGAGAATTCAGAATAATGTCTGAATTGAAGCATCCAAATATAATAAATTTTAGAGAAGTTTATAAGACTGTAAAGGGGAAATTATGTATAGTGATGGATTATGCTGAAGGTAATCATATATAAAAAATAAATTAGGTGGTGATTTAGCTTAAGTGTTAAAGAATACAGATGGATATATAGCAGAGTCTAGGATTTTGGACTGGTTTACTTAAATGTGTCTTGCAATAAAACATTGTCATGATCGTAAGATTATTCATAGAGATATAAAAACTTAAAATATGTTCCTAACAAAAGATATGAGAATTCGTTTAGGAGATTTTGGAATAGCTAGATTATTGAACAATACAAGGGACAAAGCAAAAACAATGGTTGGTACTCCCTATTATTTGGCACCTGAATTATTGGAAAATAAACCATATAGTTTTAAAGGTGATATATGGTCACTTGGAGTTATACTCTATGAAGTAATCGAATGAATATTAAAAATTAGATGTGTGCTAAGACTCCTCCATTTACTGCTGAATCGTTGGCATAATTAGCTCTAAAAATAGTGCGTGGTTAATTTTAAGCTATTCCAAATGTTTATTCATCCTAATTAAGAACGTAAAACTAATCTTATAATTAAACAAAGATAGCCTTGTGAATTAGCTTTTAACAGTTAACCCTGAAAAGAGACCAGCTGTTCACTAAATACTTAAGATGCCCATCATAACAAACAGAATTAAGAACTTTTTATCAGAAACTATGAAAAGAAGTGAATTTGATCACACAATTCTCCATAACCAACAGATACATTTATCTGATACAACTATTCCTTTAATTGATGATTAAGATGCAAAAGGAGACTTAATAGAGTAAATAACTTCAAAAGAGAATCAAATAAAGTAATTGCCAGGTATTAAGAGTCCCCCCTTTAATTTATAAAAGTAAAGAAAGAATAGTGATTTAAAGAAACTACCTGAAATTAAATTATCAAAACCTGAGAGACCACCAATAACAAGATAATAAACTAGTAGATAATAATTGAATCAACTTCCTAGTTAAAGAGTATAACCATCTACTCCTGAAATAGGCATTAATAATAAACAAAAAAACGGACGTTTTATAACAAAAGAAAGTCCTGATTCATATTAAGGTTCAGATTAAATTTTAGAAGAAGGAACTAAAAATAGTGAATAAGAAAGTCCTAAATTCTTTAAAAAAAATATTGAAATTAAACCTCATATAAAAAATATTAAGGGTCTTACAAAATTAGATTAAATTTAGAAAATTAAACTTGGATTGAAATCTGATGATGATGCTAAAAAACCTATTTATAGAGTTCATGCATAACCAAAAATAGTTGAATAATAAAAATAGAAGGAACGAAAGGTATCTGAAGAAATTGTTTCATATTATTAAAAATAAGAGGATTCATTAAATTAATAGCATTAATTAGAAAAAATTTCAGAAACTCCAGAATAAAAATTACTTAATTAATCAACCATCAGTGATTTTTAAAATTCAGAAGAAAATATTGATAATAATAAAAAATAAAGTATATTGACACCTGGTTTTGAATTGCATATAGAAAAATAATTTCAAGCACTTGATATTATTTCAAAGAAACCAATAAAAATAATCAAAGAGTCAATTTCAAAAACAGATGAAGAGAAAAATAAGAAAAAAATATACAAAATCATTTATAGAGATCCTTTTTTAAAAAAACCTAAAACATAGAAACGAAACAGCGAAGAAGATATGAAAGAAATGATAAATGAACTGAAAAATGTTCTTGTAAAGAAATTACATATATTAAATAGTCGGATTAATAAAAAAAATCAGAAGAACCAAATCTAAAAAATGAAGTTGAATCTGAAGATTCTAGAATCTATTCTGAAGAATCAAGCGAAGATTTAAGAGATGATGCTGATACTCTGCCACCAAAAACATAAGTTAATACTTGGATGTAAAGTAATACTGAAGCTGTTAATGTATCACAATCATAACCAGAACCAAGAAGGAAAATTAATAGTAATTAAAGAAGCTTGAAAGACAAACTAGTTGATGAATTAGGACATCATTTTGAATAATTATTTAGATTAGCTAAATTATGCTCACATTTAGAGGATTTGGGAAAACAACACATAAAAATGGCTATTATGGATAACCTTATAATAGATGAAAATAGAGCAGAAACTTGTGCAACTCTCTTGGTTACATTAGCCACAATTGGTTACTGATATTTATTAACTAATAATAGTTTTTAAAGTTTTGGTTTAATTGTATTTTTCAATGCAAGTATATATATATACATTTTTTTGATAATTTTCTTAATAATTCTTTTTTCTCATTTAATAAAATCTATTACTTAATTCTACACAAAGAGTTAGCCCTCAAAATAGTCAAGCAAGGATGAATTCTTGTTGAAGGAATGAGTAATTAAAATGACAAAATATTTTGATTAATCATTATTGTTAAAAATAGAGTATTGAGATAAATAAAGAAAAATATATTAATTTTTTAATAATTAAAATAGAAGCAAAATAAAAATCATGATTGACAAAGACTTTATGCAAGATCTAGAAGATGAGGAAGAGTAATAAATTGTAGAGGCTAAATAATTAATTGAAGATGAGCCTACTTGTTCTTTACTTAAAGATAACAAATTTCTTTAGCATTATCAAAGAGTCTAAGAAGTATCTGCTTATCAAATCTAAGATGAAACCATAGATGCAAGTCATGAAGAATATCATTTAATATTAAGATCAAATGAATATAGCACAATAATAGATTAAGAGTATTCATTTTGAATAAAATAAGGATTTTGAATATTCACAAATAATTGAAGGATGTATATCATAAGAAGTTTCCAGAATTGGAAAAAATTATCATAAACCCAATCGAGTATGTTAAGATAGTCCAATTAATTCGAAATGCTATAGATCTTTAGGCTATAGATTTTTCTAAGCTATTAAGTGGTTAATAAGTTGTTGCTGTGAACATTGCAGCCAAATAATCTTTAGTTAGTTAACTTTCAGAAGAAGATATTGCCTTAGTCGATTAATTGTGTCACAAGATTGAAACATTAGATACTTACAATTAGAAAAGTAAATATTAAATAAAAATATTAGTCATATGCTATATTGAATCTAGAATGAAATACATAGCTCCCAATGTTTCAGCCTTAATAGGTACATAATTAGCTTCAAAATTGATGGCAGCTGCAGGAGGTATTGAAAAGCTAGCCAATATGCCAGCAGGTAATATCCAAGTGATGGGAAGTGTGAAGAAAAATATGTTGGGAATGAGTAGAGCAATGCATAATAGAAACACTGGTTATTTTGGAACATTGGAGATTGTATAGAAAGCATCAGGGAAATTACAAAATTAAATAGTTAGGATGTTAGCAACAAATGTAGCAAAAGCTGCAAGAGTTGATAATATGAAGACATGTCCTAAAGGGAATGTTGGAGAGGATTTAAGAATAAAAATGATGAAAAGATATTAAAAGATATAAGAGCCTCCTCCTGCAAAATTAGAAAAACCTTTGCCTATTCCAGATGAAAATAAGAAGAGAAGAAGAGGAGGAAAAAGATTTAGAAAATAAAAAGAAAGATTGGCTATGACAGAAGTGAGGAAATATGCAAATAGATTAAAGTTTGGATTGGAAGCTGAAGATGAAATAAAAGATACAGGGATTGGATTGGGAATGTTAAGTTAAGGTATTGGTAAAGTAAAGTTGCACATCAAAAAAGATAAACCAATTGGTTTAAGTAAGAAGTTATAATAAAGACTTGCACAAACCAAGACTTAATCTGGAGGTGGCACTGGTGGATTAACTTCAAGCATTGCATTTACACCAACATAAGGAATTGAATTAGTAAACCCAGAACCTGGATATTTGTCAAAGGTTCCTGATTAATATTTTAATAGAGAATCTGGGTTTAGAACAGTTTTAAGGAAGGAAAGAGAATTTGGAAGATAGTATTGATTAGTTATTTTAGTTTAATTTTTAAAACACATATAAATAAATTGAATTTGTTTATTGTTGTTACATTAGAATAATTAAATAGGTTTGTTTTATTATAAATAGTATACAATACACAATGAAACATTATAAAGGATTAATGAAATTATGATAGATTCAAATGTTTTTGGAGATTACTTCCAAAAAGAGGGAATATGTTGTTTCATAATTATAATTATTAATTTAAATATGATATAAAGTTCTACTCGTAACCGTTCTGAGCAACTAATCTATTAACGTAGGCAACAAGAATAATAAGTGGGCAAATTGAACACCAAGTTAAGATAGGAGCATTATGAAAAAACATTTGCTGCTTGGGAAAATAAGGGAAAGGATATTGCCAATATGTAATACACTATGAATAGGTTTGAAAAATATTATATAAAAAGACTGCAATAGATAAGAGCTGAGGCTGAAGCACACAAAAGTTAAAGGAAAGAAAAATTGGCTACATTGCTAAATGCTGAACATCAATAATATCAATAAGAAATTAAAGCTATGGTTGAAACTCCAGAATAGGTTAAGGAGAGAATGATGAAAGAAGTTGCAGAATTGAAATAAAGAAAAGAATTTGAAAGAGCTAAGTAGGCAGAAGCTGCATATGAAAGAAGATTCAGAGATAATGCAGATGAGCTCAGATTGGTAAACTAACAATTTAATGAATAATAAACTGTTGCTTACAGAAATATGTAAATGATGGAAAAATAAAAAATGTTGGAAGATTAATATGAAGGTATTACATATAAATTATCTGAAACTAGAGGAAATGATATATGCTGAATTATATAGAAGGGAAATTTTAAAGAAGGAAAGACTAGAAAAAGAAAAAGAGATTTAATAGAAAGCTAAAGTAGATGAAAGAAACAAAGTTTTAGGGATTTAGGCTACAATGAATGTTAATAAGTTTTAAAGAATTAAGGATGAGATTGAATAAGAGAAGCAGATGCTTGTAAAATAATTAAAAGATTAACATTTTAGAGAGAAGAATGGAAGAGAGAAGAGGAGAGACATAAATAAAGAGAAATTTAATATTTGAATTATAAAAAAGAAATCAATTCAGAAATTGCATTAAATAATGAATAATAAAAAGAATACAAAAAATAAATAAAGTAAGAAGAGAAGAAATAAGATAAAGAAATGATATAATAAGTTTTAGAGAGAGAAGAAGCCATTGCTAGAATGGAATAGGCTGAAAAACTTAGATAAAAAGAAGAAACTAGATAATTTTTACTTAATTTTAAGAACAGATCAAATGAATATAGTGTAAATGATTAATTGAAAGAAAGATTAATTAATGAAGAGAATATTCGTTAATGGGAAACAAAAGAAGCTAAATGGAAGGCTGAGGATGTAATCATGCCAATAATTTTAGGATGCTAGAGTTAAATTAATGTATGAAGTCTATGCATAAAGAGCAGAAAATGTTGAATTAAAGAGGAAAATAATAGAGGATGAAAAAAATATTAAATAGTAAGATAAGGTGGAATTATTACGATAATTGGATTTATATTAAAAAGAATTAGAAGAAAAGTAAAGATTAGAATAAGAAGTATAATATAAATGTTAATGAAGAAAATAATGTAAACTAAAAACAATTTGTTAAATCAAATGGATGAGAAGAAATAAAGACAATAATTATTAAGAGATAAAAAGCTATAAGAAGAGGAAGCTCTTCGAAGATAAAAGGAGGAATATGAGAAAAAAATAGAAATGGAAAAAGCTAAAGGCCGTGCTTTGCTCGATGAACTTAGAAAATAAAGACCTTATTGATATATTATAATCAATTCAAGTATATTATTCTTAGAGTCTTTTCATAATAGTTAGATAATATTTCTACTTAAAAAATTTTATTTCTAATAAAAAGAGCCTTTTGTCATTCTTCAAATTAGATGATAACTATGGCAGCAAACCTATTATAATATTCTAATTTATACAATTCGTATTGCATTAGCAGTTAATATCAAAAATTGATTAAATTAAATTATTTAATTATTGGATATGTCAACTCCTCAAACAAAATCAAAATTGGTTTAAACATTTGGTAGAAAGAAGAATGCTGTAGCTAGTGCAAGTGTAAGAGAAGGAAAGGGTACTTAATACATCTAATCAAAGGTTTGGTTAGAGTAAATGGTGCACCAATTGAATTAGTCAACCCAGCTCCCTTGAGATAAAAGGCTCTTGAACCACTCTTACTTCTTGGTTAAGTCAGAACAGGTAGATTAGACATCAGAGTCACTGTCAGAGGTGGTGGAAGTACTGCATAAATATATGCTATCAGATAGGTAGAATAGCAATTATATAAATTATTTAGGCTATTAGCAAAGGCATCGTGGCTTACTATTAAAAATATATAGATGAAACCTAAAAGAGAGAAATCAAAGATCTTTTATTACAATATGATAGAACACTCTTAGTTGCTGATCCAAGAAGATGCGAACCAAGAAAGTTTGGTGGTAAAGGTGCCAGAGCCAGAAGACAAAAGAGTTATAGATGAAAATTTAATCACAGTACATTAAAAATAATATAAATATTAATGGAATTTTAGAGCTGTTAATGCTAAAGAGATTTCAATTATGCAAGTCATTCTCCATTTGTCTTGCCATATTGTCGACATTCAGTTTGTTATTGAAATGTTCATAATAATTAATCAGATGGTGATCAATAACTAAAATGCAAAAAGCATGGGTAATTATTAAAAATTATATTAGAATTGAGTTTTATATCTATAGTAATTTAATATGTTATCCTCAAAACTAAAGTATTCTAATTATGCTTAGAATTGTTAATCATAATCAAAGAATAAAAATCTCTAATTCTTTTGGTGGTCATCACTCTAAAAATTCTAATAAAAAATAGGGAATAACTAAATTATAATTAACAACTATAGAAACACCCTCAGAACTTTTAATTACTCAAAAAAATTAAATTTAATTCAAACATAAATCGATACAAGATGCTTAACATGTTTTTATAAATTCATTTTTATTTGGACCTCTTAAATTTCATAATTAGTTGAATATTGACTAATAATTGAATTAAAAATTTTTGGCATAATTTGCTTATGCAAAGAAATTTAAATTGAAAGATATTAAGAAAAATATAACAAATAGCAACTATTTTTAGGATTCAATTAATAGTTAAGTTTCTAATAGAGAACTTAAAGAATTCATAAAATATTATCCTAAATAATATGGAAATATATTTTTCACAATTAAAATTTGATATGAATAAATGAATTAATCAAGTTTGCTACTAAGTAAACTAATTATTATAATGATTCATAATATAAATTACTATTTTGATTAAAATTAGAAATCTTGTGAGATATAAATTAAAATTAATAAATTTCTAATTAAATATCTTAATAACCTATTAAATAATTAAGTGGATGATAAATTATTTTACAAGTCAATCATTATTTTCTCAGAATCCAAGTAAAATCTTTCTAACAAATTACATTTCATTCTTTGCATCTATAGTATAAATTATTAACGGAAAACCTCTAGTATTTCTTTTAGTTCTTTTTAAATACCATCCTAACATTTATTTTTAATAATTATGTATGATTTAAATATACTTAATTTCATATAAAAAATAGAAAAAAAATATCATAGCTCAAGAAGTATGATGTTTAAATATCATATTGATTTTAATTAGTTTTTTATTATATTAAATATACTAATTATAATGAATTAGTATTCATTTTGTAGTCCAAAACCTAGATTTATGCAAGTTAAAATGGATGAAGCAGAATAAAGAAGTTGGTCTAAAGAATACAAAAAGAGAAGCGATTATTTTTGTCTATTCTCAAAACCCTCAACATCTCGGCCTTAGACTGTGGATTCAAAAGTTGAAGGAAACAAGGCAATAAGATGCAACTCTAGAAAATAAAGATAACATTCATTATAAGATCCTGATATAGCATGTCTTAATTAAGATGTTTAGTTAGTTGATTATTTAGTATTATTTATAATTAACGTAGTTTTAATTAAAAAATAGGTAATAAGATAGATATAAAAGTAGAATCTTAAAATTACATGAAAAAAAAACAAGAGTTTGGAAAAACTATAAATTTCCAGAGTTATTTTAAAGCATAAAAAACAGAAATGATAGTTTTGATCCATTGATTATATTTGATAAAAAAAAAGAACCAATTCTGAATTATATTTCTTGATAAAAATTTTAATAAATTCGATGAACATTAGGAATTTCTATTCTCAATCTGCAATAAAGCAATAGTATCAACTATAATAATTACTTTATAACTTAACTATTTTTAATTAGTTTCATATACTTTTGACTTTATATAAAAGGATTATTCTTTCATTTTTAACTTTCATTTATTTTTTTTAATGTTATTAAGTTATATAAAAATATTTTAGCTCATTTTTCTTTTAAAGAATCACATTCAAAGTTAATCTAAAGGCTTGGCTTTTAATTTTTGTATTGACCTTTAAGAATAATACTATATAAATATAAATGAATTATAATAATTACCAAGGATCTTAATTTAAAACCATTTCAAACTAAATATAAGGGCTTGTTGATATTCGGTTTACGAAATTACTTTCTATTCCCATTTTTGTTATAAATCCTTTATAATGCTATGTAAATTAAGTAATTTAGTTAATTCTTTAATCATTAAAAAAGATATTAGAAATTACACTAAAATAGAGTGAATTAGATAATGGTAATGCTAAACCCATTTCTATTTATGGCTGTTTATCATATTTCATATTAATTAAATATCTATCCTTCCAAACAGTTCTTAATCGTATGTCACTTTCAGCAAAGTTTGGATAAAAAATTCTTATTGTAGCTTAACTTAAAAAATTTTATGATATTTTTAGGGCATCTAAAAAATATGATAAACAGTAATTATTCAATATTTTCACATCTAAATATTATTTTGTAACTAAATATCCTTTGTTTTTAGTGTTTCCAATAAATGCTGAAAAGGAATTATGTGGAAATACACGAAATCCTGCAAAATAGTATGATTCTTAGGACTTAGGATTTTAAAAAAACATTGAAAATCTTGTAAATTGTTTTGAAAATGACAATTAATAATAATTTCTAATTTATAAACTATATACTTCTTCTAATTTTGATAAGTAAAGGATATTAATCTTCTGATTTAAAAATTAAAATTTTCACCTTTTATTATCCCATTACCAAATCCAACTCGTCCAGGTTAAATTCTTGTTATGAGTAGAGATACCGGATTTTAGTTAAAAAGCTAATCTATAAAAGATTCATTAATGAAATATGGAGTTAACATTTTTTTATAGTTTTATAAATATTAATAACAAATTACTTCTTCTTGTTAATTACGTTTAGAAAATATAAATTTTAAAGATTGAATAGAGAAAAAGAATTAAATATTATAGAAACCAGCATTATTAAAGTATTGAATATGATTATCATTTAGCTCATTCCCAACATTATTTATGATCAATAAAAAAAATTAAATATTTATTTGAACTCTTTCTTCTATAAATTTTAAATATATAGTGGAACTTAGAACATTTGAATTGGACATTAAGGTTTTTTTAAGTATGACTAAAATTGAGCTATATTCATCAAAATGTTATTAATCGGTAGATTGAAAACTATTCTATAGTTACTCCTCCAAAAGTATATTAATTAATATATTTAATACAGCCAGATCTAAAGCTTTTTTAAAGAGTCAATATAGACTGGCCTGAAGTATATTTTGATTTTCTTAATAAAATACTTAGGCTTCATCGTCATTTGAAAAAGTATCATAAATTTTGTATTTGTCTATATATATGATGTAAGTGGATTTACATCCAATTATAATTGAGGATATTTGTCTATTCCATTAGTTTAAATATAGCAACAAGCACATTTAGCATTATATCAGGATAGCTGTTATCCTGATTTTTATAGAAAATTATTAATTAAAACAGATTTATTTATTATTAAAATGTTGTAATAAATAATTTACCATCCCTCCTATTTCAATAAATTTATGTAAGAAGATTTTTTGGATATAATTAATGTATAATCTAAAACTATCATAATGAAAGTTATTCAAAAAAAATATTGTGTGCTGAGTAGAAGCAATAAGGCATACCTATTTGATTTATTAAAGAGAAAAAATACAAAAGTAGAATAAATAAAGTAAAGAAAATGATAATGAAATCAATTTACTCTAAAATAATTGTGATATTTTATCATGAATGGAAATTCTATTGAGTTTAATTAGTAGTTTGTAAAATAACATTATTATAGCTACTATTGTTTTTTGACTCAGCTGCTTAATAAATTATTTAAAATTATGTCTACATAATGAAGATTTTTTATTTGCTTTTCCTATGTTAAATTAATGAATATGATTTACTAAGGTGCACAAATTTAATCAAAAACAACTAATGGTTTATTCAAAAATTATTATATTATTCTAATTAATTATTTTATATTAAAACCATAAGGGAATGTAAAAAAGTATAAGTCAATTATTTTAAGGAGTCTAAGATTTCAAGATCTTAATATAATAAAATGATATCATCTAATATATCATATTTTTTAATTTATCTCATGAAATCACATAATATAACACATCTAGTTTTTTAGTAAAATATAATTGTAGGAATTTTGATTTAACTAAAATCTAAATAATATTAATTTTGATATAAATTGAATATAATATAAGAAAATTGAAATTTAAACATTGTTAAAATAGCAAATTTTTATTGTATATTTGAAAAATTTAACTTATTTAGTATTTTATCATTAACATTTTCTATTTTTTAGATTCTTTTTTTATAATAACCTTATCGAAATGAAAAACTTCTAGTTATCAATATGATACATCAATTTGAATGAATTGTTATATCAAATTACTGTAGTAATTAATATTTATAATAAATCAAGAATGTTAGCAAAGTCCCAATTATGTAATTATTTGAGTAAATAATTAGTTTTTAAACAGATTGATCTGTTCGGACAAAGCATTTCCTTAAATTTAAATGGAGAAGATCTATATAAAACAGGAGGAGGAGGTTTTTTATCTTGCATGATCGTGGCCATTGTTGCTATCTTCTTTTAATCAAATATCGTAGATTTCTTAGGAAAGACTAATATCAGTGCAGACACTTAAATTGTATTTGAAGAAAACCCTGATAGAATTAAATTTACATCAGATAATTTTATGTTTGCTGTTGCTATCGAATAAAATACAGCTTTCAATACAAATCCATTTTTTAACATTTCAATAAAAGCAAGGTAAATTTATTTAACAAACAAAGAACATATGTAAGATTGAGTAATGGAACTACAATTAAATATGAAAATCTTACTAATATGATTCCATGTACTTTAGATAGATTTCAAAAAATATTTGATAAATATGATCTTAATTTTACAGATCAATACAATTAATTAGGATTGTCTACATGGCTATGTCCAGAGTACTTACTTTATAAATTATATAGTCTTAATTACTCTATAACAGTTGGTGGAAGATATTCAAGCGAATATTTAGATTTTGCAAAAATTGAAATAACAGATTGTAAAAATGATACATCAAAAAATGCATACTTAACTTGGCATCCAACTTGTGCATCTAAAGATGTTATGGAAAAATGGTTATCAGGTGAAGGTTCTTATAGAATAAGAATGTATTTCAATTCTAATTCAATTAGATATATGACTAACACAGTTGTAAATCCATCTAAACCAACTGATTACATTTAAGGTTATTTAGATGATGAAGTCTATTTTTAATTTGTTCCTTTTAAATTATCTCGTTAATCTGATATATTTTTTAAAAAATATCAAATCAATACTGATGAGAGTTTAGTTCCAGTATTTGATGATGAATAAATTGAAAATGTATTTACAAAAGAACCTGCAGATTTTAGAGATATTACTACTCTAGGATCTCCAACAGATAAATAATATATAGCATTATATTTTAGAAGAAGTCCATATACTAAATATATTACCAGATCATTTTAAAAAGTAGATGATCTTTTGTCATACTTAGGAGGATTTGTGAATATAGTTGTTGTATTTTTAGGTTTCTTTGTAGCATTCTATAATAAATAACAATGTAAAATTTATTAAATAATATTTAAAAGATCTAATTGAGCTTGCAAATAAAGTTTATGATTTTAATTTTGAGAATATTAAAAATTCCTAAAGGTTAAGAAATGATGATTTGGTTAAAAAAATTACATAGATAAAAAAAAAGACCTAAACATTTAAAGCTATGGAAATGGAAGATTCAAATATGCCTCATAAAAAATCACTCACTTAACCTTTATAAGATGAGGAAATAAGGATATAAGTATTTAATGAAGAAACACCTCATAATACAACAAACTAAAAACAGTTGATCAAAAATACATCCTCAGAAATTAAGTCAGAATTTTAAAAATAATAAGAAGAAATTGTTTCTAAACTTGGTTTTAAGAGTAGGAAAGACTATTTAACATCTTAGATTTCTTAAGTTCTCACTAAAGCTAAACCAATTTAATTTACATTTAAATTTCTTTGCCATCAAATGACTGGAGGAAGGTGTTTTAAAGACAATACTTCTATACTTCTTATGAAGGCTGTGTAAATTTAAAAAATTAATTTATAGAGATAGAATAAATTCTGATATTGATATCTATGTTATTTTGGAAAAAGTTAAAGAAATTAATCTATTAAAAGAATTAATGCTTGATAAAAATTAATAAATTCTATTTAATTTTGCACCAAAATAAGTGATTACTCTCTAAGAAGAGAAAAAACTTCCAAGCAGAGTAGAAGTTTATACGTAATATTTTAATTATAAATAAGATAAAAATTGACAGAAAATTCGAGTTCATCTATATCTGTTGGCTAAATTGCTTAGTTGGCTATGAAAAAACATACAGATGCTGTAAAAGCAGCAATTCCTGTATCTATTAAAGCATATCAAAAGTTATATAAAGTAAATAAACATTATTGAGAAAGGCTTATGATAAAATAAATGATCCATAAAAAGAATTAGGGAGAGTAAATCAAATACTAATTGAAAAATTAGGCAAAGAAATACGAGATATATTTGAAGTTTCTTAATTTATAGATTTCGATCTTGTGGAATAAAAATTGAGTCATAGAATTAAATATATACTTAGAAAAAAAGTAAAATAAATGAGATAGAGCAAATCGTAATTGAAAAAAGATTCTGACGATGATTCATCAGATAATTATGGACTTTTTAGTTAAGAAAGAAATAAACCAGATAATAGTGGAATATTGTAAAGAGAAATTTTATTCCCTCATCGAAACTTTTGATTTACTGAATAAGATTTGCTTATTAATGCATATTTATACAATATTATATTTTTGACTATTTCTCAAATCAATTCGACTGAGTCCAAAATAACTTTACTTTCTTTATTTGCTACACTAAGGAAAAGACTTAAATCACTTACATATGCTTTTGCCATTCTAGACACGTCTTTTTGAATGACAATATAACCTTTGATAAAATAATCATTTTACTTTATGTTGGAATATTATTTTCGACATATTCAACAGCTTATCTTCCCTTTAAAGTTCTACTCAAAGCTTGCTTAGCACAATACCAATTAATATCATGGATCTCTGCTCCAGCTAAATTCATTGCCCAGGTTTATTTGTTTTCTTATTTTAATCTAATATATACATCTAACTGGATAAGCTTTAAAAATTCTTTGATAATATGGGACTGGCCATTAAGATGTTGACATAACTCTATCAACAATAGGTCTTTCATGAATAGGTCCCCACAAGGCTCCAGAAAAGCATGCTACTGATTTACTATGTGTAAGACGAATCATTTTAATTATTTTTAATATAAATATATAAACTAAATAAAACTTCATAATTTTTCATTTTTTTTTTTTAAAAAATAGGAATTATAGTCAAGTCTTCTAAGCGTTTAATATAATAGATTTAGTTTAGTATTTTTAGTCAACAAATAGATCAATTAATAAAAGAAAGATTAAATAAGTATCGAATTCTGCAGTAAGTTTATAATATTCTTTATTTATAAATTAGTGACGCTATATTTCAATTCTATTAACTAGCTCAATTTATCTATGTAAAAATTTGATGATTTGAAAAATATTTTGACAATCTATTAAAAATTAAAAACTATTATTTAGAAACAGATTATTCTAATTCATCCATTATTTTTCTCATTAATTCAAATTTTAATTTCATTTGCTTTCTAGATATCTTTTTCTATCATTAGACAGTAATGATATTCATTTAAAAGTGATGTTAAATATTTTTACAACATGCTGTCAATTAATATGCATTCCAATTATATATACACAATCTTTTTATTTTTTGTGAGTTTAATCCATACTTATTATAATTCGAATTAAGTGTGTTGAATAGGGAATAAATAGCTAAACAATAATTAGAATTTTTCTTATAAAAAACGTGTATTAAATAATAAATTATTAATATATTAAAATAAATTGAATTGTATTTATGTACCTAAACTCAAAATCTAAATTTTGTAAATGAATTTTTAATTTTTAATACAAATTCATATTTTCATTCTTTCTCTTACACATAAATTATATATATATATTTATCAGAAGTTAAGTAATTTTTGTGTTTTTTGTGATTGTAAAAGTTTAGATAAATATTTAAATAATGAATGTGTGTAACAAAAATTACTTATAGGAAACCTTTCCACAATATGTTCATGATTAACTAAATAAAGTTGCTGAAGAAGATAGGAACATAGATAAGTAGATTTAATATCTAAATAGAGATCATAGAGAATTTTTAATATAATTGAGATTTTGAGTGAACTTAAAATTTTATCCTTTGGTTTAGCCACTAAGTTAAAAACTTAAGAAGGGTTTATGTTATTCCCAGAAATTATTTCTGAAAAGTACATAATTGAATTTAAAGAAATCAAATCTTGCAAATTGAAAAAGAATGAACCCTCTTATTTTTAAGCTTGGGCATTTGTTAATTTAGATCTAGTATATATTTTAAATATAATTAGATTGATATGTACAAATTACAAACATTTTTACGCATTTTATGTATTTTAGCATATTTTGAGTGCAAAAAATATTTTGAAACATTTCTCAAAGATTATAAGTCTAAATATGATAATGATCTCTTTAAAGTGTTTTTACTATTATAAACCCAAAAAAAAGAATTTTAAATAGAAGCAGATGATTTCTTTCTTCAATTAATTGAAAAATGTGAATGTAAAAATACTTAATTCATTTCATATATGTATAAATTCTGTAAAGAAAAGAATATGATTAAATGTTTAGGATATTTGGAATCTATAAAATCAACAAATAAGATTTCTTCAGAAAAACGAAAAGGATTTCAAAAATTTAAGGAAGAAGAAGTGAAAAAAGAGTCACTTTAAGAATCATAATAAACCTCTTAATAAATATTAATATAAACATAGAATCCAACTTAAATAATAAAAAGACATTCATCAATTTATCCAAGAAAATCACTAGATTAATAATGTTAATTGATATAATTTTAAGAGTCAACAAAAGATTTGATAAAATCAATTGGAATGAGTAGACCTTCATTAACAATGAGAACTATGAAAGATGGAATCAATCATAAATATAAGGTAATTAAGTGTTATTTATGTGAGTGAAGCGTGAAAATGATAATAGACAATAAAGATATTTAAAGAGTGAAATAAATTAGCAAAAACAATTTCATGAAGAGGTTTGTCTAAAATTAGAGAAAGTATAAAGAAGAAGGGTTATTTGTTGGAATTCTGAATGTTTGGCTCCTGAAACTCCTGAAATTTATAGTGATTGATTGTTAGGGATTGATAATCGTATAAAGTCGTTTTTATTTAATTAATATTAAAATCATGAAATCCTTAATCTTGATTGCCCTCATTGCTGTAGCCTTTACAGCTAGAGTTTAAGAGAGAAACATGGCTAAAGTCTAAGCTGATTTAGCTAAAAGTACATATGGAAAGGCATTACTTCATTTGGTTGAGTTACACTCAATGGCAGGTGGACCAGTTTAAGAGTTAATCGATGCTATCGAAGAACTCATTAATGACTTAGAAGAAGAATTAGAAACATTAGAATTCAATTTCTAAGTGAGAACAAACGAACATAATGCACTTGTTGTCTCTCTTGAATAAGACATCCAAGATGCAGTTATTGGTATTTCAAAAATCTATGTATAGATGTCAACAACACATAAGACACTCTTGATAATTTACTTTATCCAAGAAGAAATCAAATCTAAAGCAAAATTGATACCGTTATTGGATACTAAGAAGAGAATAGAAAGAACTATGATGAAGCAGTCCTTGTTAGAGAATAAGAGCATGAAGCATTTGAAGCCTAAGTTGCTGAATTAAATGATGCAACTGCTTCAGTTGACGATGCACTTGCTTTACTTTCTTCATTGACAAATCCATCATTGTTGTAAATCAAAAGATTCTAAAATACTTTGAAAAATATTGAAAATAAATTAAGATCAAGATCTAGAATGGCCCCAATGATCAAGGCTCTCATTAGTTTAGCTTCCAATCAAAACTTTTCAAATTAAGATGTTTTGAAATCCATTGTTGATGCTCTTAATGATTTCAGAAATGCTGTAGTTGATCAAATCAATGATTTAACAGCCTAAGAAGCTCAAGATGTTGCTGATCATGAAGATTATCTTGAATAATTGGATTCTGAATTTGCAGAATTTGGAAGATAAATTGACAGAGCAACTGTAGACTTGACTGCAACCAATGGTATTAATTAATATTATATATTTTATAGAAAAGATTGACTCAATGGTTGAATTCAGAGATTAAAGAGCAGCTGATTAAAAATAATACACTGCTGAATTAGAATTGGAAAATAACACTTATGCTGAAGAAACCGATATTTACACCAATACCAAGAATGAATTCACTAGAGAATTGGGAGTCAGTGAATAGGCTTTAGCACTTGTTTAAAGTGTTGATTTCTCAAACATCTAGGTTTGATATTAATAAAATATACACATCAATTATTACAATCGTATAATTATATNTATAAAGTCGTTTTTATTTAATTAATATTAAAATCATGAAATCCTTAATCTTGATTGCCCTCATTGCTGTAGCCTTTACAGCTAGAGTTTAAGAGAGAAACATGGCTAAAGTCTAAGCTGATTTAGCTAAAAGTACATATGGAAAGGCATTACTTCATTTGGTTGAGTTACACTCAATGGCAGGTGGACCAGTTTAAGAGTTAATCGATGCTATCGAAGAACTCATTAATGACTTAGAAGAAGAATTAGAAACATTAGAATTCAATTTCTAAGTGAGAACAAACGAACATAATGCACTTGTTGTCTCTCTTGAATAAGACATCCAAGATGCAGTTATTGGTATTTCAAAAATCTATGTATAGATGTCAACAACACATAAGACACTCTTGATAATTTACTTTATCCAAGAAGAAATCAAATCTAAAGCAAAATTGATACCGTTATTGGATACTAAGAAGAGAATAGAAAGAACTATGATGAAGCAGTCCTTGTTAGAGAATAAGAGCATGAAGCATTTGAAGCCTAAGTTGCTGAATTAAATGATGCAACTGCTTCAGTTGACGATGCACTTGCTTTACTTTCTTCATTGACAAATCCATCATTGTTGTAAATCAAAAGATTCTAAAATACTTTGAAAAATATTGAAAATAAATTAAGATCAAGATCTAGAATGGCCCCAATGATCAAGGCTCTCATTAGTTTAGCTTCCAATCAAAACTTTTCAAATTAAGATGTTTTGAAATCCATTGTTGATGCTCTTAATGATTTCAGAAATGCTGTAGTTGATCAAATCAATGATTTAACAGCCTAAGAAGCTCAAGATGTTGCTGATCATGAAGATTATCTTGAATAATTGGATTCTGAATTTGCAGAATTTGGAAGATAAATTGACAGAGCAACTGTAGACTTGACTGCAACCAATGGTATTAATTAATATTATATATTTTATAGAAAAGATTGACTCAATGGTTGAATTCAGAGATTAAAGAGCAGCTGATTAAAAATAATACACTGCTGAATTAGAATTGGAAAATAACACTTATGCTGAAGAAACCGATATTTACACCAATACCAAGAATGAATTCACTAGAGAATTGGGAGTCAGTGAATAGGCTTTAGCACTTGTTTAAAGTGTTGATTTCTCAAACATCTAGGTTTGATATTAATAAAATATACACATCAATTATTACAATCGTATAATTATATTTATATATAAAGAGATTATATTTTTAATAANTATAAAGTCGTTTTTATTTAATTAATATTAAAATCATGAAATCCTTAATCTTGATTGCCCTCATTGCTGTAGCCTTTACAGCTAGAGTTTAAGAGAGAAACATGGCTAAAGTCTAAGCTGATTTAGCTAAAAGTACATATGGAAAGGCATTACTTCATTTGGTTGAGTTACACTCAATGGCAGGTGGACCAGTTTAAGAGTTAATCGATGCTATCGAAGAACTCATTAATGACTTAGAAGAAGAATTAGAAACATTAGAATTCAATTTCTAAGTGAGAACAAACGAACATAATGCACTTGTTGTCTCTCTTGAATAAGACATCCAAGATGCAGTTATTGGTATTTCAAAAATCTATGTATAGATGTCAACAACACATAAGACACTCTTGATAATTTACTTTATCCAAGAAGAAATCAAATCTAAAGCAAAATTGATACCGTTATTGGATACTAAGAAGAGAATAGAAAGAACTATGATGAAGCAGTCCTTGTTAGAGAATAAGAGCATGAAGCATTTGAAGCCTAAGTTGCTGAATTAAATGATGCAACTGCTTCAGTTGACGATGCACTTGCTTTACTTTCTTCATTGACAAATCCATCATTGTTGTAAATCAAAAGATTCTAAAATACTTTGAAAAATATTGAAAATAAATTAAGATCAAGATCTAGAATGGCCCCAATGATCAAGGCTCTCATTAGTTTAGCTTCCAATCAAAACTTTTCAAATTAAGATGTTTTGAAATCCATTGTTGATGCTCTTAATGATTTCAGAAATGCTGTAGTTGATCAAATCAATGATTTAACAGCCTAAGAAGCTCAAGATGTTGCTGATCATGAAGATTATCTTGAATAATTGGATTCTGAATTTGCAGAATTTGGAAGATAAATTGACAGAGCAACTGTAGACTTGACTGCAACCAATGGTATTAATTAATATTATATATTTTATAGAAAAGATTGACTCAATGGTTGAATTCAGAGATTAAAGAGCAGCTGATTAAAAATAATACACTGCTGAATTAGAATTGGAAAATAACACTTATGCTGAAGAAACCGATATTTACACCAATACCAAGAATGAATTCACTAGAGAATTGGGAGTCAGTGAATAGGCTTTAGCACTTGTTTAAAGTGTTGATTTCTCAAACATCTAGGTTTGATATTAATAAAATATACACATCAATTATTACAATCGTATAATTATATTTATATATAAAGAGATTATATTTTTAATAAATGATATATAAATACAGTAATAAGATATATATTTTATAATAATAATCAATCAAACATTAAGTTATTATCTACTTGAACTTTTTGGCATAGAAGTAGATGAATTATGATGTTTTCGTTATTTACTAAAGGTTTTCCCTTCTGATTTTGCCAATTTTCGATCTGATTATGGAGACTATTTTGTAGATAACAAAGTTTATAGTAGTAATTTTTAATTTTTCAATAAACAAATTTCATCTTTAATTGTTCTTTTTTCACTTTCAAATTTTTATGCAAATTCAAATGTTTAATATTTCAATTTATCTATTTCATTTCTATACAAACTCAATAGTTAATCATCATTTTGGGGTTAAGATGTTGAGGATCTTGTAGGAATATTGAGAGTTCGAACAGCACATGTTGCTTCTGAATCTATTTCATCTCCTGTAACTATAGAAGATTTTTTTGAATGCAAACCAAATAAATTCTTTTCGCTTTTATGTTTTAATTATTTTTGAACTCTTAATTTAATATTAAGATCATAAATTATATCATCTTTTTATTTTAGCTATTTCTTTAAACTTTCTATTGCCATCTCATATTTCTATTTTGATATTTTCATCAATTTTTCATGTTCCATTTACACTTACATAAGGAGATCTTAAAATTGCATTTCTTTCTTAAAAAACTCTTATTATTGTTATAGCAATTTTTCGTTTAAGTGTTAAACTTACATTGATAATTGCTTTTCTTGCTATTAATTAAACGCTTTGGCCTTACTATACTAATTTAACGAATCAGTATATTCATCTTGTTCTGTTTAATTTTTGTTTGAACTCTGAAAACAAGGTTATAACATCGATTTTATTTAATCACTTGGACGAATAATTGTCATTGATTAACTTGTGTATTGAGAATAGATTAAATCATCGACTGTTTCTTAAGCTTAATATTACTTAGGTCTGTTGTTCATTAAGCAATTATTTATAAATATGAATGCATTAATAACAATAAGTTAAAATGGATCAAGTTAATTCAACTAATAAAGACGATGCATCAGTATAAGCAAGAGCTAGAAGGAGAAGGAATGATTAAAGTAGTAGGGATTATACATGTGGATGTGGAAAGAGCTATTTAAGTTATCCCGCATTATATACACATTTGAAGTATTGCAACTTATATATGGAGGCAAAAACATCAAGGAAGTCCACCTTAAGGGACTACTCAACCTAATAATATGAATCCCAAAGCAAATAGGGGTAGACCCAAGAGAGTATAAATGATTTTAGTAATTCAAGTTAGATGAAAATGATTTAAAGGAAGGAAAATCAGATGATGAAAGATCAATTAGTAATAATGAGCCTGATGAAACAATTGAATAAGTCCTTCTCTTTTTAGATAGCATTGGCAATTTTAGATCTGTAATAATTCATTATTCAATTTCAAGGTCATTAAATATGAAAAAGAAGAAGAAAAATAAGGCTATTTATTGAATTACTTTCCAAAAGATTATTTTAATAATTGTCAAGATTATTAGTCTATCTATAATAATATTAAGGACATTACAAATGAAAGAGTAAAAAATTGTGGTATAATTTAAAATAGGTAAAAAATCCAGATCATGATCCTCTAAATAAAGAGGAAATTGATAAAGATAAAAACATTAAGAAAACTTAAATAAGTAAAATCTTAGCCTATTTTCTTGTGGCTATAGGCCCTTTATTAAATGAAGATGCTTACAAGGAAGTAATATTATATTTTTGATAAAGATGGCTACTTTTATTGTTTTATTTTCAATGGCACTTAATGAAACGGGTTATCAGGCCCTATAAAATTATGAATAAGAATAATATCAGCAAGGAGATACTGATAAAAAGCCTTAATCTCTTGTCAAACAAGGTATGGATACATTTAGTATCAAGACTAAAATATGAATGCAACATATTGCGAAGAATAAAATGGTGAACACATTTTATTAATAACAAATGATTTTATTTTGTCATTTTTACCACAGAACTTCCCTAAATTGGGAAATATAGAAAAAACATTTAGAATATTTGGTAGTCCAGATGAAAAATTAAAAAATGCTGTTTATGTTACTTAACATTTATCTTATTGGTTGTATGCTATGAAATTTACTAACTCAAGATTAGCTTTATACACAGATGATGATTAATGATAAAATAATCATAATTGTTAATTTGATATATTTTTATTTTAATTATTCTTTATTTTAAAGTTTTTTTATATAAAATTATTAATTATATTTATATAGATATCTCAAATAGAATCCTAATAAATTAAAATATCATTATTTTTTAAACAAAATATTATTAATAAAATTTGATTCATTTTATAATTAAATTTAAATCATATAAATATATAAATTATATAATAATGTTTAAATGGAGAATTAATCAATTTAAAACAACTGAGTATTTCATTATTATGATAATATTTCACTCTGTCCCCATTTAATTGGTTATCCATTTTACCAAACTCCCTTTCTTACTTTATTATTATATGTAAATGTCCCTTCTCCATTTTATTTTCCATTTTTCCATTATCCTTTATAAATTCTTCCATCTGACCAATCTAATTCTCCATATCCATTTCTTTAATCCCTTTCAAACTAAAATTAACATAATTTTCATACATTTCCTTTATAAATCTTTCCATCAGGCCATGTATAAATTCCATATCCATTCATTTGATTCAACATCCATTCTCCTTTATACTATGAATTAATATGAAACTTACTTTTTTTCCATCTTTCCAACAATATTCACCATTACCATGAGGCATACCATCAAGTAATTCTCCTTCATATTTGGAACCATCAGGCCATTCAAATATACCATAACCTGTTTTTTAACCATTCTAATAAGTGCCTTCATACCTTTATCCATTATTCCATTGTTCAATTCCTTTCTCAATATCATATAATTTATTACTCCATGTTATTTATCTTCAACCCAATCACCATTATATGTTGTCCCATCAATCATAACATATTTTCCTACTCCCCAAGCCTTATCATTTATCCATTATCCCTCATAGCTAATACTTATATTCAAAATATACTAATAACCATTTGGTAAAACCATTCTTCCATATCCATGTTATTAATCATTGTTCCATTCCCCCTCATAAATCGATCCAAAGGAATAGAGTTATTTACCAAACCCATGCCTCCTACTATCTAACCATTATCCTTAGTAAATCATCCTTATTATAATTTTATATGTACCCTTCATCAATTTAAACTGGACCAACTTATGTAAGAGTTTAATCTTTAATAATTGGAAATGGAAAGGGGCCTTAAATTAATAAGAATAAGTACCTAAAGAGTTAAATATCTTTATAGCTAGTGAAGTTTATTCATCAAAAATCTATGCTATTAAAGAATGTAGATATACATTAACATTATTAATCAGTACTCCTCTATAACTCTTAATGCTGTCATAGTTCTCTTCCTGTGCTAGATTTGAATGCTAAGCCATACATCAATTTTCTCTGATCTAATTGGTGAACTTGGGGTTTCATTCGATTCTTTTATTTTAGTTTGCATTCCAATCTCTAAATTTTCATTATTTATGTATATTGGAGCTGTTATTGCAGTAAAGGATTCCTTCTCCTGTGTAGTATTTGTACAACAAGTTCCCATTTTATTATTTTAATTTTATATATGTAAAAAAAAAATTACTCAAAGCTTTCAATCTTTTATAAAAATCTTACAAAAGATAAAGAATTGTAAAAATTACAAATTTACTATTTCTAGAATCTAATTATGACAATTTCCTTAATCAAAAATATGATGACTTATGAACTTATAATAATAAATTATAATCATGATAAAAAAATTATTTATTAAAATTATAAAATAATAATAAATTTTGTTTTGAAACTTCTCAAATTTCTAAGATTATTTTAAATAGTCAATTAGATAAATCCTTATATCATTAAAGAGTTTAGATAAGCTTAATTAGAATAATTAATCATTTTTAAATGTAATCTTAATTGATTAAAAATAAATTTACTAATCTTAAAAATACTTTCCAAAAATTAAAGAAATTGCTTTTAAATTATTCATTATAATTTTGATTTTAATACTGGTATTAATATTCATTTAATTATCTAAACTTGCAATCCATTTAACTTAACATAAAATTTAAAACTTCCAGATACACTCCCTTCAATATGAAGGTATTCCTAAAGGAAAAAAATAAAATTTACTGCAATTTCTTATTTTCTGAAACTTAATAGTCTTTTTTCAGCTCTGTATTATAAAATATACTCTTAATTTATATCTATTTTCAATTATCCCTACCTTTGCTTCTCATTTTTATACAATACTAACACATTAAATATATTCATACTTCCAGATTGATCCATATATATATTGTAAGTTCCTAGTTTTTTTCCATAATTATCAACATTTTACATACCAAAAGAGGCTGTCTTTAATAATTATTATATATACAAGAGTTTTGTTTAATGGCTCTGTAAATTTAAATTTGACTTTTGCATTATCATTTAATGTAAAAGCTCCTTCAACTAAGGCTACACCTTATTAAACACAAAAATATTATGTGAATCTCAATGAATATTTTAAGTGTTTATCAGAATTTGTTAGATCAAACTTCTTGCCAACAAAATTTATTCTTTAATAAGCTTGAATATCTTAAACAACTGTATTTTATTATTTTTATCTTTATAATTCTTCTTCTGTCAATTATGTTTGTTGTTATGGATTGTCTTAAACTACAATTTTTTCTTCTTATTTCAAATTTTATTTTGTTTAATTTTGATATGAATCTATATTTTATTTATCTTCCAATTCTTCATTTATATCTTAAACTTCAATTAATCTTATTTTAATGGGATTACTTTTTTTAATCTAAGCAGCTTCAGATGGTAATTAAAATTATATTCTATCATCATTATCATTATTATATTCATTTTTAGGAATATAAGCAGTAAATTATGATTCAAGATTTTATTATTATTATTATTGATAATTTTTTTATGATTATTCTACAGTATACTATTATGATCTTTATTGTTAGTTTTTTGCATTTTTATACCATCTTAGAGGTACATTTGTTTAATCTTCTTATTATTAGATATCATTTTTGTCCAAATTTAATTGTTATTATGAATATTTATAATCATATTATTAATATTAATATGTTTAATTGGAGTTCTAATTCAATTAGTTATTTCTTTAATAATATAAATCTTCTTGTTGTTACTGTTTTTGGGTATCATTATAAGAAGATTATATTTCTAATTGATATTAAAGGTCTACTTAATCAATAAAATTTATCAATTCTTAAGTAATTCCATTTAATTTATAATTGATCCCTTCTAAAAAAGTATTTATTTACTATTAATAAGGTGATTCAAATTAATAATAATATATTTCAATATATTTTTTAAGATTGTTATCAAATTAATAGTTTGAAGATAAACTCTCTATTTTCTCATTAATTTTAATTTAATCTTTCAAATGTACAAAATAAATTCTATAAATGATATCCATTCAATTATTTTACTTTTAAAGATTAAAAAATAAAGACCTAATTCTTAAGTTAATTTATTATTCTTAATTTTCAATTTACTCAGAAATACTTTACTCTATCTACATTCTAAGTTTCTGGTTATATTCATTTAGTTTAATATTAACTTTTTTTTCAAATTTCTCTAAAGGATAAATTTTGTGTGAATAATATTAATGAGTTTATAAATCATTCCAATTTGTAATAACCCTATTTAATTTACAATCCTTATCAATACAGATTAGGTTTGATTCTGTTAATTTCATGTACTCAATAATTAAATAATAAAAATTTAATATAAACAGAACATATATAATTATATATAATTTTATATACTATTATAAACAAATTTACACATCTAATAAACTATAAAAATTTAGAATTTATTTAAATTACTCATTAAATATAATTTAAAGTGATTCTTTTAATTTGTTTTATGTAAAAATTTATTAGTTTAAATTAAAGATTCGAATTGATACCAATATAATTTAATTCAAATTTAATAATTTTCAATTCTAATATGAATATTCTTTGAGTTTATATCAAATATACATAATTTTAATTATACATTCCTAATAAGTAGATTAAATAAAAATTGTTATATAATGTGAAAAAAAAAGATTTATTTAATATATGTTTAATATATAATAGAATTATAGAGTGCAATTGTATTTACTAAACTAATATATTATTACTTTAAAATATTAATATATATCAAAACCTTTTTTCCACTAATGCTTATTATCTCCAACTCTCACTAAATTCATTCATTTAAGCCATAAATTCATCTTAATATCCTCTAGGTGCTTTTTTTTTAACTGGTTTAAGATTTAATGATATGCCGTTTTTGTAAATAGGTTAATTTAAAGTGGAAGGATCAACTAAAGATAATTAATAAATTATACCGAAAGGAAAAGAATCTTCTTCAGAACTGAATTTCAATTCCTCCTCATCAACAGGTTCATTTATATCATGTTTTAATTTACATGTTTCTACATTATCTTAATGAGTAAATATTTTATGATTAGTATTGATTTTATTTTAATCTTTCTTTTTTTATCTCAAAGTATTTAATATTTGCTAGAAATCTTCATTTCTTGATTTCTAAGACTATTATAGAGAAGTTTTCAACATCAATATTTCCTTATTTTTAATTTCCATATCAGAATTAAGATTTAAAATATGTTAAGAGAGAGTATCGATGTCAGATTATATTTTGTTTGCCAATAGTAAGAAAGTTTTTTTGAGTTCAGCAAAAAGAACTATTTTGAATGGTTACTCTAATTATTCCATACGTTCAAGAATATGAAGGAATGATGTAAATGTTAATTCACTACAATTGGCACATTCAGTAGTTAAGCAAGATTCAAGCACTTTACTTATTCTAGTATAATGCTTACATATTTTTAATATCTTAAAAGCTAGAAGCATCCTCACAAGTATTATATTATCTAATACGCTTTCCTAATTTCTCTTTTAAAGTAGTGACTACACTATTCTAAGTTGGTGAATATATTTCTTAACACACAGAACTCATTAATCTCTTATGCAATTATTGATAGTGATAGTTGTTAGTTTTCATTATTGAGAGGTTAGGACTTGAGCGATGTAAATTTTTTTATGATTGTCTCTGTATTTTACTAATAATTTCATCCAAATGAGAAGTCTTCTTCATTAATTTATTTATCAATTGATATATTCATTTACTTGTGGATTCTATTTACTTTTAACATATATCTATATGGTTTATAGATTCATTTATTCTAGGAATTAAAAGATGAATCATTCATTAAAATAACATTACAAGTCCATATTTTCATTCTCAAATATTCCAGATTTCTATTAATTTTTATGATCTCTGAATTTACAATCTATAACTATAAATAATCATATATATTGTTCTTTATAAATTCTATACAGAATCAAAAAGACTAATACTTAATTTGTATCAAAAATATTTTATTTTTAAAGAGAATTGTTTCAAATTATGTAAATTATTAGGCTATCTCAAAATTAATCCATTAAAATATTAGCAGCCTCATAAATTGTCATGCTATTTAATTCTATCATGAATCAGGCCAATCATATATACTAATTAATATATGTAGACATTTTTATAATAAATATCTCATAACTATTATTGAGAAATAAAAATTCACTTAATTGAACAAATGAACCTTAAATAAAAAAATAGATTAAGTGAAAAATTTAGTAAAGATAAATTAATAATGAATTAAAAACCTGCTATTGAAAATTAGATTAATTGAAGGGATTAAATTTAAGCAAAAAATAAATAAAGGGAAATTTAAGTTAAGACAAAAAGAAAAAAAAGGATATCGAAATAAAATCTCTTCAGAATTCAATATAAAAAGTAGATAATAACTTTAATAAAATTAGATTGAAGTATGAATATCAACAAGCTTTAAATATTACATTTATGATTCTAATTAGTATTATTAGATATAGTATATAAATAAAAAGAAATAATGGATCTGAAAAGATAAAATAATTTTATGAAATAAGGATTAAGAGTTGAGTTATTTTAAATCAAGAACTATGATATTAATGAAATAATCATCTCAAATTTAATATGAATAATATTTTCTTATGATGAAAGTAACTAATAAAGAATCTTAATAAATAAAAGCAGTAAAGTAGATTAAGTACAATATAAATTAAACCAATCACTAATTTTGAGTAAAAGGAACTACAAAAATTGAACTATTATTATTAAATATATTCTTTAATTCAGATATCATTGTCTAATTTAAATTTAAAATTATTATACTTTTATTAGAGTTTCAATAAGAACAATATATGAATAAAAATTGATTAATCATTTAATTATTAAAATAATTTAAATACTAAGAATTAGAATTTAAGTTTAAGTTAAAATTGAAAGAATGAGATCTAGTAAAACAATAATTAAGATATTCATATTTTTATTTGTTAATTAGAAATTAAATTAAAAACTTTAGTTAGTCAAACATATCAAATCTAAATTTAATAATAATATATGAAGAATAATAAAATAAATAAAATTAAAAGTTTTAGAAGATATTTAATCATTAATCAAATTACACAGGAAAATATGATAATAATTAGTTATATTTAAAAATATATATTTGCAATTCTTATTTATTTCTATTTTTCACTTAATTATAAGATTTCTTATATAATTTGAGAAAAATTAATCTAAATTTAATCTAAATTTCAATATGTTGCTTCTCTTTCCATAAACACTAATTTTTTTAACTTTCTCAATTTAAATCAGGTTATTATTTCATAATTAAACAATATTAAATATAGAAAATAAAATGAATCCTTACAACTATCAAAACTAAAATACTAATCCCATACCCAATTTTGCATACAATCCTCTATTGTTTTTCTAATTTAATTTACCTCAATAATATCTTTAATATTGCCTTTAAAGACATTTAAACCTTTATGTTAATCCAGAATTATAAAGTAATAAGCAACAAATTGAAGCTATTACAATTTATAGCGATGATGAATAACCCATTATAAAGCCTAAGGAATAAATTCAAAAAGTCATTCCAGTGACATAAAACAATATAGGATAATAGAAGCTTTTAAACCTTGATTAATTAGAATTATAAGGAAAAATATATGATAATGATTCTAGTGATTCACCTTTATTATAAAAAAGAGTCTAAAAATGTTTAAAATATCAAAAATCAAAAATATAAAATAAAAATGAAAGCTTATAGCCACTTAAGCTCAAAAGGAAAATAATCAAACCTTAAAAATAACCTAAAAGTTCACAGTTAAGTATAATAAAATAAGTTTAGATTGGAAAATACCGACAATAATATAAATTTAATTAGTCAAGTGTTAAAACACAATTAATAAAAGTTTACACAAAAAATGAATAAGAATGTAAGATTTATTTATAATATGAGATAGTGTAACAATTAAGAGAGCTCTTATTGATTAATTTTCCAAATTCTAATGATGAAGACGCAATCAAATTATTAAATGTAACTGGAAAATCATATGAAAAAGCAATGGATTTGATTAAGAAAAATGAATTACTAGTTTAATATATACTGGAAAGTAAATTTTTATTATTATAAATTCAGCTAATAAAAATAATGAATGTATTGAGGAAGATGATATTTAAACTATGAAGTGAACCTGAATTTTGTGTATTAATTATTTAGATATATATATATATTCAACTAATTTAAATTATCAACAATTTTATGATTTATCTTTAAATGATTATTCATAGAGATTAGTAAAAATTGAATCGAATCAATAAATTAATAATAAATGTAAAAGGAAAGAATCAGAATTATAAATGTAGAAATTTTGTAAAATCAGAATTGTATTTCATTTATGTTAATCTATTTTCTATAAAATAATTTTACTATTTAGTATAAATTTATGGGTAACAATAAGAATTTGAGTAAAAATTGATTTTTTCAATTATTTTTATTCATTTACTATTAATAGTTTGAGAATTTATATTATACAAATTTAGTTTATAATATTTTGACCATTCTGAAATAATAATTAAATGAAATAGCAATCTCATAATTAATATATTTTTAATATCAATTAAATAATCTAAAGAATTTATTTGAGAGCTATTATCTTATTTAATGTTATAAAAGCGTTAATGTAATTTATTAATGATATTAATTTAATCAATTTATTTCTCTTTATTTGGCAATTAGTGCTTTAATTTATTTGATATCAGTACTCCATTGCCCAAATGGAATTATATATTTTAAGTATGCATAGAGAGATGGTTTCAATGATTACTCAGTAATTCCTATTAAATATGTTTATTAATATTTTGGATGTAATAAAACTAAATCTTATTCATTCTTTTGTACAATATCAGCAAAATCAGCAATTTCTTAAGGTTTTTTAACAAATAACATAATGTAATAGAATTGTTTACCTTGTTACAAATATTATTTATAAAGTCTAATCACATCAGCAATATCTAATAAAATAATAGGATCTTTTATTTCTATTGTATCGTAAGTAGAATTTCCAAAATTTTTAACTATGTCTTTAGATAATTTAATTTCAGGAATATAACATAAAATCTCATGAATTGTCTTAGGAGGTTAAGTAATATTGCATCTATGAGTCCATTTAATAAAAGGTCTATTATTTCTATTGGTTAAGATTTAATTATGGAAATTTACTTTACATAGAACATTTTAAGGATCACAAGTTGTATCATTTCTTCTAGGAAATACTACTCTATTATTCCTTTTAGATAATCTCTTTTTTTTTTTTTATTTTTAAGCTTCTTTTAAAAGATTTTTAAATTTCTCTTTTGCCAAATCTTATAATTTTCTACCTTTGACTTAAGGTGTAATAAAGGATGGGGGTGAATTAGCTATGCTATCTGCATATTCCTAATAAATTATGATCAATAATTACACTGATAGCACATTTAATATTATTATCTTAATCATCAAAATTAACTTTATCTAAAAGTCCTTTATCTTTTGCATCTTCAAGAGCAGTTTCTAAAATATGTATTAATTCATCTCTAATTTCAGGAAAAGCAATAGAAACTTTTAATAAAGATGTTGCATTTTATTATTCTTTAATTGCTGGTAAACTTTTTCTAGTTTATGAATCCAAAATAAATTTGGTGGGAAGTATTTATACTTTTTCTTTCCATTAATAATGACAATCATCTAATACACTTCTTGTAAATGTAAGATCAGTAAATTGTGATATTTATTCAAGCTTATTACTAGATATTAAACTCAAGAAAGTAAATGTTATTATCACATTATCACCATCTGTTTAAAAATTAAATTCATTCTAATTTTATTTCATTAATTATTTGCATTTTTTCAAACAATGTATAAGCCATTCTTCATTAGGATTTAATTTATTTTCATTAACTCCAAATACTTATGAATATAATTTAATTACTGAAGGTGTACATGTGAAATTAAAAGTAAATTCAAGATCATATCCTGATTTTTCCTAATTAATTTACTAAATTATACACTTAATAGATAATTAACCTTTTTATTTATCACAAAATTAAGTTGATGTTAAAAGTGTTTATAAAATAAATTATAATAGTTTTTTATCTCCAGCCACTATTTCTGGAATTCCACTTTCAAAGTTCAAATTAATTATATTAAAATGATCATATAATTTAAGAACCATAAAATCTATTATATTACAAATAGTAACTTTTAAGTAAAATTATTAGATTTCTTATTAAAAATTACTTGTTATTGATTTTACTTAATGTTCTAAGTGTAAACATTCTGATAAACATTATCCTAAAACACTTAAATCAGACTCTTTAATCATTCGAAATGCTCTTAAATTATTCCATTTAGTATAGTCTTAATTTAATTGTATATATAACTTATTTATTTATTCATACATTTATTCAAAAAATTAATTCTCTTCACTACAGAAATGAGATTGAACTAATATGAAATTTCCTTACCATGGCTTAATGTAATAATCAATTGTTTCCTTTTTTTAATTTTCCAATTATATTATACCATAGTATTTCCTTTTAATATAATCGCTTATTAGCTTTTATGATTCTTAATTAAACTTTATAGACTTATTTGAAAATAGTTCATTGCTATTTTCATCTAAATATAAAATGTGATGAGGTAGATTCAGAAAAATGCTGTCTTATTCACATTGATGTGAGTTGATATTACATATTTTGGAATAAAGAAATCTCTTAAGAATTTCAATTGCTCGCATAAGAGCAATAAAAAAACAAAACAAATATACATGATTCAATTATCTAATGATTCCTATTTAAAATACTACTTACATTGGCCAGTAAGGCACTAAAATCAAATTAGTGATGCAAGTAAAAATATGAGATGAAATACTATCATAGTTTATTTCAACTTATTATGCCATATATAATATAGCTTAGATTAAGAATCTCCATTTATGCTTATTTTTATAATAAAAAAATGATGCCAATATAACACTTACAATTGTGATATAATTACAATAAAACACCATCTTCACTATCATTATTCCTGGAAATAAGTACAGACCACTAAATTTAGAAAATCGGAAATTTTGTTCATGTTTTTCATACATAAATCGTCCTGTGGAGGATATTTAGTATTTATCCATTATTTAATTTTATAATTGAAATTTACTTACAAATATAATCTTATTTATTGTCTATGATAAAATTAGACTTTATGTTATACTTTTATTATTTTCATAAACTAAATCATGATTATTATTTTTAATTCAATGCAATTATTATTATAATACCTAAAATATTTATTCTTAACATTAGAATTATATAAATTATGATAAACTTTACATAAATTTATCACTCTAAATTAAGAGTACTTATTAATAATATAAAAATTAAAGATTAGTTCTATATATATTATTATTAAAATTTAATATTCTAAAGATATCGATTATAAATACCAATTTTATTTAATTATAAAGAATAATCTAGTCCTTAATTCAAATTATTGACTAATTTATTATTTTAGAATAATGACTTAAACAATAATCAGATTCAATCAATAAAAATATTTAGAATCATTTTTATTAAGTTTTTATTGAAGTTCAAATAAAAAATATCTATATTTTAATTATTCAAAAATAGATGAATGTGTAACTAAACATAAAATATAATTCTAATGAATTTAATAATTTTTTGCTCAGAGGTTTCGTTTAAAATAATCAATTGAAGGAATTAGAATACCATTTATGACTAATATTGAAATTATATATCAATATAAACATCATATGATTATGAGCATGACAGTGAACTTTTATTTAAAAAATTGATTTTATTATACCCTTATAAATCATACATTAATTTTTAAACATATCTATCAAGATTCAAAAATTTATTAAAAAATATAAATGAATGTATTTTTATAATTTAATATTAAAAGCAGAAATAAGATAATAGACAATATTTAGATATAGAATTATGAATAATTCCAAGCTATTTATTTTCTGTTATATTTTTGTAATGTATTTATACTATTAATAAATCTCAGTTATAAAACAAAAGATAATTAATGAATTAAATAAGTTAAAGATGGTATATATTATTTATTTAATATATCTTAAATTCACAAGATGAGAATTCAGATTGATTAAAATTGCTTCAAATACTCTAATCCTTTTTGTTTATACTATTCATGATTTACTTCAATATACTTAAAGCCAATACTCTCTAAAAGTTATTTCTTCTTCATAGTCCATCCATCTAATTTATATTATTATTCTGGCCAAATTTATAAATAGTGTTTTGGTCCATTTATTTCAAAACAATAATCACCAACTTTAAAATCTATTTAATAAGGTATTAAATTTTCTATTTTTGGAATTTCTATTGGATCATATTAATCAGTAAATTTATAATCATTTAATTTTGCTTATTTTTCTAATCTATCGAAATCTAAGATTTTTTTAAATTATTCAATAATATCCAATTCCATTTAACTTTTTGTTATTTATTTCATTTATAAATGATATTTAGCTAAACTTATTTTTGATTCTTAAAGTACTTTAGTAATATCCTAAAGGAGATCTTAATTAATTTGATCTACATGTTTCAATTTCATAAATAAAACATGTAATTAATGTGCATAGAATGGTGATTTAATATAAAGTTCATGTTAATTTTTAATGAAATTATTATAATGTTCTAATACTTTTTAATCATATTAATATTATAACAAAGATGTAGCACATCCAATAATAAATTCATAATTTTTAGATTTATAATATTATGTTGATATAGCTTCTAAAATTGTTGATTTAGGTTCAAATTATAATGTTAATAATGCTTATAGATAACTTAACATATTCTTTTCATTAAAATCTTTAATTTTAAGATGATCTTACAATTAACAAATAAATGTTTAATTATATAATTTATTAATTATTAATCCTGAATAAATTAATATTACTTAATCCATATTTAATTCTTTGTCAACTAATTTATTAATCAAATCAAAATAAAATTATGTATCTTAATAATTTAATCTACTAAATGAGTAAAATATTTCACAAATTTATTAATAATTAAATTTTGTAAAATCAGTGGATTTTTTAATTATATGTAATAATTTGGAAACTTCTTTAAGATCCAATTTACTAGCTTAACTTAAATAAAATAGAATAATAGGAATTTTATTAGGTTCTATTTAATCTATTTTTTTCATTAAGATTGCTAATACCTTTTCCCATACATCTGATAATTATTTATATTAATCATTATTATTTTATTATACTGACATATAAAATTATTATGTTAATCTTTTACTAAGTATTCCTAAACTAGGTATAAATTTAACAATAAAATCTACCCATTTTAATTAATTTAATACTTAACCATAAGCAAAATATTCTAAATATGTTGCTAATTTTGGAGAATAATCTTCTATTCTAATTAAAGATTAAAATGCTATAACTAATGAATCACTTGGATTTAAATGATTTTACATTAATTATCTTATTTTAGATTCAATTAATTATAAAACAGGATCTCTTAATTTTGGATGATCGTGATGATGATGATGATGTTATTTATTATTTGGATTGTGATGTATATCATTATGATTTTAAACATTAGTTGATATTGTTTCAAGAGTTTTTGCGAGAATAAAAAGATTGTTTTCTGATTCAACTAAGACATGTATAACTTTATAATCCTAATCTTATAAATAGAAATTCTTGCTTGTTTTAGTCAAAAAATATGCTAAACTATTAAAATCTATTAATCCTTTCAAAATTTTCTATTTTTAATTTGTTGTAAATTCATTTACTAAACTAATATAAATATTTCCTATTAAATTATGAATTTATGATGGGATTGAGAGTGGTGGAGATTTTGGATATTTTTTAACAAAATTTAATATTGAATTAATATGTTATACTGAAAATTGAGTTTCTAACATATTTTTTTCAGTAAATGATTAATTAATTAGATCCATAAATTATTATTATAATTTCTTTTATTATTTCTTTTAAGCACTTACTATTAAAGGATTTTAAAACAATATTTCTAATGTATCCATTATATGACACATTTATAAAGATAAACTTAGGTATTCTGTATTTAATTCTTAATTATAAAACTATTTTAATTAATGCAATAGACCATAAACTGTAGCCAATATTTCATGAATCAATTTATTATGTCTTACATGTTATAATAGATTTATAAGTTTTGGTAATTAAAGTAATATCTATTAATTATATATTTAAGAGTCACTATTTTATAAATTTATAGCCATCTATTCAAATAATATCTAAACATCTTTTATTTTATATTTTTAATTGAGTTTATTATAAATTATTGTCTCTGTAATTGTTATTAAATGTTCATCAGATAACTTTTAATAATTTTACATCACCACATCAAGAATTGTTTAATTCAATTATCTATTTTCTATTCTATTTATTGACAATGTTAATAATAATCCTTTTAAATATTCTAAATTGCTCTCTACTTAAACTAATTCAGTTGATCTTTATAATACTAATTTCAATAAATCTAAAGGTATTATTTAATTAGTTTTATATGATGTATCAATTACACCTATTAAAGTGTTCAAATTTTAAACCTGATTGATATTTTCTTTTAATTCTAAATGTAATTGCGATTTTACAGAAGCTGACAAAAATTAATTGATAAATGTCTTTTCATGAAATCCATATTTTACCACAAATCGCAGCATTAAATTTAATAATTTATGAATTACAAAAATAAAATGTTTAAAGTGCATCAATACCCATTAATACAAATTACAATCGATTTAGGATAAAATAAATCAGATTAATTAATTCTATATAGACATACAGATCCTTATTAAGAAGCATCTGCTTTTGTTTAAAGAAATAATCTATAGCCTAAAATGATATAAACAATCTCTAATAGCATAATTAAATAAATGAAAGCATATGATGAAATGATGATAATCACGTATGTAACTTATTCAATTATTTAAGGACACACAATAAGAAACTAATTATTTAAGGAATTTAAAATAAAATCATCTAGAATTATAACAAAAATTAAAATCTCCAAGTCCTAATAAATTGAAATCAAGTACATAAAACTTAAAGATGTCAAAATCAACTTCTAAACCTTAAGTTCATGATGATCTACCAACTGATAAAGTTGTAATAAAGAAACTTTTTAAACTTTTAGATGGAGATTAAGATGGATTGATATCAATCTAAAGAATCAATTTCTACAATATTCCTATTTAAATATAAAATAAAGTATATTTATAATTAGATATATATAAGGTTTAAAATAAAATTGAGAATTCATCAATACCATTAGAATTTGAAGATTTTTACTTAAAATTGAAAGAAGATCCTTAAGATGAATATTATTAAACTTTGAAATTAGTTAGTTAGATATTTAGCATACCTAGAATTAAAGTGTTAATATGATTTATATAAATAAATAAATTAGAAAAACAATATATGAAATTGTTTAAAATATTTATAATTTAATTATCTTATTAGAGATCTTAGAAATATATAATTTTCAAATAACAATAATAGTTTTTCATTTAATAAAAATGAATAATTTTAATAGGTCAATTTTAATAGATGATGTAATAAAATCTAAAAAAATTAACAGTTTTTGTTTGATAAATTATAATTTTGAGACAATAAAAAATGAGAATCTTATATATAATATATATATCATCTACCAGAATAATATTTTACTATAATTTTATGTAATAAGAATAATAAATATTAGTGCAATTGTTATCAGCATCTGATAGGATACCTGAACTGATTTGTAAATATCTATAAGAAGTCCCTTTTCTTAGATAATTTGATTAGACTTAAGGTCAAGGCTTTATGAAAAAATTAGCAGCTTTAGTCTAATTTAAGATTTATCAATAAGATGAGATTATATTAGAATAAGGCAGACCTGTTAATTCATTATACTTATTTATGTATGGATTAATAGGAAAACATCAAACAAAAAGAGATAAAAATTATGAGATTGTATAAGAGAAAAATGCAATCGGTGAAATTTATTTTCTTACTCGTTAAGCATGCAAATATTGGTTTTCAGCTTTAAAACCATCATTAATATGTTATGTAACAAAAGACAATTTCTATAAAATTGTAAAAAAGAAAAATATCACTATGTCTTTATTAAATGAATTACTATAATATCCATTTTTCTCATAATTGTCAATAAGGTATAAGAATTTAATAGAGTAGTTTCATTGAATAAATATGCTAAAAGAGTCAAACTGTCAATTATATCAATCATTAAATTGTATTTGATATAGATTAAGAAGCTAATAGTTGGTACATAGTTTTGTAAGGAGAATTCCAAATTTTGTTCTAACATTAGAAAAAATTCTATCCTCTCATATTATTGTCCTAAGGAGATTATTTTGGAGAAATAGAAATTGTTTAGAAATCTATGCGTTAATATAGAATATAATGTATTAGCAATGAAGCTACTTTATTGGAAATAAATAAATTATCATTTTCATAATTAATGATATATGATTCATAATTTAAGATTATGATCAATCAAAATATATAGAATAGGATTAATTCTTATGATGAAATCATCAAATAAAATATTCTTACTTTAAGTATTCCATTATCAAGTAGAAGAAGTAGATCCAAAATGCATCTTAAATCTATACATTTAAAAATAAAAAGTACAGATACATCAATTGAACCTAATGTTTAAGAATTTTAGAGTGAGAGAGAGAAAGCATTATTAAATTTAATGGAATCTAAAATTGTTAAGAAAGAGAGTAAAAAAACCTTATATTAAAGATTGAGAGAATAAAATCCAAGATTGCTTTAATTTCTAGAAAAAATGGAGGAAATTAAGTAATCTTAATAAAAATAATAAACCTCTAAAAAATTTGAATTAATCAAACAGTTACCTTCTATTTAATCAAATCCTCTTGTTGATTCTATTCAATCTTATTCTCATACTCCTCTGTTTTCTTTTAAAGGAGATTCTCCAATAAGAATAAGATAATTAACTAAAAGCAGAAATCAAAATAGTAACTCTTCTGTACATACCTTACAATAAACTTAAGAGATTTTAACCAACATGGGATAAGGAAAATATTTTAAATTGTTATTCCATAAAAAAGAAACTTGAAAATTATATGAATAAATATCTATATATCAAATTAATGACTCATATGTTTAAGTTCTAGGTCCTTGACTTGTTTTAAGTTCTATTTAAATAAAAAATGACATACTTCTAGAGGAAGATTAACTTGTATAATTTCTTTTAACTTATTCTTGAACTGCTAATAAGTTGAAATCATCATTTGTTCCTAAAATTTTATATGATAATACTTGTTCTTCTTTATAAATTGTCTCTATATTTTTTAACCCTTTCAATATCATTCACCCAAGTTTTCTTAGAGTATGCAGAACTTGCTGATTATAAACGCTTTAGAATGGTTTGATTCTCTGTACTTATCTTAACTTGTTCCCTTCTTCTTAATGCTTCTAATGAACCATGTGTTGGAGTTTACTTCAATGTATTATTTCTTTATTGGATTTCCATCATTTTTCTTAACAATTTACTGTTTTTCTCCATGATTTCTTAATCATTTGCTAAACAAAATGTTCAAAGAACTTACTGTTAGTATATTTATTGACTAATCTTGATATTGAATGCCCTGGTTTCCATGGTTAAGTATTGTTTACAAGAGGCTTAGAATTTTGGATATTATTCAAATGCATAAGTTGCTCCTTAACATAATGAATGGTAGTCTAATACTTAAGCTATTTTTTTCTTGAAACATATAGGATTAGAGTAAATGAGGTTCCACATTATAAATAAATTAAATGACTGAAGTAGAAAAACAAAAATTTCGAAATGACTCAGAGTTTTATGAAATTGTGCGAACTTTTCATGAATTAGTGACAGAGATCAATAAAAGTTAGTAATCATTATATTAGGTTTTCATAAAGGAAAAAAGTAATATCATAAAAAGAATAATCATCATATGAAATAAGGCTAAATTCAGAAAAAATCGAAACATATTTAAAAAAAACCAATCAAATTGGAATTTGGAAGAAATCAATATCACTTGAAAATAGCATATAATATTTATTATTTGAATTCTACATCAGAAAACTCCCTAATCTCAATGGACAAATGGAATCCTCTTCAACAATCTATGAAAATAGTTAAACAACCCGAGGACATAGATTCTAATAAAAAGTATGTTTAAATAGTAGAACAATAATTAGAAAAAAAAGAAGCAACTTGAAATTAATATTTATATTATCTAATAAACAGAAACTTAGCAAAATATATAATGGCAGATATAAATATTGTGATTATTTATACATAAATCTTTAAAACTTTCTATGAATCTATTAATTACATTTATATTACTATTTTAATTATCAATTCTATTTTATCTCATTTCTTTGTTACAATTAATTTAGATGAATAATTTATATGAATAAATATATTATCCAGATACATTCTCTGTTCATTATTACTTTATATATGATATTATAATTAATTAATTGAGTTATATTTTAATCATTTTTATTGCGTATCTTTTTATTTCTTTTAAGTATTTATTGATTAATTGAAAACATTAAATATTATATATTAATAGATTAATGAATATTAATTACATTAAATTAAATTAATAAGTTTAAGTATCTAAAAGGGTCTATTAGGTTAAATTTTTATAATTATTAAATATGAATTAAAATTGAATAATAATTCAAATATTCCTAAAAATACAATCTTATTCTATTTAAAAATAATCTAAAATAAGTTAAATAGAATTTTTATAATAGTTTGATAATAATAAGAAAGAGATTAGAAAAGAAATCTCAAAATTTTATTATTATTTACTTATAATCTATTCAATCATTTTTAGCATATTTTAATAAAGGGGTGTTTTGACCCTACTTCGAAAATTTCGATGGTTTTATTTAAGGTGATGGCTATAATATACTAGATCTTTTAGTTGGGGTACCAATCGTCTAAGCACTATCAACAGACTCAATTTTCCCTTTAAGTATTGGTGAATCGGCTCCGAAAGCCTTTTACGAATCAATTTGTTTTTGTTATTTAATTTATTTTTACATAACCATTCCTGGTGATTATTTAGGCGATTAGAGAGGAGAGTTTACATTTCTGGTTGCATCGAATTTTGAATATCTAAAATATATTAAAATTTACTCATCATTTATTTTATGCATCATTGATTAAATTTCAATACTTTCATCAATTTCATCGAAATTTTAATCTTAATGTTCTACTTAGATCATTTCTTTAACTATTTCATATAAAAAAGGATGATTAAGACATCTTTCAGCATTGATTCTCTTATTTGGATCTTTCTCAAGCATTTATTTAAGTAAATCTATAGCATATCCAGGAGCATTCTATAACTATTTAATATCAAAATTGACATTGGCTTCTCTATTTTATTTAACAACTGTAGAATAGCTTTTACCATTAAAAGCAGATTTACCAGTAAGCAATAAATAAAATACTAATCCAAGACTATAAATATCACAAACAGAAGAATATTTAGATTTCATATCTTTAATATTGATAACTTCTGGTGCAACAAAACCAGGAGTTCCACATCTACAATATAAGTAAACTGGTTCATTTACATAAGTGGCTAATCCAAAATCAGCAATTACAACAGATTCCATCTTTCTATATAATATTTTTAAATATTTACTTTGGTTTCTTGAATAATATGTTTTCTAATTTTAAATCTCTATGCATAATATCTTTTTTATGCATTTCTTAAAGTCCTAAAAGGATGCCCACAATTATCTATTATATTTACTTAGTATTAATTAAAACTTTATCCTTAATTAAATCATATAATGATCCACCTTCTAATAGCTCTAAACCTACATACAAAGAATTATTAGTCTCATAGACTTCATATAATTTCATTAAATGTGTATTATTAAGATTTCTCATTATAGTCAATTCATTTATTATAGCATTTTTTCCATTTTCTTCTCCATATGCAGGTTATTTGGCAAATGCTTTTATTGCCATTAATTAGTTGTCTTCTATTCTCTCTGCTTAATAAACCTAATTAAATATCATTATATACAGATGCAAAGTTTCCTTTCCCAATTTTTTTATAAACTCTGAACATATTATGAAATTACCATTAATTAATTCTTTCTCCAAGAAAGGATCTCCATTCAATAATTTACTAAACTCCTGCATTTAATCTCTATTTAACCATATTTTCAACACAATCTCTCAAAAATTGCAAGCCTATAATAGGACCTAAACTATCGTCATCCTCATCTTTTTTTGGAATAGCTTATCTCAAAATTTCAAATTTGGTATCAAAATCAAGCTTTAAACACTTATTTGGTAATGTGGCTTTCTAAAATAGCTAATAATTAATTACTTTTGATGAAAGTATATATTAATCATAACCATAAAGTACTCTAATCTTTCCATTTTCTTTGGTAAATTCTCCTTAAATATACAATCGTTCATTATTGAATTTAAAACCATTTGGAATAGGCATCCATAATTTTTAATACATCAAAATTTTGAATATTAATGAATAAAGTATCTAAATATATATCACGATTTAAACTTGGTAAATACAAATACTAATAAAAATCAAAAACTTATAGAATCTAATTTCATTTAATAAACAATTCTTTCTGGAAGAATTTAAAAAATCTATATATATATTGATTTGACAAATTAAAAATTAAAAAATTTAAAAAATTATCAAAAAATAAAACTAATTCAAAACTTTCTAAAAGTTTATTACGACACTTTTAATTGATGAAAAGTTGGAATACTTTTTACATTTAATGATTATTTCATCTAATCCATCTCATTAAAATATTAAGTTTATCTAAATTCTTTGATTATATACTCATCCCTTGTAGTCTCTTAAACTAAATTTTATTGGAAGTGTCCTAAAATTTAACCTATCTCATTAGGCGACTTCCCTTGCAATTATCTGACCAAAAATATATATATTAGACTTTTAGTAAAATCATTAGAATTTCGTACATGCTAACTAAAATTAAATATTTATATAACTTAACAAGGTCAACAAATACAACATTAGGATATTCATCAATTAATTATTCTATACATTAATAATCTTCTAGGACTATTCCACCTAATAAAGGTACAGGCACATTCAATAATTCAATATTTTTTGGAGGTATTGAAGCCACCATCTAATGAATCCATTTCACATGTTTAAGAAATAGCATAAGGATTGCTCCTAATTATTAAACATTTTAGGCTACAAATATCACCGATCTTTCTAAAATAATATTTATTGCAACTAATCCTAGACTAAGAGCATTGTGCAATATTTTTAATTATTTAACATGGTAATCATTATATTCATAATAGGATTATGGTATTTATTTACTTGGAATTTATATAGGGAGAGTTTCAAAAAGAGGACATTTTTGAATGTATTAAATAAATGTCAAATTATTAAACCTCTCTTCTTTGGCACAATCTAATTAATTGAATTCATACTCATAACTTCTATTAAAAAATCAATAAAATATTTCATTAAAGGCAAATATGAAACTATGCAAAGTACTCTTTCACATTTCAAATAACTATTTTTTGATGGACAAACATCTTGTATTGATAAACAAATACAATAAGCTAATTGATTACTATTATACTCTATAATAAATTAAGTTATAACATTATTTTTCAAATGATTCTGAAGTTTTAATTGGTAAAATAAAGCAATTTGGATTATTTTCTGATACAAATCTTTTATAAAGAATTTCATTAATTTCACTTTATGAATCTGATAATTTCTTCTAAACATCTTTTGCTCCATATGGAAATACCAAATCAGGTAATAATTATTCAAGATGACATGCCCCATATTAATAAAGTATATCAGTTTTACCAAGAGAAGAATTTCCAATTAAATAAATGCCTTCATAAAATTTACTAATTAGATGTCTATTTTATTATGAAAATTTCTCCATCTTATTATTAATATTTTGATAACTCTAAATTTTCTTAACTCCTCCACCTTCCTCTGTATCAACATGAACACTAAATGAGTTTTTTGTTGACAATGGTTGTCTATTATAAAAAGATGTTTTGCGTTGACTATTTTATGAATTTGAAATTGATGTACTCACTTTTGTTTCTACTCCTTGAATATTTCTAAATTTATCTTACTTGTATGTGTTCTAGATGCTTTAGACCCAACTAAGTGATCTACATTAGTTTTTTTGGTTAACATATATAAATGAGTAGGATCGTTATTTTACATTAATTTAATTTTGTTAATAAATTATATGATAAAATACTCAAACTAATTGAATAATTATACATTTTAAAAATTTTCATGATCATATATTTTATTTAATACTCTTTTATTTCGTGTTAATTACTTTATAATTATTTATATAAAGCTATGTTAAAATAAAGTAAGATTTAAGAATTTACTATAATGGATAAATATAGATTGTTCAAATTTACTGATATTCCATTACTTTATTTGTAAAGAAATTATAATACAAAATCTGCAACTTAATATGAGACAATATTAATTAAATCAAAATATTTTTTGTCAAGCAAATAGAATTTCTTTTTCACTTTGTAGATTCTAATCTTCAATTTCATTTAATAAATCTTTTATTTGTTTAAATTTTTTTATTTTTCTTTATTTAGGATACTATTACTTATCTTCTTCTTTAGAACATAATTTATTTTTTTTTGAAGGCCTTCTATAATGTATTAATTCAACAACACTAAAATATAAATTTGTTATTTCTTAAGATTAAATCAAATATTTTGATTTTAAATAAGAAATCATAGATAAATTAAAAATCCAATTATCATAAATGTTATATTTTGTATAACATATTAATAAATTTAATTATCTAAGCATAATGCTTGATATAAATTATGCAATCATAAGAACAAATAAAGTTAAAAGTAAATACATAATAATATTCTGCTATGTGATATTCTTTTCTTCGTTATTTATAAATTTGTATTATTATTATTAAATCATTTTGATATTTTTTGAATCCTTGAATAATAATAAAATATAGGGAGTGTTAGCTATTTCTGCTGTTTAAATGATACAATAATCATCTAATTTTGAATTATATCTACATAGAACATTATCTTATTCTAAAATCATATAACAACTATTTGAGAAGTTCTTGTGATTATGATAATTCATAATCTATTGAAAATCAATTTCATTAAAACCAGTATAAATCTCATCAAATATTGAATAAAAGGATTAATTTAACTAATCGTAAAGTCTACTATAAATAACTAAACCTTAACGGTTAATTACCATTAAAGTAGTTTCTGAATCTACAAGTTTAAATGCTGATGATTAATTAAAATCTATGTCTTTGGCAATTACTCCTTCAAATCCATTATTTATATTTAATAAATTAGAAGTCATAGCTATTCTTATTCCTCCTGAAAATATTTCATATGGTTTTCCATAAACAATAAGATAATTATTATTAATAATATTCTATGTATAATTCACATGATACAAGTACCATGGCCTTTAATGAGGTTTAAATCCAGAGTTAAAGTAGAAGCCTTAATTTATAGTATAAAATTATGCTTAATTTGCATGACTAAAATATAAAGCTTATGCATTATCAATTGCATTCCTAAATTATGTAAGTAAGGAAGTTACTGCAAAAACGTAACCTAACTGATCTATATGAGTTTGATTAAACCTATCTCCAAATAGCCCAAAACAATAAGAGGAACTATAGGAATACGAATCATTAGTATTAGGCTTATTCAAACATTATTAGGGTACCATTATTGCAATGCCAGTTTTTTCTGTAAATTTATTGAGTGATTAAACAATTTTAATTTGTTATGAAGCAGACTAGATTAAGTATTGAAGATTATTTTTATGCAACCAAACACTATTCAATTATTGCAGAGTTTATTTTACAAATATTTTTTCAGATGATTCTTCTATTGTTTTCTAAACAATCAATTAACTAATGATAATCGAAGAGGCTAATAGTAGAAATACAAATATTGAACTTACTATTTGTATGATTAGAATTTGATTCTTTATTCTCCAATCTTTATTGATGTACCAAAAATGTTGTTATTTTAATTTATTCAATATCATAAAATTTTATTACTCTGATCTTTCCTAATTAAATTACACTTAGTATATAGTATAAATTAATTTTGATAAATAAAAATACAGTTAAAGATATTTTTAATGAGATAATCCCCATTCTACATCATAAATATAATGATATATAATTAATTAGATAATTATCTATTTAATATGTTAAAATTTATTTAATAGATTTAAATTGATAATTCTTTTCTATTATTGGATATCAAAGAGTTTTGTGATTATTTTTGGAAAAAATGCTTTCCATTTTTAATTCATTAATAAATTTAGATTTTTCAGAAATATAATATATTAATAATTATTTTCAGTTAGTGGTTTCTTGGAATTTATTGAATCTTTTATTGTAAAAACTAATTTATATGTGTAGATGTACTCATATGCTTAATTTTAAATTATGTTATTGTATTTCTAATTCAAAGGAATATCACTATTGTTTTCATCCATCAAATCTTAATATTAAGATTCTTATTATCTATCTGTTTTATTCCAATTAGGAAAAAAAGTAGGTTTTTCTATTTCAATTTGAGAAGGCAGATATTTAATTTTCATTGAACTAAAAGTACCAACATTTGAATTTGATGACGAATTAGATAAATGTCTGAAATCTGTTCTCTATCCAGGTTTTTTATTAGGATCAGGGGGTAATAAAAGATGATGCTAAGAAGACTAGATTTAATTAAATTATACGCAACTTGTGGATGCTATTATTAATCATTGACTGTCCAAATGATTTATTGTGATAATTTTGATGAACTTTTCATTAAGTTTCCTGGAGAAAGTTCTTTAAGTTTATTGAATTCAAAGGATTTTTTAGATTCTAAAGAGCTAAATTTTTTAGTAGATTTCATTAATCCTTCAGTCCAATCATATATTCCATCTAATAGAAATGAATTATTTTCTGCAATTTGATTAAGAAGTTAAAGGATATATTAATAATTAGGTTGATCTAAGAATTTCAAGGATTTCAAATATTAAAGTATTTCAACTAGTTCATGTGGTTAATTAATGCATAATTCATTTAAATCTATATTTTATTTGATTTCTCCAACAGCTTTAGTTCTTTCATTTTCTGAGACTGGTAAATTTTACCATGGTAAACTGCCACGAAGAAAATATAAAATTACATAAAAAAGAGATTCTAAATCATCCTTCCTAGATATCTCATGACCCTAATGAGCAGCAACAGATGCATATCTAGGAGTACCCATAAATGTTTTATCGCTTTTAAAAGGCCTATTACACAAATATAATATAATAATTACATATGTTCTCCTTAAATACAATAAATTTTACTAATGCCAAAATCAACTATATAAATTTCATCATTATCTTTAGACATTAATATATTTTCTGGTTTAAGATCTCTATGAACAATATTTTTGTTGTGAATATTTTTCAGAATATTTACACACTCATATGCAATTTGTATTGTACATTTTAAACTGAATTTCTTTTGTTATCTGAAAAAATATGATAAATCTCTTCCTAACAATTATATCACCATAATATTGAATTCATTTTCATTTCCATACCAAATCAATTTAGGAGTACCTTCAGCATCATTTAATTATTTCAATATTTCTACTTCTCTTTCTAAAGATCTCATTTCTTCATTATCTTCTTTCTCCAATTTTAATGCTGCATCTTAATTTGTTTATTTATCAAACACTAAAAAGACTACACCAAATGCTCCAGATGAAATCTTCTTTTTAACAACAAATCTATTCATAAATACTCTTTGCTAACTACTTTGACTCATAAAGAAAATATTATTTATAAATTTTGGATTTTAATATAAAATTCTTGCCAATCAATAATAATATGGGTATCCTCCATAATATGCTGGTCTTACTGTAGAATAAGTTAAAGGAGTGGTATATGATGCTACAGGTTAGGTGACAACTTATTGAACTGGTTGTACAACTGAATAACTTAAAGGAGCAGGAGCATATTGAACAGGGGCAGCAGGCTAAACATTTCACTAATACTTCTTACAACTCTTTAAACTTATCTCTCCACTGCTTCATATTCAACTCTTGGAACTGTTTTTTATACAGGTACATATTCTGTTTATGTTTCATAGACTGTTCTTGGAATATAATCTGTTTAATATTCTACTGGGTAATAATCTGTAACATATTTTGTCACAGGCTTTTTAACCTCAATAGTCTCAGTCTCATACTCAACAACTGGTCTTTAATACTCTCTATATTCAACTCTGGATTCTCCCTTGATTGTTGGTTGAGCAGCAACAACTGGTTGCACAACAGATTAAACTACTGGTTAGACAACTGATTAAGTGACAACTGGAGCAGGAGCTGTATAAATAGGGGCTGGAGATGTATAAATTGGAGTTGTTGCAACTGGTCTAACAATTGATGCTTAAGGATAAGCAAGAGGTGCTGCAAAGGATGCTGCAAGTGGTTATGTGTATGATGGGTAGAATCCTGGATAGAAGGACATTTGGAATAAATTTATTTATATGCATTTAATTTTAGGATTTATTTCCTTTAATAAATGTTCTAGAATACTCAATTTAATAATTCTACACTGTCTAAAGTAATATTTCCTAATTTGCCTATCCTGAATCCATTTAATATAAAATCAATTGTAGTCTCATAATTATAATGATTATATCTTTCTCTTACAGCCAACATATATTAACCACCTGTTTTAGGTCTTTCATTTAGACCATAAATTTTATAATACTTTTCCATCTATTATTAATTCATCTCTCTTACTAAATAGTCTAACATTCTTTCTTTGGTAACAACTTTATCTTTAATACATCCAACCAACTATTCAAAGATTATTTGTTATGTTTTACTCCTAATTTAAGACCTTGTTCTTCTTCTGTAATATTTGGGATCATTACACCAGGAGAATCAACCAAATATGCTAAAGGTTCATCACATATTTTAATTCCTGCTACATTTTTAGTAGTACAAGGGCTTGCTGTAGATTTTGCTATAGCTTTTCTTTTATTTAATTTTGGAGTTGTTTATCTTAATTAATTAATTATTGTAGATTTTCCAACATTAGGCATTCCACAAATCATTAACCACATACCTACAGTTGCAAATTTAGCTGATTTATATGTATTAGTCATCATAATCAATTCTCTTAAATTCAATCTCTCCCTTGCAGATGTAGCTATACATTAAATTCCCACTCTTTTATATTTCTCTATTATTTTATTAGTAATATCTTAATTGCATAAATCAAATTTATTAAATATGATAATCTTCTCTTTATTATGAGCTTACATTAAATTATCAAAATGATAATTTTTTGATGAAAAAGGTACCCGAGCATCTCTCAATTCTAAAAATAATTATACATCTTATATTCTCTTTTCTAAATGTTCCATAGCTCTTTTCATATGTCCAGGATACCATGAGATCTTATCTGAATTATTCATTTTATTTATGGTGTATATATTTAAAATAAACTATTGTTTTTTTAGTTTTATATAATTAAATAATATGTTAATATATTTATTACATTATTAAAATAAATAAATGAACAAGATTAAATCATTTTTTTCTATATAAACATAATCTTTTATAATGAAATTTGTTATAATAAAAAAATATCTTAAACTTAAAAACTTTATATATTTTTTTTTATTTGCTTTATTTTAGATAAAATTAAATAATTTATATTAATGAGTTAGTCAATGTCACAAAGTTTCCTTGTTAAACATTATTGTCGAAATCACCCTACAGAGTAATTGACAAGCTTTTGTTCAACAGTAGATTGCTTAAAACCTTTATGTAAAGAATGTATTGAATCACATACTTAATATCATAATTAAATATCTTCAACTGCTAACATTGAAAGCTTAGCAAATGTTAAATTGTTTTGCTAAAAAAAAATACAATCAGGAATAATTGAGATATAAAAAATATAATCAATTGTAAACTAATATGGTTAAACTGAATACGAAGATCAGACAATTAAAGATATCAAAAAGGCAAAAGAAAATGTAATAAATCTAGTTAATTAATACTTTACATTACTAGAGGATCAATATAAACAATATATAGAATCTTAAACTAATTCTTAATAAATATTTATTTAGTAATAAGAAAATGTTTAAAATTTTATTAATGAATTAGAGGGTTTATATGTTGGATTGGAGAGTTCAAATTAAATAAATGTAATCTAGATTGTTTGCACTTTGGATATAAAAAAAAATTAACTTAAATTTAGGAAGGTAATGAAAAATTTATAAAATTTATAACAAAATAATCCATCCATGATTTAACTAAGTTAAGTTAATTTATAACATATTCAATAAGCATTATCTAATTATGTATAAATTGAATTTGTTCCTTTATAAGAGAATTTGTTACTCAATACAAGTTAAATATCTTCAGTTTATTAAGAAACCTATCTTTAATAAAATGAATTTTTTAAAAATAAGTATAAATTATTACACTTTTTTGAGACAGGTAAATCAATACTTTGGTTATATGACTTAAGTTTACCTAATTAATTATGGAGACCTGTTTAAATTTCAAATTATATTGAAGTATTACCATTTTCAAAATCGTTAATAACTCCAGATGGATAGATTTATTTAACTGGTGGATCATTACCAAATAAGAAGAAGAGTAATAAAATTTATTAATTCAATTTTTAAAATTATCAATTATAAGAAATTGGATAAATGAATAATGGTAGAAGTTCACATGGTTTAATTTGGAAATAAAATGAACTTTTTATTATTGGTGGATATTTAGATAATTTATAAATAACAAATTAATGTGAGGCATTTGATTGTATAAATAAAAGAATAATAAAATTACCAAATTTAAGTAATGCTTTAGGATCACCTAGTGTTAGTATTTTTAATGATATTGTTACAGTTGCTGGTGGAATAAGTAATAAGTTATATTTATATTAGTGCAAAATATGTCTATTAATTAATAAATAGAATTTTTATAGAAAGACAATTGGGTATCTTGTATTATAACATCATAATTGACAACAATGGCTTCAATGATGTGTTCAATTTAAATAGAATAAAATTAATTAATGCTATTTGGTGGATATTCAGAAAATAATAAAGGATCAAAAGAATGTACTATTCTAGAGATAAATGATAAGACAGCTAAAGTAATTTAAACTAAATAACTGCCTTAAGCTGAAGGATTTTGGAATAATATACCAATTATTTATTAAGGAAGGATCTTGGCTTTATAGAATGTAGTGTTAGATAATTAAGGTAATTGTGCTCATGATCAAAGAAGAATTTTAATTTATGATGGGACATTTTGGAAGTATAATGATTTAAAATGATATCATATATTATATTCAATTTTAGTTTAAGCTCTTATTGGTTATCTTCCTCTATGACCTAATCCAGAGCCTTGAGTTCTTTTTAGTAATGTTTAGGTTTAAGCTAGCATTTAATTTTTGCTCATAGGGAAATGATTTGAAAAAGTCTTACAGAATGAAGAAGCAGATTTAAATCCATTAATTGCAGTTTCTGCTAATTTTTTAGTATTATTTCCATAATAATTAGATTATCTCAAAACACAATTATCCAAATTTTATGCACTTTTTGTAATTTATTTAATTTCTAGCGAATTATTTGGTTTAACGATAGGTGTAAAATTAAAATAATTTTATGCTTCACTTTTTTTAGGAGTCAGAAATAATGATTTGGTTGACATTGCTTTCTAATTGACTCTTTTTAAAGGACTTTAATTTGGAAATTATCTTGTTGTTGATCTTACTTCCATAGATTCTCTTCTATCTCTTTCATTATAACATCTAACATATTAAGTACTTGCAGGTCTTTATTATCTCCTTCTGTTTAATTCAAAATCGAATTATTATAATTGCTGCATAAATCCTGGATTAGGATTGATTTAAGGTCTCCTACTAATGAGAAATGTAAGTGCAGCTTAAAGTGAGTAATTATATATTTGCATTAAATAGGCTATTACCAATGTAGCACTTCTACTAACTCCAACAAAGCAATGGACTAAAACGTTCTTTGTTTTTCGTTATTCATCAATAAAATGTATAGCTTCTTCAAAATGTCTTCTTATAGGATCATATGCAGTATCATGTAGCATAATCAACTAAAGATGATGAACATAACTACTTTTTATTCACAATCAAATTTAAGATTAGACAATTCTGTCCCCACAGTTAATACTGCTCCAATCTAGTTTTATTGCATTAATTATGGATTCAAAGCAGCCTCAATTCCACTTAAAAATAATGCTCCATAGTTTTCAATCTTTCCTAAAATTAAATCCATCTGTCCTGATGGGAATGGGGGTCTAGGTTATAACATATTTCTCAAATAAAATTAAATATTAATATTAAAATTCATAGCAAAACAAAACAGAACTTTTCATTAAAATTATTTAGTAATTTAAATGCACTAATTATTCATATTCATGATTTTAATAAAATTCGTTAACTAAAATATATAAAAATACTATAATATATTAATATTGAACATAAATTCCAAAATTAAAAATAAAACTGTGGTTTAAATAATTGATATTTTTTATTAATGTATATATAATTAATGTTCCATCAAATCATTCTCTTGACAAGATCATTGATAAGATCTTCTCTATTTCCCCAATCTCCTTAATTGATGAATGATTTTCTCTTTGCAATAAAGCCACCTCTTGGTCCTCTCAATTTGAATGCCCTATAAAAATTTAATAAATTAATTTATTACCACAAGAATCTGTTTGCTTCCTTGAAGTTAGGTCCTACTGTAACAATCTCATGAATAAGATCTTCAATGCTGTGAATACCAACTTTTCCTAATTATTATTCAATCACATTATTGTTTGTGATTGGAATTCTTTAACCATTAATTTTGGCATATCCTCTCTTATAAATAAGATTCTTAATGACAGCTCTTGATGGATATCCATAGGTTACATATGGCTCAACTTTTCTGATCATTTCAATTGTAGCCTTGTTGACTCTAACAAAGGCTGCATTGTGAAGTTATCTCAATTTCAAAAGTCTTAAAGTTTATCTGACTTGTGGATTCAAGGTGTTGATACTATAATATATATCATAATTATATACCCTCTAATTCTTACCACCAAGATTAATTTAGATTCTGCTGGTACATAGAATCCACCTTCACTTTTTGCCTTACGTATGTTATCAATTAGGCTCTTATCTGCAGCTTTGTATTCATTTTCATAAGCTTAAGCATTCTTTTCCCATTAAGCTCTTCTTGTTTTGTTTGCTGCTAATCTCTCTGTTCTTCTCTTAGCAACAGCTTCTCTCAATTTGGTATCTCTTGCAGTCTTCTTAACAATGTTTTCTGGAACCTTTTATCTACACCATCTAATCCAAAAACTTACTCAACTTGCATTTGTGGCTTCTTTTGAGACATTTTAAAGCAAAATAAAATCTTAAATTTTAAAATCAAATCAACTAAAACTTCTTATTCATATTCAATCCCCTATTTCTAATATAAAATACAATTTTGAATTCTCTCAGAATTATCTCTCTTTTATGTTAGCTTAACAAATCAATATTTGAATCATTTAAAATAATTGTTGATAGTCTATTTTAGAATAGAAAATTGATTCATTTTGAATTTCCTTTATAAAATTTAATTTTATTCCTAAAGTATTAAAATTGATCAATATTTCTATATCTAATGAAGATATTCATTAGATATTATAATCTACAATAAAAATAAAATTTAACTTAATATTATAAAGAATATTTTATGCTTTACACTCTCTTATAACTCAATCTTATGAAATAATAAAAATTATCATCTTGTGTATATGATGATTCCATTGTTTTTCTCATGTTTTAAACAAAAATTAAATCACTAATCTTAAACTATTTTTATGATTCTTTAATGTATTTCAATTATTTGTCTATATAAAAATAAATATCAGAGAAGCAGAATTCCATTCAGTTATTCATGATTTTCATAAAATTATCATCATTATTCCTTATTTAGATAGTGTTTCCTTATTTATTTATCAATCAAATAAATATTAATTATGGGAATCAAAATTTCTATATTTTTATCTGCAATAATAGGACTATTATGTGCATTTAAGATATTTTCATACTTGAGTGTACCATCTTATTAATCAATCATACACATAAATAGAGATCATGATATAAAAATTTATAGAGATAAATTTGGTGTACCACACATTTAAGCTCACTCATTATCGGATGCTCTATATGCCTAAGGATTTGTTTAAGCTTAAGATAGATTATGGTAATTACACATTAGAAAAATGGCATCTTAAGGCAGATTATCTGAAATATTTGGAGAACGTACTTTGAAAGTTGATTAATATTTTAGAAGTTTAGATTATTTGGATTCAGCAAGAAGAATTGTTAATTAATTGAGTATTGAAGGTTAATAGTTATTTTAAGCCTTTATTGATGGAATTAATTAAGGAAGAAATTCTTTTACACTTTTACCAATAGAATTCTAATTGACTCGTTCAAATTTTATTGAATGGGAAATATATGATATGATATGTTTTATTAAATTTATGGCTTTAACAACTATGAATGATTTTCATTTTGAAATGATGAGATCTTCTATTAAAGAATTTGATTTAGAAACAATTAAATATTTAACTGGTATAGGACCAGATAATTTATTTGATATTGAAACTACTACAATAAATTAATAGGAATTGAAAGAATAAACTCATTTATATAGTGATGAATTTTACAATATAAAATCACCATCAAATATTTAAGTTGCTGATCTTATGCAATCCTATAAATTTTTAATTGATAATGTTATACCTTTAAGTGTTGGAAGTAATAGTTGGGCAGTACATGGAAATTTTACTAATACAGGTTATCCATTTTTAGCATCAGATCCACACTTAGAAAATGGATTGCCATCTTAATGGTATTAAAGTACAACAACTTTCCCTAATGGAGAATTTATAGCTGGAGGAGCTGTTGTAGGTTTACCTTATATATTATCAGGCAGAACAAAGAGTTTAGCATGGGGAATCACTATTTCATATGCTGATGTTAGTGATTTATATGAAGAATAATTAAAAGAAATTGATGGGAAAATGCATTATTTATTCTAAGAAAAATGGTATCCCACCAAAGAGAAAGTTGAACTCATCCGTTATGATGATAAGATATATGAAATGAAAATTCATAGAACACATCATGGACCTATCTTAAATTTCTACTTTGATGATAGAGGAACAAAAACTATCAAATAATTAGAAAAGACCTATTCTTTAAGATCATTAATAGATATTGATGATAATTATGGACCAGAGTATTTTCAATAAATTATAATATTAGAGCTATGATACGTTTTATATAAGGAACAGATCTGAGTGAATAATTAAAGCTTCTTAAAAAGGTTGTGTATCCTGGTTTAGGAATGATTTTTGCTTCATAAAAAGATATAGCTTATATGATTGTTGGAAAATAAGTGATAAAATCAGGACATCCTGATGATTATGGTTTTATAAAAAAAGGATGGAATGGAGAAACAGAATGGCTAGGTTTCATTCCTGAAAATGAACATCCAATTATAATAAATCCTCCTAAAGGATTTGTTGCTACTGCTAACAATAGATTTTTCCCTAAAAATGAAAAATATCATACTAATTGGAATATCAATCCTACTGGTAGAGCTCATAGGATTTATTAAGTTTTATCTGAAATTGTACCAAATAAGGTTAATTATGAATAAATGAAATAATTACAATTAGATACAGTTGATAGTTATGCAAAATAAAGTTGGATATATTTTAAAAAATTTATACAATCTGAATATTTTAAAGAATAAATGGACTCTTGGGATTTCAATTTAACTATATAATCAAAATAAGCTACTCTTTATATGTTATTTGAACATTATTATTCTTAAAGTTTTAAAAATTTACCTCCTAGATGGTCATAAACATATAATTTTGATTCTTTCTTTTTCTTAGAATTAACAAGATTTAAAGAAAATGGAAAATGGTGTCTTCCTTATACTTGTTCTTAACTTTTAAATTAGGCAGTTGATAAAGCTGTTGAACATTTCAAATAATTACCAAAATAAGAATGGGGAAACAATCATAAAAAATTTTAAGGACATTTTACCTTTAAAGATAAATTTTTAGGTATTTTTGATAGAGAAATACCATTTGGTGGAAATCGAAGGTTATTTTATATATTAATATTTTAGAACCCCATCTGTATCTACATTAGATATATCTTCAGTACCATTTAGAGGTTTAGCTGGTGCAAATTATAGAATGCTTGTATCAATGGCACCTGGTGATGTTGGATAATTTATTGTAGATGGTGGTGTAAGTGGAAATCCTTTGTCAGAACATTATGATAATCAATTATCATTATATGCAGAAGGGAAATATATATCAATGTATCAAAAATAATTTGAAAAATTAACCTTGCTCAAGAAAGTTGAATAAAGTGAAGATCTATGAAATTTATTTGTAAAAAAATATAATTAAATATTCATAAAGAACTTTTATTGAATATTTTTATCTATTTTTGTCATAAAATAAATTATTATTTATGCTCTAATCTATAATTCGCTTTTCTTTTAGTAAATTTGTTCCATCAAAAGTTACATGTTGGAATTGTAAATCAAATGAGTTTATAAACAGATTTATTTGTGGTTAGTGCAAATATTTAAAAGAGCCTTCTCTTTAATTAGGAGATGTTAATTACTTTTAGCTTTTTGATTTACCAATTCAAATTAATATAGAAACCAAATATTTAGAAGACAAATATAGATCATTACAATTAAAATTTCATCCTGATCGATTTGTGACTATGCCTTAAATCAATATTTCATATAGTTAAGAATATTCTGCCTTTATCAATGAAGCTTACTCTGTATTGAAAAATATTCATGAGAGAGCAGAATACATTGTATATACATTAAATATAATTTAGTTGTCTTTAAAGGGATTTTAAATTAAAGAGTGTAGTGTATTATTAGATCTAGAGTTTATGGAAGAAATTTTAGAATTATAATCTTAAGTGCAAAGATAACAAAATATATCTGAAATTAATAAAAAGAATAATTTAGAAATTGAAAGAATGACATAATAAATAATTTAAGATATCTCAAATGAGCAATATGAAAAAGCCTACTAAATCATACTTTATTTAAAATATAGATAAAGATTAAGGGATTAGATTTCAATACATATCTGAAATTTATGCTCGTTTATAAAATCAATATGATAATTGTAATTCTCTAAATTTATGATTAATTTTTACTTAAATTAAGTTATTTTTTTTAATTATTAAGAAAACTTAAGAATTACTCATAAATATTAAGTTTTATGATTAATAAATATTATTATTATCATTTTTATATTAAATTCAGAAAATTCTTAGTTATTATTTTATTCATCTTAACTAACCATCTTACATTTCAAAAATTAAATCAATTTTTCTACAAATTCTTATTATTTAAAAATTAATACTAATATTATTTATTCGTTATTTTCATCTCAATTAAAATTTCTTAAAAATAATTGTACATTTCTAATGAAAAATTAGAATAAAATTATTATCCTCTTTTAATACTGAAAATAAAACAGTTCATTATTAATTAACTTATCATTAATAATAAATCATTAAGAGATTGATTATAGTTTACTTTGTAATGGCTAAGTAATATTAATAAAAATAATTATTATGAAAAAAATATTTCCTTCAAACACTTAAAATGGGATATTAATTGTAGATCCTGATCAAACTACTGTTCAAAGACTCCATTAATCCCAAACTTCTAAAGCAAATTTCTCTGTAGTCCCTAGTGAACCTGGATAATCATTATACGAGATTATTGAGAAGAACAAACTACAATATATAGAATATTATGGCTTATATACAGAATTAAGGCTAATGGAAAATATGGCAGGTTTTTATTTATAAATAAATGATAGGTTTGAAATCGATGCCCGAAAAACTAAAATTACTTGAAAACTTTTTTAATATGTTTGAGGAAATGATGTAATGCTTAAATACTATTCTAAATAACCTAATCTTGATTAACTTTACTTCTTAAGATTTTAAACAGATATACAATACTACTCCAGAAAATGTTGCTAATACTCTTTTTAAGGATATTAAGGTATGAACAAATATAATTCAAGACTCTTGAAGGTCTTCATTTAGAACTATAATATTAATCATCACTAAGATATTTGGAGACCGTACTTGAGGCACTTGATTTTAATCCAGATCAATCAAAAAAGTTATATTAATTGGATGTAAAACAATGGTCATCCTAATGTTATGCTCACTTAAACCAACATATCACTACCCGTAGTATGAAAGTTCGAGATAAAACGATGTGTTGTTGCAAAGTATGAATTATTAGCTATATTCATATCTCTTTATTTAAAGTGAATGACTTCACTTTTAAATTGTAACATCATAAACTTAAATAAATATTATCATTAAGTGTTTTAATAAATTCCTAATCTCTATTCTCAAATTCTAATCTTAACATTTTTTATTTAATATAAGATAGGGTTCAAATTGAAAAAATATTCTTAATTTCTTTATAGCTTAAATGAATAAACTAAATTACAGAGTAGGGATTTTAAGAATATTTTGTGAAAATCAAAATTATTAAATAAACACTAAAATTTATATTAGGTTTATAGTTATCAAAATCTTATGCATAAGAACCTTTACATTTAAATTAAGAAGCAATAAATTTATTGATTATTTCAGATTCTTTGATTATAAATCAAGTGCAGATTCAATAGAAAGTCAACATTTGAATTTATACTTGATAACAAATTTATCTCATAATGTTAATGATATTCTAATATTTTTAATATTATTTATATTATCTAATCTATTGATGAAGAAGAATAAATAAAAATTTTATATTATTTTTAGAAATCTTATTGATGTATAAATTTTGTCTAAATTATTGGTATTCTATATATTTATGATTTTTGTTTTGTTTTGTAAATATAAAATAATAATACATTATTTTCAGTTTATTCTCTTCTTTTATTTTTAAGGTATAAGTAAAAAATGAAGCTTTAACATTATTTAATTTAACATGAACGATTTATTCAAAGAGATTGATGACACTAATTCAGATACTTCTATTATAGATTTCAATTTTGAGTCTGATGATGAAGAAATTATAGATAAAAATGATTAACCTATTTAAGTTATTTAAGATCAAGTAGAAATTGTTAATCAAGAAGAATAAATCATTTTAGAGAAAGGTTCATCAATTTAAGGTTAATAAAATTGCTAAGAACAAAATACCTTTGAGTAATAAGGAGAATAAAATGTGATTTCTTTACCAGTATAACATGATCATTTAAAGCCAAAACTAATAAAATACAAAAAACATAGAGAATGTAATTTACAATAAGGTTATCAAATTTTAAAGACATTTGGATATTTTGCTCATACTTCATACAAAAATGTATAATAGAAGAAAGAACAAGCATTTTAAAAAATTACAAATTATATAATTTCAGGGGTTGAAAAGATAAAAAGATTATGATTTATTGTATATACTTAATGAATTCATTATTAATTTGGATCCATCTATATTCCTAAGTATAAATGCTTATCATTAGTTCTTAGTTATCTATGAAATAATTGAAAATCATCCTTATAATTATATTTAAACAAAATACTTTAGCACTGGCCCCTTCCCTTAAAACTTAAAATAGAATTAAGCCTGGTTCCTAGTAGTTCCCCTTATCTATAAAGTTAGGTCTTCTATGATCAACAAAATTATGATTTAAATCTGCAGTTGGAAAATATTTAATCCATTATTTGGTTTATTTATGAGTGCCCATACAATCATCAATATAATCTTATTGTTTTTGTTCTTCTTTCATTTGTTTCTTCTCATCTTCTTCTATAGCAAATTATGGTCTTTAATCATGCTCAGACATCATATGTGGATTAGTTAATGGGTCAGGTTTAATTCTTGTCTATATTTATGAATTAAACTACTTTAAATAAGGCTTTCTTCTTATCTAATACTTCATCTCTAAATTTATGAGTTGAGGGAGGATTATAGAAATCTTATAATTTCTCTTTTTCTCTCTATTTTAAATTAGCCAATTTATTTTTTAATGTTTGAACATCTTCAGGTTTAAAGGTAGCATAAAATATAGGCTTATCTGGATCTTAATCTTCATTATGTTATTTTTTGGTTTATTTTGGTTGAAAATACTTTTAATCAGATGTTTAAAAGCCTGTTTCAGATAATCCATGATAAGGTTTCTTCAATAAAACAGGTTATGAAAGATATTTAGTAGCAGTTTAACCTAATTATTATGTTTAATTGTAATCTTGAAATTGTTTTTGTGAATTCATTTTGTCTACTTTATAATTTAAATTTTCTGGCATAAATTTAAATATAGGATTTCTACTAGATTTACATAGTTTGGGTTCTTTACTTAAACGTTCTGCTTCATTATAATAAGCTTATGTTTCAAATTTAAGTGTAGGATATTATTAATCATTATTATTGCTATTGAATAATTAAATGATAATACAATTTAGAATTAACTACTTTTTCAAATGGATAATCAGTACTTTGCTCTTTGATGATTCCATTATTAATTGGTTTAATCATTATTGTTTCTTAAAGTAGAATTCCTGCTTCTGGTTATTGTTCAGGAAACTATCTTGGTTCTTATAATTCAGAGGTATGAATAATTTGTGATTATGATGAATTCAATTTAGGTTTAAAAGGAAATGGTTCCATTTCATGCATGTCATGAACTTTACTAATTTTAACAGGTGGCAGATCATGATTTGTTGGTAATTTCTCACCTGCTGCTAATAACAATTAAATCCAATGATCTCTAAAAGGCCTTGATTTTTCAACCCATATATGATCTTAATTTATAACATAATGAAGTTAAACTATTTGATATTCAAATAATAATACCAGCTCCTAATATTTCATCTATATTAATTGGTTCTTTTAGTTATTCTTTAAATGCTACTATTCTTTTACTAATTGCTTCATCAATCATGGCTTGGGCTAACTTAAAATAAAAAGAAATTTACTTCATCTTCAAAAAATAAATAATGCTTTTTGCTAAAAACTAATATATCATCCTTTTTAATCCATCCATCATTGTCTTAATCCATTTTTTCAATTAATCGCTGAATTGATATTCTTGGAATTTAAGTAGTTTTATGAATTAGTTTATCATATTTCTTTGGTACACTATATGATTTGTTTGAAGAGGAGAATTTTTATTGTAATCTTGACTATGGTATATCATCATATTGATCTTTAATATTTTCCATTATTATTATATTTAATAATGATATTAAAATGTGAAACTGATTCTAATAATAATCAATCTTTTAGAGGGTCGAACTCATTTAAGCTCATACCAAGAGTTTCTAAATTTTTCACTGCTGTTTCCTAAGTTTTATAATATTTATTAATTGTATCAAAAGAATTTGTATTTTTAAATCCATTTTCATAAACCAATGATAGATACTTACCTAAGTGAAATTAAAAATTTTCTGTTTTATAATCTAATTTATTTAAAATCTCATGATTATTAAATTCATTAATCAAATAATCTTCAATTATATTCATTGGAGCAGGTTGATCCAATTTTTTACACACTGTTTAATAAATCTTGTATAATTTGTATTGATTAAATTAACTAAAATTTATTGCATATTGAAATTTTTAAAGTATATATTTATTTTCTTAATCAAGATCTTTCAAATAGTCTTTAAATTATTGCAAAATAATTGAATCTTAAAAATGGCCCTAAAATCTTAATTCAGAAATTTTAGAAAAACTTTCTATCTTACTTGAATTTAGATATAAAGTGGGATGCTTTTAAATCTCTTTTGTTGGTTATATAACATATAAATAAAACATCAAATAAGCTCTTAGAAAAAAAGACAGAGTTACAATGAAATTTATATCTTCTTCATGATATTATATTTTGACTATTAAAGAAGTAATTATAAACCAAACCATATAATAAGCTAAAACATCAAGAGTAAGTTTATATAGTTTATCTTCTAAGTGATAAAAAATTATGTATCCCATTAAAATGATACAAAGTAATTCTTCAATAAAACTATTAATCATAATATATTTTTTGTTATTATGATAATTCTCTAACCAATTAGATAAATCACTATTGGAATCAGTATAAGTAGTTATAAATGATAATAATGTAAATCCAATAAAAGAATATATATATCCAGATAACAATAATTTTTTTTCGCTTGAATAAAATTATGCCACCACACTTTTAGGATTCAATACGTTGTTATTAAAAGCTACTGTTAATCTTGCTGTTTTCAAAAAGGCAAATGAAAAGCAACATCCTCTTGAAAAAGTATAAAAAAATGCTATAAATCCTTTACTAAAAGGATTTTCGATTTTATAATCATTCAAGAACATACTGATTTCTATCAGCAATAAAAATTAACTAATTATAAGAAATATTCCTTAATGTAATGTTATTGTAGGTGATAATTGCTTAAGAGGATAATGGACCTAATTCTTGTAAAATTTTCGTAAATAAGCTAATTGGTAGATTGATCCGATAATCTAGATTACAAATATTGAAATTAGTAATAGTATGCTCATCTTAAATAATATTAATAAAAAATGATTATTATATAAAAGATTTCTTTTGATAGAAATATAAACTAAGTTTCTTGAATAATTAAATTTTAATAAATAAAACTACTTGATAATTATATAAATCATGATAAAATGAAATAATAATTATAAATAGATAGAGTCTAACAATAAAACAATGTAACAATTTAACTGTAATTATTATTTAATATTAACGATGTATCAGAATTCAAATGCCTTTGTTAAAAAGCCTTGGACTTCTTTTTCATGAAGTTAATGGAATCCAGTAGCTGGCGATCCACTTGGTTTTCTACCAACATATTGAACTTATTATTCTAATAAGCCTGATGTTTTTGAGATAACACTTTAAATTCTTGGCCTAACAAATGACCAAGGTCCATAATTTTGATGTTCTTCTTAAACCCAAACGAAATGAGCTTTCTTATACTTTTAGATAACAGCCTATAAGAATTCGTATGGGAAAGGTGCTAATTATTCAATTCTCACAATAGCAGTATTCTTAATAAGAACATTAGTTTACTTTAACTTTTAGATCCTCTCTTTTTTTAAGAATATCATAATAAACTTGTCCTGAACATAAGATAACTCTTTAGATCTCATTAGGTTAATTAATTTATTCAGGGAAAGGATCATCATAAATTTATGAGAATCTGGCTTATTCAGAAAATTCATTTAATTTAGATTTGGCAGCCTAGAGTCTTAAAAGTCTTTTGGAAGTCATGGCAATAAGAGGTTTTCTGAAATCTCTTCTTAACTATCTTCTTAAAGAGTGGAAATAATTAGCAGGTGTAGTACATTAAACAATTTACATATTTGAATTTCTCATTTGTCTCTTAAGTCGAACTTGATACATAATTATAATTAATTACCTCCTAGATTTCTTTCAAAAACAGCAGGATCATCATCACTTAATTATAAAAATCTTTCAACTCTTCCTGAACTATGTTCTGGTCCTTATCCATCCATACCATTTGGTAATAACATAACTAATCCACTATCAACATCCCATTTAGATTCAGCACTTGCAATATAATTATCAATAATAATTTATGCTCCATTAGCAAAATCACCAAACTGACCTTCCCAAAGTACTAATGTATTTGGATTAGTAATAGAATATCCATATTCAAATCCCAATACTCCATATTCTGATAAATGAGAATTATAAATGCTCAATCTGTCTTCTTGACCTTTTGGTATAACTTTATGTAAAGGGACATAAGAAGGACCATTTGGATTTTTTTAATCATGAATAACAGCATGTCTATGAGAAAAGGTAGCTCTTTGAACATCCTCACCAGATAATCTGACATTAAATCCTTCATGAAGTAATGTTCCAAATGCTAGAGCTTCAGCCGTTGCAAAATCAACACCTTGATCCTTCTATATCCAATTAAGTCTTTCTTCATAAAACTTACGAATTTATGGATGAGCATTAAAATCAGATGGAATTGTATTTATTTTCTCTCCAATTTATTTCAAAATAGTAACTGGAACTCCAGTATCTTTTATTCTACCCCAAAGAGTTGGTACTTTTATCATTTCCCAAGATACTGGCTACCAATCTTTCAAATTATAGTCCATTTTCCTTGATTTTTGATATGCTACTTCTAGATTATCCTCATGTTTTTTCATCAATTAATCTACTTCTGTTTTTGTTACAATTCCTTAAGCAATCAATTTCTCAGCAAATTTAATAAAAACAGGTGGAGTTTTCTCAATCTTATCATACATTATAGGTTAAGTAAATTTAGGTTAATCTTATTCATTATGTCCATATCTTCTATAACCAACCAAATCAATAAAGATATCTCTTTTGAATTTAGTTCTATAAAGTGTTGCAACTTAAAATACTTTATCTACTAATTCAGGTTCATCAGCATTGACATGAATCACTGGTGCTTAAATAGCATAAGCAATATCTGTGCAATATAATCCTGATCTACTGTCTTTAGGTACTGTAGTAAATCCAATTTAATTATTTGAAACTACATGAATTATACCACCTGATTTATATCCTTCTAAATCTGCCATTTGTAATGACTCATATACAATTCCTTAACCAGCAACTGCAGCATCTCCATGAATTAATACTCCAAATGCCTTGTCTCCATTTTTATCTTTATGATAATCTTATATAGCTCTGACTTTTCCATAAACACAGGGATCTACAGTTTCTAAATGAGAAGGATTTGGTAGCATTTCTAATCTTAGTTTTTTTTCTCCAAATTTAACATTATGTACACTTCCTAAATGGTATTTTACATCCCCAGAATTTCCCCAAATGTCTTCATTATATATTCCTTTCAAATCTTAAAATTCAACCATAATTTCTTCAGCTGATTTTTAAAATACATTATATAAAGTATTCAATCTTCCTCTATGAGCCATTCCAAATACTATATATTCTACTCCTGCTTAAGCAGCACTATCAACCAAAGCTTATAATCCTGAAATCATTGAATCACATCCTTCAATACCAAATCTCTTTGAAGTATTAAATTTCTTTTGTAAAAATGTACTAAATGCATGTTCTTATCCAAGTCTAATTAATATTATATGTAATGTTATACCTTTCAAAAGTTTTCAATTTTTACTCTTTTGAAGGTAGAAATTCCTCAAACTTCTCAATCTATTCTCTAATCCAATCCCTTTCTTCTGTTGATTATATGTGCATATATTCATAAGATATTTTACCACAATATGCTTTCTCTAAATAATTTATTAAATCTCTTAATTTCATTACTTCATAAATAATCAAATAATTACATTATTTTTCTTTAGATATACCTGAACTTACTTCATCATGAATATAAAATTCTCTGTCTAAATCTTCTTCTGCAAAATATTCACGATAATCCAATTTTGTATAACCTTTGACTTTTCCTATTTGTTATATGTGTTCTAAATCAAGAGGATCAACCATTGATTTTTCGTGACCTCTATGTCTATATTTGTTGATTAATAATCTCACTCTAAAATGATCTGATAACAATTTTCTAACACTTGATACTTGCTTAGATATTATATATAACTATACATCTGCTTAAAATGAGATTGTCTAACCCTTCTAGGGTTCTGGTGTAAAATCAAATTTGTTAGATTCACATACTTATCTAAAATATGCATCCCAAGTTGCTGGTACAGAATTTGGGTCTTGAGACCATTTATCTAATAAATTGTCTAAAAATTCTGCATTCTAACCCCCAAGAAAAGAGTTTCCAAATTTTTGTAATTCTGAAAAATTATAGCGATGTAGATTCTTTCCAATAAACCTTAACATATTATATTTAATAATTATTTTTGCTTAATACTCTATTTCCTTAAACATAATTTGATTAAATTAGACATAAAATTGATGATTTAATTTTAACAAAAAAATCGACAACGGCCAGATTCGAACTGACGCGGGGAACCCCAACAGATTTCTAGTCTGCCGCCTTAACCACTCGGCCACGTTGTCTATAACTAATACCTAAGTCAATCTCTTGCATAAATATGCTCATAGATAATATGCCATTTGACATTAAACATTAAAATGTATTATCATAAATTAAAATTTTAGAAACTTAAAAATCCCTATCATAAACAAAATTCAAGTGCTTCTTTTCACATTTTCTATTCTAATCCATGAAACCAGTAAATTATATTTATTTATATTAACATTCTTTTTCTTTATTTTTCTTACCTAATTGAGTAAAAATTATTAATTATATTTGAAACAATAATTGAATCAATTTATTAAAGCAATTTTATTAGAATCAATATACTAAATCATAATTTTTATTGATAATTATTTAATTTAATAATATTATACTTTAGATCTTAAAAGCAATTTATGATATACATATTTCTAATTAAATAATTCAATCCTAATAAGGAGTAATATAGAATGATTCGTAATTATTTATTCGAATCACAATTTTTAAATATAATTTATTTTGTGTACACCAGATTGTAACATCATAATTTTTTTATTAATACGTATTTTCTGCAATATAAGTATTAAAGCCTCGAATCTTGAGATTTAAATATTCTTTTGCAAATAATGAATTCATTCTTGTTTTACGATCCTCACTTCCTTCTTTAATAATAGCTCTTGTATCAATAGCTAGTCTAATACAATTCCATGTTGGCTTTAAGGTAAATAGTTTAATGAACTTTGTTTAGAAATACTTATTCCATGTCATAATCATCAAGTCCTTAAATTTAGCCAAAATCTCCTCAAGAATGCCCTACTATAGATTAAAATACCATAAAAAATGATGAAACTATAGATGATCAAAGCTCATTTGAACTTTCTAAAAGTAACAAAATAAAAAAACTCATCAAAAAAACTAAAGAAGCAAAGTCAAATAAGTCTAATCCTTCTCAGAATAATGAAAAAAAAAAGATATTTCTTTCAATGAAAGACATTAAGGACGTCCAATATAAAAAGTAAAATATGTCATCATTTTAGATTTAAACTTGTTCAAGAAGAATAGATTCAAGAAGGTTTAACAAATCTAGAGTAGAAGAAATGATATTTTAATTACTCTCTATTAAATTTGTGTATATGCAATAAGTTTATAATTATTATCGATCATTTTCATTTCTTATAACATATATTTTTATAAAAAATCATTATAAAAGTCCATATAAAAATGATATCATTGTACAAGAAATGTTCTTGAAATGGGAATAAATACCAGGGTTCTAAGTTATCTTGTAATAATTTGAAAATTGTAGAATGATTCATAATTAATTAAATTCGTAAAAATAATGTGATAATATATATTAAATAGTATATATAATTATTATTATTTATAATAATTTAATATTGTAATTTATTTTGCATTTAATTCAATAAATCATAATAGTTCCTTCTTATATTACACATAATATTTACAAATATTCTTACAAATTGTATGAATATATCATATCATGATTTTCTATCCTATAAAAAATTGTAAAATTGCATTAAATCCTTAAATTCATCTTTATTACAAAAAATAATAAAATGCTGATAAATGTGATTATTAATAAATTACTGATAACTTAAGAATTGAAATTTATATATCAGATTTATTTCAATATAAAATATTCTTTGTTCAATTAAATTATTTTTTGAATTAGCAAACTTAAATAAGATGGATTTGCTTTTTAGTGTGACAGATTTTTCAAAATTCCAACAGAATAGTGTTATCTTTATATGTAAATTTAAAATATATTTTTAATAATATATTGTTATATGTAAGTAATATAAATTTTAATTCGATGCATATTTGGTTATATATTATATATTGAATAGAAAATTTATGGATTTTGTCAAAATAAATTAAATTAGATGTATAGTTATATAATGGATTCAGTCTATTTTTTTTAACTACTTATCAAGTCAAACATAAGTTCCTAGTAATGACAGATAAGTTTTATAAAAATTTTTATTCTTTAAAAGCTGTAAAAAAAGCAAATTAGCTTCTAGGATACTAACCTTATTTAAAAATCAATACATTTTCAATTTTAATTCGAAATTTTCACAACCCATTATAAAATAATTCTCCTATGATGGTCATCATCCAAAAATATTTAAATTTCTGATGTAATTGGCAATATTTCTATTTCGAATTTAAAATAAGGATAAATTAGATGGTTGAAAAAGCAAGAATTTATTAATTATAGACTATGTATAAGTTATTATCTTAGAGACCCTTTGATGATATTTGGGAAATTATGATTCACATTTTTAGCAGTCGTTTATTAATAAAAACAAGATTTATCAACACTAAGTTAATAGAATGATTGAAAATAATAATTCATTATTGATTTTTTAGAATTATTCTTTTTACAAATTTAATTTATCAATAATAATTATTATTAAACAAATATATATCTTGAAAACATATACATAAAAGAATTTGAAATTTTAAACCAGATGATTAACATTAGAAATCACTAATAGATAATAGTTATCCTTTACACTTAATTACTTATCAGATTGTTTTTATTATTAAATAATTTATTTATATTCTTTAATTGATCAAATTTTGCATAAAAATATAATCACTGCATTAAAGTTCTTTGAATTTCATGATATATAAATTAATGTATTAATGTTTAATGTATTATTTCTTATAATGTCACAAATCATTATTCTACGTTTAATTCAACATTAATTCCTGGGCCAATCTTGAAGTTGGTTATATCTTTGAAAGTTGGCAATGTGCATTAGAAATCAATTACTCTTTTATGAATCTAATCCTTATATAATTGTATTACTCTCATTTCAAATCTATCCCAAGTCTTTGAACCTTCACCACATGGACTCTTTCTGACAGTCATTTTGAGGTGTTTTGTTGGCATTCTAACTGGTCCTTTGAATACAACTTGTTATCCTTAATCTCTCTTAATGTTGAAATTTATTTATTACTTAAATTCCTCTAGCCTTTTCAATGACTTAAGTAGTGAAATTTTCTAAATCTTAAGGGTTTCTGGATGTAACAATCATTCTAATTTTTTTCACTTGTTATTCATCTTCTACTTTCTTTTCTTTCAAGTCAGCCATAATATTTTTTTTTTAAAATATATTTTTAATAAAAGATTTAAAATGTATTTCTTCTATGTGAGGCTTTTTATTTATAATTATAATTCATAAATTATCTTATTTTTTATTTTGTTTCACCCAAGTACAATCTCTACTATTCATTTAAACATATATAAATAAAAAGTAACCAAAAATAAGTGACATAATAATTAATTTTTATTTTTCTTTAAAATATCATCTAATCCATCGAATGCACAATAAATTAATGAATAATAATAGATTGATTAATATTCTTAATTCAGTATTATAAAAGTAATCAGGAGTTGAGTATAGATTTTATTTCATTCGAAATTTCATTATTTTAAAGTATATGTTTAGAAAAAAGAGTCATTTTTAATAGATAAAAAATTTAATTTAAGGATTTTAAACAGATTCATTCAACTCTAACAACAATCATGGATGCATTAATTATAACAAAATTGTAAAAGAAAATTTAGAAATTGATTTTGGAATTGATTGTATTTGATTAGTATATATTAATAAAATTGAAGATAAATCTTAATTTATAATTCTAGAATTTATTAGTTATTTTTTTATTTATCTTTAATAAAACCTATTGTAGTTTATTTATCAATTTTTAACTTGAATTTTTTAACTACTATTAAATTTAACCTATAAACTACTTTTACAATTTGTATAATTTAATTCATTATTGATCAATGTTATTAATAATTTTACTCTATTACTTTATAGGTAATAAATATAATTAGAAGAACATAAGAATTTTATTGATCAAAATTTTGAAAATATATATATATATTCAGTTTTTAGAGTAGATGAGATATTCGAATTAATTATTCACCTATATAATTTTTATAAGAACTGAATTCAAAATATGAAGTTTGTTAATCGGAACTTCCAGTTTATAATTTATTGATAATATTCATCTCTCACTGATATTATTTAAATGATTAAATCTCAGAATAATAAAACCATCATTTTGACATAATCTATTTTAGATGATTCCTCAGAGTTTTGGATTCATAGACCATAAACAATGTTGTAATTCTAGTTATAGGACGAACTTCAGGTTGTNTTTTTTTTTTAAAATATATTTTTAATAAAAGATTTAAAATGTATTTCTTCTATGTGAGGCTTTTTATTTATAATTATAATTCATAAATTATCTTATTTTTTATTTTGTTTCACCCAAGTACAATCTCTACTATTCATTTAAACATATATAAATAAAAAGTAACCAAAAATAAGTGACATAATAATTAATTTTTATTTTTCTTTAAAATATCATCTAATCCATCGAATGCACAATAAATTAATGAATAATAATAGATTGATTAATATTCTTAATTCAGTATTATAAAAGTAATCAGGAGTTGAGTATAGATTTTATTTCATTCGAAATTTCATTATTTTAAAGTATATGTTTAGAAAAAAGAGTCATTTTTAATAGATAAAAAATTTAATTTAAGGATTTTAAACAGATTCATTCAACTCTAACAACAATCATGGATGCATTAATTATAACAAAATTGTAAAAGAAAATTTAGAAATTGATTTTGGAATTGATTGTATTTGATTAGTATATATTAATAAAATTGAAGATAAATCTTAATTTATAATTCTAGAATTTATTAGTTATTTTTTTATTTATCTTTAATAAAACCTATTGTAGTTTATTTATCAATTTTTAACTTGAATTTTTTAACTACTATTAAATTTAACCTATAAACTACTTTTACAATTTGTATAATTTAATTCATTATTGATCAATGTTATTAATAATTTTACTCTATTACTTTATAGGTAATAAATATAATTAGAAGAACATAAGAATTTTATTGATCAAAATTTTGAAAATATATATATATATTCAGTTTTTAGAGTAGATGAGATATTCGAATTAATTATTCACCTATATAATTTTTATAAGAACTGAATTCAAAATATGAAGTTTGTTAATCGGAACTTCCAGTTTATAATTTATTGATAATATTCATCTCTCACTGATATTATTTAAATGATTAAATCTCAGAATAATAAAACCATCATTTTGACATAATCTATTTTAGATGATTCCTCAGAGTTTTGGATTCATAGACCATAAACAATGTTGTAATTCTAGTTATAGGACGAACTTCAGGTTGTCAACAGAAACAGATTAATACTGAAAACTTTATTGCTTGGTGGACATTATATAAAATACGGTGAAGAAGTAAAAATAAAAATAATACAAAAGAAATTTCTTGATGTTAGAAATATGTTTCTCGAAATGGTTTACCATCCTAGAACTTCATCAACAGGATTTAGGTTAAGCAAGAATGGAGAAAAACTGGATGTTTATGGTGACGTCTAGAATTGGGTAGAAGTGCTTAAAAAATATACTATACAATCCAATTTACAATAAAAATATAAAATAATAAAGAAAATAGGAGAGGGGAGCTTATTTCAAGTAATACAATTTCATCAATTTGAAAGGTATTTAAGATAAAAAACAAAATAACAGGATTTTAATACGCAGCCAGAATATATGATAAAGTTTAACTAAATAGCTCTAATTATCTCCTTGAATTAGTCAAAAAATAAGTAGCATTGTTGAGATAAGTAGATCATAAAAATTTAATTAAATTATATGAGATCTTTGAAAGTTCAAATCATCTTTACATAATATAAGAGCTAATTGAAGGAGGCACTTTAGATTCTAAAATTTCTTAAACTAATTTTAATTAAGAATAAATTGTATTTATTGTTAAATAAACATTAAATGGTTTAGAAGAATTACATAAAAAAGGTTATATTCATGGAGAAGTAAACTTAAAATCAATAGCTTTTAAGTATTAATAAGATTTGAACTCTTTATGTTTAATTCATTATTCTAAAGTTATGTTAATTAATGTAGCAAGAAACAATAATAAAAAAATGATTAGTTAAAGAACATCTTTGAAAAATGATAAAACTTATATTTCTGATTTATAATAATTGGGAATTATATTGATTAAATTATTAACTGGATATCAATTTCATCAATACAATCTACCAAATTCTATGGATGAGATTAAAAGCATTCTTAATTTTAAGCAAATTAATTATGAAATAGAAGTATTACTCTAATAATTATTACTTACTGATTTTGAAACATAAATTAGTGAAACAAACACACCACTTGAAGTCTTAAAAAATGATATATTTAAAAAGTAGTTGGAACCCAAAAATTTTATCCTAAAATATTAAGCAATTGATGATAAAAATTAAAGGGTAAGTATAAATAATCTAGATGAGGATTCGTTAGATATAAGATCAAGAGTTCATACACTCCCATATATTGAAAATAGATAGAGTAATTCAAGAAGTTTATCAAATAGAAAACCTAATGTTACACCTCTTAAACTATCAACCTTACACAAATTAGAAACAATTGTTAAACCTCCATCATAAACATCAGAAAGAAGATAAAGTAATTTATATCAGTTGCCAAGAATGAATATCTTGCCAAAAATAAAATAAAAGATCTAATGATTGAATTTTATGCCTATTGTTACTATGATTTATTTCGAAACAATTTTTATCAATCAATAAACCATTTTATATTCCAATATTTATTAAAATTTCATATAATTTCTATTTCCTTAAATAATCTAAATACAACCCTTAATTACATTGTTATTAATTGAATAATGTGCTTTCTTTCCTATAATTAGATAATAAATATCATAAATGATAAAAATAAAAAATAACTTTAATGAATATTATTCTAATTCGAATTTTCCTTCTATTTTATACTATTTTTAATTGATTGATATAATTGAAATATTAAAATATAATATAGATTTTTTTTCTAAATGAGAATTAATGAGTATCATTGAATTTTATTACTATTTTGATATAATATAATAAAATAAGGATAGAAAAGTAAAAAAAATAGACTTTCAATTTATTTATTTATAACAATAAATATTTGATGATAAAGCAACAACTATTGTAAATTTGCTCAGTTGATTCCTTTTTCAATAATCATACCTCTTTATTTCAAAAAACTTGTCCTGATCCATTTATTCCATAATATTCAAGCGAATTTTAAATTAGTAATCAAAGCAGGTTAATAATCAAATAGTTGTCCATATGCCAAAATTTTATTAAATTAGGAGAAGATGTAATGAAATTCTAAACTTAAATAGAAATATATAAATTTGACGAATGTTTGTATGTAAAAAATAGTTCATCCAAAAACAGGATGGTTTGGAGTAAAGCTTAGTAAAAATGGTATAAATTTTGAAATGTTTGGTTAATTAGATGAATGGATCAATATTATGAAGAAATATACAATATAATTAGATTTTGGCTAAAAGTATTAACTTTTTAGCAAAATAGGGGAAGGATATTCAACTATAGTATATCTTTTTTTTAAATAAATTGATAGGTTTATAAGGCAAAGGATAAAGTAAGCAGACAAGAATTTGCTGTTAAAATATTTGATAAAAAAAGATTATTGACTAATAATTATGAATCGAAGAAATTTCTAAAAGAGTTGAAAATAATTCGATAATTGGAACATCCACATTTACTCCATTTTTATGAAGTTTTTGAAAGCAATAATCATATTTATTTATTAGAGGAATACTTAAAAGGATAGAAGCTATCATAATTTTACTAAAATTCAAAACCTTTAAAAGAAGAGTAAGTTTAAATTATCATTAAGCCTCTATTTTAAGCAGTTTAATATCTACATGATCTCAATATATATCATAAATAAATTTGTACTTCAAACATTATGCTTAAGTAGAGACATGATTTATCTAATCCATGTTTAATAGGTTTTACTTAAGCTGAATAATATTCTAATTTGGAATAAGATGATTATCAATATTTATAAGTAAATATAGAGAAACAGAAATAATATTATATTAAGCTTGATGTACTTGCTTTAGGAATTGTGATGCATAATTTATTAACAGGAAATCAATTACATTTTGATCAAGCACTTGATGATGCTATGATGAATAAATTTGAAGGAACAAGAGATTTTTAATTTATTGATCCTCCATTATCAGATTCATGTTTTGACTTTTTGAATATAATCTTTAATCAAGGTTCTAAAGTTAAGACATGTTAATAACTATTATAACATCCTTTTTTCGATTAAGAAAGCCAAAATTCTAATAGAAATATTCCAATTTAATTTTTAGGAGCACTTAATCCAAATTAGACTTAGTTTAGAATAAGTTCAAAATAATCATAAAGATCTCCTAAAACTTCAAAAGATATTTAAGTAATACCTATTAGAAAATAATTTAATATAATATCAAAGAGCCCTTAAGAAAAGCCCACTATTAATAGTGATTATTTTGAACCTCCAGTGACTCATTTGATGTTTAGAAGAGGGAGTAGATAGAAAAGAACTTTAAATTTTAATAATCATCATGATAAAAGTAATGATTCAACAAATTGATTTTTTAAAACATAATTTAATAATTAATTTTTTTATAGTTATAATTAATCCTTATGGATTTTTTATTCTTAGAATTCTTGTAATAATATTTGAATAAAAAAACTTCCACAAATAATCTCAATAATTCACATATAGAATTTCAGATAAGAATTAGAGATGAATCATACAGTATATAGAATAGTAATAAATATTAAATTAGCAAAACTTAGAAATTGAGTTAGAAATAAGTGTGCTTGAGAATAAAAATTAGGATTAATATAAATATTTTTCAAAATATATAAATTTAAGAATGATAGAGTAAAAATGCTTTAAAAGATAAAAGATGATAAAAAAAAAAATTGGTTTAAAAGGAGATTTAATTCAAAAATATTTCATATTTTAATTTAAATCATGAAATTCCTCTTGATCTCAATAGCTTTGCTTTCATTTTAGGTAAGCAGCGTAACTGTTAATTCAACTGATGTTTGCTTATGCACAACAGTTTAGACAATAAAAGATTGCCTTTTAAACTCTAAATGTGAATGGGATAGTACAACTTCAAAGTGTAAAACAGTAACAACTTAAACAACTACAACAAGATTCATATCAAAGCTTTGTACTGATACAAAAACTTGTCCAAAGTAATAGGGTTGTGCTTTTTCTGAAAATAAATGTATAATGATGGGAGATTGTTAATCATATTTGGGTAATTCAAATGCTGAATGTTAAAAGTATTCTTCTAGATGTAATTACAATAAAGAATAAAAAACATGCACTTCAAGTGATGTATGTAGTTAGTATAGTGGAGAAGGTTAATAAACTGAATGTGAAAGTATAACTTAATAAAATGGGGATAAATGGTGTAAATTTGATACTACTGATAATAAATGCTTAACAAAAAAATGTTCAGATTATGAAAAAACAACAGATGCTGATTGTGCTGCTGCATTATAAGATGCTAAATGTGTAAGTGATAAAAAAAAATGTTTATCTTAATTAGTTAATTGTGAAACATACACAGCAGAATTGTGTTTAAGTGTAAATGCATTGAATGGACCATGTGAATTAAAAAGTACTGATAAAACTAAATGTTAATCAAAAACATGTTAAGGTGCTACAGATTCAAAAACTGATACTGCTTGTGATTCATATTTAAAAGGATGCATTACAAATAATTTGACTTGTTTCTAAACTTTACCTTCTTGTTCAACATATTCAGTTACTGATTGTCCACAAGTGAAAGGAAATAAAGGAACTTGTATATTAACATCAGGTGAAACACCTACTTGTAGAGATCCTAAATGTGAAGATTATACAGAAGGTACAGATGAAGCTTGCAAGACTAAAGATCCATCATGTATAACAAATGGAGCTTATTGTGTATTAAGCTTAGCTGATAAATGTGATAGTTATACAACTGGAAATTGTGATAATATATTTACTAAAGAAGGAAAATGTAAATCTACAGATACTTCTAAATGTGGTCTTGATTAATGTACAAATTAAAGTAAAACAACAAATGAAGAATGTGGTAAATATTAAGGAACTGATGCACCTACTTGTATCACAAATGGAGTATCTTGTGTAAAGAGTTTAGAAGCTACTTGTTCTCTTATCACAGTATCTGAAGGTAGTAGCTGTGAATAATATATTAGTAAGGAAGGTAAATGTAAATTAAAGGATGGATCACCATCCACATGTGAATTAGATTCTTGCAACACTAAAACTTTTACTACAGATGAAGAATGCAATAAATATTCAAGTCAAAATGTAGCACCTGCAATTATTTGTAAAACCAATGGTCTTAAATGTGTAGATAATTTAAATACTTGTGATTCTTATTTAAAAGAAGAAGGTTGTTCATCACTTAAAGGATCTGATGGATAATGTATGGATGATTCAACTGAAGGATCTACAAAATGTATACTAGCTACTTGTGATAAAATCTCATCACCATCAGTTCTAACTTGTCCAGCTGGAAATTCAACTTGCAAATTTGATGGAGTAAATTGTGTTAAAGATTTGAAAACATGTGAAAACTATACATCAAATTGTGATAATATGATTTCAAGTAATGCTAAAGCATGTACAACTAATCCAACTGATTCTTCTAAATGTATTACTAAATCATGTACTACTGCTCCAGCTACTACATCTACAAATGAAGATTGTAATAAATACTTTGCAGGATGTGTTACTACTGGTTAAGGATGTATTGCATCATTATCAACTTGTGATTCCTATAAAGGTATTAAAAGTACTTGTGAGAAATATATTGGTACAGATGGCAAATGTACTGCAGATGATGCAAATAAAGCTGAAGATAAATGTAAACCTAAAGATTGTGCTAATGCTACATCAGTAACTAATGATCAATAATGCAATACTTATTCTAATTTATGTTTTTATAGTGCAAAGATTTAAAAATGTTAAAAAAAGGTTACTGCTTGTAATGGAATAAAATCATAAACAGAATGTGAAAATTCATTAACATCTGAATCTTCTGTGTTTTGCACTTGGAATGGTGCAGCATGTGTTTAAGCTACTTGTAATACTATTTAAAATGTGAAAAATAAAGAGACTTGTGCAGTCTATGGGGTTAATTGTGAATTTGATAATATAAGTGGATGTAAAGATAAGACTAATTATACTTGTTCAACACTTAGATCAGCTAGTTTATGTTTATAAGATTCTGCCTCAAATGCATGTGTTTGGGATTCTACTAATAAAACATGTATTATGTATAATAAATGTTCTGATTATCCATTAACACCTCCCAAAGAAAATGAAGCTAAAACTGCTGAATAAATTGCTAGTGAAACAGAAATTTGTAAATTATTATCAAATAAATGTTATTCTAATGGAGGTAATACATGTGTTTCTAAAACACCATGTTCTGTTATTAAAGAAGAAAAAAATTGTATTGGTAGTATAGGAATAGATGATAAAGTTTGTGGTTATGATGCTAAAGCAACTGCTTGTAAAACATTTGGTTAATGTTCTGATGTTGAATTATTAACTCATGCTGAATGTCAAAAGTATAGTCCTACTTGTACAACAGATGGTAAAACCTGTGTTGCTATAAAAAATTGCTCAGATGCTACCACTAAGGAATTATGTGATCTTGGAGGCACAGATGGAAAATGTGCTTGGTCAGGTACTGCTTGTAGTCTCTGGACTTGTTAGGATGGTACAGGTACAACTCATGAAGCTTGCAACAAATTATCAACTTCATGCACTACAGATGGAACTAAATGTATGAATATTGGAGAGTGTAGTAGTTACACAGATAAAAATTGTGTTTTGGGATTAAAAAATACTCCTTGCTTTTATGATAAAGAAAAATCAACATGCAGAAATAAAGTATGTACTGATTACTCTAATGTGACTGGTTAAGATGAATGTGATAAAGCTGGTTGTGCTTATGATCCTGAAACTAAAGCTTGTATTGTTATTGACAAATGTTCTGTTTACAAAAAAGAAGCAATTTGTAATCTTAATAAATAAGCAGATAAGAAGGAATGTGTATGGAGACTTGGAAAGGTTTCTAATACAACTGATGGATGTTTAGAATTAAATGCTTGTTCAAATGCTTCTTCTAATTAGGCTAAATGTGAAAAAATGAGTAATTGTTACTTTGTTCCAGCTATTTCAAATGGTACAACAACAACTGATTCTTAATGCAAAGATATGGATTGTTATGGCAAAAATCAATAAGTGATAACTAAAGGTTTATGTAACCCATTTAAAACTTCGACTACTGATGGAAAGAATGAAAAAATAACTTTCTGTACTTGGAGTGATACTAAAAAACAATGTTAAGAAGGAGATCCATCAGGAGATCTTACAGCTGAAAATTGCTTTGCTTTATCATAGTACACATATTATTGGAGTACAACTCAAAGCAAATGTGTTTCATGTTCAGGTGGAAATACATAACCTAATAATACCACAAATGGAACAACCAATGGAACTGATTCAAATATAACAAATAGTTAAGGATTTAAGTTAGAATTAATAATATACATCCTATTATTAATCTAATTAATTTGAGAATGATACATAATTTATCCATTAAAATTACATTATTTTATTTATTATTATAATCATCTTTGATTAAGTTCTTATGCAGCTGAAGATAAAGTTGCTTAAATAGATTTTTTAGCAGCCTCATTAAATCTTCTCTCTTCAATTTATACTTTATTATATTTTTAATAAAATACTTTATTTTTATAACTTAGACCTCTATACGTTCGGTATTAAGAATTATTATACCAGGTCTTTAATGATAGTTTCATCACTATTATACTTTCTTTCAAAATGTTCAACTGGTGCATTCATCTTTTATTTCCTTAAATTTGTCATTATTGTAGCCTATCTTGTGGCAGCTATTCACATCCTCGAATTCTATACCTTGCTCTATAGTATTCTTGAATATCCAATGTAAATAAGTATCTACTGTTCCTTAATGTACTCTCATAATTTGATTATATTGAACATCCTCTCTATCTCTAAGAATTTATTCAGCTTATCTTGTTCCTGCCTCTTAAATTTCTCTTAATCTCCTATCTTCCTCTGCTGATTTCATCATCTATGCTATTTTCTTCTCTTATTTTATTCTTAGTAATTCTTTGCTAAGCATATCTAAAGTCTCAGCTATCACTTCCCCTTGAATAGCTTCTAATGCTGCATTCTTCACTTTTTCCTCATGTTATTGCATTAAAATTTCTTCTTATTCAGCCTCTGGTAAATCTGGAATTTTTGCTACAGTTAAGAGCTCTTCAATTAAAGCAGTTCTCTATTTTTAATTTCATAATCCAATACCTTCTCTTTTCCTTCATACATGATATTTTACATTGCTCTTCCTCTAAATAGTCTTTATAGTAAGACTACAGCTGAATTTCTTTTATCCTCTCCCTATCTTTTAGTTGCTTCCTCTTTAAATTATTCATAATTTTCAAACTTCATCTCTTATCTCTTTATATCTCCATTCTCAAATTCTTAGTTATATGTGGGTGTAGCTGGTCTTATTATAATATTCTTATTTCCTATATGATCTGCTTAATTTTCATTAGATTAATCTTGCTTATTTGTTCCAAATATTTAATTTCTTGCTTTGTTTACTTCTATTTTATGTTATATTTCCAATCTAGTATAATCTTTCTCTATAGTTTTTATAAATTAAGCCACATTTACAGTAGTTTCTAAAATTGATGGCTTTATTGTGGTGGATAATTCAGTTAAACCCTTATAAGTATTCAGAGCAACAGGTTAAACTTCATATTTGCTTGCAATCTTATCTAAACTCAATCCTTCTCTAGTAATCCCTGCATATACTTTAGAAGCAAAATTAGCATAATCTTCAATAATCTCTCTACCCTTATCCTCATTATCTATCTCCTTTCTACTCTTTTGCATCTTTCTTAATATCTTTATTTTTCTCTTCTATATCTTTGCAACCATTCTATTCTTTAATTCTGTCTTCTTAATCTTTATGCTTTCAATTCTCTAAGCATTTTTCTCTTCTACATCCTTTTCCCTCTCTTTTAATGCTTCTTAAAGCAAATATAATCTTTCATTTTAAGTACTAAAATACCATAAAGATAGCTATATACATTTTAATGTCTGTCTCTTTCTTCTTCCATTCCCTCTCTTCCTAAGATTTCATTAAAGCTCTCCTTAGTTTAAATGATGCTTCATCTGAGATAGGAGGTAACGAATTTTCAAACCATACTTTTTCTCTATTCCATTCAATTGACTCTAATTCCTCTATTGAAGCAGGCAAACCTTTATCCCATTTTAAATGTTATAAAGCCAAAATTTCTATTGTTTAATCATCGTTTTGATCATGAGCAGGTGTATAAGGGTCAGTTTAAGCTTCGGCATCTCTATAATCTGTTTAAATCTCAACATCCTTAACCTATACTATTTAATTTTTAATCTACTCTTTCTATTGTCACTTTGGCAGGAAGAACTTATTCCTTTATCTATTATACTGGAGGTTGACTCAATTTTAAAGGAGTGTCTGTCATTGTTGGTACAAGTGGTCGCTTGAAATAAAGAGGACGAGATGTTCCACTGATGTAATTTTACATTGATTGATTCCTATACTGATCATGGAGCACATAAGCTTCTTACATATGATTATAAGTTAAATTTATTATTCAAAAAAAAGCTAATTAAAAAAAGGACCTACTTGGACTCGAACCAAGGTCTTGAGGGTTAGAGCCTCAGGTACTAACCACTATACGATAGATCCTATTCTGATCATTAAAAGGTAAATATCTACATATATGTTATTTGGCTAATAATATTAGAAAACCAATAATTTTCAAATTTGACTCTTAGTAAAATGAGATAAATTTGATATTATTAAGTAATTTTCTAATAATTGTTAAATGATAAGGAGATGTCTATTGATCTATTTTCTAATTTATTATTTATAATTGAAGAAACAACTCTCTTCATTTCTTAATGACAATTAAATATTTAAAAGATATTAAGAGTGTTTAAAACATAAGCTACTTTTCTTTAGTAAATAGAACTAAATAATTACTTTGAAAATTGTAGATGCATAAAAGAACTATTTAAGGAACAAATCTAAGAAGAAAGCAATAAGAATATTTTTAGTGAAATAATAAGAAAAAGTTAGAGCATTTAAAAAAGGTGTATAAAATAGTTGAAGACAATTCTAGAACTATAAAATATCTTAAATTAAATAAGATTGTTTCGAGTGAGATAATAATCCATTTAAATTATAAAGAGATTTAGAGAAACAATAAAAAAATAACAATATTGATAATGGCTTTAGGATATGAAAACGATAACATATTGAGGTTTGATCATCTACTGATGAAAGAAAAGTAGTAATTCAAGATAAAGTATTATTATATGTTATTGATTCAATAAACAGTAACTTTATAATAAAATAACAATATTTAAAGGTATTACTTAGTTATGATTGATAATTAGCAGATAATAAAATAAATGAAATGATTTATGAAATAGCGTCTAATCAATATTATAAATTATGTCTACCAATGTTTGTTAATTAATTTACATAATTTTAGGAAGTAGATATTGATTAATTGAGAATTGACAAAATTATATAAAAGAATGAAACAAATTTAATTTGAATCATTCATGTGTAATAACTGTTTTCAATGAATGCTTTAAATTAATTTCGATATTAACTCTATAATATATATAATTTAAATGGGAAATTATTGTCATTCAGAAGAGACTCCTAAATCTGAAAAACCCACTCTTAGGGACTCAAATAAAGGAAAACTTGTTTTTCAGAATTTAATTTTGACTAATACATAATTTATAGAATAATGTAAGGACTCGTATTTCATATAATTCCACAAAGTATATTCATAAGTCTTAATTAGAATATTGTTGAAAAAGACATAGAGTCATTATCAAAATTTATGAATTAAAAAATGCTAGATTCTTCTATAAAAGGATCCTATCCAACAGAAGAAGAAAAATAAATAATTTCGAAGAATATTTCTAAAGATATTCAACAAAGAGAAAAACATCTTTATAATTAACTCATCTTTCATTATAATTAATTCCTTAATGAACTTTTCGAATTAGATTAGAATTTGTAATTAATTACTAAATCAAATTATAATGCAGGAGATGTTAGAGTAAACGCTCAATTAATTAGAAATACATTCGTCAAGCGTAGTTTGTCAGATAATCATAGATTTTAAGAGCAATTATTATTAGATGAAAATATTCCACATAATACATATATCGATTAAAATTTAAGCCGATAATTTCGAGAAAACAAACAATTGGCAAATTTATTTTTGGATCAACTAAGTTGTATCTTTAAATTATGCTATTTAATACTTGAATATGTCTATTCAAACTATATCTTATCAATATTTGGAACATCTATTGATTCATTCACAGATCGTTACCTATTGATATCAAAAATATATTAAAAAAATATCATCGAATTAAATCCAGACATTTAAAAATTGATTACTGCAGCAATTTAAGCTAAATATGAGAAAAAATCCTCTTTAATTAAGTCTGAACATATGTCTCCAGCAATTTTATAACCTCAATTAATTCCTCAAACAGTTGATAGTATTATAAGTCATGAATCTGAAATATAATTGTTAGATTCTATTGAGAAAAACTTAAAATATTAACAATAAGATTAGCAAATATAAAATACTTAACAAAATTTTTATTACTCTTAAACCTTCTCTACAATTGACAAGATTATCAATTGTAAAATGCCTTGGTTAAAGTTTAAGTTAATAGGAAAGTTGGATTAATAAATTGTTGATATTTTCTTATAATATCGATCATAAAGTTAAATAGCTCATTTTATAGATGTAATTAAACCTGAAGATTCAAAAGTTGAAGTCTTACTTTATATCTTGTAGAGGTATATGTCATCAAGAAAGAATTTGAATTTGCCTTTATGCTACTATGAATTAAGATGGATGTAGGAGGATGACAATGTTTTACATAAAAAAGTCAAAACTATAACTAGTCCTTACTTCAGTAGATTTTTATCCTTATATGAAATTTCTTTTAAAAATTATCAAAGAAAATAAGCGCAACTTTTATATAATTGATTTTTAAATAATTAATGGTCTATATGATATCAACTTCGAGTTTCTTATTGCTAATAGGTTTATTTATAGAAAATTAAGTAAAATATATTTAAGTCTGAATATTTAATCTAGATATATTTTCATCTATCCAAACATTTTCAATTTAATGAATTCTAAACACTTAATTTTCATAGTTCCTTTCTAATACAATAAGTCCTGTTAATTTATTTATTTATTTTATTTTAATCCGTTTTCATAAGTAATGAAAACTCTTCTTCTATTTGTCATATTCCTTGGAATAAGAGCAGTAAGAAGGAAGGATGAAGAACAATTTTAAGCAAATTAAGAAATTTTGCATAATGATCCAAGTTTTGATGATCTAGAGGAAATTGTAGAAAATCCATTGGGAGCCAAAGTTTTATAAACAGTTGCTCTGCAAATAAAAAGTGGAGAAGGCATCGATAGTATAGTTTCCTTATTGACAAATTTAAAGAGTGATCTTGAAGTAGATTATGCATCTATCAAAAGGGAAAATAAATTTAATAAGATGGATCTAATGCAGCCATTTAATCATAATGTAAATCAGACATGGACAGTTATAGTTAAAGAATTTAATTAGCAGTAAATGAAATTAATGATGTTGAATTTAAAGTTGGAAGATTAGAATCAGATATAGAAGATTATACAAGTGAACTAGAACTTAAATAATCTTAAATAGATGTAATTATTTAAATATTTATTTTTAGACTTTTTAAGGAGCTGAAAATTCTTTGAGAGATTTAAGATTAAAATAATCAGCAAATTATAACAAAAGATTAGGTTAACTAAAAGAAATGATAAATGCATTTTAAGTTATGCTACCTAAAATGCATGAATTATATGATTAAGTATAATCGAGAGATGCAGAAGTATAAATTATGATTATTTATAAAGTCTTTTATTTAAGAAGAAGCCTTTGCTAATTCTTTTGTATAATTAGCAAATAATGGACCTTCTAATCCAATTTTAGCTTTAGTTTAGGTTACTTCCATGATGGAACCTAGGTCAATACAAACAATTATTGAAAAAATGGAAGTTGTCAGAGATTCTTTAATAACATCAGTAGATGAAGAAACTGCTTTAGAGGAGTAAGCCATTAGAGTAAATTACTTTTATTTATAGATTAGGATAATGATGTTACTCTTAATGAAATATTTAATGCTATGTAAGCTTTGACTAGAGAAAAGGCAGCAGATGATGAATCTTTATAGGATACTATAAGAACTAGAGATTAATAATAAAAAAGAGGAAGTGATGCTTAAGCTGAATTTGTAGCCTCAAAGGCAGGTATGAAGTAAAGAAGAGGATAATGTTAAGAATTATTAGTCTAATATTAACAAAATACCATTCAAAGAAGTAGAGAAATAGAGATCATTAAAAAAGTATAAATCATTATTTAGACTAAATTAAATGTAGTGAAATCATTCATCCAAGAACAATAGATTTCTTGAACTAATTATTTTTAATCTATATTGATATATTATGTTTATTCAAATATACTAGAGATTGTATTGTATAGCTTTATATTTTCATTCTAATATAAAGTTTAATAAAAATCGAACTAGTTTATAATTTGATTTTTTAATTATCATTTTAAGATGATATAACAAATTTAAGATGTCTTTGAAAGAAATTAAAAAACAATAACATAGATCAACTTTCATAAGATTTATATATTTTTAAGTTATTGAAATCAAATAACTTTGTAAGAAATAAAGACAATTTCTTCAATATTTCTTTTTGATTTTTAGGTCTTACAAAAAGAAATAAGAAATATAAAAAGAAACTTTAGTTATTTGATTATATAAATAATAATTATTTCAATTTATCCATGGCATTAATTCTTCTCATTCCTCTTAATTTGATTATTTTCTCTTTCCTTTGGTTAAAATTAATTACTCTTTTTGTTTTGCAGTTGAATTTTAACCTTAGAACATTTTGGCCAAAGGACTTTATCCATTATTATTATTTCGTTTTCTATATTAAGAAGGTGAAATAGCAATTTTATATCTCTATTCTAAACTCATTCTTTTTGAATTTGTTAAGTCTGGCTTTAATTTATTTTAGTTTATTTGTTTGTTTTGAATTTCGTTTATATTGTTTAATTCACTCTAAATTCCCAAAGACAATTAAGAAGAGCTTTATTGAACAAGGGAGATTAGATTTTACTCTTCCTTTTCACATTTTGATTCTTCTGTAATGAGGAATCTTGGGTTTAAAATATAATTCTTAGTCAAGGATGGGCAAAATAACTGATCTTAATCTTCAAGTTCAACATTTTCTTATTCATATTTTATTGATTAAGACATAGGTCTTTAAACATGAAATTCTAAAGATTTATGTTTCATACTTTATCCACAAATTATCCCCATTTTAATTAAAAGATTCAATTATATAAATATGCAGACTGAGTAAAATTACTTTGAATTAACTATTTATGTATGAATAATTAAAAATAAATATAATAATAATCATATTTGAAAGAGAATTTATTTAAAAATATCTCATTTTATTCTTCCATATAATATAGAATTTGAAGGAATTTAGTGAGTTGTTCTTCTTTAAATTACTGGGAGATGAACTCTTTCATTTGATTATGGATTAGGCAATGTTTTCATTCTAAAACTTAAAGGATCTTATAAATGAGGAATAGAATTAGATTGTAAAATAGGAAATGATTTTTTAAAAGATGCTTTGACTTTATAAGGCTTATTCAAATTTTATAAAGTAGACTTAATTTATTATTTTAATGCTCCAATTAATTTTTCTCTTTAAAACCATTTATGATTCAAAGCTTAATGAGATGAAAGTCTTTCTTAAGGATCTAATCTAAGTAGACCCTTAAGAAAATCTGAAGCCAAGTTACTTACCCTAAGATCGTGAAAGTCAATAAATCCTATTAAATTTTGAATGAGTTTCTCTTGATAATTTCCATCAAATGGCTCCTTTCCTGTGAATAGAATAAAGAGTAAAATTCCAACACTATAAATATCTACTTTGAGATCATAATTATTGTCAGCTAAGACTTCAGGAGCAACATATCCTACAGTTCCACATCGTTTAAATTAATAATGTCCTTCATCATCATAAAATTCAGCTAACTTAAAATCTATTAAACATAGACTATCCAAATTATCTAATTATCTAAAAATAAAATTTTCGAGTTTAATGTCCCTATGCATTATTTTTTTAGAATGGAGATATGCAACAATCTTTATAATTCTAAATATAGCTTTTGCTGCTTTATCTTCCGAAAAAAAAGGATTCTTTGAAACATAATCTAACAAAGAGTGAGAAGGTAAATTTTCAACAATTACATAAATTTGATCTTGATTTTCGAATAGATCATAAAATTTCAATGTTAAATCTGTTTTTAATTAACGAATCACTGATATTTCTTTAAAAAATTATTGTCTATCTTCATCATCTATAATTAATGATTTTTAATAAATTTTAATAATATATTCTGAACCATCTAATTTATTTTTTCCTTTAAATAATTCTCCAAATTTAATTTTGTTGAGTTTTGCAATTATTATATAATAATGAGAGAAATCATATTAGACAGCAAATCTCTTCATAAATTTATACCAATTATTTACGTTTCCAAAGAATTCAATTTTATCAAAACATTTTGTTAAGCGAATTCCCATACCCAACTCAGGATTAGTTATTAATTCTATAATTGCATTTTCATAATTAATCCAAACAATTTTTTCCTAATATTTAATTCACTATTATACATTTTTATTTTTATAAAATAAATACTGATCTAAAAGTTTATAAGCTCTTCTCTTAATTTATTATTTTTTGCCTAAATAAACTACATCTTCTTCAATATTAAAGAGAGTAGGAAGGAATGATAGATGAGATTTATTCCACTTCATTTCTTAAAAGGAAATCTAAAAAAAAGAACGACAATGTTTATAATTACAGCTATATAACATTCTTAAAAGTACCTTGGATTCAAATCTTCACACATATCTTGTAAATTAATTTGAAGTATTTATTATTATTAATAATCAATTTGCCTCATAAATCACTTAATACATAGAACATTAAATTGTTATATACATAATTTTATTCATAATTATTTTAGAGGAATTTAAGATCTTCGAACCTATCTTAATTTATAACCAGCTGATGTTCTAGGAGTATTGACAGGTCTAAGTGTTGCAGGAGTATTAGGTGTCTATGGACTATCTTCAATATTGCATTTTGTAACACAATAAGGACTTAGACTGGATAATGAACTCTTTGGACTAAATTATGTTGAAATTGCAGATTATTATTTAATGTTCGTGTCAAAATAAGCTAATTTCTTTAATGTAGTTTGATTTTATTTTCTGATTTTGAATTGACATGTTTTTGTTAAGTTTTCACTAGCAAACCATGGATGGTTTAAAGCCTCCTCAGCAGTTAATCTCTTGATAGGATTTTTATTCATAAGTCCTTAAAGTAAGTCCATCCCTATATCACTTAATTTGCAATCTTCAAATTTGACTTTTGCATAATAATTTCTCATAACTACATCATCATAATCCTTTCCATCAAATGGCGATTTTCCTGCAATTAAAATAAACATTAGAATTCCTACGCTGTAAACATCTACCTTGAAATCATAAACTTTATCTTATAATAATTCTGGGGCAACATAACCTGGTGTACCACATCTAGTAAATAGATATTATCCACTTGGAGAATAATAATCAGCCAATCCAAAATCCCCTATACAAATATTCTCAATATCATCTTTATTTCTTAGCATAATATTTTCTGGTTTGATATCTCTATGTAAAATTCCTTTTTAATGTATAGATGAAACTGCTTTCAATAATCTAAAAATTAATTTAGAACATTTTTCTTCAGAAAATGGAGGTGATTTCTTCATATATTAATGTAACTCACCTCCTTTCAAATATTCTAAAACTAAAAACAAAAATTCATCTCCTTCAAAAACTTCATATAATCGGATTACAGATTCATGCTGAATTTTTTTCATAATTGATATTTCCTTGATTATAGCTAATCTGTCAACACTTTCATTCAACTTTGCTTTCCTGAAACATTTTATTGCATATTCAGATCCATCATTCTTGTTAACAGCTTTGAAAACCTAGATATTATAAAATTATTTTTTACATCAGCAAAATTCCCTGATCCTATCTTCTTCAGTAATGTATAATGATGAGAAAAATTTCTTTGAATACAAAATTACTTGAGATAATTGTACCATGGTTCTACATCTCCAAAGAACTCAAAAGCTTATTTGTTTTTTGTAATTTTTATTCCAAGTCCTGCCTTCTAATGCTTTGTATATTCAATTGTAGCATTATCTAAATTGATCCATTACTTCACCATCTATTGGTTATTGAATGAATTTACTTGTTTTTTGAAATAGAGCAGATAATTATTCGAGAGTCCTAAAGTTCCTTTATATAATTCTGAATCTTGTTCTAGATACATAGTATCATGCATATTCAAAGCCGCATCCTTCGATGGAAAATCTGTGACATTCCAAAATCCAGTTGTATCAGGGTCATCAAAAAAAGAGTCTTTTTTAATCACATCCATTTTAGTTTTTAAAATATAAAATTTAGAATTTAAGTAATTTCATTTTAATATGTTAATATAAGAGATCAAGTAAAACGATTTAACTAGCATAGAGTTGGTCATTCATATTAAAAATATCTACTAAAACGAAAGAATATGAAAATCAAATATTTATGTAAATTTTAGATTGTCATTTCATTATCTTAAAGTTTAATAGTTTGATCTCATTTATTTTAATTTTAACATTTTATATTTTACATGCAATAAACACAAAATTCAACATATTAATTGAAAATTGTGAATACAGAAACTAGGTCAGATATTGTATATTATCAGATTTAAGTAAGATAAAACAAAATATGATAAGGTTTTAAATACATAAACAAAAATATCATGGAGCTTTGAAGAAAGATATAAAAATCTGAATAATTTGCACACTTAATTATCTTCAGAATTAAAACAATAACTTCCTTAATTCCCAGCCAAAAAATTTTTTGGGAATACCGATCCTGAATTTATTTCAACCAGAAAGGCTGGATTATAGAATTATTTTAAGACTTTACTTTAAATAATTGATGTGGACTAGTGTCCAACTCTGAAGAAATTTTTAATAAAAGGAGAATAAAAACATATAAAAGATCAACCTTAATAATTTAAGTAAGACCCTATCAAGCAAAATGATATATAAGGAAATGCATCTACAAAAGAAAAAATTTAACAGCAAAAATAAATTGAAAATGAGAGAATAAAGAAAGAATTAAAGGAAAAATTAGCAGCTGCAACTTAATAAATAAAATCAAAATTTGTTGATTTAGATAACTTAGTTAATCCTCCAGAAGAACATGATATCAAGAAGAAGAGAGCCTTTTATGATTAAATTCGTTTAGAACCAAAAGTAATTGATTATTTTAATTAGTTAGAATAATTAAGTCAATATTGACATTCCTAAACCTAGTTCATAATCGAAAATGATGATTGCTTAAGCGACAATAGAGTAAACATAACCAAAATTAATATAATTGATATCATAATTACAGACTGGAGTAGAGAGCATAATAAGAATATGAGTATTTAAAATATTAAAAAGATATTTTTCTCATATAATATTAAATTATTGAAACTGTTTGTATTTATGTTATCCATTTTAGAAAAGTTTGACATTTTTGGTGTTCCAATTAAACTGAAAACTATTAAAAAATAAGAACAATTTAAATCATCTCAAAGTGGAGTAATAGCAATTATCATAATGATTTTAAGCTTGGCTTATTTCTTTTATGTGATATCATTATGGATCAATGGAAAATTAATACCTAAAGTTACAACTTCTTAAAGAATGATTGATTATACGACTTATGAATGGGAAAATAGTGAGATTTCCTTTACTCTTTATGATATAAGATCAAAAATAAATCCATTCACCAAAGAAAATAACATTATTATGCCAGTATTATTAGAAATCTCTGGATTAATCATTTCTGCTTATCCTAGATTGTTATTTAGCACATTATAAGTAGATGGAGACAAAAATGTTATAACAATTGATAAAGGAAAATTAGTATTAAGTTAAGTAGATGGGTCGAAAGAAGATGATCAAGAAGATATAAAATAGTATTTTGTATTTTTTACAAAATGTCGCTAGGATTGGATGGAAGAAGGGGGATATTGTGCTGATCAATAAACTATAGATGATTATTTCAGTACAAATCATGGATTATTATTTTTGTCGATTAATCTTCAATAATATAATTATGAGACTTTGGAATTTGATGAAATTAAAAAAACTTAATTTTTTGCCTTTGAAGAAAAAAGCCCATTTTATTCTTAAGTGGTTCTATAAAAATAATAAACAACTATTGATGATGGTATATTATTTAGTAACTTTAAAACTTTTGAAGTAATTAAGGATTATGAAGTTAATACTTAAGCAGTTTCAGCTAAATTTGCTTAGGACACTGTAATAACTGTAGATAATATTTAATTGGAATTTGAATCATTAGGGGCATTTATTTTCAGAATTGACAACATACAAGCAAATGAGACTATACTTATGCCAAAATTAGGAGAAGTATTGGCTCAAATTGGATCCATTGTTAATATTATAATGTTATTGAAAATACTCTCTAATATGATTAATACAGCTATGTTGGAGAGTACCATATTGCATCAAATAATTGAAATTTATTATCCACAATTTCAGCATGTCTAAATTACCAAGAATTTTTTAGGTTAGATTAAATAAGTGCATTATAAAGGTGTTGAAATCAAATTGGCTAATTTTTAGCATAAATATAATTAATTATTAGAAATTGCAAGAACAAAATTCACTTTTAATAATCTTATTTAAGAAATATCTCGTGTTTAATTGGTTTTAATAAATTAGATAGGCATTTAAAATATAAAAAATATATTTAAGATAGAAGAGGATCTGAAATTCTTTGAGAGCGATAGATTATCTAATTCCAATCATCAAATTTAGAATTTAGTTTCCGTATTACCTGAAGAATCACCCAAAAAATCAGAATTTGAAAGATTTGAATTGTTTAATTCAGAATTTCCATCATGACTATTATTGAAATACATAAATATTAAAAATCATACGTCATAAATAAAAGTGTAAATGTTAACATTTGACAAATATCCATTCTTGGCCTAACTTGGTTTAAAAGCTGAAAATTATGGATCATCTCTAAGTGGAACATGGGTAGGAGATGGAGAGTGGACTACTAGTTACAATCCAAACACAGGAGAAGCTATAGCAAAAGTTAAATTAGGAACACTCTAATAATATGAATAAGGAATGTAAGAGCTATTGAAAGTTAAGAATATGTGGGCAGAAGTATTTGAATTGTTTAAATTAGTTACCTATTCCCAGAAGAGGGGATATAGTAAGATAAATAGGAGATGAGTTTAGAAAATAGAAGGAAGCTTTAGGAATGTTAGTTTCTTTGGAGATGGGTAAAATAAAATCTGAGGGTTTGGGTGAAGTTTAAGAAATCATAGATATTTGTGATATGGCTTGTGGATTATCAAGATCCTTATATGGATTAGTAATCCCATCAGAGAGACCCTCGCATTTCATGATGGAATAATGGAATCCCTTGGGTGTAGTAGGCATTATTACAGCATTTAACTTTCCAGTTGCAGTATTAGGATGGAATTTAGCACTTGGATTTATTTGTGGTGATGTTTGTGTTTGGAAAGGAGCACCTTCAACAAATTTATCATCCATTGCTTGTACAAATATCATTCATGAAGTCTTTAAAAGAAATGGAGTAAACTACTAAATATAATCTATTAGTTACCAACAAGTATATTATTCACTATTTGTGGAGATGGTGTATAAATTGGAGAAGCAATAACAAGTGATAAGAGAATTCCATTAGTATCCTTTACAGGTTCCACTTAAGTAGGTAAAATCATTGCTGCAAAGGTGGCTTCCAGATTAGCCAGAAGTCTATTGGAATTAGGAGGAAATAATGCCTAGATTGTTCATGAAGATGCAAATGTTGATTTAGCACTTAAGGCTGCAGTATTTGCAGCTGTTGGTACATGTGGATAAAGATGTACATCTTTAAGAAGATTGTTGTTACATAATAGTATTGCAGAAACATTTATTCAAAAAATGGTTAAAGTTTATGCTACCATTAAAATTGGAAATGCTTTAAATGATGGTAATTAATTCTTTTATTTTTAGATACCTTATGTGGTCCACTTCACACAAGAGCATAGGTTGAATAATACAAAAAAGTTATTCCTGAAATTCAAGCATAAGGAGGAAAATTACTTTATGGAGGAAACGTAATTGAAGGTCCAGGAAACTTTGTTTAACCAACAATCTTTGAAGTTAGAGCTGATCATCCTATTTTACAACATGAACTCTTTATGCCTATCTTATTTATTGTTAGATATGATACTTTAGATTAAGCTATTGAAATTAATAATAATGTTCCTTAAGGTTTGAGCAGTTCATTATTCACTTCTAATTTAAGCAATTCATACAAATGGACTGGACCTTTAGGATCAGATTGTGGTATTGTAAATGTTAATATTGGAACATCTGGAGCTGAAATTGGAGGAGCTTTCGGAGGTGAAAAAGAAACAGGAGGTGGTAGAGAATCAGGAAGTGATTCATGGAAAACTTATATGAGAAGATCTACATGCACTATTAATTTTGGTAAGACCTTACCCCTTGCTTAAGGAGTTAAATTTGATATTTGAAAACATTATATAATTACAATGTAAACATTAAAATTAGAATATATTTAATTATTTTTAAATTAAGAATTATTATATCCTGAAAGATGCCTAAAATTTTAATATGAAAATTTATGATTTAATCAACATACTTTTAATGAAATAAAAAATTTATATAATTTAATTCCTATAATTAATATTGAGAATATTGAATTGATTTAATCTAATATATTGATAATGATAGTAGTAAGATTCTTGTTTAATGGCATGTGAATTCTATGTTTAATTATTTAAATCGAATACTCTATAATATAGATAAGAATAAAAAGATAGGAGTATAATATGCTTTAACTGGTAATTTTGGAAAATTTATCGAAAAAGATATCTTATTTATAATTTTCTATAAAACACTTTGAATATCAACTAAGAAAGGCAAATATTTATAAGGATTATATGTTTTATATTGAGGATATATTATATTTAGTTATTAAAAGGAATAGGTATGGAGTTGGGGTTTGTTAGATTTATTAAAATTAAAGGATTAGAAAATATTGGTGATTGTTTAAATTATTTTAGTATGCAAGAATTTGCATTGTAGTTTCAAACTGAACTTAAAGAGATTTTAGCTGATAAATTATAAGTAATATATATTTGAGATCTATCAAGCTAATCTTAAAGTTTAGCTGGAAACACTACTATTCAATTGTAATGGTCTAATTAATTGAAATTATCAAGGTATTACTGATTGTATGATAATAATAATTTGGTTCTTAATTCATTTGGAACCAAGGAATGCTAAATGAGATATTCATATAAGTATTTAGAAGTATATGCTAACTCTAAGGAAAGAGATCCTCCAATAAATGAATTATAGTGATACTTTAAGGATATGAAATATATTTATTAACAGATGAGTAATAATATTAATATTTTCAATAATTAATGAGTGAAGAGCGTATAGAATAAAGACCTGAGACATCAAAATGTTCTCGATTGGATAAAAGGAGAATGATAAGTTAGAATTCTTAAAGAAATCGTACTGCCATTTAAAGCAGAACTGCTTAAAATTTTAATCCAAATAGTTATAATGGGATGACATTGGAAGAATATTTTAGAAATAAAGTTTAAGAGAATAATAATGCATAAGTAGATAAAAAAAAAAAAGTAGTGAAGTTTTGTATGATAGTTTTTGGTAACAAGCAATGAATTCTTTAAAGAATTCTAAAATTAAGATGTTATGAGAAGAACATATATGGGAGATAGCAAATATATGAATATGAAATAGGACATGAAAAAGAAAATATAGGATTATGATAAGAATTTGTTTTAAAAATATGCTAATAAATTTGATTTGGGGAATGGTTTTGGAAAGTGAATTTATTATATATATATATTCACAATTTTTAAATAAAATAAATAAAAGATTTCAATATTTATGGGTAAGTAATATGCAAGAGAGCCAGCTGTTGCTAAGAAATCATGTAAAGCTAAGGCTAGTGATTTAAGAACACATTTTAAAAATACTTATGAAGTGGCAAGAGCCATTAAAGGATAAACACTTGCATAAGCATTAAAATATTTATAAGATGTATTATAACATAAAAGATGTGTTCCATTCACTCGTTTTAATGGTGGAGTAGGTAGAACAGCATAAGCAAAAGAATTCGGTAGATCATAAGGTAAATTGAGCATACTAATCATTATTTAGGTAGATGGCCAGAAAAGAGTGTAAGAATTGTTTTATCATTATTGTAAAATTTGGCTGCAAATGCTTAAGTTAAAAATTTAAGTAATGAAAAATTGATCATAAATCATGTCTAAGTAAATAGAGCATAAAAGGGTAGACGTAGAACTTATAGAGCACATGGAAGAATTAATCGTAAAAAATTAAAATATTGCAGCATTTTTATCATCCAATGCTCATATTGAATTGTGGGCTGCAGAAAAAGATGAAAATGTTAAAAAGGAAACAAATAATCAATAGGTGGCTCGTTAATCAAGAAAATAAGTGGCTAGATCAAAATTATCTATTGGTGCATGAATTTATAATAATACATATTAAATATTAATTTTATGAATAACCATTCTCGTTTTCGATAAAGTTCGAATACTTAAAGTTTTAATTATTTACCTGCCTGGAAATAAAATGATTGTGAAGAAAGGAAGAAATATCAAATAATCCTTTTACCTGTCAATCAACCTAGAGAAGATTACATAATTAGTTCTATTTATTAGATGTTTAATACTCAAGACATAGAAGTGAATAAACTTATATATTATTACTTTTATAAGCTAAAAGAGAGTGGTCCTCATTAATTCTTAACAAATAAATTATACTAGATTTAATAAGAAGAATTAGAATTCTTCATTCCTTAATTAGTGTAAATAACAAATTTGTATATAAATTAGGTATATACTAATAAAGAATGATTCTCCATATTTAGAAAAGTTTATAACAACATTATGTAGCAAAAGTATTGCATTGTATTAATTAATTAAATGGTGTTGGGTTTCTTATTCTGACAAGGATAGAACAGATAAGAATAAAATGAAGAGATTATAAAGAATAGACGATGTAAAAATAACAATTACCATACTAGTAATTTGAATAATCGATGTTAACCTTACATAATGATCATAGTGCAGTAAAAATTCCTAATTTATAATTAAAATCATATTAAAGTGTAGTAGATCTCTATCTAAACAATCTAATTTAAATGTCATTAATACTTAAAACATATAAGCCAGAGGAGAGGAAACCAAAATTGAAAAATTTTATAACAAGAGCAAATGTAGCATTAGAGAAATATAGATAAAAACATTAAGAATATTACTTTTGTTAAGGAATTACAGTACCTTTTACTATGAGCAAAGATTAGGATGTTGCAGTGCATTCAAATTTAGTAGTCAGAATTATAGAAGGTGAATGTTCATGTTTCAATACCAAAAAAAGAGTTCCTTATAGAATTGTTGTGGAAACTATTGAGTATATGAAAATATTATTTATAGTCCTCATGAGTTAAAATATAAATAGCCAAAGAAGATTGCAAATAATTCAATTACTAATAATAGATCATATGCAAATTTAGATGATGATTCAATGGAAGATTTCTTGTAAGCTGATTTAAATCAACCAAATAAATAGGAAATAGAAAAAAAGATGGAAGAATTAGCAAAAAATAGAAATAAAAAAGAATACACTGATCTTATGAAAATTACTTAAAAAAAGGAACCTAAAAAAGGAATGAAAATATTTAAGAATATAATGAGTGCTGTTTATCTAACTAAAAAAGAGAAAATTACAGAAAGTGAATAAGATTAAGAATTAATTCTATAGGAACAAATTATGAAAAATCTTTAATTATATAAATAATTTACAAATGCAATAGAAGAAGAGAAATTTTAAAAAAATAGACAAAGGTAAGCATTTAATATTATAAAAAAAGATTTAATATTTTATTTCCAGAAAAAACAAATGAGAGAACTTAGTCATGCATTCCTAAATTAAATAGTAAATATAGATAGTAGGGATAAAGGAAAGATAAAAATTACTGGTTAAGGCAATACAAGGAAAATAAAAAAAATGGATTTAGAAATAAACATAAATCAATTAAATAATTAACTGCACTTGGAAGAGTTAGATTCTTTAAAGAGTTGATATAATGTAAATAAATGATTATATAATTAAGTTTGTCCAAAACAGGAATAAATATTAAAAAAGATATATATACATCTTTAATATGATTTGATTGAGAAAAAATTAGAAAAAAATAAAGTAGATATTCATCAAGATGGAATAGAATTACATAGTAAATTTGGACCATGGGATGAATTATGGGAAGATAGGGCTGAAATGATAAAGAGAGAAAGTCCATATTAACATTTTGAAACATATCGTCTTAAACCTATTATTGTTAAAGGAGGAGATGATCTAAGATAAGAACTTATGACTATGCAGATTATATATAAGATGTATTAGGCATTTTAGAGTAATGGTTTGGATATGTATGTTAAGGCTTATGAAATTATAGTTGTAAGTGCAAGTTCAGGAATTCTGGAATTTTGTGCAGATACTATTTCCATTGATGGTTTAAAAAAGAAATATCCAGCTTGCAAATCTCTTGTTCATATTTATAAAGAAATATTTCAATAAGATTTTGAAGAAGCTTAAATGAGATTTATTTAGAGTCTTGCTTCTTATTCAATTATCAGTTATTTATTATAAATAAAGGATAGACACAATGGAAATATTTTGATAGACAGTAAAGGAAGAATAATCCATATTGATTTTGGATTTATTCTTTGCATTTCTCCTGGAAATCTAAACTTTGAGAAGGCCCCTTTTAAACTGACTCAAGAATATATTGATTTAATGAATGGAAGAAATTCAGATCTTTTTTTATATTATAAGAATTTAATGTATAGAGGATTCAAAGCATTATAAGGATATGTTGATGAAATAATAATGATTATTGAAATTATGATGTAGGATAGTGATTTACCTTGTTTTGAGAGATTCGACATAAAAGAATTTAGAGATCGTTTCAAAGAGGAGGCAAATGATGAAGAATTGTAAAAATATGTTGAAAAATTAATTGATTACAGTGACAATAATTGGAGAACAATATAGTATGATAATTTCTAAAGAATGACTAATGGTATAATGCCTTGAATATTAAAATATGCGATATTTATAAAATCTTTATTAAATTCATTAATGATATTTATACTACTTTTATTGATATCTTAAACAAATGCTCTTTATACAAAGAAAGTCTATAGAACTAGAGGTTTTAATGTTATTGATATTGATCTGGAGAAAAATGATGATTTAAATAAAGGATCAACAACAATAAATATTATCCTTGAAAATAATTCACTATCAACTGTTCCTCCATTTTTAGCTTATTGTTACACTAAAAACTAATAAATTGTAAAATAAATTATCAGCTCTCCTGAAGCAATCAGGAACTAAATTGAATCAAATAAGTAATAATGAGAATTGATCATATTTAGAAAATTATGTGTCTTCGATAATAATGCTCTTTTATATTCATAACGCATATAACAGATTGTATTATCAGATCTATTAAATGATGAAAATGAATAGGTTTACAATAAATTGGGCATTTTTAAGTTAAATGAAAAAAAAATTTCTATTTATATATATTCATCTGATGATGTTTAATATACAATAATAATAAAGGGTTCTTAGAAGGGAGAATGCTATAAGTTATATTTAAAATTTAATTAGTTAATGTAATAATAATGGATTGTGTATGAGTAATGAAATATTATTTTGTAAATGTAACGAAGGATATTTGGATAGTACTTGTTAATTATAAAGCACTGTTATTAATGCTCCAAGTTTAGTTTAGGTAGAATAAATTATAATTATAGTTTGAAATGAAACAATATTTATATTAAATGATTCTGATCATTCCTTTAAGAACATCATCAACTTCATTATTAATTGAAGTAAATTCAAATACAGGAATAATAGCATATTTAGGATGTCAATATGATAAAGATTTTATTCCATTTTATCAAAGCAATTCATTTTATGAAACAGAAATTTCGACAGGAATTATGAAATTAACAAAAGATGATATTTAATATTGTTAAGAGAATTTAAACAAAATTGAATCTAGTTTAGGAATTGAAATGGAAAATTATGTAATATTATTGTTAGTTAATGATCGAAATTAATAAACATAAGTAGAATTAAAACTCTAAATAGATAGTAATAAAGATGATAATTCTGGGCTAGAATTATATTACATTTTAGCTGGTGCATTAGGAGCTTTGATTGTTGCATTATTAATAATAATATGTGTTGTTTATTTTCAAAGAAAAGCTAGAAGAATTAACAATGGTGTTTAAAACATCATAAATTAGAGACAACTTTCACTTTAAGGAAATATAAAGAAAAATTTAAGATAGGATCATATTCCAGTAGAATTATATGAATAAATTATTCAAGAATATCCAGGATTAATTGAAATTTCTGATTGTTAAATTTGTCTTGTGGAATTCAAAAAATAGGATTTAGTCAAATTAACATATTGTTTACATTTATTTCATTCTATATGTTTAGATGAATGGAGAAAAAGAAATTAAGTATAAAAATCATAGATATTCATAGACCTGTCCATTTTGTAGAGAAGATTTAACGAAAAAGAAAGGCATTTAGTAAAGAATAGAAGAAAAGATTTATTAGTTGGGAGTAATATAAGGTGATGCAATGTAAATAGATGAGCATAAACTTGCCGAATTATAAAAACGAGAATAAAGATTGAAACATTTACAATGTATTCATTAATCTTCAATAATAAAGAAACATCCTCTCCTAATTCTGCCAATCCACTATCATAGAAGGAAAATACTCCATCGCCATTTTTAAAAGGGGATATAATTACTTAGTAGCTTTGTTTATAATAAAAAAAATGAAAATTATGATTTTAATTAATGTTTGTATATTTATTATTTACTGCTTGTTATGCTGATTTTATTTTTAACAAAGGATATCAATAAGTTTTAGGGTAGATAAATATCGAAACTACATCCTTATTAGAAAAATAGATTCCAGAAAATGAAAGACTTGTTATATCAATATCTAATTATCCTAAATAGAGAATCCCATTATTGTTGTTTTGTAGAGCAAACCATAGTTTTCATAATTAACCTGATCTTTATACAATTTAAAAGTAATATCGAATATTTAAACTAGATAAAATTGTATTGCTGACTTGAATTCATATGATTTTAAGAGAGTCAACCAATAAATAATAGTAGAATACAATCATAAAAATAATAGCTTTATGAATATTGTTTTTTAAGAGAAAGGTAATATTCCCTTTATTATGGTTTACTCAGAATAAAAAAGTGACTTTGTCATAACTTTTGCCTTTAAACAAAAGTAATCCTGTTATGTGTATATATATAATGTTAATAATTCATTTAGGGAATGCTAGTATGGAAGCATTTGTTTTAAAGGCCAATGTCTTTGTTAAAGAGGATTCTTTGGAGATGATTGCAGCATCAATATAATATAATTGCAGGAAAACGATAATTTTGAATAAGATGTTATATATTATATAAACGCCACGAAGTTAGAAGTAATGTATTAATAAAAGATAATAGGAAGTATCTATGAATTTTACAGAGAAGTCAAATTTTATAATTGGATGTTTAGCTTTTAATCCTTATGTTTATCGAGGAGAGTTTATTTTTAATAGCTTTCTAGAACTTTCTTATTAAAAACAGATGGATTGTTTAGAGGAAACTTAAAAAGTAAATAAAGAATTTTCAATAAATTTATAACCTTTCTATGTTTTCATAGCTTAATAAGATATCATTTATTTGGAATCTCAATCAAATGAATCAAATAAAAACACAATTCTTTATATAGTCACATCAATTGGAATATCATTGTTAGTTGTAATTGTTTATTGTTGGTTTCATTTTAAAAAATCAAATAGAAGAATGAACAATCTAATTACAACGTAAATTCCAACATCTGAATAAATGGCATCTATTAATACGATAAACAAATATTTACCTATATAAATATATGATGAAGTCATCAAAAAATTTCCTGGACTTGCAGATGACCAGATTTGTTAAATTTGCTTAGAAACATATAAAAAGGAAGATTAAGTCAGAATAACTTATTGCACTCATTTTTATCATGTAGAATGTATAGATTTATGGATTAATAAAAATGATGTAAAATTATTATATCATTTAAGAAATGCCCAACTTGTCGATCATCTTTGAATATCTAAACATTAAATAAATTTATCTATAATAATTTAGAAGATGGAAATCATACAATAAGCACTTGTTCAAAATAAATAATCTTTGAATAATCACATAAAAATATTAGATTGCATGGATACAATAGAACATCTAGTTCTCCAAATATTCCTCAGAAAATATCATGATCATTTTAAATATGATTAATAAGCTTTCAATTTAATTAATTATTTTTATGATTTCAATTATTTTAACTTTGATACAGACAAGTGTTGCTGATATTCTGTATTAAAATTCCTTCAATTCAACAATTGGAATTTAGAGTATTCCATTAAATTAATATTGTTCAAGCCTCTCTTAAGAAAATAAATTAAGAGTTATGTTAACTTAATAATCAAATAATCATTCTTTGTTAGCAATTTGTTAGACGAACTTAATTGATTTTGAAAAATTTTAAACTCTTTTTCAGCAAGATAATTATCATGATTACAATTGCCTTGTAGACTACAATGCCTACATATTAGAAAACTAAACACAGTAGATTGTTCTTTCTCAATAGAAAATGCCAACTTTAGTTTCTTAATACCATAATATATTTTCAATAGAAAACAATTCATGTTTTGCCATAATATATTCAAAACTTAATTCGATTTTGATTTTAACAATTGAAAGAATCGGAATTGATGATTGTGTTGTGTAATTATATTAACTAATTAAGCAACTGTAAAAATTAGGGAATTTGCATTAAAGGCTTCTGTTAATGTCCCTTAGGTTATTTAGGATTTGATTGTAATATAGTATCATCAAATATACATCAAAACAGTTATTTTCATGGATTACAAATATTTTATTTAGATCTCATAACATTGTAGACTAATGATTATAAATTGATTCTCAATTCAGAATTACAATATACAATAACTTGCTATGCCAATTCATCTCATTTGTTATTTACTTCTAATCAAAACAGTATCATATATATCACTGAAGAATCAATAATCTAATGTAAAGAAGCTACTGAAAGACTAAGAGTTTTTACACAACTTAGATATTATTCCTAATTTGTAATAATAACAAATACTACCAGTGTAGTAAAATTAGCAGAATTGGAAGAACAATATTATTCAATCATTTTAGTAATCTCTGTTCTAGCATCAATTCTAGGTGTTATTTTGCTTTTTATGACACTAATATACCTGCTTAAAATATATAAGGCAAAATAAGCTATTAAGAATAAGCAATAATTTGAAAACTTAATGCCTGCTTAATAGTTTATGTTAGTATCAGATAGGGTACCAGAAATTAAAGTTGAAACTACATGCTCAATATGTTTAGAATCATTTAAATCTAGTAGTCTAGTTAGAATGACATATTGTGAACATATTTTTCATTCAAGTTGTTTGGAAAAATGGATGAAGAATAATAAAGTATAACATAAATAAACTTTTAGGTTTGTCCATTATGTAGAGCAGGTTTGGATACATAAACAATTTAGTCAAAGAAAAAAATTGAACCTTAAAATTTTAAAGGGAAAAACGGACAAGGATCCATTCTTTAATAATTAAGTTTTTTCCCAAAACATGATGGTACTTTACATTCTATAGATGGAAGTCTATCCTATCATTCTCCAGTTATAAAATCATTACCAATTAATTAACCAAAAAATTTGAATTGAAATGAAATTTTATAATTATATCAATAAATCAATCACTTTTAAATTCTTTAATGGTGAATCTCTTAATAGATATTTATATTTTAGAATTATTATTTCTTCATATTTTTATCAAACTTTATAAAGAATATATAATATATTAATGAATATTAATTCGATTAAATCACTTCTTTAATATAGTTTTATTTTTAATCTGTTAATTTAAAATTAAAATTTCCATATAGATTATTCTTGAGTTTTTAGTGTAGAAAAGAATTCTTAATATGTTCATAAACTAGTCAATGATAAAATTTAGATTAATTTATTGATGATCTCCTTTTTATTGATTAAAATATTTGTTTTTGAAAACTTTGTATGAATATAGAAAATTTTTGAATATTGATTTGAATAATCATTTTGTTTGAATTACTATTTCATTAAATCTATCTTAGCTTCAAAGTCCAAAATTTAAAGAAATAGTGTGTTTATTCTGAATTTATCTTAAGTGCATATTCTACATATTATAATAATAAAATTTATTTATTAAATAACGTCATATGACAATGTAATAATACATAAATATATTCATTCTATTTCATCATTTATAATAATAAATCCAAATCCTAAGATAATTAATATAAAATTATGAACATTTCAATGGCAATTATTGTTTTCCTCATATTAAGTATTGGTTCCTGCTTTTAGAAATCAATATTGATAACTAGACATGGAGCTAGATCACCAAAAGTATATACAGAAATTGATAGTACTTATTATTGGACAAGTTAACCAGAAGATTTAACTGAAATTGGATTATAATAACATATTAACTTAGGATAGAGTAAAAATGGAATATCAATTACAGATATGAATGGAAATTGCATTTACGAAAATTTAGAAATTTAAGCTTCTACAACATAGAGAGTTATTATGTCTACTATTGGATTTCTAAAAGGTTTATGTCCAAACAATTATTAAGAGATTATTAAAAGATATTTCAATGAATATTATGCTTAATATTCTACAAATAGTGAAGCATGGAACTAGATTATGGCTTCAGATTTTCAAAATCCATTAGAATTAGAACTCCATTATTTTGAAAGACCTAATGATTTCCTATTTCATGGACATAAAAAAACAGTTTGTCCAGCTATTAAAGATCTGAAAAAATAAATTGAAGCCAGTGAATATTTTAAATAAAAAGAAGAAGAATTTAAAAATAGACATGAATTTGATGAAGTTTTTGATATTATCAAAGCTGCTTATCCTAGTAAATCTTTTAAAAAGAAATCTATAACTTTATCGGATATTGAAGATATATTTGATGATTATTAAAGTAATCATGTATAAGGATTTCTATTTCCAAATCCATCATAATCAGCTATTAATTATATGCAAGAAGTAGTGAAATTTATTAGATATTATGAAGATAATTGTGATTCTTTAGAACATTATGCTTAATTAACAGAACCATTTAAATGGATTATCTCTTAATTATATTCTACTACTCCTCTTAGTTGGTATTCAGGACATGATACAAATTAAGTAGCTATATTATCAGCCATTTCAGACTTTCAACCAATAGTACCATTTGCATCATAATTGGAAATAATAGTGAAAAATGAAATAGTTATGGTCTATTTTAATAGACAACAGATTTAAACAAAATTCTGTACTGATGGCTACTTTTGTACTAGAGAATAAACAGTAAATTACTTAATGTAATTCATTCATCCAAATCTTAAATCACTTTGTGGTTTAGAATTAATTGATTGAATTTGATTTATATATATATTTATAACTCTACATATATTAGAATTAATTTATTTTTAAAAATATCAAGCAGTTTTAATTAAGATAATTAAAATATTAGATATTTTTAACATAATACCTTTTATGTCTGATTTTTATAATTTATAATTATAATTCATATAAAATGTTGTTAATTAGAAATAATTTAATATATATTAGAACAGTATTTATTATTAAATTGAATCAATTGATTCAAAAATGTATACTTCTTTTCTAATTAAGAATTAATTTATCCTTAGCTTTCATTAAATTTACTAAATCATTAGCCGTTTATTACATCGAAAATCTTATAAATTTAAATAATTTACTTATGACTATTAAGCATAACTACTTAAGATTTCCTACTTTGCATGATATTTTTATTTGGAATTGTGATTGTTTTCTTTTTAATTATTTATCTAGGAGTTCTTCCATCATTTTCCAATATTATTAAATCGATTTATTAAACAAATTGAGAATTATTATCTATTTTTATATCCTTTAAAGATTTCCAAGAATTTAAAGGTTCTAAATTGTTTAAAATTGACTATATTTTTCTTAAATTTAATGATTTTTATATTGCGTAGATAAGTACACTCACATAGAAAAACAAACTTTCAACCCCATTTGTAAATTTAATACTATTTACAAAAAAATTAAAGTAGGCATTTTTTAATGAACTAATTAATCCAAGTTTGAATAGTATATTACCAAGCAAATATGAAGGACCTCTCGAAAAGATTACTGAAAATAATCTAAAATAAGATTTTTAAATATACTTTACAAATGCTTATTAATATAAATTGGATTAATCACTATCAAAAAACCAAACTATAAGTAAATGCAATAATGTATCATTCATTAAACTAAATACATTTTTTGGAGTATCTTATTATTCACCAAATAACATTAAACCTTATTAAAGAGTAGTAATTAATAATTATCGTTTAAATTTCGAAGATGAATCATCATGCAATTTTACAATTACTTTACAAATATAATCTCCAATTTCATAAAAACAATCTTTCAAAGATCTTTTAAATGAATGAAGTTCAGAATGTTAAAGACAATTTAAATAAATTTAATTTATTATTAATCCACATTCACATGAAATCTCTGATATAGATTTATCATTATTATTAATGTCATATAAATAGACTCTAAATATTTATGTTAATATTTCATTATTGAAAAATTATGGTAAAATAAAATCTTATTCTATTTTAATTCGCTATTGTTATTTTTTATCTGTTTAAGTCAAATTAGTCATATTTTGAAAAACATTTTGAATAAGAATTTTCAAGATAGATATACAGGATGGTAATAAAGATATATCAGATGCATATTTAATTGCTTTTCTTTCAAAACTACTAGATTAGATTGATATTTTAGGACTTGGATACAATCCTTTTAATCTTCCACTTGAAAAGCCTTCATAAAATGAAGAAATATCAACACTTTATTCAGTTTTAACAGGAAATAATCTTGGGCTTTTTCTTGAAATTTGACCAATACTAATATTGCTAGTAACCTTTGAAGGTTAAATCCATTTTTAAAGTTCTTGATTTCCAATAGTTAATCTTGGTAATTAATTAATTGTTTAAGCAATTTAAAGATTTGTTAAATTCTTTTATTACAAAGTTTATTTAATATTTCTTCTACTATTGGGTCTAATTAGTAATGTATCATTTTTTATTATTTATTTAATAAAATGTTTTTCTTTAATAGAAATTTAAACAATCGATTGATATTTTTATCTTTCATTTATGAATAATCTAAGATTATCAATATCCTTTCCTTCAACTTCACTTGCAAATAAATATTCACGTATATTTTAATTTAAATGCCAATTTAATTAATTCATTCCATATTATTATATATAATTCTTACCTGGTTACATTTATCCTAAGAAATCAGTAAGTTTCTTCTTTTCATTAAGATCAATTTCAGTATTATTATTAAAACGATCAAAATTTACTTAAGATTTTAATAACCCTGTAATGTTTACTGTCTTATCACTTTAATTGTTTTTATTAGCTTTGAAAGTATCTACTTTCATTTTCAAAGACAAAAATAAAAAATATTATATCCAATTAGTGCATTCTAAATATTACCAAAATTATTCAAATACATAATTTCCCATTTCATATTCATCCATTATTATTTCTAAGCAATATGTTTAAACATTTTACTTTACACAAGTATTTCAATATTTTCATTATACATCAAAGATACAAACTAAAACATAAGATTTAATTCAATAATTAATAATATAGATTATCTGCGATTTACTTATAATAGAGAATCCAATAATAGAGTAATTTAATTAAGATCTACATTCTTATCTTTGTCATTTAGAGCATCATAAATGCCATGAACTAAATTAATATTTAAAATTATACATAATTTTATAATGAATTATGGTACTAATTTACTAATTACAGTATAATTATTTTCGTGAATCAGTAATTTTAGAGTTTTCAAAGAACGAATAAGACATAATTAATCTATATCTTAAGTTTGATCAGGTTTCCTTGATTTATAATTATGCTTAACTTTTACATGACTATAGTGATGGGACTGTAGATATAAAAGTATAAATACCCATTCATGTATAGTAGATAAATGATTTGGATCGAAAATGTATTTAAAAATTAATTCTAAATATTCAGGACTCCTAAAGTAGTCTAATTATTCATTGACAATAGGAATATTATCTTAACATATCCATTTTTATATTTCTTCATTTGGATCAATTTCTATAGAAGATTCAGTTGCTTCACTATTGTCAATAAGTTAATCTAAATCGACTTGAATTGAACTGGAAGATCTTATTATTTAATTTTAATAGAAATCTTTTTAATAATTAATATACTATACATTGTTCAAATTGATCTTCAATTCTATTGACCCAAGTACAAGCACCAAAGATTTCATTTTTACAATCTTAAAAGATATCAACCAACAATTTTATAATTTATTGATCTCTAGTATTAAATAGAAAAGACATAAAAATTCCACATCTACTCTCTAAAGACTATTTTAATTTAGAGACTAATAGAAACATTGGTTTTAAATAGGTAACTCCAAATTGTTTTGATATTACCAAACTTTCAATTACATTTTTTGCGAATGCCTATCCAATTTATAATCCTAATATAATATTTTAGTACTTTGATTGACTTTTTCTTCTTCTCCCAGCTGATCTACAACTTAACATAGTCTTTTATTCTTACAATAGGGCAAGTTCATTCAAACCCTTATGTAAACAATTTAAGAACTCTAGATTTTAAAATCTTTCCATCATAATATTCAGCAATAGTTTTACAGGTTCTTCTTAAAAGGGATAACAACAAAACACTTAATAGTAATATTAATAATACATTATCTTATTAAATTAGAGTTTGAAAAAGTTTCATAAAATGGCAGTTATTGTGCTAATTATTGACATCCTCTAGTAATATTTGTCATTCTTTTATATTCATCTTCTTCATTTAGCTAATTATTAAGTTAGATTATTACAGCATATTCAAGTATCATATAAATTAATATATAAATATATAATATCAATCATCTAGCCTTTACTTAATGATCTTTTTTTTGTTGTTCAACTTTCTCCTTGACACAACTTAGAAATTTCTAGCCTTTCTTTTTATCAATAAGATCGGTAGGCACATTTAATCTATTAGATATAACTATTTGAATTATTACTTCTATTTAATAGAATCTAAAATCATTTTCTATGGAACTATGATCTATTCTCCATCCATAGATTTCATACTATGAAATTAATTTACAGCTACTCTTGTAGGTATAAAAATTGAAGAACATTTCATTCTCTAATTCAATATTAAAACTGCCTTACTGTTTGGATTTGGAAGTATTTGTAGTAAGGATTACCATGATTACAATTAATTTAAACTTACTTAAACAACAGATAGATTTCTATTATTAATTGATTCATTAATTATATGGATAATGAATGTTAAATGTAAATAAAATGATTCTACACCTGTTGTGCATATCATACCATTTTTACTATATTTTGAATAAAAATTATATAGAGAAGTGATGAATCCTAATTTAAAAATTAAATGCATAATTATATGTTATGGAGCTCTTGTCATTATGAGGATAAATAAATTGATAAATTACTCCTATTGGATATTCAATTAAATGTAATCGAAATACCAAATTACTAAAATATGTAATACAGTCTCATTCAAATACAAATAAGGATTCTTCTATTAAATTTAGGATTTACTCTATTCAAACATTTAAAATCCATATAATATTGTATCAGTAATAATAAATTATTTGAAATTTAATTATTAATGACCCATCTTATTTTATTATTTATTTAGTTTTACAATTGTCTTACATAAAAAATCAATAACATTTGTAAAACATGTTTTTAAACTTTCTACAATTAAATTAGATTATTTTAGTCTAGGATAATTGGAATATATTTAATTAATAATCATCCCACATTCATCAGCACTAGATAATAATCCATTATTTGAACAATGTAAAGATGATAAATAAATTTGAAATAATCTTTCCAAATTATTTTTTGTAATTATTGAACAAAATACTAAATCTGTATTTAATTTATATAATTATTTGCATAATCCTAAAGTGTTAATTTTCCTCCAGCAATAATGAAATGCTGTTTAAATCAATCCCTTTATTAATTAAGAACAAGAAGAAGCTGTGGATTCATTTTTATGTATTTATTACAAATCCTTCTCAAATTTAGTCTCTTGTTGCATCTTATAACTAGGATAAATAGTTTTCAAACGACTACTCGAAAATCCGTCATTAGAACTAAAATCAGACTTATCAGAACCAAAAGTTCTTAATCGAATTGAAGTGTTCATAAGCAATTATTGTTTCTGTTGAGTTCCCTGTCTAAGATAATTTTTTTATTAATTAACATTAATCCATTTATTCTATTTTGTAGCTGAATTTAATCGAGGTAAGGCTTTACTATTTTTATTAAGTGTAGATTTAGCATCAAATTTATCTATATCAATAGCACTTAACTTTTAACCACATAATCCTTTATTTTATGGACTTACTGAATTGTGTTATGTTAAAACTATTGTTCTTTATCTTTTAAATTTTTATTCATCAAAATTATGTTAAAATTTAGAATGATTTTAATTTCTTTATTTTACAAATTCATTTAGATTATCTAAATCTTTAAACTTAAATTCTTGACTTGAAATATATTCTGGTATATCATCATACAAATGCCAGTTATTTTTAGTCATTCCATAAAAATCATTTGGAGTTTTACCTGGAGTAATTTAACCTAAAAGTTCAGTTAAGTATTTTTTCTCACTTAAATTTGATTCTTAAATTATAGGTAATTTATCAAAGTTAGTTTAAGCCTTCAATAGGGGAATAACATGATACTAAAATTAATCTAATTTATTACTGCTTATTCAGATTTATAAGATCTCTCCTACTTAGATCTGTCTACTGTTTAGTTAGTCATTATTAATGTTAGATAATCAAATAATTAAGAAGATTAGATATATAACCAAAATAATTCTTAAACATGCATACCTAATTAATATTCATCATCAATTAAATTCATCATCTCTAGTATATTAATAAAGATTACTTTCACAAATATTTAATAAATAAGGATTATAAATGTATTAAGAAAAAGCAAATAGCAAATTTAAATCTACAACATAATAGAGACAAGATTTAGGACTTTGCAAAAATAAGTAATCAATCAAAAAACCTATATGTTACAGATTAACTATTTTCTCATAATCTGCAAGAGATTCATAAATCATATAAACTAAATTGAATTATAATTTACATATTTTCATCAACAATTGAGGTACTTATTTAGTGATGATAGCAAAATTTTTATCATTAGTGATAATCTTTAACACTTTTTTTGATCTAAGATTGTATACAGGATCTAACTTCTAGGAATCTGATTTCCATATTCTATAATCATTAATGTCATCTTTTTCATTTATTAGAGTTTTAAACTATTTTATAAATTCTTACTAATACCCATAAAGGTATTGGTTATGAATTAAGAGGATCAAAGATTAACTTCATAATGAATTCAAAATAAACATCATTTCTGAAGTACTCTATTTATTATTTGATGTAACCTTGTTCATCTGAACATATCCATTCTTCTATCACTTCATACATATCAATTTCAGACTGTTCCGTCTCTGAATCAGTATCATATTATGGAACTTCGATTCTTGTTACTGTTGAAGGATGCTAGATTGTATAAAAGTCTAAATTCTTTTCATATCTAAATTACACTATTCAATTTAATCTTCAATGGAGATTGACCATAAAGAATTTCTGAATATGTTCTATTTGATATTTTAAAAGATATCAATTATTTCTGTAATGAAGCCTTCCTCTTTTGTGTTTCTCAGAAATTTCAAAAATATATTTGCTTGTTCTTCTAAATTAATATCCAATTCAGATCCTAATTGAAACAATTAAAATAGATATTGAGAAGCAAATTATTTTACCTTTATGAGACTCTCTATCAATTATTTTGAATATTGAACTGTTGATGTTCCTGCTCCTCTAAAAATATAAAATTAGAAATACCTCAAAATCGATTTTCTTGATGATTATTTTATACTTCTAGCATTACTAAGAAGCACTTTTTGTTCTGGGAATTGAGAAATTTCATTTATTGCTTTGTAAAATGAATTGAAAAAGTCTAAATCTCTAAATCGATCAAAAAGAGCTGAAACTAGAAGTTCAACATTATTCTTTGAAAAAGGATAACAGCAAATTACTTAAAATAACTTTAAAATATTACACTATTTTATAGTTTATGGATCATTAAAAGATGTCATAAATGGCATTTAGGATGATATATACTTACACCCAATTCTTATTTTTTCTAACCTTGTATATTCATTCTCATCACATAACTTATATCGTTAATATATATTATACAGCTTATTCTAAAATCATTATATAATAAATATTAATATAATTTAAAATAGAGATCATTTACGTTTCTATTGAATAATCTTATATGTTAAATCGATTAGCAACTAAATTGATTATTTTTAACATATAAACTAAGTTACTAATTATATATATATTTTTAATTTTCATATGGGAAATTGTAATAACAGCAAAGATGTAAATTTTGATGATGTTTCATGTAACCATAAACAAATTATATATAGTGCCTTCCAAAAATGATTTTCATATGCTTTTTGTTATTGGTAGAGGAGGATTTGGAAGAGTTTGGAAGACTGAGAATAAAAAGACTAAATAATTATATGCAATTAAAGAGATGAGCAAATGCAAGTATTTAATATCTTATCATTTAGAATTGTAAATAAAAAGAGTGTAAGTTCTGTCATGAATGAAAAATATCTGCTGAGTAATTTAAGACATCCGTAATAAATATGATCTAAATAGATTTTTAGTTAATATGCATGCATCATTTTAGGATAGAGAAAATTTGTATTTGGTAATGGATTTGATGTAAGGAGGGGATCTAAGATATCACTTATGTAAACAAAAAAGATTTACTGAAAAACAAACAAGTAAATATTTTGAGTCTATTTTAAGAGTTCTTTATAGTTTGTCTATTAATGGCTTTGGATTATTTACATACTAATACAATCTTACATAGAGATGTCAAACCAGAGAATTTAGTCTTCGATAGAAATGGTTATTATTCAAAATCTAAATTAGGTTATTTAAGATTAACTGATTTAGGCATAGCCAGAATCTGGAAACCTGATAATGAAAATGATACTAGTGGAACTCCAGGCTATATGGCACCAGAAGTAATGTGTAGATAAGCCCATGGAGTGGCCTCAGATTACTTTGCAGTAGGAGTCATTGCTTATGAATGCATGTTTGGAAAAGTATAAATTTTAGTTCTATGTAGAGACCTTACGTAGGCAAGACCAGAAGGGAAATTAGAGATTAAATTCTAGCTAAATAAGTCTTAGTTAAATTAAATTAAATTCCAGATGGATGGTCAGAGGAATCAGCTGATTTTATTAACAGATCATTACAAAGAAAGCCAAGTAATCGATTAGGAGCTAATGGTCCAGAAGAGGTTTAAAATCATCCTTGGTTCAAAGATATTGATTGGACTTCTTTCTTTAATTAAACAGTTGTTTCTCCCTATTAAATTAATGTAATATTGGTTAACATATTTATAGTATAATCATGATAATTTTGATGCTAAATTTGCTAATATGAGAGAAGAAGAAGACAATCAAACTATTCAATAAAATGGTTTAATGTTAAGAAGACAATCTGTTTAAGATCTTTTCAATGGATATACATTTGATCAAACTATTACTTAAGTTCCTTTTTAAAATACTTCTGTTACTAAACCAACTATACCTCATTTAAATACATAATAATTAACATCGGCTAGAAGGACAAACCTTGAAGATACAAATCCATAATTATCGTAGATGTCATCAAAAAAATATCATTTGGTCTCCTCTACTCCGAGATTGTAAACGAAATCAATGTCTTCTAGTTAAAAACCATAAACAGATAGAAGTCATTTTTCAAATAAATTCTAATTCAATTGAACTATTTATTGTATATTTATCATCATTATTCAAATGAATAAATTAGTTAAATCTTAAATATTTATATAAACTATTTTCATATTTGTTTTCAACTCAAAATTGTATTCTAAGACAACATTTGAAAAACAGTTAAATTTAACTGTTTAAATTAAAAAGGAATTTATAAAAATTATTAATATTAAACAATCTATAATCCAAACCCTTTAATTAGATTCATAAAGTATATTTATTTAGCTTGAGGTTTCAACAGTGTTTTATATTATTATTAACATTAAGCTATTATCAAAGAATTAAAATTAATTAAACTAGAAAACTAAATTTCTTTTTTTTTCAAAAATCAAAAGGCTATATATTATTATATATATAAATATCAACCCTAAAGGAATTTCTGAATATGAATTGCAGAAAATTATTCATAATGATTATATTTATTTCAAACATACTTAAGTATTAATTTAATAATAAATCATATTAGGATAAACTTTCTAAATATGCTGTTTAAAATGAATTTTAAAAACTTTCCAAATCATTTTAGTTGCTTCACAATATTTATTTTATTATTTACTATTCTTGAAATTTAAAGAATTCCTAACAAACTTATTTTTTATGAATGAAAAACTTTGATTTATATTTTTAATGAAAAAAAGTACTTGTTCCTTATCTGATAACTCAAAGACATCATTTTTTAATGATGGCAATTAATTATTTACTACTTTACCATACGAAAATCCTCAATTTTAAGATCAAGGAATTTTTTAAATGACATATCAAAAAAAGATAACTATTGTAACAATTTATATGTCAGATACCATTCTTAAAATTAGTGATGAAGTATATAAAGAATTAAATTTAGAAATAAGATAAATATATTGATATTGAAAATATGTGTTTAAGAGGTGTAATCAATTAAAAAACCAAATAATATGGTTTTCGAATAAGCAAAAATGGATAGTATGCAGAATTTTTTGGAATTCATCTAGAATTATTAAATAAAATTAAGTTATATATGATTCAACCTGATTTTTAATCAAAGTACAAAGTATTGAATAAGTTAGGAAATGGATATTTATCTTAAGTAAGAAATTTAATAAAATTAGGTTTATAAAGTGCAAAATAATATTAATGGTTAAGAATTTGCTGTCAAAATATACGAAAAATAAAATCTAATTAAAAGTAATAATTATGAGAGGGAGTTATGTATGAATGAAATTCGTATTTTGAGACAAATAGATCATAAAGGATTATTAAAATTATATGAGATTTTTGAAGGAGAACAAAATATATACATAGTTACAGAATTATTGGAAGGAGGACCAATTAAAAAATATATCAATAATTAAGATTTAAGTGATTAAGAGATGATAAAAATTATGAAATCACTTTTTGTTTCTTTAAATTATTTACATAAATAGAATATTTATCATACAGATATTAGATTTGATAATATTTTACTTAGGGATCCTTAGGATCTAGAAACAGTTTGCTTTATTAATTTTGGAAAAGCAGTGTAAATACCTTAAAAAAAAAGAACTTAAAATCCTGTGACTTTTTAAGAAGAAGGAGCTCTAAAATTTTATATGAAAAAAGACATATACTCTTTAAGTATTATAATGTTAAGTATTTTAACTAAAAAATTTTATTAAGAAAATTAATTGGTTGATGAATTACTAATGAAAAACTTTAAAAATATCAGCTATATTGAGTATATGGAATTATCACCTCCATTTTAAAGATTTTTTGAAATGATATTTACAGAGAAATATTAAAAATAAATTGATTCTCTAAGTTGTGAGAATATCTTGGAACTTGAAGTGTTTAAACTTCTTAATAAACCTAGAAATTCGAAAATATTAATTTCATAATAATTAGCAAATGTTTTTGCAAGAAGAACAAGCAAAAATGCACCAAGATTATCCCAAAGGGAAAAATTAGAATAGTCACTTAATATCATAAAACTACCTCCAATCAATGGAGATTCTCCAACATCAACAGATAAAACATACTCTGCGAGTCCATAATCAGATCGTTTCATTTCTAATTAATTAACTAATATTTTAAAGGCAAAACATTTAAATAAAAGAAAAAATGCTTTAAAATTAAATATCATAATATGATTTTCTAGTAAATATTTGATTTTTATTAACTGTTTCTATATAGTTTATATTATATAAATTGTAAAAAGCTTCATTTCTAAAACTAAGAGACTTAACAATATTTTTGTTTTAAATATGGAAGGATATTTTATAAAATTTTAATAACTTTTAGAAAAATAAATAATTATTTAATGGGCATCTGTTGTTCATAATAGCCAGGGGGATTTATTTAAAATGTTGAGTTCAGATAATTTGAACCGGAATAAGTTCCTACATTAGTTCCATAACAAATAAACTTTGAAGAACATGAGGAAGAGATTATAACAATCCAAAAATCAATAAGGAAGAAAAAAGCTAAAAAAGTAGCTGCTTAAATGAAGGAAGAGGCTGAAAGAGAAAAACCAGGGGATGCTTGGATATAAAGTAAAGAGCCTAAGACTTTGGAATAGAATGTTTAAATAACATATAATAAGTTGGGTAAGTTTAAGTTTGAGAAATAGTTGCCTTAAGAATTTAATGAGTGCCGATTTTTTATGCCTCATGTATTTAAAAAGTTATAATTTAGGAACATAAAAAAAACACTGGAAATATTTATGTAGGTTAGTGGTTATAGAGATTGAGGCATGGTAGAGGAAAATAGTATTTTGCAGATGGCTCAATTTATGAAGGCTATTGGAAATTTGATTAAGCTAATGGAAGAGGCAGAATTATTCATTCAAATGGTAACGCTTACGATGGGGAATGGAAAAATAATTCTGCAAATGGTTATGGTATATTTTATGAATTTGATGGTTCTCAATATTAAGGAGAATGGTTGCTAGATTAAAAGGTTAATATAATATTTAGAGTAGCATGGTTAAGGAAAAGAGATTTTAAATGATGGCAGCCAATTTGAAGGGTTTTTTAAAGAAGGAAAGAAGTAGGGTAAAGGTATTGCGAAATTCCCTAATGGTGATATATATAATGGATAATTTGAGAATGATTAAATTACAGGTTTTGGTGAATTGATATTTGCTGATGGAAGACGTTACAAAGGACATTTTAAGGATGGGAAAATGCATGGTAAAGGTCATTTTATATGGCCTGATGGTAGAGAATATGAAGGTTAATATTACAATGATCTTAAACATGGGGAAGGAGAATTTAAATGGGCAGATGGATCAAAATATATAGGATAGTTTCGAGAAGGAAAATAACATGGCAAAGGAGTATTTATGGATAAAAATGGATAATAATGTGGAAGTTAATGGAGTGAAGGTAAGGAAAAAAGATAAAAAAGTGAATAGTGATTTGGAGTTGGATTTATGATATTATTCTTCAGTATCTTATATTATTATATTTTATTGGGGCATTTTTATAGTAAATTTATAGATTGTTATCATAAATTATTAAATTTAAGTTATAATGTTAAATCTTTATTTGAATTAAGAAATAGAATAATAAATTAAGGAATATGGATAGTTCATGAAAATAATAAATAAAATAATACAGAGAAAGTGATAAAGTTATACTTAAGTAGTATAAGTCAATCTCTTTCCAATTTCTTGTTCTCAATTAACTTAAAGAATTTCTTTTGTCTAATTTTCCAATTTTTTTTCTTTTTGAGGCACATTCCCATAAATTTTAATTAGCAATTTTTTAAAATTACAATAAGCTACTCTTATTTAGCTGATACTATATATAAATTAAGATTATTCTAAAAAATATCAAGAATAAACGAATACATTAATTATCCAAATATTTTTGGTTCATTTCTGAAAATGTTAAACTTTATTTAATTACATATCAAATTAAAAATTCATCATTTTAACATATGGAAATCTTTGTTTCATTTTTTCATATAGAAAAATCATTATGTTTTATAGCTTAATTTACTAAAATAACTAAGTGAAGTGAAATTTAATAAATATATTATAATAAAGTATTGTTCATATGTATTATTTTTAAAGAATAATTGTACTTAATATAATTAAAATTCAATCAACAACTTATAAATCTCATATTTAAAAATTACTTTTTATAAACAAAAGTTATATATATATATATATACATGTGAATACTTTCTTTTATTTTCAATTATTTTAAATAAATGTATTACCCAACTAAGGAAGAATTTATTAAAGATTTTGATTTTTCAAACCCTGTTCGTTTAGGATAGGGTGCATTTGGAAAAGTGTATAAATTGTTATGCAAAAGCGATAATTCACCTTTAGAAAAAGGGAAATATTATGCAGCAAAGCAAATAGAAGTTATAAATGAATAGATGTTTAACAAAATTTAAAATGAGTTTAAAATTAATTAGCTCATTAACATGCATCCAAATGTGATAAATGTTGTAAAAGTCTATGCTTGGCAAGAATTAATGCCAAAAAAATTTAGTCTTCTTTTAGTAATGGAATTAGCAGATCGTAGCTTATAAAAAGAAATTCATACAAGAAAACAAGAAAGATCATATTTTTCAGCTTTTTAATTGCTTGAGTTATTTAAGAAATGTCTATTAACATTTTCAACACTTGTTGAATAAAAATAAATTTTTCATAGGTACAATAATTGATATTGATTTTTTAGAGATATCAAACCAGAAAATATCCTAATACTTGAAGCTGATAATTTAATTCCAAAAATCACTGATTTTGGAGTTTCAAAGAGTTTACATGAATTGAATATTTAGGAAAGTTTAAAAAATACTATAGTTGGAACTCCAGTCTATTTTTCACCAATTTTGTGGAATGCATTTGTTACTAGATCTGAATAGCCAAGTTAAATTGAAAAAATAAAACACGATTTAGAAAAATCTGATATCTTTTCACTTGGCTTAACTTTTCTTTAATGTACATTACTGTTAACAACTGAGATCGTTGGACTTAATATGGTATATGACAAATAATAATGATCTAAGGTAGAATAAAAAAATAAGAGAAACATGTTTTTAGATAAGATAGAAAATGTCAGAATCAGGAATCTAATTACAGATATGATTTAATATGAAGAATGTGATAGAAAGACATATAAGGAATTGATATAATTATATTTTAATTCGAATTAAAAAGGAATTTTTGAAGAAACTCCGTACTTTTGATATTTTATATTAGCTCTCCTTAAAAATTGAAATAAATTAATTAAATTGTTTGTTTAAAACATTAAAATTGCAAAGCTTTATATTATTGCTTTAAATTAGTAATTGCTGGGTAATATTATTATTTTATTATTAGTTACTATTGTGAAGCCTGTTATTAAAATGATGATATTCAACTTTTTTGCATTCCTTTACCAGAAAAAAATTAAAAATAATCATAATCCCAAAAAGAAACATTAGAAGAATATTTTGAATCTACTATCCAAATTATTTTCATTAAAGCTATTAAAGATTAAATCAATTTTGCAAAGTAAACAAATAAACCTCCAGTAGAATTAGAGAAAAATATACAATAAATTTCTAAATTTTTGATTTTCAATTAAAACTAAACCCAAAATTAAGTTTCAAAATTAATTAAAGGTAAATTAGAAGAGATTAGAATTCCTTATAAGGAATACTTGAATAATGAATTATATAATGAAGCACTTAGATATTTGGAATTAAATAAAGAGAAAATATATGAATTAACAAGTGATTTAATTTTAAGATTAGATAAATTAACTCCAAATGAAGAAGTTCAAAGATAAAAGAAGAAGATTTTTGACTCATCCACTTAGTAGATTTTACCTAATAGCCTATAAAATAAAAAAGAATTCTGATTTATAATAAATTCATAATAATTCTCAAATAATTATAAACAAATAATTTTTTTTAGATTTATCATTCATTCTTCCAAAAATATAAAGTATTATCTTTCTATATCCTAATTTTAAATAAATAAATTCAAGAGATTTATAAGTAATACTTAATGTATAAATATTGGTATATTAATTTTTTAATTCAAGATTTAAAAATATCAGATGAAATCTGATGTAACAGGTACATTAATCTTCTTATTTTAAGTACCAGCTATGCCTATCTGTAAAGCATAAGAGCTATATTAGAATAATAATCTAAGATCAGGCCATTGGACACCTGCAGAACACTAACTCTACCTTGATTTTCTTCATTAGTCTTAAGATTTGATTGAATCATCTCAAAATAACAAAGGATAAAGATTATTCAAAAAAATGAGTTAAGTAATTGCTACAAGAAGTCCAAGTTAATGCAGGTATAATATTTCAAAACCTATTACAACAACAGATCACACCACTAAAAGTTCAATCCATTTAATGTTTAAATGATAAAAAGAAAAAAAAATAGTAAATTATCTAAGCCAAACAAAGAAATGCAAAATTAAATAAGAAGTAAATAATATTTCCGAAAATTATTTGCCTCTCTTAAAGATCATAGTTCCGAATCTATATCAGAAGAGGAGCTATAGAATAATATTTAATGAATAAATAGATTAAATTGAATAAAATATGCAAAACCTTCTTTCAATATTAATTATGTAAATCTGACCATACAAATTTCATTAATTTTCATTAAATTAAATTCTTTTCAAATAATTTAGAAAATAATCAAACTAAATAAAATTAAAGCATTCTAAATATTAAAAAAAAGTCATTGTTTATGTATAATTAGAAATCAAGAAAAAAAATTTATTTTCATATAATTATTCCAATAAACCAAGTTTGAATTTTCAAATTAAATAAACTTAATGAGCCAATTTATTTCATCAGTAACCAATCCCAATATTTCCTTTTATCTATACTATTCTTAATCTATATTAAAGAGATTATCAAGAGTTGTACTAAATTTATTTAAAATGCTTTATGACTCAATTATAAATATAATTATAAAAATATTGTAAATGAGAAGAGATGGAATTTAAACTAAAGATGGAATAGTTATCCATGCTTAAAAATAGAGTATATCAAATAAGACTTAACAACCAAAATATATAAATTTTTATATTTCATTTAATTAATAAAAAACCTTATCCCAATAATTTAAATTTTTTATTATTAATTCATACTATATGGTTAAGCTAAAGAATTAAGATTAGATAATGTTTATTTTCATAAATAGATTAAGAAATAAAATAATTTACTACCATAACTTATAGTGAATTTTTTAATTTCCTTTGAAATTAATGTGAATTGATTTTAAAAACCATGAGCATTGCTTGAATGGAAAATATTTTTTTAATATTTAGATAGATGTTATTATTAAATCAATCAATATGATGCATTTCTTAAACAGCCAATTAAAATGCTTTGACTGATACTTTATCATCAAAAGTATTTTGCTAACATTATAAAATTAATAATTTACAATTTCTTTTGCTCTTTTGAATACACCTTCAAATTTTCCAATACCATACTTAATTCCTATAGATTCAAATATTTATTTAATATCTTTTTTATTTCTTAACATTAAAAAATCCTATTCAGTTAATCCCATATGTGAAAACTTTTCTGGAAATAATAATGCAACTGCTGGAACTTCATCACCATAATTTTAAGGATCTGCAACAGATTTCATTCCAGTTTTAACAATATCATTTCTGATTGTAGGAACTCCAAATGCTCTTGTTTCATCTCCTTATTTTGTTTAATTTCTAAAACCAAACTTTGTTGCTTTGCCCAAATCAATATCTGGCTAAACTTCTTTTTATGTAGGCTAACCATTAATGCATTATCCAGCTGTCCATTATTCATCTTTTTTTGTTTCTCCAAATATTGCTGGCATTCTAGAATTAATTTAAGCTAGATTTTTAGGCTTACCAAGAGGATCTTCGTTATAATTCTTCCAATCTTCCTAATGCTTTGAAATAATAGTTGTTTTAGGATATTAATTTTGTGTTAATTCATGTTGTAAAATCTTTTTCATTTATTCTTACTCTCTTTCATCTTTTTTACCAAATCGATATTCATTTGGATTGACATTCCACTTATATTCTCTATTTTTTTATTCTCCTGCTTCAAAATTTCCATGACTTTTCAAATACATTAATCTAACACTTTCTTCATCTCTTTTGGCATCAGGTGGAAACACAACTTCTTTGGCTGTGAATTCAGAAGGTGGTATCTTTTAACCAAAAGCAAAACCATCTGATTTAGATTCTTCAGGCCAATTATAATTTCTTGTGGGCATAGTACCTAATGGCTCTTTAATATGAGAGGCATATTTTTGTTCATTTATTTCATTGATCAATTCTTTAATTCCTTCAGGCTATTATTTAAATAGATCTCCTGCTTTATCAGATGGATCAGTCTTTTTTCCATAAAGCCAATTACCTTAGGGCTTTGGAGCATCTACAAGTCCTGGATGTAACTAAATTTGATTAATTATATTTACAATAGCACAACCATGTTGATGTTTATAAGATTTACGATATTTCTTTATGTGAGGAGGAGTTTCAGGGACCTATGTAACTGACTAAATTTACTTAGTTTTAAACAGGTTGTATACAGTCACTCGCACTTTCTTCCTTTAAGACAGTTCTCCCAGCCTAAACTAAATTGAATTATTTACAGATTTCAGTGTGCCAAAGTAATCTCTTGTTTTCCCTGACATTTTAATTTAGAATTTTTATATATAATAATTGATTAACTCAAAATTAAACTAAAACACATATAAATTTAATTTATGAAATAAACATCGTTATATTTAAGAAGATCATTTTTCACATTGAAACCCTTATTCTTTTGTTCATCAACTCAACAACCTCCATAAATACCTAAAATTCATTCAGTTGTTGATAATTTATCAGCATCATATAGTATAGAAGACACAATACCTGGAACCTATTAAGGTGGGAATGGGATATATATGCTAATGTTCACATGTAGTCCATGTGGTAACAAAATGGCCAGAACTTTCACAAAGGATGCATACCATAAAGGTGTAGTTCTAATAAGATGTGATAAATGTGATAATATTCATTTAATTGCTGACAATTTGGGATGGTTCCAGGATGAGAAATGGAATGTTGAAATTCATGCAAAAGAATAAGGACAATAACTACCTAAAATTAATAATCCTGAGGTGTCAAAACTAATACAATAATTCATTTAAAAATAAAAAAGTTCTTGAATTAATTAATTAATTACACATAATATAATAAATTTTATGTTTTCAATTTCATTCATATATTTAGAATACATTTTAATTGAGAATCCAATAACTCCTGTTAAAGTTAATCAACATATAATTGTAATACTTAAAGTATAATTATGTAATTTTTATCATAAATATAATATAAAATTCTTAAATGGAATCTAAGTTTATTCTTCTACTTGTTTTTTTTTGACTTTAGTTTATATACTCAAAAGACTTAAATAGTCTCTTTCATTTGTGAACATAGAAAATTAAAGATTAAATAAATCTTATAGTGGACTTTAAATTTACATAATTAGAAGATCATTAAGGAAGAATTGATTCATTAGTTTTATTTAAACTCAATAAAAATTACTAAGAGAATTGAATTATTCAAAATTATTTATGATAAAAAATATTTATATTTTCCATTATAATATTAGTTTCTTCATTCAACTTATTATCTCAATTCATAATTAATTAAGACCAAAGCTTCTAATTATTATTGATATCTATTAAAATCATCTATTAACATCATAGTATTATTTTGGTTAACAACAATCTAATCATCTTTAAATGCCAATTTAGATGCTGTCTAAAGTAATAATATTTGATTGATTTTCTCTTATAACCCAATAATTGGCTCAAAGTCAACAAATTTTCTATATTTAATGATTTTAATTATATTTGATGAAGCTTCCTACAATTATTTTTCAGATTGCATTATTAATTGTATTTTACTTTGGGATGGCAAAGCTGAATAGCAATAATTTAGATCATAATTATAAATTAATTATGCCATTTTATAAACTATAGATGATGGATAATAATAATACGTTTAGAACTAATATTTTATTGACGACAAATCTCTCTCATTTATTAGATTTAATTATAAATTGTTTCTGTGATTACAAGATCCCCATCTCCAATTAATTATTCTAAAGCTGTGATTCTTTGATCTAATTATTTCATTATAAATATAATTTATATAAAAACTCAACTTAAAATAGATGTTTAGATTTTAACTTAATTAAATTAGATTGTATGAAAAAGATGATATTTAATACAATCTAATTGAATTCTTCTTTAAATGATTCTAATTTTCACTAAGCGGGGGATTTTAGTATGATCATTATTTGATTAATAATTTTTTAAATTTGAAATTATGTTGCTAATTTTTTATTTATTGATAGAACACATATTTGCTTAGATAGGATCACTTGAATTATTCCCCACAATTAATACAATACAAGCATCAACAACTTATGAATTAAAATTTTTATTGCAATAGCAAATGCCAACCAATTCAATAATTACCATTGATTTTACAAATACAAATATTATAGTGGCCGATGGAGCACTAACTAAATGCACTGGATCTATATATTTTACTTCAGTTAGCACAGATTATACATGTATAATTTATAAGTATATAAAGAATGCACATGTACATCCAAAAAATGCACAATTACAATATCATAAAGTGTAGCTTCTGCTTCATTATATTTGTTGAAATTTGGACAGTTAACAAATCCAAGTTTTGTAAAACCTTAATAAGTGTAATTGACAATAGATTTAGTGAACAACAAGTAAACACAATAATATACAGTTGATGTATATTAAGCTGGAGATCTCTCTTTAACATAACTTACATAATCATCATTTAAAGTATTTGATTTGAATGACATTAAATTGACTGTTTAGAGTTAACATAGTATAGAATAAAATGGGCAATTAATAATAACTTTCCCTTCATAAATTTAATTTAGCAAACTCTTAGTCAATGTTGAAGTTAATTCAAATAATCATACTGGTACTGTATCAATATCAGGATAATCAGTTACTATAACAAATATATTTTAAACATAAGTTGATGCAGCAGCATAATTTATTATATAGTAATGATATCTCCTATTTTAATAGCTTGTTAAATGTCTAAAATTAAGAATCTGTTAGGAATAGTAATTAAATACTTATTTAGACTGCTACTTAATTTGCATATTTGATTGATTCATTAGGTTTTTAAATATAAACAAAAACACCTGAAAATATTTAGATTAATTTTCTTAATACTTAGAACACATAAACAGTAAACTAAATTGCTACATTTTAATTTACTTTATAGCCAGTTCTTAAATTTACAAATGGAGGTTATTTAGAGATTAAATTTCCTTCTGAACTCAAAATTTAATCAAATATGAGTTGTTTAAGAATTATTGGTCTAACTACTGTGAGTGGTACAAGTTATTCTTGTGGATATACAGGATAAAATGTAAGAACTTACAATTTGTAATATCCTAATTCTGCTAATTCAATGATACTTACAGTGAGTAATATTAAAAACCCATCTTCTACAAAACCAACTTCATCTTTTGAATTTAGAACTTATGATTCAGATGGATATCTAATGTGTGTTTCTAGTTCTGAGGCTAAATTCACGGCAACAAATGATAAATTAATTGCTAGTGTTACCAGAACTATAACTACTGTTGCTATGTAATCTCAATATAGTATAACAATAAATAATACAAATCCTGTCCCTAAAAATGGTTATATAAATATTGATTTAGGAACTTAAGCTATAAAATAAACAATTTAATAATTAAAATGTTTAGATTAATCTAATATTTAAATTGATTGTTAATTTTTGAATGACAAGAAAATATCAATTTAATTGACTACAGAATTACAAGCTTACACAATAACAACTATAGTATTATAATATTTAAACAATCCTAATTTTGTTATTACAACTACATCAGATTTTTAAGTTGATACTTTAGATGATACTAATTATTTAATTGATTAGTTATAAAATGTAGAAATTAAACCATTACTTACTCCTAACACAATTTTATCTATTGTTTATTATAGAAACAATGATAAATTAGCTGAATAATCTATTATAGATATTGGTTCAATTACATAAATAAATCTCTAATTCTAAATTACATCATAATATGTAATTGAAAATGATGGAAATGCTATAATTGATTTAAAAGGTTATTATTATCTGAATCCTGATGAAACAATAACATGCACATAAATTATTGATAGTAATTCTTACTCTAAAAATTGTGAAATTTTATCCTATATTTTTTAAACAGATCCAAAAATCAATTACATTTCTAAAGTAAAAATTCCAAATATTATTGTAAATGGAAATAATATCATTAATATAATAATTGCTGGATTTAGATCTGAATTATATTCTGGATAATTTACTCATCAATTAACTGTTCAAGTTTATACATTAAGCAATTAATTGGTGTCTACAGGCTATAATGAATTAGGGAATACATAAATTATAAATAAAGTTGTTTAATTGAATTAATTATCTATTAAAGCTGATTCACAAATAACTGGTAAATTAACATAATATACAATTAAACATACTCTTAAATATCCTATAGATATAAAGTCTAGAAATTCTTATCTTGAATTAATATTACCATAAGATTTAGGAGTGGATAATTTGAATAGTTGTTTAGTAACATTAAATTCAAATACACTAGAATGTGTCATTAATTCAAACAGTATTTCTATTTTTTCTATTATAAATCCCTATTAATTGGATTAAGATTTGATAATCACATTAAATTAAATTAGAAATCCTTATTCTACTGCATTAACTAATAATTTTTAATTATAGTATTATTATAATAATATTGTTTCAATATAGAGCACCCAAAATTATTAAGTAAACCAACCAAATGAATTATAAGTTTAAATTGATAGAACAGTTAAGTTAGTCAATTAAAACTCTTAATTTATAGTATCAATGACATTAATGAATTAAGTGTAAAACTTAATGTATTTAATGAGATTACCTACAGATTAATATATTCCTGATTAAATTTCTATAAAATAAGGTGATAAACTTTTAGCTGCTTTAATTGATTCAACTGACAATGATTTTATAAGTATAAAATTCAAAGAGGATTTATGTCCTTGTTAGAATGGGTAGTAATTAAGCTTTAGTATAACTGGCTTCCGAAATCCTTTAGCATCATCTAATAGTGTTGCTTAATTGTAACTTTTAGATGAATAAAATAATGTATATGAAGAGAATAAATCAATTTAATTTCCGCAAATCGAATCAGGAAAGATTGCTATTACATCAATTTCATAAAGTGCTCAATAGTTGAACTAATAAAATATTATAACCATTACTATTACTAATGATACTCCTTATATTAATTCTATTCTAATTATTGAATTTAATCCAGATAATTTACCTTTCATACAGAATAATAATATTATAATTACTTTAAATAATAATTAGATATCATTCACTATTGATTAATCTAAATATTAAATTACATGTTAGAATGTAGAACTAAAAGCAACTAACACAATAAAAATATCAAATATTAATTCAATAAAATGGCTTAGAGCTACAAATTAATGTCATATATCAATATCATCATATGCAGGTAACTAATTACTTGATACAATTTCTTAAGTGAATTGCAATTCATTAATGAATTTTCCAATATAAAATTTTGATTCAAGTATTTAAAGATCTATAAGAATTCTAAATTAAAATACAGATTTAAATGTTTAATTTAATCATGAAACATCAAAATTTATAACAATAAAGTTACCCCTTAATGAAATAGTTAATGATCCATCCTTCAATTATGATAATAAATTAATATTGAAATCATAAGTTACAACTGATTCCAAGTATTTAATATTGTCCTTTTAGTTTGATAACACAAACATAATTAATTAAATTAATTTTAATTTATTAAGCTTATAAAATGCTAATGCAATACCATAATCATAAATAAATTATATCATAGAATTATCAATAGATGGATCAACTATAAGTTATCAAAGTAATAATTATATTACTCCTGAATTGATTTGCTAAGGTTCCTAATGTTCAAATTAATAATTAATAATTTAATCATTTAGTAAGAGTACTTCATTAATCTCTTCTTCAACTGATGTAAATATTAATATACAACTTCCTTCTGAATTGAAATATTTAACACTTTTAGAATTATAGATGACAGAAACTTCTATAACAGGATAATCAATTTGTTACTTAAATAATACTCTTGTCAACTGCCAAAAATTATTGAGGGATCAATGTACATTGTGTGATCAAACATAGATTTAATTAACACTGAAAAATTTGGTTAATGCTGATCAATATAATTAATTAGAGAAGATATGTATAAACATTTAAACAGAATATGAATAAATTTCAACATGCTCTAGTTTTTAATTAGATTATAATTATTTATTAGATGTTAAAAATATAAATTGGAATTAGAATACATTTTATAGTAAGAATGCACAATTAGAATTTGATGTATTATTCTCATCACCTTTAAATAATAAATACTAGAATTATTTGAGCTTTACAAATCCTAATGATTAGATTGATTTCAATAATATTAAAGTTACATTTAATGATAATCTAATTGATAGTACTTATTAAAATAATTTATTAAATTTACATATATGTGAATAAGGTTGTTAATAAAATACAAAATACAAAATTTAAATATCTTAAATTTAATTCAAAGATTATAAATATTCAAAAAATGATTAAATTATATTTAAATTGATTAGAGCAAATTAATAATTAGAATAATCAAGTAATTTACAAATATATCCAATAACACTCAATATTAACTAAATTACTGTGACTGCTACAGCTTTAGATTATGTATAATTAAGTTATTAATTAACTACTTTAGTTCCATATTAAAGTTAATCAATCATAAAATTTAAGTTTCATAATAATAATTGTTTTTCATAAGGAAAGATAGAGGCAATTCATAATTCAACATGTTCTTTAAAAAATAATGCATTAGTACAAGTTTAACTAATATATAATAATTAAATTACTCATCAAAGCAATGAAATGATTATGTTGAATGTAGCATCTGAAAATTGTCCAACTCCATATTTCATTTATTAGGATAGTTGTTATTTAAAATGTCCAGGTTAAACATATTAAGAAGAAAATACTTGCTAATAATGTGCTTATGAAAATTGTCAAACTTGCAATAAATCAGAATGCTTATAATGTAAATTAAATTATTAATTGAAAAATAACATATGTGAATAAATATGTTATGTAGATAATTGTTAGTAATGTAGTTTTAGTGAAACTACTTAAAATTGTATTTCATGTGTAGCACCCTTTGAATTGTATCAAAATTAATGCAGAATTTCAAATGATTGTTAAATTGAGAATTGTTCTGTTTGTTAGATAAAAAATTAATAACTTAATTGTATTTAATGCAATCCAGATAAATATAAATATAAAACTAATTGTTTAGATACTTGTCCAACTGGTTATTATAATAATGAAAATAATGATTGTGTAATTTGTTCATAAGGGTGTAATTAATGTAATTCTTAAGAATGTTTAGAATGTTAAAATCAGTATAATTTGACAAATAATACATGTCTATGTAAAATTGAAGGATGTTAAATTTGCAATTCAATTGATGTATGTGATAAATGTAATGAAGAATTTGGTATAAATTTTATGAATAAATGTCTTAAGAATTGTCCTTCAGATTATTATGAAAAAAACAAAACATGTTTATAATGTAATTCTGAATGTAAAACATGTGATATTAATGGATGTATTTCATGCAAAGAAAATTATTATTTGGAAGGTACTAAATGCATTCTTAAATAATGTACTAGTAATTGTTTAAGCTGTGATAATAATTAAACTTGTAATGAATGCTCTTCTGGATATTAAGTTGATGACAAACTAACTTGTGTTCAAATATAAAGTTAACCATATTTTGGAGTGGCCTCAAGTGTATTATTAGCTATATTTGGCCTTGCAATTTGCTATTAAGTTATTTCATTAATTTCACCTCCAAAACTACCTATATTTCCATAAGTAATTCTTTCATCAATTTTGGCATTTTCATTTCTATAAACTATAAGTAATTGTATTCTATTATTGTATGCGTACATCAACTAAATTTAAATAGAATTCATCTTAGCTTCAATTCTTTTCAGCATAAACAATATATATTACTCTTAGACCTATAATAGTATGAATAATCCATTTTTATCATTTATTACATCTGGAACATGGGCTAGAATTCCATTAATTAAATTTAAATTTTTAAGCAAATAGAATCCTTAATAATATACAAACTATTCACTCATTAGACAAATAGATAAGTATAATCACATAATAACAAATTCTTTATCAATTATTATTGATGTTATAGTGATTTCATTATAGAATACAAGTGAAATTCCTTATATTGGATGCATAAAATTATTCATAGATTTCATTTTAGTATGTAGTTTTACATTAGAACACAGATTAATCTGAAAATTAATTCATACTTATAATTTCTATAACAAACAATTAATTCTAAAAAATAAAATTTATTAATTCACTTTTTATATATATTATTAGATTTGTTAACAAAATATAATCCTATAAAATGTCATTCCTCTATTTTTTTATAAAATAACCCTAAAATTTGTATTTTTCAAAGGACTTTCTATAAGATTTTATCTTTATATATTCATTCTATTTACATTCAATATCTTAATTTTGAGTAATTGATCATCTCTTTACAAATTTATTTTTTAGTTCTTTCTTTTTAATAAAAGGTAAATGGGATCTCTATATATGTTTAATTGATTTCAAAAAAATGAAAAATTTGAAAGTTCAAAAAGTTGAATCTATTATACTTATTAATTCTAAAATTTATTAATATAGATCAATGAACTCTTGCAATAAGAAGGTAGAAATATATTATACAATATGTATGGAGAAGAAAATTAGAGAAGAAAAAAATTTAATTTTGTCAGTTAGAAATTAAGGATTCTGTAAAATTAATTAAAATATGCAAAAATACTACGTATAATTTTACACCAAAACAGCAGCACAGCAAAACATTATAAATTTGTAAGATATTTATGAGAAAATTATTATTTTAACATAATTTAATAAATAATCTACCATATCAAAATTTGAAATGTTGTAATCAAAAAGTAAAGCTGATACAAATTATATTGATACAGTCTCGAATATGATGAAACTTATTAATGATAATTTAGCATTTTAGTAAATAGATAACATCAAAGAATTCGAAGATAATTTAGAAACTATTTAAGATAAACGAGAATTAATTAGCATTGAATCTATAATTCAAATACTTATTGGATCTGAAAAAGATCAAGATAAAAAGAACTACTTACTTAAGATTATCTTTAAGATATAAACAAAAATTTTAGAATAAAATTAAAGTTTAGATGCTTTTATTAATGAATTAATTGATAAAAATAATTAAGGAATTGGAATATCTTTTTTGAATAATGATGGAAGTTTTGGTATATATTATTATAATGACTTTAGTAATTACAGATTAAAAGACTAAAGAACTCTTAGAAATATCAAAAGCAGTTAATGATACTAAACATTTATTATAATTTTGTTCTTAAGCTGGATAAAAAACACTATTTAAGTAATTTAGAAATTAATCAATTTTACTTGATGAAGATGAATTATCTAAAGAATTTTTTATGACAATATATTCTGAAAGAATGAGAAGAAAGGCATTAAAACATTTAGCTGCAAAAGGTAATGAAAAATTAAAGGAATTTTAATATAATAATTATTAAAATTAACCTAAGAAAAATAAGAAAACAATCAAATTAGATAATAAATTGAATTAACATGAGATAATTAAAATCAAGTATCTTAAAACTGTATAAATAAAATTAACAAAAATGACAATAAATGTTAATTAAGAATTTTAGTAATCAATTTAAGAAAGTAAAGTATTATAAGGTAGTTCGAATTTATCTTATATGGCAGAAAATTCATAATAATATTTCAAAGTAGTAAAATGTGAAATTATAGCATGTCAAGAAATTGAAGATATTTAATCTGAAGAAATATTTAAAGATCATAAATTAAAAGAATATGAAAGTATAATATAAAATTTAATTTTTAGGGAAATGGTAAGAAAAGTGTAAGAAAATTAAAGATTAACTTAGATCTATGCAATTCGGAATAGAAATTCATAGCTAAGATTAAAGTATGATTTATTTTAGTGAACCTGAATATGAATTAAGTAATATTAAGATTTGATTCACTACTCGAAAATTTTCTGATTTAAAAACTATATTAAATTTAATTTAAAAAATAAATAATAATTCTTTCTTATTCAATGTTTTTACATAGATTAAAAAAAAGATTAATAGAAGTAGGAGAATAAAAATTTTTAGAGAAATTAGAAGCAGAATATAAAGAGAAATAATAAAGTAAAAGAAAATTAAAGGATAAAAAAATAAAAACTCTTGATCAATAATTCACAAGAGTAGCTTTCAAATTAGCTTATGTGGGAATAAATTATCATGGTTTGGAATCATAAATAAATTAAAAAGATACTATTGAAAGTCATCTATTTAAGGCACTATAAAGAGTTCGGATGATTGATAATCGAGATGATTGCAATTACACAAGAGCAGGTAGGACTGATAAAGGTGTTAGTGCAATAGGAAATGTAATTGCTTTAAATGTTAGAAAAATAGGAAAATCTGATAAGCTTTATGGATAAATTTTGAATAGAGTCTTACCAGAAGATATTCAGATTTTAGATGAATGTATTGTAGATGAAAAATTTAATGCACGTTATGATTGTACAAAAAGAATATATAAATATTACTTTTACAAAATGGATTACAACATTGAATAAATGTCAGAGGCTATGTAATTATTTCTAGGAGAACATGACTTTAGAAATTTTTGTAAATTAGATGTTATCGCAAATTAAAATTTTGTAAGAACAATCATGAATATTACAATGGAAGAAGTATTTCCAGATAATGCTCCTAGAAATAGCTCATTATTTAAAGATGATGATAGATTAAGTTTATATTGTGTAACTATAGAAGGTAATGCATTTTTATGGCATTAAATCAGATACATGATGGCTGTGCTCTTTTTAATAGGTAAAGGAATTGAAAAGTCTAGTGTGATAACTGAATTATTTACTAAATTTGATGGTAAACCAAATTATCAAATGGCCCCTGATTATCCTTTAGTGTTATATAATTGTGAATTCAAATAAGAATTATGGAAACCCAATTTAGATACTCATACAGAATTTACATAAGGAATATATGAAAATTTAAGAGAGACTCTTTCAAAGAAATATATTGAATATTTGCATTATTATTCAATGGGTGCTTCTTTACTTAAGGTTCCTGTACCATAATCTAAAATTTAAACTGATGAAAAAAAATCACTCATAATTTAGAAATCAGGAGTTACTGTTGAAGGAGCTGTATAAAATTTAAAAGGGAAAAGAAAAGAAAAATATGATATCAAAATACAAAAGGTAAAGGAATATTAAGAAAGATGTTTATAAAAAAATAAATCAGAAGTAATTGAAAATTAATGATACATTATATTTAACAATTATTTCATGGTATTAATAAATAATATTATTCACTTCTTTAATTCCATGAGTTATAAATGTCTGTATATAATGATTTCTTAAATATACTAAGAATAAATTAACAATAAGTATATTTCTTTAAATCAGGATATTTTCTCATATGAACTATCGAACTATTATTTGCTAAAACATATATTTAAGCAATTAACATTGAAATAGCTGAAAAAAATAGTAATATAGTAAAAATGTAAACAAAAATCAATCTAAACCAATGAACAGTTAATAATCCAAATTTAAAAGTAACCAAAAAATAAAATTATTTTCCTAAATATAATAATACACTTAATGTCAGGATATTTGTATAACAAATAAAACTTATAAAATATTTATAATTATTTTTTCCTACACAATTACCAATGAAGAAACAATGATGATCCATTTCTAATACACAAGTCTAACAAATTTTACAATGGTGTGTAGTTATTTCTAATAATATAAAATTAAATAAAACCTCTATGTATTTTGCATCTTTTACATAAGTTTTGTTCTTCAATCATATTTTCATAAGTATAACTTTTGCATCTCATTGATAAGTAAAATGACTTTAAGAGAAAAAAATACAAAAAAGAAAAGTAAATTGAAAATAATATTCTTCCCATTTCAAAGTAAATAATATATGCAGATTCATAAATGACACTTAATTGAAAAGCATAATAAGTAAATCTTAAAAGGACAGATACAATCTATCTTGCTTACCTATTTTCTTTATCATCCTCAGGCTCATCAAAAATTTAAGTAACAATAAACATTTATAAAAAATATTAATAAACAAAAATAATTTCATATTTTTAGATCCAAATTGACATCCATTTAATGTTTAAAATAATTCAAAAGTGATAATATACATAAATAAATACATTTATATTTATATTATAATGTATAAAGAATAAATTTGAGTTTTTATCTAATTAAGAGATTCAAATCTTATTAGATATCTTAATTTTTTTTAAATTTACTACTTATTCATTTATGAATAAAATCTAAAAATTTATATAGAATTATAAGATCTTGAATTGATATGATTGTATTTTTGTGTAGTTGTTATATGAATTCCACATAAAAAACAATTAAAAAATAAATTTTAGCAATAGGAAATATTTATAATTGAATAGATATTATAATTTATAGTCAGAAAATGGTTGAAGATGTAAACTTTTTTATATTGAATTTCTATAAATTAGAATGATTCAATTGAAAATGAGTTTAAATTACAGAATTTTCTAAATTAAATTGTGATAATATATATTGTTAACATACACATATATTTAAAAAGTATAATCATTGTTCATTTTAAGTAGAGATAATAGCCTTTTTTTCTTAATCTATCTCAATAACTTTGAATCTAAATTGATAAATATATGTTTGTACTTCTTATATTGGGCTTCTTTAATATCAAACATAGATAAAAATATTTTTTTCTTTTTAGGAGCTTCTTTATTCTCAATATTCTTGTCATCTTATCTCTTAGGTTTCTTTTATTAAGATAATTTTTCATTTTTTTTGGTTTATTTTAATGATAATTGTTTAACTGGATGTGTTTCCTCTAATTTTGAAATGGATGGAGAGGAAGACTCATTTTCTTCAGTTGTTTTTTATATTATTGGCTATTGTAATGGTTTGGATAGCATTTTAGTTCTATAGTAAAGGTTAGGATGCAAAATATTACTTTTAAACAAGCATTTGATTGTAAATAAACATTTATTAGAGGAGAAGTTGCTGTTAAAGAATGAGGCTGCTGTCAAAGAGTTGGAAGTTATTCATTAAAACTTAGAATTATTTAAAGTAAAAGATTTAGATTCTCACATTTATATAGTAAAATCATACGTCAGCACGTATTGATTAATTACCTTACAAATCATCTTGCATTATAATAATTAACAAAAATAAATTAATATTACATAATACTTTATAATTAATTTATATTATAATGATAATCCCTATCTTATTTATAAAAATTTATAGAATTATAATGTTTTTATAATTTATTATATATATAATAATTTCTTCAATATGATCAAATTTTTGCTTTTGTGAATGAGATTTACACATTTCTATTGTCAATCTCCTCATTATGCATTAGAGCCATAACTTCTAAGGCTTGTTTAAGAGTTTCCATTTTTATTAAACACATAAATTTGAATTATGTATTTAATACCTTTACAGCCTATAAAATTATATAAAATTAATACTTAAACAACACCAAATTCAGAAAATACATCCCACATAGTTTCAGTATTTGAAGAAACTTTTTTAAGATTTGAGATGTGCAATACCTAACTTGGTGGCAAAAGAATCATTTTATTATTACAATTAAATCTATCAATAAATATTATTAATTACCTATCTGTATCCTCAGAACCAATATAATAGTCTTATTCTTGATAGAGAGTGTCAAGACCAATCAGCTTATCTATTGAATCTTCTGAAGCATAAGAAATTGAAATGCTGCTATCAAAGAATTCTAATTTTTAACAATTCTAGAAAACGAATTATGCATTATCATTTTTAAGATATTTAACAAATGCGAAATTTTTAATTCTAGATTTTGAATAATAAGTTATTCTTACTTAATAAGTAAGATTTTATCAATATTTCCGAAGTTACTAAAAATATTATACAATTTTTTGGCATCTATTTCATTTCCCTTAATTCCACTTATACATAAAGTCTATGTAGGTTATATTAATTAGGAAGATTTGATTATTTTTTTATTTAAAGGTAATGTCTTGATGCTTGAAGGCTTATAATCATCTTCATAGACAACTTAATATAAAGATTAAAAATATACTTTCATTTAACGAAGTTTGATATTAACATTTTTATGAACTCATAGTTGAATCGCCTATACTCTCAAAAGAGCAATTATTCTAAGATCCTGTTTAAAATTGCTTCTCATCGTGATAATAAGAGCATTTAATAAAATTTGAAGAAAGTTAATCAAGAAATTATTTAGCTAATTTTGCTGCTTCTGAATTACCCATTTCTACAAAAACTTTAAAATCCATTAAGGATTTATTTAAAATTTTCACTTATTGCACAGGTCCATACCTATTATTCAATAAATTCTTACTGGTTTAATAGTGAACTAAAATATTCTGGATTTAAGTTTTCAGGAGGTGCCAATAAACTTAGCATTAATTAATTAGAATTAGTCCAAGTTTCAGGTAGGATAGGTGATGAGCAGCTTAGCATAATTACGAATATTTAATTTATTTTTTAATTATAAACTATCACATACTAATAAACTCTGCAAAGATCTTAATTTTATAAACTAAATATCAAATTAATATAATAAACTTTATTTATTATGACAATATTATGTCTTTTTTTCTAGCCATTAGTTTTGTATTTAGAAACTTATTCATCCAATTATGCTAATCCAATGCTCTAAATTAAATTAATATAAACTTCAAAACAAACTGTAAAATATTTACTGGAATGCAATATTTAAATATTAATTCTTATTGAAATTTTTCATCTAAAAAATAAAGAAAGACCCACTATACTTATTTGACTTATCACTATAATTGAGCAAGAATGTGTATAGCCATAAATTAATATATATATAAGTGTAGATACTTAGATATCAAATAATTATATGCAAATTATTGTTCAAATTTGAATCAATGGTTAGCCATTAGGAAATACTGAAGTTTATCTTCTTTTTTTATTTAAGAGGGCTTTTTTGAATTTCATTATATTGCCAACCTACTAAAAATTTCCAGTTAATTTTCTTTTGTGTGCTATCTTATTAAATTTCATGACATACAAGAAAGGATAAAGCATGTACCTTATTAATTCTTTAAAATAACTTTTATAAACTTCTCTTTTCTTTTTTATAACTTATTCAACATTAAATTCTGGGAAATAGTGCTAAAAGCTTTTTATATGATCAAAATCTTTAACTGGAAGACAATTATACTTTAGATATAGCATTTCTAAGTCTTAGTTCATATATCCATCTTTTTTTGATTTCAAATATAGAGCATTAATATTCTAAATCTATTCTTCCTCAATCATATTGGGTTATATGGTTTTTAACATAAAAGATTTTTCCAATTCAGATTATTTTGGTTTAATCACTCCCAAAAATTAGAAATTAGATTATCCAATATTAGAATTACCTAATTTTTGGATGGGTGATCTACCATTATTTTCATGAATTGATTTTCGTTTAATTCCAAATTCTTAAAATTCATCTTCAAAAATAGATTATTTCCTTTGAATTTGCATATTAACTTAACTATCAGAAAGTTGTTTTTTTAGTTAATCTTAGATTATTTATTGTTTTTCGCTTTAAAAATATGCAACATACTCTTAAATTAATTCCATCTCAGAAAGAGATTTGAAATAATTTCTAACGCGATTCCGAATAATAAAAACTCTATCGTTTTATTTAGGAAAACAATGTTTCTTAATAATACCTTCTCTATCATATTTATAAGAAACTAAAGGACAATAATTTGTGGAATGGCCATGTGTGCTGCACCATTTACATTCATATAAATATCCATATTATTCACTGCTCAATTTCAATTTTAATTGAGAAAACTTTTCATGATCAATTTAATGAGCTTTTAAAATCTTATTAAAAATGTCTTTCTATATGATTAATAATGATACATAACCAATAGCTTTATAAGGAATTGATGTTTAAGTATCAGTAGCATATTCATACTCTTAGATGAATTATCCTTCTTTGATTTCTGTCATTAAGAATTATAATTAGCCAGATTCCAAATAGCATAAACAAGGATCTTCCTTCATCGAAAAAGTATTATGAGGTTATATAATTACTCTTTTGATATGAGAACTTACAGATCTCTTAAATTCATTTGAAAAATGTTGTAAAAGTTAACTTTTTTCAATGAAATTCTTACGACCTAATAATTCTAATTCCTATTTAAGTTCATTTGATAATTCATTTATTAATTTATCTTCTTAAGTAATATCACTTTCCTATTCTTCTTTCCATCTATAATTAAGATATTCCCTTATTTTAAATTGCAAAGAGTAAGGTACCTTTCTTTTATTCATGTAACCATTAATTACTCTAATTCTCTATCTTCTTTTTTCTGAATTATAAGTTAATTCATTAATAATCTATCCTATCGTATTGACAGCATAAGAGTACCATAAACAAGCAATTAAAATAAATAATATTGAAACTAGTTTCTCAATTTAATTTTAAGGCACACTATCTCCATAACCAATTGTAAGCATAGTTACTGTTGAGAAATATAAGGCTTCTATATATTAAGTTGCCCATTCACTTTCATCTATTTCCTTATTCTTTACCCAATTATCACCATATGTGTTTTGACTAATCAAAAACCAAATGCAACTAAATATATGTAAAATTGTTAATAATGTTAATATAAACCAGATTAATTTCATTAATCCTTATATTGGTTTACTTAAATAAGAAGACTCTTAACTTTTATTAATTACTTCATAAACATATTTAAATTGTAAACTATAAGATGGTAAAATACTCCGAAGAACTACTCCAAAATTAACTGTCAAAGAAAATATTGCAATTACATCGAAAATTATACAATCTTGAATTTTTAATTCAAATATCTTCCATCTATCATTGATAGCCTTACCATCTTCATAATAAACAGTATTTAAGCGTACTATCATATCCAATATAGTTAGTAGTATAGTAACAGAAGTAAAAATTTGAGCTTTTTCAAAAACAATTCCTGGTTAAAAGGCAATTTCCAAAGGCAACAATATCATTAAAACTATACGTAGAGCAGTCATGAAATAATCCCAAATTAATTTTTACTTAGATTCAGGATGAATAAGAGGAATTTTATTCAAATCTTCAAGGATGCTTCTTTTCCAGGTTGTCAATAATGAGTTCTTTTTTGATAATTAAGATAGTAACACAGGAAAATCAAAGATTTTTAACTTTGGTTTATTCTTGTTACTATTAAGAAGGACTGTCTAATCTGATGCTTAATCATTAATAACATCTAAATGTTTTGAAGTTAACTTTTTAAAATTCTCTCTATTTCTGCTTAATTTTTACAAAAATTTCTTAAGATTAAAGTATGCCATCATGTTATTTCCTAAAATAGAGAGTTAACTAACATGAGATCTTTTCTCATAATCTAAAAAAAATTTGGCTTAATTTGAAACTTTAGTAAGCGGACTTAAAAGTAGATCAAGATTATCTGTTTCAATTGGTTTTGCCTATAGTTCTACATCCAAATCAGCATTTAATTACCATTCTTTTGGACTAACAGTATTGATGCTAAATAAACCAATTTTTTCTTAATAATTATTCATATATATTGAAACAAAAGGCTTTTATTAAACTTAAATATCAATTTTGATCCTAAATATTTAAAGCTTTGATTCTAATCTAAATGAAAAATTATCAAACAGGATGAAAATCAAATTTTAGAGCTAAGATCAAATATTATTATTATTATAAGATTAATACAACAACAAAATGATTAAAATTACTAAGCATTTAAGGTTAAGATTAAATTATTCAACTATTTTGGATGATCAATCCAAATTTTATATAAAACCAATAGAAGGATTTGAGCTTATAGATTTCAGTGGAGAATTTTTGATTTAAAAAGATGGAAAACTGAAAAATAAATTGTTGTAATTTTCTTAACATATCCTTATCTATTCAAGAAAAGTAATGTCTATATCTTTTATATAGAAATATATAAATATATTAAATGCTACATTGTTAGTAATTTTCGATAAAAATAATGAAATTGAAGGATTAAAACTTACAAAATCTGGAACATCTTTAGAAATCTATTAAAGACCTCATAAATTGTATGAATATATTAGAAAATACTGTATTTAAAGAGAAATATCTGATAGATATAAAATAACATAAACAGTTTACTATGGAAGCAATGCCACTGTATGAATACTTTAATATTCAATAGTTTCTTAAATTAGAATCATCATTAGATTCTAATGTTGTATATGTAGCCAAAATATATGAAAAATAGAATTTGATTTCTGAAGAATAGAAACAGAGTCTTAAGAAAGAAGTTTAAATTCTTAGAACAATAAATCATAGCCACATTTCAAATTTAATTGAAATTTTTGAAGATGACGAATTAATATTTTTAATATAAGAAGAATTAAAAGGAGAAAGTTTACAAACAATTTTAGAAAAGCAATAGAAATTTGATGAAAATTAAATAAAATAAATAATGAAACCTTTATTTGAATGTGTTTCAAATTTGCATGACAATAATATTTTCCATAGAGATATTAAACCTCAAAATATAATATATAGAACATAACTTGATTATACAGAACCTTGTTTAATTGATTTTAGTTTAGCAGATTTTTGGAATAAAAATGGTAGATACTTATTCACAAGATGTGGAAGCATAGGATATGTGGCACCAGAAGTATTATAAGATAAAAGATATGTCTTAAATATTGATGTTTATAGTTTGGGTATAATAATCTATATTTTGGTTACATTAAAACATCCTTTTGAAGATTAAGATAAAAACAGAATGATCCAAAAAAATTATCATGGTAAAATTGATTTTACAGATGTTTAATGTTCTTAGATTCTTATGGATCTATTGACTAAATGTTTAGAAGCAGATTACACTAAAAGATTAAATTGTAAAGAAGCATTAAAACATTAATTTTTCTTAAATAAAATACCTAAGGTTTTATCATTCAAAATAAAAGATAATAGAAAACCATCTTTAATTAGAACTCCTAGAAGTTAAAATAAATAACATAGTACAAGTAGATTCTCTAATGATTCTGGAAATAGTCTAAACTTATCATAATCACCTTCCTCAATTGATAGTGATAGACATTCCTCCAGTAAGATTAAATAAAATAATTTATTACCAGAAAGTAATAATTAATTTTATTTATTAAGTTAATATTTTTCGACCTAAATCTAAATATTTTCAAACAAGAAAATCTTAATATGATCCTTCTACCAACAGAATTGAATGATTAAATAAATAAACTATAATTTTGCTTTAACTTTATTGTTTTTTATAATTCTTGAATAACAATTCAAAAAATAAAATATTTAAAAATATATTCAATAATATTATTCATTCTTTCATTTATATTCTAATTTCTTAGGAAACATATTTGGCATTAAAATAGATATCGATTATGATGGTCTTTAAGTCTTAGCAAAAAATGAAGGTGAAATTCCACTTGGTCTTACCTTTTAAGTATTATTATATAATGATTAAGAAAAAGATTAAACTTCTTTTGGACTAAAACTACCATTCAATGTAGTAATACGAAAAATTGAATGATTATGATAATTAGTAGAATTTCTATGTGGATTCGAAAATTAATGCTATGCAGGACTACCACAAGTTTAATCCATACTTTATTTCGAAAGTACAATTGGTAATAATTTAGGAGAATTTTACATACTTTTACGATGTTATGGACTTTTAAATTAAATTTTTTTGATATTTTTGTGAGCCTTAAATTCCATCAATTTTGATAGCTTCTCTGTCTTAAACCAAATATGATTCAAAGCTGCTTAAGCTGTAATTCTTTCATCTGGTTCAGGTTTGAGAATTTTTTCAATTAACATTAGGCCTTCTTTACTTAATTTTAAAATTGATATATCTACATATCCTTCCTCATTTTTCTCTAATAATTATTAATAATCTTCTGAATCGAAAGGCTTTTTTCCAGTTAATGAATAATACATCATAATTCCCAAACTATAGATATCAACCTTGCAATCATATTATTAGTTCTTCAAAATTTCTGGGGCTACAAATCCTGGAGTTCCACATCTTTAAAATAAATATCTAGGTGTTTCATCTTCTTCATCTGATTCATTTTCTAGACTAACAATATCAGCTAATCCAAAAAAACAAATACAAGGATTCTCAAGATTTCCATTTAATCTAAGCCCAATATTTTCTGGTTTTAAATCTCTATGCATTATCCCTTTGGAATGAAGATATGCTAAACTTTTAAATAATTTAAAAAAAAATTTGGATGCTTTTTCCTCTGACAATAATGGCCATTTTTATAAATAAGAATCAAAATTTCCACCTATAATTAATTCCTCTACTATAATTATTTACTCTTAATTTTCAAAGGTTTCAAAATATTTTTGAATATATTCATCATTTATTCTTCTTAATATATATAATTCTTTTTCTATTTATTTTTCCATGGTAAGATTGAGTGCTTTTTTATAAAAAATTTTGCATTAATAATCATTTCTATCTGTTTTAGACCTTATTCTAAAAACCTAATTATTAAATGATAATTAGTTTACCTCAGTTTTATCAAAAGAATTAATCTTCTTTAAAAAATGATATTATTAAGTGAATTCTAATTGGATAGTGTATTTCTTAAATATTGGTAACATTTTATCTAATTCTCCATATATTTCAATTTCGTCAAAGCATTTAGTTAGTTTAATGCCTTCTCCAAATTATGGGTCATTTATAGAATCTAAAATGGAATTTTCATAGTCAATCCAACACAAAGATCCCTAAATATATATGATGAAATACATCTTTTTTTTATCTCATCATGATATTCTCATGCATCATGATAATATATGTTTTTTTTACATTCTTTTTATTTTACATAATGACCTATTAAACAATGTCAAACTCTTATTGTGATTTAGGTAACTTTTATCTCATCCATTCCATTCTAACATAATCCCTTTAAAAAAAGCACTTTCTATGTGATTATTCGTATGAAATCTTTTTGTTAATGTCCAAATTTAACTTAAGGAATCTTTTCATCAAAAAAATGAATAATTAATTGAAAATCCATATATACTAAGCTTATATAATAAATATTCATTAAGGGTAAATTCTACTATGAACATTCGATAAAGTTTTAGTATTATTACATAGAGAGAATGATATTATAAAAAAATGTTGTAATATAATTGTATTAAGCATATAAGGTCATTATTAAATAATGATTATGCGATTATAAATTTAATTTATAGTAAATCTTAAAGAAAATTAGTATTAATTACAATTATATTGAAATAAAAAATATATAATATAAATAAATTTTAATGTCGATATTTCATGTGACAGATATATCTGAAAAACCTTCTTCTTATACTAGCTCCTTAGCAAACAAAGAGGTTTCATTAATAATCTATAATAGATAAATTATTAAGCTTTAAGGAGTGAAGTAAGAACTTCCATCATTGATAAATATAATCATTTCGAAAAGTTGGGATAAAAACCTTTGAGTCCAAAAGGTGGTTAATAAACTAGAGATAGTCCTAGAAAACATTAAAATACTCTTCGTACTTTAGATATTTTATTTGGAAAACCAACTTAAAATTCTGAGTAGGTTTCCCAATCGTCACCTGCAAAAATTAGTGGATTAAAGAAGAAGTATAACTATTATTTAAACTTAAGAATGCAATAGATAGGGACTTAAGAATAAATTGGAAAGTTTCATTTATCAACAGGTGCTTAAGATTTTAAAAGTACCTACTATGACTAATCAGGATCTAAATATTCTTTCTTATCACCTTAAAACAGAAATAATTAAGATAATTTGGTTAGATCTGGATCTTAAACTTCAAAATTCTATCCAGAAAGAGGGTAAAATAAATGAATATTAATATATAGTACATAACTAAGTAATTCAGTTCCAATCTAAAGGTTAGTCGAAATCTAAAATTTATTAGAGTTGACACCAGCAAGTGAATTATAAACATTACCAAGAAAGTAAAATGTATAATAAATTTTAGTTATTTGGATGAATTATAGAGAGTAGCCAGTTCAATATAAAGGAACTTGAAACATCACAATGATATACGTTTAAAGCAATGATATATAAGAATATTTTTATAAAATAAAAATTAATATTCATTAAATTTTAGAAACTATATAAAATTAGAGTACTTCTTAAATGTTCTATTTAAAAACAATTGATTAGATGTATGATTTAATGATAAATATATATATATATTAGAATTAAATATATAATAATTATTGTATTTTATCATTAATTATTAGATAATATGGGTAATAGATAAGCATAGGAAGAAGAAATAGATGATAATCGTTTTAATGCTATATAGAGAGGATTATTAAAAATTTAATCAGGATTTTAAGTTTTTAGGAATTAATAAGATGAAAAGAAGATTAAAAAATTGGATGAAATTGATAGACCAAAAAATGCTACTCTTTGTCCAGAATTTTATGATATGATTGCAGAAGAATATAGAATATAATTTGATAAAAAAACAGTTAAAAAGAAATTCAAAAGATATCCACCATTTAGATTAGAAAATGGAGATATTTATGAAGGATGTTGGATACATGGTAAAAAACATGGATTGGGAATATTATTATAATAAAATGGAACTATTATTTAAGGTGAATGGTAAAATGATGCATTATTAGATGGAAGAATAATTTATCCAAATGGTGACATTTAAGTTGGTAATTAATATACATATGCAAATGGAATCATATTTATTGGAGATGATGATTATGGAATAGAAAAACATCCAGATGGATCCATATATACTGGAGAATTCCATAATGGTCATAAACATGGAAGAGGTTAATTTATATATAGTGATGGAAGTGTTTATTCTGGTGATTTTGTTGAAGATCTTTATAGTGGATATGGAGAACTTAAATATTATAATAAAATTGTTTATGAAGGTTAATGGTTTAATGGATAAATGCATGGTTTAGGAAAACTTAAATGGCCAGATGGAAGAGAATATGAAGGGGAATTCAAATATGGATTAAAAAATGGTCCAGGAAAGATGAAATACTCTGATAAATCTGAATTTCATGGTATATTTGAAAATGGTCTTAAAGTTGGAAAGGGTAGATGGATTGATTCTCATTAATAGCTTTAAGAGAGAGAAATAGAAAATGGACATATGTTAGATCCTTAACTCAAACCTCCACCACCATTACAATAATAAAATGATTGACCTTAGATTCTATATAAAAAATTGAATTATTTAATCAACTTAAAATTACTGCTTACATTTATGAAAGATATAAGCGAAATATAAATCAAATATTACTTTAGATATACTTAGATGATCCAGCTGATCTATGATTCGTTAACATAGGAGTTTCTCCATAGGCTCTTGATATTTGTTACTTTTGAGATGTAACTTCAGGGTTAAATTCTGTGTTTTATGAAATGATAGTTTATAGTTTTTCTTATTACTTTATAGTTCTTTTATCTTAAGGAGATCTACAGATTGGACAACTCTATAATAAATAAATCTAATACTGAATTTTTTTTAATCCAAGCATCAAAACATTTGGAATGAAAAACATGCTAGCAATAAGTGACTCTAACTAATTAATCTAATTGAAAGTTATCTAAACAAATTGCACATTAATTAAAATCTAATATTTAAGGGTATTTCTTAAAAACAGCTGAGAATTGAATTGTTGGAATTAATTCAGCAATTTCTTATGAATAATCAGTTGTAGTTTTGTTTGTTTACAAATTCATTAATATTCTATTTGCATTTGTATTTGTATTTGCAATTATCCTTTTAGATCTATAACACCTGAAAACACAGAAAATGATGCAACATAAAAATGTAAGGCAAGTTGACAAAATAGCAATTAACATTGTTTTATAATCATTCGAGTCTTCACTTTCCTATTTCTATAGGTAAAGTAGATCTTCTTAATATATTTAAATAATATAATATGAAACACTTCCAAATTATCTATTTCCTTAATGTAAACAATTATTAATTTCTGTTGTTGATATTTATATATTATCACTAGTAATTATATTTGCCTTTTTTAAGTATGGATTTATAGAGAAACATTAATAACTAAGTTTACCTTTCTTTTTAAATTGGATTGTAAAATTAGAATCCTATAAAGATTTTAAATCAACATAATAATAGCTAGATTTGATTAAATATTCTTCATTAAATATATTTGATCCTTAATATTTACAATCAAATCCAAAATAATTTTCTTTACAATAACATGTTCCTTTTTTGCATTCTCCATTATACTTACAATTCCTATTGAATATTTAAGAAATTTACACTATACAATCGTTAGATTATTTTGGATAAATGTAAATATTTACAAAATCATATTTATTTGAAAATATTCCTACATAAGGAGAATTGGTATTTGTATATTTCACATTTTTAGAATATGAATTCATATTATTTGTTGAATTTCTAATAAGCATTAATTTTTAGGAAGGTTCAGAGAAATCAAACGCGTTCCAATCACAAATACATCCAAAGCTTCATATAAATGAAAATACTTTTAATCATTGTAAATTTCTTCAAATTGTTAAAAGTTTGGAGCTGTGTCACAAATTAACAGTATGCTTACTTGACTTTAACTGGATTTTGCTTCTAAAACAATTGATTCATCCAATTTGTTTTCTATATTCAGTTATCGAAGTCCCTTTGTATTTTGAAATGATATTTCTTAATAACAATTTCCAAAGTGATAAAATAAGAATAGAATGTACATGAATTTTATTAATATTTGATTAGTTTATATAATAATATTTTACTAGTTTATTACTTATATCTTATGTCATGAGCATTGAATATTAAGTATCACATTATTTTTTTGTGCTTTTAATTAATTTTTGAATAAAGTTTTTAAACTCTTGAGAATTGTTATTTATTTTAGTCATTATATTATTAGTTTATATTATCATTTCTTATTGTATTTATCAAAAATTTAGAGAGTTTTCAAAAACTTTAATTGAAGTTGAATAGAAAATATAGAATAATATTAAAATTTATTTATTGTATAATAATAATTAATGCTTGATATTTAGGTAGTGGATTAATATAGCTTGTATCCTCATTTTTTGGAATTAACAGCTCCATATTTCCCTATTAAGAATTTTTAATTTAAGGACAAGATTGGAACACTCAATATTTAATTCAAAAACTAACAAACATACAAACCATTAATTTATATTTATATTTTAAGCACTAATTCATATGAAGGATATAAGAATACGGCAAGATAAAGATTAATGAAATATTTTGATGATTTTCCAGCTAAAAATAGCATCATACTATTTTTTCCAAGTTTATTAAGAGTAGATGATAAAGTTAATGTAAAATTAATATATATTGATTGAGAAAATCCTTCAATAGACACATGAATTAATTTGCTAAGATTTATAGATTGTAAAACAATTTCCAAAGGATAAAGTCTAAAAGATTATTTTTTATGATCCTGAAAGAGAGTTAAATAAAGAATAATGTATGAGAGAATTTTTATATCATTTTTAATTATCTGTTCAACAATATTTAGAGAGTCAATATGATATATTAGAGAATCAAATTTATGATTAAGAGTAATTGATGTATACATATTTTATTAAATAAAATAGATAAGAGAAATCTTTCAGTTTTTATAAGCTTTATGCTTTAAAAGAAAAAAAGGCAAAAATTTATGAGAGTATAGGTTTAAAACAAGAAGCATTAGAAATTTATGTAGGATAGGAGAAATTCTTTTTATAATAATACCCAAAAACAATACAACCAATTTTTAATGCTATACATCCTTTTGATTTCCTAGTCAGAAAGTCTGTTGAATCAAATATTAGAAATTTTGAGGAATCTGGAGATGAATCATAATCAACTATCTTAGATTTTTTAGTGTTGATTCAATATAGAGTATTATTTAAAATTATTCAAAGATAATTGATTTGCTTTCAGGTGGAAATTAAATATTTGGAGTTGAAAAGATACTTAATTTTTCTGATGAGATATAATAAGTTGTTAATTAATAAATTGAAATTAATAAATAAAAATAATAATTTCATACAGATGAAGAAGAATTATGGGGATTAGGATTATTAATATGGCAATTTTTTAATATGGTATTTATTAATTATAATTAAAGAGAGGCAGTATTAATTTAATGGCTTCTGTGCCACAGAATTTATCTGGAGATTTATTATTATAATAATTATAATCTTAATTAAAAATAAGATTTGCTTTATTAAATATTGTTGAGAAATTAGGATTTACACTTTATAAAATTTAATTTAATTATGTAAGAAGATTACCTCTATCTGTTTAATGTGAATTATTAGAATAAACTATACTTGAATAATTAAATGAAATAAAATTTGATGATGTTGTAATCAGTAGAGATATTTAAAGTGATCCAAAAGAATTATTTAAAACTTATTTATTAAGTGATACAAAATTAAAAGGATAAATTCATAATTTACATGATTTTTCTGAATTTTATTCTTCTATTGTAAATGACATTATTTCAATAGCAAGTCAATTAAATTTACATAGAGTAATATTTGAATATTAATTTATGATTTTAAAATTAAAGAATGTTTATCCAAAATTAGAATTAAATTAAGATAATATTGACAAAGCTTTAAAGTATAATAATATTGATTTTAAAAATTTATAATCAAGTTTATTAGTTTAAAAATTAATATATTTCTATAGAGAAAAAATGGAATTATCATTTTAAGAAACTTTTAAAGATACTTTACAATCAAATTTACCAGGGAGTAGATATACAAAATTGTTTTAAATATTAAAACTCCCTTTAACAAAACTAAAATTATCATATATTGGATATTTTGAGACTTTTTAAATTAAATAAAGAGTTTCTTATAATGATTTTGTATTTAAATTTTCAATTTTAAAATATTTATAAGTTGAATGTTATGGAATATTTACTATTACATTAAAGCATAAAGGAGGAGGAGTAAAAGATAAGAGAAAGTTAAAATTAATTTCAGATACAAAATAATTGAAAGAAGAAAAAAAAGTGAGTTTTGAATTCAAATAAATATTAAATTCAAATTAAGGTGGATTATATTCAATTAGAAAAGTAACTTTTCTTTCTGGTCCTTTTAAACTTTATTTTGATGTTTCATAAAAAGTGTAATAATTAAAATTACATATACTACATCCATTAATAAATATATAGAGTATTGCAACTATAAAAAATATTGGAACTCCAATATTATTATCAGTAAGTGATTTACCTTTAGAAATAACTGAATTAGATCTTACATTAATATCAAAGATAAAGATAGCATCAGAATTGTTTAGTTTATAAGGAACAACTATTACCTAAAAAGGAAATTCATATAAAGTTGTTGTTGAAGATCACTTTTTAATTTAACATCCTTTCATATTGACTTTATATGCTTTTGAGGAATTTTAAGATTAATAATTAAAAATAATAATTACTGTTAAAAATCATTAATTTGCAACTAATTTGAAAGTAGACTCAATCAAAGTTTTAGATATTGTAGATCTTTCAGATAAAATAGATGATGATTTAGAATTATATGAATTACGTAACAATTCTAAAGAAAGCATCATAATAGATAATGGTAATTAAAATATTGCTTTAGAATATCGTAATTAAATTAGACAAGTGGCTTAAAAAGGCTAATGTAAAAAATATAAATTATATTATTTTAGAGATATTTATAAAATAATAGTTTAACTACAAAGATAGTTTTTAGAAATTAGGAGTTTTAGATGAATCTTATTTTGAATAACTAGAATAATTATATAGTAAATAGTAATCGTTATAAAAAATAATGCTTATTAAAAAGAATTTGTATGATATTTATTAACTAAAGAAAAAATCAATTTTATTTAAAGTTCAATTTATGGTATTATAGAATAATAATATTAATAGAGTGTTTTTAATTAAGAAAAATTTATACCTTATTCTCAACCAGATTATTTTGATATGGCCATAAAAATTCAATATGCAGGAGATGATGAAGGTTTATTCCAATTTGAATTAGTATCTCATCATCCAAAATAAAATAGGAAATGGAAAGATTGTATAAAATTAATCCTAAATAGCATTGTCATAATAAAAGACCATAAGTTTAATGAATATAAAATGCTTTCTTACAGGCACAGAGGATTTTGAAAAGCCATAATTAAAAATACATTTACTTAAAGAAGACAAGACATATGAAATTGATGAAAAATACATTGACATTGAATTTACCCTCAGCATAAATGAATAATCATTATGACAGAGTTAGTATGTAAAATGCATGTGTGTATGAATTTATTATACAAACAAGCAAATAAATATAAATTCTTTCCAATTTTTAATGTTTCTGATCTCAAATATCATTCATTTTTATTTTATTATTGTCAATACAATTCAATTAATTTTGTAAAATTTTGTGAATAAATCAATATTTCTATTTAGATGTTAGATGAAGTTGGGAATAATATTTATAATAGTTTAATGGATAGAAATCAATGAATCTTTAATAAATCTCAAATAGATTGTTAAAGACTAAAGCTTTGGAAAATATTAGAAATTGAGTTCCAAATATATACATTACATAAATAAAATATATCAATAAATTTATAAAATATAGATGTTGTAATAGCGACCACCTTTTCCTTCTGGAGTCATGGACTGCATTTTACCTAGAACTTAAGAACTTGGTGCTCTATTTCTAAGTGGAATAGAAGCAGCCCTTAATCCCTATTTATTACAATAGAATCAAATAGGCGCAATACTTACTGTTGGATCAGAAATGGCCAATTTGTAATTCTAAGATGCAAATCATAAAGTATCTAAATGTCATATGTTAGATTCTCTATTTGAATGATACAAGTCATGATCCCATTAAAAAGTATTTTGATGAATCTATTTAATTCATTCAAGAGAACAGATAAAGATGCAATGTTTTAGTGCATTGTTATGTAGGGGTCAGTAGAAGTGCTACCATTATCATAGCATATTTAATGCAAATTTGCAATTTCCCTTTCTAGAAATCTCTTCAACATTTAATATAAGTTAGACCTTTAATAAATCCTAATCCAGGTATAAATGCATCTTATTAGGCTTTATGCAATAGTTATAAAGTTTTGATCAAGAATTACTAATAAAAAGATTAAGTTAGATTAGGCCTCCCTCTGTAGAAATACAACGACCCATATCTGTACATGGCTAGAGAAGAGAATAATTGAGTTCTCATCGATCAACAGGACTTCCTCAAAGTCCTTTAAAAAAAGTAAATGCTCTTGGTTAAGTGAACCAAAGATCTTTAATGATGACTCCAATGTCAATAAGAAAAGTAGAGAGTAATCATTTTAGACAGGGAACTCCATTAAAATTGAAAGATAATTTTTGTAAAAGCTTGAACTCTTCAATAAATAGTCATGATTTTAGAAAAGTTCTTTAATAATGTAATTAATTTCACAGTGCTAAAAAATCAACAAATGATGGGAATATGATAAAATAGGCTGCTATATTTTGTAAGACTTACTCAAATAATTAAAATCATTTAAGCTAGGTGAATTTACTATTAAAAACTCCAGGATCTGGATTAGGCATTTAATCTAAGAGCAAAGTACCCTTAAAAATTAAAGGGTCAATCATATAAGAGTAATACTGAATTGTAGTATATATACTATATCAAAATAATTATATTTTTAAGTAAATATTAAGTGTGTTATATTAAATAATTTTATAAATGGTTGTAGCAGAAAAGAGACTGATTGATGAGTAAGAAATCTATAATAGTATAGATATTTCAAGGTAGAAGATATTGACTAGGCTGGATAGTCATTCAAAAGAGTGTCAAGAATAAAATGTAAATCAAAGTCAGGTGAAGTGGATATGGAATTAGATGTTAATATTGATATCTATCCAATTGACAAAGGCTGTGAATATAGAGTCCTAATTGTTAGATCTTTAGGAATATCATAAGAAATGGATTAAGTAAAAATGTAAATAAACTTTAGGGTAAATACAAGCCAGAATTTTCATAAATTGACAATGAATTATTGGAAAAATTTTAATATGCCATGTTTGGTCGGGTATTTAAAATGATAAAGGATTAAAATAAAATGATTAATGTTTTTGCTTCTTTTGGTGGTTTAATTTTAAAATTGAGTGGTAAATCTGAAGAACTTGATAAATTTGCTGACGATTAAAGAGTGTATTTATTAATGAGAAAGGCATGAGAAGATATATTAATTTTTATTAATATTTTATTTATTTTCTAATAATGTTTGAAGGCACTAGATTGTAATATATAGTCCCTGGATATACAGGACATATACCAAAAAGCTTTTTTGAACAATAAGTTGGATATTATTAAGAAGAAAAGCCACAAAATCACATTCCAGGTAAAAAGTTATATAAATCTATTTAGGTTATGCTGGTGAGATCAAATCAATGAAAGCTGAAAACCTATTTGCTTAAACTTATGGGAAAATAACTTACCAAATATAACATGATGATTATTACAAAGGATAAGATGTTCCACCTGAATTAAGATATAAATCATAACTATAAGACACATATCAAAATTAAAATAAAGTACAACTCAGAACAGCTGCCGAAATAGTTGGTGTGAAACCAAAACCTATTGAATATAAGATTGTAATTCAAATATTTAAACAAATTATTAGCCTTAAACTGAAACTGCTAAGAATTTCTTTAAGTTGGATGAATAAGGTAATCCAAGATTGAAGGAATCACTCAGTAATTGGAAGAGTGAATATGAATAACATTCAGAAACTATTGATGAAGCTACTCATAAGTTTCATGGAGACCCTGGATAAAAAGTACCAAGTATATATATATTAAAATAAATTTTAGTTCCACTTGGTGATCCATTACCTGGTTATACTGGTATGCAAAAGAGAGTAGTTGCAGCTAATATTTTTGGTCAAACTTTTGCAAATGCTCGTAAAACTGCTTTACAAGATGATGCAAAGATCAAAGATGAAAAAATGAATACATTTAAACAATAAGCTTCATTTATTCCAGCTTTAAAAAGATGATAATTATTATATATGAACGAACATTGTTATATATATTGTAATCAAACTCGCATTTATTTAATTAATAAATGCAGCAAATAAATTATGATTAAGTTTTGCTAACCTTTTAATGCTCTCGTAAACATTTAGTTATTGATTCAAAATACTATGTTTACTTACTACCAAAAGCATTGATTCTTTCAAGAGTAATTATTTAAAATTTCTTAGAATCCAAAACAACAAAACCCAAAATACATTGTATAATTATGTTTAACATCTAAAATTCATTGGATAACAAAGCCAAAGACTCCAATTCTTGAATAATTTGGATTCCAATATAAGGATGAAATAAAATATTTCTCTGCTCCAACAAAGGATTTGCAACAACTTAAAGATTTAATGCAGGGTTAAATCATGTATAAGGAAATCAGCGATTTCTATACTCCTAATTATATGTTAGGTAAAGGTGGTTCTTCTAAAGTATAATTTCACGTTAACTAAAGGTTTACTTTGTTACCAAAAAATATGATCAATCTCAATTTGCATCTAAATGTGTTGAAAAGAGATATTTAAAAGAAGATGGAGGATATGTAAATATATTTTTAAATTTTTAGAATGCTTTGTTCAATGAAATTTAACTTATGTAAAGGTTAAAACATGAAAACATAATACAATTGAATGATCTTTATGAAGGAGAAAGCACATTTTATATGATTTTAGAATATTTAGAAGGGAAAAGCTTACATGAATTACTGAATTAAAGATAATCAATTTTTGAATAAGAACAAATTTAAATAATAATTAAAGTAACTAATATATTTCATATTAAAGTTAATTTTATAAGCAATCGATTATATGCATTCTTAAGGAATCATGCATAGAGATTTAAAACCAGAAAATATTATGTTTAAATACATAAATTAAATATAATCTTTAAAAATTGTGGATTTTGGTTTAGCCACTTATTAAAATATTGATATATTTCCATTTCCCAAATGTGGAACACCTGGATATGTAGCACCTGAAATTGCTAATTTAAAAGATTTAACTTAAAAGTATACTTCAATTTGTGATGAATTTAGTGTTGGCTGTATTTTTTACAAGCTGTAATTAATTTATTAATAATTAGGTGTACTGGGAAAGACCTCTTTCCTGGTAGTGATTATTAAGAAATTTTAACATTAAATAAGAAATGTAATATAGTATTAGATAGTTTGACTATTTATAAAACTCCAACTGAAGCTATAGATTTAATAACATAATTACTTAAAGTAAATCCTAAAGAAAGGATTACTGCTTAACAGGCACTTTAACATCCATATTTTTAATAAAAATATGAAAGTAAAAAGACTAAATTCTAATAATCTAATATCACTAAATAGAATCCAATGTCTTAAACTTAAAATTTTAATCCAAAAGTTGTAAATTTAATTTTATAAAAATTCGAAGAGGAAATTGTGGAAGATGAAAATACAAAATAATTGAGTATTCCTATAATGTAAAATATGAAATCTTTTGGATAAATTTAATAATATGCTTATTCACCATAGAATCCTTAACCTAGAAAAAATATGAAAAAGTTTTAAACCTCAGAATTTGACTAATATACCTAAACAATATCTCCATAAATGAATAATTTTAAACCATCTTTAATTATGAATTGTGAAACTTACACAAATTCGCCAAATCCAGATAAAACAGCCCAAACAACTAGAAATACTTTAGTAAATAAAGGTTAAAATACTGCAGCTATCAATTTTATGTACAAAATTGAAGAAGAGCAGGAAGAAGACAAAGGAATATAGAAATGATTATATACAAAATATCATTTGTTAATTGTTTAATTGATTATGACCAAAATTCTTGTTATTTTTTATTGAATATGCAAATTAGAGCTAAACTTCATTTATTATAAAATTAATGAGTAATAAAATCTAGGAGGGATGTGTTTCTGCTAGATAAAAGTTATATAATGATCAAGAATTTAGAGATGTAGTCAAGACATTTCACGAAATTGTCATACAAATCAATAAAAGTTATAATGATTAATCATTTTAAGGTGTGAAGAAATAAAAAAAGAAAAAATAAAATCAATAGCCATCTTAATAAATTTAAACTAAAAAAAAAGAAGAGTTTAAATTATTTAGAAGAAATTCATATCACATTTAGATTGCTTATAAATTATACAATAAAAACAAATAATAAAATTAGATTGATGAGTGTGACCCTACATATCACTCCAAAAAATTAAGAAATAGTAATCTAATGGAATTAGAAAATCAACTAAATAATCACAACAACAATCATATACCATTAAATGAAACAAGTTTGTAAAAATGAATTATAAATATAATTAATGTTCTATGTGTGTTATATAAATGAATTATTTCAAAATTTTCATATTATATACTTTAGGGAAAATAATATGAATTTATAAGGAATAATAATTATAACGAAATGATATATAAAATTATCAACACTTATTTAGTCACGCTGTTCTCATTTTTAGCTAATCCTACAAACTTTAAAATACCAAATTCAGTATATGCCTTAGGAATATTTATATACTTTATCTAGCCATATTCTAAGTTATTTAATAACCAAAGTGAACCTGATACATTCATGAACTATATAGCAACATTTTCATCGGTAATTTACTTATCAAAAATAGTATTCAACCTTAATATAATTTATATAATAGGAAAATACAGACTCAACATTTTGGGTTTTTTATGCAATATTTCACTTGCCAATATTAATATTAATTATATTACCAATACTTAATTCATTTTCATCAAAATAAGATAGAGAAAATAAGTAATTTTTAAATTTATTTGAAGTAGCCCTTTTTTATCAAGTGTTAGTAGTTTCTATAGCGTTTTGCTTAGTTTTTATTCATTTATACTTTCAGAAATATACTTAGAATTTAATTCACAATTAATTGTAAGAATCATAAAAATATTAGTTTTCAAATTCTTTAATATAAAAATTTGTTGGAGTAATTTTTGGTTGTTGCTCTTTTGGTATTTCCTAAATGTCTAGTTTTGTTTGTTAAACTCATGAGTTTAATGATATAAATAGATACAAAAGAAAAATATCATTATTTTAGGTTGCTTAGATATTAAAGGCATTAATTACTGTCTCATCTTATTTTCCAACAAAATCATCTAAGTTGTCTATTGTGATTTGTATCATATTATTTAGCATAATATCAATATATGATAGTTTGATATAGAGACCTTTTCCATCTGTATTTTTAACAAAATGGTATTTGGGCAGTGCATTAGCTTTTGCAATGGCTAACATCATTTAGATTATCTTTAAATATGATTTGATTATTGAAAGTTGTAGCATTTATCTTATTATTGGATTGTGTCCTTTATCTTATTATTTGGGGCTAAGTTTTTATGAAGATAAGTTTATGAAATTGATATAAAATAGAAATATTTAGGATTTCTGGATTTATTCTTAAGAATTAATTGAAATGTATTCTTCATAAGAATTGAAATTGATAGTTTATATCTCTATACGAAATCATATCAATCATTGCTAAAATGTTGGATGTTATTGTTCAAAATATGGGAAAAATTTAAAATTAGATAGTAATAGCTAAAGTATTATAAGTGGAAATAAAGACACAACATTAAACTATAGATGCTTAAGAGAATTGAATTTAAAATTTGATGATATTGTTAAATTAATGGATTCATTATTTTTTTAAACTTTAAATCATCCAAAATTAAAGAGAAAAGATCGATTAAATTATTTATATGCATCATTTTTAGAGAAGTATTCAGGAAATAAATTGATGAGTTATTACTTTCTTAAACTATTCTGTTATAAACATAAAGCAAAATTAAGCTATTTTTATAAATTAATTTTTCCAAAAATTATCAAAGTAATTATTTTAATTATTTAGAAATTAGAGTTAAAGCTTATTTATTTCAACAAAATTTAGTAAGAAAATAATCAGAAGGAACAATAAATTGATGAATTATCTTTAGAAACTATTATTCAAATTGAAAATTCTTGTTTAAGTTATCAGTAATCATTTGTATAAATCCTTACATAAAAGATAATTATTTGGTAATTAATTGAAAAAGGTAGTGAATCAATTTCAATTTTTATAAAAAGAATTTATAGACCCTTAATGGAAATAGTGACACAGAATAAAAAAATTTAGTATGAAATATCTTAATTATCATAAAATTATGAAAATGCTGGATTCTTAAAATTACTTTAATTAAGCTATCTTGTAATTTCTAATTCTTTGGGGAGAGTAAATATTTTAGAATAAAAAATATAAGAATTAAAAAATAGAGATTAATATAGAGAAGATGAGGGTTTGAATAATTTTAATTTAATGAGAGGATAGTTCACTTTAATAAAAACAGGACTTATAAAATCATTAGGGTGTATTCTTAGTAAAAATGAAGATAGAATAGAAGCATTTTTTAATTATAATAGAGATGAATAAACTAAAATTACAAATATTAATTAATTAATGCCTCCTCATATTGCAAGTTTTCATAATTAAATTATTCATTAATATATATAAAATGGTTAGACATATCTATTATATGATAATAGAAGAGTTTATGTATCCAATAAAAATCAATTTATTTTCCCTATAATGTTATCATTAAGAAATGACTTTACCAATTTTGAAGATTGCGTATTTAATGTTTGTATGTTGAAAGTTTCATTTTAGGATGCAATAATGTTTGATGCACGTGGATCTATACTTGGTATGAGTGAAAATTTATTTTCTTTATTATCTGATTCTGAAAAACTATTTTCTTATGCAGATTTATTAAAATATGGATTAATTTAAGTTTTGTTTCCAAATTTTTATAAAGTTTTAAATGATATTGATGAAGCTTAAAATAACTATTATAAGGAAAGTGATGTTACTGCTGATTTAGAATTTGAAGATTTGAAATCATCTATCCATATTAATTCAAATTTTATTAGTTTATGCTAATAATATCAAAATCATTCATCAGGGAGTTAGTATGATAATTAATTATCAAAGATGTCAACCACTCATAATAAAGTAGAATTATTTGATAAAAGAGATAGAGAATTAATGAAAGATTTTGCTCAAGAGTAAAAAAATTTGAAAAAATCATCAAGAGGATTTCGTTTAAGATTTGATCTTCAAAAATTTGAAAAGAATTTTAAAGGTTTATCTTAAGAATTTTTTACTTTTGTAGGAACTGAAAGTCATAGATAAAACATTTTCACCTATTTTATAATTGATATAAAAGAGATATCTTCAGCAAAATCTAAACCTAATTAAACTGTATCAACAATATCTTAATATTTAACAATAAGTCACAATTACACATAAACTGATTAAAGAGTTTCGACATCTATGTTTAATAAAGAAATTTAATATAATGCTTAAATGAATGAAGAAATTGATGGTTAAGAAGAAAAAGGAACATTATAATTTAATATATCCCTAAGTCAACCAATGTAACCTGTTTTTTAGGTTGAGTCACCTAGAATCTAATTAGAGACTCCCAAGGATACGGAAAGAGGAATGTTAAGTAATAAACATTAATCATCTGATTTAGTGGGATAATAAAGATATTTTAAAAATAGCTTTGATAATTTTTATGAAAAATAATTAAAATAAAAAGATTTAACTGATCCTAAATTTATATCTAAAAATGGATTATAAGATGATGGAATAAGAGAATTCGAAGAAGAATTAGAATTTGGATAATTAAATTAATAATAATAAATATAAATGTAAATAAATTAGTTAATGGAAGATCCACCTACTTTTTAAAAATAATAATGTGTAGTTTATGTACATAAAATTAAATAAAATAAATAAAAAAGAATTTTAGATGAATAATAATCTACAACTAGTGGAATGTCAAAGGCAGAAAGGGAAAATTTAGAAAAAATTTATATGAATTCTAAAATGCCTCATCAATTTTATTATTTAATATCATCATGGATATTTATCACTTTTATTTCATTAACATCTGTAATTACACTATCTATTATCAGTATAAGTATGTTAGAAGATGTCATTACTACAAGTGCTCATTTACTAATTCCTTATGAATTTAATAGAGCATATATTAATAGTGCATAATAAGCTATATATTTACATAGCAAATAATTTTAAGATGAAAACATTAATAATTTTAATTTATCAATTAATTAATTATAAGAATCAATAACAGAAACAACAATTACTTATAGGGAATTGTTAAATGAAGAGATTGATTAATACATTAAAGTTCAAGAAAATAATATCCCTATCAAAGTTTATACAGATATAGATACTTTTTAATCAGTTGAAATAAATATCTATGATTTTCTTTTAAGTAATTATTAAATAATGTTATCTATTAATGAAACAAATTAACTTCTTAATTTGATCAGTAGATTTTATGATATTACAGAAAGCACAGATGTGATTAATGATTTTCAAATGTAAGGTATAATTGATGACATTGATCAAATGATGTTAGTTTAGGATTATATAACATTTTTGACTATTGGAATTTTGGTATTACCATTATTTCCATATTTAAGAAATTATAATAAGCTTAATATTTATTAAGAAAAAATTGTTCTCTTAATAACAAGAGTTAATATAAATGAGTTTTAAAAAGAAGTAAAAAATTTATCAGAAATACTTGAAAATATAACAAAATTGAATACTTTAAATTTAGTAACTAATGATTTTGTTTCTTAAGAAATTTTAAATGATAGACCAAATTATTCTTTGAAAACTAATGCTAAGCAATAAATACTCTAAACTAAAATTTATGATGTGAAATTATCAATGTGGTTTGAAGTTTCAATACTTATTTTCATATTTTTCAGTGTGACAATCTATTTGATTGGAGGACTTCTATTTTCTAATTAAATTCCTAGTGATTATTTGGCTAGAGCTGAATAATATGTACATTTATCTCATGAATATTAACATATTTAACATTATAATTTGTTAAATGAAATGATTGTTAACAATTATACTACAGAAACTATGTCGGATATTTTTGTAAAATATGATGAGGCTATATAAAGTTATAATTTCTTACCATTACCATTAGCAAAGGAAAATGGAGACTTAGAGTTTCTGAATGAAATATACTATAATGATCTTTGTGATAATTCTAATCATTTTGTTTGTGGGTAAAAACAATTTAGAAAAAGTTACTAAAATGGTTTAAATGGAGTACTTCAAAATATTAAATTACTATTTTATTAAGAACATTTTAAAAGATATGTGAGTGATGAATATTGGGCATTGATTGTGTTTTTTCCTTCGTTTATTGAACCTTTTATTTATTAAATTATTTCAGAGAAAAATACTTATTTAAGCACTTATATTTATAATTTAGAAGTTGGCTGTCTTCTTTATTATCTAGCAGGAGGATTAAGTATGACACTATTTAGCTTTTTATACTTTTACAAGCAAAGCGAAAGTAAATACAATATTAGTATTATTAGTTCTTCACAATTAAATATATTTGATTAGACATTTATTGATGTTTATTCCTTTTGAAAAATTTAATGAACAAATAACATTATCATTATTAAAATAAATAAAGGAATATTGATATTAAAAATTTTTATGTTATTAAGTCTTTAAGATTAAAAAATATCAGATAACTGGTTTAATGATTCTAATTTAATTTTTTGTTCATTAAACAGTATTTTTTAATAAGTTATTTTAAGTAATTCTATAAATAATAATATATTAACGAATATTGATAAAATAAGTTAAAAAATGGGTAATACAAATGGATAACAAAGCTTACTAGTTTTAGATTAAAATTATGCTTACCAAACTCTAAAAACACATCCTGTGTTTGGTGAGATTAAGCTTTATAAACATAGTGAAACAGGTAGGAAAATTGCTATAATCAATAAGCAAATTTTTGAGTCAGAATAACATAATATGAAATAAGAAACTTATTTGAAGAGAAAATCTTATGACAATATAAACCTTCTAAAAGTTTTAGGTTTTTAGAAACTTGTTGCAAATGATTTATGTTCTCAAATTAGATATCTATCTATCTAAGTTGAATATTATGAAAATACTATCACTTAATTTAAAGAAAAGTTTACAGAAAAAGAATTATATTATTTAATATTCTCATTGTGTGATGCAATGGATTATTGCAAATAAAATAATAATGAAATAACAGACTTGCATCCATCTAAAATTTTAGTTACAGATGATGGATTTATTAAATTAGTAGACAACATTGTTGCTTTGGAGGCAATATCTAATTTTCATTAAGTTAAATATAATGATCGCTAAGTTGAGTATTTAGCACCAGAATAATTAGAATTGTTTTCTGGATTAAAAAATAAGATTAATTAAGAAAAAGCTAATATTTTTTGTTTAGGTTTATTATTATCATAATTAATCACAAAATAGCCTGTGAGTGATTATTACCTTGAGGAATTTGTTAATTTAAATTTATTATTTAAAAGGCTGGATTAAAAATTTGCATAGTACTCTTACTCTAATAGTCTTTATACTTTATTAAAAGAGATGTTAGCTCATGATCCAGAAGAAAGATTATCAACTAAATAAGTATTAGCAAAGAAATAATATCATCACTTTGTTAGCAATTTAGATGGTGACTCAGTAGATTTTGCAGAGCATCATCCACCTGATTCCATATTATAATCACCAAATTCCTATTACTAAGAAGAATAATAAATGTCATATCATAGAAAAAAAGAATCTGTTCTATCTCTAAAAGCTGCTAATGAGGAATTTTTAATTACAGATTAATCATTGTAAAAGAGAATTGATTAAGCCTTAGCTGAATCCAATAAATTATTAGATTAATTAAGCGTTTCATCACCAATCACTAAATTTTAAAGTAGAGCAACTATTAATGGTATTTATGACTCAGTGCAAAATCCTTTAGTTTAATTAACTGAATCAAGAATCAAAAGATTAATTGACAATTCAGAAGAAGCAATAGAAAAATCATTATAACAATCAAAAACATATATGTGAGGCCTATTCAATGTTATGGTTATAAATTATAATAATTATTTTCCTTTTTTATCAATCTTTTAAGATAATTTTGGTTAATCAGTCTAAATAAAATAAAGATTAATTTATTTAAAGTAAATTTCCTTATATTTAATAATATTATTCTAAATTAATTTAATGTAGTGTTATCATTAAAAGGACAAATATGGGGTGCTTTTTAGAAATATTAAGATGAATGAAAAAGAAATATAATTTGAAAATTAATTATTATTTATAAATGGAAATATAAACATAAACAAGAACAAAATTAGTACATTATTCTCATATTCTTCCAAGAACTATTAAGAAAAATCTCCCACTGCATTAAAAAGCATTTTGAAGAATAATAGATTGAATAGTATGAAGAAAAATTAATTAACTCCAAAAAGAGGGCAAGAGCAAGATGTTGTTTTGGAAGCATCTATTCTTTCTAAGTCATCATCTCAAGGCTATTAGTATTTATTTCATAAATTAGGGACATATACTCAATTAGTTAAAATGGATCTCCAAGTCCACATAATGAGTAGGTTTTTTCTAGTGATGGTTTTTAAAATATTTGGAAACAGAAATCATTGAATATTTTATATTATGTCTCCAAATTTATTAGGCAGATAAAAACAAGTGGAAACAAAATCAAATTTAAATTATTGAACACAAGAATATTAGGTTTAGTTAATGATGCAGGAAGTGATTCAAGTGTATTATTAGAATATAGAGATATTTTGAATAATGTCAAAATTACAAAACAAAAATGTCACTTTAATTAATTTTTCAAAATTTTATAGCTGATCCCAATAATAGATCCTGATTAAACCATTAAAATAATTTGGGATATTTTGATGTTAATTTCAGTTATTATTAATTTGATATATGTTCCTTTAGAATTAAGCTTTGATTTTAAGGCTTCAGATCAAGTAGTTTTATATTTAAATACCATTCCTTCTTGGCTACTATTATTAGATGTAATATTAACTTTATAAACTGCTTATTATCATGAAGGTACTATTCATAGAAATCAAGCAGAAATATTAAAAAATTATATGAAAGGTGGAAAGTTAATGATTGATGTCTTAATATTAATTCCTATATTATTTTAATAATATGAGATTGATATCCTAAAATTTGCTTTATTATTTCGAATTGTTAAATTACCAAAAATGGCAAATAATCTTGAAGAAATATTAAATCCAAAAGAGTCAATTAAAATGTTGATTTAATTGGCCAAACTAATATATTTTATAATAATAACATGTCATTTTTGTGCTTGTCTTTGGGGTTTATTAGGTGAACTTTAAATATAATAAAATAGTTATTCCTGGCTTACACATTATGGAATAGATGGAGAGATTTGGACAAAGAAATATATTTACTCAATTTATTATTGCACTATTACAACTTTAACTATTGGTTATGGAGATATCACACCACAAACTGATTTAGAAAAAATTTATTCAATCCTTTTAGCATTGTTAGTTTGTGGTGTTTTAGGTTATAGTGTTTCAACAGTTGGAAATATTATTAAGTTGCTATAGGATAAAGATTAAGAGTATAAATAAAAATTGTCAATATTAACTAATTATCTGAAAAGCAGAAATTTAAATCAATAATTATAATTGTAAGTTCGTAAATACTTTGAACATTATTTAAAATTGGAATAAGAATCTTAATTCAAAGCAGAGTTAATGATGTAATAATTAACATAAGATTTAAAGGAAAAGGTTGCTATTGATTTATATTTTAATATTCTAAAAAATTCTAAAGTGTTGGCAAATTTATGTGAAAATTGTCTAAAAAAGTTATGTTTATATGTGCATGAAAAGAAACTTGCTCCAGAAGAAAAAATATGGTCTCCAGACGAAAAAGGAACAAAAATTTACTTCTTATTAAAAGGTTAATTAGATATATTGGCTAATAATATTAGACTAAAAACATGTGAATTTGGAGTATTTGGAGAAAAAGAATGTCTTACTTAAAGTTAATATTAAACCTATTTGAAGGCTGTTAAATTTTCTCAATTAATTTATCTCAATATTGATGATATAATGAAAATATTATATGAAGATTAATAAGATTTAGAAAGATTTAAGATGCTTTAAGATAATCTTATTTTTAATGAAAGTTTTAAAAATTTTGGGTAAGTATGTGAAATATGTGGGTGGACTCACTAATTAAATACTTGCCCTTTTGTTTTTGTAAAAGCGAATAGAAACAAAATCATAACCATTAATAAAAATTCTAAGCCATAATAAAGATTTTTTCATGATCGAAAATATTACTCTTTTAAAACAAAATATTCACTAAAAGATGTTTAAGAATGTGGATTAGCTTTTATGATAAACGAAAAATTGATTGAACAAATAGATTGTTCCGATTAATATCTATAAGATTTAGGTTTTGACATATCAAAGGAAGAAGAAGAATAAGAAGATAATTATTAATAGGGTAGTAAATAAAAACAATTCTAAGATTCAAAATTTGAATCATTTTCAAAGAGCAATACTTTTACTGATTATTTTAGATAAAATGATCAATCTAACTATGAACACACCAATAAATACACTAATAAAAATACTAATAAGCCAAAATCAATTATCTAGAATAATATTTAAAACTAGAGTGTGTAATAATCAAGTTAATAATCTCAATTATAAACTTCAATTTAATAATAATAACAGACATAAGCATCACCATCAGTTGTGAGATGGGATAGTGATAACCTAAAACAAAATAACCAAAAAAGATCAACTCTACTATTAAGAAAATTAAATAAAGAAAGATCAATAAAAATAGAAATGAGATTGAACAATAAATCTAAACCTTCGTATGTTTCAACTGTAAGGTAGGAGACCTCAAATAATAAATCTATACAAAGATATGATAGTGTTATAAGTGGAAAACACACCAAATCTATTTATCATAGTAACAATACAAATTCTATGGTTTCTCCTTATGATGACATGCTAAATATGTTCCAGGACGATTAATTAATTAATGAAGAAAATATTGACTTTAATATTGACAAATAGTATCTAATGATAGAATATTTTCCTTCTTTTAATTATGATGTTGTAATTAAGAAATTTGATCATAATTTAATAACTAAGAGAACAAAAATGCTAGCTACAATTTCAAGAGGCAAAACCTTACAGAAATATATTAAATGATAAAATGATAACAAATTTATATTCATAGTTCTAAGGTAGATTTTTTATTTGTCGATTATTCTAAATATTTTTTTTAATGTATACTATCTATTTTTCTTGCTGATTTTTTTAACATGGAATTTTAAAAAAAATTAGATTTCTCTTTTATGAAAGCTGAGTTTTATGATGTAATTTTTTTTGAAGTTAATTTAAAGCTATTACCCTGCTTTTTTAAAGGGCTTTATTCAATATATGGTTCAATTATAATATCTGATTTTTTAACATCTAAATATTTTTCTAAAATTGCTTTTACATCAATAGAACCTTAAGAACTTTATTCTTCAAATGTTGCTTTTTGGATAGGAGAAGCAGGGGATGAAATTGCAGGCTTAATTTTTATTATTTTTTTTCCTTTTTTTATTGGACTATTCGAGTTTGATTAATTATTTGAATTCAGTTCAGTTGAAATTTCTAATGATTATATTCCTAATTAGCTCATGTGAAATAATTTTCGAGAATTAAAGCTTCCAACTATCAATTTGGAACTTTAAAAGATAAATGGATGTTAAAGTGCATCATATGATGAGTAATTTTTAGTTATATCATTAATTTTTTGATAGAAATCAAAAGCCTGCTTTGACCATTCTTATAATTCATAACTATAAAGTTTTGCTGCATCATTATTATAATCCAAAAGATATTTCATAATATTACCTAAACTGTTTATATCATTTTATGCCTTTGAATAAAAATCATTATTATTACAATACTAACTTTGAATATCAAAATGATCAATAAAATATACAGATGACCAATCTTTTGGGTTCCTCAAATATAAATTTTAAACAATAGCTTTTTGACCAAGGACAACATTATTTAAATGTAAATACTCAAGTATTGTAAACAAAATTCTCATTATTGTAGAAATGTCAAACTCAGTTAATTATTTATCCAATCTTAAATCGTCAATATTAGTTCCTTCAATATTTTCATAAACAATATAAATCAAATTCCTACTTTCAAATATTTCTTTCATTTTTATTAGATTGTGCAATTTTAGATTTCTCAATAGTTATAAGTTATATATGAAAATTCTTCTATTTAAATTATTATTTTTTTCTACTATTTGAACAGAGTACTCAAGGGAAGTAGATTTGCATCTAACAGTAAACCAATTTTATAATGTTCCTTTTTCAATTTTTTTCTAAATCGTATATCTTTATTAAAAGTAGAATTATATTGAGAATGGTTTTAAATAATCGACCCAATCATCTATATCACCATAAATTTCTAATGTATAATTTTGTCTTGTTAATTTAACTCCAGGCGAATTAATCTAAGAATTTCGAGTTAATTGCATTTCTATATTGTGAATATCAATATATTTCTACATGTATAATATATTTAATACATTATCTGAATATTAGATATAGCCACCACCTATTCTTAGTTTCTTTATTTTTATTGTTGAATTAATAATTACTATGAACCTTTTCTCTAAGTCATATTTAATTGAGTCTTAAGGGCATAAAGACCAGAAATTTTGATTTGATTAAAATATACTTTCAAATTGTAATAAAGTTGGCGATAAAGGAATTTTCATCATATTCTAATATATCAAAATAATATAATTTTTGTTTGATAATATTGAATTAATGAAACAAAAGAATTTTACAACTATTTTATATTTGATCATTAGGAAGATAAGAATGAAAATTAATAATTAATAATTCGCAAATAATAAACCTATTGGACTTCTAATTAATCCTTTGTAAATGTTATTGTTGGTTGATAAATAATATTTGTAAAGATGTTAAACATGGAATAATTGAAAATTATGTTTTCTTTAATTATATATGATTATTTTTGAATTTTAATAATAAATTTTATGTAAGAGGAAGTACTATTGTTTTTTATAGAAGGGATACTACTTATAGTCTATGTCTTTTATTTAGTATGGGATTATTCTGCAAAAGAAGTTCCTTTCTACATTAAAGCTTTGACATATTTTTCATGGATCCTAACCTTTTCAATTGTTTTAGTGTTACCTATTGATATTTTATAGGTAGTAAATAATATTGATAATAAAGCAAAGGAATTTTTAACAATAACAGAATACTTTAGAGAATACTGAAAAAACATAACTATAATAAGGTTTATTCTTAACTTGGAGAATATTGTATTGGTCCAATTTTTTATTATCCTGGTAAGTTAATACCATATATTCAAGGTTTATTCTACCATTTTTTCAAGATTACGAAGACTCAGGAGATTTTTTTTGGAGAGAAAGAATGAAATACTCAATCAAGAAAAATTTGTTGATTTATACTGTTGGATTGATTTTAGGAATAATCATTATCATTTTATTAGCTTTGAATAGTGATTCTTCAGATTACATCACCAATTCTCTAATAGGATTAGCAAATTTTTTGTATATTTTAAACTTATAACCTAAGTGGACTTTTTTTGGTTGTTTTATTATTAGGTTTTGGACTAATTGCAATTCCAAAAAGATATTTAAAAGAAAGTAAGGAAGAAGAAGTGCTTGATAAATGCTATAAAGAATCTGTTTATTTAGAAGAGCAGAGAACTGAAAAGGGATATGATATTGAGGAAATATGCAAAGTAATTTCTTATTTTATTAAGACGCTTCTAATTTTAGAAGATTCATATACACATTCAGAGTTTTAAGTTTATATATCTAAAATTATAGCTTTAATACCACCTGTATATTTTGATTAAATTAAATAATAAAAAATTTATAGAAAAAAGGAATTACCATCAGAATATTAAAATTTAAATTTAAAATAATTAGGAAGTCTTCATAAATCTGTTAAATAAATAGTTTTTGATTTAAGAAGAATAAATACTAAGTTTGATATACTATTGAATAAAGTAAAAAAGCTTGAGAGACAATATGAAATTGATTCTATTGAGAACCAAAACTTTTTTATTAAAATAGTTATCAAAGCTTAATATATTTGGGTTAATTATTTTCGAAGATATTATAATAAATACATTGGTTATGTATTTACATCACTATCAGTAATTTTAATGTTTGGGGAATTTTAAGTGTTAATGAAATAAAAAATTGACATTAATATAATATCTTCAGTTATTCTATCCATCAGTGATACTACATTCACAAATATTATATTATTAGTTTTATTAACTTACATGATGTTTTGTGTTTATTATGGTTTATTTTCAATGAAAATTAGTGGATTGATATCTTTTAATAACAAACATAATACAGATGCCCCTAGTCTTATGTTTGGTTCTGTGTAAGAAATTATTTAAACCTTAGAAACTTTGTAAGAGTGAGCTTTCCTTTGTGTTATAATTTCCTTCAGATGACAGCCTAATTAGATAAATCCAACTAGTTTTTTAATTTTTTTAAAAGGCTTGATGAGTTTTCTGTATTTGATTCAACATTTACAATAATTTTACCTCTTATGCTAATAATTATGTCACTTTGCAATTTTTTTAATATAGGCGATAGAGTGATGTAAGCAATTGGTCTTGGTTAATTTGCTTTTTAGGAGTCACCTTAGGTTTTGAGTAGCTTGGGAAAGGAAATATTGCTCAAAGAGAAATAAAGGAAAAATTCAAAATCAACATCAGATGAGTCAAGCTAAAAGTCATCACTTTTAGAGTTATCAAAGTACACTTCTCCCAAATATATTGAAACATAAGATAGAGTCAAAGTCAACTAAATTAGAAACTTTGATGAAATTTTAAATATATGAAATTAGTAATCTTTTTACATTTTATAATTTAATGCTCAATATTTCTTAAAGGTGGTTGAAAACCCAAGAAGTTTATTAAATTCTAACTGAATTGAAGATAGAAATTCATTTAGTCCTACCAAATTAGCCTTCATCAGGTTAGTATTTTCTAATAAGGCCTGAAAAAGAAAGAGGTTGGAAGAAAGATGGATATTAATATATACCTCGTCATAATGGAGTTGGAACTAGAGAGGATGTAGAAAAACTAAAAATAAATGGAATTCCGGTATGATATTTAAACTAAAGATTTAGATGATTATCTGTTTATATTCCTAAACTATAAAAAAAGATGGGCAATAATTAAATAGAAGAATATATAAGCTATTAGAATAATCACAAAATATTTATTTAGTACACTATTTAAATTCCTAATTTTCAGAAGTTGTAGAGCAAAATGAAGTTTTTAAATAGAGCGAACCTCTAATTAATATCCCAATTAATAATGAATTTTAATGTGATTCTTGGTTTCTTTGTGATTTCCAAGATTAATAATAGGATCTTGAATTGAAATAAAGTATTTCACATTATTAATTAGAAATATCAATTTTAGAAAAAAGAATACAATATTTAGAATAAGAAAGAAATACTGGAGCTTCTAGTTCAACTCATAGAGAAAGTTCAGATGAATTTAATTCTAGTTTTAAAGAAGCATTATCTGTGAAAATAGTAGATTTTTCACCTGAATGGGACTATACAGAGGGTGGAATGAAAATGATGTTATGTTTCTAACCAATAAAAGAAATCTATTAGTGCCAAATTTTGTTTGGAAATGTTCCTGTTTTAGCTAATTGTGTTTAACCTGGAGTATTGAAATGCATAGTGCCTCCAAATGTTTAAGGGAAAGTAGAGTTAAAAATTATCAGTAATGGGATATTTATTGATGAATAAACTGATATTAATCATTTCACATATAAGTAGAAAAGAAAAACAAAAAAGGATAAATAATAAAAAGAAAAATTAATTGAATAGGATAAGATAGATAGTTCAGAATTTAAAGTACGAGTCATAGAAAAACTTGCATCGTTTCAAGCATACTTCAATAATACTTTGAATATGTAAGTTTCTAATATGGAACAAGAGCAAATAGAATCAATAGAATAAATTGATGACTATAAAGTCACACAATTAATTTAATAAATAATTGTCTTAGGAAAGAACCATCTAGAAGCAGTTAGATAGTTTTTAGACGAATAAGATTCTTATGGTTTTTCATTGATACATTATTTAACATTATTAGGATATTCTTAGGCGATAAAATTGATTTTAAAAAACGGAGCTAATATCAATTAATCTGGATGTGATGGATTAACTGCTTTATAAATTGCTATCATATTACAACAAGAAGAAATTGTGAATTTACTAATATAATTAGGAGCTATTGATGATCAATTTAATGAATGTGCTGAGAAAAAACCTGATATTGATTAACTTTTTTCAATTGATAGCGTCTATTAAAATAAAAAGATATTAGATCTCCTAATTAGAGGCTATACATTATGTGACTCTATACATAATTCAAGTTCTTATACTGAATAACAATCATGGAATGGATAGGATGATTAAGACACGTTATAATACTTTTAAGTCAACGATTTGTTTGAAAATAAAAACAGCCCTGTGATAAAAAATGAGGAGAAGCATACAAAGCACAAATATTTAAGGAACTACTCAAAACATGAAGTTCGTCCTTAACAAATGGAATTTAACTCTAATTTCGTAATTATTATATCTTATAAAGCCATATGATAATTATGCAAATCATATATAAACAATATAGAAAAATGTTAAAGCTTGGCTATTAAGAAGGCAGTATTTGGACATAAAATATGCAACTTAGGTTTTATAAAATTGTAACACATTTATTTTAATTTAGATATTAGAAATAAGCTTCATAAAAAACAGATGAATCCTGATTGTAAAAGTAAAATTAAAAGCACTGTGAGAAATTGGTTAAATTTAAAATATTGAATTATTATTTTAAACTAAATTATATATATAATTTTGTTTTATATGAATAATTGCTTTATCGTTCGAAAACTTGCATCTGATGATCAGGTATAAATTGATAATAAAAAGGAATTTTTTTTAAATATTCCTCTCTCTAGTATCAAATTTAATAGTAATTATTAATATTGATTATTTAGGCCTCTTTTCAAATAATACAATCTCTTATTATGGTATTTTACTTATTCCATAATAAAAGGTGTTTTTAAAGAAAATAATATAATAGTGCTAGGTTGGACTTTTCGAGAGTAAAAATTCAATAGAGGAGGATTGTATTGTTGCAAAATTTAGTTTAAAATTTTAGACATAAGTATTAAAAAATAAGAAATAATTTCTCAAATCTAGAATTTAATCTATGAAATGATTGATTCATAGTCAAGAGATTCATAAATTTATAAATTCTTAATAATTATAGAGAAAGAATAGGAGTAATACTATGATGGATTTTCAGAATTTTTTCCAGATTAAATAAAAATGAAGCAAAGTTTTAAATGAATTATTATAATTATATATATATTAATTATTGATTATGCAGGCGTAACCTAAAGGATTTTCATACGCTTTTAAACAATAAATCATGAAAGCGTGGCAACCTGTTCCTACTTTGAATTCAACAATAATATTATTTGCCACGATGAGTTTATTTTTTCTAATCATGGGAATAGTTTTGATAAGTTATTCAAATGACATTGCAACATAAGAATTTTAATATGACTCATATTGTTCAGCTCAAAATAGTGATTGTGTGATTTAAATAGCACTTGATAGCAATTACAAGTCTCCAGTGTTCTTTTATTACTAATTAACTAACTTTTATTAGAATCATAGAAGATATGTCAAATCTAAATCTCCTTCCTAATTATCAGGAACAGATTTAAGTGAAAGTGAATTGGATGAATGTGATCCAGTTGTAACTAATGATGAAATGGGAAAAACCTCAAGCGTTACAAATGAACCTTTAAAAAAAGAAGAAAAGGCCATACCATGCGGTCTGATCGCTAAAAGCTATTTTAATGATACTTTCAATTTATTCTAAGTTATTAACAATACTAAAACAGAAATCAAAATTTCATCAAACGGAATTGCTTGGCCTAGCGATTTAGATGGGAGATATAAAAATATAGATTTGAATAGATAGTGGATTGATATGGAGGATGGTATTAAACTTAATTATCATTAAAGAAAGATTTATGGTTTGGATGAGGACTGCAGCCTTACCATAATTTAGAAAATTATGGGGGAAAATAGATTAAGATTTAGAAGCTGGTATTTATGAAGTTCAAATAAAAAATAGTATGAAATATTTTAATCCTAGCTTATAATGTTTCTTCCTTTAATGGTAAAAAATATATTGTCTTTTCTACCACTAATGCTTTCGGAGGAAAAAATGAATTTTTATCTATTGCATATATTTGCGTAGGAGTAGTGTGTTGTGTAGTGACTTTAGGATTTTTAATTAGGAAATTTTTATCAAAGGCTGATTAAAAAAAAAATAGATGAATAATGAATATATAAATCAAATTTATCAATATATACCTTTTGCCGCTAGTTCTTCCTTCACTCTACTAAAATAAGTAGGATCTGGATAACCAAAACAACTAACTCCTCCACTCAAATTTGTTTTATGATGAATTCCATTCCATACTATTCTATTATCTTTTCCTGTTGTCACCGAACGGCCAACAGTAAAGATTAATTTCCTTTCAAACGCCATTTTTAATAATCTAAAGACTTGCCTTCCTTCAGGAGTGTCTGGCAAGAATGCCTCTCTAAATGTTGATGGAAAATGCTATCCATTTCTTTATCCTGCATACATATTATAATAAATGACTATTGTCCCATAATCTTCATACCCTTCACAATGAGTTCTATAATCAATATGGCATATCATTTCTCCATCTGGTTAATCTCCAGTTTTAACACCATAAATTTTTCCACAAATAGGACATTGTATATATTATTCTTTGATACAATAAGTCAAACAATCCATATGATAGTAATGATCACATGGAAGGCCGACGACAAGTTATTCACAACATAATATTTTCTCAAATTTATCCCAATCTGCAATTTCAAATAACTCAAATTAGCAAATTGTGCAAATATCGCTTTTACTAAAATGCAAATTATCATTCAAATGATATTAAGAAACCAATAGATAAAATTCAATTGAAGACATATGCCTTAAATTTACTAAATGAGAAGCTTGGTTGTCTATCTCTATATTTAGTTTATTAATGGATTAAATAATTTCTTATTGGAAATTGGATTTTGATAAATCATATTATTTATCAATAATATGCAAAATTGGAGCATCATATTTAATATTATTTTGAATCTAACTATTTTTATTCTTCGTAATTAATAAATCATCATCCTATTTTTTTTAATCATTGTTATTTGGTATAAGAGATTTGATATAATTATTTTTCAACACTTTTAGTTCATTAAGTCTCTTAATTAGTTAATCAAAGGGTAAACTCAAGGATTTTTGCTTTTATTCTTTCCTTCCGAATTATCTCATAAATTGTTGTATAAATATCTGTTCAATTTAATAATTATTAAAACATAAAACTGTAATATCTCGTATATTTCAATTAATTTAAACAAGTGCCCTTAAATATTCAAACATCTTGTATTTATCTAAAGCTGTTGGTGCACAGATATGGAAGTTTTACAATTAAATTTATTTGTTTAAAATGATGTTACCTGTAATTGTAAAACAGCTATTTATATCGATTTCTTATTATATTTAAATATTTACTTTTTTTTCCAAATTTCTTAAAAGGTGATAACCTCCATCCCTCTACATCATTTAAATAATCTTTTATCGAAATTACATGTTTTGTTGCAAGTCTCCATTTCTATTTAGTGTTTGAATCACCATGATGTTTACACCAGATAGATGCTAAGTCTGGAGTAATAAATACAAGTAAACTCGATACAGATCCATCATCTTTATATCTACCATTCATATTATAATTACAGTTTACAATGAATACCATTGACCAAATAATCTCTTGCTTCTTTCGTTAGCAAATTCTAATAAGAAAAAGAGCAGCGACCTATATATTCATTCAATGTATTGAGATAAGGACTTTTTAGTTAATTATTGTTTACTGAATAAATTTTTATTGCTCAAATTCTTACATTACTATTGAGCATAAATCTTGGATCCTTAATCTTGATTATAAATCAATTTTTGAGATTTATTCATAAATATCAAAAAATCGTAAGACTAAAGTTTATTGTTCTGGTTGGTTTTTTATTATTATTAGACTCAATGGAACAAATTAATCAATAAGCAAATGGATATTATTATGTTAGCTGTTTATAAGATTTTACAAGATATTCTAAATTATACATAACACAATACCGCAAAGTCATCACATATTTCATAACTTAGAATGTTGTCTTCTATAATTTTTAATAAAGTATTTGTATTTGTTATTATAAAATCTTCAGTTATTTCAAGCTAACTATATATGGATAATATATTTAAAAATAATTCGATCAGTCTTACATCCTTTCTAAGTGTACTCTGCTAAATTTAGTAAAACAACTTTTAAATACTATCAGTACTCCAAACGACTGAGCATTTAATACTATCTTAACTCACCAATTATATATAACGAAGTATCTCTAAGGTTATTTTTCCATCTATTTCTTAATATGAATCATAATCAAATTAATTTTAAATGGACATAAGTAACTATTATGAAATAGTTGATGAAATAATTAAATCAATTTTTTCAATATCACTTAAGATCAATGAATTGAAAAATTAAAGAACAGTTAATTAAAATTATTTTTCATACTTTTACACAATATAAGAATTTGTAATGCATTTAAATGTCTTACAATCAAATATTTAATTATTGATTTTTTTATTTATTGTAAATTTGCTTATTATTTAATAAACTTTTGTACAAATTTGCAAATCAACAGTTAGATGATCAATGATATTTGTACAAAATTGTATTAAATATTCTTCTATTGCTTGCTGTGATAATTTATTTTCCTCGATTAATAGTTCAATAATTAATAACATTATAATTGAAGTTTTTTTTAGTTGACTTAAATTTAAGTTCTAGTTCCCAATTTTTTAACTCCATTCTGTAAATAATCTTAAGATTTCCATATTCATAAATCCTGATATAAAAGCTTCCGCTTTTAAAAAGCATCCTAATATTCTAATAGTATGTAAAACTATCTAATCATTATCTAAATGTTAAATGAAAATAGAAATTATGAAATTAAATTTTACAAAAATTTGCAGAAATTCTTAAGTATATCTAAAAACCAGGATGGAAAACAACCTTGTCACCTCTACACATAAAGTTGAATTATCTATATAAAGATACACTATGTTTTATAATTGATCTTATAAAAATTATGAAAATACTTAAAATTCCATATTTTTCAATTATTTTAAAATTTGAATTTTGGAGAAAAAGCGAATTTAACATTCTGAGGGCTCTTATATTAATTGGAAGGTTTTAATTATTTTCAATAATTATTTAACATAAATTTTCTATGAGGAGTAGCCATTATGGACTCCTAAAAACTAATCTAGTGAATTTATTTTTTACTTTTGGAAGCTCCAATCATAGATTAAGTCAATCATCAATGAATAGAGTTCTTGGTCACTTGAATAATATTTGAATATTTCAACTATTATGTTAATTTGATCTTCAATCTACTCCTAATCATGATCCAAAAACGAAAGGATTGATAAATAGAGTCTCACAATATCAAATTCTTTGATAAACTTCCTTAAAAATATTTTTAAATTTACTTAGCGTAATTATTCCAAGCTTTTATCTCAATATTCTTGCTTGATTTTTTGAAATCGTTTTTCAATAAGACGATCATTATTTCTAGTGCAGTTTTAAATTAATCAACTTTAAATTCCTTTTCTTCTTAAAATTGCACAACCAATTTATTTATTACTGAGAGAAATTATTTCTTTTATGATTGATCCTCTCTCTGCTAGATTAAATCTTATTATTTCAAATCCTAAAAAATTTAATTAAGTAGTGAAATGTTCTCCGTCGGATAGTCATTCTGCTAAAACATTTTGTTTATAAATTTATATAAAATATTCACTTTATTAATGTTCTAAATTGAATTGGAAAGCATTTCAAAAAACAATATCTTCAAGCAACAAATGGCTTTTTAAATAAAATTATGATAATAACTGTGCCTTTACTATCAATTATATTAAATATTCTTGGTTTAGATTAGACTTTTGTTTTAAATTTTATCATACATCTATTCCTGGAGAGTCAATGAAAAAATAACATGGAATGGTAATTTAAGAAAATTTATTTCCAATTTACTTTTAAACTCTTAACATTTGTTAAGAATTTTTGGGGATTACAATAGGTAATTAGAAAAAATTAATAATTCTCAAATTATTATAACTTTCTAAAAAGATCTACGATGTTATTTCTAATTGAATGAGAAACATTATATCAGGATGATAAATTTTATCGAAAGGCAAAAATTCTCACCTTCTAGCATATTAAAGAGAAGAAATTATAATTTTAGATACTCTTTTAGCTTTTATTTTTAATATTTTTATGAGATTGGTATCAAATAATCAATAAACGAATTTAGGGATACCTCTTTATTCAATTAATAAATAATTGAAACTTAGAGAAATCAAAAAAGGTTCTCCTTATTCCAATCTTTAATTTGAAGATATAATGTACTTAGTTAAATAAAATATTACATAGAAAATTAATTTTTTCATTATGCAGATAATATAGTTAGCATAAATATTTAAAGTATTTTAATAATTGAAATGCATCTTTAAAATTATGATCAGATTCAAATTTAATTTGTTTGTTTAATAAAATTATTATTATTATATAAAAATATCAATCATTACTCAAATTTCAATAGTTATTTTATGCTTTTCTTTTAATGCTAGGCACATAAGATCATAGATTTATTTTATGAACTTAATCTAAGTGCTATATTTTCTCATAAACAATTTGTGAGCATTATATAGGTTTTGAGCATAGTAGTAGAGGCTTAATTTTTGCAACAGTATTTGAAGTGATGATACATGTTAAATAATTTGAGATTTGAATTTTCTTGAACTTGAAATATTATTACAAAAAACAGTGAACATTTAAACAGATTTTCATTTTTATCAGACAATTAAATAATTCATTCTTCACAATTGTAACTTTCTAGAACCTGATGTTATAATTATTTAACTTACAGGAGTAAATATGTCAAGAGCACATTAATAGGATTTAGTGCATACATCACATTAATAGTTCATATTTTATTCTAAAGATGCNTAAAACATTTTGTTTATAAATTTATATAAAATATTCACTTTATTAATGTTCTAAATTGAATTGGAAAGCATTTCAAAAAACAATATCTTCAAGCAACAAATGGCTTTTTAAATAAAATTATGATAATAACTGTGCCTTTACTATCAATTATATTAAATATTCTTGGTTTAGATTAGACTTTTGTTTTAAATTTTATCATACATCTATTCCTGGAGAGTCAATGAAAAAATAACATGGAATGGTAATTTAAGAAAATTTATTTCCAATTTACTTTTAAACTCTTAACATTTGTTAAGAATTTTTGGGGATTACAATAGGTAATTAGAAAAAATTAATAATTCTCAAATTATTATAACTTTCTAAAAAGATCTACGATGTTATTTCTAATTGAATGAGAAACATTATATCAGGATGATAAATTTTATCGAAAGGCAAAAATTCTCACCTTCTAGCATATTAAAGAGAAGAAATTATAATTTTAGATACTCTTTTAGCTTTTATTTTTAATATTTTTATGAGATTGGTATCAAATAATCAATAAACGAATTTAGGGATACCTCTTTATTCAATTAATAAATAATTGAAACTTAGAGAAATCAAAAAAGGTTCTCCTTATTCCAATCTTTAATTTGAAGATATAATGTACTTAGTTAAATAAAATATTACATAGAAAATTAATTTTTTCATTATGCAGATAATATAGTTAGCATAAATATTTAAAGTATTTTAATAATTGAAATGCATCTTTAAAATTATGATCAGATTCAAATTTAATTTGTTTGTTTAATAAAATTATTATTATTATATAAAAATATCAATCATTACTCAAATTTCAATAGTTATTTTATGCTTTTCTTTTAATGCTAGGCACATAAGATCATAGATTTATTTTATGAACTTAATCTAAGTGCTATATTTTCTCATAAACAATTTGTGAGCATTATATAGGTTTTGAGCATAGTAGTAGAGGCTTAATTTTTGCAACAGTATTTGAAGTGATGATACATGTTAAATAATTTGAGATTTGAATTTTCTTGAACTTGAAATATTATTACAAAAAACAGTGAACATTTAAACAGATTTTCATTTTTATCAGACAATTAAATAATTCATTCTTCACAATTGTAACTTTCTAGAACCTGATGTTATAATTATTTAACTTACAGGAGTAAATATGTCAAGAGCACATTAATAGGATTTAGTGCATACATCACATTAATAGTTCATATTTTATTCTAAAGATGCCCAGAATCAAATATCTCAAAGGTTGGCAATATTAGTATGTTTTAACATGTCCCAAAGTCATCTAATTCAAAGGAGCTAATTGATGCATTGTCTTTTGGAGATTTTTTTATTATTTTGAGTTTAATTTCTTATTTTTGAGTGAAAAACAGATTGTAAAGATTAATTTTAAATCTTTTAAAATGTTTTTTAAATTCAAAATATTATTAAATAAACTATTAATCTGACATGCTATTTTTTGAATTGATTTTCTGGTTTTTGAAAATATTTTCAAAAACTTATTAATCATTAATTACAATAATAATAATTTATTCTTAGACATTAATTTTTCTTATCTAAAGGCTTTATCTATTGATGTATAAAGGATTTATCTATAGATGTGATGAATGCTCTAAAAACATTATAAATATGCTAAAATTGTGTCGAGCAAGGGTTTTGTGATTATCATTTAAATATAGGGGGAAAAAATCTAGTGTCTTAAGAGAAGAGGAAAATTGATAAAGTTCCAAATAGAACAATTTAAAGCTAGAAGAAGTTTTTAAGATTAAGAGAAGAGGATTAAATTTCATTTACAATAAGAGAAGTTATGTACACTTAAAAACTTGAAAGACGTGAAGATATCTACTAATTTAAATAAAAACAAGATGATTTCTAAACTTTTGAACAGAAATATTAATTGCTCTCATTTTCTAAAAAATTTATATATAACTCAAAATTCCTCTTCTTATAGAGTGATTGAGTATTTACTATAATAGTGGAGATTACAAATAAATGCACAGTTATTTTTTTTGTGAGAAATTCAGTTTATGGGATGTCAAAACAGGATAATAAAAAGCCAAATTAGATGGTCACGATTATGCTGTAACATCAGTCTGTTTCTCTCCTGATGTAAATACATTAGCTTCTGGTAGTGATGATAAGTCTATCCTTCTATTATATCAAAAACAAGTATTGTTCAGATTATAGATTTAAAGAAATTTAGGTTAAAAATACAAGATATCCTTTTTTTAAAACCCCTTTGCAGTAAAAGAATATTATTTAAAATTTAGATACATCTAATATTATGGTTTTTTTCTTTTTTAACAATCTTGAAGCATTACTAAAATGGAAATTAATTTAGCCCATTTTAAAATATTATGAAATCGAACTTTTAGTTGCATGAATGCAATAATATCTTAAATCTTTGTATACTGTTTTTTTTGGTATTATTCTCATCATAACCAAGCATTTTCTCTTAATTTATATTTAGAATGTGAATTTTACAAGATTTATAAAGTAGATTCTAAAACTAAATCTTTCAGCATTTATCATTCCTAAGTTTTCTAATCTTCGTATTTCTTGAGAGTCGATATATTCTAATATTCACAAAATATTATTTTTCTCAACTCATATTTAATTAACAGTAATACAATTATTTTTTATTAAATTGATTTTATAAACTTTAAATTTTCAAAATGTTATTGAAAAATTTTTATTAGTAAAATACTTATTTTTGAAATTTAAGAGAAAATACCCAAGCATTTAAGTGTGACTAATACTAATGCTTTTTTATATATTTAAATAATTTATTGTCAAATTTATCTTAGAAGGTTGCTATAGAGAAGATAAATTTTATTAAGATTATCCATTATGTTTATCAAATAGCAATAATTATTTCCTTTTTAATTCTACAATTTAGGTGCAATTTCTGAATTTAATTGTAAAATATAACCATTTAATGAGTTTTTAAAGACTTAAGGGATATTATTTTTGAATAGATATTGATTAATTTTGTAAAAATCATTTTGAAGGGACAACATTGATGATACATTGAATAATAACTGTTTATTATTTGATGTATGTAAAATTTCACGTCGAGCTCAAGTTAATCAATAATTAAGATTCATATATATAATACGGTTAGAGAAGATATAATTGTCTTCTTAAATCTTAATAATTACAAAATTATAATATTTTTTAATATGTTTTCAAAGTATTTTTAATATCTTAGAGTAGTGTTAAAATTAATCAATATCACATTGTTTTAACTTTGTTATATAGTTTAGATTATATTCTAAGATTAAGTTTATTTTTTTTCGTTCTTGTAGTATCTTTTTTATTATTATCTTTGTTATTAAATATATCTTTTATTATTTATAAACCAATTTTACAAAATTATTAATTATATCTATTAAGACTTATGTTTATAAATAGTAATAAATTAAATAAATTAAAAGAATATCTTATGAAATAATCATGCAGTTTTTTGTTAATTTAATTTTCAATTAAGTAATTAAAATTAATCTTTATTTTCATCTCTTCATTTAGCATACTGTTCTTTGTTTGGATTATTAATTTAATGTAGTATCATTTAACATTAAATCTCTATAAATGTAAATTAATAACAGTTTTTTTTAAAGGAGATCTCAATAAATATACCCTACATTTCTTTAAAATGGAATACTTTAGAAAAACTTGGATGAATCTTCAGAAATCAAAATTAAGAATAAAGCCACAAAAAGATATAAATACAAAAATATG